TGAGTTTTCTTTAATAAGATATACAACAGGTCATTGTCTCCAACACAAATACTTTTTTGTGCTCAAGGGCCTGTGTCCACTAACAGCATTTGTTGCAGTTTTAATGCACTGTCTTTAGCCAAAAAAATGCCCTCAGAGTAAATGTCTTTTGTTGCAGCAGATGAAATTAACTGAAACTTTTATTAACTCCTCTGAGCCATTAATAACATTTCAACCTCAACAACCAATTGAGTATGTGGAGGTACAGGACTTCAGGTATCAACTTTGTTAACAACAATAGTAGAGGTCAGTACCGGGGAGAAACTATACATATATATTTCAAGTACAATTTTCAACTCTGTAGTCACTGCTTTCAATCGCTTTGGTGTTTTTCTTGAAAAATGAAGGAAACAATAAAAAGCCTAATTAAATTATTATAGGCCTAAAGGTACAAAGAAATTTCAAACTGACATAATGGTCACTTTTAAATGAAGTGGAAGTATGAATTTTGTCACCCAGCAACAATGAGCAAAGGGAGATAAGCTCCAAAATTGCCAAAGGAGTACTGCCAGTGCAAGACACAGAGATAGTGGACACAGGCCCTAAAGGAAAAAAAAGGATTTACTATTTTCTTTTCAATATAAACTCTAGATTGATTTTATCTCTCTATGTTAAATTGTTTAAACCTATAGTCTTTTTGCTCTCTAAACATGTTCTAGTTCATCTGATGAGACTCCTTGGGCCCATGTGTTTATGGGTTCATTTTAAATATTATCTATTCATCAACATCTACTTAAAAAAAAAAACACAAAAGTTTGATGAAAAATGCTTAAATTGCTGGCTGAAATAAATCACTCATCCTAAAAACACTAAAGGAGATTCTTTTGTGCATATTTGTGCATCTTTTATCACTATGACAAGAAATAATTTAATTTAGTTTCTCAATAGCTGAAAAAAAAAAAAACAGCCTACTTAAGTTCGTGCTTAAAGTTTGTATTTTTCTATGGAGGAAAGGTCCAATGACTGCAGGTCCAAAAGTCAACCTGCTCTGATTTACATTGTTTTAATTTTAACCTACTATATTAAGTCGTGTTTAATATTTTACTATTTTAGAATTTTAAAAGTTTCTTTTTTAAAAATAAGACTTGAAGCTACTCAGGAAAAAATATTTTTACCACCTGCAATATGTCTGTCTTGTCACGAATGAATGTTTCTTCCTCTCCATGACAAAAGGCCAAAAATGGAAACTCTGAAGCTCTCAAAAAGGAACATCATGTTTTGACTCAATTATAAAGCCTCAAATCTTCTTTTCTGTGACAACCGTTTTATTTGAGAAGCCTGTATTACAAATCTTCAGCCATAAACTATAAACATTCGAATCATTTTAATGTTTTCTGAACCTCTTTACAGAGCGATTTAATCCTGTCAGCTTTCTGTCACTGTCCGGAAGGAAACTCTCGTCCTTAAGGTTACAGGATATTGTGAAGGGATCAATTTTACTTTTTTCATAGCAAATAGACCTAATAGATTTAAGATGATAAAAAACTAACAAACACTAAAAATATGTTTCCACTGTTTGGCATGCGTCAGGCATCCAAATCATCACACTAAAAATCCGGTTAAATTTGACTAACCAGACACTCTCCTCTGAGGTAGCCTATCTTGTTGCCATGGAAATACAAAGACTTATCAATGTTGTTTTTTCTCACCTATCACCTATTTTTTCTCACGTCATCCACATAATGAACAAAGTAAGTCTGTCTGGCGTGGTTAATTCCCTTCGTTGTTTGCGCACAAACGCACACACGCCAAAACAAACACTCACGTCAAACCGGAGCGGGGCCGCTCCACAGCGGGGTGTCTCTCTCTCAGGGTCCCCGGTTCAACGCTCCAGGAGCCGGATAGTCCCACCACAGCTCCTCGGGCAGAGTCACCGCGCTCCCGGGTCATTTTCTCTGTAAAAGTATGAGTGGAGACGCAGACAGATACAGGCTTTAGAGGAGAGGACACCAGCTATTTCTTGTCTTTTTTTTCTTTAGTATGCACACAACTGCTTTTTGTTCCCCCATTTTCTCATTTAAGTGGGAAGGGGGTGCTCGTTTTGATCACATGATTACAATTCACCTGAGATAAAACAAAGCAAGCAAAGAAAAGAAAAGAGGGGAGTGGAGGGCTGAGACAGAGAGATTCACTCATGGTCAGGACTCCCTTATCGCAGTCAACATTCACAGAGAGAGGGGAAAATTGGAGATTTGGGGATTGGGTGCCATTGAGTCCCACTGCGGGGAGACAAGGGGTCATTGTTGGGAAGAACAGCGGCTGTGTGTGTCCTCTTTGGTCTCTTCTTTCTGCTTTCTCTAGCAGTGGCGTTTGGCTGCAAACGCGCTCTTGTTCAGTCTGAGGCGTTGATAAAATTCGGAAACAGAAAGAGAGAGCAGCTGTCTTATATATCACACAATCCTAGAGTAATATTTGAATGTTTTCACATATTTACATTTAAGTTAGTCATCGATTTCTGCCTCGTAATTTAAAGCCTTACAGAAATGACTCTGCGTGGTAGATGCGCACAGACTCGGGCTAACTTCGACCTTTAATGTTCATTTAACACAAACGAGCATTTATCCTTAGTGCAGCACAGTGTGTTCCCTCTCTGATCGGGCCTCTCTAATCAGGCCTCTGATATGGTTTCCAGTTGACTGTTTGAACAAGCGCATTTGTCAGCTGCTGAAAGCTGTGATGCCTCCGAGCATGTTCTCAAATTAAACCTCATCTGATCACCAAATATCACAAAGAAGAATCAAAATGTTTTGAGCTCAGGCTTCTCTCTTTTAAACTATTGCAGAGATTAGCTTTTTGTAGAGGTGGCTTCATTTACAATCCGACATTTCTTTCAGGATTGATGGAAAATTCCGGGTTGAAGCTTGATGGTCTTCAGCCAAAATCACCAAGAGGCTATAGGCCGATTAAAAACGACAAAAAGAAAGCACAGCCTGGCCTTGAATAAAAAGTGTTAATTAATAATTTATTACATGAAAACTTAAATCTTTGGGATAAATTCTACACTTCTTTCAAAATGTTGCTGTAAGGGGTAAAAAAGTTGTCAACCGATTCCCCGATGATCATGCAACTTTGATTTGATTCGATCATGATTTCGATTCCGGTTCTTAAAGTCGATTTTTTTTTACTGCACATTCCGATTTTTGTCAACTAAGTCCACTTACAATCGCAAATTTTTAACTCATTAAAATAGGCTATATATATATATATATATATATATATATATATATATATATATATATTAATCATTATGTTTCCTCCTCAAAGTTCCTCCTTTTTTGCCCCATGCTTTTTATATTTTCATTTTCTTATTGTGTTTTTTTCCCTGTAAATTCAACTTGAAATCAAAGTTGAAAACTTCCATATCCCCTTATTTTGCCCTCTTTTTCTTGTTTTTAGACTTTTTACCTTTCAATTGTTTGTTTGAAGTCTCCACGTTTCACTGTTTCTGCTTTTATATGAGAATTTTGTCTTTTCATCAATTTACATTGTTTTTCTAAAATATGCCCTTTTCTCTTCTATTCAGACAATCTATCTACAATACTACTTTTAAGAAAGGTTGGGACACGGTGCCAAATGTTCATAAAAATAGAGTGATGGTTGGAAAATCAGTTAAAGCCTATTTTTAATTCAAAATGAACACATCAGATGTTGAAGATGAAATAACTTCATTGTTCCATGAAAAACATTCATTTGAAAAGGTTGAATAGAGTGCCAACAAAACCCTGGAAAGGTTGCATAATGCTAAAATAAAAAAAAAACCCTTGGAGGAGCATCTTCCAACTAATCATAATAATTTGCAACAGCTTGCTGACATGTCTGGGTATAAACAGGAAGAGGTTCACCACTTGGTGAGGGATTGCGTGATCATGGTAATCCAGAAGTATTTCTGGGTATAATGTTTCAAAGAACTTAAGAGTTTTTGTTTCTTCAGTGCCTAATGATTAAAAGATTCAAAAATCTGAAAAAAAAAAAAAAAACACTGTATGAAAGGGGAGAGGCCAATAACTGATACTGAATAACCTTTAGGTTCTATGGGGGAACTGCATTAGAGACTGATTCTGTGGTGGAAATCACTGCATGGGATCAAAACCACTTCTAAAAACCATGATATGAGTCCACAGTTATTCACTGTGTCCACAGATGCAGGTTAAAACTGTACCATGTGGAGGAGACCACATAAAAAGGATTTGTTTGAACACAGCCTCACAACTTTGGGTGGATTTGAGTTGTCATACTGTTGATTTTTGATGTGGTTTTAAGTGCTTATTCCTTTATCATGACATCATATCTAGTAAATTAACTTTATCTTGTATTTTGTTTTTTTCTTCCACTTTTTATCTCACCATTTGTCTCTTTATCACATAAGTTTGACTTATAATTCTTATAATTCTGTCTTGAGTATAATTCTGTCTATAAGTCTTACAATTCTGACGAGATATCTAATAGCAGTCCTTTCATAATAATGACTTTTTATTTTATGATAATGAATATTTATCTTAATTGATGACTTTGAATCTCATTATTTTGACTCTTTAACATCACCTTTTTCTTAGCTCTGATTTTGTTGAACAATTTTTACTTTTAACTTAAAAGTATGAGTTTTTTATGTCCTAATTTTGACCTTATGGGATATATGTCACTTTTTATGCCATATCTTTTTTTTTTCTTTCTTACTTTTTTCAGTTGCATAAATGGGCAAATTATCAAAAAATTATCAAAACATCTAAAGAATGGAATTATAGATAGATAGATAGATAGATAGATAGATAGATAGATAGATAGATAGATAGATAGATAGATAGATAGATGTAAACTTTGTCTCAGCCAATCAGAGCTCTCTAGACCTGCCTCCGTACTGCTCCTTTAAGATTTGTCCTCCTCTCTCTCTCTTTCTTTCTATTTTTTTTCTCTCGGTCTCATACAAGGAGCTCTTTAAGTCCCGGTGCCGACACACAGAGCCTGCATTCATACTCTGGCAGCGAGAGCGAGCGAGCGAGGGGGCTGGGGAGCGAGCGTCACTCTGGAAACTCGGGAACTCACGGATTGTCGTGCTAAACCGGCGACCTCCTTTTCTCAGTGCTGAAGTAAGGCGTTTAGCATTTCCAGCTCTTTGCTCTGGTCTGATGGTGGCTGCTATGACTCTGACTCTGCGAGTGGAGTTTCTTCTGGGTGGAATGGCACAGAAGGAAACACCTCTTAAGTTTAGAGATGTAAAACTATCCGCAAAGGCTTTTCATTGTCTTTTTATTGTTTTTTAAAACTATTTTTCCCCTTTCTGTAGCGATAACTGAGGGTATGTGCTGGTCCAAGACTGATCAGTTCATGCTCAAACTTTACATACTAGCCCTTCTGCTTTCTGTGGAGACAGATTTGTTTCTTTGGTTGTTTTTTTTTTTTTTCATTTTCATTTATCATGGCAGCTTTTCTTTCGTCCTGCTCAAAATTTTCCTCGCGGAATTTTAGTATTCCACTTTGTGTTGGTTTCTTCTTGACTATTTTTCCTGCTCAACTAAATTTGGTAAAGCAGCCAATTTGCGCATCACAAATACAGCAACCAAACATTTTGATCTATTACACCTACTAATTTTTGTTGAAATTCGTAGTCGACTGACCATCAGTTTGCAAACTTGCAGATCATTTTGAATTCCGCAATAGTCCGGCTTGTATCTACTGTTCATTTGGGGATTTGTGGATCAAAACAAAGTCTAGATATCAGATTATTTATCTTGTTCTAAGAAAGTATTTTTCAGACAAGAAAACTCATGTTGGTGTAAATCAAGTCCAAAATGAATTACGCACATCAGATATGCTTAGTGAACTAATATCATGATGATTATAGTGTGTGGAAAACATTTCATTTGTGATCAGATTATTGAATGAAATTGCATTTACTGCTATTGCTGCTGCTGCCAGGGAGAATATGCGGCCACGAGTCCATCACTACTCGTTTGTTTCTAATTTGTTTCGTTTTACTGATGTGATTCGCTGTTAAAAATGATTTTCAATCCGTCAAATGCTTTTTGAATCATCGCTCTTTTCTTTGACTTACTGTATAAAACGGTTTTACTCGAGAACGTATCGTGTAAATACGTGCGTAATGGTTAGTTGGAGTTTTTACGCACACATGTACTTGCAGCAAATTGTGCTTACTGACCAGGTGGCAGGCGTATATCTTTATTTATGCACCTCAGACAGATGGTGAAGCTTTGAATGCTACTCTGCTGGAAATTTGATACCATTTGTGACATTCACTCTGCTGTTAATTAAAAGCTGCTTTAGCGAACAAGTCAAACTTTTTATTAAGAGTCACAGGACACGTAATCTGCAACCCTGCAATCAGCCGACAAATCCAAATGCCATGTAACAGCTGCTGGTGCTTTTTTAAAACGCTACACTGCCGGTAATTAAAAAAATTCAGCTCAAATCTACAGCAGAAGTTAGCAGTTCATTCAAACAAACACATATAGGCTAATCTCTAGTTTTCTTACATGGGACTGCAGTGGCGCTATTAGGGTATTTGAGGGGCAGGGGCAAAAAAGTAAAAAGGGCACCAGCTTTATCCCATGGGGAACTAGACCACAGAAAGTAATGATTTTTTTGAGAGTCTGCTTCTGGCAGCATTTTGAAGACCAGTTTGTGAGCTCTTCGGCTTTTCTTTCTTTCCTTGGCACTTCGAATTCAAAAGCTGTCTTTTAGGTTTAGTTCAGAATATTGTAGCCTATGCAGAACTTTTCATTTCCATTATCTGTACCATACTCCTTTTGGCACCTCTTTGTTGGGGTACCAAGTGTACCTTTCTTACCCTGAAAGGTGGAGCTAAACACACAGCATTCTGTTGTTTACGAAAGAGAGGAGGGGGTAGAGCGATTGTACTGGATTTTACCTTTTCGAAACTGCTGTTAATTGATAAGTTAAAAAAAAAAAAGTACCATAATCATTTATGAATTCATACTATGCATGAATATATTTTTCATATCCGAAAGGGTATGCTTGGTGATAAGAGGGGCACAGAGATAGATACAAAGGAAGGGGTGTTTGAACGCAATGAAATATAACCTTTAATCTAATGTTAATGAAACTTCACCATGTGAGTTTTGAAGGAGAGTCTCGGCAGACAAAACGGATTGGGATATTACTTTAAAAAATCTCCTAGAAGTGCTTCTATATTATGTTTTTGACATAAATATTGCTGAAGCAAACAGACCCCTTTGTGTCATTTTTCTGTTTAATGTGGCCGAGATTCACGGCTTGTAGAAAATAATTTCAACCCTATACTCTACGTCGAATTAATGGACTTATTTGAGCCTGAACACTCTCAGTGAATATCAAACCATCCCTAAGCAGAAAACATGCTACCTGTGTTAAGCACCCAAAAGCACAATCAGCTGTAGAAACACAGGCAAGATCAGGGCTTACTGTGCTGAACCAAGCTTGCACAACAGTCTGTTGTAGTCCAGGGCTAAAAGGGCTTAAGGTTCATGTGAACATAATTAGGCACATGGGAGGGTCTAGGGTCCTCTGCTAGTAATCTTTGCATGAAGGTTTCCGTAACATTTTGGGGGAGTATAAATTATATAGAAAGAAAACTACTGGTTCAACATAATGGAGAATGCTACTTCCTGTATGGAGCTCAAAGTTAGAAAAACTTAATCTGTCATTTTTCACATGATCATTTTGAAATGGTGTAGTTTCCTGTAACACATCTGTTAGCTGCTTTGATACTTGAATTAAAAAAAAAAGACTTTTAAGAGCATAAAACGGTACCAGAGGGAATCTTCTTTAATTTTCTATCCACTACAGGGGCATCCAAAAGGGCCCTTATGCTCATTTTTGCCCCTCTGAGTACACCACTGTTCTCAAAAAGGACAAACCAGAAGGCTAAGTGTGGTTATCAGGAAGTGTGGTGATTTCGGACGTGAAGTGGGAGGCAGAGTGTTGATTTAAAACAAGGACACATTTTTTCCTCTCGTTGGAGCTGCTCCTGTGCAACAAACAGCCTGTGTCTAATGCACACACGCGTACCGACACACACGCACACAGAGTTGATGTTTCCAGCGCCAGGCTGTGTTTATCCAAGAGCTGCAGAGTATAAACCCGAGGTCTGTATCACTCCAGCTCCCACTCTCCAGGGAGCTTGGAATAACTGCCAAACCTTCAACAGAAGCACAGTAGCTTGTTTAGGGGGGAGTTTAGGACTTGCAGGAGTGTGCTGTGCTGCAGTGGGAATGGACCGCTGAAAATTTACGTTTACATAAAAATGACACGACTTCATGCAAGCCAACTATAAGGAGTCAAATTACAATAACTGAACTTTTGTATTGGGTCACATTTGCTTGCCTAAAACAAGTGTCACTATCAGTTTGACTCTAAATAAACATCTCTAAGTACATGCTTAAAGACACCAGGGTAGGGAGCTCATCTTTGAATTTTTTTGCAAATTTAGTCTTGCTGGTTCTGAAAATGTCAACAGCACTCATGATTGAGACAGCTCAAGTATGAGGCTACAGTGCCACACAAAAACATAACTTTGCTTCACTGTCCTCTCAGCTTCATTTGTTTAATGGGGGCTAAAGGTTGCAAAAATCCAAGCATAAATTTCCCCCTAAAGTGAGGTCTTAAAGCTCCACTAAGAAACTTTTTGGTTTGTGTTAATTTTGGCACCCTGTTGGACAAAACAGTCTACATTTCTCTTGATTTCTATGTGCTTCAGCAGTGTGAAAAAAGTCTCATTCTGCTGACTTTTGGCAATCAAATATTTCAATTTTTTTGTGAACATTCAATGTGGAAAAAAATCAGCCAAGCTTGGCTTTCAGCTAACCGCTCACTGAGGTCACAGGCACTGAAATCACAGCAGCAAAATTGTTAATTTTGTTTTTGATGGTTTTGTTTGCTTCTGTCTATCATGAAAAGGCATCATTATGATTTTCTGTCTATTTCATTAACATCAAAAACCCCTCACAGGAACTTTGACTTAACTTAAATGATGTGAAAATATTAGGCGGATGGTAACATCTTCTTACTGATGTAAATCCTGACACTTTTGTGCATTTTATAACCTGACAGAGACAGGACTGCCCCCTTATCCTTTGTTTAAACTGTAACATCTTGTCTCTCTGTTGTTTCAGGTCCCAGCGGTTAGATTTCAGACTTGGGACCCACGGTGGACAGAGTAAAGGGGAAGTCAGGAGGGCAGTGACACCGGGTGAGTTTGGCGCAGACAGTTGCGCATTAGCCGGTAAACTGGGGTCCAAGGTGCGCATTGAGCCGCCTATGATACCAACTACCCGGATGGAAAGAACTTTAATGTGGAACCCTCACAGAGTTTTGCAACGGAGGCTGAGAGTAGAGACAGACTGGCAATTTATATTATAATTCAGAAGGGCCAAAGGGACAGATCAGACAGTAGTCAGCCAACACTCCGTGCATCTCTGTAGTGAGGGACACCAACAAGGACCCAACAGGTAGAGCTAACAATCAGGAACAGGTCTTCATCCTCTACGCACCTGGAGGTAGTGTGTGTGTGTGTGGGAAGATGTCCAGAGAGGAGCAGAGCCTGTCGGAGGTCGAGCTCAGTCCGGGGATGTCGGACAGCAGTCACTCTCTGTCACCAGGTCATTCCTCTGGTGCAGCAGGTGGGGAGGACTCTCCTCTTCACAGACAGCAGGAGCCCCAGCTGGCAAGTCTGGATGACACGTCAGCGGGCTGCTCATCCATCAAGTCTGAAGATGAAGATGAACGCTTTCCTGCCGGGATCCGTGAGGCGGTGAGCCAGGTGCTCAACTGTTATGATTGGACCCTTGTGCCGATGCCTGTACGTGTGAACACTGGTAGCAAGAGCAAGCCGCATGTGAAGAGACCCATGAATGCCTTCATGGTGTGGGCTCAGGCTGCACGGAGGAAACTGGCAGACCAACACCCACACCTGCACAATGCGGAGCTCAGCAAGACCCTGGGGAAGCTCTGGAGGTGAGATGGTCAGATGCACAGTTCTGTTCAAATAATCCACCTTCTGTGGGTGTGTGCGACACTTTTTACGCTGGGTTTCATCTGATTTTGTATTTCTAATTTAAATGTCATTAATGGACGGGTAGTTTTTTTAAAGCCTATATAAACACACACATTTTGTTTGTATACATATATATTTGATAGTGTGTACATATATAGCCTATGTATAAATATACATACACACACGTATGTATTTAATGTCTGTATTTATATTTATACACCGACCAACCATGACATTATGAACACTAGGGCAAGCAAATATGACCGAATACAAAAGCTCGACCATAAATTCTACTTGAAGAAGCCTCTACAGTTCAACTTTTGTTTGTTTGATCAGTCAAATGATCACTTTCTATTTTAATCGTTGAAGTTAGTGGTGTATTAAAGTGCATTTATTGAGCAAAGGTCCTAAAATTTCTTTTTGCTCCCCTCATGTTTTTTGATGAAGTGGACAAAACATAAGGAACCACCTTTAATGTAAAACACACCCAAACACCACCACCCACTACAGCTGCCATGACAAATATAAAACAAAACCTTGTCTGACCCACTCAACATTCACAGATGTACTTTGTAAGTTTAATATTCGGTCAGGTTACCCTTTTTCTTCCCACAGATAACACTAGATTTTTACTGCCAAGAAGTCAGAGAGGTTGAATTCATTAACCTTGAGGGGAATGAACATTAACTCAATAAAGACTTGACCTTGGGCTCTGACTTGATTGGTTAATTGGCCAAGGAACAGATGAACAGGGAGGGTGAAGAAGGTCGGGGGGTTCTCATCCTCTCTATCAGGGGTGGTAACAAGACGCTCTGTTTCATGTTTGAGAACGGGATGAACCTTCAGCCTTTTTATTTCATTACTGTCCAGCTGTGAACAGCCCCTGGCAGCAGGGACACTTAATGCAGCTGTGCAGATCAACAAGTATAGTTTAAAAACATGCACTGAAAAATTTGAGTGTTGATAACCTTGTATGACAGTTGGTCCAAAATCTAGTTTTCCTGTTGATGATAACTGCTAAAGAAAAGCGTAGCAAAATGATCGCAGCAGAAATCCAATGGAATGGCTCAATAAGGGTGTCTTAATGTACTAGCGTTGACAATAACTGTCTTTAAAAAATCCAAATAATGATATTAGGATAATAAAAAGCATATACACTTACATGTAAGTAATTGGTCCCACGGTGGGGTTGGTAGAGAGTTTTTATGTGGGTTGGAAGAAAGACCAAGAAGCAGTAGCTACAATAAATTCAGATGGCTAGCTAGTTGGCTAGTTGGCACACCTCTGGGAGATGATCAACAGAAGCTTATGGAGGTGCTGATACATTAACTGTTTATACTTTTTGACTAGTGTTTGACTGAAATCAGTTTTTTTTATGGCTGATGGCTGAAAATGATTATGAAAGAGCAGGCAGATATACAGTGCCGATATCACACTCCTATTTTTTCAATATAATAATCCTAACAAACAACATTTCTGAACTTGAGTGACTATTTATTGAATAATCGTGGACTGAAAAACACAAAAACCAGGTAAGAAAAAAATAAACCAGGTAAATTTTAATATTGTTATTAAACTGTGTTATCTTTAACATTGTAACAAAATTTATATTAAACTCTAGCCAGTGACCGTTTTAGATTTTCTGCCAAATATGTTTTTTATTTGAAAAGATAATGGCGATGCTGGCCTTGTGAGGGTTGATGCTGATATGTGAACAATTCCCATTAAAATGTCATTAATCGGCCATTAGGTCTGGCAGTTTTTCAGTTCCATAATTTACAAACTACCAGATGTAGCCCCTGCATTGTTTCAAAATAAATGCTTGTTATTAGCATAAGCAGTAGAGCATTTAGTTTCATGGTTTAAAAAAAAAGCATAGATTGTAAACACAAGGTGTCAAATAGAAAGTAATAATACAGGAAATAAAAACAACCTAAATACAAGGAAATAGGAATTTTTAAATAATAGCATAAAAAACTACTGTTTTATCAGGCAATCTTCCCATAAACGGGGTTTTTTACACCAGCCTTTATTGCAGTGTGTGGTTACAGCTACAGCACAAATCATGATAAATATGACTATCGGTGTTTTCCATAAATATCACCATTACATCAACAGCCACAATCATTGTAAGGTGAAAATGTGATATTACAACTGACGTATTTCCAACATCTCTTGTTTTTAACCAAGGCTTCTGAATGAGAGTGACAAGCGACCCTTCATTGAAGAGGCAGAGAGGCTGAGGAAGCAGCACAAGAAGGACTATCCTGACTACAAGTACCAACCAAGACGCCGCAAGAATGGAAAACCTGGTTCTGGATCAGGAAGTGAGGCCGAAGGCCATTCGGAGGGTGAGGTCAGCCAGTCCCACTACAAGGGCCTCCACCTGGATGTGGCCCTGAGTGGGGGAGCTCGGTCCCCTCTGGCAGATGGGCATCACCCTCATGCTGCAGGTGGGCTGCAGGCTCCCTCCACTACCCCACCCACTGACACGCCACTGTCAAGCTGTTTGAATAGTCTGCATACTTTGGCCAGTGTGGTATACATTAAGATTACTGTTCGAGGCTTATGAGAATGAAACTCAAACCACATGCTTTCTTGTGTCTCTACAGGTCACAGCCCTCCCACTCCCCCAACCACACCTAAGACTGAGCCACAGTCTGGGAAGATAGTGGATGGGAAACGGGAGGTTGCTGGGAATGGGGTCTCCCGTGGGGGACTGGGACCAGAGAGTAGCTCAGGCGCTCCAGGATCTGGGAAACCTCACATCGACTTTGGTAATGTGGACATTGGTGAGATAAGCCATGAGGTGATGGCCAACATGGAACCATTTGATGTCAATGAGTTTGACCAGTACCTTCCCCCCAATGGACACCCAGGGCAGAGTGCTGGAGCAGGAGGAGCTGTTACAACCACTTCTCCAGCATCCCCGTACACCTATGGAATCTCCTCAGCTCTGGCAGCAGCCAGTGGACACTCAGCAGCCTGGCTCTCCAAGCAGCAGCAGCAGCAACATCACAACCCATCTCTCAGCTCAGATCCTGCAAAGGCCCAGATCAAGAGCGAGGTCGGAGGTGGTGCCGGTCACTTCTCAGAGGTAACAACAGCTGGTTCCCATGTGACCTACACTCCTCTCAGCCTTCCTCACTACAGCTCTGCCTTCCCTTCACTGGCCTCAAGAGCTCAGTTTGCTGAGTATGCTGACCACCAGGCCTCAGGGTCCTACTATGCTCACTCAAGCCAGGCTACAGGGTTGTACTCGGCCTTCTCCTACATGGGGCCCTCCCAGAGGCCCCTGTACACTGCCATCACTGACCCTGCCAGTGTCCCGCAGTCGCACAGCCCCACGCATTGGGAACAGCCGGTCTACACAACACTGTCGCGGCCATGACAGACAACGAGACCAGCAGGCCCCGGTGCAAGCTCAGCCCCCATATCAGACCCAAGGATTGGCAGCAACAACATCAGTGTTGGTGGTTATAGTGGTCTGGTCCAGGGGGAGTGGGCTGGCACTGGGAGGGTAGGCTGGGGAGGCAGAAGGGAAGAAATCCTGTTCTGTTCTTGCCCAGAGGCAGAGATGCAGCCACAGCTCCAGGGTGAGCTTGGAGCAGGTTGGTTTTGAAGCATGATCAATAATTCAGAGCACAGAGTGTAGTATTCAGAGAGTGCATCACTTTGGTGGTGCTCAGGAAATACCCACCACCATTGTTGCAGAGTTTCAAGTTAGATTTTGTACCAACAAAGGCTGAGGTGCTCCAGACAACTACTTACTTGGTAGTGTTCATAAGAAGTAAAGGATCATGATCCTGGCAGTTTGGAGACTCCAGGTGTACCATAGAAGCATATTGTGGTCTCCAAAAAACCCAGAAGGGATCATGGTACCCAATGAAAATTACCAAGCTCTTGATCTGTATTGTGGAGGGTGTAACTGAGGAGGAGCCAAATTGAAGCCGCTGTCCCACTCACTTCTCAGGCAAGACTGACCCTTTTTCACAAAAATGTTAGTTTTTTTTTCAAATAATAGAAATAGTAACATAAATGTTTCAGTTTCAGGCACATTTGACCCTATTTAATTCAATTATTATGTTATTATATTTGCCTAAAATGCCTCTTGTACATAAACTAGTGGAAGAGATGCCATAAAACCATGTTGAGATTTTGTTAAGTAAAAAGATATTTTGTATCAAAACAATATTCAAGATGATTATCAGGAAAGGCTTGAAATTAAAAATGTATATGTGTTGGTGAAAATAGACTTGAGGTAAGAAACCGTAAGACCAAAGTTTTGAGACCAAAACTGGAAGACAGAAACATACTATACAGATGTTTCTCCCAACATGACACTACAAACTACCTTACATTTTGTATGTTGTTATTTTTTTCAGCATTTAACATCTTTTAATGAGACTCATTTATTGCGTCAATGTTTGGTGTCTTTTTTCTTTTTTTTTCACAAAAGCACTGATGGGTGTGACGATCTTTAGTATTTAAAATTTTTATTAAGAACTTTTTAAGATTAAAAGTTAATTGCATTTCCCAGTAAATGGGATATGACAAAAACATGGCTTTTTCATGACTGACAAAGTAGATGTTTTTTGCTCTCAAAAGCTTTTTTGATTGTTACCCTAAAAGTCAACATAACTGCCTCTTCTTTGATTGTGTCACTCACAATATGAGTTTAAAACAGTATGAAGTGGCAGACCTCTTGATTGCGGAGTTGCGTCACTTTTAAATTAAATTTTTAAGACTTTTTGAGTTCTTTTAAGGGACCAGCTAAAAAATGAATTTCACTTTTTGGATAGCAACAAAGGCAGCTGGATTTATCCAAGTTGTGCTGCCGTAAACCCATAGAGCTAGAATGCTCTACTACCCGGATGTAAACTAACACAGATGACTGATGACATCTTGTAGTGCAGTGTGACTTAAATTTATTAATTTAAATTATATTTTTAAAAAAAAGAGATAAGGTTGTGTGCTGTTAGTTTAAACTGGCATATGACCTTTCAACCAGTACAGGTATAGACGTAAACCTGCGAGGAGGGACAAAGGCTGACAGTGCTAGCTCTGCTACTTTTAGCCATTCTCAGCAAACCATTTCATCATTGTTTACTCACATTTTCAGATACCTTAAACTGGGCCACGTTGAAAAAATCATAATTTTTAGATCGTTTTGTAGGTGCTTTGCTGAATTTAAACTTCAGTTTCAATTTGTACAAAATTGATCATGTCAAAGCATATGACTTCCCTGTAGTAGGTCATGTTGAAAAAACTTGATTCCCACTTTACATATTTCTTCTTATTATTTTTATTATCAATTTTTGCATACCTGGCGAGTTTCCTTAAATTGTTTAACACCCACTTTTTTATTTTAAAGGTTAGTAATGGTGCACATGACAAGCTGCCATAAATGCTTCATCTTTATACGTAAGAATTTTTAAAAATTCTGCCCAAGTATTAAAAATGTGTCAAACATGTCATATACAATTCAAGACTACTCAAAAGAGAGACTTTTATAGACTTTTTATACCATAGTCAGGGTGGCGTTTTTGCCTTTTGTTGAAATAATCTTTTACATTGATGCTTCTCTTTATATCCAACAAAATAAAACAAGGTCATTAGTTAAAAAACTGGTGATTTCTTTATAAAAAATTTCAGTGCTTGAGTTTGTGATAGATTTCCCTTAAAATTTTAGTTTTGCACCCACTGCTGATAGCTACAAGAGCAGGGTTAGCAAAAAGACGTGCATATTCAGTTATGCTATCATTTGCGACTAGGAAACTCCACAAATATAGCTTTGCTCGATGAAAAAATAAAATGGTTTTGAATAGAATTTAATATCTATACCTCACATCTCTTTGTGGACTAAAGAGTTCAACTCTGAGTGCATATTTACGTTACTTAGATGTTCATTGGGACACTGAGGCACACTTTATGTCACCCAGGCTCTAATGGCTAATTTATGTCCAGACGTCTTTTGTAAGCAAGCATTAATTAGTCATGTAACAAAATTCAAAATCCAAATTTTGACATTGTTACGTTACAGTTTACAATTTCACAAAGCTATGGATTAGTACATGACCGCATTACTCTGCAGCCTGCAAAAAGTTGTGTCAAACAGAAAAAGTAAGGTTGAATGGGAAATCTGTATTAATTATGTTAATTTGAATTATGAAGATATGAAAGCTTCACAGTGGGTGATGGTGCTCATGGGAAATGTAGTTCCAAGGGGGGAAAGCAAATCACCAGAGGGAGTTACCGGAGTAAACGCAACACGAACACACTTAGCTATGCCTTTAAATTTCTACATCTATTGTAAGACTTTTCACAGATCTGTAGAAATCCTTGATAATAGCTGGGAAGCTTAAAGAAGTTATTTTCTCTTGGAGTGGGCTGGGTGCCAACAATAAACAAACTGTTGCCAGAGACTGAGTGATAAAAGCTCCCAGAGGTCAAGGTTCAGCAGAGCCTTATTTAACATTAAAATGTGCCTTTCTTTGAAAAGAAAAGAAAAGAAAAGAAAGGAAAAAACTATTTACTCAATGATGAAACCAATGAGCAACAGCCTTTATGTTGTTGTTACACATTTGTGCCTTACCTACTTTTTGGATTCTTAATTTGTATAATTTTTGCATGTTTTTTTTAAATTTCTTTTCTGTACTACAGCTGACTGTAATTTTGTTGTTTTGCTGTCCCTTATTTCCTTTAAAAGAACTGTATTTCATTTTAAATGTCTTATTCTCCATTTAAGAAAGTAACACCATCAAAGTCATTACATTTTTTTTTGTTGTTGTTAAATATCACTCAAATATTTTTAATCAGGTTACAGATTCATACCATATGCATGCAGCACTGCTTGTTTTAATTCATGGCTCATTAAAGCTTAATTCACTTTTTTATTAAATCATTTATCTCCAGCACAATATACAGTCTGTTTAATATCACTGTGTGGTAAATCTGATATGACTTTTACCTTCTTGTTTAAATTGTCTCTGTTTTTTAGCAGTCTTTATTATGTCCCTCTCCATTATGAAGAAATCTTCTGTTTTGACTCTTTTTGCCCTTTTTGTGTTTGATATTTTACGTTCTTGTTGCAAGCACATCAAAGCTGCACAACTTCTTAATAACAGCAAGCATGAAAGTCTAAACATGTGATAATGACTAATGACCTTTCCTTTTGACTTGAAATAAAGCTCTTTTATTTCTACTTTAATAAATGTCTGCCTCTTGTTCTTCTTTTCACAGTGTTACAAACTCTTAATGTGAGAGTTCATCTTAGAAATAGATGAAGAAACTACAGCAAAATCTTTGTAAACCTTATTTTTAACATTCCAAGGTCATAAGATAACAAGAACACAAATAAAAGTCTAAAAAAGTAGAGCAAATCTTTGTGGTATCCTCTGACTCAGCCACCTCTTACTACTTGTACTCATAACCTTTTTCCATGATTCACTCTGATTCCTAAAGAGTTGGGACACTGTAAAATGTTGATACAAACTCATTTTTAAGGGTTTACAACTCATCCAAATCCCACATTTATTTGAAAATAGTGCAAAGACGACATGGGAAGAAGGTGCTGTTTGATAAAAACTATTAGCTCATTTTAAAGTTTGATGCCAAAAACACATAGGAGATCTGTTTCTGGAGTTTTGAGAGCGAAGTGTTGACTTAAAGAAGATTTCAGCTTCTAACAGTCTGAGGCCTCCTTAACCTGACCCGCCTGCAGTCAGTTTTACAGATATCAAGCCAAGTGCCCCCTCTTCTCTTTAGATCAGAAGATGCAGTGTCCATGATTTCCAAAAACAACATCAGACTATAGTTTTCCAGACCACAGGAACGTTTCCACTTTATCTCAGTCCATCTTAAATGCACTCAGAGGAGTCGCTGGCATTTCTGTTTCATGTTTTAGAAGGCCTCCTCTTTGTATGGCACAGTTTTAACCTACACTACCAGTCAAAAGTTTGGACACTCCTACTCATTCAATTGTCGTCCTCCATTTCTATTTATCTTTTTTTTTAGTGTCTATTAATACTCATGACATCAAAAATATGAAGAAACATGTGGAATTATTTAGTAATAAAAAAAAGTGTAGGCTAAAACAAACTAGAAATGTGTTTTATTGTTTAGATTATTCAAAGTAATGCTTTTTTTCTCTCTTTTTTTTTTTTAAGTGTTTTCATAATAATTTTGATGTCTTCAGTATGAATCGGCTATGGAAACCATTGTAAAATAATGAAGGAAAAACACCATGTAGTGAAGATTTGAGGATACAATAATAAACTGTGATCATAAATGATGGGTTGTGGAAGTATTTTTGAGCTCATGCGCAGATTTCCACTACAGAGCCATTTGGTGAGCAGCCTTGTCTCTTTTGCCCAGAGATTTCCCATGATTCTGTGAATCTTTTAATATTATTCACTGCAGATGACGAAATTCCCAACTTCTTGCCTAATTAGTTCATCAACATTGATAAGCTTTCAGTTTTTTGTTTCAATGTTTGAATGCTATCACTGCACTCATTTTCAGTTAATTCAGGGTGCGAATGACTCGCAAAAAATTTAATCGGTTTTTGTCAAATTTTATGCAGCATCCATCATCACTTTTACGATACAGGCTTTGTACAGCCCACTTTTAGCGCAGGGATAATGTGATCATCAGATTCACATGTATGTTCTGCAATTTTTGGGCTTTTTCTCAAAAACTCAAGTTACATAAATGTAAAGGCCTAATATGTGCCTGTACTTTGTGTGTTTGTACATGTGTTATTGTGTATGTGTGTTTCTCAACTGTGTTCAGCGGGTTAAGCCTGACTCTTAATTCCCTCTTTTTAATCGGCTGTGCGATACTTTGCAAAGACAAAGAGGGCCATTGAAGGGGAGCTAAGGGAGGAGGGGAGCAGGACAATAAGAGAGCCTTACCCATAACTGCCAGGCCTGTAGCTTCACCAGGACACAAAGGGACTCTCATACTCTCTCTGAACACCAACCCTCACTACCCATCCTCCCCTACACTCACCCACTCTGCTGAAAATACTCCAACTCTATTTCAGGTCAGAGCAGTAATGAGATTAAAACATTCCAGGAGTTAAGAGAGTTATCAGAAAGAAGATGGAGTTAGTTATCTAAATGAATTCTCAGCATCAAATTGAGGAACAGGTAGCAGTGGAGAGAGCGGCTCACTAATAGCACACTGGTGAAATGTAGCTGGATGAGCTGACAGTCTGGTAACGTGGCAGAAAACTCCGCTAATCTCATTCTGGAAAGGTTCTGACTCACCTTATCGATGATGACATACAGAGACAGTTGAGTAAAATATATTTTTAATCTTTATGAGGCTTTCCTAGTCAAATAAAGGAAATCATAAGAGCTCCATAAAAACTAAAACAAAGTGAAGCTGCAACCTCAAAAGTTTGACCCAAAGTAAGGAGCACTTAGGCTCTTGAATCATGCATCGCTAATTTGAGAAATGTTCTGTGAAATAACCAGATAGGACAAATTAAAACTAGATATTGTTTTATGTAACATGATTGGCTCAAAGTTTTGAAAACGTAACCAACAAATCCACTAAACTGTTGCTGTTGTTGCTGCTGTCACCTCTCTCTCTCTCTCTCTCTCTCTCTCTCTCTCTCTCTCTCTCTCTCTCTCTCTCTCTCTCTCTCTCTCTCTCTCTCTCTCTCTCTCTCTCTCTCTCTCTCTCTCTCTCTCTCTCTCTCTCTCTCTCTCTCTCTCTCTCTCTCTCTCTCTCTCTCTCTCTCTCTCTCTCTCTCTCTCTCTCTCTCTCTCTCTCTCTCTCTCTCTCTCTGCTCAAGGTTTCTGCCTGTTTAAGGGAAGTTTATCCTTGCCACCGTCAGTCATGTTGAATGGGATGGGTCAAATCTGTCCCATTTTAAGCTTTGGTATTTGTACTACATCAAACAAAGAGTGTGGAAGTCCATAAGTCCATAAGTCTGTGGTCTAACTTTTCTCTGCTTTTAAGGCCAATCTATGTTTGAACCGAGAGAAGCAGACTGTGCATTAGCAGCAGCGCAATACAAAATCCTGTCATCAGCATAAAGAATAATTTTACATGCATATACACAATTAGTCCAACACAGATTTTTCACCGATTGCTTTAGCTTTTGATAGTCTCTGCTGAACTTTCTGTTGTTTCAAACAAGCACCATGTGACTCGACTATTTTTGATGTGAACATCGACACAACTTTAATCCATCTTTGTTGCAATTTTAAATTTTCAAGTGGCTTTAAAGATTTGTTATACTAGAACTTGCGGGCTTGTCTTTCTGAATACTTGCTGATATTTAGCAAACTTCACGCTTCAACATCAAACAGCTAAAAACATCCCTGCGGGTGACAACATTTTGACTCTCTTTTCAGCTGATTCCGCCTCAACTTGTTCCTCTCCCCCTGTATGTTATGGTGTAATGGCAAACTGCTATGCACTGTGTAAAACTATAGAAGCTTGTTGATATGTAAATGAAAGTCAAATTTAGCTATCGATGTATTTGTTGGACTGATACCTATCAGATATCTTTAATAGTTACTTGAAATGTCACCAAAAACGTTGATACCTAGAAATGCTAAATGAACCACAGACTGACACAGACAGAAGTAATTTTGGGCAGATAAAGGATAAACAAATATAGACAGAAAAGAACAGACAGAGAAGTTAAGATAAGTCAGGAGATGTTGTTCGTACCCTAAGTTGGGTGGATGTCGACCTGCTGGTGGCCTCACTGTGGCTTTTGCTGCTGATTGTCACATGGGCTGCCCCCTCTGCTCCATGAAAGGAGCGCAGCATCACCCCGAGGCGCTGTCCCCTCCAATCAAAAGACTCTCAGATAAAGAAAGTTTTTTTCAGGATTCAATAACGTCACTGCGGTTACATGCATTCATGGATTCCAGCACAATCTGGATTCTCTTTGGCTAACCTTTGAATGTTTGTGAGACACAGGAGAATACTTCAGGACACACCACAGCTCTACTTTCAGGTCATGAAAATGGGCCACCTTGAACAGTTTGTTGTACCGCAATCTTTTACAACCAAAGAAGCCAGTCCTCCAATTCTTAGAAACTTGCACTTATTTGTATCTTCCAGCTTGTACCTGACTTCTTTCTGCCCGAAAATATACAACCCACTTTCACGCAACAACATCATGGCTGTTTGGCTGCTTTCTGCATGTGTTTGTACGTCCGATAAGTAGACACAAGGATTATCACAGTGTTCATGGTAAATTCAAACATGCTCCATAATACCAAACATTAAACCCGTCAAGAATAAGTCGTGTTTCTGCATACGTGATAGAAAATGGAGGTAAGGACATACATTCAAGGCTTGACCAACGAGCAACATCCTGTACTTTCATTTTCAGATGTTTCCTATCCAAGTTCAACACATTAAAAAAAGGATCAATCTTACCAGAGCAAAGGAAGAGGCCTGTGCCTCAGAGTACCATCATACTGGGTCCACATTAACACCTGAGGTGCCTAAAAAGGAGTCTAAAATGGTTAGAAATTACCTGACAAATCACAGGTGCTGCAGTCAACCTGTCTGCCAACAAGAGAGGGGATCCAACAAACACTGTCCTAATACTGTGACCTGCAAGCGTTCATTAACAATCACCCAATTCTTAGAGGAGAAGGACTGTCTAGTCCTTTGGATAGAGAACTACCAGCTGGTGTTAAAAGGCCTGGAGCAATAAGCTGTTCTTTGATTCAATAAAAAACAAAAAGTCTTTTAATAGGATCAAGATTTAGACATAAAGTATAAGCCACAGTTTACTTTGTTGGTTAAAGCCGTGCTTGTTGAACAGCTACAGGAAAGTAAACTCCCTTTTAACTTTTCATGATAGGAAGACTGTTCATAATTCTAGTGTTAGAAGCTTTTACTTGTATTTTTTTACACTTCTACTTTTTATCCCTCTCTCTTTTTTTTTTTTTTTGCAGCAATTTGTGACTCTAAAAGAAAAGCTTTATAAATGGTTTCTTGTAGTTATCCTGTTATATTGGTTTTCTTATCTTCATTTTTGTTATTGTTTTATTGATTGAGGAAAACTAAATGACCCTCTAGGACTGTCTTTAGTTTACCAGGGAGTCCCATTTGCCCAGGTGTAAGTAGCTTATTTCATAAACCAGTGCTCTGTGATAGATGGCAATCTTAAGTATGGAGGCTAAGGTACATTTCATTGTTAAAAATCAGACATGGCCGTTTGTATAAAAGACTTTATTAACAACAATAGAAAGTTCTTTTGCTACTCTCCTCTCTCTCTCTCTCTCTCTCAAAGTTCACAAATAAAGAAACTACAACAGGAAAAAAAGGTAGGTAATAGACCTACAGTTACACTGCCCTCTTGTGGCTTAAAGTTATAATACAGCTGTTGATTCTAACTTTGAATTTGAGTTTTAATGGTACAAAACAACACAACGGGGTAGATAATTTATCCGCTCAGCTCAGAGGATATTTGGAAAAAAGGTTTTTCTATCAGTTCAGTTCAGTTCATGTGAAGTCCCATTTCACACCTCCTCCTCCTCAATGAGTCCTTGGAGTCAGATGTCTGTATGAACAGGAGGGTGATCTGTCTTAGAAGTCCCTCAGGTTTGTGTAGCTGACTGACCTGATACAGTTGGAGTGAACCAGACTGGGTAAGTTGTTTAGTCAGTAATGATGAGCTCATCACAACCCCAGTCCTCATAACTCCCGTCAGGAAGGTACCTACGGATGATGATGGGGATCTTTCTGCTCCTGGTGGGAAAAGAAAAACGCATGTAAGGGATTAAAGGATCAAAAAAAAAAAAGCTTGGTATCACAGAGTGTAGATCTAGTCTTTTAACGACAACAAAAATAAATTCCAAGATGCAGTCAAACCATTTTATTCATGCATTTCCAGTAATTTAAACTTGACCATTTTCACTTACTTTAGCTCCTTCATAGCTATCTGTAGAGGGTCTGTTTCTCCCTCCAGCTCCACCATGACTGGGGCGCACATCCTAAAGGAAAAAAGGTCACAAACAGTCAGATAGAAGCAGAGCATCCAGCAGGGTGCTGTCTCTGCTTCTCTGTCATCTCTCTTACACCTCTCTACAGGCTCTTCTCTCTATTTATTTTTTTTCTGTTTTGGTATTGAGGTCTGATGGCTGTGGAACGCCTTAAAGATTACATTACGGTCCTTTTTGCCTTTATTTAGGAATTGAGGGGAGTGAGAGGCGGATGAGATGCACAATATTGTGTTAGGACATGGAATTGATCTCAACACTGGTACAACAAAAACACTTAAACCGCTTCTCTGAACCAAATGGTCACTGATTGAAACAAATTTACTGAAGGCCATATACAAATGCACATATACAAGTGCACATCACCTGAGTGAGAGTTTAAGCCAAAAAAGTGAAAAGCTCACGCTATCTGAAGAGCTCTTGTTCCTAAAACTCTGGCTCTCTCATATTTGGTCATGTAAGGTGTGGTGATCCTCTTCTGGTTTGCTTGTTGGCCCTCTCCTGCAGGCAGGATCTGCACGTTCTCCTGATCCTCCTGTGAAAACATATCAGAGAGAGTCGGACTCAAAAAAGACAAAACTGAGCAGATCTTAACACAAAGTGGCAGTGAGCAACATTAAAAATACAGAAGCAAGAGACATTAAACACTGACAAGACAAGACAACTGCTCTTTACACTCACTGATAAGGTTGCAGTGTATGTTGGTAGGATACTAAAGCATATTAAAGGGATATTCCGGCGTAAAATTAATTTAGACTTTATAACAGCCTCCTGAAGTAAACTTTATGGCAGAGCTGTTACATTGACCTGTATAACAGTGATAATAATGTACTGGCAGGTCAGTGCACTACATACAGATCCATGGTTTTAACTATCAGGGCCGTCAAAAATGTTCAAGTTAAAGGTGAAACTTACATCCTCTACATTTTCAAGATCATCTAACCCCTCGTCCTCCTCGGCATCATCGAAATCTCCATCGTCGAAGCTATGAGAGAGACAGGGAGAGATGTAGTAAAGATCACAGTTTAGCAAGCTATCACGCTACATGGTCGTTAGCTCCAGCGTTCACGTTAGCACAGATTGTGTCGTGTTATCATTAAAAAGCTATTTAATAAAGCACACTGAAGTGAGGTCTCGACTTACTTATCTTCGTTGTCAGACATGTCTTATTTAAAGGCGCGTACAAATCTCTTAGAAATATTTATTCTGGATTTTTCAGCGACAATTTTTGTCAACATGAAACCGCATGAACGTTGAGGACTCACAACTTCCGGTGATGCGAGGTGCGTCGGGGAGTATTCCGGGTGCTCGAAGGGACGAGTGGTTTTTCGTTCCATCCCTTCTTCCAAGTGTAACGGCGATTTGAGTTCGAATTCTGGTTTTACTGCCATCTTCAGGTAAAATTAAACTGTAGTTTAAATTTACACTGTCTTTGGTTTTTCTTTTCTTTGCTCTGTTTTAGTTGAACAAAGGCTCTAGATGATCACCAAACCATCCAAATCCGTTTTTATCTGACCTTACACAGCTGTAAGCTTTGCTGTCTTTCGTTTTTGGCCATATTATTGCAAAAAATACAAGATAATTCAAAAGTAACTCACAACAGTAGCGTCTAATCTTGTTATTGTACAAGCTTGTAGCTCTAGGCTAACACTTTTACTGATCTTGGTTGCAACAGAGGAGTTTTTTTTTTTTTAACTGCTTTTATCTGACTCAATTTACCGAATAAAAACAAATCAACATCTCAAATAAGCAATTGGAGATAAAAATGGTTTATTTACAAAATAACAATTATTTTCCATTGGCAATATATACAACTGGAATATATTTTTTGCATAACTTAACATATTAAGTACACTGTAGTATAACATACAAATATTAACAGGGAAGGTTGGGCAAGTGAAGAAACCTGGAAGAGAGAATGACGACACTTACTTAGTGTACAGTAAAAAAATGACCCATTTAGTCCAAGCTAAGAAGCAGCATTTCTGTCTAAAATAAGATCAAGGTCATTTTCATTATCTTTCTCTTTATTAGAGCTTGTTGTATCAGAGTTTCTGTGGTCATGAGAACATCAGCTCTTTCTATCCATGGTGTCTTTGGAGTCTTCCCCTTTGTGGTTCAGCAACTTGAAAACTTTTGTTGGCCTAAACTTTCCTTTGGACTTCTTTAGGTCCTTCAGTCCTTCTTTTTGGAGCTCTGAAAAGAGAATTGCAGGGAAGTCAGTGGAGCTTAGTTTACTACTTTCAGCATTTTTGAGAATCAAATGTGAATACACCTCAGCTTTTTTCATGTATAAGGAGAATAGAATAACACGAACAGTAGAAGACAGTGAAGTATAACAAAGTGATACTATCTGATGTAAAAGAGTGCATCCTCACCTTTGTCCTTCATCATGGCATCCAAAAGCATGTCTTCCTCTCTTTCCCTGATTGAGAAAGCAAAGTTACATTTCAATATATCAATGTCTAAATGGTGGGTTTTTGTTTGTTTTTGCTGTTTACCTCAGCCTCTCCTGATCCAAGCTGCTGATGATCTCGTTCCTCTCCTCGATAATGGTGACCAGCTCATTCATCAACTGCTGCTCTTGACCTCGTTCTTTGTCAGTCCAGTCACCCTCTGAATGTACAGACCAGAGAGTTGCACAATTATCAGAACAAAACAAAGAAAATCACTGCTTTATGTTGATCTTGATCATAAGATTTTCATATTAAGTGTGCATGTGTGACTTTCAAGTTCTTTTTGTGCAGAAACGTGAGGCTTTTTGATCATATGATCATATATAAATCCCCAGTTCAAGAAAATCGAATCAACTCAGCAGTTCTGAGGAGGTGAAAAAATTGTAAAAAGCCTATCTTAGCCATTATTTTCAGCAAAAATATATTCAAAAATGATTGTTAGTTGGGTACAGACAGCCTACTGGTTTAGGTGTACCCTATGAATGCTGGCAGCCCAGGTTCAATTCCCCTGTGGCATCTTTCCTGCATGTCATTCTTCACTCTCTGCCCTATTTCCAGTTCCATCCACTGTCCTCCAGCTATCAATTAGGGTCATAAAAGTCCCAAAACAACTCAAATCACCCTGTGTTGCATTCTATCATGATGTGTTGTAAATTGTTCTATGAAAAACAGTGACGTAGAGGTTCACACAGCAACACTCACCTGGTTTGTTCAGGAGACATCTGAGCTCATACTCCACATCAGCCTGTCTCTCCTCTAACTTCTGCTGCTTTGTCCTGAGAAAAAGGACAAAGCACAAAGCAAAGTATCTGTAAGTGTTTAAGAAACCTCCAATCATCAGAGGAGGCTGAAGAAAAATAAATAACAATAATTGTTGAAGAAAAATCCTGGTAAAAACTTCTCACAGATAAACCAGCTCGGCATCCCTGCGCACCAGAGCATTTCTCTCATGGACAAGAGAGAACCACTCCATCAGCATTTGCTCTTCCTCTTTATCTGAAATAGACACACACAGAATGATGGATGTGACTTAAATAGAAACATCCTTATTCCCACGAAGTATTTATGCAGATTGCCTAAGCAAAGAATTGAATCTTTCCCAGGTTAAAAATTTAATCTAAAACCTATCGGAACAATTTGCCTCACCATCTTTGCAGTCTCTCAGATTCCTCTCGAGCTGGACCCCTCTCTGTTCCAGGGTCTGCAGATGTTTATCCAGCTCTCTCATCTCCACCCGCAGATCTTCTGAAGAAATATTCTGGTCTGTCCGCACCTATCAGGCATCATATGGTAAATCACACACAAAAGACACAGGCTAATATCTTAGAACTGTATGAATACATTTCTGCTGAAACAATCCACAAGTAATCCATATTGACTACGCCTTAACATGAGAGCTGAGAAAAGCACCGTTCAAGATATTAAAGAAACTGAGTTTAATAAAATCAATGTGGACACAAATGGTATGATCATAAAATATCAAATAATGACATGACTTGGGAACAGCAATTTCTACAGTTTGTTTTCTTCTGAGCTAAAAACAAAATGATTGAGTACCTTTCTTTTGATAAGTGGGAATCCATATCCAGGGGCAGTGCCTCGTCTGGAGGGGAGGGACTGGAAAGTTTTTGATTTGGGCATTGCATGTTTTCGATTGAGAGGATTTTCTTTGCAGGCAAGCTGGGAAAAAAAAGATACATGATAAAATAGACGATACAGACTATAACTATAGAAATCTACGTTTTGGAAATCATTTAATCCCTATATTCATTGGAAACAGTGCAAGAAAGAAAACAAATGTTAAAATTGAAAATATTGTGTGCTCAATTTAAATGTTGATGCCAGCAACACATTTCAAAAAGGTTAGGACAGGGACATGTTCACAGTTACACAGCCACAACTCTTACAGCAATACTTTTCAAAAGTCTGGGAACAAGAGAGACCAGTTTCTGGAGTTTTGAGACTGGACTGGACTCCTCTACTACAGAGTCCCGAGGACAGCATTTTCTGGACTGCAGTGTATGTTGATCCAAAACCTGTACACATTGTTTAGCATTAATGGTGTCTTTTTTTCTTTTTCTGTTTTAGATGTGCAAGCTACTCATCAAAAGGGAATTTATGTATTCCTGTACCACCACGATGGGTGAGTGCGAGTGGTCTTGCTCCTCAGTGTGGAGGACTCAGCATCCACAAATGTAAAAATGAATATTTGGTGTATAATGCATGACTTCTTGAGAAAGTAAAAATCAGAATGATGTATAGTGAGCAGGTTGTTGGGACATTGTCTTGCTCATCCTGTCAGGGTGCTACGATAACCCACTCACTACATTCTCCCTCACATGGTTAAAAATAGTGAGCTAATATGGTTCTACATACCTTACTGTCAGGTGATGAGACCTGGTTGTATCCATGTGCATCTGTCAGGTCAACAGGAAGTGAGGCGCTGTGACTGCGGGATGGTGCGACAGCCGGCACAGAGAGACTTCTAGGTAAAATATAACACTCTGCTTCATTTGTAACTGCACATGGATGCTCTGCTGCTGCTGTTTTTGTTACAGTTTGTAGAGGCCCTCCTAAAATTACAGTTTCATGCAAAACTGTCACACCACCCTGACTGACATCGCCAACTGGTTTACAAGTTTCCACTGCTGCAGTAACAGCTACCACTCCCCCTGCTGCTGCAACAGTGGCCTCCTGGGTGTGTGGTTTCTCAGCCTGTATCGCAGCATTTTCAGCATGACTGGGACAAACTGCAACAACCTTGCCCTCTGATTTGACTGGCACATGTCCACTGCCCTCTGATTTGACTGGCACATTCCCACTGCCCTCTGATTTGACTAGCATATTCCCATTGCCCTCTGATTTGACTGGCACATGTCCACTGGCCTCTGATTTGACTGGCACATTCCCACTGCCCTCTGATTTGCCTGGCACATTCCCACTGGCCTCTGATTTGACTGGCACATGTCCACTGGCCTCTGATTTGACTGGCACATTCCCACTGCCCTCTGATTTGACTGGCACATGTCCACTGGCCTCTGATTTGACTGGCACATGTCCACTGCCCTCTGATTTGACTGGCACATTCCCACTGCCATCTGATTTGACTGGCACATGTCCACTGCCCTCTGATTTGACTGGCACATTCCCACTGCCCTCTGATTTGACTAGCATATTCCCATTGCCCTCTGATTTGACTGGCACATGTCCACTGGCCTCTGATTTGACTGGCACATTCCCACTGCCCTCTGATTTGCCTGGCACATTCCCACTGGCCTCTGATTTGACTGGCACATGTCCACTGGCCTCTGATTTGACTGGCACATTCCCACTGCCCTCTGATTTGACTGGCACATGTCCACTGGCCTCTGATTTGACTGGCACATGTCCACTGCCCTCTGATTTGACTGGCACATTCCCACTTCCCTCTGATTTGACTGGCACATTCCCACTGCCCTCTGATTTGACTGGCATATTCCCATTGCCCTCTGATTTGACTGGCACATGTCCACTGGCCTCTGATTTGACTGGCACATGTCCACTGCCCTCTGATTTTACTGGCACATTCCCACTGCCCTCTGATTTGACTGGCATATTCCCATTGCCCTCTGATTTGACTGGCACATGTCCACTGGCCTCTGATTTGACTGGCACATGTCCACTGCCCTCTGAATTGACTGGCACATTCCCACTGCCCTCTGATTTGACTGGCACATTTCCACTGCCCTCTGAATTGACTGGCACATTCCCACTGCCCTCTGATTTGACTGGCACATTTCCGCTGTTCGTTGTCTGTTCAGCTACCACTCCAGGTTTGGTTTGGTCTGCACCAACTGGTTTTGTGCACTTATCCACAGCATCCACATCCACGTCCTCTTCAAATGGATTGGGAGGAACAATTTTATCCATGTTCTCATTCACAGCGTCCTTATCCATGTCCTCTGCGAATGGATTTGGAGGGACAGTTTTTGACAGGCCCTCATTTACTGTTTCCTCATTCATGTCCTCAGCAAATGGATTGAGGGGGACAATTTTAGGGGGGCGTCTCTCCACAGCATTCTCATTCATGTCCTCTGCAAACGGATTTGGAGGGACGACTTTAGGTCTGTACCTAGCACTAAATTTGGTTCTGGGAGCAGGTATTGGAGCAGGAGCAGGAGGCAGTTGTGTCCAGGGTCCAGGGTGGACGATGGTCAGCCATGGATGGTTTGTTCTCACTTTGGGGCTTCCACCACTGGAGCTGCAAGTGGAAAGAGGCCCTTTTAGAGATTAAAGCATAAATCTTCAATTTTCTTTTTTACATTTCAGTTGTTTTTGATCTGCTTAACCTCAGTTCTCCTTTTAGATTCTGTATACAGTACATATTTTTACTATTACTAGCATTGTCCAAACTTTGCAGCTGTAACCCCCTTCATTTCAGGAAAATTTTGAAGACTTTATTGTTCATTTTTAAATCTTTTACTGGGTTTGCGCCAGGGGAGATCATGCCTCTAAGCACTGACCTATTGCTGTGGCATCACATCTTAAAAGCAATTTTTTGTCATTCGTTTTTAGATGAGTATTGTCCCTGTCTTTGTGTCTTTGTGTGGCCTGTGATGTTCTCATTTTTGTAACAGTATAAAACCTTCCAGCGGGCCTAATACTGTTAATTTCCATTTTGTTGTATAACAAATGAAAATCTCCCCATAGAGGCTTTAAATGTGCGTAATGGACAAAGTTGTTTGGGTTTGACAGTAGTTGGGAGTAAAAGAAGTTAAGTGAGTAAAACTATGAATATTAATATTTACAGAAAAAGTCGAGGTGAAAATGAGCAGAACAGACTCTTGCTGATCACTTACATGTGTGATGAAGATGGTGAACTTCTATTTTGTTCACTTGCATTTCCTGCAAAGAGAAAGAAAAAGAAGAGTAAATACGGCACTTAAGCGCTGATCAGCTACAGTTGAAAGTTACAGCGCTGTTTTACCTGCATTCGGGGATGTTCTGCTCCTGGTTGGAGGAACGGGGACTGCAGAGGGGTCCAACATTCGCCTGGGTGCTGGGACTGGGTGACTAGACCCTTCTGTTACTTGTGCAAAGGATAAAGAGCAGCCAAAGAGCTCTTGAGTCTGCTTCTCGTCTTTCTCTGTGTTGCTGTCTGCAGGTCCAGATTTTCCAGCTTCACCTACTTCTTGATTTTGGACACAAACTCGAGGAAGATGACGACGTTCTGGCTTCTTTACTTTGCTCTTCAGTCCAACAGCAAAGTCCCTGTTTTCTCTGTGGTTCACCTCTCTGCTCTCCTGCTGTTCTCTTTGCTCTGCCTCTGAAACCAGTCTGTCTTGTGACTCTGTTTTCTTAGTGTAATGAGGGACGCTGGTGATTAGTGATCCCCCCAGAGAAAAATAACCTTCCTCAGACTCTGTACATCCAATGTGCTGGTTAAGGTCAACAGGATCACTTTTACTTTCTGTAAGATGGTGAATGCAGCACAAGAAACCAGCTTCACTTCCCTGTGTGTATGATCCTGGTAAAAGAGCGCTGAGGCACACCTTGCACCTGAAACATAAAAATGAAACATGCTGCTTGAGTATGTTCAACTCTCTCATCTCAAGCTCGGTGTCGAGTGCAGATAAGACTCTTTTATCGTTTAAGGAATGTCAAATATGATCACCTGAAGCACATTTGAAATGTGTGTGAACTTTATTCCACCTCCAATACATAGTTTAGATGAATCAGAATCCACGCACCAGTACAAACGATAAAGGAACAAGCTGCTGTTACCTTGTGAACAGTGCTGTTACCTGAAACAGCTGCGATGGTAGACCTTCCCGTCAATCAAATATCTCTGAATGAGGTGGACTGGCTTGAAACACAGACTACACACCGTCCGCGGCCTTGTGCTGGATAAACAACCTTCTCTGCAGGTTTTCAGATCGGCCAAGCTCTGGAAAGAGAAGAGAAACCAGTGACAACAAGGACTGTACACACAGATGACTAAGAGCATGAACAAACATTGGGGTTGCTCTGCATGTGTGTTAAAAATGACGATAAGTAATCACCTTCAGGGGTTTCATGGCGCCAGTAGATTTACTCTTTGTGAGGTTGTTAAGGAGGGTGACATGTGATGGCTTCAAACTGACAGGACCTGCTGCAAAGTCAAGAAAAAAGATGCTAATTCAATTTTATACATGATTGACTTGTTTTCCTTCTTCCATCATGCTGGTTGTAAACATTCCCAAATTGAAATGTTTGTGTGAACAATAAAAAACCAACAAAAACAAATTTTAACAAAAGACACCGATACCTTTTGTTTTCTAAAATAGAGAACAATTATTGAAAGCTCTGGTGGTTATTTGTTTGGTGTCTGGTGGTAAGGAGACATAGTCATGAAGTGGCCCCTCAAGGATATTCTCTCATGGGAGGTGGTGTGTATATCTTGTAAAGAATCCAAAACCTTTCAAATACGAACTGAGGACACTGGTTGTGTCTCTGTGCATTTTAATCAAGTGCTTCTTCAATCAAATCTGCTAACAAACGAAATTCAGGAAACAAAGAAGCCTTTGAAAGAGGGCCGAAACATCTTCAAGAACCTCAAACAAGGAAACAGGTACCTACACGGACATCTCAACAGGAGTTTAAACTCTGAAAATAACTCCAGTCAACTCACCATAAGACTTTCTGTTGAAGAAATGGTAAAGCTGGGAAAGGTATGTTATGATGCTCAAACAATCAGGCACCTTGTTGGACACCATATCTTTTGGGTCCAATAGTGAAGGGATTCCCAGCTTTGTTTCAGCGATCTCAAAAGCCTGCAAACCAGAAGACACAGACACAGAGGGAAAAATGACAACTCTCTTTCCCCTTTTTCTCAGCCCCTGTGTTAAAAGTTATATACAATCTCAAACCCATAAGGGAAAGCGCGGTGTGTGAAATGTTTAAAAAAATGCAATTTCATAGTTTGCATTCAAGGACCCAGGCACCTATGCATCCCCATCCTCTAGCACCAGGGATGCTGGCTTTTGCAGCTTCAATTTCTTTGGTTCTTACCAAGACAAAAAACCTTCAATGTATACTTGTTGGATAATTTCTCTTGTTTTAAGACTTAATTTCTTATCTAAGTGTTTAACTTTTACACTATTATCTTATATCAAGCACAACCTTAACTTTTTTGTCTCAAATGGGCAGGAAATCTTAAAATGAGGAAAATAACTGTTAAAATAAGTTATATTCCAAGTCTCATCAAAGGGAATCTTGTTTAAAGATTCGGTAACAAATTCAAGCTGCTTGATTCGAGAGTCACACAGAAAGCATCTAGAAAAAGAGTTTATTGCTCTGATTTCAAGCGTTTGATGACTAATGTAGGGAATACAAAACAGGAAACAGGCAAACTCAGTCACCTGAGACATAATACACACCACACCCATACACACTTGTTCCTTCACTCTTCACTAATACAGGGTATTTTTCTCAAAATGTTTATGTTTTGTTTAACTAATCTTCAGCTTAATTTGCTAAAGGTAAGAGAACAAAATATGTGATAACTTATATTTAGTATATTTCACTTATTTTGAGGCTGTAAATTATTTTTTTAAGTTATCATCATCTTAAAACCAGCATTTTCGCCTCACCATATACTTATATTTAGTACATTTCACTTATTTTAGGGTTGTAAAAGTTAAATTTTAAGTGATCTGATCTTAAAACCAGAATTTTATACTTGTTTTACACTTATATTTAGTATATTTAACTTATTATTGGGGGTGTAAAAGTTAAATTTACAGTAATCTGATCTTAAAACCTGCATTTTTGGCTTACTTTAAGCCTTCCAAATACATTTGTAGACATACTTATTTCTAGATTTAACAATCTTAATTTAAGAAATCGTGTCAAGTGAAATTATCTTGCTGCATGGACAGATAATTTCACTTGTTTTTAGTACCTTTTCCCTCAGATTGACTGTTTTAACTTGTTTTTAGATTGTTTGGATTGTACATTGATAACAAGCTGGATGGTCCCTCTGCTCTGTAGAACAGAGGACACGGTGTCCGTGATTTCCAAAAAGAATGTTAAATTTTGATTCCTCAAACACAGGACAGTTTTCCAGCCTCACCAAAATCTATCTTTGATAGGCTTGGGCACAAATACACAACCAATGCTTCTTGATGTTGGTGATATGATTTCTTTTTTGCATGGTAGAGTTTTCACCTGCATTTATGGATGCAGGAACAAACTGTACTCACAGACAGTGGATTTTGGCCGGGATTTTTCAACCATGCACTGATTTCCACTGCAGAGCCATGTCTGTTTTGAATGTAGTGCTGACTGTCGATTCAAGATCACATCCATCTAGTATCAATTATCTGCCTTTTCCGTTTTGTACAGAGATCTAGTTTTACACTCATGAACTTCATTTTGGAACTGATGAACTATTTTCTCACCTAGTCTTTTACAAAGTGTTGATCTTAACTTCTGAGAGACTTTGCCTGTCTATAGTGCCCTTTTTATACCCAGTCATGTTACTCACTAGCTGGGATTTATTCCTCTAAGTTTTTTTTCCCAGCATAACATAACTTTTTAAGTGTTTTGTGCTAACCTTTTTTGAAACATGTTGCTGACGTCAAATTAAGATGAACATATTTTTCATGAAACAACTTTTTTTTTCAATTTCAATATCTATTTGTTTTCAGTTAAATGAAGGGGTTGCAGTGATTTGCAAATCAGCTTTTGTTCTAATCAACATTTCACACTACACCATAGCTCTTACGGAGTTGGGACTGCAAATCTTTAACATCAAGAGAGGAAAGCTTGCACTGTGCTTGGTTACTCACCAGTTTGTTATTTTGATAAACATTGTCTTTGGAGAGCAAGCTGAAATCTCTGGGGCAAGGTGACAAAAAACAGAGAGAGAGTGATAAATTTATGATAAGAAGACAAAATCACAAACCACTTATTCACCACTGATGTGAAGCATAGCAGAGGGAAACTGAAGCTCAAGATCAGAGATCAGATGGGATCATTCAAGTTCAATCACTGTTCCTCAGAGACAAAATGATTAATCCCATAAAACTAGACGAGAAAAGGTTAGTAAGAGACAGCCACAGATTAAGTAATGAGGTCAGATTAGTGTTACAGACAGTGTGAAGATCCTGCTTTGTACCAGATTAGGCAGCACGTTTTTCAGTATCAGGTAGCCAATAAAGAGTCTAATCTCAGGACAGAATCCAGCAAACCAGCAAACAAAGCAAGACTAACAGTGTGTTTACATATGAGGTGAATAGCTGAACCTAACTGCCCTCATCCCCCTGGTTAATCATGACTCTTTACAGCCAACAGATCTCTGTATAACTACTTCATGATCTACTTACATTAAATCGGGTCTGTGTTTGTGGATGATGGCACAGAATACGAGTCCGTCTCTGAATGAGGTTGACATGTTCTTGATTTCCACGTTAGGGTAACCTGAGCAGGTGACCCGGCACCAGTCTAGTAAAGCCTTTGGTGAAGTCATACTTGGAGAGAGATTTGACATGTTGGCTGAATGAATATCAATGCCACCACCTCTTTAACAAAACTGGCCAGGCTGGGCTGTGAAGAGGAAACAGGAAACGAGCATCTTCTAGTCTTGCAGCAACACTTACTTTTCATGCAGTAAACCTGCGGTTAAACCTGAGCATCGTGTCAATGAAGAAACGGGAGGGAAAGACGCCTTTAGTCTCCTGCTTTCGATGAAGTAAAACAAAGCTGTCGGCGCACTTTCATAGCGCCAGTCTTCACCCACAACTTAAGTCTCTAGCGGTTAAACCTCTCTGAGGGCAGCACGGTGTCACTTTTTATAATAAAACACCACAGACGCGTTAAATCTACTAAACTAGCCTCAAAACTTCCACTGAAACTCAAAAACTCATTGCGAATGAACAATAGAGGTGTTAAAATGAAGCAAACCACGTTACTCGCCGTAGTCCTCAGTGTTGTGGTCCACGTTCAAGTGAAATTCACAATAGCTTCCACTAGATGGCGCCACAGAGCCGCTGCTCCTCTATAATTAGTAAGGGAGGTTTCTGGTTTCTACTCTATTTACCTGATGCAAGTCCCAGATCCTCCTTATTTAGTGTGTTACAGCAAAACGGAGATGAATTCAAGGTTTATCAAGAGACCATTAAGGTTATTTAAAGAATGGTGTGTGTTTGGCTATCAAGCTGGTTACCCTACACATTTCTAAAAAGGCAAAAAAAAAAAATATTAATAATAATAATAATAATAATATATTACACACAATAGTGTATTATTATTATTATTATTATACCAGAAATATTTCGCATAACTCGCACACACTCTCTCTCTCACTCTCAATTTAGTTTCTAAAATGTTTTGTTGAGTGAAATATTTTTGCATTTTATTGTGTTTTGATAAGTATTTTACAGTTTTGTGAAATGTTTTTGTTTATATTTAAGTATTTATGCTTAAGGAAATGTTAACTTTTTTGTTGTTGTTGTTGTTGTTGTTGTTGTTGTTGTTGTTTTTTTGTGTTGAGTGAAATATAGCATTTTCCCAAATTGATTTCTGTTTTTTTTTGTATTCTTGTTTTTGTTTTATCATGTATTTTTGCATGAAAATTAAGAATAAAACACTTTTGTGTGATGCAAAATGTTTGTAGTGTTTAGTAATTTTTTTTTTTTTTTTGGTCCACAATAAAATGTTTATACAGTTCAATTTAAGGTCAGTGTATAACAGAGGCAACTATGAGGTAACCTTACAGCCCAGCTGATTAGAAATATTACTATGATAGGGGAAAATAGATTTAGGCTTTAATATTACTGTAATCTTTGGAGGTAGCATAAAACTTTGTCATAAAAAATTGTCAGGAAGAACGACAATGTTTACAAAAGTACTTCCGGTATATCGAATCTTAAAAAATAAAGGCAAAGTTTATTTATGTGTCCTACGGTTAATACAAATGTTTCAAATTGAAATGTCAAAATATGAATAAAAAGTAAAATTTAATGTGAGTTCTTATTCGTCTTGAAATTTCTACGGATAGATTAATACTTTGTCAAAAAATGTACTTTTATTTTGAATAGTATTAACTTTGGGTACTCCTCAGTTTTCTACCTTGACGCAGCCATCTTGACATAGAAAACATGTAACTAGAATGGTTATTCCAACAAAAATGTGTAAAATGATGTCATTTTAAGTTTAAACGCAAGATTAGCGTTTTAAATAACAAATGCATTTTTAGGCGTATAAAAATCATACTATAAGAAAAATAATACTGGCAACTGTGATGAAAAATAAATATTAGCATGTAAAAAACAATGTTTTGTTCCAATATTTACGGTTTATTATCAGGGAAGTTATCAATTCCATTTGAAACGAGACGTACATCATAAAGTCTTTGTACATATACAAATAAAGAAAAAACTTTTCGTAAAATTAGTGTTGAAATATCTGAATTCATCATGAAGTATGTGCAGGTTTGTTCTATCTAACTGTGTTCTATGTCTCCTCTGACTCTACGTGTTCGTGTGCGCAACTCGCGAGACCGTCATCCTACATAAATCTCGCAGTGATGGCTGCGCCTCCCGATGCGGAGAGTTTGGAGTCTCGTATCAGTGAGTATTTTCAACTTAGTCCACCGATCCAGTAGGGCCCGGAGACCCTGGCATGGGTATGATATCATCGGTTAGTTGTTGTAGATGAGCTGACAGCGGACAGCAGCAGCGTTAGTCCCCGGCAGAGAGGACTCGGACCCCGCCGTCACATCCAGGATGCTAACCTAGCTCCGGAGCTGCTGTGCCTGCCAGCTGTCAACACACAACACAGCCAGGCGCAGCGTTAGCTTCACGGCCGGATAACGTGCCTAGATAACCGCTGACAACACCGCGGGGTCCTGTTTTTAATCTGGAAAGGTTTAGTTAGATTATGGCTAAGACTGACGTGGAAAGAAAGTTCTAGACGAGACTGCGACTAACGACAGAGAGCTAGCTAACGTGACACTTTGTTAGCACCTGCTCTCTCTCTATCTCTGTGTGTGTGTGTGTGTTTCTCTGCACGGTGCTGCTGAGCTGGAGCTGCTGGGTCATGTGGTAGAGACTTAATGAATTTTAATCATTAAGTCTCGAGATGCCTGCAGGCCTCTTGCTTACACGGCTATTTTTTAACGTGACAAACTTCAATAGTTTCATCCAACACCATTATTCTGTTACTGGAGGTATGCTGGGTCTGAATAGGGATGTTACAGTGTGAATCTAACATTAAAACAAAACATAACATGTAGTTAAATACCAGTTTAATTGCATGCAATAACCACAAATAAAAACCGATAGACATATACACTGAGCAGTCATAACATTGTGTACATCTGGGTGATTTAATGCTGTCCAATAGTACAGCTATAACATCAATGATTCTGCTGTATTTCTGTTTTTGGATGACAGACAGGTGATAATTGTTGTTTGAGTTAAATGTTAACGTTGTGGATGTTGGTGGTTTGCTGGAGTGCATTTTACTGAAACTGTTCTTTGTATTTGAGTTCCCTAATCTTTGTTTATGATTTATTACCACCAAATATGTCTCCAATAATATACATCAAGTACAAAAATCACCTGTCCAATCATACGAAAAAAAGGTTTGGAGGCTCCCTGAAAGTAGAATATGTGTTAGAGCTGTTTTATTGGGTTGCATTGTCCAGCTGTTTATAATATTACCACTTTTAGGCGTATAATACAATAGTAATAGCGGGTATATTACTGAAGCTGCTGTTTCTGAGCAGCTTTTTGTGTACTTGTACTGTTCTGAGTAGCTCTTAAGAGCAGTGTTGCAGCTTTAACTTAAGTATTCTCTGTGTCGATGTGATGTAGTTCACTGGATTTTATACAGTATGAGTTGTTGAGGAGGAGAATTGCTAAAAAATCACAAGATTTGTTTACTATTAATCATTGTCACTAGAGATAGAATGATTAATCAATCAGGCAGAATAATCAGGCTGATTGATGTCATTTTTAAATCATCAGCAACAGCTGATATATCTGGGCTCATGAGGCAGATTTAAAAAATGAAAAAACTCACGTCAGCAGGCAGGCAGCATTTTAAATGTGACTACTGTTGAGCAACATCTGAAACATTTCCATGGGTATTAGGAATAATGGCTGTTGGTAATATTAAACTGTCCTATTTGACAGTATGCAACAAAACAACAAGTGATATTATTAACATTTTATATCAGCCACCTACTAACCTGCTATGTGAATATCAGTATTGGTATCGGCCATTTAAGGACCCATGTTGATCGACCACTAATCTGTACAGCAAAAACTCAATCCTACCAAGTCAGTTTGATTCATATTCTGTCAAATTATCTAATTTCTCTTCATTTATGCCAGGCATGTCCAAACTATTCCAAAAAGAGCCGGTGTGGCTGCAGGTTTTTCTTCCAACCAAGCAGCAGCACACCAGACTTGATTCATTTCATCAGCTGATCTCAGTCTTCAGACAGCTGATTGGTCAGACTGCATGCTCTTGATTGGTTGGAAGAAAAACCTGCAGCCACACCGACCCTTTGTGGAATAGTTTGGACATGCCTGATTTATGCTATGTTGATACATCAAGTAGACGTGCTAATCTTACATCAAGATATTTCCAGCTGAAGTATTCTTGAAAACTTCGTTGAAATAAGGACATCTTGTTTCATGAAATGCATCGAGACAATTTTGCTTTCTGTATTTGCAGCTATTTATACATTGAAATCAATCGAGTCCTGATCTTTGGCTCTTCATTAACATACTCTGCAAAGCCAGCTACTATGCAAGTGCATCTAATAAATGCAGCTCTGACAAAAGATGCTCTCAAAATAGCCAATAGGTACAAAGCCAGATTAATACTTTTTTATGCTAGAACAATTAGTTTAAGAAAATGTGCTTTTATTTTATTTGATTGGCTTATTCAAACTGATCCAAACCCTGCTATCATGGGTTAAAATGAAACACAACTAAAAAGCACATTTTGAAAAAAGCACTTTGTACTTTTATTTGAATAGATTATCAGACTGGTATTTGTGCTTCTAGCAGGTAAAATGCCATTAAGATAACTTTTCTTTTACTTCTTTTATGAGTGTCCTCCCCTGAGTAATAGTAATAGCAGCAGCAGCAGTTTGTGGCTTTAGCGTTGTTACCACAGTTGACTAAACAAAACTGTCCTAAATGATATCTACTGTTTAATTTCTGACAAAGAAAAAGTCAATACTCACGTGTCATACAAGCGTGTCCTGATTCAGGCCAGGCAGGTTTATTTGTGTAACGCTGTTCATACACATGGCAATTCTAATTGCTTTAAAGAGTTCAAAACAATGTTAACAGCATTAAAGAGATATGACAAAGTTCATATGAAGATTTATTCTTGTTTTACATCTGATTGCTCAGGCTGATTTTTTAAATCCTAAAAAAAAAACAATCCCATCAGCAACAAGACTGATGACGTGTATATGCTAAATTTTGATGCCTGAAACAAAACTTTGACATACATATTGAGTATGTCAAAGTTATGATCAAGACAGAGCGAGAGATGTGAGACAGTAGGCAAATTAGAGTAAACCGATCTCACCACACCGCTGAAATGCTTAAAATTCATGAAAATAAGCTGTTTAAACTAATTAAAATAGTAAATAAAAGTTTGAAGATTTCAGACTTCAGATATCATAAGTTTATAACATTACTGCAACTGCAATTTCTAGCGTCATCTTTGTGATTTTGGTGTCTGATGACTCATGTTTCGACATTTCAGACAGAGCCACAAACCCTCTGAACAGAGACACAGACTGGAGCAGCATCCATGCCTTCTGTGACCAGCTCAACAATGATTTGGAGGGGTAAGAGCTCCATGTTGATTCAAGTTTGTAACAAATCTTTAAATGCTTTACATTTTAATTTTAAAATGTTTGCTTATTTGTTTGTTAAAGAATGAATATTTTTTTGTACAAAGTTTCAGCCAAGTAACACAGTTCAGTAACTCGACCAGGATCTCATCTCTTGTTCACTCTGCTGTCTGATGATTGTTGAAGTTACATCACAATACCCAGGACTTAAATTAATATGTTTTCCTTTAAAAAAAAGTCTTAAATAGCACCTCATCAGTCTGAGTCTATGATTGCATAATTAAGGTTGTTAATTTCTATGAAATCAAAATTTCCTGGATGTTAAAGCTAAAGGCTAACTAAACACATCAGCCACAGCTTATTACTTAAATCAAAAGAACACACAAATGATAAATATGTGTCATGCTGAGTTTAAACTTAAAAGCCCACATTATAATGAAAGTTACAACAATAGAAATAATAAATAGGGATACCTCACTCTGGACAGTTTTCTCACTTGTCCTACACTCCGGTGTTTCACATTCTGGGTATTCACTCTGTTTTTGTGTGTCTTGTGTCGCAGACCTCAGCTGGCCACGAGGCTCCTAGCTCACAAGATCCAGTCTCCGCAAGAATGGGAGGCCATGCAAGCCCTGCTGGTGAGTCTGGATCTGAACCTGGATCTGTAGCAAAATCATCTACCTTAGTAAAAATAACCCCTACTTTTTAGTCAAAAATCTTGTAGTCATTTTTTTTTCTAATCAGCTAAGATAAATAATTTTCTCTTTCACTGATTATACTCTGATAATGACAGCTATTTATATTTTGGCATAATATTTAATCTTACTGCTGCCAGTACAGTAGATTAAATTTTAACAATGGTGCGAGGAGTTAGTTCAGGCAGGCCACAAGCTCAGCTTAGTATGTTAGCTGACCCGAACACTAGCAGTCAGCTGACTGCTCAGCTGATGAACCTTCGACACATCCATGTGGCAAATGTCAAGCGTTTGTGTTCTGTTTAATCTGCTCCAGCCTGTCCTCTCCCCTCTTGCTGCCTCCACAAACTGGTTTCCAACCTGCCTCAACCCCAGCTCCTCCTTTTAAAGGGATATTCCGGCATGAAATTAATTTAGGGTCAAATACACTGTAACACTGAGTCAGACACCCCCTTGAGAGATGAATGTTCCCAACCACTTGCTTCTGTAGTTATACCAACTTTAGTAACGACCGCAGGATAGCAATACACAGCAGTCTGAGGAGCCATAAACAAACCTCAACTAAAACGCTCTAGTGTTTAGTCACAGTTTGAGCATTTTGTGTCTGTTTTAGATTTATTTTTTAATCATTTTTGTTGTGTTTGTTTCCAGGTTCTGGAGACGTGTATGAAAAACTGCGGTAAAAGGTTTCACAGTGAAGTGGGAAAGTTTCGTTTTCTCAATGAGCTCATTAAAGTCGTTTCTCCAAAGGTAAGCCATATTGAGCTCTTCTCCAGATTTATCTATTTATTTACAGATCAAGGCTGTACTAAAGTGTCTGTTGTATGTAAATCACTTGGTCCTTGTTTTCTTCTGTTACCCAGTACCTGGGCTCACGGTCACCTGAGCCCGTGAAAAAGAAGGTTTTGGAGTTGATCTACAGCTGGACGTTGGGGTTACCTGATGAGGCCAAGATCTCTGATGCCTATCAGATGCTGAAGAAACAAGGTGAGAGTCAAAACAGCTGCAAGATTAAAAAAAACATCATCAATATTTGTTTTTAAGATGATTAAAGCTAAAGCAGATGATAGGACGCATTAAACTCCTTATTTTTTCCTATGTTGTGCTTGTAAATTAGGTATTATTAAACAAGACCCAGAGCTTCCACCTGACAAGCTACTCAACCTTCCTCCACCCAGACCCAAGAATGCCATTTTTGAGGACGAGGAGAAGTCAAAAGTAAGGACTCAACTATTAAAAGAAAATAATGAGTTGTTAGAGATGGATAAATATGACCTGATCCAGTTTCCTCCTCACTGCACACGCTCATTGTTGTGTTTGTTTCCTCCTTTGGGATTTCTCCTCACCTGAACTCTGCCTGTCTATTCGTCAGATGTTGTCACGGCTGCTAAACAGCTCGCACCCCGAGGACCTAAAAGCTGCAAACAAACTCATCAAGGAAATGGTTCAAGAGGTAAAAATCTCCCTCCTATGTTTCCACTCTTTCTTTTTTTTTTTTTCCACCTTTGCGTCTCTCCTCTGCCAAATCGAATGGCTGCAGATGTCGTCTTGTAAGTGAAATTCAAGAAGAAGAAGGAGGAGGAAACACCGGAGAGCTGCACTCTCAACCAAAACATCATCTGAATGAGGAAATGGGTTGGTTGCCCTGGGGGGTTTAGTGTGACACTGTCACAGTGATTCAGCAGGAATTCAGAGTAAATCTGTGTCTCCGTTTGAGGAGTAACAGGAGCTGCTCTCTGCTCTTTCCCCAAATCTTCTCTAATTGTCTCTCTGACCTTATTGCTCTCGAGCACCTCTGCCTCTGGCTATGAATTTTCTTGCAAATATTTGCAAAGCTTTACAACATGCTAAATTACGCGTACACATGCATGTGTTTGCTTTCACACTCTGGTATGTAGTCCTTTGCAAATCTGTCCCCTATTTTTTTTACAGGATCAGAGGCGAGCAGAGAAGGTGTCAAAGCGAGTGAACGCCATCCAGGAGGTGAAGGAGAGCGTCACCCTGCTGACTCAGCTCCTGCAGGACTATGACAGCAAATCCACCAATCAGAGCAACCATGAACTCATTCAGGTGGTAGAAAAGTACCTCCATCTAATCTAATCCCCAGAGAATACACAGCTACTGTACAACACGCTGTCATTTTACACACTCACAAACCTGATTCTGTTGGGTGATTTTAGGACCTGTACCAGCGCTGTGAGAAAATGAGGCCCACACTGTTCAGATTGGCGAGCGATACAGAAGACAACGATGAGGCTCTCGGTAAGTACCAGTTTATTTACCCTCCGTTAAAGGTCAAGCAAATTGAATTTTCTGTCAGCATGGGCATGTTTACTAGTGTGTTGCATCACCTCTTCCTTTAACACCTCTCTTTAAACTTTGCTAACTGAGGAGACCCGTTTCTGGACTTGTGGAAGTCAAATGTCATCACATTGTTGCCTGATATAGAGCTTTAACTGCTCAACAGTTCAGGGTCTCTTTGGTCAAAATTGTCAGTTCGTGATTCACTAGATGTCTTTAATTGATGACAAGTCAGGAGTGCAGGTAGGCCAGTCTAGCAGCACTCTTCTGCTCCAGAGCCATGCTGTTTTCACATGTACAGAATGTCATCTGGCATCTTGCTGCAATATTAAACGTCTCCCCAGACAAAGGGTTCATCGAAATGGTATCATATGTTGCTCCACACCCCAGACTTATTGTTCACATGTATAGAATAGCCGTGCGATGTGGGAAACCTGCCTGCCTGCACATTTTTTTACCCTCTGATCCACCAGTCTGTAAACACTTTTTGAGTTCTAGTCCAGAAGACAAGGTCTGATAAACAACACTGAAGAACACAAAACATTTCTCTGTCTTCTTACACAGCGGAGATCCTACAGGCCAACGACAGCCTGACTCATGTCATCAACCTGTACAAACAACAGGTGAAAGGGGAGATAGTAAACGGCAACAACACCTCAAACACTCCGAAACAAACAGGTGGGTGAGGCATGAACACAGAAACACAGAAAGAAACCCACAGATCAGAGAACTAGGATTTAATGATTTTTGTGTCCGTCTAGTTGAAATGTGACAGTTTGTGTCCGTCTAGTTGAAATGTGACAGTTTGTGTCCGTGTCTCACAGGAGGGACAGCACTGCTGGACCTGACAGGACTAGACACATCACCACAGTCCCCTCCATCCTTCCCTGAGTTCCCCACTCCGACAGACAGCCTCAACGCCCCCTCGCAAGAGACTGGGATCAGTCTCCTGGACGATGAGCTCATGTCGCTTGGTAACAGCATTTCAGACACCACAAACTGATCGAATGAAAAAGCTGAATGCAGAATGCAGTTATCAGGAAATTCAGTCCAGGATAACAATGAAGGAAAAGAAGTTGGTGAAAGACTGGAGTTTTTATAATTTAACCCCTTATTGTACTTAAACTCTGTGTTTACACCACAGGTTTAAGTGAAGGAACACACCCCTCCAACCCTCCCTCACAGCCTGAAGACTCCATAGCCTGGGACTCTTTCCAGGTCAGTAGAGGATGGATCTATTTCCTAACAGTTTCAGATCCCAGAGGACTTTCCTCTCATGTTGACATTTACCTCTGGAGACACCTGCCGTCTGCTCAGTATTTTTGGTGCAGCCAGTAGTAGGTGTTAATTACATGCACTGTATTGTTTACAGTCCAATCAGTAACTGGAGAACCAACCGTGTGTTTGGCTCAAAAGTTGTTCAAAATTCACTCTTGTGTGCAAAAAAGGTTCAGTTCTTGTCTCCATGAATCCCCCAGGTGATCACCAATTCTCCTTTTTCTATTGAGTCTTAGTTTCACTGTAAAAAGTCAGTTGCACAGAAGCTTTGCTCAGAGACATTTCAACAGTATGAAGCTGAGAAAAACACAGATTTACCATCAAATTACTAAACTTTTCCTATTTCTTAGTTACATGAATTTCTTGATCTCTTGGGTGAATCCTAATCTGTCTGTTTCTGGTTAGTCTTCGTTTACTGTAAAAGTAAGTTGTACAAAAGCTTCATTCTGGTTTGCTTCAGGAGCATGAACCTGAGCAAGAAACCGATTTTTCTGAAATTTACTCGCAATCAAACTTGATTATTGTAATATTGTATCGTGGCCAAAGTATCGTGATAATATCGTATTGTGGCCAAAGTATCATGATAATATTGTATCATGGCCAAAGTATCGTGATAATATCGTATCATGGCCAAAGTATCGTGATAATATCGTATCATGGCCAAAGTATCGTGATTATATTGTACCGTGGCCAAAGTATCATGATAATATCGTATTGTGGCCAAAGTATCATGATAATATCGTATCATGGCCAAAGTATTGTGATTATATCGTATTGTGGCCAAAGTATCATGATAATATTGTATGTGGCCAAAGTATTGTGATAATATTGTATCGTGGGGCCACTGGTGATTTCCACCCTTATTATTTCTACATCGTGGCTCATTTACATGCTTCTGTATAACCAACAACACATCTGCACCACTATTTCTCCTCACACTCATACCTTCTGCTTCCAGTCCTCTGACAGTATAGACGCAGACATCCCAGCAGCACCCAGTCTCCTCCTGAGTCCAGATCCCCCCTCCCACTCTCAGCTTCTTTCGTCTGGGTCCACCCCTGGGAACTCGGCTCTGGATGAGCTGGACCTGCTGGGGAAGACACTGCTGCAGCAGTCCCTGCCTCCAGAGGGTCTCCAGGTCAAATGGTATGAAATATACACACAGGTTTCAGGTGCTGCGATTTTCACATGCTGCTTTGTGTGGGAAAAAAAAAAATTCAATTGTCAGAATCAGAAAGTTTAATTAGCAACAGATCTGCAACACATCAGTTCTCAATTTGTCTTTTTCTTTTTAGGGACAAACAGCAGACCAAGCCGACTCTTAGAGATCTCCAGAGCAAGTCTGGATCTAACGTCACTCCCAACCCCATCCCAGTTTTCACCCCTGACCCCCCTGCACCTGTCCTCAACTCTCAGCCTAACCTCGAAGCAACACTGCTGGACATGTCCCCGACTCACAGCGATACCTGTGCTCCAGAAGTCACCCTGAACGATGTTTTTGTACCCTTAGAATCCATTAAGCCCAGTAAGTGATTTAAAGAGCTTCAGAGTCCTGCTTACCTGGGAGTACAGATTTGTGAAATCCTCTTCCTCTCCACTCTCATCCCCTTGCTCTCTCTCTCTCTCTCTCTCTCTCTCTCTCTCTCTCTTTTTAGGTAGTCTGTTACCTGTGACTGTGTTTGATGGACACAGTCTACGGGTTCTCTTTCACTTTGCTCGTGACTCTCCTCCGTCTCGTCCTGATGTGCTCGTTGTGATTATCTCCATGCTGTCATCCGCTCCTGTTCCCGTCACCAACATAAACTTCCAGACAACAGCTCCAAAGGTCAGCGGTGAAAAAGTTCAGGCCTTTTTATCCCAGTTCAATAGCACACTCGATAAGATCGCTCTCAAGCAAAGTTCATCTCTGTACTGAACCTCTGCAGTTGATTGACTGTCTCACTGAGAGATGATCATTTTGCATTTGTCACCTATAGTCTATGGCAGTGAAGCTGCAGCCGCCGTCAGGATCAGAACTCCCAGCGTTCAACCCCATCCTTCCTCCAGCCGCTGTCACACAGATTCTGTTGCTGGCAAACCCAAATAAGGTCAGTCAAGATTTCAACCATCGAAAAATCTGTGATTTAGAGTGGCAGAGAGGGTCCAGCTCTCACACCGGACAGGAAGTGGGGAGTAGAAACTTTGAAACTTTGTTTGGCATCCCTTTATATGTTTCAGTCAGAACTTTTGGAGCCTTGACTTCTTCTATAAGGGAGGCAGTAATAGAGTACCCACTGAGCATTTTTTGGTCTAAAAGAGGTCTAATGGATGTCTAAATGTAGCCTAGACGATTGGTCTAAAATCAGGCTACCACAGGTCTAAAAATGAAAGTTCTGGGCTATATCTATCTATATTGCTCAACGACTATCATCATTATTTTGGTTAAGTACTTGGAGATCAGTTATGCAACTAACAGTTGCTTTATGAAATAAATAGTTATTGAATAATGAGTTAAAGTACAACGTCTAAATTCCATCTAAAAGTATACAGAATCTAGACGTTGAGATTAGGTCTTAAAAAACTAGACGTCTAATAGCCGTCTATTGCTCAGTGGGTATGAAACTGGGAGCGCGTGGGGTGACACATGCTGGTAATGTGCACCATGTTGGATTTAAACTGGTTGTCCACTTGAGGACTGGAGATTCTGTTCATTGGCTGCAATACTTGGTCATGGGGCCAAACTGGCGTTGCATGCCGAACTCTTTCTGCAGATTATTTTGATATTTCGGGATCAGGTTGTCCTTGGCGTAGCTCCTGCTGTTGAGCATCTTAGTGGGGTTTTGACCAATCAGAGTCAAGTATTTAAATAGCTGGAATATAAATAAACTTCTTAAAAAAAACAAAAACATTTAGATCTGGTATTTCAGGCTGCAAAAATAACAGAGAAGCCAGTGAAATCCTGGACTGTGTGAATACCATGTCGGCTTTGAGATGTTTAACTTGACGCTTCTTTGCTTTTGTACTTGTTTTCATTTCAGGAGAAAGTTCAGCTGGAGTACACACTAACCTTCGCCATGGGTGAACAGGAGCACAGCGAGAGCGGCAGTCTAGAACAGTTTCCACCTCCGGAGACGTGGGGGACTCTATAGCATTTAAACACACACACACACCCACAGCCTGACAGACTGCTCTCTGACTCTGCGTCATCCTAATCCAGATCTCCATGATGCACAAGCCTTTTCCTTTGTAATCACACTGTACTTTCTTTGATTGCTAATGATTCTTTCGGTTGGATTACTCTCCTGCTCAGTGTAATGTGTGTTTGTCTAGGTCTAGTCTGCTTTGTGTGGCTGCTGCTTTAAATCAAACCTGCGACTGTTTCATTAAAGTTGCTGCAGTCTTGTCATCTTATTTTTACAGTTCTACACAGAAAAAAACTAAAACCGTCATCAAACAAGTGTGTGATGATCATAATTTAGTGTGCTTGAAGATTTCTTTGCTCTTGGAGCTCCCAGTCAGTCAAACCTGATATCAGTTCACGTCTGCATGCTCTGCCCATACAGGGGACCATGCTTGCAAATTCCAACACACTAAAAGAGAGCGGCTACGCATCACACAGACACATCTCACTGGTTTGAAGAAAGAGAAAACTGAATTGATCAACTTTTTATGGTGACTTCTCGAGGATGAACGAGCACCACTTCTAAATTCTCCCTTAATTTGCAGATTGTTTTTGAACCGTTTCCCTTCCTCTACCTGCTACTTGTGTGAAAATCAAAATTACTGTAACATCAGAGTTGTGTATTATCTGCCATATGTGCCTATTTTGCAGTTTAAGTGCGTTTGAATGGATTTTTGTTCTCATCTGTTACGTGTCGGTTATTTACGTCTGCAGTTTGTCTTCTCGGTTCAGCGTCATCATAACCTTCAGTTTTTGATGTATTTAAAGAGATTTCTGAAGCCGGACAGGATACTTTTGAACCCTTTCTTTAGCTCTTGTTTTCGGTTCATAATTCAGCGTTCATTTGGTGAAATGGAGCTGCATTTGGGTGCTCTGTTCACCACGGAGTGTCTCAAACATGTTCAACTTGTTTCTGCAGTCTGCAGTGCATGTCAGCCATGCTGAACCCCCCACAGGCTCTCAGTCACATTCCACTGCACTTCTCTCCAATGAAACGACTTTGTAAATACCGATGATGGCAGTTCTGTTATGTACATTTGACTTGTGTGCAAGAGCATAACACTGGTAAAATATTCTGAATGGGTAATAAAGTTTTTTTTTTTCTTGGTGATCTGAGGACACTTTCATCGATGATATAGATAAATGAGCGTCTGCCACTTCTATTAATCAACCCAACACATGTCACCATGCAAGCCGGGCTGTGGTAGTAGTGTTCTTATTCAGTCGTGATTCATGACTCGGATCATTTTTAAAGTTCAGACATTTTAAACAAAACCAACAGTCAAGCTCTAAATGGTAACAAACAGCAGATGCTATAGTTTTATTTTCAGCTAAGGAGTGTAAAGAATGCACCAGTAGATTAATTATTTATGAATTTATGCTTCAAACCGGCTTAGCAAATAGGTTTTTCATTTTACAGAAGCACCTGGTGTCAGACTTCGGGACACCACTGAAATGATGTTGATCTCTGGAAATTTAAATGAATTATTTAGTTTATCTGCATTCATTTGTGATAAAATAGTATTTTACAACTTGGTATTTATGAATAATGGGTTTGTGTGAGCATATGACTATTATAGGAAGTAACTAGACTTACTTTAGTAAATGAATTCAGTGATTGGTTTTGCCTTCTGGTTGACAGACAGGAAAGGGGAGCAAGAACCAGGTGAGAAAGTGGGAAGTTCTCGCTGATTTTATAGAAGAGGATAATGAACTAAAGTGATCAAATATGGATTCTCCCCAGCCCTGTCTTACTTTAGCACATCTTCATGTTTTTATGTGAATTTCAGTTCAGCTAAAAGAAAAGAAGGAGAGAGGATAGTGAAAAAAGAGAAAGAGCAGTCAGGTTAAGAGTCTAAAGCGATAAAAGGACCAAACTGTGAAATACCACCTGTTATCATTCATACTTCCCTCCCAAAGTCCTTATTAAATATTCTTATACTATTGTCTAATTTATTATTACTATTTTTAGAGAACCCAAAGTGGAAGTTCAGGGCTCTATTATTCCAAACAAAAGATTTCCCATGTAACTTGAATGCTTCCATAGGTTGAACTGTGTAGGCTATGTGCAGGAAAGGTAAGTGTTAATACATGACAGGTTTAGCAGAGACAACTGCTTTCTGAACCTCAACACGTCCACAGGAGTGTGAAACAAACACTTTGGTCCCCGGCGATGAGACAATGTCAATCTTTAACCACACTTATTTACAACCCTCTGTCTTTTGGACATAATCAAGAGATATCCCCCCAACAGGAGGAATGTTGATCACTGATCACTTCAAGAAGAACACAGAGTTTTTATCTTCTCTGCACTGACTTCATCACTGAAAGAATACAATGACTGATAATGATGTCTGAAGCTTTCAGTGATGTACTGATCTGTCTCATCATGAAATTCGTGTTAAAATGAGATGTGTTCTGCTTTTCTGCGTGATCCACAAGCCAAGGTCTCGCTCTGACTGAACAGATCCTCTGGTCTTTAGTTTCTATAGACCAACAACTTTCCAGACTGTTTCATGAACTTTAAAGAGTTGAGATTATTAAATATGAATCATAACCTTACTGTAACAAAAATATTAGAAACGTTGTGCTTAGACTTATCATTGATGTCTCATTTTTAACAATAAGTGGGTTATAATGTCATTGAAAAATCTGAATGCGAGTATAAAGAATACATCAATCATAATGAAGTTCATTTACATGTATTTACTCTTTTCTGTCCACAGTTTCGTTGTGTTACTGTTTCAGTTCCGAGTAATTTAGCACGTTTAATGCTTTTTAAGGAGTGATAATGAGAATGTTTGTTAACCAGATTCTACATTTTTTTATATGTATTGAGCATCAAATCATGAACACAATTAATCATAGTGAGAGTATGAGATCATGTCCTCTTGCTTTTAACCTTCAGCACATCTGAGTTGCTACTTTACAGCCAATAGACGTGTGTTATGTTAAAGTACATTTACATTACAGCAAATAAACACCAGCATCATCTCACAACTGTCCTTTCTAAACTAAACACTTGACTTTAAGTATTGATCAACACCCTCATTGAACATTTAAAATCTTTTTTCTGTTTTTTTTTTTCTGATTCCTGTTTCAGTGCCAACAAATTCAACGGTACACAGTTATGCTTTGAGCCTTTATTAAACAAACTGTAAAAAGGAAGCCACATTCTGCTGGGAAAATCCAAAAACAGATCGGTCAATAAACACAAACTCGTGGAAGAAAACTGTTTTATGTGTTTGTGACTTTTCAGCTGCTGAGGCTTAACAAATGCTGAGTTTCGCCTGTAAGGCCAATATCAGTGTCTTTATAGTGAAACGGATAATTATGTTCTAAGAACAACAAAAGATCTCTACAGAGTAACTTTGATTTGTTTAAAATAAACCAGAACGATGCATTTTAAGACACTAATCTTGTGCTGTACAAAGTTTTAAATGCAAAAATAAACATATTGACCTTGTAATCGTAATAAGCAAACACACAGTTATAAACTTTAGCACCTACCTTAGATATACCTAAAGGAGAAAGCGGTTACTTTATAAATCACATAAAGCAGATCAAAATGCAAGAACTGGCCTGTTAGTTAAAGAAAATATTTTCATGGCAAGCTCTGCCAAAAAACTGACAAGATTCTGTCAAACTGAAGAAGAACTCGTACAGAGAAATCTGACTTTAAAGGAAGTCTAAATCAAAAAGGACAGGCCACTTAGTGAGCCAATTCCTAGAGCAACCAAACAAGCTCGTACTACGTAATCAGCGTGTAGATGTGGAGAGGATGGAGCCAAAGCACAAATCCAGGTCTCACTTCATTACACACTTTATTCTTCACTTCTCTGACTGGGTATAGAGTGTGCTCTACTGTTCTAACTAACGCACATACCACTTTACTTTCTGCCTGATGCAAGCGGTGGAGGAGGAGATGCAAACTGGAATGGTGAGTGTCCCATCAGACCTATCATGGGCTGTGGAGGGTTGAACTGCTGGGCCATCAGAGGTTGGGGTCCTGATGGAGGAGGAGGAGCCTGCCCAACCCCACCGCTTTGCGCCCCAGAGCCGCTCCTGGAGCTGGTGTACTGACTGCTGCCATTGTTATTCTGGTACTGATTGTATGAGCTGGAGTTGGAGCCGGAGCTGTAGTCCCGCCCCCCATCTCTGCTGCTGTTGCTGCTTCGATCCCTGTAAGAAGAGGACGATGAGGAGGAGCGGTCCCCGTTTCGGCTGCTTCCTCCGCGGCTATCTCTGCCGTCGCGGCTGTAGCTGCTGCTACCTCGGCTGTCTTTGGTGCCGCTGCTCCCACCTGTGGAGCGCATTCGCCTGTCACACTCATCCTGGTACATCAGGTTGGGGTTGTTAGAGTTTGAGGTGCCGCGGAAACGGGGACGACCGCCTTTAGTTTAGAGGACAAAGAGAGAAAGAACAGAAAGGTAATAAATGAAGATGGGACTGGTCTGCCAAACAACCACGTTTGTTAAGCGGGTGAAGCTCTTTGCTCCCCCAGATGATCAGGTCAATTTAATTCTACGTCAAGCTGTCACATCCACTTTTAGTCCAAGAGATATTAGGACAGACTCTCACCTCCACCGCCTCCTCCACGTCCGTTATCAACCAGCTGCAGCAGTTTGGGATTGATGGCCTGTCTGGCCTCCTCCAACACCCGGATCAGCTCACGGGCCTGGCGGAGGTTCCCAGGAGTGAAGAAGGTGTAGGCGGTCCCTTTGTTTGTGCTGCGAGCCGTGCGGCCAATGCGATGGATGTAGTCCTCTGATGAGTTTGGGTAATCATAATTGATGACAAACTTCACATCCTCCACATCTGGAGACAGTAGTGGTGTTGAGATGTGGTGTGGTGAGATCGTCCACGGGGATGGAAAAGACAAAGACAGAAGTTTCAAAAACTGACAGTGGATGAGAAATGACTCCATTCATGAATTTTGAGTCTTTTGGATGTGGGAACATTTAGACAGACAATACCTGCAAGACACCCACCATCACCTGAAAGCACCACTTACCTGTTCAGTCATAATCTTTGAGTCACACACTTAAGAAATTGAGCTTACTTACCATGCCAATAACATTAGAGGGCTCATTTATATTTTGCTGAACAACCCTAATGTTTAAAAACGATTTTTAAAAAATACTGTTTAAAACTGATTCTGATGGATTGCAAACAATTTGAAGCACAAAATAGTGAAAACACGACATGACAAAGTGGAAACTGAAAATTTCAATTAGTTTAGGAAAAAAAGTTCTTTTCAAATTTAGCCAGCAACATATAAAAAAAAAAAGGTTAAGACAAGGGCAATAAAACACTTTAAAAAGGTTGTTTAATGGGTATGAAAAGGGCATTTCAGGGATTTAAGAGTTCAGAGAATTTGGAGAAATCTCTGTATTGTTTCTGGATGGCCATGATCTTTTGGCCCCCAGAGGTAGCAACGCAAAAAACAGACACGACTCTGTAGTGGCAATCACTACGAGCTCGAAACCACTTCCTAAAACTGTACCACGCAAAGAGGGAACCATGTATAAAGATAATACAGAATCACTAGCAATTTCAGAACAATTTCAAACATGTACAGACTTTATCACCTCTTCACTCTGAATACATCTGCAAACATGCCCCTGTTCTGACCGTTCGAAGTGTTGCCAGGCAACACAGTCACTGGCTTTACATTTTAAATTAACTTTTCTTTTTTATAAAATAAAAAATGTATCAGTTTCAACTTTTCATATAAGGTCTTCTCAGCTTTTTTCAGTTTAAAATAGAGTTAAAAGTTTTGCAAACCATCAGTATCTGTTTTAATCAGTATTTTACTCAGGGTTGTAATTCAATAAAATAAGTTTCATACAGCAAAAGCAAAATTAATACAGCAAGAAAAAGGTCATTTTTTGTTCATAATTTTGATTATAGCGAGGATCATTTGAGATTGGAAATTCAATGAGAGGCCTCGGGCCCCGAAATGAATCCTTACAGGGGGAAAAGGTTTAGCGGTCTTCAGGGACTGGTGATCAATTGTTTTGAGAAACGAATCAAATTAAAAAGTTTCTTGAAAGAAAAAAAGTTCAAATCAAAGGTCTGTTTCTCATTACAGTGTCACAGGGCTCAGTGAAAACTGCTGATTAGAGGAAAAATAAGCAATGTTTTGGAAGCATCATGATAAACGCTGGTGCAGCAGAAAATGGGAGAGGAGGGGGTGAGGTAGAGTACTTACCCTATCCCAGAGACTTACAAAGTTATGCCTCTGTCCCCCTGCCCTTCACCAGTCCTGGGAGGTCTGCAGGGGTGGGAGGTGAGTGCATAGAACCAAACCAGTCCCTCCTCCCACCTCACCACTCCTCCACAACACTCCCAAAGCTGGAAGCTGTCGGGAACCAGTCCTGCTCTGGTCTTATATTTGCTTTTTCATTTTGTGAGAGGGGCTCACTAACATTTCTTATGTGCGTAGGTGGAAATGACTTAGCAGAGGGAGGATTTTCTTTGCTGTTGATGATCTTAGATTAGTGGCTTGTCCAACATGCCTCTCAGGTCACTCCCCACAGCAGTAATATGCTGCATTTAAGCCCAGTTTTTAAGTAGAGTAACAAGAAACAGACACAAAGGAGAAGACGTGGGGTTTTTGGAAGAGGGACCTAAGACTCTGCCAGGGAATCTGAATCCTCTTAGTTTGTGCTGGTCCTTGAGGAGGGATTTAGAAAGTCATCAAGAGCCTCTGAGGTATTCACAGCTCTGATGGGTCGCCAGTTATGATGTAAACAAAAACGAAACGGTCTGAGTGTTAAAAACAAAGAGGAGTTAAAAGCAGGACGGACAGAGGATTTGGGGATAAGGGACACAAGGACAGAGGTCAGAAATAATTCAACAAAGCAAACAGGACACAAAGAGAAGAGTTTGAAAGGCAGAGGATAAAGAGAAGAGAGAGGGACATACGAGGAATGAGCAAAAGAGGGAAATCAGGAAAAAAAGATGATGTTAGAGAGGCAGAAAAAGTGAGTGACAGAGAGGACAGGAAAGAGGAGAGAAAGGAGGGGAAATTGATTATAGAGAGGTGGCTCCTCCAGGCCAGGACTCCTGCCAGCCAGGACCAGACATGACGTCCGCAGAGGGAGAGGCCGGCCGGCACAGCCAGTGGTGGGGGGTTTCAGGGGCTGGTATCGGGAGGACGTTCAGAGGGGAGTCTCCAGCATGCCCGGCTTTGGACCCTCACTTCTTGGAAGATGTCTTTGTCTGTCTTCTTGTGACGCACCACTGAACCTCAGCCTCCTTCAGGTTCATCTATCAAAATCTGTCTGACTAATTTTGAAATTTTGCTGATTTAAGTTTGTTGTTGGGGTGGAAGTGTATCTCCTGGAGGAACGATTTCTCATTCCACATCTCCTAAGAATTAATATTGAGGTATTAAAGTTTGGCTCAAAAGTTTCTGAAGAAATTTAATCTGCAAATGGTGGTGCATCACTGTGATGATGGCATGGCTGAGGGGAGCGCACCCTCCTCAGTACCCCCCTCTTCGCCCTCTCTCCTGACAGCCGCCCCCGACCCAAGGTTCAAATTTGGAAGCCCAGCAGCACCCCGCGCTTGCGTCCCCCCCCTCCTCCTGTTGGCCAGGCAGCCAGTGTCCTGGAAGGGGGGGACCGTTTAGTTTGTGGGCTCTGTTTCTAGGTTTTCAGCAGAGGTGGCTGTGTGGGACTGATTAATCAGGCCGATTCTCTCCCCAAGTCAGCTTTCGATTTGTCATGCCTAGGTCCGGCTGCAGGCTCCCGAGGGCCTGTGTGCTTCTAGTTGCCGGAGGAGAGACTTGGAAACAACAAACAAAAACAAAATGAAAAGAAAACAAATGAACACAGAATTAGGTTAAAGGTTGATAGCCATCCTGTAAGGGGCAGCTTCTCTAGCCTTACCCCTTACATCTACACACTCATTTCAACATTTCAGTCTCACATTTAGAGTCTTCTTTGGTATTGGAAAGCTCAAAGAGCATCAAATGTCATTATATGTCCTTTGAATGAAAAATAAATGTTTACATGTCCTGTTTTGACATTAATATTAAATATGTATACTAAGAATGAGGCTGTTCTTGCTGTCATTACTCTTGTACTTTGTGTATCATATGTTATGGTACACAAATATCTTGATACAGTTGATATGTAAGCGTAAAGGTTTTTTGGCACTTTGAGCACACTGAACATACCCAAACCACGTGAGGCCACGTCGGTAGCTATGAGGATGGGAGCTTTGCCGCTGCGAAACTCTGCGACAGAAAAGAAGACATGATGAAGAGCGGACTTCTCAAAGTATAAAACTGAGGGGAGCAATTTCTAAACAAAACACCATGAACTGAAAGTGTGACGCTGTACCAGATAACACCCAGTCTCTCTCTGGCTGGCTCTTGTCTCCATGGATGCACATTGCTGGCCACCTGAAAGAGAGGCAAGTATTTCATATGAGCTATCACATCAACACCTAGTTGTATCTACAGGGGACGTCATATTAATCATTTTTCTTCTTGATGACAAAAAACTAACACATCTGTACCAGGGGTTTTAATGATGAATGAAAGGGATATTCCAGCGTAAAATTAATTTAGGGTCAAACACACCGTAACACAGAGTTAGACATCGCCTCGAGAGATGAATTTTGCCGACCGCTTGCTTCTCTAGTTATACCAACTTTAGTAACGACCGCAGGATAGCAATACAGAGAGCCACGCGCTCAACCAAGAAGCCATTCCATAGCTACAAATAATGCTCAGAACAGCACCTAACTTCATCAACAGTACATATAGGGTCCAAGACATAGTACTAGTCACCAAACATCTTTTTAGCTTTGCCTGATTTCTTTCGCAAAGAGACTAAACACAACTGACCGTCTCTCTTCCAGCAGCTGCTTGTTTGTACGGAGACCTCGGTCCAGTCCATTACGGACTGCTGCGGGGTGGCGCAGCTCAAGGAAGAACATTTATGACCATTACTTTATCATTTCCTTGAAGTAATAATCACCATATTAATCATTTTGCGCTGCAGAGGCAGTAGTTCTTCTGCCTTAGCATCTCAGTCTGATTGCATTCCCATGAAGAAATGATCATAAATGTTTTTCCTTGAGCTGCACCGTCCCGCTGCAGTCTGTAATGGACTCGCCTGGGGTCTCTGTACAAACAAGCGGCTGCTGGAAGAGAGTGGGTGAGTTGTGTTTAGTCTCTTTGCTAAAGAAATCAAGCAAAGCTAAAAAGATGTTTGGTGGCTAGTACTATGGCTGAGACCCTACATGTACTGTTGATGAAGTTAGGTGCTGTTCTGAGCATTATTTGTGGCTATAGAGTGGCGTTTTGGTTGAGGTTTGTTTTTGGCTCCTCGGACTGCTGTGTATTGCTATCTGCAGTTATCACTAAAGTTGGTATAACTAGAGAAGCAAGCAGTCAGCAACATTCATTTCTTAAGGGGGTGTCTAACTCGGTGTTACGGTGTGTTTGGCCCTAAATTAATTTTACGCCAGAATATCCCTTTAAGTAAGAAGTTACTGAAGGATAAGAACAAACTCAAACTCACTTATTGGACTCCTCTCTGGTACAGATCAACAACTTATGGTGTCTCTACTTTACTCACCCGTCACGTCTCATCCTGCGTGTGAGATCATCACATCGTTTCTTTGTCTCTACAAATATGATGGTTTTGTTCTCTTTCTCCGCCATAATCTCCTCCATCAGCTGGAACAACCTGGGTGAAGAAAACAAATACATAATGTATAGATGCTATTTTCAATGTTTTCTTCAGAGATTAGAGGAAAACGGGCTCTAACAAAACACAACAAGAACAGAAAGATCGTACTTGTTGTCCTTTTCACTCTCCATACAGACATCAACTATCTGGAGGATGTTGTGGTTGGCACTGAGTTCGAGTGCTCCAACATTGATCTGGACATAATCTTTCAAGAAGTCCTCTGCCAGCTGGCGGACTTCTTTGGGCCAGGTAGCACTCCACATCAGGGTCTGTCTGTCAGGCTGGACAAAGAGCACGAAAAATAATCAACAAACTGCCTGACAGGTACTAAGATGGCTGCTTCACATCACACAAACATCACAGCAGGATTATTTTTAAAGACAAAATAGCTTATGAGACACTGATGGAAAAAGAAAATAAAAGTGCTTCAGCCTTACCCTGATCTGGTCCACAATCTTGCGAATCTGTGGTTCAAAACCCATGTCCAACATGCGGTCTGCCTCATCCAGAACCAAGTACGTGCAGCGCCGCAGGTTGGTCTTACCGGCTTCTAGAAAGTCAATCAAACGACCCGGAGTCGCAATGCAGATCTCAACACCTAGAAAAGACAATCTGGGTAAGTTTCAGTTTGTGTTACTGTGTTACCTTAAACCCAATGAAGACCTAAAGCTTTAACTGACTGGAGGTTACACTCTTCACCTGTATTACAATAGCCCTGGTTGTCTAACACGCAGGAGTGACTTTAATGCTTAGAGGGGCACAGGCATGACTCTGAAGTCAGGACAGTTGTCCTATTCAAGCTCATATAAACAGAGAAAGTAACAGTCACAGAACCAGACAACTCACAATTTATTATTCACTATTTGTATTTTTTTTCATTTGAGTCATGTTATCCTGATATTTGATTGGTGGAGACAGCAGATAGAAGGGTGTTACTCATCATGCTATGAGTGTTCATGTGAACATGCATGATAAGACGGGGTGTAGCTATGACTAATGTCATGGTTGAATCAGGCGTGAGAGATAAGACCATGTTGGTCTGAGCCCAGCTGGTGCACTCGGCCCCTGCTCTGTAAAGCCCTATTTGCCTCCCTCACTCTTTAAGTACCATGTCGTTAGGAGCGCTCTGCTTGACTTCACATGTTTTTTTCCTCAGACAGGTCTCCTTGTCCTTCTTTTTTTCCCTGTTGTCAATTGTTGAGTTTTGATTTTGTGTTATGTAGTGTTTGTTTCAGCTGGAGACTCTCAGTTGTCCTATTTTCAAGCTTTTCTTCAGCTAAGTTTTCTTTTTAATTTGGGAAAAGGCTTGGCATGTGTCTCCGGTCTATTTTGTTTTCATTATTCTGTTTAGTTGTGAAAACTGTAAAGCCTGTGGGATAGGGATATAAAACTTGAATGGAGTCCTTCTTTTCACATGTTGTCATCTCCATATTAAGAGTTTTGGTTTTTTTTGTAAGGGAAAGCATCACAATGTGGTACAAAACTGGTTCAAACTGTGTTTTTTTTTTTTACATACAGATCTATTGTGAGTAAGACTGGGAAAAACATTTAGCTTATTAGAATAGTTATACAGAAGTTACTGATGTGAAACTTAAGATTTTCATCCAAAATAGAAAGTACTCCACCTCGTTCCAAGTCTCTGATCTGAGGACCCTTTGGAGCTCCTCCATACACACAGGTGCTTTTGATTCGGGATGACTTTCCATAGTCATACGCCACCTGCTGGACCTGCTGCGCCAGTTCTCTTGTTGGGGCTAGAACCAAACACTGCAGAGCAAACATAAGAAGCCACAGCAGACAACTGTTTAGTGTATCAGACATTCTACAACGGTGTTATCATGGTTTACAATATCAGTACGAAACTGTGATTTCTTTGGCAGAAAACTGAATATCACATACGATGGGTCCATCTCCACGCTCCAGGTAAGGCTGGTGATTGATGTGCACAATAGCAGGGAGGAGATACTGAAGAGAAAAGGAGGAAAGACAGTGGGTTGTGGTGCGGTGTATAACATGTATATCATGGACAGAAGCAGAGGAAGTATGTGCCTCACCGACAGAGTCTTCCCTGAGCCAGTCTGAGCAATGCCCACCATGTCTCTTCCACTGAGGGCCAGAGGAAAACCTTGAGCCTGAATGGCTGTTGGCTCCTTGAAATTTTGCTGCATCAGTACGTCCATTACATACTCTATATAGAGGGACAGAAAAATAACATTATAAGTACTTCCATAAAAGTGGATGTTAATTTTCTGACGCTGTGTAGTGCTGTATGTGTGCGTGAACTTACGAGGAAACTGTGCCTGATGGAAGTTGATGATGGGCCTCGGGCAGCCTGAGCCTCGAATAGTGATTTCTTTTTTCCTGCGGTACTCATCAACATCATACTGAGGGTACAAAACATAAACAGAGTGTGTCAAACCGCATAGACCAAACACCTGGTAGTTTTTTAAATGGGGTCTCTTACCTAATGCTCAAGGATTTACTTATGTTACATGTATCAGTAAATGAAGACAGTTATTCATCTACCTGGCTCATTCTCTGCATTTCAGGATGTTCTGTGTAAAAGTTCTTCTCAAATTTGGGAAGCTCATCAAGGTTCCATCTCTTCTTTCGTAAACGGTCCCCTGGATTTCCAAACTTTCGACTTGGCGGTGGCCCACTCCTGCTCGAGCCAAAACGAGGGCTTCTTCAAAATAAGACAAACAGTTTATTAAACCATCTCCTTGGACAAAACTCATAAAGCTCATTAATGACAAACATAATATATTCATCCAAACTGTCCCCCTCATACCCTGCTGTTCCGTTGTTGTATAAAGTGTAAAAACTGTCGGAAAACTCGGTTAGCAAGAGGCTAATGTACATTTAACAATCAATACACTATAACTTTTACAGTTCTGTACTGTTTGTTTGTGTGACAGGAAAGTTTGGCTTTTTTTCACCCTTTCTTCGTCTGTCTAAGTTTTGTTTGCTTCCCGGCTTCGAAGCAACTCATCCATGGGACTCAACTTCCAGCTCAAAACCCAGCATGCGAACACCGAGGCATGAGCAGAACCCTTAGACCAGTTTCAGTTTGATTGATGACAGGGAAAATTGACCCTCAACTGCATTATCTAAGTATATTAGTTGACTGTGGAAGATTGATTTAGTACAAGCTCTGTTAAGAGTAATGCGTTAACAAGTACTTTAAATGTCAAATTACAGTGTAGCAGCCCCGATGTCAGCACGGGGGGCATGGTGCCTAACGTGCCAGTGCGGCCATTTTGACAGACATAACAACACTGAGCGCATTGGAATGAATTAAATCAGGATGATGTTAGGTTTTAAAAACCAACTTTTTATTAGCTGACTACACAGTAATGGAGAACAGAACGGAGAGAGCCAAACTTGGACTCAACATGCCGTACAGGGACAAGCTGAACAATGAAAAAAGAGAGAGTTACTTAAGCAAAATTGCAGATGTTGCTGGACTCGACCCATATAAACACACTGTATGGTCAGAAGATGATTTCGAGTGCCGTCCCCGTTCTCCATTACTGTGTGGTCCGCTAATAAATTGGTGGTTTTGAAAACCGAACTTCATCCTAATTTCATTCATTCCAATGCGCTTAGTGTTGTTATGTCTGTCAAAATGGCCGTGCTGGCACATTACGCACCACACCCCCTGTGCTGATGTCAGCGCTGCTAAACTCTATATGCACTACTTCTTTTTATAACAACATGTAGAGGTACTGAATGATACAGTGTTTAAATCTTGATAGAAAAATGCATATGGTTAGTTAAGACTTGCTTGTCATTTGTGTTTGCCACACAGTTTTAATGTCCCCCCCTTATTCCATTGGTGCCCCAGGTGGGCCCAATCTAACAAGTCCAGCCCCGCCCCTGCCAATGTCTGGTGCTAATAATATCTTGCATGCATGTTTTTTCACCACCCATAGTGCTGTTGACATAAATATGTCGTCATGTAATTACTTACCCCCTGTCACGCCCACGGTCTCGATCTCTGTCTCCGTAAGAACCTCTCATTTTCATAAAGTGCAACCAGCAATTCAGTGATTTAGCTCAGCTTGGCTTCAGGTCAGTGGGCCTTATGGTCGTGGTCACCGTCGTCTAAGGCCTCGCTAAAGTATCTCCGTTGATAAATAATGCCTGTAACACTGGCTGGTAGGCGAAACTGCCGCTATCTTGTTTGTCTGCTGAAAAGTTCCGTATGAAAAACTCCAAAGTGTTCACAATTACGAGCCAAACTTCAGAATGATAACACAGTACGGCGTTTAGCTTTTCTGCTATGTTGTTGTTTGTGCAGAGCCGGCGAACGGAAGCTGCTGTGAGTGGCTGAGAGCTTGATAAGCCCCGCCCACTATTATGATTGACATCTCATAGAAGTCCTTACGATCCCCATTCACTGAATCAAAAAACGAAATTGAAAAACAAATAAGTAGAAAATATCAAATAAAAATGAGTATAAATTATTTCTAAATGAAAACTAAATAAAATAAAAAATAATTGAGCGAGAGATTAAAGAAATAATGCTTACTAATGAAAGTGGTATTTTGTGTGTTTTTAATATGAAAACCACCTTTTAAGGAGCTGCAATATTATGTGAGAATCTTGGTTCTTGGTTCAACCTTTTTTTTTTTTTTGGGTATTGATAATGATGATGATGATTGATATTAAATTTTCCTTCAGGGAATCAATAAAGTTCTTCTTATCTTGAATTTCAAACTATGGCAGCTCTATTTTTCACAGTGATGAGCAGTATTTTTCCTTTAATTGTAACAAGAAACAAACACATCTTTGCATTGTCTTTTATTTCCTTGAAACATCAATAGAAACCAATATAGCATCAAAACATGAAATAATATTACCAATACACATATTAAAAAAAGTATACAACAGAAATAAAACATGAGAATATCTGAGAATTAAAATATTCCACTTAAGCACTAAACAAGCTATGCCATATACCGTCATAGTCATGACTGATGTGCAGTGCTTAGATTAACTCTATTTACAACATTCTTTCCTCTCTGGTATAATATTTACCAATTTAAAATATTAAGCTTTGTATTTAACATACAGTCTTTGTTTCACGTGGAATCAAAACAAAAGTTTCAGTGTTTTTGTATCATCAATACGCTCAAGTTTGATATGCTGTTACATCAAGGCAGAGTATAAGGCAATGAAATTCACTCTTTCAATACCACTAAATCAATTTAACGTGTATATATGTATATAAAAAAGTCACTGAAGCTTGCCTTTGCCTGCAGCATTACTGGTTCAAGAAAGACAAAAAGAAAAGTGATTCATTAATTGTTTAGGATAGGGACTGGAAGCAAGGATGTGGGGTAGCATTCAAAGCTAAAAACTCGATTTTTAACCCTTGAAAAGTTAAAAATGAAACACCTGACTCATCATTGTAATCGATTAAGCTGCTTTCTTCATCCATGGGATCATACAGCCTCAATCAAACAGTGTTCGAAACTAAATGGTCTCATTCAACATTACAGGAAATAATGATCCATCATTTAAAGACAGCATCTGTCAAATGGATCTCCTCAGCTGGTAATGTCAGAACAATAAACAGTCGGGTGGTTTCTGTTTACCTCCAAAAAACAGAAACCAGATGGTCCGTGATCATTCCATCATTTCACACTCCTGTATTTTATGCTTAGATGTCCCTTTAACACTGTCACATTTAAAGCCCTGCTTGCACTGATCCAAGTTTACTTTTTGTTGTTATGACCATCATAACTCACTCACTAGAACAGCAGCGATGCCATTATAGTACCAGCAGAGGCAGGCCTGATCTGTGCGCCATGTAATTCCTTTCATTATGGGATTACGCTCCACAGCACATCACAGCTGGGCAGGCTCTGTAGCGAAGTGCTGCTTCTCCTGTAATCTGTAATCTGTGTGGGTGTTGTCCCTCCATCAGTCTCTGTGTCCACTCTAAAATCTCTACTACAGCTGTTCCCTCAGTTACACTCTGCGAGGAGACTGCCAGGCCGACAGCTGCTTTCATACCAATTGCACTCTTGAGTCACTTACAAACATAAACAAACACAGAATATTTAGAACATCTCTGGAATAACAAATTTCCAACAAACTAGTTCTCTAAATGAGTTATATCTTTAAGGTCATACAACTTTACAAAAATGTGATTGAAGTCTTATATATTAAAAAGGAGCCTGAAAATCTAAAGGTGCCTTCCTTTCTACATCTTAAGACAGTGTGTCTCATTTAGTCAACACAGGGTAACACTCCCTCTATTTGGCAATGTTTCGGTACGAGGCAGAGTTGGCAGAAGAGTGAAGAAGAGCACGGACTGAAAGGTGGTACAAAAAAACTAAACAAAACAAAAAAACAACTAGAATATGAAAGAGGCCATGTGTTTGAGATGAAGATGGCACTTTTTGCTTGGATCTGTCTTGTCTTTTTTGCTGTGGTATTGATAGTGCAGCAAAAGGACGCTGTATGCAGGCACAGTTATTTTACTAAACCATATTCAAAGAAGGAATATAGAAATAAACTTTCTGTCAGTTACAGCCTCTCTCATATCATCAATCAGACTAATTAATGAAAACACCTAATGTCCTTATCTCCTTCATTTCTTTCCTTCCATGCTGAATTTGCAACAACTTCAACCCTCTTTTCTGCAGCAATTCTATCTCTTTTCCGACTGAACACACTCCTTCCTTTCTACACTTTTCACCATATTTTCAAAAGTCTGACATGAAAATGAGCAAGTAGGAAAACAGATCTTCTCCTTAAGATTTAATCTGTGTCACAGAGTCGATAAAAACATACTGGCTACATGAGTAGATCAAGCCTCTGAGTGTGTGTTGGAGTCTTAAAACTCGTCATCAGAGCTAAGCAGCAGGGTCTTTTCGTTGTCCCCGCGGGTGCTGAGGTTGCTGTGGCTGCGGGAGAGGGCAGGCCCTCCGCCTCGTTCCAGTGTGGACTGCTGGGTGTACTGCTGATAAGCTGGGGAGAAGTTATGGATGGCATCCTGGACCATGTCCCCGGGATTCATGGTCTCCTTCAGGCTGCTGGAGATGCTCTTCATTGGGGCACAGCGACCTGAAGGAGTAGAGAAGTCAGGTTATATTAGAAAAAAAACATAGCTTTATGGATGGATGGATAGGGAGGGACAGGTGAAGGTGATCAATGAGTAATGATATGACTCGGTACATTTACATACATGATATCACATAAATTGGTTTACTGCTTAAGCTGAGTTAAAATTTTACTTTTAGATTAAATGTAAAAGGTTTAGGCTAACTAAAATCACACCAAGTTGTATATCTCGAAGTCAAACTAACACACTAAAAACCAGTTAGCCTCGCTAACTTGTTTGTTGATTGTTTTGGTATGTGGTATAGTAGGTCAACTGGATGAAGGTCCAATTGTAACCAGAAAGGAGCGTATCGCCACCTATTGCAGTGGAAGCAGACATACTTTTATCAGTTAACTGATTCTCATCAGGTGCTTCCACACTGACAAGAACAGTAGTCCAATGAAACCACCTCATCAAGCTCTAGCGTACTAGCTGAAACTACACATAAAATCCAAAGTATGTTTTGGAAATTTCAAAAATAGTTCAGCAAACTTTGATCATAAAAATAACACAACATTGCAACCAAGACTACTTTTGAAATCTAGTTTTTGCTTGTGGGGAGAGTGAATGGGAAAGGGACCACTGGGTCTGGGGTGGTATCACAAACAGAACAACACAGTGAGTGGAGAGATGACAAAACAATATATTCAAAAAATTCGCTGACAGAAAAAAAAGAAGCACAAGGACACCAAACGTGACAGCCTTTACGCTGAACTGAAATATAAAATCAAATTAATGGACATACAAACACAACAACCAACAAGAGACTTCTAAAAAAGCACTGTGATGGGGGGAAAACTGAAACTGTAGCAAACACAGCTAATATCAGACCTACCATACTGTCCATAGATTGGAAATGAGCCTATTAGTGCAGCACGGGGAAGAAGAATGGAGAAGCAGAGAGAAGAAAGAAACAGAGGGAAGGAATACAAGAGAGTCAGGATGAAAATGAAGGAACTTGGAAAGAAAACACGAATATTTAGAGTTTATGTAGCATGTCAAAGTTCTTCACATATGCAAATCATGTGTGAAATCCACCGCGGTCTGAGGCGCTGAAAGTGAAGCATACTGTAAACAAAATAAAAAAGCAACCCTATTTTCAGGTTGCATAAGTGACTCTGAAGTCGAGCTGAATAGCAGCCTGATTTCAAGTTTTGAATTTTGCAGAGTACAGGGGATCATGAAAGCAAATCACAGCCCATCAGGTTCATGTGAGAATACAGCGAAAGTCATAAACTGAGACTCAGATCCTTTCAGTCAGAGTGCAGAAATCAATCTGTATAAAAAGTACACAGGTTATAACACACAGTCTAACATAACCATTATACTCACTTCATTATTTACTTATCAAGTTGAGACCCATTAAAATGACACCAAGACATACACACTTAAACCAGCACATTTACACTCCCACTCACCGTAAGAGTCCAGTCGTTTGTCCATGTAGACCTTATAGGTAAAGGCGTGGCGCAGAGCAATGGCAGCAAAGAACATCTCAATGCAGATGATGAAGTTTTGGTACCCAGCTGCTACTGTTCCCTCGCCCACAGAGAAATCAGCCGAGTTGATCTGAGGGATCGCTCCGCACTTCTCAAGTATGGCCAGCAGCATCCCTGAGGTGCACAGAGACATAAAGGGTGTGAAAAAAGGTGGATCTTCTTACAGATGATAGGCACACTGTTGTATGAATGAAATGACAGAAAACCCAAGTGGGGACCCAAAAACTTTGTCTAAGTATCACAAAACTATAGAATAACTTGTTTCTGAAATTGTTTCTGGCAGTGCAACAGAAAATCTTGAAGTCACAGCACTTCATCAAGAAGCACACTAATTACCAAATTTTGTTATAGCATGGAAGGAAGTAAAATTAATGCACGAAACAAAGCTAACTATGATTACAATATGTTTTTTTGCTGCCTCTACATGAACACTAGCACAATCAAATGAATACAACTACAGTTTCTTACTTTTTTCACAACCTGAAAAACAAATCAAAACAATATACACAATATTTGGATGAAAAACACATATCCAGTGCTGTTTGAAATTATGAGAAGCAATCAAGGTACGTGAGTGTGTGCATTTAAAAGCTCAATGGTGTTTTTTTTACCTTGCCAGAAGGACAGAAAGATGACTGACTTGACCATGAAGAACTTGAGCACTGGGTTGTATGGGACAAGTAGCTCTCGTGTGGCGAAGTAGAAGAGAAAGAGAGCGTAGAGCGACAGGCTGACGGAGATGTTGTAGATGATGGTCGCATACAGGTAGCCGCTTGCCACACTGAAAGAAGACAAAGAAGAAAGGATGTGACTGAGGTCAAACATCTGAAGGAGAAGGAAAGAGGAAACTTTTCTCTGCACTACAGACACAAATCCTTCAATTCAATAGGTTTGATCGATCAGTTCTCAGGGAGGAGTGTGCGTTGTGGAAACATACTTAAAGTCTCCATCTCTGTATTTCCCGAAGGCTTGAAGAATGACAGTAATGACCGCCATAAGAGGTTTCACCACACAGAACTGGAGAGTTGCCTGAGGATCGAAAACAAGGAAGATGAATAGTAGATAAATATTGTCATGAGAAACACTGGGTGAGCAATACTACCAGGGTTTACTATTCGTTCCTTATGCTCTTGTAAAACTCGCTTAAAAACTCATTTTAAAGGGTGAGAGTTTTAACTTAACTCCGTTGGTTTGAGTTTCATCTTTAACTGAATTTTAACTCACTCCTATTGGCTGATTGTTTTGGCAGTAGCTTTTAATCAGAATTTGAAAAACTGTACCAGGGGATGACAGGAGAACAGTACAATCAAGTCCACATGAATTTGTGGTCAACATGATAAAACATCCACTAACTCTTCATTTGTCTCAGTTTGAAACAATCACCCGTTATCATCATATTCATCATTTGGTTTGTACCTGTTTGCAAAACCTGAGGAATCCAATGGAGTAGGTCTTTCCCCATAGACAGCAGGTCCCATACACACAGCTGGACCTGAGGTAAAGGTAGGTTGACACACATATAGCTGTAAAACATCTTATCAAAAAAACTTAATTAACTGTTTTATAATTAAGGGAGAAAAGACTGAAAGAAAATTTACTCAATAGGTTTTCCTCTGATCTCTGCCATGATTGCGCTCTCTCCTCCCAGATACTCGTAACACAGACTCAGGAAGTTGTAGATGACAAAGGCTGTGACACAGAGAGCAAAAACAAATTACGTTTTTTATTTAGTTATAATACAGTTTTTATTCTTGATGTCTGAATATTTCAATTTGTTGGATTTGATGTAAAGGCTGGTCTGTTTCTATAGGGGTAAACCTGTTCTTGTGCTTATCCCTGGATAATGATTCAGAGGGTGAAGGTCTGAGCTAAACTCTAAGGTGTGGTGTTAAAGCCTTGTTTGGGAAATCTGATTTCTAGAGACAGCTTATTGTCCCATCCAACTGCTACACAATAGTGTTATATAATACAGATGCTTCAAAACAAAAAGACAGATATTATGCACATCGAAAGCTGTGATATTCTTACATGTAATGTGTTACCAAGGTACCGCACACAGAGATCAAAATCAGGGTGTCACTTATGATGCTTTGTATTATTCTCTCACAGCATCGTGGGCCTCAGGTGATGTAACAGCAGGTGTGTCTGTAATCCCCCCGTGTCCTGCCCAATGGACCAATCTAATACATGATCTGTCATATCAATGCAGCCATCTTTACTGGTTGTTTTAGCACCTGACAGATACACAGGTGCTGCACACTCTTTGTAATCATTTTGGAGACTTTTAAAAGAAAAACAACATGTCATATAACGCTTTCTGGATAGTGTAAATTTGATAAAGAATTGAGACATATCTCAAGTACAATTCAAGACATCCAAAAGAACAAGACTCCTGTTTTTCTTTTACCATTCTCAAAATTCGAATTTAGGACTATTTAAGACTAAGACAATATTCAGAACATGTTATTGTTTAATGTAGGATTTCAGCTGTTCTACACTTTTCTGTCTCCTTTGTTGATGTGCCAAATGTTTTTAATGTGTGACATTGAGATTTCAGTCTAGCTGGGTTTTCTTCTTGACTCTTTTATTACAGAGTCATGCTATTGCAGTTTTTTCAGAAAGCGGTTTGCCACCATCCTTGCTGAAAGATTCAAGGTCTCTTCTGACAAAGGGATTGTCTGGATGGCAGCATGTGTTGCTCCAAAACCTCTTGGTATTGTTCAGGTTCAATGGTGTCTTCCTAGATTTATAAGCTACACATCCCATGGACACTCCTCTCTATCGCCGACCACATTGTGTCCCTTATTCCCAAAAAGAACATCGAATTTTGCTTCCTCAGAGCACAGGGCAGTTTTCCACTTCAGTCCATTTTGTGTGGGTTTTGTTCCAGAGAAGGGACCCTGCATTTCTGGATCATTTCTGTTTTGTTTCCTCTTTGTATGGTGGAGTTTCTTTAACTAACGTTTGTGGATGCAGCAACTAGCTGTGTTCATAGGAGGCATTTTTTTGAAGTGATTTTGAGCCCATGCAGTGACTTCCACCACACAGTTTTTATGCAGTGATCACAGAAGATCAATGCCATCCAGAATTAGTTATTACCTTTTTCTCTTTTGCAGAGATTTGGCATGGTCTTTACAGGTTTTAATGTACCTCAGATGTTATAAACTCCAAAGTTATGTCAGTTTTCTGGTGAGGTACATTTATTCTGAAATTGCAGAACAATTTGCTAACACGATCTCTCACAAAGGGCCCAATCTTTTTACATCTTTACTCCTAAGAGACCTAGCCTTTCAGGAAAGTCCTTTGTCTACCCAGTCATTTTACTAACTAGTTGCAATTGACTCTAATTAGCTTCCAACTAAGTCCGTGTTTCTTTATCCCTGTCCCAACCATTTTTATATACTGTATGTTGCTGTTATTAAACCATAAAATGATCTTTTGTTATTTATCAAACAATACAATTCCTCACCTCCATTATTTGGTATCTAATATTTGCACTATACTAATTAAACACTTTGGATGATCTGCAATCCATTAAAATCAGTTTTTAAATCAACACTTTCACAACACTCCAACTTTTTTGGGAATTAAGGTTTGCATCTCTTTTAAAGATTGTTATTATATTTGCTATTTTGCCTTGATCAGACAGTTTGACAGAGACAGAAACTATGGGGAGTGAAAGGAAGAAATGACAAGCACAAAATCATGCCAGGACTGGGAATCAATCCCACAACCAGTGTGACTGCAGCCTCTGTATATGAGGTGCCTGCTCTACCAGGGCTTGACCAGGACCCAGGGAATGTATGTTTGTATACAATGGAGTTTATAATTGAGCCTCCAGGAACACATGTAATCAGCTCTGCTCTGACATGTAACTACAATTTTTACTTCAGTAATCCTTCAGAGAAACGTTTGACGATGAAATAAAGACGGCAAATTTTACTTCACATCTCGTTTTTAAACTGCAAGAGAATACTCAGAGAGAGCCGTGTTAGAGCGGATTAACTATAAGCTTACAATTTATCTGCTGATAAGTCAGGTGCCTTTAAAAGTCTTCACAAGGCTTTTGCTCGTTTTCATACAGTTGCTAAGGAACAGGTTTCCCCTCCCCTGCAATCCCAGGAGGCCACAGAGACACGAGAACAAAGATGGCAACCTTTGTAAAAGAAGACACTGAAAAGGCCATCTGCCGCGGAGCTTTCACAACACATAAATTCCCACACCCTTAATTCTACTGAGATTTAAAAGACACATCTCAACATAAAACAGTGAGTCCCACTGCTGCGGTGAATACTAGCCTGCTGTCTGCATGCCATGTATTAACAGCATATAATCCAGTCTTAGCTAGAATACAAGGGCACCAAGCCTTCCTCAGTCTACTCACCTTCATAGCAGTCTCTGACAGTGTCGAAGTACACATAATACTCCTCATTGGTGAAGAAGAGGAGGCTGAGCCAGGAGTCAAAGGCATAGATAGGGACTATGAAAAGGATCCGGACTATGTGCCTCTGTTCATTTGGAGAACTGTAGTAGCGTAAGTGCATGTAAATCTGCATAAAAAAAGAGAGAAACAGGAGGTTAAAAAGAGATTAATTTGAACAAATGTAGTGTTTGAGGACAGATATCCGAGACCTGGGCACATATCTTGACATTTTAATTACTCTGATTACCTGGGATAATGAGTAATAGCAGTTGTTTTTAGGAAATCACAACATAGGATGATCATAACTGGTATCTCTAGAGTTTTAAAACACAGACAAAACATACCAGGTACATCATGGTCTGCAAAGCCTACTCTTATTTTGAGAAAATCATCCTGTTCTCACAAGGTTACAAGCTTCGTTATTATTGCCTTCCCATTAAAAACAAGATTTAAAAAGTTGAGGTCCAACAACCAGAAAATATACACTATCATATGGAAAAAGGGTAATTGAAATATGCAAATGCATGTCTGTCTTGGGCTCCCGTAACCGGCAGACTTTGCAAAACACCCTGATGAAATGATGAAGTTGTTACTAACGTTATCAGAATCTTTTTTTCTTTTTTTTTGTGAAGGGATCATGCTTGACTTTGTAATGCTACTCGTGCAAAAAAAATGAAACAGAAGGGAGTGACAAGAAATCTCTGCAGTAAGAAAGGGGTGCAGGCAAATAAGAACATGCACATTTTACCTATCTGGATGCTCTGCAGAATTTAAAAACCCTTGTGTTTATAACACAGTCTCCCTGAAACTGCCCTAATTCATCATTCTCATTGTGAAACCACAGCTCAGAGTGTAGAGGATAAAGAGGTTAGCTGAAACTAACTACTGCCTAATGAAACCTGGATGTGGTTCTCATCAGGCTCTCATCTTCCTACACAGGTCACAATACAGCCAGTACACATTTCCCCCAGTTGTCACAGAGCTGTGTGTCTGAGAGCTGTTTGCTGTATGCATGTGCTGACACATGGGGCTGTTTAGTGTAACTGATACTGGGCTGTTATCGGTCCTATTGAGAGCAGTAGACAGAAGGCAGGAAGGACAGGGAGGGGCTTGTGTCACCGGAACGACTGTCTGCTCCATCAGGCTCCTTTCCACTTACACAATGTCCCACCTATCACCTTTCCTACATGTAAACAGACACACACCTGTGATAAAATAACAGTTGGTGACAACACACTAAGTGAGACAGGGCACTCAGCTCATAGGGCTTGTTGCTAGGTAACCTCCTTCCTCCCTTGTGCACACACATTGTCAGACCCACCACTCACTCTTTGATGTAACAGGCGAGCCTGAGGCACCTGTTGCCAGAGTGATAGGGAGCTCATCTTAAACCCTGTAAGTGAAGAGTAACAGGCAACAATGGAAGACGAACCCTTGACCTAAGCCTCCAGGTAGAAAGGGTTTCTCAGACATGTAAAGACGAAGACAAACTGAGAATATCTCCTTTATTCTGTAACTGGAATCTTTCAGTGTTAACTTTGTTATGTTATGTTTCTGTACATATCAAACCTCATGCACAGCCATCTTTGTACCACAAACAAGCAGCATTTGATAAAGAATTTACTATGTTCTTGCAAGACCTCACTTTCAACTACTTTTCCAGTAACCTGCTTAAAGGAGGCATCTCACCACCTTCTATAGCAGAGGTGGACATACCTTTGTCAATGAATCGATTCTTGCTCAGTGCTTTGACACTCTAACATGGACAGAAGTTGAATCAAATTGCTTAATGGACATAAAACCTCAGCTTCTCTTAACTGTGCGTGTAAACATACTGATTGAGGATATCTTCTGAGGAGAGGACTGGTGGCTAAGGTAGATCTCAGCTAAACAAGTCCCTCTTACTACAGTGTTAAACTTTCCCAACTTAGATCATAAATTCTAAATGTGTTTTAAATCAAAATATAATGTCAGTGTAAAGTCAATGATAAAAAAAATGTAGTGCAGACATGGCAGGCGACTATATTTTAGTTTTATAGCCTCAGTAAACAGAGTCTCATGGAAAAGTGTTCTAGAGTGTGAATGAGTCTATGTTTTGCACTGCGGCTGTGGAGGAACTATTTGTGCTGAACAAACTGTCTTTTGATCGATGAAGTTCAAGAAAAAGGGGAAAATAAACACAGTGGTAACACCTGAAAGACTACGAGCAACATTTAGATTTTACTCCCTGTGCCCAAAGGAAAAAAGGACTTTGCTATTTGTAGCTGCGTGTACTCAGTAAACACCAATGTTTTTTTTTGCTATTATTCTTGCTGAACTGGTCACTTTTGGACACAGTATAATACACAGTAAATGAAAGAAGTCCTATTTGATCCAAAATATCTGACTGCAAAATACACGTCACATTCTCACCATCATTCTTTCCCACTGATCGATGCCGTCATGTGTTAATGTTGTAAAGCCTGAGTGGTGGTTGACCTCCATTAAAAATTGTACATAGGTTTATTGAAGTTGTGGTGTTTTTCAGTCATTTTCAGTGGGTGCATTAAACTTTTTGCTGGTGCACCTAACTTTTATGCCTTATCACTTTCTATTAGTTCTATTAACCTCTTTCTTTTTTTATTCACTGCTTTTTTCTCACCTCTTCTGCAAATCGGATGATTTGATGGTTTTCATCAGCATGTTTTAAAATGACACCACTCACATCTTGAAATCCATCACCTGATTTTACATCATAACAACAGGTGATGTTCACAACATATCCAACACATGACAGTCTGTTTATTAGCATTAGCAACCCTATGGCTAAAATGTTCGCAGTGGGGGTGGGGTGGGCGGGGATTTAAACCAGAAAGCAAAAAATGTCCAACAGAAGGTTGTGAGTTTCTCAAGGAGGTTAAAGTACAACTGTGTGCATTACTACTAATTTGATATAACATCTGAATACTAGAACCGCAACAGACAGTGATAAGACAACAGTAACTGATGCAACTGTTGCTCATCTTCCAACAGACAATCAGACAGCGGATGTTCATCTCACATCTTTGCCTCTCTGCACACTGGATTGTCTCTTCACCTTAAAGTTGAAAGTGATCCAGATCAGTCAATGCCCTGATCCAGTTTGAGGAAATTATAGTAATTAAAAAGAAGTATACATGCAACAGCCAAGTAAATGTCTAATGTTTACATGCACAAGAGCCTCACACAGCAGAGCTTGTAGAACAGATCTTATGTTTTACAGCAGGATTAGCTGCACTTGATTCAAATACGCTGAAGATGTCTTAAATTCTTTAAGCAAACAAAAACAGAACAACAAGTAAAATGGTGTGCAGCTCTATTATCTAGGCCAAATAACAAGTATTGGATTAGGATTCTGAATCAGCAGACACTTAACCTTCAAAATCCAATTAGGACTGGGGGCCATAGCGGCTGGTCGGGAAATGGCTGGAGAACATACATTGGTGGTCTGTTCAAGTATCATCTATTTGTTGAAAACAGACTTGAAATCATAATCTCCCATCTCCAAACGTCTGATTCTTCTTACCTGGTGACATGTGATCAGAAGCGCTGTCCACACAAAAAACCCTGATATAGTTTGAGCAGTGGAAGTCATGAGGAAAAAGGGCTCTTCTGGTGTGACCACCGGGGCCTCTGGTACCCAGGAGGAGTTGGGTGCTTGTGGGGCCATTGTGGCCGGTGACCCCGGAGGGATGCCAACCGGAGAGCCATTACCTAAATTCTCTGACAGGGGTATGTCTCGCCGCCAAAATGGACTCATCTATAAAGAGAAAAAGGTAGACGAGACTTAGTACACTTGAATGTTTTAAAGGTGTTAAAAAAACATTTCAGCCAAGGCATCTGGAGCACAGTGTACTTCACAACGTAAAGGCTCCAGGTAAAGACCCCTTAGTCAAACACTTCCACAGCAGACACGCACAGACATGTAGTCAAAGACCTGAATCCAAAGCTAACATCTGCTGATGTGAAAATGGGAAAGCAGAAAATGATGCAGAGTGGAGCAGAGCAAAGTAGGGCAGTGCACAGATCTACAGCATAGAAGAGATTGTGTGGATTGACAGATGAAGCCAGATCAAAACAGAGGGAGTGAAAAGAGGAGGCATAAGGTAGGTGGGTGAGGAGAGGATGATAAAGAGTGTAAAAACCACACCGTGGGGGTGGGGGGTAAAGGGGGCAGAGCCTGAATCACTCAAAACACAGCAAATCAGTGTGACAGCAATGAGCTGAGTGCTGCTGACCCAATTTCTCCCCTCATTTTTTTCTGCACTTTGTTGAGGGTATGAAGAAATGCACACATGGAAATGGAGCTGCACACAAACATATCACTTCAGAGGAATGAAATCCATTTCCTTTGTGTGTTCAATATACAGATTTCTTTCTAAATGCATACAGTCTCAAAAGGTTTTTTCAAAATGTCTTCTCTACTCCAAGAATCTTTATTTAATTCATAAGTCTGACGTAGTCCCCGGGTCTGCAGCTGGGAGATAAGGGGAAATTTATTGGCAGATATTCTCCCAATGTGGAGATAATCAGAGTTTCATATTTGTGCTTCACTTTCAATTGCAAAAAGTAAGACAAGGATGCACCACCACAACAACCCTATGAAATTTCAGATGTCAGATTTGTATTATATCACTCTTCCTGCTGAATTTGCATTTATGCAAAGTCAGCAGAACCAGAGGATGTCACATCCATTGCACAACCTCTGCCCTAAGTTTAAGTAGTGATTTAAAGGAAGTGAAATGAAGCAAGTACAGGAAATAACATTGTTTGGAGTACATCAAACAAGACAGGTCAAACTGGACTGTTCCATGTAGAGCATCTTAACGACACTCAACACACACCACAAGCAATCTTTCCAACAACGTCAGTGTCTTGGTGAGAATCCAGGAGGGCAATAATCGAATCATTCACAGCGAAAACTAATTTCACGTTGACTTTCAAACCGCTCTGGCAGCAGCTAAATATAGGTAGCCACTGGAGGTGATCATGGATGAGTCATGCCGTACCCAAGGCTTCAATCAGCTAGTGCCGATGCAGTATGAAAAAAAATATACAACAGTGTGTCACCAACATCCGACTATGTCTGGGCTGTTTAGATAAAGAAGATGTGAAAATAACAGAGTTAGGACAGCACTTAGACTCCTGCAGACCTCATCTGATATTCATAATAAAACTGAATTCCTTTCGTTGCTACACATTATATAGCAATAGAAGAAATGGATTCAAGCAAGAGAAGAAAATATTTGCATTTTACAATTAAAAACAGTATTTCAGCAAAGATTATTCATATTGTATAATGAAGAACAGTCCCCCGCACAAGACAAATACTGTATTTTAACCCTGTTTGTGCAAAAATTCATTTCATTAGTACAATTTAAACATGTGTAGACTTACTGGGGATAGGTTTCCTGGTTTGCATCCATCTACTAGTATCCTTAAAAATGTCCCTTTATCAAAACAAAGCAATTCAGATTGAGGGAAATTAATTTTCAATATATATTTTTAGCATTTTATCGCCCAGCCCTATATGTAACTTAACATCTGTTTTATTCCAGGTGACCATTTAAACCAAGCTGTTTGTGCTAATATCAACTTAGTTGTCATTTTTGTTCTATGATTGGTGCTTCTCCTTGTTTCGCAGCAGAAAATTGGAAACAAGTGAGATTTTTTTGGAATTTAAATTTTGTAAATATATATAATATGGCAGGATGTACATCTATAAATTCTTGAGTGCATGCATGCATCTTAAAGATACAACAATATTTTAAGATTGTAAAGGAATAAAAAGCAAATACTCCAATGCTTGGACTCAAAAAAAGAAAAAAAAAACACTTCGGCTGAGCTACTTTCAGTTTCAATTAAAGTAATAATACTTAACTGGGAGTATCAACACTTTGTAGTTGTGTACTGCCAGTTAATCTAACACCTCAAACTGACAATATACTGTATATTATTCAGCTACACTGGTCCTATGTGTGCTGATCAGTGGAAACAAATGCAGTAAATGGTGTGAGGTCTGTTTTCAGTACACACTAGCAGTACTGACGATCACAAGCAGTTTGCCCCCAACAACACAGCTAGATGCTTCCCAGTGGGCCACAGACAAGAGCGAGGCTGCTCATCAATCCTGCTGACTGAACCCATGGATAGGTTTCAAAACACGTATTGTACTTTGACCTCAATTGAATCAGCAGTCTTTGTGATAGGCCATCATAAGTCCTGAGGCCAGGAGAGCTGCTCGAAAATGACTGTGAAGCATCCCACAGTCATTGAGGTTGTGTTCACTCTGAGGCACTCAGGACCACAGGGCTATTTCACAGTGACCACACATTATTCCAATTGATCTGAGGGTATCTGGCGAAGAAAACAACAAATTAAGAGGCTGCAGATTTCTGGGATTTGATTGAAGCGTCAGGAAATAAAACGTGAGGTGCTAAATTTTCATTCTGGCGAAGGAGTGGCATCATATTTAACATTATTGCAAATTTTACCATAATATTGCTTGTGTTGATCTTACAACGCTGCCTGTTAGTGTCACAGTTAATAAGAAAATGGCGTTTTTGTTTGGAGTCCATCATGACTCCATCCTCCTACTTTACTCACCTCCTCTGCAGCTGTTTGATCTGCGCTGGTCTGAATCAAAGCATCAGTTTAGCTCATCATCATCTCAGGTCGTTGGCAAACCTTCCAGGAGCACAATAAGTTGGTTGTCCGAGCGTTCACAGTCAATAGAGAGTCAGGGGTCACTTCTATCTCTGCATTATTGTTTAAACGGTGGAAACTTGACCCCTTTTTAACGAAACCTGGCAGGTGTCGGTAGCTGAGCGTCTGTTACGCCGAGCGCTGCTTGCTAACGGTAGCTAGCCTCCCTTGCCTGACGCTAGCTTTCTGTTGCTCTGTCCGTTCAGTCAAAACAAAGCAAAGTAATTCAACACCTTTTAAAGGTGCGGCACACTCAGTCACATTACTTAACTGCCTTTAAATAAACAGCTTGTTTCGTCTCGCCATTTTCCATCCAACGCAGTTAAACAAGTCACCGTTATTTCCTCCACATCACCATGGGTAGTCAACTGGACTAACGGCAGCTGGCAACAGAAACTCTGCGTTTGGCGCATGCGCAGAAGCACTTCCCATTTCCCAAGGTTTTGTTACTGAATATGTCGTAAACCGGACTGCAGCGAATCTGCTTTGCCCAGTCCTTATCAGACGACTCGAGGTCCCAAGGCAAACCCGGCACTGAGGCATCTGAGAGATAGCTCCAGAGAGTCGAGAGGCTCCTTTAAACCCAGGTTTAAATTTGTGAGACCCTTATTATAGTAATGAAAAGGCAAAAAAGGTAATATTACTGCCTGTGTTTGCCTCTAGACAAGGACGGACTTAGGAATTTTGGGGGCCCTAGGCAAAGGCAGGCATGGGCCCCCTGCATCCTTTATTCAAGGGATTCACAGATTGTGAAATTCTGGGCTGATACTGACATTTGAAATAGGCTGTTGGTACAAAAGATCTTCTGAATCTTTCTGTCCTGCAGTGAAGAGGGAGGAGCCATCCACCAACATTGGCCCTTTGGTCCATTAAGGTTTTGTAAAGTGGGTGATCCATGTTCTTAAGAATAGTCTTCACCTTCCTCAGCATTTTTCACCAGTTTGTTAAAAGTCTTGTATCTTTGTGTTTGATGCTTCCTCCCCAGCAGACTGCAGTGTAGAACAGAACACTTGCTACCACAGACTGATAAAACATCTGCAGCATCTTACTACAGATGTGTATTATCACTGCATCAATGTGATGTGTCATTAAAGTAGTCAGTCTGTGGCTCTGCTGGGGTGTTACTGAAGTCCAGGTTATTTTGATAGCAACCCGTCTGTATTATTGGCTCTGGTGGCTCTCGCCTCTCTTGATGATTCCTCAGAGATTTTCTATGGGGTTCAGATCAGGCTGGTTGGCTGACCAATCAAGCAACAGTAGTATCATGGTCAGCAAACCAGTCTCTGGTAGTTTGGCGCTGTGGGCAGGTGCCAGATGCAGCTTGAAACAGAAATGTGAACCCCCATAGCAGATGAAAGCAGTAGGTGCTCTCAGATTTCTTGGGAGACCTTAAACTGCGTTGACTCTGGAGTTGATAAAATACAGAAGAGCACCACCAGCAGATGACATGAAATCATCAGACTGTAGAAACTTAGTGATGGATTCTGTGCCTCCCCAGTCTTCAGGATTTGGACCACAAGGCAACAGCCCAGTTTTTCCTCTTAGTTTAAGTGGGAGGCTTAAGACAAATTTACAACTGTGTTTGAAGAAGCAAACACAACCTCATAGGTTTGATCCAGATCTGACCTCATTTCCATTACAGCCCAATTTTAAGACAGCAGATTAAATACTACTTTACATTTTCCTTTAATAATTGTGTTGTGAAACAAATGAAAAATTCTAAAACAAAAGCTCATATAAAATGCTAAGAATAAGACCCAAAAGACCAGCAAAAAGCTGTGAGCAACATTATTAATTTTATTACTTCATAAAATATACACAAATACTGTTGTAAATAAAGTGTTAAAGAACTGTACAAGATATCAGCACACAATACATAAAGTGAAACCCCAATCACCTCAACCTCTGCTATACATACCTAAAGCAACAGTTACAATGCCACTGGGTCAAAATGGCCTGTACAAAGGTAATTACACACAATACACTTCTATTTACACATCCCTGCATTTGCATCAGTTGGTTCATTTTCAGTGACGTTATCAAGGTTGCTGGAGATTGACATCCAAAGGTGACATCAAATTATTATCATTTTTGCAAGAGAAGCCCTGTTAATGATGTAAGATGGACCAAAAGAAGAAAATAAAAGAACAAGCAAAAAACACACAAACACGTACTTCTTTGAAATACAGAAAGATAATGACACCAAATAAGATTAAAATACAAAAACTTAACACTGACGATTAAAAAACAGTCAAAAATAAATAGAGCACAGAAATGAAAATATACAAAAACGTAAGTCATGTATTCTGAGCAGGGATTTACAGCGTCTCTCTCTCTCTCTCGTCATCACACACACACACACACACACACACACAGAGAAAATGTTGATGACCCAGCTGGCACAGTAACTGTACCCTTGTTACTTGAAATAACTAGAATTCTGAAACCAGCCCCTATGTATGTCATTAGTATGAATTTTTCTGCTTTACACCTAAAAACAAACAAAAAAAAGGACCACATTTTGGATTTACATCAAAATAAAAAATATATATACAGTGAAGTAAACATTTAAAAAATAATAACAATAGGATGCCCTGTCCCCTAAGAGTCATCCCTAAAATATCCTGCCCTCTCCCCTATGATCTCCGATAACAAAAGAATAAAAAAGGTAACATTAAGAACTATCATAAAAATTGCAGCCACTTTTTTGTTAGCCAAAATGGGCAGCTATGGTCTCTGGTCAAATGCGCTAAGAATTTCCTGAGGAGCTTCCCTCAAGATTTAGGAGTGTGTCTTTGCAATATCTATGGTCATTCTTCACCTTACCCGCTCACGAGAAAACCAGAGAGAACACTAAAGTCAGAACAGGCAAAATAATCGGTGGTGCAGGTTTTTGGTGGTGAGATCTGGGGGACAATAAACGACTAAAACATGAATGAAGTGCAAGCAAGCATCATTTGCTACTTCATCAGAAACGTTACTCTGCAACAGCTAAAACATCACTTACTTACCCATTTTAAATCACTCTCACTTTATGTCCATTAACTCTCAATTACCTCTCCTTATTTCTTTATCTTGTCTGCTGTTATCCCTCCATACATGGTGCAGAAAGTGAACTCAAAACAAGCTTCAACTGAACAACAAGTGAAATTTACCGAGTTCTCTTGGCTTGAACAAATTTGCACTGCATTTATACCAATCATGAAGTTGAGCTTGAGATACATGCGTGTGTCCTCAACACTTTTTTGCTTCTCTAATGCTTCTGCAGCACTTCACATTTGTCAGATCTGTTCTGAGGGAATTAGTTTGAGGAGTGGAGCAGGTACGATCAACCATGAAGTAACAACAGTGGGCTGTCATTTGTTTGCTTTTTAATCTGTGGTTGTGAAAGCCCGCAGTTCAGAAAAGAGGGTTTATAAAAGAGTGCGCATTGGATACTGTCATGTACTTCCTTGGATCCTTTCGAGAGAAAAGTCTTTTTCCAAAAGATCCATGAGTCCATTGGCAATCATTTAATAAAACAAAGTAGAAATAAAAGAAAATAATCAAATGATGAATATACTTTGCAGCCCTGCAAGAAGAAGAGGGACAGTCATTCGATTGATAAACACACTTTTTAAAAAGGACTGAAAGAGTTTAATCAGAACTTACCTGTCAGTTTTATGTGTATGCAGAGCCAATGAGTTTTATTTCCCCATGTGCTCGAACGGCACGCTGACCTGAAACACAAACAGTAAAAAGATTGAACACAAACATGAGACTCATTTATTTAAACATTATGATTCAATGCAACAAACAACTCAGCCAAAAATCTCACATGCCTTGAAACAATACAGTACGTTTTAAAATCTGGTAGGATTGAAAAAGTTGAAATCTTTAGTTGTATCATCTACCTAATAGTGCCATGAACAAACGGGAAAAAGAAACTGTTTAACATTAAGTGATGCTTTCAGTACAGTGAGGACCACAATGGGGTGAAGGGGATAAATAAGAAGTTACTTTCTGATTGTTTTGGAGAAATTATACCACAAAACCTTAAACACTCCCAATATTTCAGCAAAAAGTTGCACAAAGAAGTCTGGATTTTTTTTGTTGCAGCTGAAGTCATACGTCATCCAGTTTGCTGTGTGTTTCTCTCTGTTTTATCCTGTTACAGCCACTACAACTGTCCTCATTCACAGGTCAATAGTGATGTTTTGTAAAGCTCCTTTGGCGTCTCAAGGATGAACACGACTCTTTTGTGTCAGACTAAAAACACAACACAACCTTGTTGGTGTAGTGATTTTGAATCTCTGTTCCAACTCTTTCGAGATGGGTTGCCAACTTCAAGTATAAAATGACTGTTTCTTATAAAATGATCTTCCAGTTGTAGCTTTTAATGTTTTCTTTGCGCCATTTTCAATGAAATAGTTTTCATCAATTTTTAAACCATCTAACTCTGTTTTTTATTTTTACATTTTACACAGTGTCCCAACTCTAGTTCCAACTGTAGCTGCGTTAATTTGTCTGCGTTCAGTGACCTTTTCTGCACCAGCAGAGTATGCAGGTTGAAAGACAAGAGTGACTTAATTCACCACTCTTAGGCGCCAAGGAGTTCAGTTTTTGTTGTGGTGGTACCTGAATAACATAAAACTGTAACCACTCTGTTTTTGAACAATGCCAGAGAAGTTAAATGTTCTGAATAAATCACTTGCAGATAATTTTGCTTTCCACGGTCACGGGCATAAAATCTATGACGAAATCTATGTTAATTGTAAATGTTCAGCGTTTTACAGTCCACAACAACACACACAGAGAGTCTATTTTGCTTTTATTGCTGTGTCAACTCCCATATAACAGGAATTGACCAGATTTGTGAACAAGAAACAAGAGTTTTAGTGTTGGAGGTAGGCCTGTCACGATAACAAATTTTGCTGGACGATAATTGTGCTACAAATTATCGCCGATAAACGATATTATTGACACAGTTTTTTAAATTATAGATAATATTATATGGCATAATAATGCGAGTACACCGTGTCAAAAGTGATCAACTTTAATTTCCACTGTCTGTCAGCGCGCACCATTTTGCGCTGTTTTGTTTATATTTGCTTTGCTTACCAAACGCTTCAGTAAGCGGTACCTCCGGCGGTACTTTTTCTGCTCATTTGAGAAAAATGGAGGGGATGATTGTGCTTGAGGTGCACGTGCATGTTCGTCGTATTCCCCTTCTTTGTCACCACAAGTTTGGAACAAATACGCCATATCGGCTCGTCCATATTTGTGGGCTCACCTCTTTCATTTGGTTTAAAGCAGTGTTGTTTTCGTCATATTTCGTCAGATTTTTTCGTCAACGCCAGCGTCAAAAAAGGGAAATATTGACTAAAATATTTCCCTTTTCTTCCACGACGAAGACGTAACGTTGACGAGCTAAACGTAAGTCGGAGATGACTAAAATGTGACGAGACGAAAGTGCGTTTACGTTGATGGGACGAGACGAAAATGATGAACACAGTTTCAGAACTCAGTCAGTTAAACACTAAACATATAGGAGCAGCTTCAGTCCGCTCTGACAGCTCTCATCAGCCTGCTGTGCTCCTCCAACACACAGACACACGCGCGCGCGCACACACGTGGAGTTTTGTGGCTGACGAAAACAAAACTGGTTTAAAGCCGAAATATTCCCACACTTGGGCTGTTGCGTGCGGTTTAGACACCAAAGCTGTCGTGTTCACTCTGTTTGCTTGCTTTTCACTCACGACGCTCACTTGCAGCACTGTATCCAAAAGTCTGTGGCTGTGTGTCTGTGTGCGCCAGCCCCCTCGTGACAAAGATACTGAATGACTGACAGGAGGGTTCACTAACTCCGTTCATTCCGCTATAGAGCCAACGCCCCCAGGTGCCGAGAAAAATGCGCAGAGTGAGACCTCCTCTCTCATCCAGCGTCTTTGGTAGCGAGAGAGGAGGAAAACAAACGCACGTCAATTATCGAGGCTGGCAAAATGACCGACCTCGTTTTTATTTATCGAGCGATAAGGCGATTAATTGATTATCGCGACAGGCCTAGTTGGAGGCATTCTTTATTTTGGTTTTTGTCTGAGTAGTTTTGTCCAGCAGTTTCAGTCCTTCTGACCACAACGTTTTCTTTGTCCCTATAAACAAACTTCTGCAGACATTAATGATTACTCTCCGCTTCAAACGATTTGCTTCTTTTGTTTCCACTCAGAATGTCAATAACCAGTGCAAAGTAAAATGAGCATCACTGGGATGTCCATAATCACGTTTTTGAATAACAATAATTAGCTGTCGCTCCTGTGTGCATTTACAAAACCAGAGGTTGAGTTCTTACATTGCTAAAGAAGGACTGAGTTTCTTTTCTCACCTGTGATGTGGAGATTCTTGATTGGTCATGGCGGGTTAGGTCAGAGGACGATACATTTGCAGGAGCCCCTCGGTGGAGCCGCATGCTCACCTTCCTCTCCCTCTCTGCACGAGAAATAGCACGAGGGGACGTGTTACCTAAAATTATTCACAAAATTTACAACTGACTGTATTAGATGCCAACATTCAATGTAAACTGTTATTGCAGAATCAGCGTAGGATCAGGAGTTATAAACTCACCAGACTGTTGGACCCGTGAGGCGGGATTGGAGATGGCCTGTTCTGGCCCGTTTCTGACTCTGTTGGCAGCTCCAGGGTTGGGGCCTGGAGGTAGGCCCCGTGATGCAGACCCCCTGGGGACTCCTCCAATCCGCTCATCCTTGTCATCGCCTGCCCTTCTTTCCCGATCACCATCCTCAGCTGTCCGACTGGCCCCCTGATACATGAGATTGGCCGTGTTTTAATTTTTCTACTCAAAAACGATCACCTCTACATGAGCTGTGTTTCATTCTGGATGTTAGATTTTTAGCACGGTAATTAAAGAACTGGTCACCAAGACAAAGATTAAGATTTCCGCTTACAGTCCATGCAGACTTACAAATTTGAGCATGTTCCAATCGAAGACATAGTCATAGGAGAAACCCTGGCGGTGGAAAAGATTCCTGAAGAGTTGTCGTAGGTAAGAGTAGTCAGGCTTGTCATCAAAACGGAGCGAACGACAGAAATTCAGATACGTGGAGAATTCAGCTGCAGGAGAAAGAAAAAACAAGACAGGTATGAAGAGAAGCTCAGAGTGCAGCCAACACCAACAGAAACCAAAACAGAAAATACCATGTTCTTCAGTGATTAGAGGACAGCTTTAAAGTAAATATTCTGTTTCTTACTGAGCTACCCGATTTTACAGCTGTAAAACATTTCAGTATTGCGTGTAAACTGCTGCCAAAGAAGTGCCACAGACTCATCACTCACATGGATATCCTTTGCAAAGGACCTCGATGGGTGTGGACATTTTCTTCTCACTGATTCGCTCATACTTCTGCCTCTTGGTTGCAGCTTTGAGGCCTTGCCAGGGGAGGGAGCCCAGGTTGAAGTACATAAGGACATAGCCGAGAGACTCCAGGTCGTCACGCCTCGACTGCTCTGTGGACGCAAAGAGAGAGAGAGAGAGAGAGAACAAAAACTGAGAATGTCTGCTTAGAACTGCAACACTGATCAAATAACCACAGCATGTAATCGAACAAAAGATATGGTTAGAAACACCCCTAATAAAAAGTAGGAAAGAGTAAGAAGATAAAAACAAATACAGTTTCTGCTCTTTCAAGTGATTTTAGGGCACAGTGATCCTGTGACTCTATCCACCAAATACATATGTTTTCATTTCCCATGACTTTGGTTGAAAAATTCAAAGATAGAAGTGCATATTATCATGTGTGTGACTCATCTACTCACTTCAGTCACTGTGGTACAGATTAAACATATTAGATTAAAAATTGAAATCGTTGGGATTTTTGACTTTCTGATGAAGAAAAAAACAAAATAATTTGTTAATCTGATGAGGACACATTCATGAGACTTCTGTACATGAAAATCAAACTCTACTTTAAGGTATATTTCTTGTTTACTTAAAGCAAGAAAAATCCCTTCCTGTTCATGTAAACTTTTTAAATCAGATTCTATACGTCTGGAATTAGTAAAGTTTTAATTGGGACAGGAGGTTAGCTCGTGAACTGGACTCAAAAAATTTCTGATACTGGATTTTGAAGAGCTTCCTAAAGTAAAGAACTGACACAACTGCCTGAAAACATGAGGAGATACCAGGTGTAAGAGATCAAAAACCCTAAAGCAGCATTGTATAATCAGGACATCATACAATATTTGTATAACAATAGACAAACCAGTTCTAGGGACCCCTTTGTGTACACACACTGACTTTTTGATTGAAGGTTAACAGGTCAGGTTTGTGTATATGCTTCATACCAATTCCAAGATGTGTGTTGATGGAGGCGTAGCGGGCAGTGCCAGTCAGGTTCTTGTTCTCCCGGTAAGGGATGTGCTGGTGTGTGCGGGCATCTCTGTACTTTTTGGCGAGGCCAAAGTCAATGATGTACACCAGGTTGCCCTTTTTACCAAGCCCCATCAGGAAGTTGTCAGGCTTCACATCCCGATGGATGAAATTCTTGGAGTGGATGTACTCGATGCGACTGATCTGAGGGGGGGTGAGTGAGACAAAGAGAAAACTGTCAGGTTACACAACAGAAAACATCAAATACGTAAATAATATAAAAGATGCAATACAACTGCTGTCTCTCAGGCCAAATCTGGCCGCAGGCAATCTTTGAGTGCCCAAACCTGCTTAAGGTACACGCATATAACATATGAAAACTGATTCAACAACACAGTGCGCATGAAAGTCAGCACTCTCACTTTACTCTTGTTTTTGTCGAGAGCTGCACAAACACAGTAGGCTTAGGGATTGTTACTGAGGGTCACAGGAGTTGTCACGTTCAAAACATTCAGACCATCCTTGGAATTTTACCTTATACAATTGTTATTGTCCATTCTTAAGCAAAAAGAGGACAGGGAAAACCAGCCGTTTTACCTCACCAAGCACTAATTAGTTTTTTCTGTCAAACTACAAGACTCATTTGCCATTCATGCATCGTGATAATCCAAGGATATGGCGTCCAGACCGGGGCTGTTGTAATACACCTGTACTAACAGTACAGTTTACACCTGTTTTCTAAGATTGTGATGACATACGTTTACCTCGTGACTTGAAAATGTGTATACCTTCAGTACTGACACCTAATATTGTGACTTTGCATTTTGTTCTAAGTATGGAAAAGCATGATACCCCTCTTTAATGAGGGAACATCTTTTCTAAAAAGATGTTTTGGTCATATGGCTGGTGATGTGGAAAAGCCATTCATTGGAATAGATGATGACATGTAAGTAAATTGTATATAACTATAAAGTTTATGGAGTAATGTGTCTCAACCCGTGACAGTCTGGATTTGACTGATTGTGTTGGTTTTGTTTTTTGAGTTTTCCATAAGATATCAGGGTAATGTAGTTCTCACAATAGCCTCATAGCCATGTCCTGGTCTTCCAATCTGGCCCAGTTCATGGTATCGCTGAGCAGGCTTGCTCTACAGCGTTGTGTTGATGGGAAAATATGATCTCAAGGTCATGTTATCACATTCTTTGTGCTGTCAGGACGGCTCTTTTATTTACTACTTTCCTAATATAGGTTGGCCATCGAGTTGAAGTGTGTGGAATCAATAGCTCAATACATCTAGCAAACTAAGACAAAAGGGAGGACAAGAGAAGGACAATGTGATACATGAAGACGGGACAGAGAAAGGTGATGACTCCAGGCTTTATGTGGAGAGTCAGACACACATATAGAAGACTGACACAGCAGCTTTGTTGCAGTCAGAACAAAAGGTGAGAGAAGTTGTGCTTGAGATAGATGCTCATGAAATATCTAGGCCAGCAATATTAGCAGGGCCGAGATTATAGAGCACACTGGATGCACACGAGTAGTGGAAACATCTACAATCTTTAAAGAAGCCTTGGGGGACTCATGTGCAGTGTTTATATGTAGAGCGTGCACCAACAAATAAAATCAAGTAGGTCATGCACATGATCCAGAGGGATGATATTATTGTGTCTGAGTGTTCTGCTCAAAAAGCTGACTGTTTTCAACAGGAGAAGCTTCACTGAAGGGGACACTGAAACTGCATTATTCTAAAGCTGCTGACTGAACACGAGGCTCTGTGTCATACCATCTGGTCGGCCAAAAGCAGGACCGTCTTTAAGCTGAACTTCCGGGAGCAAAAGTTGAAAAGGTCTTCCAGGCTAGGTCCAAGCAGCTCCATCACCATCACGTTGTAGTCTCCCTCCGCACCACACCACTTTATTGATGGAATACCCACTGAAAAAACACACATTGACAGTCAGCATTGAGTTTATTCAACCTCTTTAAATGACAAAACCTCTTATTTATTACCACCTAGATTCTTGAAAATGCCTTTTTCACCTAAGATGAATATAGACCATAACTTGAAAAGATGACATTGTTTTTCTCCAACACATCTTGTTGCAGGACAAGCTGGGTTGTTATATTAAAAATATTGCAATCAGAAAAGTTGATAAAGCTTGTAAAATGTTTTTCGTGTCAAAGCATAAATTCACCCCTTACCTCCTCCTTGCATCATCTTGTAGAACTTGCTTTCGATGTGCAACTGTGGGTGTTTGGTCTTCACACATTCCAGCTTAATAGCTACCTCCTCACCCGTGGCAATGTTGGCACCTGGGGAGAAAAAAGTACACAACCTTAAGTCTAAAAGTCAAGGCAAGCGCAGCTAAAACCAGACCTGTGACTGATGAATATAAAGGAAAATCCAGTCCAGAGTTCAAGTAAGAAGACATTAATGGTAGGAAATAAGGAGAGAGTCTGTTAAGACGAGGAAATGTTGAGCAAGCCTTTGTATGACAGATGTATGGAAACTTTAGTAAGGCATGCAACAGAACACAGTACAGTTCCACTTACCAAGATAAATATCACCAAAGGAACCGCTCCCTATCTTTCGCCCCAGCCGATACTTGTTGCCCACTCTCAGCTCCATGGTTATGAGTTGTCACTACAAGAAACAGACAAAGTAAAGTGATTAACAGACAGCAAACACGACACCACATGAGCTTATCTCTGTTCTTTCCCCCTTAAAAAAATTAAAACGGGTTGTTATACGAGACTATTGCCTTGACTGGGGATTTAAAATGAGGGGAGGTATCCTCACGATGATCCCAGACATGCTGAATGGCCACGTGTTTGTGTGAGAATGTAGCCTGAGCAGGGCTTGTTGATCAGCAAACAGCTGTCTGGCCTGCAGAGACACACGATTAGGTTTGGAGCAGGGAGGAGGGAGGTTCAGCCAGGGTAGGGAGGAGAAGAGGAGCTAGAAAAACATGAGAGCTACAAAGACCTGTCAGTCGCCTCTTGAAGAGAAATACCTTAATCACACTGAGAGGTAACCAAGCAAGCTTCAAACTGCTTTGTTTGCCCTTTAGATTGCAAAAGTTGTGTGTAGTACCTGTTACATTTGAATTCTTTATGAACTCTTTGGAGTCTACATACACTTAAAAGTGAGCTGCAACCAGTGTTTAAAAAAAGCCGGTGTTAAAGTCCATAAAAACTGCACTTCTTGAAAGCCCAGCAGAGATTGGCTGCAAAAGCCGTTCAGTCTAATGTTAATGTCCTCATTTCTAGAATAGAATAAAACTTGTGTACAGCATTGTTAGTAAAACATATTTGATACTTGTCAATTTTTAAAAAACAATCTGTTAAGACAATCTAAAAAAAACAATTATTGCACATGAATGCACATTATTTAGACAGGGCTAAGTTGACAACACGCCAGCATGTCACAGGCTGTTTGTTGGGGGGTTAAAAGCCCACCTCAGCTCCATCTCTTTGCTGGTGTTTAAGTTGATCTAAAGTATTGTTCACATGAAAACAGCCCCACTGAAAACAGAAGTCTTTCTTTTGTGCTTTGAAGAACTCTGACAACATTATAAAACAATCAGCAGGCCAGGAGTTGGGAGCATTACTTTGTGATGAAACCCTTAACACCTCTGTATCAATTTACCTTCAACAGAGCAGTGAGTGGAAACAAGACGATGGCAATCACACAACCAGTAACTTTTTTTGATGGCTGCCGTAACGGTGCAGCAAATCTACACGTTGTAGGAGCATAAATATTTGAAAAATATTATATTTGAAAATAAATAAATAAATTTTCTAAAGGCACTCAAGCATGGGCCTGTTTCTAAAATTCTGCAGCACCTGCTCCGTATAATGGCCAAAACACCAAAATAGGTAATCGTTTTCCAGACTGAAAGGTTTGCTGTATGCAAAAGTACTTGAGCACCACCATTAACAAAACATTTTCATCCAAAGCGGAAAAATTTAAGTCATCTTCCCCAAATGTCAATGCCACTTCTTTATCTTTGACAAACTCTGTGAGATGCAGGTCAGTCATAGTAGCTGTCTACAGATGCTTTGATCAATCCATTATTAACTCTATCATAATACCATAATACACTTAAACTCTTTCAACTAAATCACCAAATTAAGAAGTAATTCCACCTAACTGGACCTGGGGCCTCTGAGCAGCATTTCCACAGAGGAACTGACAGAGAAGTACAACAAACTGCTTCGGACACATCTCTCACATTCATAAAAAACATGCCAAGTCTAGCTCTGTGCCAACTGCCATCAGACTCATTCACAGTTCAGCCAGTCTAGGTACTTGACCCACTTCCACTGCTTTTTTATGATTGACTTGATTTATTTATGAATGCTTTGGTCAAATGGTCAAACTTATTCTTACTAGCTTTGTTTCAGAATCAGCTTTTTTATTGGCCAAGTGATTCCACACGTACAAGGACACTGACTCTAGTATATTTTGCCCTCTAAACATGATATACGACACAAATATGTAGAGTGTCAAGTGAGTTTGCACTGATGCTTTTACACAAATTAAGTTGCTAACAAATAAAGTTGAACTTTTTTTTCCCGACAGAACAGCCTCTGATATTAGGTTGAGCATTTCAAATCTGGTGCTTGCCATAATTGGGCTTCAAGACTGTCTCTTCAGAAACCGATGAGTAACACCACTGAGACTGCATCCATGTTTTACAGCTTGTGGTTTAAACCCTGTTTTTAGACCACTGATTGGTTTGATAGAACTTTTCCCTTGCAGAGATATGGGACATCCTGCACTAAGCTGTATGACTTCAATTCATGGCAGTCTTGTTCAGCCAAGAGTCCTGCCATTGAGGGGCTACTTTGTGCAATACCTGCTGGAAAGAGTAAGGAAAGCCAAGTCAGGCCATAACATACAGTTAAAGGGGGGATTAAGGCTTGACATACATGAGGAAATAAAGTATATCTTCTGAGCTGAGCTGCACGTGATGCAGGGTAGGATCATCATTTATTTAGCACTCTCTCTACCACGCCACATTGTGCAGCCACTGCAAAAGCAAGACTAAGCTCTCCGCTGCTCTGTGCTGGCATTGCCAAGGGAGGGAAAGCCGCCGAGCGCTGGCTGGCGTTATCTGTGTCAGGGCCCTCAGACAATTCTGCGCAATGAACTTCAGGAAGCAAATAGCTGCAGAGAAAATATCAGTACAGAGCATCACTTATCAGCGATTTACTTCCTCACTTCCAATGTAGGGATACTTTGTAAACAAATAGTAGCTTTTATAGTTACTGGGACTATTCCCCCTTGTGTGGAAACACTATCTTTAAATAACCCATGTGATTAATAGTAACATTTACTGTGTAATTTATGATACTGATTTTATCAGCTTTATTGGTTCCTGTCTCATTCCACGTCCTCTGTAAACAGTTTCATGGAAGCTCAGAGAAACTGCTGAACAAAACATCCTCAGACTGCCTCAGTTTCAGGACTACATCAACTCAAGCCAGCAGATCAGTCATCTATTCTGCAGGACTTACCCCTGCCACCAGAACCTCCTTTACCACCACATTAACTGTCCTGGGAGCTTCAACAGAAATGCAAATATCAGCTCTGGTATTGGTAACAAGCATGTACTTGTTTTAGATGTTAAACTCAACACAACTTCTGAAGCGCCATGTTCGATTCAAATTAAAACTAACTAAACCTTTGTGCTCTGTAAGTCAGCCCTAAACCTCCAAGTCAACTCTCATAGATGAGAGGGTAGGCCTGCATGAGGATGTTATCCACTGATAGATTTGGCCTAATAAAAGGGTCAGGTTTTATTACGCCAAGAGGGTGTCTCATGTGCTGCAGTCAGAGACCTGGTTTAACGGGCAACATTAATTACAAGGCAACACAGGAAGCACCATAGATTAATTACTTAGTAAAGGGACAGTGACACGTTTTAAATCATAGCATCCATGTGGTTTTAATCCGGGTATGTGTTCACTTCAAATCTTACTAAAAAAACCATACAAGGGCATATCTGCAATTGCAAAGATATGCAGAGTGAAAACGCATCATTTTATGTGACAAAGATAGCCTGTGTGATGTGCAGAAAGTGAAAATTATTATTTGTAGCACACCTGAAAAAGTATGACAGTGGACAGGGGAAGATACCTTGATATTCATCTGCAAGTCATATCAGGGAAATCAGGGTTGACAGGTATGCAGTTTTTCTAGTGAAGTTGTTCTGCGTTATTGATGATGCTGCTACAGACTAATTTTTCTGCTTGCAAATTTTGTGGACCAAATTAAATTATTTTATGATAAAAATCCATATTATAATTGCCTTGCCTTGTCCGATACCGATTATAAGGGGGGAAAAAATCTGATTACCGATTAATTGGCCGATTTAAAACAAATTTATGAAGTTATAAAAAATAAATATATACGTCTTAACTCACGTTACTCATTACCGATCCGGTCTCATCTGAAGACATGCAGCTGCCTCAGTAAAAGAAGTAGCTCGACTGCATAATGCGTACTGTTGTTAATTCGACTGTTACTGGCACGGCTAACAGTGTAGCAAAGCTAACAGCAGGTCGCTGCGCCATCTACAGGATAAGTCGAGGAACTGGCAGAATGTTTTCGAAGTGAAACCAATTTTTATTTTTTGCATTCTTATTTCTGAAAATATCGGCGAAAATTGTCGAGTTTGGCCGAATATTGATTAGTCTCAAACAGGCTGAAATTGGCCAATTTAATCGGCTTGCTGATAAATCGGTTGGGCCCTAATTAATAATGAGTGAAAAAATAATTATTTATGTGGTCCACAAGGATAATAGTCTTTCAACATTGTATGCAATACAGCACATTTAATAACTCAAATAGTTTAATTGTCAGCTAATAAAGGTCAGTGCTGGTGTTGTGATTGTGTTATTTAGAAAGTAGTACAATACATTAGACATTAGACCATGAAAGCAACACTACAGAGACAATAAACAGGTGGTGGGACATATTTCAAATTCTGGCCTGCCTCTAATAACTGTTGAGCAACCTTAGGGCTGGCTGGTTAGTCAAATAGATATTCAGCCCTGGGGGTAGTTTTGATGGTCATTTAGGTGATAAGATCTCCTGCAGGTGGTGTACCACGGTTAAACCATCTAGTCATCACTATGATCACCTGAATGCGGTAAAATCATTGTTTTTCTTTAATCATACACAGTACAAGTCAGACGGGCAGAGCAATCTTTGTGTAGAAGGTACCCTGCCTGACTGATGTAAAAGTGACAAAATAAGTCTCCCCAAAGGCAGAAAACAAGTGTCAGAGACCAGAAGCCAGAGGATTTCAGTCACATGAAAAGCAGAGCTCTGCTACGCCTCTCACACTCTGCAGCTGTCACTTCACAATCAGCTCCTGTGATACAGATTTCACACTAAAATGCATGTATTCATATATCACAAGAAATCACCCCTAGCTTTTAATCTAACGGTTATAGTAAATGTAAAGATAGCGGTGCGTTTCTCTGCCCTGGTTGTAATTTGATGAGAAGCAGGTCAGCTGTGATTTACGATACGCTATAGCAAGATTTCTGCCCTAACTAAAGCTACATTCAATAAAATCTACAAAGAATCCAACACAGTTTTGTCTGATCTGTTTGTTGAATCAAACGTTTTAGTTACCGTTTGGATACATACTGGCCGAGGGCTTTACGTTAGTCAAATGTTAGCTGCTCGGAGTAAGCTAGGAGAAATACGGAACCGTGAAACGTAACGTTACTGCATCACAAAAATATTACCCGAAATTAAAGTAAAGTGAAAATGCGAAAAGCTCACATCGCCACATTTTATCGCACTTCAAACCGCACCCATTTATGTTCCGGACTAGCCTGTGTAGATAGCCATCCCTACTTCTCGCCCCCTCCCCCTCTCATGTAAGCCGTGAATACAAGAGTCTGATTCGGACGAATCAGGCCCCTTTTCCCCCTTGGTTTCTCTGGTTCCCTGACCCGCAACTCACCCGATACTGGGTTCGTCCGGTAGCTGGTTCGGTGAGGGTTCTGATCCGATGGTTGTCAGTCGGACAGAAGCCTTGGCAGAGGAGGATGGGGGCGGATTCTGGCGGCTTTCATTCCCTCAGCTCTCGGATCCGTCGGTTGCACTCCCTGTTGATAGTCCCTCAGAAGCTCGAGCTGCACAAGCGGCCGTTCTCCTCTCGAGTCTGTCTCCCCCTCTCGTTACTTAACAACGCGACTGTTCACTACGTCGATGATGTCATTCTCTGGATTTCTGGGCGCTGTCATCAAAGTAAAACGTGATACGTAACTGCTCCATCCTCCATAAATATGGCCATTCATTAACTATCACGGTTTTTAAAATTATTTCCTTTTTTTTAAATTATCATATAATTTTTTTTACCGTTACTCCTGAGTCATAATGCTGCTTGTAAAAAGTGATCCCGGTCTAATATATGTCTTTTTTTTTAAATAAAAACCTTTATCCGATTTTTATAACAATAATAATTATAATAATGATGATGATAATAATAATAATAAGTATTGCAACTATTTCTTTTTTCCTCAATTACTGAATGATTTAATCTGATCGTTTGTACATTGTAGACATTCTATATTATAAATAAAAATATAATTATTGTTATTATTGTCGTTGTTGTTATAAGTATTGCAACTATTTCTTTTTTACTCAATTATTGAATGATTTAACCTGATAGTTTGTACATTGCAGACATTTTACATTATCTTTGTCCAAATTTGAGGCATAAAACACAGATGGGTGTCCTGTCCTACGGTTTCTTTTCTATCTCTGAGTTCAGCTTATATTTGAGAAGATATCTAACAGGCAAGGGGCTGTCCAGAGAGGTAGCCAGGGATCGGCATGCCCACCACCACTACCACCACCAAATTTGGCTGGCTACTCCAAGTGCAGCCCCCAAAATCCTGAACTATGATTGGCTATTTCCCCCTTTAGAGGCATTATTTACGTTAAAATAAGCCTGGTGTTCAAGTTATTAATTTCTTTTCCTGAAGGTGTTCACAACAGCCACATGCACGTTGCCTCTGGATGCTATTGGACTTACATATGACCAATCAAAACAGTGCAGTGTGTGATAATATTAAATGTATACGGTCACTAAATCTTGGTGGTAGTGCAGCAAACAAGTCTTACTAGTCAATGAATGCTGCAAGTGCAGTTATTCTTGTTTCACATCAAATGCATTTAAAATGGCAATGTGGGGTTCAGCACTTTATTTTTGTTAGTACTTTAAATAATGGAAAAATACTTTGCACATTTCTTTCACAAGACAGATGTGAAGAGGCATCAGTCCAACATAAATTGCAAGCATATGTACTGTGTTACTATCCAAAAAGGGCCAGTCTGTTGTTTTACATTTTAAGTTTAATAATTATACACAGGAATATAACAGATACTTTAAGCCATCCCTGGTTTAGTCTGTGCCCTATTTAGGCCTCCCAAGTTTGAAAAGTCAAGACACGCTCCTGTTAACAAGATCGTAAGGAATTCCCATAATCTTGAGTCAAATCTATGGCAAATGTTAGGGTCTGTTATAACTTTTGCTGTTGAGGTGAGGTAATCCATCTTACCCAATGGAGACTTAATTTCATGAGAAACAGGAAACAATTTCACACAGTGAGCAGTGGCTTACAGTTGAATGACGTTGTAGTTAAATAAGATTGGTTTGTGGACTTAATGAGAGAGAGACAGATGGGCATGCTGGCTTGTTCCCCTATGACCCTGTGAATGAAGAGACCATACGCCTTTTCCTGAATGTAATTTCTTTCTCACACTCACACTCATCACTGCAGCATGCAAATAGTGGCCTGAGCTTTTTTTGATTTTAAACATGATATGCCATGATGGATGATTTAAAAAAGAGGCTGTTTCATACAAGTGGCCAACATGCAAAAATATGTTAAAAGCTCATGGAAGCAGGTTTGACATGGATATAAAACAGACTTGACAATAACAGGAACACATCTTTCAGCACTACGAAAGAAAATGAGACTAAAAATATAGGCTGAAAAATTATATTTTGCAGTTTCTGATACCTGTAGCTGCTGCAGAGAGGGAAGGTCTTACGGTGAAGTGAAGAAAAATCTTTCTTACAATTTTTCCACAGTGCGTTTTGATTTAGAGTCTAGAGCGATAAACCTGGCTGTAGGGGCGGAAAATCAGCAGGTGTATGAATAGTAAGATTTTGTTCTCAGGGGTCGTCAAAATCACATCTGAACACAAAGCTCATTAATGACCACAGGAACACATTTAGAAGCCAATACTTTCATCTTTATTAATCTTGTTCTCATTTGTTTAAATAAATTTTTCCTTTGTAAAATCTCATAACGAAAACACTGAACAGGAGCGTTAAAGCCTGTCTTAATTTGAAACGAATACACAACAACAGAACATTAAAAACGTACGGTAACTCTTACTCTGCATCTGTAAACAACCCGTCCCACCCCCCTCCCACTCCACACAGTTTGATAAGATTTGGCATGTCCATTTTTTCATATATGCCTTCAGCTCTTTGTGTCATTAAAATGTTCTTTTTTATTATTGCAGGTCGGACAATAAAAAAGACAAGTCTGCTAAAAAAAAAAAAAAAAAAACTTCAAATGAGAGAAAAAAAGCATTAGTGCCAATATTTCTTAACACACAGTCAGCAGTATACCGAATGCACTCAAAACATTTTGTATAGACCTTCTGTATAGTAAGCAGCCTTGCCCACATTATGACAGGCAGTAACATGCACACACACATTATCCTCACACTCATACACACGCACAACAACTGTGGTGGTTTAATCCACTTACTTGGTCTCAATCTCATTCATACTCATGTCCATATAGTGTGTATGATACTACAAACAGTATCAACACATGGAGAAATGCAACATAGCCTCAAACTGCCAGCAATTTTAACATTTATCACTGCAACAGTAACAAACATGTTCAAGAGAGAATAACAGAGAAAGAGTGCATGAGATACAACAGTAGGAGGTCAGCATTTTGAAAACAGAACAATGACATTTTCAATATTTTCACTGTTCAAAAACTAAAACCATACATACAAACAAACAGAAAAAACTAACTTAACATACACAGTAAGATACAGTTCTGTTTTCAATCAGAGCTGTTTGCATGTGTTTGGATTCGGTCTCCATTTTTAAGGGGACGTGAATACAAAACTGCACTTAAACCTCACATCATGTAGTAGTTTTAAGTTCTCTTATACGATGAAGGTAATGCTGTTTACAGTGCCCATCTGTCTGAAGGCTTGTCTGTATTTGGTGTGTGCATGTATATGTAAATCTGTTGAAAAGTCCCCTATTTACTGAGCACATTGAAATCCAGTCTGGTCTTTCAGACCAACTGACTTTTCATTCTTTTTCAGGTTTCAAGTCTAAGCAGTTGAAATCTTCATCTGTGGAAAAAGGCTGTATACACATTTAACAGTCCCTGCATTTGTTTATATAATAGCTTAAGTCTGGCCACAAGAATGTGTATACATGTCTCACATTTCTGCTTTAGGTGTGTGCACATTAATATGCATATGATGTAAATGTCTGCACGTGTGTAGATGTGTATTACATTAATATGCATTTCATGTAAGTGTGTGCGCGTGTGTGTGTGCTATAATAAGTACATATGTATCCCAGTGTATGCTGTATCAGTGTCCAAACCAACACAAAATAATTAAGGGGGCTCATCAGATGGAATCTGCTCCTCCTCCCAGCAGGTCACCAGGCAACAAAGCGGCAGGGCTGTCCAATTGGTGCCTTTCCTCCATTTGTGGTGCCCCCCACAGGCTGCTGCTTGGGTATCCTGTAGCCATGCCCCCCCAGAGTCCAGACCTCCCAGACTCTACTCCCTCCACACCTCCACCTTCCCCTGCCCCGTTGGAGCCCCACTGAGAAAAGATCGCCAGCCCAGGTCCTTGGGCTGAAGAGGTTTCTGCAGAACTGCCTGTACCATCAAGACCCTGCCAGGCAGAGCCAGAGGACCTTACACTACCGAGATCAGCTGATACGCTCTCCACTCCACCACCGCCGGTTCCATTTCCACCTGAAGTCACGCCCGCTGCTGCCCGCTCATTCCCCGGGGAGCTACCTCCACTGCTGGCCACAGCTGTGCCTGATCCAGATGAACCCTGCGTCCCACTGGCAGCTGCCGCTCCTGAGCTAGCCCCCTCTGCTCCTCCAGCCTGGGAATGTGCAAAATAACGAGCGACTTCCTCCTCCCCAACAAATTCCGCCAGGATTGTGGTGTTGCCCAGAACACACCTGAAAGGGAGAAACAAGACAAGACAAGGCTCTTTAGACCAATTAGAGCATGATCAGTGTAAATCAATAAATGTTAGCAAGGGTCCAGGTCAACCCACATGTGAAGAGCACCCTGGGCCTTGGCTGCTTCCTGCCGGCTGCTGTAGCGAATGAGAGCGCTGCCCTGGGTCAGGCCGAGATGGAAGGTCAGCAGGGGACCATGCTGCATGCAGATAGTCCTCAGTGTGGAGCCATCAATCTGCAGGGAAAGGAGGATAAAAGCACTTGTAAAAGCTTGTGTGAGTGATTTGACAGCACTACTGCACTGGTCTGCCAGACAAAGGTCATGGAGGTTATAACACAATGATTATGTGCATAGGGAGCTGTCTGTTAATAAGTTATGTTTCCACAGGTTAGATTGTGGCTTCTGAAATTATGTCACACATGCTATCAAATAGACTTGTTATGTCAGCAATAACTTTGATGTTGTGCAATAACTGAAACAATAGTTAAACGTATGATCCTGTTTTTCCTCCTGGAGCAGTGTCATGTGTGCAAACTCTAATTGATTAAATGGCTCATCCAACTTCATAATCCAATTACAGCTGGGTCACGCATCACTCCTCATTTGCATAAGACTGATCAAAGAGGATGACAGACGAATGAGCAAATAAAGCTTTTGACTTGTTTTTAAAACATCTGTTTGGGTCAAGGTGTTATCCTACAGCCAGAATATATAAATACTGCAGCTGTGGATGTGAGAAATAGAAAACCTTACGATGATAGAGCAGCGTGCTCCAGTTAAATCTCTCTTTTCACAGAGAACAGATTCAAAGGGCTGCAGTGTTGCTGAAAGTCTTTAGTGCAGTTTTTTTTTTGTTTTTATCTCCATCACTATCTCTTGATCTTCTTTTCAGCTCGTACCTGAGGCGTTAGGTTGCTCAGCAGCAACCAGCAGCTGCCCCTGGAGGCAACACCATCGCTCCAAGCTGAGCCTGTAGAAATAAAAGAAAAAAAAAAGAAGACAAGACATGAAGAACAAGAGTATCACGGAGGACGTCACAACTGATGACGAGTAAAGATTACTCTGAAGATGAATGCATTTCTCTGATCAAAACTTTAACACCAGGTTTAGTTCAACTTTTATTCACAAATCATATCGCTGTTGAGACCTTCCCTCCACAGCCTGTCTATGTAATCAACAAAATGGACAAATGGTTCTGAAATGTGATATCAGTCCCTATAGACAGCACCTGGCCCAAATCTTGACTCTTGATTTATCCCGCTCCCTCCCCAGCTTCGTGCCAAACGTGGGCCTCCACTTCCCCATGGGGAGGGCGAGGCCTGCTTCTGATTGGTTAAGCCAGGAGGGGGGCGTGGCAGCTGTGAGCTGTTGCGATTGGTCTTCCACAACTTGTTTTGTCCGATGGGCTCTGGGGGCCAGCTGGGTTTGTACTCCGAGTACTTTCCTGAAGAGGAAATGGGGAGGTGGGAGAAAGAGGGGGAAATGATTTTTGACAAACAGACCTCAGAAATGGGAGTTAAGAAAACACAGTACATCCAGCTCCTTGGAACAACTTGTATACAGACTAAACATACTGCAAACTCATTTACAGTGACAGAGTGAAAAAGAAACACTGCGAATCACACTGAAATTATAACAGGAGAGACTCAGAGGTTAAATTGAAAGATTATAAACCAAGTTTGGAAAAATCGAAGTGTAAACCTGTGCTGTGTGCATTGCTGAGGGGGCTGTCTGAGGCACTGTAGGGCCAGGCACCAGGTGAAGGCAGCGAGGTGTTGAGGGTGGGGTTTGGCCCTGCAAAACATGGAAGACAGTTATCTGAAAGAAACCCTGTTGAAGGAAATAAATAAGAAAATCTAAAGTCAGCTGCAGTTGGAGCCTGAAAGTTGAACTAAGTCTGAGACAACACGTCTACAGATGTTCATAAACACTGATGTTTCCTCTGGTTTAAAGTTCACACCTTACATGGCTGTAAAGTTTTACAATGTTGATCAGCTGATACTTGAGATGGCAATCTGGAAACACCATCAGCGGGGATCTGAAGTGGTGTTAGGCTGAAATCTGAGGTCCCGTTTTGTGGCTTCAGTTCAGACAACAAAACAGCTTGTCATTGTTCACCAAAAATGTTCCATTAGTGAATAGACTTAATGATAATTGCCAACCGACACGGGAAAGACAGTGGCTTCCAAAGATAACCTAAGCTCTGACGAACAGCTTTTACTTGTTTAATACACTAGAGTACAAAACCCTTGTATTTTTTCTTTGCTTTCACGTGGGATATAATCTAATGCCTTTCAGATCTCTTCATGAAACAAACGCCAATGCTTAAACCAAAATCAGTGCACATCTTATTATTTTCAAAATGCGGTCTGATACCTATGTTGTCTCGCAATAACTGGTGGTCAGAGTCGTTAAGGTTTGGGGGTCCAGGGGAACCAAGAACACCGCCGGGAGTCATGTAGGGATCAGATTCTGGGTCTCCACCAGTTTGGATACCTTTCCAGGGAACACCAGGCTGAAACTCTGTGACAAAAGAGACGGTTTTGATCAATAAAAATGATATCCAATGTCTACATAAAGAAATAACAGAATATCAAATTCTGTGGTTGTGTCTGTGTTGATTGTCGAGGATTTGGTGACAAAGTTTTGCCAGGACTTTTAACCCTTTATTTGTAGATAATTTTTGGCCATAATGAAAAAAAAAATGTTTTGATTACTCTTCACAAGGCTTTAACAGCTTGGCTACGACAAAAATACTCTCACCTGGTGGCCAGCTCGATGTGGCAGGTTTGTTCCCCATTTTACTCCCAGGGGTGCGGTGCCAGTTGTCTGCAGAGCCTTGAGGAGGAATTCCCAAACTATCCCCGCCCAACATTTCGTACTGGGAGTAAGGGGATCCTCCTCTCACCTTTAAAGCACTGGGTAAAGGGCCTAAAGGATGACACACATAGGAGGAAACCAAATATATGCAGACTCTTAAAAGAAATTCAGCTTTCAGATGTCCTCCAATCTTCTCCTTTCCTCAAAATCAGATTGACAATTGCTTGGAAGATGTCTTTATCCAGAGTGTGAAATGAAATGAACCAGTCGTGAACTCACCATTCTTGTGAAGGGTTGTGTCTGGGGGGGATTGAGCAGGAGAGTGTCCCTCCATCATCCATTTGAAGCGGGACTGCTGTCCTCCTGTGTCCTTCATCCCTCCTATCATGGGACCGAGCTCAAGGCCTGACAGGTTACCGCCTGGAGCAAGCCCTAGCAAGCAGAAGCACAAACACTTATGAGTCAATTATATTCCCCAACTGCTCGTCTCAATAAGACCTTTGGTGAGAGTACGCTCTTTGCGGTTTGTGTGTGGTGTCACCCAGACTGCACTATAGAGATAAAGACCTTTAAGAAGGACCAATGCTATAGCAACAGTTACAGCCGCAACAGTCTGTATAAATAGATTTTACACAGAGTGTCACACCATTTAAACACTGACACTTTGATACTTGCACTTACCAGAGTACATCCCTTGTGTTTTGGCATGAAGGTCTGATAAGGCCCCCCCCATCCCAGGGTGCTGTAGGGGGTCCCCCATGGGCTGTTTGGTAAGGCCTCCTCCCAGATGAGAGGGGGACAGTTTGGAGCTCCCTCCGCCTGGTGCGACTCCACCCTGTTGATGCTGCCTCTGCTGCTGCAGGATAGCCATGATCCTTGCCAGCTGGAAGACACATGCATATAAAAAAAAAGGAGTGAGAAGCAATAACTGAAGAAAAACAGTGAATTATGTAACTGTTCAAGTGAACAAAAACCCAAAATGCGGAGTTTTAAAAGTCAGAGGGTTTGTTGCAGTCATGTTGGTGCAATTTCAGAGTTTTTGAAGTAACAGAAAAAACCTGATACCTATTTTCACCTTTCATTTAGTCAGTGAAGCTTCGCCTTATTCTGAGCTGAAAAACTGAGAACTATTGTCGCGTTAGGCCTTATCTTTACATTGAAACAGCATTTTGGGTGGCTGACAACACAACATTTTTGAAACTGGGTTCCAGGGTGGGAACATTTTTTAAATGCCGACTCTTCTGTCTTCATGTAAACCCATCGCTCTGTCGCAGCTTCATGTGCAGGCACTTGCCATTCTTCAATGATGTTTCTTAACAAAGTTGTACCGCTAACTACTGGTCTGGCGTTCCATACCACAATAATTCAGGCACTGTTCTATGTGTGCACTTGCATGGTTTTGAGACCTTGTCATATGGACGCAATTTTATGTTTTTGACAGGCCATTCTCTCTAACAAGGCCTCATCTTGTACCAGCATCGATAAAGTCCTCTTCTTTGTTTTTGGCAGCATTTTCAGTGAAACAAAGTTAGACCCTGCCTCATGTTACTTTTCACACAGCTTAGTAGTCATGAAACAACCCATGGGTTATGCCTATACAGAAAACATTTGAGACCAGCACTATGCATCATACAAGCAGTAGTTATTTACTGTTACATTAGCTGCTTTTATTATTTGTGGTTTTAAGCCTTCAAGAAAGGTCATTATAGATAGGAACAGCCTCAGCTTTCAGTAACAGTTGAGACCCAAGTCTGGCTATTACTGACCTTTGTTTACAAGGAAGTGTAGAGCACATTCAGCTACGTCATGGCTGCTGTTGACTTGAAAATATAGAAACTTTCTGCTGTTTTCTAGCACCTTTGACTCTGGGAAGAGAAAGTAGCTGTGGCTTACCTTCACAACCAGAAGCAAGCATCTATCAGAGACATACTGAGTCTGCTATGAGCAGCAAAGGGGGAAAACCTGAGCAGTGATGCAAAATTTGCAGAAGGGAGCAAAGCTTTCAGTCATGTCATTAAAAAAACTTCCAGGTGGGCGTGTCCTTTAACTCTGTCCTAACTGAACGACACAACATGATGTCAGGCGATGGCCAAGACTTGCAAAGTTCTCAAAATGAGATGTTAGGAGGAGCTGGAAAACCTGTCTGGGGATTACACCAACATTCATGTTATCTCATGTTTTAAAACTTTAGAGGTTTAGGGTGGCTCTCTAACATTGTAATATTATATGTTGTTAAAACTGAATCAGCATAACAGGTCTCCTTCAAGGTCTGAAGTTTTGTGCTGCATTCAGGTAGATATGAAGAGAGATGTAATCATACAAAATAATTCCTAGAATTTGACCAGCATGTGACTACTTGCTATTTTGCATTATCTGCAGTATGATCAAAACTGTCATCTGCAGTCATGGCTTAATTCCTGATGAGAAAAATATGGTCAAATATGACAGCCAAGGGCCACAATGCTCTGTAAAATCAGTGTGAAACTATTCATGCTTACCTGCTGTGGGTCTGGCTGCTGTCTGAGAGGCTGAGGCTGAGGGAACTTTCTCTGATTCTGCAGAAGCTGCTGCTGTTGTTGCTGTTGTTGTAGCAAGAGCTGACAAGCCTGTGGGAAGAAATGTCCAACGAGAGGGATAAACAAAGAATAAATAGGGGATTACTCACAAAGAGGATCTATGTGAGCCTAATTGGGGGTTGAGTTTCTTGTCATCCGCCACGTTTCTTCGATTCAAAGTTTCAGACACACACTTTTGTGCGAAACAGACAATATTTCAAAGTGATGACTCTATTCATCATTTAGCGATTTAAGCCACGTACCAGATGGAACTGCTGCATCTGGGGGTAAATGTTGCTGAGCATTGCCAGCTGCTGTGGGGAAATCTGAGGGGGGAACACTCCTCCACCGACACCACCAACCCCACCGACACTTCCAACGCCACCGACACCTCCTACTCCTCCTACTCCTCCAACCACGCCACCCACACTGCCACCAGGAGAGGGCATCTGCTTCAGCATAGGACCCGGCACCTGTGTGTTACAATGACATGGTGTTTGAAATAAATTAAGTTCTCTTAGACATAGATTTTTTTCATGACTCAGCTTGAGTTTACTGACAGAAATAACATCACTGTGGGTTTACTGCACACAGCTCACGAAATACACCTGCATCACAGGGCATCTGCTGTTATCTTTCAAAGCCATAAAACTGAGCAGTACTTTTGTTTGTGCCAAGTTAAACTGACAGGCAGGACTCAAGAGGCCCTCCTTTCCTCCTAAACACAACATCCATCATCACTGATAACATCAGACACAGAAGACAACAGACCTGAGCTGACAGGAACTGATGAGGCACTTGAGCACGTATCCCCTGGGAGGGGTTCATTGGATGCATGCCAGGCTGGTGCATCCCTCGAGGCTGAGGAATCCCTCCGCCACTTCCAACAAACACTCCATGACCGCTCATCTGGATGAAACGGAGAGCATTCCACAGGAGAAAAGCATGTGTCAGTAAGTGTAATCATATGATGTTAGAAAAACTCATGACTTCCCTGTGTCTTTTGGATATGAATGAATATTTTCTGACACATCAAAAACAGAAACACAAATCCATGTATAAATCCACCACAGTGAATCTTCACTCAGATTTATGACAGGCTAAAATAAACACTTTTTCTCCACAGACACACTCTATCATACAAGTATTTACAGAGACAACTTACACGACTTTCTAAAATTCTCTGGGTTTTTTGTTTTCCCAAACATTTCCACACCTGGAATTCCTAGTTTTTTTTTTAAGTCCTATAACTTTTTCAGTTTCGTCTACTTGAGGCACGTACTGTCAAAAATCACACAAAATTCTGAATAATTCCGGCTAACAAACTTAAAAAATGATTTCCTGGCTTCAAAAATGACTGCATTTAAATGAAGCTGAATATCAAGTTTTGATCCGGTTTTTTTAAGTATCCTGTTTTTGTGTTTGTGCATTAAAATAATATATTCTTATTTCAGATGCCAGGGTAAGCCTTCATTCAAGTTACTACACGAAAACATTTATCGGCACTGATGGTTTTGATGACTAGTCAGGACAATTAAAAACAATTATCAACTCAATTTTAAAAGAAAAGAATCCCAGTAAGTGGAAGTGAAATCAACCAGGTTTGATTTAATGATGGTTTACATACTAGTGACATAAGATGAAGATAAACTGCTTACCTTTTCACCATAGGGCCCCATGTCAACAGGACCCATGTCTTTGGAACTAGGCATACGATAACCTCCTCCACTTCTTCCTCCTCTTCGCATCTCTCCATTATAATCATTCATTCCTCTCTTGTCTCCGTCCATCTTTTTGTCCACACTTGGGTCATCACCCTGAGACAAAAAAATCATTTAGTCTTTTCACACTTGTTCATAACAGAGGCCTCACTATCCTATTAACACAATAAATGTAGGAGACAGTTTAGTCTAAACGATTTTTAAAAAACTCTCCAATATGACAGATATGACATTCAAACATTAACCCATATTTACAGATGTAAAGACGAGGGAACTTCTTACCAAAAGACCCATATTTGAAAACTGACGCGACACTGGGTTCATCCAGGAGTCTCCAGCTCCACCCTGCCAGAAATGAATTAAAATAGAAGTGAGTAAAAAGAGGAAGACATGAAAATTATCATTTTAAAGAAAAGGTTTGTTAAAAACCTCCTTTTACTTGCCTTTCCTCTTTTCCCCACATGAGTCTGACCCCAGCCTCCTGAGTTGAAGGAGGAGCTACTTCCCTGGGAGCCAGCGCTGTTCCACACTCCTCCAACACCATCATCTTCCTCATCCCAGCTCGGGTGTCGGGAGGCTGCAACAGAACCCTCACCCTTCCCACCCCAGCTGTCCATGGGCTTGGGGCCTGCAGGAAAATAGAAAGATCATTTTGAACATCTTGGGAATCCTGTGTCTGAATTTCTTCACCGCTGAACTGAAAAAATGATTTTAAAAAGGCAGATCTCTATGAAACTAATGGAGTAATTCTAGTGCTTTAATAGAGACCTGGCACCATCCCTCCACATAAACTAAACACTAACAACTTAAAGCTTTAACATCATAGGTTCAAATGTCAAGCACTTTATTTTTAATCAAGTTGTAAAATTTTGGACACATTTCATATTACACATAACACACAAAACTATGTCATCTCTGCACACTTAATAAAGCACAGATTTACTGTTGTATGTTAAGTAACAGGTAACAACACATAGTCTGATTTTTACTAAAACTGTGTTGTAAAAGAAACATTTTGGTATCAAACTCTTACCAGGTTTACCGAGGTTGGGTGAAGGGTTCCCCCAGCCTGGAGCTTTGCCGGGATCATCTGGATCACCCCAACCTGTTGCTGCATCTGATGTCTGTCCCCAAGCAGCAGTACCATTATCCACGGATTGTGAGGGCCCTCCCCACATACCTGGAGCTGAACATGGATGGAAAGAAACACTTTCTATTAGAATTTGCATGCCGCTCATTTCAGTTTAACCACTACAGAGGGTTAAGTCAATGTAACTGACATTAACATTTCTACTGGACTCTGATATTTGTAGCCATGGGCTTGATCAAGTTACTGCAGGCAGAGTGAGAAAATGAGTATTCTTCTTGATTGTAATATCTGCTTACCGACAGCAACATCCCGACCCGGGTTTGCATCCCGACTGTGCTGCATCCCCTGCTGCCTTCTGGGTGGTTGTTGTTGCATGGGTGGTGGTGGTGGTGGTGGGGCCTGCTGACAGTGACCTTGGTCAGATGCAGCACTTTTCTTGTCCCACAGATTCACATTCTTGCTGTTGTAGCGGGATGGGTCTCCCCAGGCAGACGTGCCATCATCAATTTCCATCTTTCGACTAATGGACTGTGGGGAGGGTTCTTCCCATCCACTAGGCTCCAGGGAGTCGGACCCACCCCCGGGGATTTGGGGGATTGGGCCTGAGGTCCAGCCTGAACTTTGGTTCTGATTTTTGGATGGTGGACCTCCACCTCCAACCGTCCGGCTGTTCCACCCTCCTTGTTGCTGCTGGCCCTGTGATTGGTGCTGCTGCTGATTTGGGGCTTTCATTGGTGCCACTTGGCTGTTTGGTATGTGTGCTGATGCTGTGTGGGGCTTGGCACTCTCCCAATCCTGGTGGGATTTACCTCCACCCACATCTACCCCTCCCCACCCTCCTCGCTGAGTTCCCCCTTCCTCTAAGTTACCCCAAGAAGATCCCTCGTCAGAGTGGCTTCCACCTCTGTTTCGTCCATCTCCCCCAGGTGCGGAGTCTCTCTGACCCCAGTCTCCTCCCCAGCCCCCTCCCTCCCCTCTTCCTGCTCCCTTCCACCCCCCTGTCCCTTTATCCTCTTGTCCATCTGCCCACCCACTACCCTGTTCTCCAAATTCCCTCCAGTTTCCTCCTCTACTACTGGGAGTGGGACCCCCCCATTTTTTTTCTTCACTCCCCCATCCTTTGCCTTGGTTTTCAGGTGGGGGATCGCCCCAGCCTCCAGCTGCCTTGCCCTGATTGGCCTCCATATCTTCTTCTAGTGAACCTGGCTTCCTCACAGTACCGCCAGGCATGTGGGGACCACAGCCAGACTGTGCGCTGCCATCCCAGCCATCTCTCACTGTTGTAGGACCCATCTTGTGACTGCCGGCTGATTGATCATTACCCACTGAGCTGTTAGACGGGTACCCAGAGCCAGTGGTAGTGTTCATGGCTCCCGATGAGAAAGCAGATTTAGTGCTTCTTTCATTCCTGTGTCCCGCTCCTCTTGAAGTTTCCAGGTCCCAGGCCACATTCTGTCTGATCTGGGTCTGCCCCCAGCCTTTGTTGGACAGAACCCTGGGGTCCAGGTCAGATCTGTTGAGCATGCTGAGTAAGGCCACTTCAGCATTGGAGGTTTGGTGAGGGGGTTGTTGAGCAGATGACGCCTGCTCCTGCTTTTGTCCGCTGTCACTATCATCTCCGACGCTTCCGGCTATGGACCCTCCTCCGCTAGAGGATGAGGGTCTCCCACCTCCAGTGCTTCCACCTTGCCCACCCCACTCCCCCACTGTCCCCTCCCCACTTTCCATTCCTTTCTGATTGTCCCAAGCTTTTGTCATAGTTGCAAACTTTGGTGAGGCAGATTCCTGCAAAACACCGCCACCAACACCTCCTCCACTACTGCTGCTGCTGCTGCTGCTGCTCCCGTCTCCTCCTCTTCCTCCCTCTATTGCTGAGTTACTTGAACTTACACCACCTTCTGTGCCACCCCACTCCACATCTGAACTGCCTCCTTCCAACGCTCCCTGAGATACCGCTGTGGTATTTGAGCCACCATTATCCTCCCCAGCCCACCCTGTCTTGCCATCCTGGCTACCGAAGCCCCACACGTTCCCTTCCTGCACCTGAGCTCCAGTCCCACCTCCACCCCATCCATCTGCCTGTGAGGCACCAGCATTGAGGTCAGTGGGCACTGCAGGCATGGATCTCCAAGAAGAAGAGGCAGCAGAGGAGGAAGACAAAGAGCTCGAGAGATTAGCACTCCCTTCTTCTTCAACCCGTGCAGTCCCATAGTCCCTTTCATCCACACTTTCGTGATTTGGTCCTGCTCCTTCACCTGAACCTGACTCATGCCCCGAGTTTCCTAAGTGCTGCTGTGGTTCTCCACCCCTGGCTCCCCCAGCTGTCTCACTGTGCTGCTGATGGAGACCAGTTTGATTCACAGATGAAAGCGAGTGAGTGGTGACGAGGGTGTTGCTGGCAGAAAATGGGGAAACTGAAGTGATGGACGAGTGTAGAGGAAGGCCGTCACTAGATGAAGTGGATGTCCCACCCTGCACCAGGGCTGGCCAGGCAGAGGGGTTCATGTTGGGGTTAAAATTGGCACCAGAGACATTACTGCTGCCACCCACAGGGCTCTCCTGAGGCCCAGGAAGAAGATGGGAGACTTTGGAATTGTAAAATGCTGCTGATCCTAGCCCTGTCTCCACCTGAGAGGAGGTGGAAGAGCCCCACACACCACCACTCGACTGAACACATTCATTAAGCGAGGAAGAGGAGGAAAGAGGAGAAGAACGAGGAGAGGAAGGATTGTCCATGTTCCCTACTCCTCCTCCTACGGTTCCCCCCTTCTGCTGGATGTTTTTCTCACTCCATGAGGCACTACTGTTGTTGTTGTTACCAGGGCAGTCTTGTTCCTGCACCCCTCCTCCAGCTCCGTCACTACTCATTTTGGCCCCGCCAAGGATGCTAGGCCAATCCTCCAGATCAGTCCCATCCACAATCACCTTCCCGCAGCCCTGAGAAGAGGACAGGCTGCCAGAGCCTGCCCCCCATGTGGAATTTGCATAAGTTGAAGTAGTAGTAGAAGAAGACGACGGAGCAGCGACGCATGATGAGGATGAGGAGTTGGGGGGTGAAGCAGATGATGAACCCAGGTTGGAATCTATAAGAACAAAAATGAAATGTTTCCTCTAGTTCACAGTGAAAGCATTACAGTGCAGTCATGTTCAAATCAGCTTCAATCTTTATAGGAGATATGTATTAGTATGTTTGTATTGACACCTCAGATTCAACCTTCAGAGGTTACATATGGGGTGCCACAGGGTTTGGTGATTGGACCCCTGCTACATGTATCATATATGAACAATAAATGTCCCTCCTCTCCTTTTTTTAATTATCCTATCATTTATCCATTCTGTATTATTCAGATATCCATTTATCCATTCTATTGAATTTCTCTTCGGGGATTAACAAAGTTATTCTTATTCTTATTTTTTAACTAATTTATCTTTGTATGTCTACTTGTTTATCCTGTTTGTTTTTCCTTATTACTACAGTGTTAAATGGATGTTTGACATACATCTGCATCATATGCCCCAATACATAGGTATGGGATTTTTTTTAACACTGATCTTGTCTCAGATACTGTTCAATGTTTAAAGAAAAACTCTAAATAAAAAAGTAAGAAAAAAACTGATAAAAATAAATGTTTGGTTTCTAAATCACAGAAATGCTCATGACCTGAAGGTGATGCAACTATTTTTTACTACTTTTTATTTGCGTAAATAAACTAAAATTTTAACTCACTTTAGATCACAATATAATGCAAATTATACAGTCAGTACAATGTGAGAGGTAGATCCATATTTGACAAACTGACAATACAAATATCAAAACATGTTGTCTGTTGAGAGACCCGTAGAACATCTGTTTCCAAAAATATTATAAAATGCATTACAAAATACATCTGTCATGCTCAGTGAACTATTAGAATAACCAAATCATGCAATGCAGCATTGGAAATTTGAGTAAAGGTTTGTATTAAAGTGTATTTAATGAGAGTAACATATGTGCTTCTCTTGCCTCAAACAGGTTGTTGTGATAGATGAATTTGTGTGAGGTAAGAGAGGTTAGGTATTAATAACCTCTAGCTTCAGCCTACACCTTTTTGGTTGCCTTTGACATTTGGGTTACATTTTTTGTTTGTTTTTTTTACGGCTAGTGAACCAAAATAAATGCTTTCAAGCCCTCATTGTGCACCATTTCAACTCTTTAAATTGCTCAGCATAGTTTCTACAACAGATTTTTATAGTAAGATGCTCGGCTTCATTTTGGCTTGTGGTCCTCAGTCGACTTAAACCTCTGTCATCTTTCTTGGTGTGATACTTCAACTCACCTGTGCCTCCAGCTGTGTTTGCATTGGGGTTTTCTGCTCCCTGTGAGGGCAGAGGTGGAGAGGCTGCCCAACCACCACCTCCCACAGCCACTCCTGCACCCCCTTCCCCCCCTCCACCCCCCAGCAGCATGGAGGACAGCGGTGGCTGGCCCCGCTTCAGTAGCACTTTATGGTCCTGCTGGCAGCGAAATCTCGGTGGAACCTCTCTCGACATGTATCGCTGCTGTTGGGATGTCTGGCTTCCAGAGGGGGAGGAGGAGGGCTGTCCGTTGGCCACAGCAGTCCGCTGCTTTGCATTGTTCCCACCACCAGGAGGAACTTGTGCTGCACCCGGACTGGGGGATGGGGGGGCAAGAGGGCCAGGGCTGGGGGACACTGAGCCTTGGGTGGCAAGTGGCTGGGAGCAGGAGGGTTTGGCTGATTCTGGCACTAAAACACACACAAAAAAATAAGTTTGTGAATAACCTGTAGATCGTGTTGCATAAGCAGGTACATCGCATTTAATTTAGAAATCATGATTTTTTTTTTTTTATAATAACTGAAGTCAAAAAGGTCAGTCTTGTTTTCAATTTGATTTGCAGCTCATGAAAATCAGAAATCTCTTCATTTGAATATTTTTAGTTCAACCAAAACTGATTTAAAATACAGACTTGTTCAACTTCTGAAAAGTTGGTTCATTTTTACACTCAATACTCCTCGACCACAAATAACTGCGTCAATGACGATGATCAGCCAGAGACATGGCCACTGTTATTGAAGGCCGAGTTGCTTTTATACCAGCCTTCAGCGTGTTCAGCATATTCCTCTTCTCTATCAAAATCCAAAAGACTCTCGCATGGGTTTGGGTAAGGGTAGTTAGTCGGCCAACCAAGCCCAGAAATAGTCAACAAGCCATTTGTCAGTAGTTTTGGCGCCTCTCTGATTTTCCTCAGACTCTTGATTTCCAAATGAAATTCAAAATCTCAGTTTTATCTGAGCAATAGTCCTGTTCTCTCTGTCCTTAGCCCAGGTGAGACACTTCTGACATCACTCATTTAGGTGTGGTTTTATATTAGGAATGAGTCTTTCCTGGAGACATATGTGCATGGTGGCTCTTAGTGCACTGACACCAGCCATGATCCACTCCTTATAAAGCTCTGCCATTCTTGAATCAGCTGTTCTTAACAATCCTGTGTGGTCAACCCAGTTGCTTGGGTGCATTTTCCTCCCACACTTTTCTGTTCCAGCCATTAATTTGCTTCGATACAGCACTCTGTGAACAGCCAGGCTTTTCAGCAATGACCTTATGTGGTTCACCCTCCTTGTGGAGGGTGTCCATGATTGTCCTTTAAACAACTGTCAGGTCAGCGGCCTTCCTCATGATTGTGGTTGGGCAGTGTTCTAGACTTACAAATGCATGATATTCATAATGCTTGAGAGGTTATTTACTCAAATTCAAACAAAAGAAGAAACATCTCAATATCAATTTATATTTGCTGAGCTGAGTCCAAACTAAATGGTTGAAAGAATCTGGATTCGTTTTTTTTGTCATGTCCAGACTATTTATTTTCACAATCTTGAATTATTGTTAAAAACTACTGAACTTTCTCATGATAATCTACTCTTTTGAGATGCACAAGAACATTAGGATACCTCCTTGCTAATAATTTGGGAGATTAAAATTTTTTGTGTGCAATCATAACCCCAATGTGACACCTCCACAGGTCAACCAAATATATGACATTAATCAGAACGATAGGGTAATAGTGATTATTTGAAGTCTATCAACAAGACATCAAAGATGAAGCACAAGTGTTTTTGGATGAAAGTCTGAATATTTCAAAGGAAAAGTAGTCTGATGGCAAAATGAACACAGGGGGATAAACATACCTTTGATTTTCTGTTCTGGCACCTAAAATACAAGAAATAAGAGAGTCAGATACACTGATGAGCAAATGATCATTTAGAAAACAATAAGTAAATTTTGTCTTAGTATAACCACCCACAAAAATGCATGTACTGAGACCGTAGTCTCACCAGGCTTTGGGCCAGTTACCAAAACTAAGAAATATACTAAAAAAAAGGCACTGTTCAAGTTCAAATATAAATTACGTGGTACATGACACTTCTTTGAATATTTCCAATTATTAAAAAAGTATTCCCATAGCACCGAGGCAGAAACATCAGTTACCAAACAAAATTAATTTTATCTGCAATAAATTCAACAAAGACAACTTTGGCTGTGTTTGCAGTTAAGATGTAAAAGCAGAGGGATCAGACAGACTCTCTTCAAGAAATGGTCAAGTTTGAGCAAGTTGTGAATTTCTGACTTGAATCCCTACCTTCTGAGAGGTTTCCCTTTTCTTTTTATCTTCTTTCTTCTTTTTCTTGTCTTCCATGAACTACTGTTCCCTTTCCTGATTCTCCTATCTGAAAAGAAAAAGTTCACATTCAATTATTAATGTTACACTTTAAGTCATGGAGAAAGAAATAATCAATGCACAACAAAAACGTACCATTTCTACGCAAAAATATAGACAGACTCAGAATTAATGGTCCATGTTTTTATCAGGTTAATACTGAATATTGTTCTATCCAGTTAACGTTGTAAGAACTGTAATGTTAACCAGAGCCAGCTTGACAACAGCCCTGGTAGCCTAGCTTCATACTGCATTATTTATTAAGCAGCAGACGATTGCAATTTCAACCAACAGACAACACAGACAGCAGCCAAACAAACAAGAGACTTCAAACTCTGATAAGTTTGAATCCTCTGCATTACAGTAGGAAATTTTAGTATGATTGAAGATAAACTTATAACAGATGACATGATGTGTCTGATGTTATGAAAGGCTTGCTCTTGCTGACCTCACACCTGCCTTTATCTATGTTAAAAATGAATCATTCAGAAATGCAAACACACAAATACACCCATGTAAACATCAGGATGATTTGTGGAAAGAAAAACTTCATAGGAGGATGAGGTAAAAACGCAGATACACAATGAAATGTAATGTGATCTCATGAACTTAAGAGTTGTAAATATGTCTGGGTCCAGTGTTTCTTTGGCTAAGCTGCACATAATTAACACCACCATGTCACACAGTACTAATGAGGGCTAACTGGACATCATGCAGCCTTATTCCTTTTCTTCACAACATAGAAATACAAATCTTTTTCATAATCACTTGTAAAAACAACTTCTTTCAGACAGATTTTGTAGCAGTGGAACCAACGACAACCTGAATTTCATGTCAGTAACAGAATACAAAAGGACTAGCTGCTGCAGAGTCAATGGACGACCCTTTTTTATCTCCCCGATCAAATCCATTTTAAGTGGAGTGACAAAATAACTGAATTTTGTCTTTGGTATTGACTGATTCAACCATAATTTAAAGTTTAGACCACTTACCGCTGGTCATCTCAAGTCATTGTTCAGTGTCCTTACAGGCTTACACAAGTCCAAGTTGAGGACATTTTTGATACTGCCTGTATTTCCCTTCTCTCTTTGCTGGAAATGAGGTGGAAATGCCACATTTGTAATTTAATGTCGGCATGCCACGGGTCTCATTTTTCTTAGATTTCACAATTGCTTTGGTATGTGCTGTCAACAGTAAACATTACAGGGGTTTGCATGATTAAGATGCAGTGATAAGAAACAGAGGTGCCGATAATTATCATGCAGCATGTCCTGGGATATAAATAAGCAGGCTTCTCTGCATGCATTTCAAACTCATTTCCAGGATGTGATCAAAATCAAGGTATGTTTAAAAACCGAGATATTCAAGGCTTGTCAGCAGGCTCTTTTATAGTCAGGATTCAGGGACATTTCCAATATTTCTGTTTAACCAGCATCTCTCCATTTCACCTGTCTTATTAAATTGAAGTGCAAAGTACTAACAAAAGAAAATGAGCTACACTGCAGTGCAAAGAATTAACAAGCTGTTACAGCACAGTTCGAAACCTTGATTATAACATAAGTCCCGCCTCTGACTCCGCCAAAACCAATCACAGTTCAGGATTTTTAGGGTGGCATTTGGGGAGACCAATCGATTACAAGGGGGGCCCATATCGCTTTTGGTCACCCCTTTAGAAACAACCCTGTAGGTGAGCCACAATCTAATGTCAATCGCCATTACAGCAGATGATAAGACCGACAGGTACAGCTCGAGGGGCTTGCGGCGGTGGGCTGTACAAAAGCAAGCAACCTAACCTCTGCGCAGTTAGCTGCTGGCAAAAGGAACGTCATATTTGCGGACGATATGCCCATAATACCAAACACAACGTTTTCCACGAAGCCTCCAGCATGAAAACTTTACAATGTGCACAAATACGGCTACAAAGTCAGTGGACGTGTGGCTTGCATCCTGGTTGAGCAGTATGTGTCGGTCGACAGGGCCATATTTACCGACTAACTTCAGTGACGTTTCTCCAACATTGCAACGCGTAACAAGCGAATCCCTGCTAAACAGAGAAACCAAACGTTTGCTCCATAAAAGCAGACATTACTGACGCTGTGTACCGGGAAAGCTGTAAAAATATATAAAGGTTAAAGTGAAACACTCACCTCGGGAATCACACAGGACATAAAGTGCTTCTGTGCAAAAATCCTCGCAGACCTACCGCTAGCAGGCTAGCAAGGTAGCTAGCCTAGCGAGCTAGTTCTTCGAGGCGTTCAAGGCTAAATTGAATAAGAAATGACATCACCGAAAACCGAAATGTTAATCGTAGAAAAAACTGAGGAAAAGCGAGTATCCTTTTGGAGCGACTGTAGTTCTCAAGCTGTAAACAAAACATGCATAACCCCTTGCTGACTGTCAGACGCTGTATGATCGGTTAGTTTACTATCGGCCATTTTGCTTCTGTGTGGAGCTTTAGCAGCATATGATATCAACGGGCTGCTTGTTGATGAGAGAGGGGAGGAGGAGCAGTGCGCCTGCGCACACTGCCCACCAGAGGGCGTTTCGACACTGGAAAAATGACGTCATATTCATGGGGGAATAAATAAGTAAACAAACGGGCCAGAACTCCTTCATTACATCACTTAGACATAGTTAACCACCAGAATAGGAAGTTACACATTATACTTGCTATGGTGTCTGTTACTGAGCAGGTTGTTAAAAGCAGTACTTCCACTTTTACTCAAGTATTTTCTGTGGAAAATAATGTACTTCACTTCTTTTAACAAACGGTATAAATAAAACTGCGACAAAATACAAGGTTCCCATCAGCTGCAGGTAGAAAGTTTAGGCCTACTGCAAGATGTCTACATTGGAAAACATCCAATTGTTAATAACTTGATGTGTATAATTTCTTGTCACAGTGTGTTATCACACTTAATTTAAGCTACCTTGACCTGTTCCAGAAAATGCACCATGATCTTTTTTGCTTTCTGTAGCCATTAAATTCACTTAAATCCTCTGAAACCGTCCTTTTGGCTTAACCTAACAAGCATTGATGCAGCCGGTCATGACATGAGTGTGCAGGGACCATGTGCAAAAATATTCAGTAACTTCTCCCTGGATTGGTGCAGAGTCTAAATCATTATGTATTAATGCCTTTGATTCTTTGACCTTAACTACTTTGGGAATATATACTTTTGCATAATGTATTGGCATAAAATATCTCACTCCTCCCTTACCAACATCCACTACTATGGGTTACTTATTGAGCAAGTTGCAGACTGTTGGTTTTCATTTATAAGATATAGCTCTATTGAGGAAACTTGGTTGTTTTTCTTTCCTTTGTTATATTATAAAATATAACAATTATAAAAATAAAATGATACTAACATATGAGAGACAAAGTTGCTGAACGTAAGTAAATATTGGATTAAATAATAATATGCAAACATATTCTGCTGAGTAAAATGGTCCACAAAGCAATTCGGGGTTCCATTATGTCATACACATTAAAACAAAATATTAATAGTATCTTAGTCAGACAATTCCTAAATAGATGTTTATAGAATTCAGGGAACATAGTGTGATATCAGCCATGTAAGGGGCCAGGCTCATGCTGCTAATAACTAGAAAATGTCCCAAACTGGCCAACTCTCTATTTTCCACCCTGATTACCTGTTGTTTCTATGTCACACTGTCATATCACACGACAAAGCAATTGATTCTTTAATAGATGATAACACTGTATACATTTTTACACACAGGAATCCTGCGTTCTTATGTCATACACAAAAACGAGACAGAAGTTTTAAAGCATCAGCATAATTTCTTTGTTGAACTTTTTTGATGTTAAAAAAATAAAAAAGGCAATCGAGGAAGTTGGTTTTGTATAACCTGATTTTATAAACCAGTGACAAAATGGAAAGATCAGGCAGTATCAAACAAAATTTATGACATAGTTAACATCACTCTCTGATGTAAAGTGTAGTGTAAAAACAATGCAGCACTCTCTGTCTTTCAGTCAGTAACAGTCTTACTATAATAATTCAGACAAGCACCAGTTTGCATTTGAAAAAAAGACTCTATGATCAAGTGACTATATCAATAATAGTTTGATACTTTTATGGTCTCTGTTAAGAGTTTCTGTTATAAAAATGTCAGCCTCACACAGAAATAGACATTATCCAAATGACAAAATGTAGGGAAACATTTAACCCCCAGAAAATCTTCATTTACAGAAAACAACAGTAAAGTTTGTAGCAACATGGGCCTTTCATGTTTGGGTTAAGTTTTTCTTGTTTTTCATTTTTTCTTTTTATTATTCTACCATGTAAGCCAGTCCAGCTGGGCTATATATATATATACATATACATACTGGCAGCTTTTAGAAAATATACTATATGTTTCCTTGTCAATATCAATATTCTGTCTCCCTATCCTACTGAAGTCTATCCAATTCAACCCATGCTACTGCCCTCTGTTGGCCGTGGATGGCATTGCGTATGGCTGCCAGCAGCTCCTCAGTGCAGCTCCAGGTGCTGGGCTCCAGGGTGAAGTAGAGAAGAGGCAGCGTCTCCAGCTGCAGCTCCTCGGCCTGGCACACCTCCTCCATTATGCTGTCCTCTCCACAGCGAGGGAAAAACTTCCTGTTTCAAGATTTAGAGGGTCATAAACAACAGTTTAGAGGAAAATAATGCATTATATATCTGTATGATAAGAAAATATGTCTGCACATGATTTTTTAAAATATACTCATTATTATTGCACTAGCCAACAGAGCTTGGAAAACATAAATATGCACTTACCTTAATTTCTTGTGTTTTTTGTTCTTGGGACGGATATGGATGACAATGGGGTAGACTCCCTGTCTTAATAAGCCTTCAACACTGGGCAGACCCAATTCCAGCAGACAGTGCTTGTCCTGAGACAGAATAACATGTAATAAATACAACATTAACTACTGAAAAGTTTGTTAGGACTTATAATCAACAGACAAACATCCCTTTGGCTTGCCTAGGAGATTTAGGATGTGTAAATTGCGATATTTACAATCACTGGTTAAATTCTAGTACAGTAAAAAAGAGTTGTGACTGTTTGTTCGACCAACGAGACACGAGAAGAAGAAAGAAAAGCAGTGTTCCTTCTATTACCTGGCTCATGACATCTTGTATTGACTGCAGCCTGATACCCAGAGCCTGCTCTGGACTACAGGAATCCAACAAGAAAACTCTCTTGTCCCTCCTCTCTGAAGCTTGGATAGGCTCTGCAAATCAGGGGAAACAGAGTTAAGAGGAGAATGAACAATATCCTTCTTCTATCATGAGTTTATTGTTATTTGGTGCATTAATTCAATGTCGGAGTCCCCCATGGGTCTCTTTTAGGTCCCCTCATATTCACTGTTTACATGCTTCCCCTAGAGCAAACCCTGCATAAGCACAGTTTTGGTACCACAAATGGCTCCAACATTATGTCCTGTCTGACTAAAATCAAAAACCAGACATCTGAAAATCTTCAACGGCTAAATGACACCGAATGTAAAGTAATTCTTATTGCCACCTCTAGCTGCTGTTCTGTCTCTATTTATTGTCTGTCCTCCAGCCTGGGTGCCAAGTCTAATGATATTTGTAGAGACCTTCAACTCAAGGGTCATTATTGACTCCAATCTTTTCTTTGACACCCAGGCATTACAAAACTATTAAGTCCTGGCCTCAAATCAGGTCTTTCGTTTGTCCTGCTGACTCAGAAAATCATCCGTGGATTCATTTCTTCTCATCTAGTCAATCATGATGCACTTGACTCTGGCATCAACAAGAGCTACATCCAAAGACTGCAACTGATTCAAAAAGCTGCCAAGCTTTAAATATATTGTAAAAGAAACCTCTTACACCTTTTAAAGCTCTTCTTTAGGAACTTATATCCTCAGGTTTTCTGCAGATTGCTGGCTTTGTTATATTGTCTCTTTCAGCTTGTATCATAACAAGGTTGGTTCTTACTCCCTTTTTCCTTTTCTTTTGTCATCTACCATTTTTTCTTATTGTCTATCTCAATGATCGTTTTCCTAGTTAGAATTTTTATTAACTTGACTACATTATGACGTGTGCAAATAAATGTGTTGTTAGCAAACCTGGAGGACAGGTGTTGAAGTTCAAACCAGACTCTGCGGGTTGCAGCAGCCTCTCTATCAGACCACGGGACAGAAGAGAGGGAGAGAAGATGACCGGCCGCTTGCTCTGAACCTGAACCGGCTGCACCACGCTGTAAGGGATCAAGTGCTCCTCGTGACCTGAAAGGACCGCTACACATTAACACGAAGTGCATACACATACTGACAAAGAAAAAAAACACTGAAGATCAGTTTGACTGGATATTTACGTTTGTTTAGTGTGAAAAGAACTGGCTGTGTAGAACTGATCCCACGGCAACCGGGGTCCACTGCTTTGACTAATCGTACACGACCATTTCCTTTCTTCAAGAACTAGAAAACAGGGAAGACAAAATCTGATTGTTATGCTTCTGTGGTATTAGTATAATTTGATTTCATTGAGCAAAGTGCTTAAAATGGGCCTGCTGATGATTCATGTTATGTCAGTAAAAGTTCTCTACCTTCTTCTTGATGTCCTTTTGCTCCAGGGCCATTTTTCGGAGCCTTACGAGTAACAACTGCTGTGCCCTGCGAAGAAATCAGAACAAACCACTGTACTCTTGTTTCTGCATTACATAAAACCCAATAGGGCTTATGTTGACCGTGCAGCATAAAATGGTCCATACAAGAATGATTCTGCAAAATTTAAGCATACACTAGAACAGCAGAGCAGTCAAATGAAGGTCTAATAACCATACCTGTTGTAATTGGGCATGGTTCCAGTCTGCAGGGGCTTCGCTGTGCGTGGGTCCACAAGGGCACAGCGCCAGTGGTACTTTCCGTTGTACTTTGTGTCTGTGACATGCATAATGTCATCACAGGACACACTCAGAGACGGCGGATCTCCGTGGGGCTCCAGTTTGAGATTGACTCGCACATAGAAAGAGTCAGCGCCCACAAAAGAGGGTGAAGTGAGGAAGGAGCACAGCTTTGAGTAACCTAAGAACAAAAACAGAATTCATGTCTGTCATTTGGACATCTAAAAATATTGATTTTATTCTGTTTAATATGCAACCCCAATCTTAAAAATATGAGACCTATATAAAATATTAACTGATAAAAGATTATGATGGTTTTCGAATCATTAAAATCCTACAGGTCTATGCCACTTGTTTCAAAACAGGTTTTGGTATCAAATTAAAATGAACATATTTCTTTCATAAGCAACATTTTTTTTCCTGTTTTAATATTTGATATGTTGTCTTCACACTATTTCTGATTAAATACGAAGTGAACATGATTTGAAAACCATCAAATTCTATTTGTATCACCATGTTTTGCCGTGTCCTAAATTTTTCGGGATCAGGATCGTAAATCTATTTTAGCCTCATGAAAACACTCACCCTCTGGATTACTCTGGTATTTGAGGGTTGAAGGCTCGGTCCACCACTGCAGAGAAAAGTGGGCCACCTCAGCAGTGCACTGGTTCAGCAGCACACTCCCCCCACCAAACAGAACTCCTTCAAGCTGGTCAACAATCGAGAGAAAACAGCATGTTATGTTGCAGACCAATGTTCCTATGTTAACCATATACTGTAAGTCTGAGGGTTTCCATAAGACCGTAAGTCCAAAACATACAGTTTTAGCCAAAGCACATATTTCCTCTGAGGCTTGTGGTCTGACATCCTCAAACATAATTTATTTCCATGAGAGACGCACACACCTCCAGAAGCTCACTGCCCTCCTTCAGCCCACATTGTTCAGCAGGGGAACCAGCTCTCACATGGCTGACAAAGATCCCGGTCTGGTTTCCTCCAACCACAGTAATGTCCTCTGCTAAGCTGGCCCTCCCCTGCTTTGGTGAAACAGGGGGACTTGAAGATGGGGAGTTTGGGGGTATCCTGAAAGATGACATTAATGTGACAAGCACACTGAGCAAGTTCTAGACAAATGAAATGATCAACAACAGACTTTTCTGCTTGTTTTTTCCTTTTTTTTGCTCTTAGAAATACAATTAAATTGTCCCTATCAACATGTTGCATGGATTGTGAACTTTTGTACCAGCAAAATCAAATCTTTTAAAAAGTGCTGGAGGCAATGAGTATTATTCAAGGCATTTTAGAGACCTTTTCTCATTGAATTGTACCAACAAAAATCCATTTTATTTGCACGTTAAGGCCCCAGAAAACTCAATCAGCAAAGTTTGTGACATATCATAAGAATTCAACTCTGACTTTTAAGAAAAAGTGCATCATGTGCAGAGGTGCTTTCACTGTACTTTACAGACAGATGTCAACACATAACAGGTGTACCTGGGAACATTAGGATATGGTTGTTGCGAGGAGACAGCGGGCAGATTAACCAGGTCAGGGGGGAAAAGGTGAGAGTGAAGGGAGGCACAGGAATCCCACAAAGATGGTTCACTCTGCTCGCCTGAAAGCACCAGAGAGCTTTAACATTCCAACTTAAAGTGCAGAGCAACACAAGTTTGTATGTTTGTTTCATTTTACTTTGATGCCAAATCATGAGAATGACTTCAAACTTAAGGCTAAAAGCTAAAGTTTTGCAGCAAGGGAATCTGCCAGTATTATGAGTTCACACCTTCTCAAAAATTTGCAGCTGAAAAGATGTCAAATAATAAAAATACAAAGGCATACCTAGTCTTATTTTGAGGTAAATATCTGTCAGACAAAGCTAATGCTAGCATTCAACCACTTTCTACAAACCGTTAAATTTGCTAACTTACATTACAGCAGCCTGGGAGAAAATTCAGAGCTAATGATAGATAAGTTAGAGTTTATGTCTGAATAAAAACGGAGATTCATGAGAGGAAAAATCCAACATTTAGTCAAGATAAAAAGTCATTATTATGTGAACAAAAGGACAATTACAGTGTAAAGGTCAGAATAGAGGTGATATTAATGGCAAAAACAACGTTTTAAATGTGTTGCTGCAAAGCTACAGTTTACAAAGTCACTGATTTCTCTTTTCAAGCATTTTCTTCAATTTATCAAATATTTATTCCATGTTTATCACACAAAATAAGTACACAACTGCTTCACAAATGGCTTATTATGTGCACACAAAATAAAACCGATGATCTTCAAGAGACTTCAGCGGCTCCTTAGGAAACAGGCATACCTGTGATGTTGTCATTCTCATCACTGCCCCAGGACTCCGAATCAAACCTTTGCAGATCAGAAAAAAAGGATGTTAATATCATGGAAAAAGTGAGTGAATGAGAAACAGGAGACCGAAAATGTGTGTTTGCGCGGACAGACTCACTCTATGTGGAATCTTCGGTTGATAGAGTTCATGCAGGGAGGGAAGGGGAACGTGGAGAGACGGTTTATTTCCTTCTCATTATGCTCTGTCTGAAGGTCAGAAAACAAACAAACTGATAATGCATCTGTCCTCCATTATCAGTGGGTGTGCAGAGCTCTGATACTCACTGACAAAAGGAGATTCTCCTCTGAGTTGGAACGAGAGTCTGAAAACCAAGACAGAATATTACATGTTTTTCAATTTTAGCACCTTGCAGATAGATGTTTTCCCTGTGTTTTTCCACACAACTTACCCTCTGAGTTTTCATTGGCCTGGCCTCTAGAGGGCGTCTGTCACACAGAAAAGCAGAGTAAATATTCAATATGTGGTATTTTGCAGGCACGAACATGCAAAGTTGCATAAGACTCTACTCCACTCTTATTCACTAGACAATAATAAGATTCCAGCCTAATTGAAGAAGTTTATTCTGCAGCATTCCTCACATATCTCACAACAACGTGAAAAAACATGTTTTATGAACAATTGTGTCCGTTTAGTCCACACAGGGGGAAGTTATTTGCAGCTTTAAGTGCTATGATTGACAGTAGTGCAACACTCCAATAGTAAGCAGGTTCAAATCACGATCAGGGATATTATTTCTGCTGTGAATGTGAGTAAATTAAAGTTTGGGAATGACCTTTCGCAGCAGAGGGCGGGTGCTGTTGCTTTGGGGTCTCAGGTCAAGGCCGAGGGAACAGCAGGGGCCATAGCACTGGTCCTCACTGCAGAGGGACAGGTGAGACTGGAAGGCAGATATTGCGTTCAGTCAAAGTGTGTTTTTGGCTCTAGTTAGCAGACTCTTCTTTTACTGTGTCGTAATGTGTTTACTCACACAGTGCAGAGACGACATACTCTGCTCCAGCTGCTCCCGGCTCCTCTCCCTCTCTTTCTCAAGCTCCCTCTGCTGCTGCTCCAGGTTCGATTGCAGCTCCGCAATACGTTTGCGCAGACGGTTTTTATCCAGCAGACAGTCAGTGTACTCCAGCTGCAGGCTGTCTCGACTGCGCAGAGCCTAGTTAAAGAGGACGAGTCAGCATGTCTTTAAAGCTAAAAAACGGAGTTTAATGGTTGGGCGGCAGAGATTGTGGTCACACTGACCTGGTCTCTCTCCTTTTCTAGCTCCATGATCTGGTTGAAATAAGACAAACTCCTCTTCTGTTCGGTCTCCCAGTCCAGCTGCAGAGTCCTCACCTTCAGCTGGAGCTGTTTGCACTGAGACTCCAACTACAAATTAAAAATGATCGACAGAAATACATGTAATGAAACTCTGGCTTTTTTGACAGCTGGTCAATGAAACAAATCAAAACAATCCTGTGATACAAATGCTTTAATTGTATTTATATAAACTCTTTGGGCCTTATTAAAGCTCCTTTGTGGGTTTTTTTGACATTTATGAAACAGACTGAAATTCATGTTGGTGCTTTTTATTGCACCAATTTGTAGCACCTTTTTATTGATAATGGTACACTTCTATTTGCACAGCTTTCTACCTTGTTTCTGTGTTCCTCTGTGGTCTGTAGCTCCCCCTGTAGTCTGGTAATGATATCACAGAGCTCATGCCTTTGCTCTGCAGACTCTCTGCGGTCCTGTTGCAAGATGTCCATCAGAGCCTTAAGTTAACAACAGAAAAGACAAAAACACCATACTTTAACAGACTGTACAAGGAAACAATGAAGAAGGCAAAAAAATCACATTTTTCTGATATTTTATAGGAGTTTATAAAAGTGCTGTTGATGATAAACTCACAGAGTCCCTCATCTGAGTTCCTTTCTTGTCAGCTTGTTGAAGCCCGGGCCGATGTGATGGTTTATCTGGTAAAGCAGGTGGAGAAACGATGACTCTGGTGGAGATCAGGCTGTTTCTTTTAGCTGGCGGGGTGTTTCCTGGAGAATCAAGTGTGTCTGCATCTTTTAACCTGGACCTGAGTTCCTCGACCTGTGTGTATACAAGCAAAGCAGCAACCGAGTAAATGCCTGCGACATTTTTGAAAAACACTGATAATAAGATCTGAAAAATGAACCCTACAGCTTTTGTACAAACTCCACCAACTTGTAGTGTGGGATAACTACATATGAAATATTACAGAAAAGCACTCCTAATTTCCTAAGTTTTATTCCAGCAGTCAATGGGGGTTCAACATCACACATATTCATAATATCTACTACATAACCAATACAGCATTCCTATTATCAGGCACGCTGCAGCGAAATGAACTGTAAAAACAGAGCCTTCAAACTCAAGCAGTGCATACCTATCCACAGACATGTTTTGGCAGCACCAAGACAAAACAAAAGCTGAGCTGATAACATCGCCCTGGTTGGCATAGATCACATCTGTTTCAAATGGTGCTGCAGCTGCATGCCAGCTGATGCCACTTCACCTGAATTGCTCAGGGTGGATTCATTTGCAGCATTTTCAGACAAACAGACCAAATGTCTGATTTGTATTCCCTTTAAAAGACACACAAACTTCACACACACTTCTCTTTGCTGTAGACTTTAAGGCTGGGTAAGAATGTGTCGCCCTCATGAAGCGTCAAATCATTGAGCTTTGAAGAAAAGTTGTGCCACCTGTGGCAATAAGATCCCTGTTATTAAGAAAATCAGCGTGTCTGAAGCAAGCTTACAGCTGTTTGAGGAGCAGGAGGATCAGCTGAGGAATGCAGGAGTCAAGAGGAAATGACTCATCCTTCAACTTCAGGCTTATCAGTGAAAAGCGTCTGGCCGCCAGGTGTTTCAGTGAGTGGAAGATTGGTTTTGAGTTATAAAATTTCGTTATCAGTTGATGAATTTCAAAACACCGATGAAATTCATCTGTGTTCATCATTTCAAAACCTGTCTGTGATGGAAATACGCTCCCACTTTACTGCTCAGAGGTACATTTTTAAGAATTAAATGTGCAGTGTGCAAATACAAGACTGAAACACTCCCTGCCCTTCTGACAGTGGGACAAGAAGCTCCTGTCCCACTGAGCATTTTTTGGTCTAAAAGAGGTCAAGTAGACGCCTAAATGTAGCCTAGACGACTGGTCTAAAATCAGGCTACTGCAGGTCTAAAAACAACGTTTTTCAGACGTCTAAATTTAGACCAAGTCTAAATCTGGGCTATATCTATACTACACTGTATATTGCTCAATAACTATCATGATTATTTTGGTTAAGTACTTGGAGATCAGTTATGCAACTCACAGTTGCTTGTGCAACGTCTAAATTCCGTATAAAAATATACAGAAATTAGACGGTTGAAATTAGGTCTAGAAAAAAAATAACCGTCTATTGCTCAGTGGGGTGGTGGATGGTAAGTATGATCCTCCATTTGTCAAGTTTTACTATTATAAGACTTTATCAACTTTAAATTTTTCTGCACATAACAATTATTCTTTTTAATTTAATCTTATAAACAGTGCATTTAGCGTGGACAAAAACTTGTTTGTTTCTAATTCCTGTGTTATGTACTTAACATCAGTTTTCCAAAAGCCAATGCTGATAATGTAAGAGTGGGTTAGCTACAATGCCAATATCACATTGCTGTTTTTTCAATAAAGGCTTTATGTGCCACAAGGCACGAAGTGGATAGGTAACAGGTATCAGGTTTTTTCAATATTATAATGATTTAACAGAATTTATGTTTAAAGCTACACAGTATTTTTTTTATGTTGTCATTTGAAAAGATTATGATAGTATCGGCTGTGTGAGAACCTATGTTAACATGACACAGATTAAATCAGAATGTCGTTAATCTGCCTTCTTAATCACTCAGCTGATAAATCACTCTATCTCTAGTTGAAACATGGTGGTGCAAGATGGCAGCCCCCTTAGAAGTGGACCCAATCCTCTATAAATATCTAAAAGACTCATTCAAAGTTTTCAAAAAGGAATTATAATATTTATACACAATTGTGAAAATAATATAACATTTTTACAAAGTCTGTTTAACTATATGCTCCTAAATGCTGCACACTGTGCCTTTAATGGAACTTGCATGAACAACTAAAAGTTTCTGTTTCACCTTTGATTTTCCTACCTGAGTTAGTAGCTCCCTCTCTCGGCTGGAAGCCTTTCCCTGTTCCTCCAGGGCCCTGGAGTACTTCACCGCCTGCTCCAGATGCCTGTCCTTCAGCTTCCCAAGCTCTCGGCTGGCTGATTCCCAGTCCTGACGCACCCTTTAGATCACAAATCATCACATTCAAACACCCCCTCACATTTTCTCACTGCTTAGGTATTTTGCAAAACAAGGGGAAAATGAACTTCTTACTATTATGTTACTAAATCACAAATTTGTTGCAGCTGAAATCCTCACAAGTAAAGTCTCATGAGGAAATATTTTCATTATAAATCATTGGGTTACTCCTCTCTAGTTAGTCAGAGGGGAAAGAAGCCAAAGAAGCGTTGAACTTTGTTTCACTTCAGTCTGTGTTAAGTCTATCTGCTTACTAACATTAGCATGTAAAGAGCAGGTTCTACAGTGCTTGTTTTCCTCTTTCTATTCTTCTGGAATGATCAGGAAAAATGACCTGACTCAGCTGTCAGTGATCAACTTCTACTTATCAGTATCTGAAATAGAGCCTATCCCACAATCTACCATCAGTATGACTAACACTTACAGAAACAAATCAAGCTGACACAGATAATAAAAGAGACGCACCTCTCAAGCTGCAGTCTGTCCTGCCGTAGATCCTGAGCTTTACGTTCAGCCCGGCTGCGTTCGTCCTCCGCCATCCGGCACCGTTGAGACAGGCGGCGCTCACACAGGCGGCTGTTTCGGAGCTGCTCTCTCAGTTTACGCACCTCCAGAAGCAGAAACTGGGTCAGACCTTCTGGACCTTCCTCATCTGTGGAAGAAACACAAGTGGAGGGTAAAGTCCTCATCCTGGGGTCTCTAAGCACGCACTTATTGCCATTAAGAACTATGAATCTTTGGATGCACTCTTTAAAATGCTGCTGAGGTTAAAATCTAGAGCAGCTAACTTGAGCTGTAAGAGTTTCCCTCAAGTTCTCAGCTGGATCTGTGTCTCCTGAATTCTATTTCACAGTCCATCAGTGCTGACTTCAGAAACTCCTGTATTTTTTAGTCTTTTTTGACATTTGCCTTTTTTAGATGCTCTAGACCAAAATGTGTCCTCAGCTTGGCAGCAGAAATGAGTTTGGCTTTATAAAGTTAGTTGTTAACTGCTTTTCCATCCCTGGTATCACAGGTCTTTTTGACGATCACCTAACATTCACATAGAAATGCCTTCTGAGCAATGAAGAACCAAACAGAACAGCTTTTTTGTTTACAAAATGCTGTAAAATAACCTCTATATATAATTATAATTTAATTATAAACTAGATTATTTGATTTGATTTCGATTCAGTACAATACAATATGATATAATACTGTTTTACTGTCACTGACTGAAAATCTGTTTTTGCTCTCAAATACTGTTCTCAAGTCAGATTTACAAGTGAAATTGTGTCATTCTGTCTTCCTGGACTTAAATCTCCAGATGTGCTACCTTTTTTCTGTTTTCACATGGATAGTATGTGTAAGTGAGTCCAAACTTCTGCCATCCTCTACATGCATCTCACCCAGTATGAGGGAACATCTCTGTGTGGGCTGTTCTCCTGTCAGCTGTGTGTATTGCTGCGGGTGGTAAAACTCCAGTGATTCCATGAAGGCCTGAAGACCTCGCTGACCCTGACCACGCAGGATGTCCAGCAAACGACCTGTTCAAAGACAGGGAGGAAAAGAGTTGCAGAAACCGGGACATTTGAGAGTTAATCAAGCGAATTAAAATCATGCGAGCTAAAATCCACATTTGTGGCACTACACTCCTGTAAATGTTCTCAGTTATTCTTGTAGTTATGAATGTATTTCAAACATGACAGATGAATGACAGGCTCTCATATGACTCACTTACAGTAAGAAACACTAATAATCTGGACACTCAGGTGCTTGTCCTCATCCACTTTTATCTTCTTTCACTCCTTTTTCTACCCTGTCTGCCTGCCCTGTACTTATCGCTGTCTTTCATCATACTCTCTCCTTAGTTCTTCACAGTTTCTCACTCTGAAGAAGAATTTGTCTTCGCTCAACTGTTTCTCTCTGACAAGTTGCTGCATGGTCAGTCTCACAAAAGGTTTCTTGTTTTGGGAGTCTCACTAAAGAACCGTATTTCATTTGCTGAACTTGGCCTCTCATAGTGCTACTCATTTTCTCTAAAAATTATAGAAAAGTTTTCTGCTGCAAACTGCTCTGTCTCTTACGATATTCAAATGCAAACATGTTCACAGAGTTCTAAAGCTCTAAATGTTTTGCTTGTGTTGTGCATCTGAATGTAGGTGTAAGCTGTCAGCATCTCTACCCTCCACTGTGCTGAGCTGTACTGTGGGCTGTCCTCCTAATGCACTTCAAATCTGTCTGCATACAGATGACTCGCTGAGAGGAGAGAAGACAGTTCTTCCCAGTTCATTTTGAAAGTGATTCATGGTAGATGTAATTCACATTTGACCAGAAGCAAGACCGCAATAGCATCTCATTCATAAAAAAAGAAACATGTTTTGTTTAATGGCTCCAGACTGTCTCCAATGTTTGTATTTGCTTAGGTTGGGTCCTAGGCCAACCCAGACTGATTAAAGTTGTGATGAAAACAATAATAGTAACATAATGGAAATATTAAGTGGTTAAATAAACAGATATGTTATTTTTAGGCCATTCAGATCATGATCATAACAAAACACCCTTTGAGATTACTGCAGTGCAGCTCCCACCAACTCGCAGCAATTGTAAAAAAAATTCACTTGAATTCTGTGTGGCTGTTGGCATCAGCGTTTGTGAATTAGACACTTCATTTGTATAAAAAGGGGGCTTTCTTTGCCCTACATGAATGCACAATGGTGTATTTAAATATATTCAAAAAGCACCCAACATGAGTCAGTTGGGCTATTGCATGTCTCTTTTATTTCCTGCATCATCAAACTAATCTTATATTTTGCAGTATACTATTTCTGGTTGATAGTAAATTATAGAACTGAATGAAAATAGTTAAAATAACAGAAAGTATAAACCTTCAATAGATTAGCAACTCAGTGAGGCACAAGCTCTATTGTTGTTTTTGGATTTACTGTAAATGTGGTGAGCATGGACTTCGCACATTTCAATTTGGTTTGGGATCCTGTTTCCTGTGTGGGTTTTATGCCTCTCACTTCACTTTTTACAGAGGCTGCTCTCTTCCCCCACCTGAGGCGCTGAGGCTGAGTAGACTCACCTGTATCCATTCTGCAATCAAGCCAGCTTTAAGACCACTGCAGTCTCAAGCCTCAGTGCCAGACTATTATCCCCTTCACACTGTGGTACAATGACCCTCTCAAGAACTCTAGTGATTCTATTGAGACTTTTGAAGATTTTTGGTGTTTTTCAGATCCTTGTGTTTAACCCTCGTTTTTCTCTCGTCTTTTTCCAGTGCCTCCCTCCGTGCCTCTCACCAGCCCATAACCCAGCACACTCTCTTGGACTCTGGACCCACTCCTCACCCACATTACCTCCAAAATAAACCTGTTTTACCTTTCTTCAGTCTGGTTTGCCCTCAGAGGTGTGCTACATTTAGCTCTTTAGCAGTCTATTTCTGGTTTCTGTCTATCCTCTGCTTAAAGATGTGCATAATGGACCACCTTCAAAATCAGGGTATAACTGTGTGCTTCAATTTAGCACAATATTATATTTTGATGTTTTCAAGACTGTTCTCGTTAATACTGGTATAATGTGACAGTCTTACTTTAGATGTAGGAAAAACCCCATTTGACTATTTTCACACTGAAGGACACTTTATTGTCCTCTATCCTGTCTTTCTCCATATCTATGAAGTCAAACTCAATGACAAAAACTCTACCTGGAGAAAGTGAAATTCTGCCTTTGATTGCCTGGAAGAGTATATCTGTGCTTGAGCTCATGGTTAACACACCCAGAGCTTTACAAATGTGATCCAAGTTTTGGTGACTGTCTGGTGTTACTGTGTAAATTCTGGAGTTTTCATGTGGAATGATCTCTCACCAGCTTTGCTGATACGCAGTGGGTACTGTGTCGAGTTCAGCACCTCGTCTTCATCCTGTTCATCGATGACCTTGCACTGACGCAGGTACGGCGTGAGTTTAGCGGGGTTGAGGATCCGAGTTAACTTGTGCCGTACCCCCTCCACACGCTCCCAAAGCTCCTCACAGCGCTCCTCTGACCAGAGGGCAGAAGATCGCACCTCCTCCTGAGCCAAATCCTCCTCCTCTGCCCAAACTGTGACGCCTGCAGGGAAAAAAACATTGCACATTAGCTGCCTGTTTTAAAGGACTGTCTCATGACAAGAAGACAAATTGTGTGGGTTGTCACTTTTGAGCGACTTCATAAATGTCTTGTTCACTAACAAATGTCAGGCCTGAGAGACAGAGTTACTGACAAATCCAAAGTCCAGTCCCAATAAAAGAGGACCTGTGGAAAATTCAGAGAATTTGTTTTTGTCTGACTGCACTCATTCATATCTTTGTAACTCTCAGCCATTAAAAGTGAGTCATTTAGGTATATTAACAAAGCTAATTTAAGAACGCCATTCCAAAACAGACATATATGACAAAGGTGTGGAAAATTTGACATTCTGTCAGATCATATTTTTCTTTGGAAAGAGTCCTCCTTGAAAGCAATTTAGAGGAGACATGTAAGGCTGCATTTGCTGTACTGATCTTTTTTTTTTTTTACTGGAAGATAAAGGCATGAGATGAAGCTCCCAGCCTGATATCTTGTAAGCTGCTAGGGATTTACTTCATTTCAAAATAAAAGTCTGACAGAAAAGCATTTAACTTTTCTGTCAGGCTTTTATTTGTCATCGAGACTTTTTTGATAAGGTGTTGACAGCTCATGATTACATGAATTGACAAGAATTAATCATTCATAGTTTGAGTTGATATGCTGCTGCAGTAACTTTACACTCTTTTTACAGCCTGTTGTTATCAGGGCCATAAAGTATACGAGGGAGTGCAGACTTTTTGGGTCAGTGTCTCAGACCACAGGAATGAAAATACTGCTGTGACTCATCCTGCACACCTGAAAACACAACAGGGGTCTGCACACTAAAGCTCTATAGTCCCCATTCAGCTCACAGTGTCAGGGAGACAGTGTGAGAAAGTGCATAAAACTACCCTTTTACATGACTTTTACACTAATCTGTTTCCACAGTAATACAGCAGAATGATTATTATGTAACTGCTGACTTAACAAAAAGGAAGGTAAATTTTCACCAGTCATACAAATCCAGGGAACTCACTGAACAAGCAATCACTATACTACACAAGCCCACTAAAGCTGTGTTAATCCTGTCTCATAAGTCATCGGTATTCATCTGACAAGTGTGTGAGTCTGCTTTAGTCACAGAGGTCTTCTTACAGAAAAAATACTTTCAAATAAACGTGAGAAACATGTTTCTAAAAACTTTCTTTTTCTTATCATGACCCATTAAATGATAAAAGAACGAGGTGCCTGCTGCTCTCCTCAGCTGATAAGAACCCATTTGAGCTGGCAGGCAGGCTGAGGCAGGTCTGGAATCTCTACCATTAACCATAAATAGTCTGAGACACCACTCTCATGCTACTATGACTTAACTCCCCTCTTTCCTGTAAAAACACCCACGCATTTTTTTTCTGTATCACCTTTTATTGAAGGCCCTTTAATGAGAAGTACAGTTGTGTTATGTCCCTTAACGACTGATATCGCAAGTAAAAGTGGACAAACTAGTAAGGGCCCAGGGTAGAACCCTGAGGTACTACAAATGATGGAGGAGGGGATTCAGAAAGACAGTCTTCAGTTAAAACTTAAAAACTTTGGTCAGTTGTTGAAAAACAATGAACACAAATATATTGGGTTTCAATTCACTGACAGTAAGACATCTTGAACAAAGGCAGAGACATTTTTACTCCTCTTTTGTGTCGTTCATTAATTCTTTAGGTAACTTATGTGCTAAAATTTAGGGATAAAGTTGGTTGTGCAGCTGTAAGAAATTGGCAGTAGCAGAAAGTAACATAGTACCATATTGAATAAATGTTTTGAGTATCTAAACTTAATAATTAGTGTCCTTTTTATTCCACTACATTTCTGTGAATCGTTGCATTACCTGAAATCCACAATGATGCCTTTTTTATGATATCCTGAAGCAAATAAAACCATCAGTTACAGGACTGACAAATTTTATGCCCTGTGTTTTAATTTCTGAAACTGGTACTAAGGGGAAGTTGTCAACCAAGCAACCTCACAAGGAGGTAACATCCTGTTTTTTTAAAAATTGCCTCTAAACATATTTAAAACACGATATATTTGACAGTCAAGACTCAACTCATCTGAATGAGGTTTATTGTCAAAAGTTTCTGCTCAAGCATTCAGAAGACAACATCAGCAAAGACTGCTTTGTCCACAGGGGTTGCCAAAATTGAACAAATCAAAAGTTCCTCGCTGGAGCTTTAAGTATTATAACTTGTTTCAAGAAACTTATTAGACAATTAAACCTTTAACATTTGCAGCCATTATAATCAATGAAACCCTTATTCTAGGCTCATTAAATCAAGTCTCACTGCATAGCAAACAAGGACCATCTACAAAAGCAATGCTTTTAAAAGTTGCTGTGAACATTTTCATTAATTCCCTCTGGATAGATACCACGTCAAAATCACCTTTCATATTGGTGCTGTGGGTTATATTACCATGGTTAGTTTGGGAAAATATGCTTAAACACGATTAGGAGGCATACCTTACTCTTTCAACCCCTATGGTGGGGTTAGTCCATTTCAAATAAAGTAGTACTTTTTACTTTTTCTTGGAGGATTACATTTAAGGATAAGTAGCTGCTGCTACTTGAATAAATTGTCAATTAAGCATCTATTCTTTCATTGATAATATTTTTAAGTCTTTCAACTCATTGCTCAGAACTTGATTTAAGTCTTGGATTAAAAAACAAAACAAAACAAAAAAAAAAGAGTCTCAGATTAGAGTGCCATTTGTGAATCTGACAAGTTTTTAATTTTTAGAGAAGATTTTTCAATCATAAAGAAATGGTGTGATAAAATTCACTTTAAATTTAATCATAAATTGTCATAGCCTTAAAGACAGATCTCTTTTTGTTTGTTTGTTTGCACAGTTTCTTGATGATTTATGGCTGCAAATAAAACAAGGATGCACCATGTAAGTGCATGCTTCACCGTGGGCCATGAATTGTTATAGGTTTGATAGTTTTAATCCTCTGGAGTTTAAACATGTAATTCACACTCATAAACCCAAATCATGGCCTCAAAACCTCACCACTGAATCCGTATTTTGCTTCACCTGTTAAAAGTTGAAGCTCTGCCTTGCCTTGACTGACTGGAGAAACAGTTGAAAGTAGGTCAAAGATTCCTCAGGCAATGATTAAAACACAAATAAATGGTTACATCACTTGTGCTGGTATAATAGTTTATCGACTCACCACTCATGTCTTCACTGAGCTGGTTTCTGTTCTCAAGTAAAACACATGCAACGTTGTCAATTCCTCCGCATCCTCTCAAGTCAAGAGACGACTCAGTAGTGAAACCGAGAAATGAGGTGAGCATGAGTGGACGCCACCTGACACGAGAGGAGCACACGGACCCGCCTTTGCGCACACCTTTCCGCACTCAGCTCCTCCTCCCCCTCATGCAACATAAACCAACCAGTCCAAGAGAGAAAAACAACGTGAGAGAAAGGAAGAAGCCCCGCTCATCATCACATACCAGCGGATTTCCTCACGAACCCTCTTTTCCTCGCCAAAGTGAGACTGACAGAAAACGATATACAGAACGTGTCAGTGGGTAGAGTCCTTACGCACTAGAGGGCGCTTTTACCCAATAATTGTTCACTCAAACGTCCCCAGTCCGCCCAGCATTAATCTACAAATACCATTACCTCTGAAAAAAAAAAAGGAATCTCATCGGTGGATCAGTATTTTTTTCAGCTCTTACTAGACTGTGGAATGTTTTTTTTCATGATGGTGTGTCACAGACGTGTGAGGCCCAAGAAAAAAGGTTTGACTCATCATCACAGTGAGTCATTTCCCAGTGATTTTACTGCAGTGATGAGCAAAAATTCACTGGTAAAACTGTTGATTGAGTCTAACTTTAGAAAAAAGAGAGGCCCCATGCCTATGTAGATAAGGTTTTTTAGTTTTTAGTTTTGAGATGATAATATTTATTGTATGCATCAAAATTAAGCAGGGTCAATGAGAAACAGCCAAAACAAAATAAAACTGCATATTAACAATGACTTAAGAAACAACATTTCAGAATTTTACTTTACATATCTTATTTGATATGCTTAAAGTTGTCAACTGCTTACTTTCTGTACAGGCTTAATGGAATAAAAGAAGCATTCTGATTGGCCAATTAAAGTGAGTACTCCCAACAGCTTTCACAAACCTATACTGACTGAAAAAGGTGAAGTGTTCAAACAATACAAAGCAGTGCAATATACTGAAGAAAAAAACCTGACCTGACATCCTGTTTGTTTGAAGGTCCATAGTAAAAAAGTAAAGATAATAATGACCTACAAAAACAAGGAATACCAGTAGTGTAGTGGCTAAGGCTTTTGCCTCTCTATAAAGGGTTTCTTGGTTCAAATCAAGGACAATAGAGCTCCATGGAGAAAATTGCTGTTTTCACATTACATTGTACGCTATGTTAAAACAAAGGTGAAATCAAAAGGCTTTCAACACACAAAAACAACCAGGCTTACCTGTGCTGTAGTGGTTAAGTTCCCTACCCTTAAAAGAAAGATTGTGGGTTCAAATCCTGGGCTGCCCCTGTAAGGCAAGAAAGAAAGCCCTCCCTCAAATGCTGTTTGAAAAGTCTATAAAAAGGAAGCACTATCAGGTGGTGGGAAGGTGTTGTGTCCACTCCAAATGCTGATAAAATCATTTACACGAGTGAATTACATGTCAAATCAATGCATGGATGTGTGTTCTGCTCCGACTATAATAGTGTGAATTGAGGGGACTATTTGTGTGAATTGAGTGGATCATGTGCATTAATTCACATCGCGTCCCACCAGAGATGCTACATGCTTTTAACACTTATTTCACTAAGAGTTGAAAAATTCTGAACTCAAGCAAATATTCGCTCTGGGATAACCTGGAGATACCCTGGTGAAGTATGAAAGCAATTTGTTTATGTGGAAAATGGAGACTTAATCGATCATGACAGTATGCGACCATATCAGCTGTAGGGTAAGCCGACTACTTGTCTGTGACACAGAGACAGAGATACAAAAGAGCTCAGTTGGAGAAAAGTGAGGAGGTCTGATTATCTGGTTAAAACATCTGTTAAAACACAACAGATCCTCACAGTGTGATCCACCTTAAATAGACTGTCCTGACATGCAGGAACCCTTCATCTCAGTCTCTGCTCTCTGACAATCACAGGTGTGTTTGGGCACTCTGCAGATGCGATACAGACATGCAAATACAACAAGTCATTCACACAAATTAAGCAAGTAAATACACAACATTCAGGCATCCAGATACGCATGACTAAGCGAGTAGATGAGTTTTTACGCGTTTGGTGTGAATGCCACATATGACTGCTGACTGTCAGCAAAAAGGTTTGATTCCAGTGCAGGGTGAGAGCGATCTTAAGGCAGGGACAAATGAAGGTTGAGGGAGGGCAAGCAAGAGAAAAAAAGTATGGAGATTGAAGGCAGAAGAAAAAAATGTGGAAAAAAAACAGGTAGGAAATAAAACAGGTAAAAATACATCGAGCCCAGAGAGAGGAAGAGAGATTTCTTTTATCAGGCCAATCAGAGGCCTGCTCTTAACTGGCATGTTAGAGGGCTCCTTTTATCTGGCCCATCAATGACTTGTGTCCAATCAGAGACTTGCTTTTATTGATCAGAGACTTGCTTCATCAGCCAACTAGAAGGCTCCTTGTATCTTGCCAGTCAAAGAGTTTCTTCTTATAGGCCAATCAGAGACTTACTTCTTTTACTTGGCCAATCACCACAGGTGAGCCTTACTGAGTTTTCTCTGCAGGTCTTTTTATTTCATCATTTCAATGTGGAAGTTCAAAAGAACAGCTCAAACTACATGCAAGGAAAGCATGTCCTTCCGCACTCTTTGGTGCCATTTTGCAGGGCTTGCTTGTGTAATTTGATCTATTTTCTTTTACATGGTGGTATAAAAACACGGTTGCAGGAAGCCAAGAACTTTTTTGCCATACAAAGACAGCCCCCCTTTCTCAGATTTTGACTGAAAACCCGTTTGCCATGAGGCATCTACACATACTACGGTACTGCTTTACAATATTTATTTGTTCATGAGGATAACTGGGTGGTTTTCATCCTCTAGGAGTTTAAGAATAACTTCTGAAAAGGAGCTAGGTAAATCTTTAGTATGGGATTAAACCCAGTGCAGGGTGAGAGTGTGAAATATGTCCTTCGGTTTCAGTGTGAATGTAGACAGGAAATATGGGATGCCTGGCAGAAGAATGTGTCTTTTTCTTGGCATGTGGTCAGGAAATGTCAGGCTGCCCTCCATCTCGAAGCCTCCCTGAATAAACCCGCCTCCTGTTTGGGGTCTCTCTAGTGCTGCTGGAAACCGTGCACTTTCATGTACACTGTGGATGTAAATAAGTTATACTGCATTATCAACTGAATCTAACCAAACACTGCAATGGCTCTAGGAAGGTGAGGTTTCTCTTTCTGTAAACATCCTCAGAATAGCTTGACAATTGTGCACAGATGGGTTTGCATAAGTTTTAGCCATGCACTGTATGACCTCCCTGTACAAAGCATGATACTGTGTAATTTCCTTTTATGCACTGTTCAAGGGGCCTTTTTTTTAATTACCAGGATGTTTAATTAGAGGATGTCAAATAACCTTTTTTATGTGATTTATCTCAACTAAATCCCATTTTAAATACAAAGAAATGTACTTTTCAGGAGTTTCACTTACACATAAGTCTTCTGCTATGTTGACTTGATTGCAGCTTTTATCTGGTAATGACTGTAAAGCTGCTTTGACTGCTCAGCAAACTAAAGAAAGCACTGCATGATAAAAAAAAAAAGTTCAAATACAGTCCATTTACACTCAGTCTCACACCTCCTCTGAGTCTTTCTGTCAAAATGTCTTCCCCTTCTAGTGGTTCTTCTCCCTCTTTCTCTGCTTCCTGTTTGTCATTTGCTCCCTGTCTCTTCCTCCAAACAGCCTCATCCATCCTCTTACAGTTCCTTCAGGCTCTGGTGTGGGGAGGGAGTGAGGGCTGCGGTGGATGCATTCCTTTTGTCTCTGAGGTGACAGCGACACAGAGGAGCCATTGACAGCAGCACTGGACCCCACAGTTAGCTCACACTGGAATGTGTGACTTTGTGACGGCTCAGCCATACAGAATTTAACTGCACAGACTTCCTCACATTTTAGATTTAAGCTCTTAAAGTTCATTTCATTTCTGAACACCTGAGTGAGCAGGTGTCTCTGCACTGCTTCTTAACTGTGCACATTCATAAAGAGATTTAGTCGGACATCAAGGTGCCATCAGAGTCTGTGGGTTTCATTTTCATGTTTGTCTCACTCTGATCCTGCTCATTACAACAGGCCTGGTTCTTCACCCAGCGGCTGACCCTCCATGGCTCCATCAATGACTCAAGCCTGGCGTCTGCACAGAATTGGCTCTTTGTGTCTGTAAAGAAAGCTTGTTCTCTGATTTTCTGAAAAACTGAAGCAGAGAGAGAGAGAGAGAGAGAGAGAGAGAGAGAGAGAGAGAGGAGGGAGGCATGAGTGATTGAGACAGATTTAAATCTGGATGCTACAAATGCAGCCTTTGTTGGCAAGATGGTGCACGCTTTGATTATTGATAAGACTCTGCCTTAAAGTGTCATGACAAAATGTTCTAAGTCAGAAGAATACATCAGGTACCACTGAACTGTATGTTGCAAGTAGGATATATGTCATTGCCTTCTGCTAAGTAGTGATAAATTTGCCTCAACCGACAAACCCACTTGTGGTTTCTGTAGTTAACTCACCCTCTCGGTCTCAGCTCTGCAACTCTTTCTCACACAGAGAAAAAACACAAGTGAGGCTTAATGAGATCTTGTAAACAACTCTGAGTAATACCATGCAATTTCCTGTTTAACATGAAATCAACATCAGTCACACCAGGAGGCCAGTGTGAGGAAGGAATCCTTACAGAAGCAAACAAAACACTTAGACAAACAATGAGGCGCACAAAAATATTACAGAATGTAAACCAAAGGCCATGTTTGGAGTTTTCATTTATCGCTGAGTGATTTTGTTTATTATTTATGACCTGAAATAGACTGATGATGCACAGAGGCAATGTGGAGATCTGGTTTTAAACAAGGGGCTCTATGGAGGTGACTCCCCTCTGCAGCCTCAAGTGGACACTTGAGGAACTGCTTTAATTTCTGCTTGCTTCATTTTTGATCCCCAAAGGCTGTCTATATCTATATCATTTTTATAGTTTCAGTCAAATAGATTTGTTGCTTAAAGACCAACATATAAGATAAAAATGTAAATCATGACTGTGTGCAGGAGGAAGGAAAAAGGCATTCTAGTCCAAACGCTACATTAGCTCAGCACTCAGCGCATAAATTCCTCTGTCTCCACTCTATGACACCCAGATTATGAGGTATCCTGTTGATCATCTCATTTCACCTCTCAGAGCGTCTTTTTCCTACATTCTTGCAAACTAATGTGCACACACATCTGAATTTGTGGTGCCAGTGAAAACTGACGCCCCTTCCTGTCACTCTCTGTCCAGTGCAGTGAGGTTTTGCGTTGACGTTTGAATTACAGGGTGTTACATAGCCATCTAAATCTGAGCTCCACCGCACATTTCAGCTGCAGACACACACAGCTTCAGCGACCGCTGCACATAAATTTCCCTCATGCACAAACAGTTTTAAAAATGTAGCTCTTGCTTACCGCATGCTAAAAGCTGCTGTAGTACATGAACAGGGTTTCTTATAGTAATGGAGCTCTTAAGCATTTTTGGCAACAGTAGTCTGCATGCCTGTCTGAGGATTTATGTATATAGGCTCACATTTCACCATCTTTGCACGGATGTAATGCTCCTGCTTCTTTTTGCTCTGTTGTGATTTCTAAATGAAAAAACTTGAGATGACATTCAGGGGTTGCTGTTTACAGTCAAGATGCCACGTTCCCTCTACTGGATCATATTTGGCTTGCTCTGTGGATTCCCTTTTTTAGTGACTACAACAAACACCAGAAAGAAAACCATCTCTCCTGGGAATGATAACAATAAAGTAAAGAAAGTGGCGCTGTGGTAAAACGCCCAAGTTCTATTTCTGGCTGTGAAAAACAATAGTAGTCTAAATTACACAAACAGAAGATTCCCATGATACTCCAACAGACAAAGAAATCACCACTGAGAATTTAATTTAAAAGAAATAAGTCAGGGTTACATCAAGCCATTTACCTTTATGATTCACCCCTGACTATTTCTAGTCTGTGTTTCCATATCCGGCATCTGTGTGCATGCTTCATCCATGAGTACAGTATGTCTGGAAGTACAATGGCTGGTTTCAGTGTTTAGCAGCTCTCACAGACATCATCATCTAACTCCAAGCCAAGCAGACAAACAAGGACAAAGATCAGCCATCCCTCAGCGCCTGTGTCTCGGTCACAACTACAGAATTCTTCAAGCATCTCAATCCAGCGCTTCAAGTCCAAGTTTCTGCTGGCATGACTCTGAATAAAATGAATAGATGGCTTCATTTGAGTGGACTGTGCTCCAGCAGATTGGGTCCAGTTGGGATTTGGCTGGTGATTCTGCTGAGCAAAGAGTAAGCCACAGTGACCGTGTAAAACTACTGAGAAGTTTGGTCAGATGGGTGACATACTAAAATACATTACCAGATTATGTTAAATCCTCATCCTGATTGGTCAAAACTCCACAACAAGGATGATTTATTCTCACTAGCAAAAGCCACACTGGGGTCAACAGGTCACATTAAATCAATATGTGTAAAGAAGTCATGTTAAGTCACCTCTGCCTGTGAACACTGCAGTCTGTCAAGACCATCTCAGGCTGGTCTTAAAAGTGGATTTTAGGGTTTACTGGACCCCAACTGATGAAGAAAAGTGAACATCCTGTCCTGCAATTCATGCAACAGTACCAGAGCTGGTGAGAGCGTCTCTGAGTTGGTTACCTCCACAAAGTAATTTACAGTTTTAAAACTTGTGACATTTGCCTAATTTACGTATGTCAATTGTAAAGCTCAGAGAGGGAGAGATGAATAAGGTGTCAACACAAATATTCCTGCAGAAGTCCTGTCCACCTTGTTCAACATTACCTTCAATAGTAATTTTCAGTTTAACATGAATCTTAACAAATAAGCAGTTAACTGTTCCGTTTAAAGGAAACTCAACATATATTATTGAATGCAGTATAGGGCAGGTGTGGCTCAGTGGTACGATTGGTTGTCTCCCAATCAGAGGGTCACAGGTTAAGTCCTAGGCCATGCTGTCCACATGCCATAGTGTCCTTTGGCAAGATACTTGACCCTGTTGTGGTGTGTGAATAGGATTAGTCAAAAACTGATGATCACATCACACGGCAGCCACTGCCATCAGTTTGTGAATGGGTGAATGTGACATGTAATGTAAAAGCACTTTCAGTGGCCAGAGGACTTAAGAAAGTGCTATATAATGCGTCCATTTACCATTACATAGTAATGGCATCATGTTATGAAACTTTGCTGAAGTTTAGTATGAACATCTAAAATTATGACATGTATGAAGGTGCCGCTCGGCATAGTATGTCCCCTTGAGGAGGCTTAAAGGACCTGTAAAAACAGAGGCAGTCTGGCCTCTTTTTTCTCTGGCTTTTTAGAAAAAGCAACTTTAAATCACCTGTTTAATATACATCATCTTTGATTGTAAATTGACAAGAGTGACTTTACTGTTTTAAAATAAATACTACTTACATTTTACTGATCTTTTTGGACAAGATCTAACATTTATAATCTTGAAGGTAGACAATTTTGGAAGCCCTTAGCAGACCTGCACCCATACATACTTTTAACTCCAAAAAATGTTTCAGTTTTCATGGTAATTTTGGTCATTTTCTTGACATATCAAATAAAAGTCAGGTGTTGCTGCTGTGCCCAGTTCTGGGCCTTTACTGAAAAATACAACTCCAAAATTTGGATGAGTATTTTAAAAACAAAGGGCAACAGTTTCTGTTTAATTGTGTAACTTTGTAGGGTTTTTTTATGTTACTTAAGCCTAGAAAGCACTGAGGATTTCTACAATGCTTTATTGTCCGTGAGCCAACACTCGGCTTCCTGGTGGGTCAGAATCTACGGAAATAGGAGCAAAATCCAAACAAAGAAGGTTGACCTCTTTCGTGTACCCCTGAACCCAACACTCCATTTATCAGAATTAGAACACAACTCCCCTGACTTTGCCTGATCAGTCCCACGTATTGCACAATGATAGTAATGTATGTATTTTATGAACACAGGAGTCTGACCTGAATCTGTTAGATGCCACCTCATCCAACATAAAGGATGACGCTCATATCATATTCATATCTGACTGGCTGAGATGTGTTTTCACTAGATTTACCTTTTTTCAGATCCATGTGGCTGTTTCAAAAAAGGCCCGAAGCTTTTTTGGTCTGAAGAGAATTAAAACTTCTTGGCTTGATTTGTGAGAGAGTTATTTCCTGTGAAGAAAAGCCTTTTTTGTTTCTGAGAGTTTTCATCCTGTTTGACTAACCCTCCTTCCTCTGCCTCCTTCTCTTTTCCTCATCCAAAGCCCATGAGCTTCATGTTTTTGTCAGTTTATTCCCTTTTATCCATGTTGGTCCTCTGTTTCTTTGTTGACCTGACTGTCACTTCTGTTCTCTGTGATCTTTTCATCTCTTACTGTTAAAGTTTTTGAATCAGATTTACATTTTGGACAAACATTTTGGCCTTTCACAAACATAATTGCAGTATTATTTTGGTTAAAAACTTAATGGTGGAGAAGTTTTTTTTCAATGTTTTATGAAATCTTTGCTAAACAAAGATTGCCTTTGGAATCAGTTCCTTTTTTGTGAATGAAAATGTTAAAACTGCCAGAGTAAAAGCTGTGCTAAAATAGCCTTACCATAGCCAACATTATCCACACTCCCCTATTTCTAAGCCATAACTAAAACATCACTGTCTTTAATAATCGTACTTATATTAAATAACTGGATTTCACCTACACTGTTTATCTGTTTTAAAACTATTAGTTTGGTTGTGTTTACTTTTATCCACGCTTGATTTAGACCCACACCAATGCTAACACTCAACTGCTCAACAGTTAAGGCCAACTGTGATTTTCACTCACATCACCGAAGTGCAAAAAAAAAATATTGCCTTTTTGTATAAATGACTGAAAGACATTTTCAGGTCCCGGATTATAAAAACAGCTTTTCATTTTAAAGTTATTTCAATTTAGTAAAGATTAGTTACTGGGGTCATGGGGCATATAGTTCGGTATTTTGAGGAGCTGGGTAAGACCACCCTTACCAAAAACAAGTATGTTTAAGTGTACTTCACATATATTGTTTTTAAAGTAAGTATGCTTTCAGTTTACTTTTTGTGGATTTTTCAGAGATATACTTAACAAAGTTAATGTTAAGTATACTTGGCTTGTACTAACAGTTATACTAAAAGTCTAAATATACATATATTTAAGTATTTATTTGTGCCTTGGGTTGAAGTATACTAGTCAGTGAATACTTCCATTTATCTTTTGAAGAGTATACTTTAAAAAGACAAATAGTACAGGCCAAGTATACAAATATGTACTAGTATTGAAATAATGGCATACCAAAAAGTAATTTTAACTATGCTTCAGGATCAGTGCGCAGATAGCCAAGGGGACTAAAGTGCGTCCCATGTTGGAAACTATGGTCCCCACTGTGGTCATGAGTTCGATTCCTGTCCTGACCATGTGCTACATGTCGTTCCACCCCCTCTCTATCTCCCACATTGCCACTCTGTCCTACCCATTGAAGGCAACCTCCACCCCACCCCCCAAAACAAATAAATAATACGTAAGTAAATGAAAGTATGCTTCAGTCTGTACTTTTACAAACTAAACTTATTACTAGTAAACTAATAGTAGCCTATACCAAGAAGTTTACTTTGAAGTATGCCTCAAGTGTACTTTTATAAACTAAAAATTTTCCAATTTAATCCAAAGAAGTATTAAATTAGTATACTTTGTAGAACACTAAAAGTACATGGTCGGTAGTATACTTGATACTCATACTCAAGCATACTTCAGAAAATGAACTTCAGTATACTACTTTTTGCTAAGAGTATACCAGCTGTTAACCACAGCTGTTTGCTCGATTGAGACTTGCACACGCGTGTATTGTCAATACTTTGATGGAAAGAGGGCCACAGAGATGTAAGAAAACAACCCATCATGGATTTGATGTTGCATTACAACCTCACGCTCGGTCCAACCTCCCCTCTCCTGCTCCACCTCCTCCCCTCTTCCTCTCCCTCTCTGTCAGTCTCCAGTCCGCAGAAGCACCGAGCCTCTGCACCGCTGCGAACTTCATGACCGAGCGGAAACATCCTCAGAGGAAAGAGAAAAGTGATGTTAAAGTTCATGTGAAGAGACTGTGCCTTGGCTTTAACTTCAGGTAAGATCATTTGTATATCTCTCGTCTCTAACGTACAGGTAGCCTAACCAAAACAGCTGATTGGTAAATGCCAACATCACGAATCAGTCACAACACAAAAAATTACATTGAAATGTAGTCTCGTTGGCTGTCTATGATTCAGTGTTATGCACCTCGTATCCCCTCCAAAACTACATGAAGTTTGACTGTTGCACTCCAGTAAGCACATGCATCTGAATGATCCGTCATGTCACGCACTTCGTCTCTATCATCAACAATGCACTCTACACATGCCATGTTATGCTGCACGGTATCCTAAAGTATAATTTACCTCACTAAATAAGTCATGGAGGACATGTTCACTGCTAATCTCTTACATGGGTGTAAACATCTTGCTACTGTGCCGATAAGTGTCGTTTCTCGTAATTATCAGAGCTCCAAAGTGACAAATATTCCCTGTTGAATGTAGATGCATCAGTAAAAATGCTGGCACAATGAGAATGGACTAAGAACTTTTCCACATGCTGCAATTGGACATGCAACCAAGTATTTGCAGAGGTGAAACACTCACTTTAGTCCATTTTTTATGAAAGCTTGTATTATGTTACCTCTTGCACACCCTTCTCTACAGCCTAACATCCTCTTACTTTAACATCTGTGTATTCTCAGGTCACGTTTCTGTACAGTTCGTCAGTGAAACAAAGCGTGTACATCATGTGTCATTTTGATACCACACAGCCTGTAACAGAGATCTTCCTGCAGCTTCTAACTGAGGTTGTGACTCTGATTTTGCTCATGAAAACATCAGAATCAATTTGTCACCATGTGCATGTAGTAAAACAACAGAACAACTGTGTGCAAGTCATGCCAGGTCTTGGATCAGTGGGTTGGCAGTCTGTCAGGGGAGGGAATGGGTCATGGTTTACAGACTTGAGCGTAGAAGCATCTGCTGAAACATCCTCCAGCAGGATATTATGGCTTTACTTGAAACAGCATAGTGAAGTGGGTTTTTTTTTTCACCGATGTTGACGTTTGTCCTGCTCAGAAACAGTGAGGGATGACCAGAATCACTGATCACAAAATACTGCAAATGGACATGAAAACAGTGATATCGTAACTCAAGTTTTAAAGCAGTTTTGAATGATAACACCATGCTTTGAAATGTCTTGACAAGTGGCAAAGATTAAAATCTGACAAATAAAATAAAATAAATCAAATAATTAGCTGCTTTAAAGCTCCTCTTGGGAGTTTCTTTGCTGGTTGCACAGCCAACTGAAATCAATTGTGATGCCTCTTTATGACCTACAAAAAGAAACAAGACTACCAACAACACTGGTGAGAGGTACTAAAAGAGATGATCTCTAGCACAGCAAAGAGTAGTTTGTTTTTTAAAATCAATAATTCACAAAACTACTTATGCATGTTTGTAGGGCTGGGCAATGTGGCCTAATTTAAATCTGATTTTTTTCCCATCAGACATGTTTATTCATGCTCCAAAAATGGGCTTTTTAAATGACTGTGCAAGAGGTTTCAGGTACTTCTGCTGCCAGCCTCAAGTGGTCAATCTGGGAATTACAGTTTCAGCACTTCCACATAGTCTTCATTTCTCAAGAGTGGAGGTTGCCACTTGTTTTCACAGTGTCCCTTTATGTCAGATGCATTGCATTGAAAGAATAATTCTGCTAATTTTTAATAGGTGTTTGTTGGCTGTAGTGGTTTTGTGCATCTCTTAGTGAGACACATTTCTCCCACTCTGCTGCATACTTCTGTTTGAGTTGTGAGAATGAATTGCTATACCTCTGACTTCAGTTGTCACCGCTTTTGAATAAGCTTTGCTGCAGACTGTGATTTGTTCACAAAACCAAACCAGGTCTGATCGACTGATGAGACTGCTCCATTTATGGAACTAACTTTTCATTAATGCTGGCAGCAGTGTTGTTGTGTGTATCTCTGTAGGATGCACACAGGGTGGAATAATGTGAGCTTTGGGAGCCGAAGGGAGCAAAAGTGGAAGTTGAAGAAATCTAGATTCTTATTTTTAAATTTATGCTAAACTGCGAATACAAATCAATCGATGAAATTGATTTGTTGTCCAGCCCTCTATGTATAGAATTAGATCAACAAAGACCGAGTTTGGGGTGGCAGTAGCTTTGGAGTTAAAGCGGTCGTCCAACAACTGGAAGGTTGGCAGTTAGATTCTCCTCTATTTGGTCTGTCCATTGTGTCCTTGGGCACCTAGCTCCCAGTGTGTGTCCTCTGCTGGTGTACGTACATGTGTATGTATGTTGCTCTGGATAAAAGCATCTGCTAAATGATATTGTAACTTGTAACTAGCTAAGTTTGATGCTTTGTACACAGAATCATCAAAAAACAAAAGTTCCTTATGGGAAATTTAACTACATTTCTATGTTTATATTTATAACATTTGTTTTTGAAACTGATGATTTGTGTTTGCACTTGGCTGTTGCTTGGCCTAATTCCCCACTGTGATCTGTTGACAAAACTCCCATACATTAAAAAAACAAGAATTTATGTATCTACTGAGTGATGGCAAGGGTTGATCTCAACTGTGAAGATAGATTTGGCCGATGAACTACACATTTTTGTGCTGTTTTCTTTGAAACCCTTTACTGCTGTAAATTTGTTGACCTGGTCGAAGAGCTGTAATGTTAAGTGAAATCTTATCTGATTGGCCCAGCAGTGCAGTAAACTAAGTCTGAGAGGGTTGAACAAAAAGGTCAATCACAAGTCACTGTGCTCAGATGCCATACATGCCATATTTTTAGATTTCACACAGTGATACCATCAAAAAACATAATAAAAGCAGGTCATTTTAGCCAGTTATGGACACAATTATAAATCATCAGTTAGTTGTCATATAAAAACACTGAAGAAGCTTGGCTGGGTGCAGGCCTTGGAGTGCATTGCCACGTTGCAGCAGCAGGTCCTTGTAAAGTGACTGCATGTTATATTTTGGAGCCGTGCGTAATGGTCAGGATGTTCTGACCTCAACCACAGTTTGACGGTGCTGTGCTGTAAAAGTACCGTGGCTCTCTGGTCCAGCGGAGGAAGCAACCTCAAACCTGACCCACTGCAACACAGCACTATGCTCAAGTTCATGTATGAGCGCACAACAAATTCCTGTCAGTCACCAGAGCTCTTCTCTGCAGTTTGTGGCTCTGTGATTCCAGATGTTTGACTTAAACCATAGATCTACTCACAACAGGCATAGTGACAGGGGAGGGAAGCATGTTTGGTAATATGTTTGTAACAGGAAGAAAGGAAGGATACAAGATTTACTGCGGTAAGAAGGTCAAAAATGAGATCTTGCTGAAAAAAACAAACAAAGAAGGACAGTAAAATGTGTTTTACATCAGCATTCTCAGATCCTCTATTCACTGACTATAATAGATGATGTCCGGTCTGCATGCTGTTCCCATTACACTTGTCAAATCCCTCATCTGTCTCTGCTTATGCAATCAGTCAGGCTGCACACAGAAAACATACTTGTTTATGACTGTCTGCAGGTACAATTTACAGATAACGACATCTTAACAAGATCTAATTCTCTTCCTGTGTGATTCTAATGAGGCCAATTTTCTTCATTTAGCTTTGAAACTGAATTTCAGTGCTTAAGTCAAGCTGTGTTTATTATGATGTTGGGGTAGGAGAAATTGGCAGCTATGAAAAGATTAGAAACATTCTAATTACACAGTAGCTACAGGGTTAAATTTGGCATCAAATGACTGAAAAACAGCATCAAAGTGCAAATATATAATTATAAACATTATTTGTTGTATCTTATTGTTTTACTTCGTAGAAAACACAAAGCAATACAACATATTAATTTTTGATAATTATGAGCTAGCTCCGGTTACATGACCTACAGTGGACACCATGCAGCAGCAGCTTTTAATGTAATAATAAATTTAACTTCTTTCTTCCATGCAAGATAATGACTTTTTTATGAATGACATTTAATGAATGGCTGCTCTGCTTGGTTTATTTAGTCCTTAACAATCCTTTACCTCGTTGGTATTCCCTTATTCCCCTCCTTCCTTATTGGTAATTTACAGTCAGCGACAGCCTAACCGTGTGTCCTGATGAAAAACTGGGATTAGTCGAAAGAATTAGGGCAGGTAATCTAAGTCCAGCCCTGTGCCCATGGGTGGCACCAACACCTTGCTAAAGTTGTTATATCACAGGTCCTGATTGGTCTGAGAGCAGCCTGGGCTACAAACTACTGTGACATTAATCCAACACTGCGGCTTGGAGAGGTCACGTGTTTGGAGCTAATCAGGGCCTCCTTTACTCTGGAATCATTTCATCTGCAGATGGAGGGAAGGTGCTCAGTGTTTTGAGGTATATTAGTCAAACAGGACCTCTGGAGTTTGTAGGAAATCCTTCTATTTTTGGAAAACTGGAGAAATACATGTATGGGATTGATGTGTTAAATCTGTTCAACCAGACCTGCTGTCAGTTCAGTTCAGGCTGGGTGAACACGCAGACATGCAGGCTTCTTATGTCATGGCACGAAAAACTGGGTTTCAAGGTTTAGACATACATTTGGTACATAAGTAAACATTCAGTGCATAGTGCATAATTAACTTTAAACCGCAGAATTAAAATAAAATGAAATAAAGTAATAAATTTTTTTGTCAGTATTTTTTTGTCAGTAATTTTTTGTCGTGATTAATAATAGATTGTATAGACCCTAAAATGCGCTCAAAAGAAAAATTGTCAGTCAAACCATGCAGATAAGAATATTAAGAAGCAGATAATCCTCAAACTTCTAGCACTACAACCAGAACAAGATCAGCACTGTTTTGACAGATTACTTTTAAACTTATTATCAAAAATATGGGCGATTCTTGTATGGATTAACTTATCTTCTTATCTTCTTAATGACCTAAATGGTTTAATCTTAAACTGCAGAAAAGTACAATGGCCCCGAAGATCAGCTGCATGAGCGCAAAAGCATCTATCAAAATACAAAAAAATAATTCATTAAATACAAAATATTTGTGTTTATGACAAAAATATTTTATTAATCAAAATCATTTTTCTGAACAAAATTAATTTTATTAGACATGCGCAAAATATTAACTAAAATACAGAAACATTTTATTCAAATATATAATTTTAGGGAACCTTTAAAACAAACACATCACTAAAAGCAAAAAATATTTAATAAACATAGAGTTTAAAAAAAACCCTATTAGATTAAATCTAAATACACTTTGCAAAACATTTTTAAAAAACTTCTAAAAATAATAAACTGGTCCAAAAAAATTCATAAATTATTATCTTTTTTTTTTTGGCAAAAATTTTTTATTTTTATTTTTTTATTTTAGGGTTTGTGAAAATGTTGTGTGCCATGAAATATTTTTGTTTTAAAATATTTTTTTTATTTTGTGTTTACTTGTTTTTAGGGTTTTTGCCTGGTGAAATATTTTAGTGAATCATTAACATTGTTTGAATTTTGCAGAGAAATTGCTTTTTATGTATTTTATATTTAAGCTCAATTGAATTTGGGGGATTTTGTGAAATAAATATGCATTTATGAAATATTTTTGAGTTGCTTAATTTTAGTGTGTGTGTAGTATTTTGTAAAAGGTTTTAACAGTTATGTAACATTTGGGCTGTTGACATTTGGGACTACTGTAGAAAAATGCTGTTGAGTTATTGGAGCTTAACGAAAAGCTCTCAAAACAAAATTAAACTAATTACATCAGCCAGACCAGACCTGAAAGCAGAAAAGTTGCACCTCTAGGTTCCTGTACTGTTTTTTGTTTGTTTTTTCTGTTCTGTTGAAGAACTGCTGACTCCTTACAAAAAGAGAGAGGGAGAGAAACTTTCCCGGCATGAGTAAATCCAAAGTTTTAGTCCCCTGAAACTTTTATTTGTGCCTGAATGCTGCTGCTGTCGTCTTTGTATGAGCGAGTAACTCACTCCTCTCTTCTTTTCTCTCTCTGTCTACTCTCTTAGCTGGCCTCAAGTGAACTGAATGAAAACACAGAAGCCCCCCTATGGGGAAACCATCGGAGGACTAAGTGGATTGAAGACGGCAGAAAGCAAAGGAGGGAGTCAGAGAGGGACAGAAGACAGAAGGGATTAGCTGCTAATCCAGTGCGTGGACAGTCCTGGAGGAGCCTTATCTGTCTTCCAGGTTGACTCCAGCAGAAGAGTTGCTAGATTACGGCACCTGATTGTACTGCCCTCTTTTGAAGAGGCATCCCCGTCTTTTTTTTCTTATGTGCTCTGGTAACTGCCTGAATCTGGGGTTTTGGGTGCAGTGGACAAAGAAGTAGGGTGACGAGTTTGGTCTCATGCGCAGTGTGGTGCTACACATGGATAAACCTCTTTAGTGGGAGACGGTGCATGACAGTGGACCCCCCGCTCTCACTCTTGGACTTAAAGGAGCGCAGAACAACTCATCGGATGACAAATCTTCCTGGAAGTCTGGATCTATTGAGCACCGTGGAAAAAAAGGAATCACTGCCAGTAAGCAACATTTTGAGTCATTTCAGTATTTTGTGGCATTTTTTAATGACTTTCTTTAAAAGGGTGGCATTGTTGAAAATTTACAGAGCGCTTCAGAAGGCATAGGGAGATCAGTAAATTAAAGGGCTGGACATCCTCCAATGAATGACTCGTCCAGAGTATGTGTCATCACTGCTCAAGAATAGAGCATGCAGTGTGGCTAAAGTAAGTAAGGCTGAAAACCACAGAGACGTGAGGAACAGCTCAGACATAAATCAGCTGCTAATCCTTGCAGGCTAACCTGAAACCCAGATAAAAGTGAGAAGGGACGCTACAGCAAGCAGATAGAGTGTCTCGGCGCCAAAAACAGGGTTAAAAATAGATTTAAAGAAGTGTGCAAGCGCATAATACTGTTCAGTTGTATGCTGGCTGTAAATAATCAATATCACCCACCTTAAAAAACAACTTTGGTTAAAGAGGCTTCTTTGTTGCAGGGAAAATGTGCTGAGATTGATAAACACTGTTGTGCATATCTAAGATTTTAGTGAGTAAATAAAATCTGCAAATCCCCTGAGCTGTTTGTTTGCAAATCCTGTTTTTTAAGTTGCAGGTGGACTTTGTCCTCTTAATCTATCATTTGCAGAACCAAATCTGATTCCAGGCAACCCTAAAATCGCCAACCACACACCATGTGGTAACAAGAGGGAAAGATTTATGACGCTTTAATTCATCTGCTTTGTTATTTTGTTATGGTCGAAGCTGCTTTTGTGGAGGAGAAATGAGTCAGGTGTTTGGTCATTTTGCATGGACGTGCTGAACTCACCCTACAACAGATAAGAGCCTTTTTATGCTTCAGTTTATATTGAATATACATTATTATACAATGTGACAAAGACAAAAACAGCAAAGTTGATGAGGGTTACACATAGAAACCCTCATCAACCTAATGCATTTTGCAGTTTAAGAATGACTTGAATAAGTTGAAAATAAAGTCAAATCATGAAATATAAAGTGAAATGACCGGGAACAAAGATGAAATACAATTTAAAGAAAGGAAAATGGCGGTTGTTGAGGAGGAATATCCCACTTCCCCATAATTTTATTTTTCATTATACAGTTTTACAGTATTTATTGCATTTGTATCTAATAGGTAAGTTTTAATAAACTATCAAAAATAATTCCTAACATTTCCCTGTAATGGGAAAAGGAAGAACATCATTTTAGTCTTATTTTTAAACTACTAAAAGGGAAATGTTAATCGCAGTTTCTCGCAGTAAGCACAAAGCTAAAGGTTATTCTGTAAATGAATATGCAGGTACTGTTATCATACCAGTGATTCTCAATCCAGTCCTCGAGGCCCACTGTCCTGCATGTTCTGGATGTTTCCCTGCTCTAACACACCTGATTCAAATGATCAGCTCGTTATTGAGCCACTACAGAGCTTGATAACGAGCTGATCATTTGAATCAGGTGTGTTGGAGCAGGGAAACATCCAAAACATGCAGGACAATGGGGGCTCCAGGACTGGATTGAGAACCACTGTTATTATACAGAGGAGGGAATGTCATATCTTATCCACAATAGACATAAGCTCATGTAGCGTCTTATAGACCTTTAGGGTGATGGATGACAAACTGTACAGATGAGTGGATGCTAATTATGTGTTTTGATAATGTTTGATGTTTCTGTATACAAGTAAACTAACACAGAGAGCAACACAAATTGTGTTTTTACCAGCAACTAAAAGAGCATTTCATCTGTAAAAATGTGTTATGAGGCATGCATTATGGCCACTGAACAACTCTTGACTTTATTCTTGACTTTAAATTTCAGCTTTCCCCCCAACATTTCAACAATGCTCAACAAGATTTGTCCTTGTCATTTCCACTTGAAAGCTTTGTAGTGTAAACTTTGGTGCCCTCCGTGGACAGAGCAGTACCTCATGTCTTCACTTTTGTTTTACCTGTTTATGTGTAACCATCCTGCTTCATTCCAACACTCTGATGTATCACTTTAAAAAAGTCTTTGGCTTTAATTTGTAAGGGAATTTGCCCAAGAGCAAGTCAAGTAACTTCTGATAAAAAATACTTCTATTTGTTTCACAATCTCTTACAAATATGGATTGATTAAAGTGCAGCCCCAAAAGTGATCCACCATCAGTCTACCAAATTTCCTCCAGCATTCATGCTGTGTGAATTCTGCAGGTTGAATTCCAGTTGTGGTGTAAGAAAATATCTTCTTGTATCTTGTCTTTGATCTTTAAAGTCCCTGACATTCCCAAACATCACTTCAACCATCTTCAGATACCTCCAAGACTAATTCCCCTGTCTTTCCTGTTAATCCTGGACAATTAAGTAGTTTTTGGTCTTCAGAGACAAGGACTTGATTGACTCTGCGTCATACGTGCATCTCACATTGTATGTCCATAAAGGGGACCGAGTGCCAACAGAGTATGAATAGACGACTCCAGCTGTGTGGAGAATTGATTTTGCACACATCCTCTGCCAGCCAAACGACCACATATTTGTGCTTTCTGTTCTCACTGCCTTGGCATTTATTCTTTTCTCTCTGGTTTTACAGTGGGCCCTAAACTGGAATTTAAACTTGACTGACATGTAATCGGAGCTCAGACACTCACATTGGAATTAAAGGGAAACTACACAACTTTTCAGCCACGATGAGTCTGGGAAAGATGCCAGGGATTAAGGGCCTTGTGTCTGGCTCTCAGGGGAAACGTCGTTTTAAGAGCGAGCTGTCCGTGGACATGATCAGCCCTCCTCTGGGGGACTTCCGACACACTATGCATGTGGGACGTGGCGGGGATGTGTTCGGTGACACTTCCTTCCTCAGCAACTACGGGGCGACGAAAGAGCCCGGGAGTCCAGACTCAGCGAGCAGCTCCAGAACGACAGGGTTCTTCACACGCACTTTTCGCCATGTGGGGAAGACCTCTGCAGGGCGACCGAGAGGAGGTTCCCGGGACCTGTCGTCACCGCCGCCAGACGTCTCACCCATCATCAAGAATGCCATCTCCCTGCCCCAGCTCAACATAGACTCCCCCAATGGGTGCCTGGAGAGGGTGCTGTTTCCAAGCCCCATCAGCTCAACAGATGACTCCTTCTACACATATGGTGAGATAATGCAGATAATCACAGGGTAGTGGAGGGTGTAAAGCATCTTAGCAGCAAGATCAATGTCTTCAAAGTGAACTGGGAGTGAGGAGTTGATCTCGCTTCAGGGGGAGTTTGTTTTCCACAGCTGAACACTCTGTTAATCCCTGCCTTTGTTATTGATAACTTTATATTCTTTATGAAAACTTTAATCTGCTCTTTAGGCTTCTGTTTTCTCCCCCCTCTCTCTGTCCTCCCTCTTTACATTTTAAACACACAAACCTTACAGTAAATCAGGCCCTGTTTTTCTATGATTATGGCCCAAAAAAATCAAAAAGCTACATTAGGTATGATTTATTGTTTTAAGATTAGAGTTGGGAGGCAAGAGTTGGGAAGGACATGCACCAAATCATGCCAGGAGCAGGAACTGATTCAGCAACTAGTGGGAAAGAGACTGCAGCATTTGTTTTTTTTGTACCCCAGGAGTTCATACAAGCTTGAATCAAATTGATCTCCAGTATCAGGAGTGACATGTCAAGATCTGCACAGAGGTTTATTGCATAATAGTTCCTTTTTTGTCCACTAAGCATGAGTCAAAAAACTTCTTAGATGTCTCCCAATCCAGACAAAGCGATCAATGACTTAGTTATCTGAAGCTGATGTCAGAGCAGCTCTGCATTAGTCACCATGACTGAGGAAAAACTGTCAGTGCACTGTATAAATACAGTTGCAGTTCTCACTGTCCAGTCTACGGCAGAGCAAACAGCATAAAGAGCTGCTGAGCAGACACGCTGCAAACACGGCCATAAATGTCAGTGAACACAAACAGAGAGAGAGAGAGCAAGGTCGCCCTCTCTTTCAACACCAACCCACATTCCTCCAGGACGACCAGCAAACAAATGAGTTTTTTTGAGTCATCGAGAATCACCTTGGCAACACCTGTACTACACAGACAGGCCTGTAAACACAAACACACACAGCTGGAAATAGAAAGATACTGAGTAGGCAGAAAGACACCAGCCATTGCAGGCTCACCAATCAGAGCTGATCTTACAGATGCATGCAGAGACAGAGGTGGAAATCCCCTCTTCATCCCCAGAATTCCCCGCCCACTTCGAGAGAAAATTACTCAAACTGAGTGATGAGGGCAAAAGGAGATACTGGAGTGAAGGATGACTGTTTCTTTGTCATCAGCTGGTTTCTCAGGTTATCATCTCTGTCATTTCCATCCACCCCTTCATATCCTCATAGTTACTGTTTACAGTGAATTAATCCAAGCTTTGTTGTCCAGATTTCAGCCCAGAAATACCATTAAAGGCAACCAATGATAAAAAAAAATGAAATATATTAATTTATCAGAAAAAATAAATAGTTTTGGTCCTTGTTTAAGGTTTTGATACCTGCATTAAAGCAGGAACGAAGAGCATCTATGATAGTGGAGACTAATAAGACTCACTTGTTCTTGATATGCAGAATAACTTGGCTGTGTTTATTAACACAGTTTTGTAAATTTTCAACTTTTGGCTTCCAAATTAATTCTACCAAAATCTAGACTCCAGGATCATAAAACTATCACTTTCTTCTTATACTAGGATATTATTCTCATAATAAAGCAAAATTAACCTTGTTAGATGATGACTTTATTTTGTTTATGTTGCAAATATATTCTCCAAACTTTTACAGGTATGAATAATGTATGAAAGTAGAAAACAAATTAGTGAGGATTAGAGGATTACGGGGATGTTAAGCCACACTTGTGTTTGTTTTAAAGACCACAAAGAAGAGAGGGAGAGGTTAAAGATGTAAAATGTCTTTCCATCTTCCTCTAAAAAGACCAACTTTGTTATCAGATCAGATCTGAGCTTGAGGTATCTATTGAGGTTGTCACCACACCACCTCCATGAATCACCCTGAAAACATTTTGTTTCAATTCACCTCACATTCATCTCTAAGTCTGTTTTATTTATCTTTTTCATACTTTTTACTGTGTGACAGTCCTCTCTGTAAATCCCCTCAGATCCATGCAGGAAAATAACTGTCACCCAGTTGCTTTATACTGCCACCCTGTGGTGAAAGGGTTCAATTGCTGCAGTTTTATTTGGCTTATCAATGACAAAGATTTCATTTAGAACAATGATTAGGGCCTGAGCACCAACAGTACAGCAAGTCCCTGAATAGAACCCAAAGGATTACCTTTCCATCTTCTTTCCATCCTTCCTTCACTCCTTCTTTCCTTTCTCCCTTTCTTCCATTCTTCCTTTCTTTCCTCTTTCCTTTCTCCCCTATCCTTCCTTTCTTCCTGTCTTGCTTCCATCCTTCCCTTTATCCTCCCTCTCCTCCTTCCTCCTACTATTTCTTCCTGTCCTCCCTCCTATTCTTTCTCCCGCTTCAGCTTTCTTTCATTCTTTCTTCCTCTTCTCCATCCTCCCATCTTTCCCTTCAACTGCCTTCTTCCTTCCCTCCTTTCCCTCTAATTCAAAGGTCTTTAAGGCCTCAAAATTCACCAAACTTCACTCACTTATCAGGCCCAGAAAAGATTTAAATATTCTGTAAGTCACCGGATCAACAGCACTCCCTAACACTCTTAAATACAGCCTTGCTCCTGGGTCCTATCTTTCTGCACGATTTTTTTCAGGCCAAGACATAAAAATAATCCTCTCAGACCCACCCTCTTTTCTGACAGGAAGTCCTGAAATTTGTCTTGTCAGTGTCAGATTATGGTGATTTGAACAAACTTGTCTTTGGAGTTTCATTCTGTTAGCTCCTACATCTCTCAGTGTTTTGGGTGTGCAGCTGTGGTGGCTTGTCAAACTTTGATGTCCAGCCCCTAACAGGAAGTTATTGCAACTCTGTCATACATCTGTTTGATATTTCATATACGTGATGACAAAGCTTCCCCCCTGAACACATCTTTGTACTCAGCTCTTACCCACAGTCATAGCACCATTCTGTAGAAAAAGATGGTTCTAGTCTTCGCAAACAGCGACTAATCTGTACCAAATGTAATCTTGGTCCCAACCTGAACTTGTCTGTGTACTGTACGTAGTTTCTGTCACAGTAACAGTGCTGCCCTCTGGTATAGCAGCATAACCCAGAGCTTTAAATCACACATGTAGGCTGGCAGTCTTGGCCTGAACAGATCTAAATGTGCATTTGATTCATGCTGAAAGGACAGACACAAGGCATGGTTGCAACCAAAGCATCTCCACACCTCATGGTTGCAACAAAGTGCACACAAGTGTGAGGATCTGTTCATCGCCAAGTGTGGCTTTGATTAGGAATCATGTCTCAGGTCAAAAATAGTGTAATAATGATATCTGTAGGATCTAGTTGTAGGTAGTGAAATGTTAACAAACACTCAGATTTGAAAAACTAAAGTCAAAAGTTGAAAATAAAGTATTGGAAACAAAAAGGCTCAGAAACCTCCAGTGACTCTTGTGTTTTATTCTTCTTTCTGTTTGCAGGTCTTCAGTCTGGGTTCGTCACTCTGCCCCGTCTCTCTCGCATTGACCGTCAGATTCAGGAGGGAGAAGCTCGAAGACAAGCGGAAAGTGGGGGCTACTCACTGACTCGCTCAGACTCCCTCACCTCCTTCACTGTGGACCTTGGTCCTTCTCTCATGACCGAGGTCCTGAGCTTTTTTGACAACCCTGGTTGCCTTCAGATGTCCATCCACAGCCAGGCTGCAGTGGAGGAAGAGGAGGAGGAGGAGGAGAGGGAGGACAGCAGCTCTCTGACAGAGACACCTGTGCAGAGCCCTGCTGGGACCTCTCCTAACCCTTCAGTGAGCAGCGAGTCATTTAGGAGGAACATGAACAGCAGGAGGCGCTCTAATGGTTCTGAAAGGACAGAGAGGGAAGAAGAGGGGGAGAGAAGTTCGCTGAGATGTCCGGATGCGAGTGCCGGGTCTCCTCAAGAGAAGGACCCGGGGATCGAAGCGGAGCAGTTTCAGAGAGCAGCAGACGTGCTGTCCCGTCATTATGGTGGAGGAACCGTCACAAAAGTTAGGAGGAAGAGCAACAACTCTGCCTCTCCTGCCTCCTCCCACAGCCTGAAAACACCGCCTGCCTTTTCTGAAGAAGAGGAGGAAATCAAAGTCTAGATGAAGGAAATCCTTACACTACATGGAAAATCTTTGAGACCTTTGAGGATCATATGAGCCAGAAAGGTCGAGCACAGTGCTTTTCTGTTGGAGCATCATGGATACTGGTTTGTTTACTTCCAGTTTCTGCAGGACAGATGTTTGATTTTTTTTTGCCTGAAACCTTGATCTTCTCTTCCCTCTACATCTGCTGCTGTGATTTAATTCAGACAATTAAAACTCTTCTGCAGATATAAGCACCTAAATGAGTCTGATGACACACAACGAATTCATGTCAGGATAAAACATTAATAATAACTTTTAGCTGTAACAAGGTTTTAAAGTGACACTCCTGCGATAGTCCATTTTAACTCTGATTTTTATATTTTTCAACCTGTTCTTAATCACTCACTGAATAATCATAATGTGCAGCAGCAATATGTAATTTACACAAATGAAGATGTTCAGGTTTAATGGCCTTGGTTCTTAATCTCATCCTGAAACCAGTATGATCAATAACAACTGTGATAAAATAAAACTACATTGTAAATAACTTTTATCTGAAATGATGGTGATATATAAAGCAAATAAAGATAGATTTATTGTTGAAGCCACCATCCTTTTTAAATTCTGCATGTATGAAGTGTCTATCATGTTTTTTCAGTATTAGCTCATGAGTATTCAAAAAGATGTGGGTGATGAAGTTAAGCCTGATTTGCACCTGATGTTTCATTTTATTTGATTTCTTATTTTTGTAAACTTTGTTAACAGGCATCAAATTTCCTCAACAGCTTTTGAATCCTGTGAATGAACAGCTCACTTTGTTTTTCAGCCCCGAAAGAGAAATAAAACATTTCAACCATTCCTCTTGTTCCTGTTGATGATTTAAGAATCCAACTCTCTTTACAGAGTCAGCAGGAAAACTCTGTGTCACTAACAATTTACAGTAAAACTGAGACTGAGCAGAAACAAATTAGTGATGCTGTGGAGGATTTACAGAACTTAAAAAATGGCAACAAAATCTATAAGAAACTAAGTAGTTACTGTAGGTTCATGTCAATTAAGTCAGAATGAGGCCTTTGTAGTTACAAAGAAACTGAGACTCACCAGAAACAGACATATTTGCAGGGGTGAAAGTAACCGCCAATTTCCACCGCATCCGGAACGGCTACGAAAAGGCCGTATCCGACCATCACAGATGATCATAACCATTCATGTTAATGTGTTCATTTCCGCCGTCCCTCTTCCGTTCAGCTGCGGATCGCCGGACTCCGCAGCTGATCGCAAGACTTACATTTTTTCCGTAAGCCGGTATGCAGCGGTAAGCCGTACCGGAAAGACATAAACAGCAGTGTACAGCCGGTACTATGCGGTACGCAAACTTTCACCCCTGCTATGTCTGTAGGCTACATTTGCTTACCGTGTTGCCGCACGTCAGTCTGCACTCTGCATTGTAACTGTAGTAATCCAATAGGACCATGCTGCTTGCGAGTGAGTCCTATTTGCTCCCGCAAACAAACAAGCTCCGGAAGTGGGAGTTCTCAGTGCGCACTTTTGATTGGACGCTGGTTGCCTAGGCGCTGGGGACCGCCTCCTGCCTTTTGCGGAAAGAGGGAACTTTTAAAGAGACAGCTGCTTCAATCTTAATGCAGAAATAAAACAGAGGGCAGAGAAAATTTGATTTTGTGTTCAAGAAAAAGAGAGATGCAGCAGATGATGATACTGATTCTGATGATCAGAGTCGGCACCTCGTTAAATTTGGGTGCGCTCCTCTTGTACAAAGCCTATGGGTACAGTACCTGCAAGAACCTTATCCTATTTTCACTCCTGCGTATTAGTGCTAGTTTAATGGCCAGCAAATCACAAAAAAATTAGGTCTCTTCTTCAGGTTTTATACCAGTGTTGTAAGCCAAGGTGAGGCCTTTGTGTAACTGTTTTACAGTGAAACTGAGACTCTTACTGTAACTCTCAGGGGGTGTAAAGAACCCTAACCTGAAGATGTTTAATGGACAGTATATTAGAGGATTTTTTTTCTCTTGCACTTTCACACCAGTAGGGTGAAGAGTGTCAGAGGAAAGTCTCTGTGTAACCCACTATTTACAGTGAAACTGACACTTAATAGAAACACATGAATTGGCACCACCCTAGAGAATTTATAGAAGGTTCATACAGTTAAATGTTAACAGAACAGATAGAAAAATCTGTTTCTTTTTTAGGTTCATGCCACTGAAGTGAGCTTATGTGAAGACTTACACTATTTACAGGGAAACAGACTAATCACAAACAGACGCAAGTTTTCCTTTATTCCTGAGGACAGACTGTTGATTGCTGATAGACCCAAACTTGATGATAATTTAATGGAAAAAGTGTCTGCTGACCTCTTTCTAGGAGGAGGTTAGCCAATATTAAATCCAACTATAGCCCAGGTCTTGATAAACAGCCTTGTTTGTTTGCTAATCTGACATGGTAAGAAACACAACATTGACTGCTTCTGTTGCCAACCTTCTTTATTGCCCTCTCAGGACTGGACTGGGAAAGTGTGCAAAATCAGTGGGCATTGTTTTCATTGAAGAGCCAACACTTCAAACAAAAGCAAACAGCCACATGAAGTTTATCATTTAATACTCTGCTCTCATTTCAATATAGATACATGTCCTTACTCAAGATTTGCATTTCTCATTGATTAGTACAGTATAACTTGTGATAATCAGCCAGTCCTGAAGTCGTGTCTCTGTCCATCACAACAAACACAGCATGCAGGAGTTTTGTCTCTTAGGAGATCTTGAGGGATGTCAGTTTGAGGTCTCCTCTGATTCTGACAAAGCTGATGAGGTCCACGCCTGCTCGGTTTGGAAACTTGACCTCCTGTCCATCAGGGAGCTCCACCTCAAACATGTCTCCAGCCAGTTTCACCACAATCTGAAACAGAGATAAAAACTCTCTCATATTGCTTCTCGACTGATTTTAGCCTTTTAATAACGCCCTTTACTTGACTTTTAGTAGGGGAGAGTGGGGCAAGATGAGACATTTTTCATATTTCTGATCACTACATCAAGGCAGTCATAGTTTTGTCTATAACTAGTGTATCTGCATATATTTCAAGATGTCATGCATCCCTGCAAACCAACAGAATGAGTGTTAACATAACTGTCTTGATAATATAGGTGGTCAACTTACCCTGTGTATGTGGTAAGTTGACCATAGGAGTGGGGTAAGTTGAGCTGTAACTGAAACTCTGATCCTCTCATCAGACTCCTTTGCTTTCTCAGTTGAGCCACAGACTCAACTTACCCCAGAACTACTATTATGGCTTTATTACTCCTCTAAACTAAAATGGTGGACTTTTATGCTAAGTTTTTGACCTCATGTTGTTGCTCATTGATACCACAATTGATGATAAAACAAATTTAAAATGATCTTTTTTGGTCTGAACACAATTCTAATCAAACTTATGACAGACTAAATTCACTTTCAAGAGTGAAAAATTTGTTTTTTTGGAAATAAATGTCTAACCCCTTCACTCATGTGCTTCTAACCTTCACAGACTCCATGAATTGATGCCCATCTCCTAAATATTTGGTCACATTATCAATTTCTTTTACCATTTCCAAGCAACAGGGGGTGGCTCAACTTACCCTTTGGCTCAACTTACCCCACTCTCCCCTACCTTTTCTCAAGTACAAATTTCCATCCTCGCTTCCTTTACTCAGATGTATTTACCTTCACCTCGGTGCCCCTGTGCAGAGGGTTGTGCATGTCTCGCATCTCATCGCCCCAACATCCTGCAGTTTTTGAGTTGCACACAATAACAGTTCCGTCAGAGTCATCGTGGAAACGAGGGTTGAAGTGTAGAGCCAAGTCGTCTTCACTGTAGCCCAGGTCGATCTGAAATCTGACAAAATAAATTTGGATGATTTTCAGGTGATTTTGGATGACATTGAGGCAGAAACATTTCACTGTAGATGATCCAATTCACTCTTGAATGCTAATGCAGAATAAATGTGGTGTCTTTGTTATCTTACCTTTCAGCGTCGTGCAGAATCTCCCCTTTTATTTTCAGCTGATCTCCGGTCCTCAGGTATGCATTCTTTAATTCCAGCTGCTAAAAAACACAATCATGCAATTTCATCAGAAGGAGAAAACTGATGGTTAAATTAGTAAAAACAATGTAATCAAAAAGTTATGTGTAATAAAAATAGACAAAAGTACCATGCTCATCTTGGGTGTTGGTGTGGGTGAACAGTCCTGGAGGTGAAAGAGGGATCAGGCAGTTTTCTTCGCTGGAAGACAAAGTAAGTGTATGTGAAGCTCTTCTGAATTTATACTGTCATCAGGGGATTAGAGAAAAAGACAGACAATGGCCTAAATCCTCAGTCATCATCCTGAAAATCAGGGAACCTTTTCAATGCAAATGATCTTTTTAATCACTGCTGTTCACCCAAGATTCAGCACCTCCTTAATCATGGAGCAAGTAGAAAATAAGAGCAGTAGACAGTGAGGTGTCTATCCTTAAGTTTCTCTGTAAGTTTTTGAGTGGGAGTCATTGTGTGCATTCAGGACATCACTGATTACATCTGAGTAAGTAAGCCACTGACTAGACTACAGAATGCCTGCTTTGATAGAGGAGTTGTGAACTTTACGAGCTAAGGAAATCATGTTTTATTCATTGACTCAATTATAAAAATTCAATTCCATAAGAGTTGATATGTTGAGTAAGATGTTGAAAAAGAAGACTTCGAGGGTTTGCATATCACTGAAATCCAGCCATGTTTCCGTCAGTCTGCCCCAGGGCAGCTGTGACTACTAAGGTAGTTTACCACCACCACAGTGTAACTGTGTGAGCGAATGAATGATGTATCCAATGTAAAGCACTTTGAGGGTCTCTGATAAAGCGCTATGTAAAATATGATGCATTGATTATGCAGTATTAAAATTTCCTGAAAAAAATCATTTTATCAGCTTTTTCTTTCTTGTTTTAGCAGGTCAGGAGCAAGTCTAAGGGCTGAGAGTGCCTGCTCATGTTTCCTCTGTGTTTTTCTTTAAAATACAATTTTGGCTGCATACTTTTGGCTAAAAGGTGAGGAAATAAATAAAACACAGTTAAATGACGTTCAATACAAAGTTCTTCCAAATTGTTTAACATTCTTAATTTAAACTAAACTAAACTAAACTGAACCAATTTGATGAAAATACTAGCAGGGTCTGTCAGTCTTTGGTTGTCATTATTCATTCATTCAATTTATTCAGTGTAGTAGTACTCTTATTTCTGAAACTGCCTGTCTAATAGATCATATCAGATGTTTTAAATTTTGGGGGAACTCTTCTTTCCTGCACTTTCTTCAAAAAAAAAAAACATACTTTGCATTGTTATGTGCAGCAGTACTTATGATACAATATTGTGGAAATAGTGTTGCATTTTCGTCCTCAATTTAGAAAGTTGCACAAAAATATTTAGAAGGCACTGGAGGCTCTCCTTTTTATATATTCTGTAAGGTGTCCTTGAGTGCCCTGAAAGGCGCCTTTAACAAAATGTAGAGAAAGGCAAAGATCAATTTTTTTTATCAAAGGAAATTTTCAAAAATTAAAAAAAAAATGGATGAACTGGAAAAAACTTGAAGGTAAAACTGGAAAAAAATTACCCCAAAAGGTCCCAACATTCAATTTTCCATTAAGACATAAGACATAATGTCTTATCCATTAAGACATAAGGGTGAATAGCATTAATTTTGGGGATTTTAACGCCCTCAAGTGGTTTAGCTTGGTATTGCACTATGTATGAGCAGTACTACAATGTGACCGCAAGGGGCCAGTACAGATCCGGGTTTGTGATTACTTTCTTTTGAAGGCCTTTAAAGGGGTTTAATTGACATAAAGATTAATTGAATGAAATAGAAAAAATAACGCGAATTTCTTCCTTTAATTGTGACGAAGCGTTTGTTATATGTTAGGTTTCTATTAAAAATACAATTATTAAAGATTTTTGATGTACGTCCGTTTTCATCCCGGAACTGACGTCACAGAGTAAACAGAGGGGCTGTCAGTGGACCAAGAAATGAAGAAAATTACGACTAAATAAGGCCGTTTTTCTTAAATATTTGGATTTTTACGCTGTCTTTGAAGCATTTGTATGAGATCGGCGCATATATTGTTAAAGGTAACCCGTTTACAGCATGTTATCGTCTCCTAATGAGTCATTTATGCACCTGCTAACTGCTCTGAGCAGCTAATGTAGCAGCGTCAGCGAGCAGCTCTCAGGATGTTCATTTCCGTCTTTACAAGAGGATTTATCGCCTTTGTTGATACCACAGAGCCTGATTTATTGTATTTATCGGTGCATACATTGAGATTAGTGCAGATTTTATTTAAAATGATAAGAAGACATGCATGTGAGTTACCAGCTGTTAGTCTGAGCTGTATCTGATCGTCCTCCATCAGCTCTGAATCCACAGATCAGGACAGAAAAGAACCTCAGTCTTCACGGTTTTATAGGGAGCTAAGTCACGTGTAATAAAGTCACCTTTTCCTAACAAATCTCTTTTTTTGTCATGGTATTATTCACAGGTCACTCTTACTGAAAGAGCTGATTCATTATTTCCACAGATATTTATGTTTCATAGTTTGATATCTCACCCTGTCGCTCTTCTTTAGGTTTTACAGGGACAGGACTGATACTGTCCCACAATGTTCACAGACATGGACTACGAGCTGGAGGAGGATAAACTGTGAGTCACTCTGACATTTTCTTTTTGTCTCAGTTTGCAGAAATCTCAGGCATATTTCATTGCACCTTTGCTTTTTGTGGCACAATCCAAAAAAATCGAGATGTATTTAGTAAAAATAGGGAAGCACAATATTATTTCATGATATACAGCAGATGTGATGGCGATCTCACCCCGTAAAAGGTGTTCATTAAGGAATCTTGGATTAAACTATTAACCCTAATTTTTAAACAATCACTTTTAAAAATATCTAGGGTGTATTGACTGAATTCACAAAAATAATCACATAGAATAGTGAGTGCAAAAACAAGAAAGCAATACTGGAAGCAGGACCCTGAGGCCCAATCCCAAACCGACCCATACACACTCGGCCTTCACTACCGAGTGTCACTCGTAATGAAGTTACACTCGCAGCTGTGGAGTGTGCCTCAATTGAAGTGGGAGGGTATAAACAAGACGGCGGGTATGGGATGCCCTTCTCACTCCATCGGAAAACGGAAAGGTTCATCGCCATAGCGACACAAAGACGCGTCCTGTGCAAGGCAGCGTTTATTTTCTTTGTAAACGGAAATCATGTACGGTTCTGAGCTGCTCCAGCTGTCTTGTTTCTTCATCCTTCCAGTAAAATCCTAAATCCAGGAACTATTACAGTGACAGGAGCTAAATTATACTTCTGTTTGTTAGTGATTGCACACGTCTTTGAACCCCTTTACTATTTGACATGTGCCTGCACAATCAAAACAAATGTCAGCACAGAGTACGATTCCGGAGTTTCATTTGATCTTTCCAAACCACGTCTTTTGTTAATTTTTTTTTGTCAGTAAGACAAAGGTGGACACATACGGAACTTATATTTGTATGTTGTTTCCTCCTCCTCCTTTTTTGCCGGTGCACTACCTGCAAATGCTGCCATGAGTGAGCATCGGTGCAGACTCGCTATTTGAGGGCTGAAAGGTCCAGTCGACCTCCTCACTCTGTGGTGTGGGACGACCTTCAATATGGCGGAGCCACCACAGGGACGCGCAAACGGAGGGAGAGTGTATAGGGCGAGTGTTTAGGGGGCGGTTTGGGATTGGGCCTAAAACAACCTACAACCGCACACAGCTGGAAAAGCTGTGTGGTTTCCTGATTCCTGGTTCCCTGCCTCTAGTAACCAGTGACTCTCCTTTTAACTGCCTGTTTCTGTCAATACCTCAGTGTGCAGGAAAGGAGCAGCAGCAGCTTCATGTTGACATGCAATATCTATCTAACTTATCACCCACACTGAAGCACACATTAAAATCAGCTACAACAATCGGTGTTGGCAGATAAAGGCTGGAAGAGTTTATCATGAGTATAAGCAGATTAGCCTGTACGCTCTACCTTCCTCCTTTCTTCTGTTTTATTTAGAGAAGAGAAGAGTGAGGAAACAGAGCATGAGTCTGCTGAGAGATGCAGGAAAAGATTAATTTATCCTTTTTTTTCTTAAACAGGGGGATACCAACAGTCCCTGGTACTGTGTGTCTCAAGAAAGACGGGAATAACCTCATAGGGATCAGCATCGGTGGAGGAGCTCAGTACTGTCCTTGTCTCTACATCGTCCAGGTATGTACCGAACATGAATCACAATGATTATGAAATTATTAAAATCTGATTCAGGTTTAAATCACAACATCATGTCTCAGTTTGGAGATAATCTGATTTAGTGACCCTAAAGCTCTGTTTATTTCAGTCTGAGCAGATCTCATCTGAACACTTTTTAACCTGTTTTTATTTTCCCACAGGTGTTCGATAACACCCCAGCGGCTCTAGATGGGACTCTAGCAGCAGGCGATGAAATCACAGGCGTGAACGGGAAACCAGTGAAGGGGAAGACTAAAGTGGAAGTGGCCAAGATGATTCAAGCTGTCCAGGTACACTCATTATTGGACAAACACCATTGTTACAGCCTTGAACAACATCTAACATACTGACATGCTTTGTTATTAACATCCTCTAAATCTTTGTGGAGACACAGTCCACTTACGGACCAGTCCTGGGCACTCTGTGGTCATAGTACTGTTTTTAAAAAATAGGCAGGAAATCTGTCAACTTTTGAGTGTTACTTAAACAAAACTAAGTTAAGCAAATCAAACTGACTCCACTACACTGATGAATAGCATCCTCTAATGGATAAAAAAAAGTACATTTTGAATTGAATGAATGTAATCAAGAGAGTTCAAACATTACTCACGTGTTTGTAGCAGATTTGTCCGAAAGTAGTCCAGCAGTCGAGTGTTTAATGATGTAAATCCACCCCGGGACAGCAGAGCAGAGGGGCTTCACTGGTCTTCTCCCCTGTGCTAGAATTCTCAGAACAAAAGCTCACCGCGTTGGGCAGAGGGGCTGTGTTGGTTAAGGCCTCCATTGTTTGCACCCGGCAAATTCCCTGACTCCCTGCATAATGGATTAAAGACGGGGTGCAGAGGGGGATTTAAAGGATTTACATGATGTTGCTGTTAGCCATTCAGTGAAAATACTGCCACACTAGGCACAATGAAGCTGGCATAGTTTTACTTTATTTTAGTGCACAATTAAAAGCTAAAAGATGATTTCTAAGAGACTCTTTAATTAATACCATTCTATAAGAGCTGAGACGCTGACATTAACAAAAAAAGAATTCAATAGTTTGCAAATCATTTAAACCCCTTTTTTTTTTTTACTTACCCCATTCAATGCTGGTAATGTTTTTCAAAAAGTTGGTGCAGGGAGAATAAACACTGAAGGAAAACAAATGTAATCATGATCCAGAAACAGCAGCGGCTTCTGTAGGCTGGACTTCTTTATGTTGGAGTGGGGCAAAGTGGAAAATTGTCCGAGGGTCTAAATAAATCAAACTTCTTCTGCTCTTAATATGGGATACGCCACCTGGCTTTTTATCAGCACACCCTTCAAAAGACAGAGTCCATGATGATATGGGGGTACATTAGTACACACCATAAGGCTAGCATGGAGTCAACATTAATGCTGATCTGTATATGCAGTTTTGGGAGCAACATATTCTGCCATTTTTCCTATTCGAAGAGGATCTTACATATCTTGATACAATGCCAAACCATATATTATTTACTTGTTACAACATCATGGCTCTGTAGAAGAAGAGTCCACATGCTAAACTTACCTGTCTACAGCCCTGACTTGTCACCCATTTAAAACATTTTTAGCATCATGAAGCTAAAAAATTACGAAAGAGACCCTGAGCTGTAGAGCAGCGAAAAATTTTACAACTCAAACTCCAGAAACTGTTCTCCTCGAACATTAACAGAGCGTTATTAAAAGAAGGGATGATACCAAAACACGGTAAACAAGCCCCTATCCACACTGTTTTGAAAAGTGTTTTTAGATACTGAATTATAGATATTTATAAATTGACTGATCACACTGATACCGATCATTCTTTTGAATGTGTCTGTTTTTGTTTATTCCACAGGGAGAAGCAACAATTCACTACAACAAACTGCAAGCAGACCCCAAACAGGGAAAATCTCTGGATATAGGTACTTTTTCATTTAGATTCATTTAATTCTTTGTTTGTTTGTTTGTTTGTTTTTGTTGCAGTTTAAGAACCCTGAACTGGTTTACATGTAACTTTTACCCTGAGCTCTCCTGTGCATTAAACACACTTTTTTTGTGTTTCAGTGCTGAAAAAAGTCAAACATCGTCTGGTAGAGAACATGAGCTCTGGCACTGCTGATGCTCTTGGGCTCAGCAGAGCTATTTTATGCAACGGTGGGATGATTATAAAGAACATTCATATTTTTAAGTGGCTTATAGAAGTAGATATGAATCTTGATTTATGTGGGTGTCTTTAACTTTACAGACGGGTTGGTGAAAAGACTGGAGGAGCTGGAGAAAACTGCAGAGCTCTACAAAGGTCAGCAATGATATAATCCTCTACAAAGCAAACAGTAGTGCTGTCAGTGTATGTGCTAACTCAAAATAGGCTCTGCTTTAGGAAGCATTAATCACAAGAAAGAGTTAAGTGTTGCTTAAACTAATCTTCTGTTTGCTGCAGGACTGATGGAGCACACTAAGAGACTCCTCAGAGCGTTCTTTGAGCTCTCTCAAACACACAGAGGTCAGTCACTGTCAGCAAAATCACAAAGTGGTGCCAAGTTCAGAGACTATGTACCTCTAAATTCGACTAATCATCTCTATAGCTCTCTGTTTATCCCAGTTTTTATGGTCTAATACATGTGATTAACATCCTGCAGCATTCGGGGATGTTTTCTCCGTCATTGGCGTGCGGGAGCCTCAGGCTGCAGCCAGTGAGGCTTTCGTCAAGTTCGCCGATGCTCACCGCTCCATTGAGAAATACGGGATTCAGCTACTGAAGACCATCAAACCTGTGAGTACACATCAGGCCCAGGTCTGAAGTATTTATATCATCTCCTCTTCAAAACTTAGATCATGTTTTTGCTGTACAGATGCTCCATGATCTGAACACGTACCTCAACAAAGCAATCCCAGACACCAAGCTCACCATCCGAAAGTACCTGGACGTCAAGTTTGAATACCTGGTAAGACATCAACCCTAAAGATTAAATTTGAACATGTAGTGTAGTGCTCTAAATCACATATGAATCTTTCAGACAACAGAGAAACATGATGATTTCTTTGTCTTTCAGTCGTACTGCCTGAAGGTGAAGGAAATGGACGATGAAGAGTACAGCAGTATTGTGAGTCCTTATTTCATTTCTCTTAAAACGAGTTAAAGTTGGTGAAATGACAAAGAGAATAAGTTAAAAAATTTGTTTCTTTTCACCTTCACAAAAGGGGAAAACATGCAAACCTACTCTTTTCTACAAAGTATTATCATCACAATGTTTCCACTTCTCTATGGTCCATGTCAGACATGAGCAGAAAATGAACTTAAGGTGTTAAAACCTGATACTCAAAAAACTTATAAAACCTGGTAAGAGATCAGGTAGAGCTCATCAGCTGTCAGCTGTACTTCCAAACTTTCAGCTTACGTCAGCAGAAAGCTGTTGTTTCCATTGTGCTGCACTTAAAAATGTGTGTATTACTACTCTCCCTTACTTTTTTTCCACCTCTCTTTATTTAATGCAATGTCGATCAATTCCTATTCTCACAGGCCATGGGGGAGCCGCTGTATCGTGTCAGCACCGGAAACTACGAGTATCGTTTGGTGCTGCGGTGTCGACAGGAGGCTCGAGCCCGATTTGCCAAAATGCGGAAGGACGTTCTGGAGAAGATAGAGCTGCTGGATCAGAAACACGGTCTGTTGCTGTGTTCTTTACTTACTCAACTGGGTAAACCTTAACTCACAAGTCAAAACAGGGACAGTTCTTGGACTGTAGCTTTGTTTGAGTGATTGCTAGGATCAAATTCTATGCAAGGGTAATTTTGATCTAAACACGATACACGATAAGCAGTATTAGGATACAGAATGATTTGAAACAAAAGGATATGATATTACATATGATGCAACATGATATTATCTTAGACTGTATATAGAATGGACGCCATCTGCCTGTCTACCCCGAGAACAGCACCCTCTGGTGACTGGCTGCAGTATAGGTCATAAATCCCGCCTCCTCCAGCAATCCCTATGGAGCTGTGGACAAACTTTAGAAATTGATTACACAGAACATACATTTTTCTCCCCCATGCTTAAGATGTTGACATTCAGTTACTACAAGACTGGTTTGTGCTCAAGTCCTCTTTTTTTCTGTACAGCTTCGTTTTTAAAGTTATTAGGGGGTTCATGTTTGCTATGATTGACACTTGATACAGCCTATGTGCGTACAAAGATTGCGTAGCTCACCCGGGGGATGCACTGTTTGAGCCGAGTGTCATCACAGCGACTGTCCCGCCAGATGTGTACAACACGATTGCGCAATGTTGGTTTCAGGAAGTGGAGAAAAAACCTCAAATACTAAGAGCTTTTTGGCTTCAAAGCTGTATACTGGTGGAAGGTTGTCCAAGTTGTCCACAGTATATAGAGTCTATGCATATGATGCATTAAGGTGCAACACAAAGTGATTTGATATGATACAAAATACTGTACTAGGTTGCAATGCAATACAGTACATTACAAAAATGCAGCTGTGAAAACCGAATGGCTCTCTAGGATGAACAAAATTGTCTGAATCTGTATGTGAATCAATACAATATGTAGCACTGAGAGATATTCATCAAAGACCTAAGTGCTGTATAAATGTAGCTGCCACCACAGCCATTTAAATAAATAAAACCATAAACAGTGTAAAGTATGAAGTAAAGAAATGACTCAGATAACCTAAAGTCTGCTGTTTTTCTTCCTCCCCGTCTTCACCTACAGTCCAGGACATAGTGTTCCAGCTCCAGCGCTTTGTCTCGGGTATGTCACACTACTATGACGAGTGCTACGCCGTCCTGAAGGAGGCCGATGTTTTCCCCATCGAGGTGGATCTCTCTCGCACTATGATCAACTACAGCAGCCCGTCATTCACTGGAGAGGAAGAGGACGAGGAGGAGGAGAAGGAGGGAGGAGGAGAGGGAGGCAGCATTGGAAGACAAGCAGAAAACGGAGCTGAGAAACTGATCGATGATGACTGAGTGTGGGTTTGTGTGTGTGAGTGTGTACAAGCTGAGATCGTTGCAGTGCAATATAGCAGCTGTATTAATAACACTACTGTCAAAATGATGATAAACTACTGAACTCCGTAAACTGCTGCTTTATTGATCTGCGTTGGTCAATCGGGGGAGTTTTCTTTCTCAAAAACTTTGAAATCAACAGCTGAATCATGATTTTACTTTTTTCACTGTCAACTGTGTGTTAAAATCAACTTGAGTTTCCACTTTGAGCTGAATGTCATGGAGGGTTTAAATGAAGAGATGGATTTATATGCATATGAAGTGTGCCTTCTTAGCTCCTAATGAAGTGTAATGGGTCATTGAAGTGTGTAGGATTAGCTTATTATGAATTCTCTCGGTTGCACATCGATTTTTATGTTCTTATTTCTTTTTCTACAACATTGTGCTTATTTTGGTTATGGTTTTATTTATGTACTTAAAAAGATATTTATCAGCTATTAAATGTGTTAATTGACCCAGATAGATAAAATCATAAAACGTGAAGGTGTTGACTGACGCAGGTGACATCCTGTGTGAAGTATCTGTTACATGCAGCTGTCAAAGTACACCTTTTTACTCTCTTTTCTCGGCCCATTTTAAGTCAGGTCAAAATATGATAATTTCTGTCAAAACACGAGTGCTTTGCTCTCTGTCCCTCTCAGACATGGGTAGAAACTGCTTTAGAAATGCAAACACTGTCTGTAAATAAGTGTGTACAAAGGAAAAGGGAGATTTAAACTCTAGGCATTCCTTGTCATTCCTACTTTATTTATTCTTCTGTCAATAAAATGTTATTCTGACCAAAACTGAGTCCATGCTATATAAAATCTTATCAATTTGTGTTAGTCTATGTTGTCTGTCATTTGTTGAGTGTGTGAGATGATTTTAAGGTCTTTCTTCTGAAGAGGTCACTTGGGGGCAGTGATGCCTAAGATCAGACTGCACTGAAGTAAGCAATGAGTGAACAAAGAGAGGTTTGTTTATCACAGAATTATAAGAAATGTTTTCTGAATTACGTAGATAACTACCCTGGAAGTACAACATGTTATGTAATTGTAAATTCAGAAAAACGGGACAGAACATTTTTAGGTAATTGTCTCGTTAATTGAGAAAAACAGCAGAAGATTTTAAAACTCTCTTAAAAATGAAAAGAACTACTTGTGGACTCAGAAACACAGCAAATTATCTTTTCTTATTTTATTTCCTTTCAGGACAATGCAATGCCCCTGGAATAGGAGAACAAATCTTCCCGCAGATAAATTCATACATTCAGCATTTATGTGAAGTTACCATATTTGTTTGGGCTATGCCCTTTAGAGAAGAAGTTAGCTTGAAAATGATATATGCTTTAGAAAAAAAAGTTCTGAACCCTTTATAAAGAAATATGTGTTACTCTATATGTTAAGAATCTGCATGTTCAAGTATGAAGAAGCTGCACATCTTAATATTTTGGCAAATTGCGTCCTCGAAACTGAAACATGAATTCACAAACCGAGTGGCAGGCTTAACATAAACCGGGGAACAAATCTGTATAGCCCTACTTCTGTAAAATTAAATGAAAATGAAAGTAGTTTGCTTCTAATATGTAGATATATATTACCAAACATCATCGCTTAGTGTCGCTATCGAGCCCCAGTGGCCTAATGGATAAGGCACTGGCCTCCTAAGCCAGGGATTGTGGGTTCGAGTCCCATCTGGGGTGGTCGCTTTTTGTCAAATTAGACGCAGAGTTACGATGCAATAAATAAAAACGCTCAGTTAACTAACACACTTGTTTACATATTAACTATGATGAGTCCCTCTCATATTCCCGTTTCAGCTGTTTTTGTTTGCTTTAATTCTTTATTTCTTTTTTACACACTGTTGAGAGAGATGTGATATCACTTCTGAGGAGCTCTCCACTTTTACTTCGAGAGAATTACCAAACCATGCATTTACAGTATGTTTGCATTGATAGTGAAGCCTTTGTCAATATTTAAACTTTACATAAACTTTGTTTAAAAACATCTCAGTTCTGGACAAAATTTTCTTGATAAATTCATTGTAATAAGTATGACACTGATTTTCACTCACTACAACATTACGTCCTTATTCCTAGCTTGTCAGCACAGATGGACCCACTCTTATCTACTACAGAACTACAGAAGCTGATTTCACAGCTGAATTGACGCCTACAAACGTATTACCTAGTGAGCAAATGTCACTGTTTATACTGCAGTGTCATCAAATTGAAGGTTCAGTGAATTACTCCTTAAACACAGGGGGCTTTAGGGACTGTTTCAGGGACTGTCTCAGGGACCATTCACGGCGTCTTGTTCCCGTATCCATCGGCTCTCAGCCAATCAGGAAACACTACGCTCTGTAACCACTCACATTTCCACCGAATCTCCCTGCAACACATGACCTCTTATTTCCTCTTCGCCCAAACCAGACCTGGCGGAGTTGTGTCTCTTTTTCTTTAGTGTCTTTTGTCTCTTGTACTGCAACAACACAGCCATGGCTTTACTCAAGAAGATTTGCCTGTTTGTTTTATCCATTGTGGTTATAAACTCCGTCTCCGCTGACAGTAAGTAGGTCGACCTCATGTGTTGTCGTGTTGTTGTGAAACTTGAGGATCTAATAGGTTTACTTGTGTGCATGTGTGGTTTTGTAACTGTGATTTGTGCCCATAATCACCTGTCAGCTGCAGCGTGTTAAACCATGCACGATCTCTCGAACCGAGATTAACATGTTAACACCTTATATATCTATGAGCAGTGTTTCATATAGCAGCACCCACCTGAGGTGTGCAGGGGTGTAAGTGGGTCTCTATTTAAGGAAACAAGTATGTGGAATCCAAACCTTATAATAATAGTGGTCTGCAGTCCAATTTGTGTCAGTTCAAGTGTGCTCCATGTAGAAAAAGCATGAAAATCACCCAAATCTCCACGCACAATAGAGCTCATGCCACTGCAGTGTTTCAGCTTTAACATTCACTTTCATCTATACAATATTCATAGTTAAACCCTGTTAACTTTGGTGAACCAAAAACAATACTGTTGTTGTTCAGCCGGTTTGTTGACATCTACCCCCTTGCACCAGTTTTAGGCATCAAAATTTGCAGTTTAAAGATAGTCAATAAAGTCGCTGGTGGTTTCCTGCACACTAGAGAATTTGGAGTCAATGCCCGAAGTTTATTCAATCAATATTTCCTCAGAGATGACGAAAGCCACTGTGTACTGGGACCCTGAGCAGAAGACCATCATCCTGAAGGAGGGGGTGGTGGAGACAGAAGGAGACGCATACGGGTATCTGAATGACACCTTTTCCAGGACGGGCTGGAGTGTCCTAGAGGTCCATGCTGGGTATGGACAGACGCCTGAAACTGATGAGCTGACTTTTTTCCTGGCCGGTTACCTCGAAGGTTTCCTCACTGCTCAGTAAGTGGTGTGAATGTGCGAGCTCAATACGTACATAGTTCCCTTATCATTTCCACTTAAACCTTTTGCTGAGGCATTCAATAATAAACACTACTCAGATTTAACCTTTGACAAGCTCTGAAACAACTTATAAATGATTGAAGGCATCCACGAGTGTCTCTCATGACACAGCAAGAAAACTGCAAACTCATCAAATCAAAACACTACAGGTGACCGAACACTGTCTGCATATTCTCAGTTTTTAACTTTTTATGATTTCTGTTTCTTGTGCAGGCAGATGATGGACCACTACACCAACATGTACCCTCAGGTGATCAAAGACCCAAAGCTTCTGGGCCCCATTCAGACTTTCATAGAGTGAGTCTGCTCTCTTTTCCTAAGAAAAACCATTAAAGCGTAGCTGCAAAACTAACATGACACATCACCGTCATCATCTTTCATATCCTCTTTATGGGGTTTTAAGTTAAGCTCACTCCTTCCCCAATTTTTACCTGACATTTCGGCTTTCACTGCAATAACTTGTAATTATTTGAAGGGTTTTCCCCAGGAGAATGATATTTATTTTCATATATGATTCATCTGTTTGAGCCAGTTCCTCAAAATACATATGTTAAACAAAATGCAAAAACTGTACTCACTGTCAACGTTTTGACAGTGAGTACAGTTTTTAGCTTTTTTTGTTACAACAGGATTGAAGAGTATATGGTCCTCTTGTTATTGTAGGCAGCAGGACGCCTGGACTAGAGAGCAGGTTAAACTGAACAAAGCCTCTGATCCTCTGTGGAAACACGCTGGCTTCATCGTAGCACAGATGGACGGGCTGCAAGCAGGAGCAGCAGACTGGGCCAAGGAACAAGGGAAAAAGGTACAAAGACCACACCCCAGGCAGGAGCGGGAGGTGGATTACACAACATAACCCAAATGAAAATTGGCTTCTTGCCTTGGCCTTGCCCTGTTTTTCATCTTTTCAAGCGTCTCTCGTAAGTCTAAGAGAGGAGAGGGAGGTAAAGCATACTGCCTTACCCAACCGGGGTGAGCTCTAGCCTGGATCTGCATTCCCTTTCCTCTTTTCTGCATCTCTCTACAGGCTCTTATCTCTGTTTTTCCTCTCTTCTACCATGAATGTGGGAAGGCAGGAGGAAGCAAAACATACAATCCTAAGCACGATATACCTATACTTTCAATCTATGCTATAGCATTTGCCATAATGGGATATTACAGACTGCTGCGGGGTGCGCAGCTCAAGGAAAAACATTTATGATCATTACTTTATCATTTCTTTGAAGTAATAATCACCATATTAATTATTTTGCACTGCAGACGCGGTACTTCTTCTGCCTTAGCGTCTCAGTCTGATTGCATTCCCATGAAGAAATGACCCTAAATTAATTTTACGCCGGAATATCCCTTTAATTTGAGAAGCTCTGTCCTGTATCTATGCAGGAGCTTATATTTGCAGCCTGACATGCACCTTCTCAAAAGTGACACTCAGTTTTTCCTTTGCATTTACTGCAGCATGATTAACTGCTGCTCAACATTTATCAGCTACAACTCCAAAATCATATCCCCAGATTTAGCCCCTATGACTTTTTGTGCACAAATAAACAGAGAATATAGCATGACTGGGAACTGGCAATATGACTAGCATAACAAATTGCATCGCCAACCAGTGTAAGGGCAAAGTACTGCAGAGCAATGAGGGCACAAGGGAGCACAAGTATATAGTGCTCAGAATTACATAGGTTATTATGGCATGGATAGAGGGTGGAATCAGCATAGATGTATAAACCACACAAAGAATGCAACAGTACAACTTTCAACAAGAACAGAAATGAGGAAAATAAACACAGAAGTACCATTAAGGTCTTGTAAGAAATGAGGAACTGCAAACAGAACTTGTAATCACACATCATGTTTTTATGATGTGTAATCCGACATGAAAGATTTCAACATGTAAAAGTTTATTTTTATCAGATATGTTTCCGTCAAGTGCTAAAACTATTGCTAAATCTGAAGAATTTAAGAGTAGAAACAGGTCAAATTTACCCTGAGCACCAGTTTGAGGATAACAGGAGATATTTATTGACACGGGTTGAAACTAAGTGAGGCTCATTAGTTGTTTTGATTATATTCTGGACTCACAGGTGTCTCAGTGTTAAAGAAGTACTACTCTTCTTTTTCATTTTCTAACTCACAGCTGTTTATCTGCTGTCTTTCCCACAGCCTCTGTCCCTGTTTGCCGTCCAGTTCCTGAACGCAGTTGGAGATCTGCTTGATCTGATCCCAGCCCTGGTCCCTGATTCTAACCCTCCGCTTAGAGACTTCAAACTCCCGGGGATGGGACACTGCTCTGCACTCATCAAGGTCAGAGGTCAAAAAACTATCCAGACGGCTTCTCACAAACTCAACACACAGAACCCCAAAAATCTATTCACTGAAATCTTTTGAATCGGCGTCTCTACATTCATGCCAGCAAGTCATTTCTAGAGTTTCAGTTAACGAGGTAGTTCTACTGATTTGATGATCTACGGTGACCAACAAGGGCAGACAGCCCACCATGAACCGAATCTCCCTATTTCATTTCAGTAAAACACAAAAGTTGATATTAAGCCTGAACAACACAAGTTACAAAATTACAATGCAAATGAAAGAAATGCAAATGAAGGCAGAGCATCAATCATGACTACATGACCAAGCCCACGCATAAACAGTTTCAGCTTGTGTTTAAAATAATTCAGGCAGGATCCAGTCTGAGCTTTACAGGTAAGGTATGCCTTTAGATGTTTGTACATTTTTAATGCATGTCAATAACAGGACTCGGGTCACCTTTCAGTTCCAGTTACATGCTCCATGTGTTACAGAGTAGAACCAAAAGATCACTAAGACACTAGGTGCCTAATTTTGTAGGCAAGTAAGATGAAAATGAAGTCACCCTTCATTCAAGCAACCCTGAAAGTAAAGATGTGAAAAAGCCTCTTCATCCTTTTTGTAGCACACCTACTGGGAAAACACATCCTCTATGAGGCAGTTATTGTGGTGATGAAGTTAAGTGGTTCCGTTTACATTCACACTCCTCAAGTGATTCCACCTCCTCCTACTCTAATGTGTGTATGCTTTGTTGTTTTTTTATGAAGTTGCATGCATCAAGTTGCACAAGGAAAGTAAGAAAAGGGGAATAACACTCTAATTTAACTCCATCATTTAGTAATATGTTGTTACTGCAGCCTCTACTGTTCAGCGGGTGCCTCCCCCTGTTCAGGGTCAAATTCCATATCAAATGTATTGTGTTCTGATACGGGTTGTTTTGGAGCACTCGCCATGTTTGGTTTGGTGTTTTTCCGCCTCTGCATCTTCCACCATCTGCACCAGTCTGCACATTCATCCTGCGACAACATTCAGGCAGCTAGCTAGTGCAGCACCTTATTATTGCAGCATCTCCACCTACTCAGATCACAGCAGAGACAATATGGTTAGAAACTGAGAGGCTGCAGGTCCTCCACAATGGCTGAATTTGTGATGATTCTTGCAACTGTATTCTACATCTTGCATTAAAAAGACGAGGATATGTTGTCAACAATAAAAAAATACCTTTATACTGGATCTGTAAACTTAAAGCTACTGCTATAGCTAGCTGAATACACTTGCATCTTCAGCAGGTAAATAGACTAAAATTGGTGATGCCTCTTTATGAGCTACAAAGGCAACCCACTGAGCAATAGACGGCTATAAGATGTCTTTTTTTTTTTTTTTTTTTTTTTTACCTAATTTCAACCGTCTAGATTCTGTATATTTTTAGACCCAATTTAGACATTGCACTTTTACCCATTATTTGATAACTATTTATTTCAAAAGCAACTATGAGTTGCATAACTGATCTCAAAGTACTTAACCAAAATAATTATGATTGCCATTGAGCAATATAGAGTTAGACCTCTGTTAGCCAGCTAGTTTAAACTTGGTTTAATTTTAGACCTCTAAAAAACTTTCATTTTTGGACCCGTGGTAGCCTGATTTTAGACCAGTTGTCTAGGTTACATTTAGACATCCATTAGGCCTCCTTTAGACCAAAAAATGCTCAGTGGGAAATGAGACAATCAGTGTCGGGGCTGATTTATAACACCTGAAACCACTGCTGACGAGTAGGTGTGAGGCAAAATGAGTTAGAGCCCACCTGTTGCTCTGCACGTATTCAAAGTGAGAGATTCGTTTGACTGTTTATAAAAATGAGGATGAGTTTTTTTTTTCCAGAAAACATTTCTCACAAATGTGCTGGGAAAAAATCAGTCAAGTTATTAGATGTACTGTTTCAACTTCACATATGCAAAAATAAATATAAACCAAAAGTTCCTGACAGGGTCTTTAAATTTTCTCTCTCTCAGTTGCTGCCTGGTTATGAGAACCTCCTGTTCGCCCACTCCAGCTGGTACACCTACGCTGCCACTCTGCGGATCTACAAACACTGGGATTTCCGTATCACTGACCCAAACGCGGCCACAGGAAAGCTGTCCTTCAGCAGCTACCCTGGTATGTAAGCTCAGGAATTCACCCTAACAAGATAACAAGGCCTGCTGTGTCCTTAACACCTTAACTGTGGCCCATGGGGGAAGATTGCCTTGTCTCAGCTGATCTGTCTTATTAGGTTTTCTGGTTTCTCTGGATGACTTCTACCTCTTGGGCAGTGGTCTGATGATGACCCAGACCACCAACAATATCTTCAACACCTCCCTATATGACGTAATCACAACTAAAAGCCTGTTTGCCTGGCAGAGGGTTCGACTGGCTCACAGTTTGGCACATGATGGGGAGGAGTGGGCCAAAACGTTCGCCATGTACAACTCTGGTGAGGGATAAGAAGTTTGTTTAACTTCACACACAGTTACAGATTATGTTCTAAGACAAACTGAAAAGTGGGCTCCTTATCAATTTATTTTCATGTTTTTTTTCAAATGATTGTCAAAGTGTCAGATGTTTTAATGTTGTGGATTTGAAGTCATAATAAAGATGTGAACAGAAACTCACCCCTTTTCGTCATATCTTGTAGGAACCTACAATAACCAATACATGGTGTTGGACAGGAGTAAAGTGAAGCTGGGTCACAGTGTTGCTGATGGAGCTCTGACTGTGGTGGAGCAGATTCCCGGGCTGGTGGAGTACTCAGACCAGACACAGGCTCTACGCAGAGGTAGAGACACAATATTTAGATGTTTCTCTTAATCTTACATACTTACAGAGTAACAGAAATACAGAAACAAAGGTAATAGAGGGACTTGGGGACTGAATTTGGGAGTAGGCTTGGTCCCAGCCCGTGCAGCAGGCAGATGAGAGTCAGTAAAAAGTGCTTTAAAGGTTACAGTGCACACCCAATCCCTTAAAACTTTCTGTCATGGGATTTCTTTTCTCTTGCCCAAATCTCAAATGTTTGTCGCTTTGGATAAAAGCGTCTGCTAAATGACATTGTAAATGAAAGAAAGAGGTTGTATCTTTGATTGTGTTCAGTCTCTCTGGAAATTAAATCATTTTTTTGGTCAGATAATAAAACTAAATCCCAGCCCTCCAATTATTAACTGCTGGTAGAGAGAAATTTTTTAATTTTACTGGTGCAGACATTGCACTGCTGACGAGCAATTCATGGGAGTATTACAGAGCGACGCAGAAACTCTAACATGGAAGCATGTGGTGCACACTGTTCAGGTTCACCAGAAGTTAGAGCCATACTTTACTGAACAAATAGGCACAAATATGCACTGGAGACACAAGCCAAACTCCATTCAATCTGAACAGTCCCTTTCTACTTCTGAGACAGTTTTAGTCATTTTAGCTCTTTGTGAACAGTTCCCACTCTTAGGCATTGGGTGCTAAGGATGACCATGTTGACAGTGACAATGATGATGATATTGAGGTTTCACAAAGATGTTAAATACTTTTTTGCTGATTCTATAGTGATAATGATATTAATTAAAAAAACAACTTTTATCCACCTTGTGCACTGCCTTTAGCACTGCGTATCTGCACCTGTGTCAGATTGGATTTGAGGCAGTTTGTGGCATTTGCTGATGTTGTTCTCATCTGTCTGGATCTTTGCTTGTGCTGTGCTCACTTTCAAGCATCTGCTAAATGGAACTGTAACATCTTGGCCTCTGTGTGCTAGTATACAGATGACATAAAAACTAAGAAAACTGGACTTGACTTGACTTGAAACTTGAATTATCAGCAATCTCTGGAGGGAGTTCACTCCATCAGTTTGATTTTTTTTAAATACATTTTAACCGTCTGATTGTGTAATGCAACCTGTGATAATTAAAAACAAAACTATCTTGTAGCTGCAGCCAAGACACACCTGTTTGTTCTGTTGTTGCGTGGTTATATAAAGATCTTGTTTTTCTCCAAAAGCCCAGAGAGACAATCTTGAGTAATATGACCCTTCTTTGAGTGACTGTGCTGTGACTTATTTTAATTCAGGTCTACTCATGCTGTGGTTTTGATTTTAGAGCAAATGTATCACCTGTTCTTCACCCTAGCCCTGTTTGAAGTGTGAAAACAGAGAGGAATGTTGTATGTAAGGAGCAGTTGTAATGGTTTAGGCCTCTAACACGGTTTCATTTACAAGATTAATCTTCACTCCCTGTGTTCACATCAGGTTACTGGCCATCCTACAATGTTCCCTTTCATGAGAAGATCTACACTATGAGTGGTTACGTGCAGATGTGGGAGCGGTACGGAGAGGACTTCTCCTACGACCTCTGTCCCAGAGCTAAGATCTTCCGCCGCGACCAGGGCAACGTCAATGACCTGGACTCACTCAAGTACATCATGAGGTTTAATGGTGCGTTTCTTTACATTTCTATGACTCACACTTAGCTAGTTATTTATACATACTGCAACCAGCATTTCATAATTTGATTTTAGCCTTTGCTTCTGAAAGCGGAGTGGTTGTCATTTATCTCATATTTTTAATCTGTTAATCTCGAATAAAAGTCAAATTTTGATACTCATATTTTTATAATTCCGTGAAGTGAAAGGAAAATTTGCCACTGGCCACATGCTTATGTAGCTGTTTGCTTGTTTGTGTGTTGTCAGACTATAAGAAGGACCCATACTCCAAGGGTAATCCCTGCAGTACCGTCTGCTGTCGTGGAGACCTGAGGGCAGAGAAAGCTTCACCATCAGGCTGCTATGACACCAAGGTAATGCCTCATCACCAAAACCAGCCTAAAGGGGAGGCAACAAGGTCAGTTGTAATGGTCAGTTGATCAGGATGACAAAATTAGGCTCCTTGTTCATTGAAGTATCGTATCGTATCATATGGCATCGTATTGTTTTGTATCGCATTGCATCGTATTGTATCGCATCGTATCCTATTGTATCATATCGCATCGTATCATATCATATCGCATTGTATCGTATTGTCTCATATCGCATTGTATTGTATTGTATCATATCATATCATATCGCATTGTATCGTATCGTATCGCATCATATCATATTGTATTGTATCATATTGCATCGTATCATATTGTATCGCATTGCATCATATCGTATCGGATTGTATCATATCGCATCGTATTATATCATATTGTATCACATCGCATTGTATTGTTTCGTATTGTATCAAAGTGTCATCAATGTGATGCACTGTGGGATTTATAATTTGGCAAATACCACTCATCATAGGGCTGGCACACTTGTACACCATCACTAAGCACATGAACTTGCATGCCAAGTGCCCCAGTGTGTAAGTGTGATCAAGTGTGCATAATGGGACTGCCCACACTTAGTCCCAATTTAGAGTCAGAGCAGCAGGGATTGGTGAAACCAGCATGAGTGATCCTGGATAGTTACGGCACATGTAGCACAACCAGTTTCTGTTTCGCATATGTACATCTGAAAGACTGACTGAAAAACAAAAGTGGCTTGAGGTATGTGTTTGTGTGTGTGTGTGTGAGTGAGTCGGGAGGAGGAAGGGGGGGTCTCTGGGGTAGCCCAAATCCATCAGCTGGTCACCCACAGAGATTCCATAATAGACTATGTTAGTTTTTTTTTTTTTTTTTTTTGATTAAATGCACATCTTCCCAGACTCCTGTGTTTTCTTTTACTTCAGGTGACAGATTTCCACCTGTCTGAGAAGTTCATAGCAGAGGCATTAAACGGGCCGACCACACAGGGTGGACTCCCACCGTTCTCCTGGGGTAATTTCAGCAGCATCAGCCACCAGGGTCTGCCACAGACCTACAACTTCACCTTCGTCAAGATGTATCCTCTTCTCTTCCAGCCATGAGGTGTGAGTGTGTGTGTGTGAGAGAGAGAGAGAGAAAAAAAGGTGTTTTAAGAGATGTAAATGATGAGGATTCAAAGGCACTATCTTCGTGTGATGGTTTTTTACTATGACTACGCTCTAAAGGTTCAGGATTACAGATACTTTCGCTTGAAGTACCTCCTTCTTCTCTATGTCAAACTGCCAATCAGATTTTTGATCAGTATTTTAAAGCCTGTATGTCTGTGTGGGTTCGTTAGACGATTAACTTCAGAATTGAAAAAGAGTCAGCTGTGATTTATTTTTTTACCTTCAGCCAAATGTGCCTTAAACAAGTGATTTTATTGTAATATGCAGAATTAATGCACAAAATCAGTTGCTGTCTTTAACCTTTTTTTAAATACTGAATGCCTTCAAACATGTAAACACTATTTTAATAGTGAAAGATAAAGTGAGTGCAATTCCATACTCAGGGCAGTGGACTTTTTCAGGGCTGTGATTTACGTGTGTTTGGCTCTTACAGTGTGCAAAATCAGAATGTCACAGGTTTTTATAAGCATTTGTTTTTCTGTGTTTAATGCACATCTGTATCGTGTTGTCATTTCATGTTTTTATTAAAGTTTTATCAGGACAGTCCTGGCTGTTTTCTTCTCATGTAAAAGTCTTTCAGTTTTGATGTTTTCACAGGTGCTAGCTCCTTTGAGTGTAGGGGGAAGGATTCAAGTCATTATGCATAACATCCAACCATACGTTAAAACGGACTAGTGTCCATGTCCCAGTGAACAAGCACCAGGCAAGGATCGAAATGTTGACAGAAGCATGTCCTCCTCCGCTACAGTAGCTGACGACATGCCCAATTTCAGCAGACTATCAGGTCATCTCTTAGTAGATCTAGTAAGTATATGATCAAAACTGGTCAGCAAGAGGCTAATGGGATGTATGTCGAGCAATGAGCCCTTTTTGTACGTCAGGAGATTGCAACCTTTTTTTAAGTCCTTTATTCATCTGTTGAGGTTTTGTTCACAAACGGGCTACCTGGCAATAGATTTACATAATTCAACATCCAACTCACAGCCCAGAGTGCCAACACTGGAGCGTGCAGAATTTACAACATCATTTAGCAAATTCTTTTATCCAAAGCAACATACATTTGAGAAAAAATGGGCACAGCCAGCAGGTCAAATTTCTTGCCCAAGGACACTTCAGCACATGGACAACTTTTGAAACTGAAACCCCAACCTTCCAATTGGGAGATGACTGACTCCACCAATTGAGCCATGGCTGCCCCAGAACATTAAGGCAAGTTTCAGTTTGATTGAGCCTGATTCTACTGTTTTCAGTCAAATTTTCTAGTTCGTGCTCTCTAGGCTTGAATTTGAGTCATTTAAAACATATCTTATACTAACACACCAGTGACGGCAGTATGGTTGTGTAATTTTCTTAAGATTGTCCTTAAAATTCTGGGTGAGTGCATCACTATGCATTCATTTGTGACTTAGTCATTGATCTTCAACTGTAAAGACTGAGATTACTGATATTTCTCACTTTCTCTTAATCACCCCCTCACACCCATACACCCACAAAAGGCCTTCGTCTTTTTATCTTTGTGTAAATGAAGGGAACTATAGCACAGCCACTTATCGATTTCTTCAGAGCAGTAATTGAATGAGGCTGTCCCCTGTTGTCACAGCAATAAAGAAACTTATTATTATGTTTATAATAACTTGTGCCAGTGGAACTGTGTAAATTTAAATCAGAAGAGGCCCCAAGAAAGAGCCCTGAGGCACTCCCCCTGCAATATATGTGTTTAAACATAAAATAGTTGTGAACAGAAAGACAGTAATACAGCATTAGAACCAAACCAAGGTGATTAAAGGACAGGTCTTTTTTTTTCTTTTCACAGCTCTCTCTCTGTTTCTCCCTCTGCCCCCGGGGACACATGTAGTGATTCACCCTTTCCTCTGAAATGAAGGAACTGAAACGTCTGTTAGGCAGTCTGTATTAATTTCAGAAATCCTCCCTTTGCATCCCTCCTCTCTGTCTCACAGTTCTCTGCCCTCAGCTACTTTATTCTGGGGGGTTTGTGTCATTAACATAAGCAAAGAGAAGTTTAGCTCTGCAGCAGGTTTCCAGTGCTGGTGCAGCCATGGACAAGAAGCAATGTCAAGAGGCTGGGGGAAAGTGGGACAGCCTTGTAAAAAAATGCATGCTCAGCAGGACAAATGGCCGACCTGCTGGACCGCCAACAAGTGAGTTTCACTGTCAGTTTATTTCATCCAGGCAAAGATTTTTCTTTGTTGTTTGAGCTAAGTCGTATGTAGTCTGATTTTAGTCTAAAGCTTTTTTGGACAACCTTCACTTATACACTTATCACTTATTTTTGGTATTGACTCAAATTGCTCCTGGCTAAATAAACCCACAGATTCTTTTTTACCTGACTGGCCTTCATGCAGTATGGACCTAAATACCTGTACAATAAGTGCTAAGCTTAAAGCAAGGGGCCCCCACTGTAAGACAGACACCACTGTTGGATCAAAATCTTGACTTTAATGCCGATTTTGACTGAATATTAAATTCACAAAGGTGTTGAGCATATTAAATATTTTTTCTATAACTTGACTATTATTTCTCCCCACCTCTGTTTCCTGTGGTCCAAGTTGGAGCCACGTCCCCTACCCCTGTGGTCTCTTCAATGATGGTCTTAAGTCCGGCTGTGTGGTTTGTGGTGGTGCTGGTCATACTGGCCTCCATCTTGGCTGTGGCTCTCTGGTTCATCATTTACAAGCAACACATTAGGATCAGCAGAACTCCAGGTAAGAATACCACACACTCTGAACCTCAGCAGTAGGAAACATTTCGTTTCTGCTCAATAATGTTATAATAAAGTATCTTTAAAACTAAAGTTTAAAAAGAAGAACAAAAGAACCAAAACTTCCAAGTACTTCACAGCAAAAGAACCAAAGTACCACAAGAACCCATCAACAGACAGAATTTTCCATAAAAGCAATTTCAAAACACAAGAATAGTCATTTAAAAGATGACAACCAAAATGGAAAGAAGGGTGGTCAGAATATGATTTTCAACATCACAATTAATCACTGGATTTCAACGTGAAGTCCCATTTTAATGTGTTGGAAAATCTAGCATTTTAGTACAGTTTTAAGTCAATTTCATCGTTGTAACGCACCATTTATCAGGATCTTGATTTGGTTGCAATGAAATGTACTTTATGATCTTGACTCTTACATTTGTTATTTAAATGAAGGCTGCACTGCCTCACCAGTGTGGCCTGAAACCTCGACCTAGAGATGGAGGATAGCTTCAAAGAAGTAACTCTGTCAAATACATCTTTTCAAAAAAATATAAAGCAAAAAATACAAAGTAGAATCAGTGTCAGCTGTCATTTTGCTATCCAAAGCAAATTTTGATACTCTAGAATTACATCCAGTGATTCCTCATTAATACAGTGGCATTTGCGCTTCAAGGAGTTCCAGTTTGGTTGCTTTTTCCGTTTCGTAAAGTTCCTGTGAAACCTTTGTAAGTGGTAAGGTCAAACATGCCAACCTTAGGAGTGTCTTCTTCATTGTTAAATGGCCTGTAGTCAGTTGCCACCCATTTAGCAAGTGCTGTAGTTAATATCTATGATTCAGTTTCCCACAGGTATGTGGGGATTTACACACTCTAAAATAGTGCCCAATCGGCTCTCGTGACGCAGTTACCCTCTGACATCAGTCTACATCGCTGCACCTGTAAGCTGGTGGGTGGTAGCTCACACTCAGAATTTTGTGCTATTTTAATTCTATCTGACCCAAAGTTGACTTGTCAACTCAGCCATCTGTTGTTGTTGTCGTTTTTTTCAAATGTCAAATGTGTCATTCGATGTGATGTTATTTCCTATCAGCAGGAAGCAGGAAAACACCGCTGTGTCCACTACAAATACACAACAACAAAACATGGATTATGTTTCCTAATTGCATCTCAGTTAACACATTGATGCTAAAAGTCTTGGATAATAGCAATGAAATAAAGTTAATAAAAATACTGATTACAGCCACAAAAACAAAACGAAAAATTAAGAATATTTGGGAAATATGAAACAACTAGGACTCTTATAGATAGTTTTAATGGTGTCATGAGGGTGAAGTGATGTTAAATCTTGTGGTGTCAATCACCTTGTGTTTACTTTAGAAGTAAAGGCTGCAAGTTAGAGCTCACTAACAATGTATTATCAGATGTCAAATACAGTAATGGACCAGGTGAGCTTGTATTTATATTTACTCCCAGAGATAATTAACAACCCCAAAAATCTTCCCCTGCAGTAAAAACGTGTAGATTCTTATTTTCATGCACAGTTAGCGAGGATCTAACATCTGATACAAGTAAAGGGGCCATCTGAGAGGAGTGCAGAGGAAGCATGGTTGCAGGCGGGCAGGTGATGAAGTGTGACAGTGATGAACATGACTGTAGAAACTACACAGTTTCTGTTCTCTTCTTCGCCAGCGTTCCCAAGGGTCAGCAGAGCTCTCTTACCAGCTATTCTGGTTCAAACACACATCCGTTAGCAAGGAAGAACCGAATCGTATTGACACAACTTTAAAAACATGTAAACTGTCAAAAAGAGGCACACAGAGGCAGTAACAGCAACATATTATGAAGCCTGTCTTATTCCAGCTTTGTGCAGGAGTGTAGTCTTTTGGAGAGAGCTTGCTGATTGAAACCTGTGATAGTAAAATGAGCGTAGTTTAAGTCTTGTGTAATGCAGCTCATGTGCTGTCTAAGCCTAGAAATAAAATCTCAGGAATGTATCAGCAGCAAGCTTTTGTGATGACTGAGTAAATTTTCATTGACTAGACTGTTATCCACGCGACACAAGTATGTAAAAAAACAGATTAGGTATCAGCTCTTTTCACTGAGCCCTGTGAAACACATCATTGTTTCTTAAATAATGTGGTGTGATACGATTAAAGCTTCTTTTTACATTTGTCTACAAAATGTGCGTTCAGTCTGGTATTGCCAGGAAATCCTGTCTCTTTGCTCAGTCTCATGTAACATTTTCTTACTTAGAGATAAGAAAAACGGTCATACTTGCATGCACATACTAGTAAATACGATAAAACCATGTGCACTTAACTCAACAGAGCTTCACGTGCACATATCAAATAAAGCGGGGTGATGATCAAATGCAATTGAGTCTATTTAAATTTGCTTTTTATTCCACATCTTAAATACAAAACACTGATTTTTAAAGATGAGAGCAGAATAGGTACAAGAAGAATAACTTCTGGTTCTTCACACATAGCTGTTGTTCTATCAGCTGGATATTCACAGGTAGGGGTGCACTAAAATTAGAAAGACCTAATAAGCAAGTTTTAAAAACGTAGTGAATAGTGAACAAAATTAAAAGTTAATTTATTTGAGGGTACAAAATAGCTGATGGTATATTACTTCTCCTGGTCTGGACTGCAAGTGAAAGCTGGTAATGAGGAATTGGCACGTTTACTTGATTAACTTAGAGTTTCTGATCTGTCCAAACATGTGCATTATGTATGTGCATTATTAATATCTAACGTATTAGATATATCATTCTGAGTTCTCTTCTCTCTCTACAAATCTTACAGTACCTCAAATCAAAATCTGTTGTAGGAGGTCCTGTAAATTAAGAAATTCATCCAGTTTCGGTTTAAGCCATCTTCGACTATAATGTTCAGTAACTCATGCTTCATTTGTGTCTCAACAGGCGCAGAGTCTCAACAGGACCCTCCTCAGAAAGCAGAACCACCTGTTGTCGTCGTTAACAACCATGCAGAAGTCAGGGTCCCCTCCGCTTGTTCCCATCTGTACTCGGAGGCCCAAATAGGCTCAGGATGGGAGGGGAATCCCACAGAGCAGTCTGGGACGGATGAGGGTCGGGGGCTGCCTTTATGCAGCACACCAAAGGAGCACAGGCTCCCACTTCCTGCCACAGAGCTGGGTGGCACTGTGCTTGTTACAACTAAAACTGTGTAGGGCTTTCTGAGTGTGTGTGCAAGATTAAGCATGTTCCTAACAACTTTTTTTCCACTGTATGCACTCTGCACATTGGGCTCGGTGTGTTTAGTTTTCCCAGTTCAATCCATATTTTGGATATCTGTATTTTCTACCATGTTTTTATGGTTTTTAGATGATATTTCAATTTTACTGTAGCTGGTTTTATATTTCTCTTCACTGCCTCATAATGCAAGAGTTATTGTGTTGATTGGTGTCCAATAATGTCATGTAAGAGTGTGTCAAGTTTTGCATAATTTACTGCAAAGTGTTAAAGAAGGATAACAGAAAAACTGCTCTGAATCTTGACCTATATTTCAAACATCCTTTATTACAACATAAAATTATTGCAAAAAATGTACGTATGGTCTTGAAAGATAGCAGAGTGAAGTCAACATTCCTTCAGTCTGTGTAAGGTATCACTGTCTTTGCAGCAGGAAAAAAAAGCTATTTACATGGTAAACAATGTTATCAAACTTTCTCAATTGACAAGCTTCCTGCAGGTTACGTCTGAAAATTATCACAGACCTTTCAAAACTTGATCAAAATGAGCACATTCAGCGTAATACCTCAGTATCTCAGTTTAGTTGAGGAAAGTGACCGTGCAGTTCCGTGATATATGTCAGAAAGGACTCTTGTGCAAGTTTCCAAGGGGTTGTGACGATAGGAGACTTATCAATGTCCAAAGGGCAACAGAAGGCAAGGCACAAGAGGAAAACCTACCTGACCCGTTCATTTCCATGTGAGACATCTGTGTGCAATTCAAAATCTTAACTTTAGTGCCCTCAAGTGGTAGCAAGAAAACACTGTGTCAGCTGGTGAATACCCTCAAAAGAAGACAATTCAAAGAAACGCACTGTCTGGTTGTTTTCTTGTCTTTCTTGTTACATAAAAGGAAAGTTTCACCAAATAGAGAAAATCTAACCGTAATGAAACGACTTGGGCAGCAACATAAAAAACATAACCCCAGTTCAAAAGAGTTAGGATGCTGTGTAAACTATTGATGAAAACAGAGTTTGATGGTTTGCAAATCATTTACAGCCTATATTCATATGAAAATAGTAAAAAGCTCACAAATCAAACTTCTAACTTAAATATGTTACGTTTCATAAAAAATATATGTGCTCATTTTGATGATGCCAGCAGCATGTCTCCAAACAAGACAGGGATTCAAAAACACTGAAAAAACTGAGGAGGAACATCTCCTAACTAAAGGGGCTAATTTACAACAGGTGAAGAATAAGACAGTCCTGAGAGAGAGAGGCTGAGTCCTGCAGAAGTAACTATGGTTAGATGTTTATCACTCTGTGAGAGACAGTGTGAGAAAATAGTTCAGTGACAGGTCTAGGCAGAAAATTGCAAATTCAGAATCTGGAGAAATCTCTGTACAAAGAGGACAAAGCCCAAAACCAACACTCAGTGGCTATGATCTCACACCTCTTCAGATATTTGGTGCAATAAAGGAGAACCTGGTATCAGATGAAAAATGATCATAAACTTTTTCATGAAACAAAAACATCTTCCAGGTTTAACAACATTACATTTGTAACGTTGTATTTTCAGTCAAACACAGGCTTTAAATTATTTACAAAACATGAAAATCTGTTTTTATCACCATTTTAGTCTCTCACCACGGCAAATACTCAGAATAATTTAGACTTAAGTTCATATAATGTTGCAGAGAAATGGGTTTTGAAGGAAAAGAGAGAGAAGTCACTAAAGAGGATCATGGGGCCAACTTTCTCCCTTCATGTTTGGCGCCCTCTGTGGCCAAAATAGAGACCACTCCTTTTTTTTTTTTTTTTTTGCAGTCCAGTACATGTGTTAGTTCTTCTTTCTTTTCAAAGTCATCTGTATCACCTTTGTAAATATCAGCCATGGGAAAAAGTACTGAATGTGTGACTACATCATGCTATAAATTTCCTTGTCTGATAATCACTCCTTGCTGCAGTTATAGGTGATAAAAACATCAAAATGAAACTGACAGAGTTTTTGCTTATGGTTCAGTTTGCATCCTTGTTGATTTCACTCAGTTTCATAACCATTTGAAAGTCCTCATTGAAGCTTTAACAGACACACTGCTTCTTCACCTTCCTGCTTGTTCCACACTTGTTCGACTGTCATAAATCCATCTGAATGAAGTGAGACATTTGCAGGGACTTGGCAGTTCTGATTCAGACAAGGACAGGCTATGACTCACGTCCACAAAGTCTAATCTTTGCAAAGCTCCTCTGTGTTCACAGGTAGGTGCTGGGGTTGTCCGTGACAGCCAGGTGGAAGTACTCCGGGGCGCCATTTTCCCCCGGAAGACTGCTGTTGGTCTCCCTACGATTGACTTTGGTGGACAGGGTCTTCTTGAAGCGTTCACTTCCATCTCCACGCTTCTCCGCACTGGAAATGATCATCTCTGCCAGATTCTGCTGCAGCTGCTGGAAGTTCTCCCTGAGAAAGTGACATTAGGATTATGTTAGATTAAAGACACAAACACAAGAGGAGGCCAAGAACTCTGCATGTTATACAAAAAAACAAAACCCTGTTGAACTACTCTCATTTTATTTTTTACCACAAAAACAACTCATACATTTGGAAGAGTGGCAAAAAGAATAAAAAGTAAAGTCTAGAATAGAAGTAACACCATAACTTCAATTCCACCAAAAATTGAGATGATGTGTAAAATGTTCACAAACTAATTTGCTTAAAGCTCCTTTGAATCCCAAACTCTCAAAAGTTCACAGAAAGAGGAAAAACTTGACAAAATGTGTGCTTTTATTGTGTTCACATAAGGAGTGTGCAGGAGCAGAGTAAGACTGTGATTTACTCACGCTGTTGGTGGGGTGGGTAGGTTGTATTTACCCCCAGTCACTCCTGTTAACCAGTATGTTAGCTCTTTCCCTTTTCCCTGTGGGTCAGATACACACAAACAGAGAAAATTTAGAGTAGTAACCACAATTTGTAGAGTTTACATTCAAACAAGCTGAGCACATATAAAACAAACCTTGAGGTATGTCTCCCCTCTTTTTTCATACTCAAAATTTCCATCCGTCCTCTGCAGGATGCCGATTGTGGACCCACTGACATGAATTCTCAGAGCTGAGGAGACAACAAGAGAATCAGTACAGGAATGTCATCGATGTTGTGATGGTTATAAGAGGTGTGCGTGAGTGTGTGTTGTCTCTTACGTAGGCCAGTGGACTCCATTCGTGACGCAGTGTTCACCGTGTCTCCAAAAAGACAGTAACGGGGCATCTTGTTGCCCACAACTCCTGCTGCACACGGCCCTGCAACGCATACACAAATATGCATTACAGCAGAAACTTTTATCCTATTCAATTAAAATATCTCTTGAGGACTTTTCTACTTTTCAATTTTTGATTTTGCGAAGTTGACACAAAATATGTATGATCATATAAGTTAAATGAGAAATGCGTGCCATGGTTTATGTTTGGTTCATCTACTATATTCTTCTGCATCTGGACATGAGTAAAGTTAATGACAGGTAACGGTTGGATTCAGAGGTAAGGACGATACAAAATAAAATCATAGCTTAAAACTTACATCAATAGAAATAAACTTTAAAAACTGTCTTAATCAAGGGGCGTTTGTCACTAATAAGCATTATATTTGTATGAAACATTATTTCTATTACCTGAATGCACACCAATACGGATCCACAGAGGGATGCCTGGCAAGTGCTGCAACTCAAAAGTTCCCACAAACGACAGGATGTCCAGAGCCATGTGGGCGATGTCCACTGCGTGCCTGTCTCCGTTACGTTTGGGCAAACCTGATGCAACCATGTAGGCATCACCTATCGTCTCAACCTGTGAGAAAGTAGGTACAAAATTTTAGTAGAAAAAAAACAGATGAAAACCATCTTATGACAGGAGTTATTAGAAAGGTATGGCTAGAGACGGAAAAGAATAAAATTACGTATTGATGCATGTGAGTGTTATTTTAAAATATAACCTTTTTAGCTTCTACATTATAACAAGTATGAACATTTTTTCAGACTAAAATGTCATGATTTCACCTGGTTTTCACCTTACCTTATAGACATCATGGTGGTCGAGGATGCTGTCAAAGTTCTTGTAGATGTCGTTGAGCATGTCCACCACCTGCATTGGTGTGCTGTAGTGACAGAGGGTAGTGAATCCCACAATGTCGCTGAAATAGATGGTCACCTCCTCGAAAAGCTCTGGTTTCACTTTGCCTGTCTCCTTTAGTGAGCGCACCACAGGGCTGAGGAAACGTAGGGACAGTAGAAAATGTTAAAGGAGTGGTTTGGTTTTCATGCCACTCTAGCTTAGCTTTTTTTTCTGTAATTGATACTGTCTATTACACTGAGCTACAGAATTGTCCTACCCAGGGAGCAGCATAAAGTTGAGTCGATCAGCTCTGTCCCTCTCAGCTTTGTACAAAGAGGTCCTCTCCTCCACCAAACGCTCCAGAGTCCTCGAGTACATCTGCAAACGTCGGATCAGGTTGTCCATGTATGTCTCACTGGCTTGGTTGTGCAAATTACTGCATCAAAGAAAGACATGTTAGACTGAAATCACAACTTTTTTCATTTGCTTACCACTTGTGTAAACTTGGTGGGGCTGAATTAGAAGCCTGTGTGAACATTGAATGTTGGGGTACCTGAAAATCTTGCCCAGGGTTAACTCTATCTTCTTAAAGTCAGGCCTCCTTTCTGGGTCTTCGTCCCAGGAGTATTTTATTAGATTATACAGCTAGAAAGGCAAAGATAGCAAAAGGTGAAGGATAAGCTATTGTTTTTGACGTAGGGATATAAGGTAATGTTTTGTTGCTCTCTCACCTCGATCTCTTGCTCTGATGCTCCCTCAAAGTTGAGGTCTGGTCTGAAGACTCTCATGCCACTGGGATACTGCACCCTGTATATCTTTTCTGAGGGATTGGATGACATTAAGAAAAATTATCGAAGCAGGTCTTACAGCTGTGGATGATTTTAAAGCAATGGTGAGTTAAGTGATCCTGACCAACCTATAGGGTCAGAGCAGTACAGTGTGTAGAAAGCCGCCCGTCTCAGCATGATCTCATGAGCAATGATGGCATAACTGTAGACGTCGCCTTTTTGAGACACTCCGTCTTTACGGAGATGCTCAGGAGCTGTCCACACATCTGCAATAGGAGGAGGAGAGGGGAACATCAGTCATTAGTTATCTCTACGTCCAGAATAATAACAACCTGATCATGTCAGTGATGATGACAGAAACTGAGCTGCACCTCTGCCTGGCCTCAGGATGGTGTGACAACCGAAGTCTGTGATCTTGACCACCATGCGGTTATCAACCACACAGTTGGTGGATTTAAGGCGTCCATGCACATTTATGTTACTGGAGTGCAAATATGACATGCCCTGTTGAGGATAAGAAAGAAGTCAGCTGCATGCTTAGCCCCAAAAATCCACTATAATTTATCATTTAAGGCCTTAAAGTCATACTTGCAAGACCTTTGATTTGACTTGGATGCTAACACAGTTGAACCAAGGTCTTTTACTCTAATGGGATATTATCATAATGTAGAATTAAAGGCAAATTACATAAACTTGCATTTATTTTATCACTGTACAGTCACAAGTAAGGCCTATGTCACCTTCATCTTTAAAACAGCAGGACTTTGGCTTATAACTCTGTATTTATAAATGACAGGGATCTATAGGTCACTCAGCCATGTAGTCATAAGCTCATTGGTACCAACTAAAACAAAACAAACAAGCAATCCCTGTATGTGACTACATTAAAGAAGTAAATCCAGGTCAGTATCAGAAGCTACTCAATATCTGTGAACTGGATTGGGGTAGGGGGCAAAAAAGCTGACATCCCTATTGTCCTCTGAAGAAACAGAATAGTCAGAAAAGTCATAGATGTAGAAATGAGCGTTGAGACAAAATCAAATACCTTTGCTATGTCATACATGACTGATATCTTAAACTCCATGTCCATGAAAGTCTCGTCTGGGTAAGAAATCTTGTCATTCAGAATGTACTGGAAAAGAAAAAAAGACAGATTGAGGTGGTCATGTCACATCACATTTAGCCATCTACTGATAGAACTTTGTAACACTTCAACTCGAATCTGTGCGAGTGTGGGCGTGCGTGTTGTCACTTTTGCATACACACTATTGGTGCTCTTCAAACTGTGTCCTGTTTACTTATCAGATGAACAGTACGGACATGAAAGCGGTGGGTAATGGAGGTCACATAGCCCTACCATAAACAACACATTCGACTGTGCTGTAGTTTTGTAACATGAAGTAAACTGAGATAAGTATTCTAGTCGAAAGTCCAGTTTACTGGAATAAACAAGGAAGAATAAAAGGGTTTAGGGGTGAATGCAGTGCAGTACAGTTGACTGTGTAGTATGAAGGAACTTGCAATGCAATTTTATAGTAAGGATAAAACTAAAATGAAATCAAACAGAGAAGGAGTTAAGAGTAAAAATATCAGGAATATCAAGAAAACAGAACTTTTGTTTGTTAAAAAGGGTCCTGTCAGTGTTTTTAGTGTGGTACTGAATTAAGTAAGTTCACTACTGCACTTAGAAGAAACTAACTGAAGGCAAGTTAAAATGTCATTAGTCGTTCAAGTCATGCCTTACTGTTGTGGACTTGTTTGTAGCAGGTGCAAATTAGTCAAAATAACAACAGGCAAATGGGAATGAAAATGAGACAGGTCTGTAGCCTGTCGCTAAGAGCTACAGTGTGCCTATATCAGGCTCTGATTATGCAAGATTAATAACCTTAATATCTTTAAAACTATAAAGTCATTTAAAAACTGTAACCCTTGGTGGCCGACAAGGTGACAAATTGCAGTCGCAAATTTTCATGGGAGACATTAGGTTGCAAACTCAAAACAGATAAAATTCTAAAAACAAAGTTAGGATGTGAGCTGAGGGTGTAAAAAGTATCTTAAAAAGTGGCAACAGTGTCCCCTACAGGCCTGGATCTTCTATCGTGATGACTCAGTTTGCAAAGTTTTCTGCATTCTCTGTTTTTTGACTTCTCATTGTGCTGCTCTGGTGCTGCTTTTTACAGCATGTATCCATTTATTTGCATCTTATTTTTGTTGTTGTTTACTATTGCACACATTTTCAGATTTGCAATGCTCCTGAAGTTGCAGACTGTATGTACTAATATTGGTATGAATGATGGCATGCTCTTACCCTGAGTGAGCCCCTCTGACAAAGCTCGAACACCCCATACACGCCGTACTCAAACCTCACCGTACCGTAGAACTTAGTCAGGTTGTAATAATCCATGCGCAGCAGCTGAAAAACAAAACATGGAGGTGAGGCATTTGAAATCACAAATACATGCCCTCTGAAAGCAGAGAAAATAAGTTATTACCACTAAAAATGACATTATATCCAAACATCAGGTCTACAGAGACATTGGAAAATATTCTTCAGGATTTACATTACAAATGAGGTGAAAAGAGAAAAAGCCTGATTGTGTTTTTTCAGGGAATAAACACACAGGAAGAGGGCGAGACAGGATAACTTGTGAAAACAAGACTATCTCACAGTGTTCAATTCAATCCTCTGGCTCTCTGTGAAGTCTCCATCCGTGTGCTTCAGCTCTTTCAATATCACAGGCTGAAAAATACACAAACAAAGACAAAGAGATACATATGATGGTCCCATTCATCTTGATCATTTATTGTTGTATGAGTAGACGTTGATTTCAGATGTTGGAGTATTGGTACCTTTTTGTCGTAGCGTCCTCTGTGATTGAAGAATGTGCTATCCTTCCTCTTATCATCATCGATCTGTAACAATCAAACACAAACACTGTTATCTGATTCCCCCTCTTTATCTAATCAGAATGTGATCTCGTGAAATTTTAAAGGCACATTATGTAAAAACAGGCTTCTTCAGCCAAAGGTTAACTACAATCCTTCTCATTTTCGTAAACTGACAGTGTTTTCGATCTCATCTTATTTTAACTGATATTTCTCTTTAAACAACAGGGAAGTTTAAGCTCTTTCTGCATAACATTCAGTATCATGTGGCTTTGTTATAAACTTAATTTGTATAACATTTTACTGAGCTTATCTGATTATGCCTTGTCTTGTAAATCTGCTTATCTGTCAGCCATCAAACCTGTGGCACGTGTGACAACGTGAGGAAGTAAAACATTGTACTCTAATCCTGATTACGTCACTGTTGGATTCTGATTTAGATAAGTAAACACTTCTGTGAGGAGACTTTAAATGGATTTAGATCAATAAAGTGAAGTCTGTTTATGATCTGCAAAACTGAAGAGTCCAACAACATAAAGATTGATTATTTCATTATAGTTATTGTAAATGTGTGAAACAGGCTAACAGTAACAGCTCAGTTATCATGTGGTTACAGGTTTTCTTTGTTTTTGGTCATGGTTTGTGGTTTGGTTTCGGTAGCTTGTGTAATTTGAGTCTTTTCAGGTATTTTCTTACTTTTATATTGTGGATGAATTTTGCAGAAACAGAAAGAACTGAAGGAGAAAAAGGTTATCTTTTTAAATTCCAAAACTATTACTTAATTTTACTTTTGAGCCAAATTAATCATTCACTTTTCTACACATTCCTTGTGTGTCATATAAGATAAATAAATTAAGTAATGAGATGTTTTTTTTCTTTAGACATTTATGAAATAGACTAAAATATATATAATTGAATGAATTTTCTTGATATCTAAAATTCAGGATAATCCTGCCAGATAAAAAAGAAAGCCAGCATTGTGACATTGAGACCTGTTTAAAATCAACAGACCAGATTTTTCCTTCAAATCTAGCTGAAAATTAAGAATAAATAGAAAAGCAAAGAGGGCTTTCCTCCTTTAGTCCCTCATCTCAGGTTGTGTTGATCCAAACCTTTACTGTTTAGCAGCAGATCAAGGTATTTAGCATCTAGGCCCCACCGTCATCCATCCATTCATCATTTTGACCAAATATCCCATTTGTCATGATAGGGTGGCGAAAACTTATCTCAGCTGTTATTGAGCAAGGGGCAGGTTACACACTGGATAGGTTACCAGTCTACCACAGGCCCTCATATTGACAAGCATCTATTCACACAGCTGAATTAAACTTTTCACCTTCAGAGAGACCTCCTTTTCATCCAGCGGGACGATCAGATGTGAGCTGATGTGAGACCACTTCTTCTGGTTCAGACGCTCTTTTCTATTCTGCCTAATATTGTTAAAACAAAAGTAAACAGTGATGAGTAATGAGTGCTTAAAAACAATTACCACTGATATGTGTGGGATGTCCACTCTATTTACAGAGTAAATCCAATCATCTTTAGCTTCACAGTCATTACAAAACTGTAGATAAAGTATCTTAATTTCTGCCCTTTTAATTTCCTGTGGGTCAAATAAAAGCCCAATTTTGTCTCAGGATTATAAATCTTATCAGAACAGCTGTTTTGTGTCATGATAGACCAACTATTCCATCAGGTTGATTAATCAGGCAGGATAATAGAAATAAAGGCATTGGCCGATAACTGCACTAAGTAAATAAACTAATAATGTCTGCAGACACTACAGATGGCCTCATCAGTGTTGCTACCAATCAATTAATGGGACATCCAATTCAGTTTAAACAATTACAGGGCAGTTTTTCATCTAAAATGAATTATATTTGATAAAATAATGCAGTTTAATCTTCCTCCTAATATATATATATAAGCAGTAACCTAGAATATGTACATAACCAAATGAATTTTCTACTTCATTTAGATAAAAAAAAACATTAAAAATATTTTACTGGCCGAGATGAACACGTTAGATTTTAAGGTTGATGGAATTATGGAAAACTACATAACTTGTATTGTCATCATTAAGTTGTTGTATTTTAAAACAAACAACAATGTGGTATCAGAATTTTATTTGTCCATTGGTTCGCTGATGAAAAAACGATAGCAGCTGGCCCCAAGTTTTGGCCAAAAAGTAGCTTGACTGCTAATAAAAACATACATTTAATAAGTCTGAAGAGTGTGTCTGTTTTATACCTGTAGAAGATGAGGGCGATGACTGTCACCACGACAACACTGAGACTAAGGACGATCACAATTATATCCTGTGTATCTAAATCTAGAAGGACACAAACACATACATGTATTTATTAACGTGTTTACTGCGCTGGATTACCTGTAACAAAGATCATACTATCACCCTTAATTTCTAAAAGGACATTGAAAGTGTTCAGTGTGCTCTGTTTTTTAGATATTGTTCTCGAATAAAAAAGTATATGACACTAAAATTAGAGCAACAGAGTAGTAAAAATGTGTTTGTGCTACCATTGAGATCCTTTGGCACATCTTGAGGCAAGCGATGCCCCTCCCAGGGCAAGAAAGGGTTGTGGTCCACCATTATGGTTTCATTTCTTGATGAATCGAACACTAACAGGGTTTCATACTAAAGAAAAAAAAAGGGAAAGTGTTACAAAAAATGTCATCTTTGCGTGCTTAATTTTGATCGCACAGAAATCTCACCTGGCCCGTCGCAGTGGATGTGTAAATCAAAGAGAAGTTAACGTCTCTGTCTCCGTACTCATCCAGCACATAGTGTCCTCCCATACCTGCTCGAGTCAAACACACCAAAATGAAGAAAACTTTGATATCCTGGAAATGGCATCATGACTCTCTTTAACTTTAAATAGGATACTAAGGGTTTCAAGTGGGTCAAAGAAGCTAAACACAAAGTGAGGTTGAGAAATGAGTGAGTTGTTAATGGCTTTGGTAACAGGGTGATAAGAGAGATGGTGATGGTGATTCCTCTTTTCCCTGTAAGGAGCATAATTTGAATAACCACCTGTTCACTATACACTATCCTTTATTTGTAGGTCGTCCCACCTGTCCACAATCATTTCATACATACCCTCAAAGGAAATGTTCCCAAAAGGATTGTCGCTCAGAGGCACATTATTGGATCTCTCACTCGATTTGTTACTGAGCATCTGATCCCGGAGCACTTGGCCAAACAGCAGAGCGCCATCATGGTACCCAGCCACAAAGTCATTGATCTGCCCATTAGAAAGGAGGAAAAAGCAGATGAGCCACACTCATACAGGATACACATACTGTCCGAGTGCTGAAGTTCGAACTCACCGTGTCATTGTATGTTGAATTTGTTGAGTCATAGTTCCTCTGTGGCAGAGTGAACACAACCACATTCTTCATCTCCTCAATGGATGTTGTGTTGACGTAATAGTCAGGGCTGAAGGAGGATAAGAGTGTCAGCTTCACAGAGATTTTGCTTTTCATAAGAAAAATGATGATTTTGTGGACAGGCTTACCTGTAGATATCTAAAAGGATGAATATGATTTCCTCATCAATTGGGACATCTATTCTTTTTATTGAAATCACATCCTCAATGCCCCCGCAAAGGATGAAAACTGAGGAAACAAAGCAGCTTTACGTGAACTGTGAGTATTGGAGAAAGTACAACAAGCACAGTTAGCTTTTGAAACAACGTGAGTGTTTTCAAACAAATTCACCAGGAAAAGTAGTACATCGATAAACAGCTTGGAAAAAGAAGGTGAAGAGAGCCAAAAGTGGACAGTAGTCAGAATTGTACAATGTTTTTCCATTTCCTTTGTGGACCCTGAACTCAGTGAACTGATACTTTTTAAGCTAACATAGACCCTTGTAAAAACTGTTCAGTGCTTTTAATCAGAAAGAGAAAATACCCACTGTTGCTGTGTCTCTTCTGTTTTTTAAGGGCAAACTCAAGCTCTTCCTCCCCACGCAGCATCTCTCTGTTTATCCTTGTGGCAAAATTATTTGAGGGTGCCTCCAGCGCATTGATATACCTATGTCCAGAAGAAAGAGAGAAATGATGCATGCTGTGGTGTTTGATTTAAGCACAAAGGTCACTCTGATGAACTCTAGTCTGAGTTTTCTCACCAGAAGCAGTCCTCAGTTACATTGAAGGACTTCTTGTAGACATAAACTTGCTTCCATCTGTCCTTAATCGGTAAAGTATCATTCAAAAAGTTGATCAGTAAATCAGCGATTTTGCGTGCTGGGGGCAGAATCCGAGTGAGTTTGGGCTTATAGTCGCAGGAGAGGCCGAAGCTCCCAGCAGAGATGACAGGGATGCTCAGGCTGAGACCGATTTCATCACTGATCCAGAAAACAAGGGATAAAAAGAAGAGTCAGAAATGAAAATTCTGGCTGTAAATATATTCAAGTGTAGAAGCACACTTACTCCACAAGCTGGAAGGTGGCGTAAGTACAGGAAGGTCCCAACATGACGCATCCAACTTCATCCTTTTTCTGCAAAGACAGACAGACTTATCAGTGATTCTGTTACTCTCTGTACACAGAGAGATATTATGTGAGACATTATGTGATACCACAGCAGCACCACCAGAAGCTCAGACACAACAGTAAGAATAAATATGAAACAAAGGAAGAGTTTAAATTCTTTACAATAAAAAGTTATGGCTAACTTTTCTAACTTTAGTACCTCTCTGCAGGTTTTGTACAACATTGATTAAACTATTTAACTTTTCCTCTCTGCTTTATAGTCTTATCTACATTTCATATAACACAGTGTGTCTCGCCTGCAAACTTGTCCGATCTTGTTTTTAATTCAGTCTTAAGAACAAAATCAGCAAACATGGCAGAGCCAAGGACTGTTAGCGTCACACCACAACACTCTTTTGGATGGTTTGCATTTTGATCAATTTCGGCTGCATATGATGTAGATATCTGTATCCTTTCCTCCTGCTGCATTTCCATTTATGTAGATTACAGAAAAAACATATGAACATATGATGCTAACAGTTTATTTCCTTCAATTCACTTTCCCATTTGATGGTTTAATGTGATTGGATGAGTTTTTTGTATTTTATTTAATCTTGTTGTGGATTAGCGATGTTATGCTACAGGTAGATTCTACAGTTTCTATCCAGCTGTAAAGAAATACTCTTCCTGACTCTTCCGTGCACTGAACACTAGAGGTGTTGTCCATTTATGGAGATACAAATAGACACCAATCCTGAAATTTTACCCTGAAGTTTAAGATGAGTGACTTTTGAACTTTTTTTCAACATTTTGTGTCCTGATGAAACTCTGAGTGTTTGTGTTGACAGGAAAAACAAAAGAGTTTTTAGAGGACAGTCGCCATGTCCCAATCCAAGTCCTAACGCGTCACAGTGGCATACTGGGAGCTTTCCTATATGGAGAGGCTCCTCCAAATGCAGCCGACAAATGTTTACTACTTTTCTACAGGCCATGAAGGCTGCATCAGGTGCATCATTCACTGAGATTTTAGGGGAATTTTTTACTTGTTTACGCAGTTGAGAAGCAGAATCTCAAACCACTGAGTAACACACATTTTCAGTCATTCTGTGCTGTCATGTGGACATTATAAATTTTGAATAAAACAGGGAGGAAACCTCAGTGGGACTGAGCTAAAGTGACCAGTCTGAAAACAGCAAATCAAATTTCCAGGAATCATATATTGTTACTGGGGTGAGAAACTTAGAAATAAAAGAATAAATACAAATATCAGAGGTAAAATAAGTACTTCTTTTGTTTTTTTGTCAGAAATTTGAAAACAAAGCTCTAATCCTCTGTAAAAATAGCTGCACTTACATGGAGAGTCTTCAGTATTTCCACTCCCTCACAGGTACTGCTCCCACAGCCCTGCCGGTTGTACATGTTGGTGCTGAACCCGTTGTAGTTAGCCATCAAAGAGAAATTTAAACCTAGAGCCATGAAAGAAGATAAGAGTTACTAATATAAAACAAATGAAACTCTTTGAGTTATTAAGATAAGATTAAAATCACTTTATTGCCGCACGGTGTAAATGCAGCCTTAGACTTCCTACCCAGAAGTTCAAAAGGTACATTAAAGACAGGAGCAGAAAAATAATGAATGATAAAAGGCTTTAACTGGTTAAAAAGATGAAAAAAATGGCAGTTACTTGTATCAGTAAATAACAAACTGGAATATTATTTCATACAAAAAAAAATGTCCAAACAACGTCAAACACAAGCTCATTACAAATGTATTAAAGTGAAGATCTGGGCCCATACAGGAGCACATCTGGAGAAGTATGAGAGGAAACAAAGTTTACAAACCAAACATCACGAAAGCATTCTCCATGTGAAAATTATCACTATCTGACTTTCTCTGGACAAAGTTTGATATGAGATTTATATCTGTGTGTTTCTGCAGATAATCAGTAACTCATTTATTGTTATTAGTTTGTCTTAAAGCCAACACTTAACTGACCATCTTTTCAAGAGCAAAATGCATCTTTAGGCAGCTCCAAAGCTATTGCTACATGTATTTTTTGTCTTGAAAGTTTGTTTTTTCCTGTCACTAACATAGATATTTACAGTCTGTTCATTTCTGTTCAACCCCCCAAGTTCAGATGAGGAGTTACCTGTTTGATATCTTCTTATTTCACTATACCTAGACCTAAATAAACTGGCTGGAAGGAGATTACAACTGTGCTGGGCATGCTTAGAAGTAAATGTTGGTTGATTTTGGAGATTTTTCGCTTTATCAGATTAGAGAAAAGGATTCTTAAAGAACCCTCATATCTGCCACTGAAGTTTAGTGCCTCTAGTTTGGTTAAAAAAAACTGCTAGCCTATTTTTCTGTTCATCCAGTGCAAAAATAGGACGTGAGAAAATACTTCTCCTTCTCTGACATCCTTTTCTATTCTCCAGCACAGCCCAAGTTAGCAGTATATCTTATATAAAACTCCTATAAGGAGGTTTTTGATGTTAATAAGATAGACAGCAATTTGTATCTAGGCTTTTAAAAGGAAGTACTTGTTATTTTTTATAGTAATTTTTAATGCCTGAAACCAGTGCACAGGGGTTGATCTAGGCCACACGGCCATGTTTTTAACAACTTACACATAAAAAATTTCCCCAAGTTACTGTTTAAGTTGTAAAGAACAAAATAAGCAAAGACTGCTTTGTCCAAAATGAACACAAACTGAAAGTTCCCCATAGAGGCTTTAAATAATTGCACTGCTTAGCTCTATAAAACAGCCCAGCCCATTGTATCGTATCAGTTGTAATGTATCATTTGGTATTTTAATATTTTTCTTTTATAGTACCAAATCATCATCCCATAGTGAACCATATTGTATCACATTGTATCGTATAATATTGTATTGTATTGTTTCATATTGTATAGTATGGTAAAGCATTGTGTTGCACCATCACCACTCATGCTGTATCAAATCATATCATATTATATCATTTAGTATCATACTGTATCATATGGTATTGTACTGTATCATGTGGAATAGCAACGTATTGCATCCTATCATGTCATATCATATCATATCAAATTATATCATATCCAAACACAATAGGGTACTACATTGCATCCTATTGTATCCTATTACTTCCTTTCAGTAATTACTTTCCTTACAGTATCATATCACATTGTATAGTGTCACACCCTATGTCATCATCCTATCCTATTATGTTGTGTTGTAATGTGTCCTGTCCAAGTGCTTTATATTGTATCAGGTTATAATGTATCTTTCGACTTACCCTTTAATTCTCATCTGTGCCAAACATTATCACATGAAATCCAAATATTTTACCTCTATTCCAGGCTCCTGTCGTTATTCATAATTCAGAATATTTCTTAAATCACATTGAGCTAAATGTCTTTAGCGCAGGTGAAAATAGGACAGATTTAAAGAAAGTAAAGTCTGGTTCAACCTCTAAGTTAAAAAGATGCTTTTAGTCTATTGTAGCAGGTTTCTCTAGCTGATTTTGATTTTTTAGATTTTTTATTTTGTGTGAAATTATTTCTGTTAAACTGAATCTAGAGAAAGTAATGTAGTTCACAAATTTGTTTGGTTAGCTGCCATCTTGACTTTGTAGTTCCCTGTTTTTATGATACTCCAAGAATTCCAATCACTTGACTTAAAACTGTTCAAAACATTTAGCACTAACTAACAAACCTGCACTGATTCTCCCTCTCTTTACTGTTAAACCATCTGGGTTTAAGCTTTACTTCATTGGCTGAAGAAAAACTTTATGTTTGTTGATCATTTGAGTTTCTTTCCAGACTTGTTTATTTCCATGTGTTGACACATACCTCGTCTTTGGTTCTCCAGTCTGTCTGCCTCAATGGCTCGTTCCACTGCCAGCTGCACAAACGGTCGACTCCACTCGTAAGTATTATCCTCCAGAAGCACAACGTTCATGGTGTATGTTCGGTTCGAGGATAAACACTCCCTCAGCATCTTGTTGCCGACCACCGACATTATCAACACTCCCAGGTACGGTAAACTGTGAGTGCAGTACATCTTGTCCTGATATTCTTCCTGTATTCCCTAGACGTGTGCTTTTTCCAGAGTTCCTACATATCAAGATATATATTTAAAACCCTTCTAAGACAAAAAAAAAAGTCTAAAGGTGGGTTTTTACATCAGTCTTCCTGAGCAGATCCTCTCCACTTCTAAAAACAGAGGTGAACAAAGCTCTTCGGTGACTAAGCAGAAGTCACACTATCCATAAATTCACAGTCCAGCATCCAGGGAAGAGAAAAAATAAATCTTTACCTGAAATTGGTAACAAAAACACTTCCAGGAAGTACAATAAAGTGTAAAGAGAGTCTGGATTTAAGAGAAGACACAGTCTTTACAAAAGCTGTTCCAGGAGTGAAAGGCTGAGATCAATAATCCTCCACCTTGGTACAGGCTGATCTACCTGTCCTCCTTATGTTAATGAACAACAGGCAGTCTGAGCAGCAGTCAGGGGGAGGGCAGGGCGTGGAAGACTCTCACACTTCATCTGGACCAACACCTTCATATAGACGCTACCGGAGATTATTATCTATATTAGTAAACATACCTTATAGACCCGCCTTCACATTACACCTCCTCTTTATGTGATTTCACTTTATACAAGTCTCAGCAGTGTTCAAGGCGAATTAAGAAAATAAGGTTGTATCTTTTCCAGTTGTTCACAGGACAGAAGCAGAATTGGTCACAATTGCAACAAAATACAGACAGAGGAGCAGTACTTTTAGCTTTTTTCCCTTGAGCACAGGTTGATTCGTCCTGGAAACATTTACTTAAAGTAAAGGTGAGGGAAAAGCTTTCCCAGTGAGAGGGGCAAAGGTCAAAGGAGGCCATAAAAGTGAAGGCTTGTGTGGAGCTGATAAATATTGTCTGCTATAAAAGCAGGGTGGATTAAGCTTGTAAAAGTCCCAGTTTAAATCCTCATAAACCAGTGTCAACTCAGTTTGAGGAAACTGCTTTAGAGCCTCGCTGCGTTAAACCAAATCAGAGGTCGGGCTAAAACAAGGAGGCCTCTGAAAACTTACTGATATCTGACTTCACAAACACTCTCAGGTTGAATAAATATGGTGTAGAATTTAAAAATGTCCTATTTATCAGTAACTTTAGTGTAAGAAAAGTGAAACAGTTAATATCATGAGGAAAAATTGTAATGATTCGTGTTCATCAATGAGCTTTGAATTTTTTATAAAACAATGAAAGTAATATAATGTTGGCAGTTTTCTTGTTTTCTTTCTTGCCACATCACCTCTGAGGTGATTATGACACACTGAGGAAAACATCAGTCGTTAGGGTTATGTTTAAATAATCAGGCTAATTTTCTGCAGATCAGTTCAATTAAACATCTTTTGCTTTAAGTCAGTATGGAGCTGCTTATTAAATATGTTATCTCACTGCTATGGTCTGTATATGAAGATTATGTGTATGAAACAGTTCTTCTGTTCCTGTCACCCTGTATGTATCTTTATACTGTATGTTTCTTGCAAAGGATGAACTCTAAATGGGAATTTCCCCTTGTGGGATTAATAAAGGAGTATCTTATCTTATTGCATTCTGCTTCTAACCTTCTTTAAATTACAATAAAATATCAAAGTTTTTAGACCGGACTATTTGTTCTTGCTTTCAGTTGTGAGTGGCATCACGATTTTAGGGGTCATGGACTGACAACTTTGAGAGAAAGCCAGCAGTCTGCCTCTTAGTATTAATAATTCACAATAGATGAAAATGTCTCACACTATCAATCATGGGAGACTCAACATCTGTTAGATCTTTCCCCTCAGAGCATTTAATCTGTCTTTCATGCAAGAAGACAAGGCTGAGGGATGTAGTGTTAATTTTGGTACATAGCTGCAACATCTAGCCCATTTCCAGAGATGATTTCTTACCAAATGTCAGTGACAATGTCTGCTAAACTTAAGTGCTTAGTATTTCCTTTACTTACCTGGATTATTTTATATATTGTTGCCCAGCTGGTCCTTTATTACTCTGTCCTCTGTGCACCTCCTCTATAAACACTCTGCAGTCATATTGTCCATCCTAAATCAAGCTCCTGTCAGACTTTTCTTCCATCACAATGTAGTTAGTCCTCTTTCTCACACTTTTATGTTCTCCACTGAGCTGCTGATAAGTTTAAAGAAATATCATTACAATAAAAGCCAAGTTGAGAAGAAATTTAAGCTTCTTTCTGTAGTGTGATATATTTTTGTTGAGTGAAAATACAGTTTTATCCAAAGGTCATAAGTAGCTGACATACAGTATGTATGTGTGTGTTATTTCATCTGCTTCAGAGAGCAAAAGACAAAACATTAACAAATGTTTGCCTTTTCCGGGCAAAAAGGCAGTATTTCCAACCCAGTTCATCATCTCTCAGCTTCCTGTCTTAGTCTGCCAACTTACAGGGTCGTAAACGTCTTGAACAAACACACATATGACGTTGTAATAGCGCGGTTGTCTCAGGGCACACAGCAATTTAATCCCATCACAGGTTTACGTGAAGAGGCTCTGTGTCTCATCACACCCTGGAGCTTTATCAGGAAGTGGAAACAGTAATGTGCTAAAAGGAACAAAACTCAGTTTTATTGCCTCATTCTGTCTTCTAAAAGCGAATGAAAGCTGTTAACAGTGGCTGTTATTGTTCGTCTGTGAAAATGGGTCCAGGCAAACACTTCACCCCAGCAAGGTGGTAGATAAGAGGGCTTTTTAATGGTGGCCTTCAGCTCAGCTAACACGGTCTCCTAATACCTGCTACTTCCCTCTAACATTTCTCTCGCTCAGTGAGATCTTAAACAAAAAAAATAATAATTAATTAAATGGAGGCCTGAACTGTATCAAGTCACTCTCGAGTCAGTAACAGATTTTAATATTGACCCAACACTTTCACCGAATTGGACAGTGAGTTACTCTGTAGGAGCCATTCACCATTCATTTCCTCGCCATTAATGATGCTGGATTTCAACCATTAACTGATAACATGCCAGGTAATCCCTTTATGTATAATGATGGATGTGGTATCCATTATTTGAGTTTTACATTACCTCATAGTCCATCGTAAATGGACTCAGCCCAATGAAGTTCCTCTTGCTCGGTGATTATTTGCTCACACAGTCTCTTACAGAATGTTGAAATTCTCCTCATCTTCTCTGCTGAGAGACTCAGCCTCTCTTGAATGTTATTTTTGTAGTGAGTCAATCCTGCTGCCAATTACCCTCATTAATTAATGGATGTTCCTTTTGGTTTGTTTTTTAGCATCACACAACTTTTTCTAGTGTTTTGTTTTCCCTTTTTCAGCTGTTTAAAAATGTGTTGCTGGCATCAAGTTAAAAGGTGAAAACATTTCCCCCCAAAAAATATTCAGCCAGCTCATTAGTGTGTAGATTTGCCTGTATTGCTTGCCACGTTGATATTGATTAAAAATGTATTGGCTGATCAGTACCACCTTTTACAGTTTACATTGAACATACGGGCGTGTACTTCTCCTTTGCTGTTGAAACAGCATCCATTAAGGTACTCCACTAAAATTAAACTTCATAAAGGAATTGTTGCTACATTATAAAGAACATACATGCTCATCAGTTTAACATCAAGTCCAGATCTGGATAAATAATGACCTCATATTATTCTTTTAGAAAATCTGTCTGTATTGTGTCACTGATTAAACCTATTTCAGACTAAAAGACTATAACACAGGTGATCACACTTTCTACAGATAACAGCCCATACATGGTTAAGTAAATATCACCTAGAACATAGTAGGACTACATGTGTGCAATAGCAAGAACAGTTTAAATTGTTGTGTATTATTTAATGTAACATTTTGTCATTTATTAAATGTGTAGAGCGGAAAGGTTGGACTATCTTAAAATAATCTCTATTTTCGAAACAAAACTATTTCCTAGCCTGGCTGTTAAGGTCAGCCTTGCCAGTTAAAGAACATATGAGCAGATAAGGGGGTTTAAAAGTTTAGAGACCGTCAAACAAATGTTGGTTTTTGGCTTCTGGTGGTATTTGTCCACCATAAACTAAAACACAAAGATAAAGCTCGAGTTTATCCTTTAAATAGAGTTTGAAGCTGTTAGACTCAGTCTGCCCTGAGGAGAAGAAGGACAGGGACTGAGCTCAAAGTATTTTTGATTTCATAATACTTCCTCTCTCTTCCTCCTCATTGAAGCAGCTTACTTTTAAATCATATTAACTTGAAGTGACCTAAATGACACAACATAATTTGTTTTTTTCCACCACAGGAATAATAAATGAATAAATAACAGTCACACATAATTACAGTTGCCCTAAATATATAAATAATATATAATAAACAGATGATGCACGTAAGCAAGTAAAATGGGTCAAACTCCTCTGTGTCTTTAGATTATCTCTTCCTTTAACCTCAGGTCTTACCGAAGCTGATTTATGATCACCATGAAATGCAGAGAAGATAAACATACAAGTGATTTATGGTGCCAGTATTAAGCTTGCCACCTGTTGCAACACTGTGCTGGTCTAAATTGTCCCCTGAGTTATCAGGGTGAGTCCAGCTGATAAGAGCAGACAAATCACTCATGACAAGTACCTTTTATTCAGTCAGATCACGCTGACTCAAACATTACAATAATGGATACTTACAGGTAACGTTTGAGAGAGATTCCACTTTCACTACACTAAGAATTGGACAGAAATTTCTGATGGAAATTTAAAATGTAAATACACAGAAAAGTTTAGGGCAAGAATAAAGTGGAATGTCAAGAGAAGAAGATGAAAGATGAAAACTTTTACCAACTCTATAGTGCTGTGTTTATTGCTGTATTTGACTGATCAGAGGCTAAAGATAATTATTTTTCTGATATCAATGTGATAGGAGAGAGAAGAGATGTCTGAAATGTATTTATTTTTTACTGAGAATAAAACTTCCATGACGTTAGCATTAAACCTAAAGTTGATCCTTAAAAGCAGGGCTGTGTATTAGACACTAACATGAGTGATGTTTTAAGGTGTAAACAATAAACATTGACCGCTGTAGGATGTCGAGAGTTGAGGCAGTTAAAGCGTAAATGATCACACATCACAAAAAGTGTGCTCAGTTCTCCCTCTGCTGATGGATTCACTGCACGCAGTATCCATCATACAGAGATGGGGCTGCTTCACCGTAGCCAGCTGCTCATTTTACAAACATGAGCAAAGTCTTGAAGTTAGTAGGAAAGAAGCCAAAAAAGGGACGACTAAGTGGAGGAAACTTTTGCCTTATGAGTTTTTGAAAAATTGGTATAAGACCAATCAGACTGCAAAGATGACAAGGCATGATACGTCTTAAAATTCTCAATACGCATTCTTATAATGTATTATTGACAAGTAAAGATATAAGAACAAGGAATAAAAGGTGTTTACTAGTGAAGCACTCAAATATGAGAACATTAATTTGCAATTTCATGAAATTTCAACTTTGTCTCTGACGTTTCACCATTTATCTAGTAGTGCATTCAATATTTTTTCCCTCAAATTAGGCATTTTCCCCTCATCTGTTAGCCCAATAAGTTTCAGATATAAAAAAGGATTTATACCAGACACTGAATCAGTACATCCTTTTGGGCATAAACAAAACCGTTTTAAAGAAGCTGCTTTATGCATCAACAATTCTACAATATTTGAAATGATATCACTCAAGAGGACATCAGGCTGCAAAGAGTTTGAGTCTGTCACAGTGTAGTATGAATGCTCCCACCATGACAACCTTTTCATGACAATACTGGAATACGAGGCAGAGAGGAGTTTGACCATAGACTGTATATAATATTAAATATATATATTATCCAGTATATATTGGAATAATTGGAGATATTTTTACAGTTTTCCTTTGTTTAAATAATAAAATTCCTCAGCTCATCTGTGAATTTGTCTTGTAAACATCTGTTATTTACTCATGTAAAACAAATATTGTCATCTACACTGGAAACCTTTAGAGGCTGTTTGTCATAAGGATAGCCTAACCTATCCTCCTCTGGGGTAAAATCACCATGGGACTCAGGTAAGTTCATGAGCTTTTTAACAGACTCATCAACCACATCATGTCCTACATCTTGTCATGTTTCTAAAAAAACATGAACACTAAACTGAACAGAAGTGACACTACTGAGTGGCAACATCTCTCTCCCAGCATCACTCTGCCCTCTGGTGGATGAGCCAACTAAGTGAAGGGAGACTCTCCAAAGACGTCCAATGTAAACTAAATGTGATGTAGTTTTCTCAGCCAATATAAATTGAAATCATAGTGGCATTTATAGTTTTATGAAATAACCCCAAAAAAATAATAATTAGGCTGGAAAAAGTGTGAAATGACCCAGACACACAAAAAACTGTCCTAACAAATCCAAGAAGTCCAATTTAAGTGCACATCTTTTTGTCAAATTTGACCATAATGTTATAAAAGAACACATTTTTCAATGCCTCTGTTTTATTCAACAGCTTTTAAACTGCCATACTCAAATCCATGTTAATGAATATACTAGTAAGCTGTAGTAAAGCTTTGTAAATGATAACTCAAATGAAAAATGCACTTTTGTAAACACTGTGTTTATAATACACATCATGTGTTGTTCCTGTGTCTGTTACATCAGTTAATAATGAGGTGAAATGCACCTTTAGTTGCTCAGCCTCCGTCAGTAAAACGATTAACGGGCCCATACTGCCCACTCGTTGACGTCACGGTGCGTAAGTCTGCTCTGATTGGCTGCTGCCTGAATTACAACATTTCACAAGCAAGTCGACACGTTCAGTTCTGCACGCTGTGGGCGGAAGGGGGGTGAAGCAGTTTCACGGAACCGAACCAAACCGAGCAGAACTGGAGAGAACTGAGGCCCCGAAGAAAGAGAAGTGACTTTCAGCACGACTGAGAAGAGAAACAGCCAACTCCTTTTTTATCATTTCTTATTTACTATTCACATCTCAACCGACAGCTGAAAACTCTGATTTATTTCCCACTCATGTGAACGTGCAGCTGTTATTGTCCGCACGAGACCTTACCTTTGACACCTGCAGTCAAACGGTGCGTCCTCTGAACAGTCAAACTTTATAGGAGGAAGAAATGGAGAGGAAAAACGGATTCTCAGCGGACAGAAACATCCTCTGCCTGTTTGATGTGGACGGGACTTTAACAGCGCCCAGAGAGGTGAGTCCACATCCAGTCAATCAATACACTGATTATTACAGGCTTTTATAAGAGCATCTGTCTGTCTCCTGCTGCCTATTGCTCATTAATAAGATGTGAATAAATGTCAGGATTGGAGACAGTAACAGAGAGCACACTGTGTCCTTTTGACCTCAGGCGCTGATTTTATATTTTCCCTCTCTTTACATTAATAACAGTATCTATACACCAATAAGCTTTTCCTCACACTGGAGTTTGCAAGGAGGGGATGTAGGGTTTGTAATCTTGTAATGTATACGTCTGTTGATGTCTGCAACCTATTTTTGTCCTGCCTAAACACACATGGAAGCTGTCCAAGCGCTGTCACCTCATGCTGACTTTGTTCAGTGTCTTTTTAAGAGATACACTCTAAAAATGACATTTTTCTGATCCCAGTTCCTTATTGACTCATTGCATATTTATGTGATATAAAAAGAGGAAATAGCCTCTTTAATACCTAACCTGAGTTATTCTGTAATGGTGTGGTTTGCTTGCTTGATTCCCTTATTTTTTCTGGCTGAATGCTTGGGTTCGTCTAAGGTAGTGGATGTGTAGGACGGTGCAAAGCGGACCAGCGCCTAGTTATTACATAATGCAGTCTACACTGTGTGCACTCAGACATCTCTCCTCCCATATGTTGTAATATCTGGAAATCTGGTAAGAATTAGACTGCAAACAAGACAAATTCTGCAGCCAAGTCCGCCCTGTGATCTGTATATGTAAAAACGCTGTACTTACACATCAGAACATGCAGATCTTTTTCTTTAATAGTGGTCTAGAAAGCATGCAGATGTATATTTTGTCATGTGTGTTAATCCACCAGTCGGATTTACTCTTAAACATGCATGCTGTCCTGTATTCTGCAGAAAATCGACCCCCAGCTGGATGAGTTTTTCCAGACGTTGCGGAGGAAAGTGAAGATCGGCATTGTAGGAGGGTCGGACTACTCCAAGATCGCAGAACAGCTCGGGGAGGGGGACGATGGTGAGCAGTTTTTGTGAACTTCCTTTGTGAACACCAGATGGTTTATCCATTACAGTACACTTACAATCTGTACAAAAGAGAGACTCAAAAGAACCAAAGTCTGTAGAGATGAGGGCAAATGTGTTCCCGTAAAGATTTAGAGCATGAGTCAAACTTAAAGCAGTTCACAAGGCTGAACTAATAACTATCTTGTGATGACAAATGGTTTCATTTTGATGCATCTTAGATTTTCTGATGGAGTTTTGCAACAGCATGAGCAAAACTCTTTAATCTGTACCTCCATGTCTTAAAAATTTGTGGACCTCAGGGCATCACTTTTTGCTTACTTGTTCAAGCAGGTGCCCCATGTGAAGAATAAAGATTGTAGAATCTTTTATACTTTTCAATACCATGCAGTTTAAAGGGACACAATCTTGATTATTTTCACTCTCCATTGCATCAAAAAGTACTTGTGAAAATTAAAGATCAACAGTCCTATTTTTATTACCTAAAGCTGCAGCAAATGCAAGCAGAGCAGTCAACCAATAGGAAGACTGAGTAGAGAGTGCACCACTAAAGGAATGAAGCAGTGAAACAGAAAAATAAAACATTAATCTCTGATTATTTTGCAGCATTTACAGTTGAAAGAACTTAGACACACACCTTTTGCTTACATGTCTCTTGCTCTGAAGGATGCACATGCTGTGTTTATTTCTGCTACAGACAGTTTGAGAGTAGAGCAAAGAGACAGCAATATCAACAGGTCTCACTTATCAGTCCTGACCTGCAGACTGTTGACAGGGAGCTTCACAGGAAGGCTGCACATTTATGGCCTAAATGATAAACATGATTATTTTGATCAATATAAACATCAGTAATTAGTCATGATTATGCAGTAATTTAAGGGACTACTTTTTCCTTGTTTATTGATTGTTTGAAAACACATGCCGTATCTTTTATATCGTTCAGACTGGACTTTGACTAAGAAAATCTACCCTAACATTTTTGTTCCACACCGATCCCAAACATTTGGTCAACCTTAGCATCAAACATAATCAAAGATTTTCTTTTGTAAGAACTTCATCTTAATTTTGTTGATACTTTTACTTGTAATGGGATATTTTCAAATTGTCTGAACTTGCATTCATTCGATCATGGTACAGTGCCAAATGACCTTCATCTTCAAACAGGAAGGTCTGTGTTTACAGCTTAGCATTTACATTTCAAAATGATAGGGAACTGTAGAGTTCTTTCTGTTGAGACATGCACTTGTAAGCTTATGAATGCTTACTCTTGGTTGTTTGTTCTCACTGGTTGTAGGATTGATTTCAAGTCCTAACAGAATTCGGTGCACATCATCCTCTGCCCTCTCATTACTGTTGTGGAAAATCCAGCATAAACAATGAACAGGAGACAGGATGAGAGCTGAAGAACAGCCTGGGCGTCTTTTATTGTACAGATGTAGAAATCAGTACAGATGACAAACAGAGTCTCGACCAAGTGTGTGTGTGTGTGTGTGTGTGTGTGTGTGTGTGCGTGAATTCTCCAGAAGGCCCCTCATGATGACATGTCTGCCCCACGACACTTTGTGTAGGCTCGTCTTTGACCCTTGCAGAGATTAAATGTTCCAATAGACAGATAGTTCGGGCTCCTGCAAGACAGCCTTGCTTACAATCTCAGGGTCGTGAGGCTGCAGGAGCAGGCCAACCTAGATTATTTGTAGCTCCTTACTAAAAGATAATTCGCTGAGGTCACAGTCGCCTGCAGGGATACACTGAGGGTGTCTCTATCAGTCAATATTTGAAAATGACAGGAACGCTGGTGTTGTGCCAGATAGAGCCGTGTGGTTTATTAACAGCGCCAAGTGTGCTAAAGGTGAATCTGTTCTTACTTTAGGATGCAAACAGGAGCAGGTCGAGTTGTTATAGCTGCTGAAAAATGACCAAACTTACAACTCTCCTCTTCATGTGTGATGGAAAGTTATTAACATTGCAGTAACGTGACATATTTAAAGCTTTAACAATTGTTAAATGAGTGATCATTTCAAATGTGTTTAAAATCTGCATGAATAATTAAATTACACAACAGTTTATTTCAAAAACAAGTCTGAAGAACGTTTTGTTCTGAATTTTGATCTCCTAATCAGTTGTTGTACAATGAAGCAGCTGTTATGTAATGGAGTTATATCATGATAAAAAGTTGCAGACTTTTCTTGCTGAGCAGAGAACACCGCAGTGAAAACAGAGTGAAAAGTTAACACAGATTAAAGCTGACTTTTTCAGGTCACTGTAATCTACTCAGTAAATATAGCAGGCTGCTCTATTCTTGAGAACGTGCCTTATTTTAAGCTAGTCTAGGTGATTGTGTAATTTGTTAAATGTCAGCTGTTTTCTCTTTTCCAGTGATCCACAAGTTTGACTACGTGTTTGCTGAGAATGGGACGGTGCAGTACAAAGATGGAAAACTCCTCTCAAAACACGTATGTAAACAAACAGAGTAACAAATCTAATGTCCTGTGACAGTGTCAGCTGATGTGTAACACACTATCTGACCTGGAAACAGATATGTACACAGAGCTGCAATAAATAGACATGAGGTGTTGAGAGTGAAAGAAACTGTAGCAGCATTTTAGAAAATATGTTGAAGTTGTAAGTACATTTCTTCAGACTAAATGTAGTGAAAAGTAAGTTTACTTTTCATTTCAGACATCAAACATTTTAAATGAAGTCTTTTTTAAAATACATGCATCAAGGAGGTGAGAAATTGCTAGTCTTGTCATCAATTCTAACATTTCTGACCATTTTAAAGGTTCAGTGTGTAATATTTAACGGCATTTTGCTGAAAAGTCTTTTGTTGACATAGACTTTTTTATCTACACTGTTGTGGATCCTCTTGCACAGAGGCTGCCATGTTTCTACAGCAGCAGTGGCGGGTACAGTTAGTCCAAAAATGTCACCTTAATGTTACAACTTGTCTGCCCTAACAGGGGTGAGCAATGGAGCATTTAAACCTAAAATCTGACTGCTAAGTGTTGCCAAATATTTCTATTTCTACACACTGCAGTTTTCATAAGTTTCAGCTACCTGTTCTTAGTAAAAGTTGCTTAAAGTTTTTTTTTTTGATCTTGTCAGGCCATTCAGAACCAGATCGGCGAGGAGCTGCTGCAGGACTTGATCAACTTCTGCCTCAGCTACATGGGGCTCATTAAGCTGCCAAAGAAAAGGTCAGACACAGACATACACACAGACACATGATTGAAGCTTTTATTTTTTTGGTACTGAGCCGTTGAAGCTGAGAAATCATGTATAGCTATGTGGTCTCATGAGAGGAGTAAAAACAGCATTTTAGCATTTTTTATGGGGCAGTGTTTCTGAGTGGGTGCAAACCCTGTTTCTATCCTAGAAGTTTCTGTCTGAGATTAGAGCGTGCTTTGTTCAACCCCTCCTCCGTCTCTGCCTGCAGGGGAACATTCATTGAGTTCAGGAATGGCATGCTGAACATCTCCCCCATTGGTCGGAGCTGCACACCGGAGGAGCGAATTGAATTCTCTGAAATTGACAAGGTGAATATTAACTCATTGGTATATTTAGAGTAACAGAGTCACATTATTTTGATCTAAATTGTTCAAAATGACGACAAGGGTTACTAAAATAGTAACATTCAGACAGTTAGAGGATGATGTAGCAATGTGTTTTATCATGTTTGAAACTTTTGGTGCATGTTTGTATGAACCACAGTCACTGTAACACTGATATAAAGGCTAGTTAAGGGTGTAATAAAGTAATACCAACTTTGACAGACAGTCGTGGGGGTTTCTAACTCCAAAACCAGTTTCTTTGAATGTGTTCAACATCACAGGAATGCAGGAAACTCGTGTGTTTCCTCAATTAGAAATAATTCAAAGCAATTAAGAAATTTAAAGAAAGTAAAAGATGAAAAATAAGGAAGTAAAACAAAACACAACACTCCCTGCGCTGCTTAAATTGTAAAAACTGATTTTGTCGTACTTTTGCGTGAAAGCAGAGGTCGAATTGAAGTAAGCCGCCAAAGCTGTTTTTTGTTGTTTTTTTTCCACATAAAGCACTGACAGTTCCAGCCTGTCTCCCTCTGTTTCATGAAAATGTTCAGTCAAGCGAACGGAGACAGAGAGGTCAGACACGACTGAGCTTTCAGGTCAGCTAAACAGGCTGTTCATCGATGGTTCAAAGAGCTGAAGGAGCAGATTTTACCCTTCAGCTGTCTGCTAACAACTGCACAGCTAGACTCTTTGCTTTGTCTTACAAGAAAAGATGCGCAGAGTCAGATATAAACCAAGATGATCTAACATGACAAAGTGCGCGTTTGGCTTTGTGGAAATCTTATGTGGGTGTGTCTGACCGCTGTGTCATTTCCTCCGCAGAGAGAGAAGATCAGGGAGAAATTTGTTGCTGCCCTGAAGCAGGAGTTTGCGGGAAAAGGTCTGCGGTTCACCAGAGGTGAGAGAGTTGAAGCTGAAAGTGTGTGAGTCTGATTCTAGAGGGACTCTATTTATAATAATGTCATTAGCCTGAGTCTCTTAGCGCTCCTATTTTAATAAGGTCAGCCGACAGTAATCTGGTTTGGCTGTTTTTAATGAACCTTTAGGTAACTGGTGTATGATTAGATTCTACTGAGGTTCAAGCTGTCCTTCAACAAAAGGAGTCAAACCACATCTGCATTGAGGGAAGTGTACCTGAAAAGTAGTCAGTTAAAGCAGATAACCTGAGTTAAGATGTTAGCATTCAAAGAGGAAAAACTAAGAGAGCAGCGCCCCCTGCACTTTTAAGTTTTAATCAAAATACAGCAGAAAATTTGTTGCATGAGAATGTAACTTTTATTTTCTTGTTGTAGTATTGTATTTATAATATCCATTGAGGATGCGGTAATAAATCAAAATGCAGTACAAAGAGCTCCAACTGAGTTTATTATGAACCAGCTTAAATTTATACAGCATTCATCCTTATCTTATTATAATACATTTGATCGTTGTTTTTGCACTTTTTGTTTACATTATGAAGCAAACCTAATGACAGGAAGCGATTTAGTCCAGGAATCGATTAGTGTGCTCCATGTGAGGATGCCATAGTCCCCAAGTGGCCCAGGTTCAATAACAGGCTGCTGCCTCTTTCTCATATCTCACTCTCCACTCTCTCTTGGTTTCCCCCTCTGTTTACTGTCCTTTCCTCTCTCAATAAAAGCCTGAAGAACAACAAATAGAACACACGAAAACTAATATATACGGTTAAGCTCCTTAAAGCTTTGGGGAACTTTTCATAGATTAAAGATTGTATTTATGACCAGCCCAGGCTTGGACCAGGTATGATCCAGATCCATTAAGAATTTCTTTGGGCCTAAACCAGAAGGAGATGGATTGAGACAAAGTGGAAAACTATCCTGTGATCTTACATATAAAAATATGACGCTCTTTCTGGAAATCTTGGGCACCAGGTTCTCTACCCCCAAAGACAGAGGCTTAATTTGCTGACTTGCGGTCCTGACTTGTCAACCTTTGAAAACATTTGGAGCATTGTGAAAAAACATAGCAAAGGAGACCACCAAATGTTGAGCAGCTGAAGTTCTTTTTTAGGCATAAATGTGACAAGAATTCACTCCCAAATCACCAAAAACTGTTTTCCTTATTTCCCAAATATTTACAGTGTTGTTAAAAGAAGAGGTGATGCAGTACAATAGAAAACATGCCCCTGTCCTAACTGTTTGAGAAGGCATGGCTGGTATCAACTGTAAAGTACACAGATATTTTCATTAAAAACATCCAGAGTGTCTCATCTTTATGGGATTAGGGTTGTAAATCGAACATTCCTCTTTAGTTTTTACCTTCCTGCTCTCTGAGGAACTCTGGTCAGACCAGTTTGAATCTTTGTTTATATCCCTCAAGCTCTCATTTACATCACTTCACTTTCATGATAAACCAGCTTTCCAGCACATTGCTCTGTCTGTCGTCCGTATGCGTAACACATTGAGCCTGTAGTTAACTATTAAACCCACACATCCTGTAAACAAACTCTTCACACTCTGTGCACTTAGACAGCAGCAGCAGGAGGTGAATGGGGTTCTTGATGTTTGCTTACGTGCTGTGTGAAGTGTCTGCCAGATGACGACGTCTGCAGCCTGTTCACAGTTAAAACACCGCAGACAAACAGTCTTGTTTTTCCTGAACACTCTTCCTGCTATTACTCAACAATGTGCAGCAGGAGAACTTCATTTGTCCCCTCAAAAAACAAAACTGATCAGTTAAAGCACACGAAAGTTACCCTGTCGATAGTTTGATTTTCTGCTCTTGTTTGGGGAATTTTGTGCAAAAAACTCACCCACTGCCTGGTGGAGCAGTGGGGTGCTTTGGGGACATGGGTCTGTTTGCAGAGTTCTCACTGTTTACTCTGCACACTGAAAGAGCAAGCAGATGTGTCCGGAGGTTATTCAGAGAGAGATTCATTTTGTTTGACTTTCCAAGTGTTTGTCCATCTCAGTCAGCTGATCTCTGCGGATCATGTTACATAAACATGACGCTACATCTGATATTCACTCAGTACACAGTGTGAGGGATACTCAGTGTTTTTATTAAACTACGCTGGAACAAGTGATCCAAGGTAAAGCTTCAATCATGTTTGGATGCTGTGTTAATAAAAGGGGACATATTCTGCTAAAGTACCCAAATCCACAAGAGACAGGAGGCTATGTATAATGAACAGTTTAATGGAACTAAAAGATAAGTGTTATCACCGCACCACATGGACAGATGGCTAACCTCCCTTCTGTATCATTGTTGGAGATGAGACCCACCACAGTCGTATCATCCACAAACTTCACTATGGGGTTGGAGCTGAATGTGATTTTGCAGTCGTGGGTCAGCAGGGGGAAGAGAAGGAGACCAAGTACACATCCCTGTGGGACCTCTGTGCTCAGTGTGATGGTACTTCAGCAGATGGTACTTCTTGCTGAGAAAGTCCAGTTTGATGATGAGCTGTTGTGGGATGATGAGCTGATAGTGTTGGGTGAGAGCATAGATTGCACTCATGGTCTAAGCCCCCAACTCGTACCTAAAACTAGTTTAAAACCCCATGGCGACCGAGCTTTCTTGGCTGTGGCTCCCTGATTGTGAAACAAATTGCAACTCAAGATTAAAACATCTCCCACTCATTTTTATTCCTTGCATAAGAGTTGTGTGATCTGTCCTCTGGTCCTTTTATTTCTTTTATGCTTTTGTGTTTTTATGTCATTTATTTAATTTCATTTAAAATGAAAATTTTACCTGCTTTTATTTATTTCCTCTTGATGTTTTCTGCAGTGTTTGTTCTTTTAATTTTACGGTGCAGCACTTTGGTGAACTTGAATGTTTTTTAAAATGTGCTATATTAATAAAGCGGATTGGATTTAGAAGCTATAGTCTTTGTCCAGTTGTTACTAGTTTGGCTACCCTTTAAGACCCTTCAGTGCATGTTAAATACCCAGGCTATCTAAGATAGGCACAAATGCACCAAAGAAGATCAGGTGTGTGTTAGTAAAGTAGAGGAACAGTGGTCATTTTGCATTGATCAGACTTTCAAATCTTTACTGATTGTGTTTATTAAGTCAACTTTTATTATAACTAAGGTAGTCCAGCATTTATCAGAGGAACTTGAAAAAGAACAACATGTTTTAATCTCTGCCTCGTCAGCAGTTTCTCAGCCCTCATTCAGTGAAAGCGTGCTGGGAGGGGCTGCTGCAGAGGAGGCTGAAGGAAATGTTTATAGTGTGAGGCTGAGGGTGATTTTGATGGAGGCGTGCGGAGGGTGTGTGCCCGATGCAGCTCTCTGATTGGCTGGGTGCTCCTCAGATGCTGCCTTTGTGAGGGTCTCTATAAACCGTTCTGCTAAGACAAGGCAGAGAATAAAATGAGGACCGAAAAAATGGGGGAGGGGATAGAGGACAGTGAAAGGGAGTGATGCGGGGGACTTAGGAGGAGACTTTTCTGTTGCATTTCACGGTCAAAGGTCACTACAGTCATTAGACTAACAGCTGAATGGAAAGGGAACATTTTTTCTGTGACTTGAAAACTGAAAAACTAGTTCGTGTGAAAAAAAGGAGCCACAGTAACTCTGGAAAACATGATCCTTTCTCTGAAATGAAGCTGTAAACACGTATCAAAGTCAGTTATAATGACAGGTTTTTATTTGAGTGCCTGTAATAAAGCGGATGTTTTGTCTGTCTCATCCTGTTTCAGGTGGTCTGATCAGCTTCGACGTGTTTCCAGAGGGCTGGGATAAAAGACTGTGTCTGGAGCTTCTGGAGAGTGAGGGGCTGGATGCCATCTACTTTTTTGGCAACGAGACATCAGATGTAAGTTCAGTGGGCCGGAGGGATTTAAAGGAGGAAACTGTTTAGTGTGAACATCCAGCAGTGTATGTTGGTTGACAGACTCATGACAATGACAGGCAGTAATCTACCAAATCAGAAAAACCTGTTCTCTTCACAAAATGAGAGATTCAGCTGCTTTCAGTACCATTCTGAAACAAAAAGCCTTCTTATTGCTGTCCAGTTGTGCATTGTCTCACACACACTCACAGTAACTACCTCTGCTACAACCTCCTCTGCTGACCCAGCAGAGGAACAGCCCCTCTTTCTATCTCTGTACTTAAAGACCCGTAAAGAGGAAAAACAGTGCTGTTCAAGTCTCAGGCTTTGGAAACATGAGCCCTGATCTGTAGCTGTTCCTGTTCAGCTTATATAGGCAGCAAACTAAAAAAAACACATTTATAGGCTTGTTTTTCTCCGTTTGCAGTCATTAAACTGACAGTTGAACAGTGCAGATGAACTGAGGACTTGCAATATAAAAATTACTATATGGACAGTATTCTGTAACAGTGCCAGTTACAGGTCAGTCATTCTAAAGGTTTAAAAGAATTTTTATGGTATGCCACTCGCCTAGTAGTCCAAGTGCACGTCCCAGATACAAAGGTTACAGATACAAACGGTCAGCCAACGTTTGATTCCAGCCTCTTTACTGTCTCTGCAGTGAAAGGACTCCCCCTCATGGTGTCAGAATATTCCAGCTGAAATATGATGATCATAGCTGAAAAAACTCTGCCGATCTGTGTTTTTAATATCTGAAATTCTCTTCTTAGGGAGGAAATGACTTTGAAATTTTCAACGACCCACGGACGATCGGATTCACAGTTTACTCTCCAGCACACACAGCAAGACTCTGTCGGAAACTTTTCATTGACACTCCACCCTACGAATCCTGATGTCTTGAACTACCCCCCACTCCTGACTCTGTATCTAATTACTGAACTTTGAGACTCTAGCGAAAGGACAACAACAACAACAACAAGCTCAAGTCTGGGCTATTTATGAACTGCTGAAACTGTCTTACTACTGATTCCTCCTTTCAATTCAAATAGACAGCAGCAGGATGATTTGGCTGTATTTGCAGAAAAAATCCTACTCTGTGATTTTAAAGAGACAGTAACACAAGAATGTTAAATTTAAAATGTGCTCAAGTGCAGCATCACTGCACTGCAGCAGAGTGTCTCAACATTAACCAAAAAAAAGAGATTATTCAACATCAGCAGTGTTGAAAAGTTTGACTCCATAAGATGTAAGAGTATAGGACGATGTTTTGCACTAATGTTGCCATAATGTAATACCACATGTTGGTACAGTTTTTAAGATAAAGAAGCATGAGATTGTTCTTTGTGAGTCTAGTTTGTAACAGATATGAATGAGGCATGCTTTGAGACTTTTCTCCTCTACAAACAGGACAAGTACAAATCATTCCAGATATTCTCATATCTATGTCTGTCAGTGACGATTTATCTGATTTTATGTTAAACTGACATAACTGACTCAATTTATTCATCCTAACCAGGGAATTAAGCTACTGTGACAAGGTGCACCGCAAAGTTTTGTCAATGAAGATTGTGTTTTTTAATGTAAATATTCATGAGCTGTGTTATGGTTTGCATGTGTTTAACTGGGTGACTGTACATATCTGAGGTTTGTTTGTTTTTAAATTCATGACATTTTCACTCAAAGGAGTTTCATGGAAGAACTTTGTATGACGTGAGTATTTTAGTTTGAAAATCCCAGAAAGATAACAGTACTTTAAAATGGTCTAGGAAAAAATGCATCCATGATGGATCATTATTGTAAATATATTCAGATTTATATCAGACTGTAAACACTCCTTCACTCTAAAGACTGTTAGTAGGATGTAGAGACAGAAATACACTGATGAAAATCAATCAGCTTTTAATGTCACTGATGTTTCATGTCATATCAGTCGTCGATGGACTTAAAATGCATTTTGAATTTAATGATTACATTAAAACCTTCTTGATATCACTTCACAGGGTTCTGCACTTGTTTTTTTTCACTTATACATGAAACCAACTGTTTTCTCAATTAGAGTATCTATAGAGTCCCAGCAAGGCTCCTTTTTTATTTGTCATGATGGCTTTTTTAACTTCACCACCAGAGGTCGCCAAACTATCACCAACAGAGATGCTTCAAAATCAAAGAGCAGTTCAGTGTTTGTCTGTCCAGATAAAGGATGCTAGCTTTTGAAGAATTTATCAACACACGATAATTATCATTGTAATGTGTGTTTCATAAGTATACAGTTGTGCCCACCCAGGAATATTAGTCTTGAATTGTTGAGCTATTTGCTCACTCAGTCTCTTATTGAGTGGTGACTCTCTTTCCTGCCTTTACTTCAGGAAGACTCAACGTCTCTGGGATGTTCTTTCTTTTCTCACTTCTATTACCAACGTGTTACAAATTAACCTCGTAGGTTGAGAAATGTTCTTCCAGGCTAATGTTTTAGCACAACACAACTTTTTAAGTGTTTTCTCGCCCCTTTCTCAGCTGTTTTTAAATGTGACGATAGAAACAAGATTTAAAATATTTTACATCTGTCATAAAACATGTACATTTTTAAGTTTGATCATTTGATTTGTCGTCTTTGCACTATTTCCGAAGAAACATATAGTTTGAATTTGCAAATCACAGAATTCTTATGTAATTAACATTTCAAATAGTGCTCCACCTTTTCTGGAGGTGGGGTTTTGTGTTTTCCAGCTTAGTCTCAAATTAAAATATGTGTTAAACTTTAAGTGGATTCAAACATTGTATAATCAAGTGAAACAAACAGGAGAAATTTTGCAGGGATATTTACTATTTGACCTTGGGACCCTGAATATAATAAAAAAAAAACTCTCTCAGGGTACAACTTAAGCTTGAAAAGTAGTCCACACCCCATAAAGGCTTTATTTCTCATTGCATTGGTGGATGGTTCAACTCTCGGACACTTTTTACTGTGTGCTATCTCCCACTTTCAGCTCCTCACATTTCCTGTGTTTCTTCTGCTTTCTCAGCCAATACAAGCAAAACGGGTCTGTTAACATGTTGACCACAGTGTTTTTTCATCCTTTTCCTTCCCCTCTGTCAGTCTGAGTTTTCCCCCTTGTTCAAAGAGTCAAACCTTCGATCAGTCTTGTGAATCATAAAATGCTTTAATGTTCTCTCAAGGCTCAGTAAAAGTCATAATGTGGATCACCGACCGAGCGGCTTGTCCACTAAACAAAGTGCCCTTAAAGTGACAGAAATAAAGAGTTAACATGTTGAACAGAGTCAGGCAGTGACACAGACAGAGAGACGAGTCAAATCGACACTCAGTGAAACAGATATAACAAACAATAAGTCTACAGGACATAACTACAGAGCTACAAACAATATTTCTGTGATAATGATCTCTACTGGCACCTACTTTGAAGTTATGGAGTTCACCATCACACTGACTATGCTCAACAAACACACACAGACATTTTTTTTTCTAATAATAGAAAAATAACTTCCTTTCAAAACAGGACGACAAATCCAGAAAACTCTGACATTAATAATCTGGAAGCAGTTCTCACAGAGGAAGTTCAAATTTAAGTAAGATTTAACCAGAAATGTACAAACCTACAATCTGCAGACACAAAAATCTGAAGAAATCATCTAGTGAATGACCAAAATAAATAACCACAGGTAAGACACCACAAACATGGATATGCATTTTTCAGGAAATCGCTTTTCATTCACAGTAAAATATATCTAATTTTTTAAAAAATCCATGCTTGGTTTAAAGTGATATACCTGCTTAGGTCCTGACCTTGCCTCATGCTAAAACTTCAGCTCCAGTTTCCTTTAAAAAAAACCTCCCATTTCCCTTTTTTTTTTTTTTTTTTTGGTCTCGCTGTGGCTATGTTTCCGGACTGATGACCTGATACCAACACTTCATGAGGCAACTTAGTATCAGAGTCAAACCAGCTGAGATTTACTTACTTTGACAGTTCTTGTAATGTGCATTAATTAAAAGTAAATTAGCCACTTCTGCAACCTTATAAGATGCTTATAAACATTTGCACGTTAATAAGTGTTTATAAAGGCATAACTACCACATTCATTATTACTGATGATACACTTAAAGCTCCAATCAGAAACATATTAACAGTTTATGTACCCTTACATAACACATTAGTAGAATGTCAATCAACATTAAGGAGTTAGTTAAAGATTAATAAACATGTCTATCAGGAGCTAATGTCAGGGAACTTATTACCATTTACAGTGAACAGACAACTTTTAGAGTCTAATGGGACCTCTATCAACATCCATGTAGCAGTCTGAGCCTTTATTAGAATTATTACCAACATTTATTATTGCTAACAGATAGAAGATAGAACTTAATTGAGCCTTTTGGGAAGGTTCCCTCACTATAATTAACTAACTTTTAACCCCCCTATAAGTGTTCACTGGAATTTGTTAACAACCTGAATGCATATGACAGTTACATTAAGTGTTAATATGCTTCATATTGGAGCTTCTATTATGTTAATTATGCTTTAACTGGGGTGCTGATAGCCTTGTGGTCTAAGCACCCCATGTATATAGTCCCTGTTGCAGCAGCCACTAGTTCCATTCCTGACCACAACCCTTTACTGCATGTCTTTTCCCTCTAACTACTCCCCACATTGCCTTTCTCTCTCATATACCTAAGAATACAGGTTTTTATTAAGTCTTAGTAACATTTATACAAGTTAAAAGGAATCTTGTAAGATTTTATAAGTGGCTTATTTACCATTAATTAATGCTTATTACAAGGAGTTTAGTATGAAGTGTTACCCTTTAACAGCTCTCTTTTATTTATTTCCTACATCTCTGCTAAATTCATGGTCATTTCTAATCTTTCAGAGTGTTAAGTCGATATAAACCAGATGTAACATGACAACTTATCATCTGACCAGAGCTTTCATTAAGCATGTGATCCAGTAGACTTTGTGAAGTAAACAACAGCTGGAAAGGAGGGAAGTGAAACTGAGCTCAGCCGTTTGTCCACCCTGCTTTTTAACCTCTACACTGCAGTAATGAAAAAAGAATAGGTAGATAAATAAAACTAATCTGTTATTTTTCCTAATGACAAATGAATGTCAGTTTCACATACACAGCAGATTCGTCAATAAGAAAACAGGAAGTTGTGATCAGGGAGTAATGACAACCTAAACTGAATTTGCTGTGTTTGTAAAATATCTATTTTAAAAACTATTGTAGCTCAGAGAAAAAGGTATTAATGCTACAACAACCCAGACCCACCCAGCAGCACCCAACAGGCCCAGAGGCCCAGCCTACGAGCTGATGATCTGTCCAGACCAGGTCTCGTGTTTGGTCCCTGGGTTCAGGTGTGTGATTTTCACCTCCACCGCCTGCACCTTCAGGTTCTTGGGTGGGACCCGGCAGATTTTGTACGTGACCTCATCACCCTCGACTGGGACGTACTCGCCCTCGATGCTGAAACAGAGAAGAACCAGAATGATAAGGTGTAACTTTCCATAGAAATTGTACCACAAAATAACCATCTTCCTGCAGATGTGACAGTTCAGTGTCCAAGGAGATGGAGTTGCTTTCCTTCTGAATAAATACACATAAAATCAGAGCTGTTTGCTGTCTTTAACACTCCTCTATCTCTGCAGGCCTGCAGTGAGTCTGTTTATTTATAGTAAAGCTTAGATGTCTATTTGTCTGTTGTGATCTGATGATGCCCCCAAGAGTTGCGCTCAGTCACTCACTCTGAGATGTGAACAAAGATGTCTTCGCCGCCATGGGAGGGTCGGATAAAGCCGTGACCTTGTGACCTTGAGAAGTTCTTACACATGCCTTTATACACTGGACCTGAGTGAGCTCGTACCGTGCTGCGGGGGGAGAGAGACAAATATTGACAATCTCACTTCACATGAATATTAATTCCTGTCAGTTAAGATTCATCAAGCTGTTCGTTTTCTCCTCAGTGTTGCACAATTCAACATTTGGACCTTCCTGAGGCCAGAGAAGTGTGAGGACAGAGAGGAGGAGTTATAAAGGAAGTGAGGAAGAAGATAAAAGAGTAGTTCATCACAACACCTACACATGAACTGTCTTTTAATGTCACTACACAATGGCAGCAGAAGGAGGAACACTGATCTACTGACGCACGCTGCAAACAGTGCAGCATCAAAACCTCTACATTTAGAAACAAGCAGCTTTAACATCCTAATAGCTGAAATAAGAATTAAAAATAGTTTTAAAAAACGGTTTACTCTGTTGGTCACCGGTTTAATTCATGGATCTGGTAACATCTTGCACATTTCAGTAAGTCTGCGAGTATTTAAGAGGCATGGCTATGTAGTAGAAGAGTCCAGGTGCTGAACTGGCCTGCGTTAAGTCTGGAGGCATCACCTATTGAAGGATGATGGTGTGTTGTTAAAAGAAGAGGTGATGCCCCTTTCCAAACTAATCCAAAACTTTCTGCAGGCATCAAATTCAAAAATTTAATCAGAAAGTAAAAAGTCAACGTTCTGTTGTCTTTGCACTGTTCAAATCAAAGATTAAATCATGTCCATGTACAGAAACATTTGATGGTCTGGGAGTAAATGTAGACTATCTGCCCCTTAATTGTGGGTATATCACACATTTCACTTACGCTGAGTAGGTGCGAGTGCGTTTGGTTGGTAACGGGCTAGGCAGGTCCCTCGGCAGTGGCTGTTCCTTCCCATCCTCCCATACTCGACCTCCCTCCCTCAGGAAGGGGAAAGAGAGGGTTAGAGAGGCATTAGGGGAGCGCAGCGGCGTCCCTGAAGGTGACGTGAGGCTGGGGTCTGTCATGTTAAATGTGACAGGGGAGAGGAGGATGGGGGAGGATGATGTGGATGCAGAGGTTGATACTGCTGCTGCTGCTGACTCTGATGTCTGTCCTCAGTTGTGTCCGTCTGCTTGGAGAAGCTTTCCTCGGTGTGAAGCACAATCTCAGCGGTTATCCGGGTCAGCACTGTCGCTTCTGGTCCGTCAGGAGGACTGGAAATACCACAGGGGAAAGACAGGAGGAGGTTCAGAGAGCTGTAATGTGGCTTTAGACCTGGCAGGGACACTAAAGATGAAAGGGGGCATCCAGCCAAGAAGGAGCATCTCTAAGGAGAACCAAGGTTATAAAAAGTCCCATGGGGCTCTTTTCTGTGTCTCATAATATTTTCTTCAATCATAATATAGTCACAAGTTAATCTAAACTATCTTTATATGCTGATGATCTCCTGTCATACCTCAGCAATAATCAGCGCCCACATCAATCAACATTTTTTAAAAGTACAGAGTAGTCTCCTGGTATCATATAAAATATACTTAAAGGGAAATTCTGCCACTTCATATACAGGATACAAATATTAAATCTCTGATAGACCTTCTGGTGAATCCAGTAAGACATGTACAGTGAGTGGGTGGTTGTATAAAACAGAATCTCAACAAAGTAAGACAAGACCCCAGCATGAAGCAAAGGGGTATTGACAACAGTTTGTCCACTTTACTGTTATTTGTCACAATAACCTTAACCTTTTCACCCACTGTTATTTACTGTCAGTTTTCCTCAGTTTGGTTGATGTGTCTGTCATCACAGATCAGAGTCTAAAAAGACATTCATTTGTATTTTTCCACTATCCGTGTGATTAAAAGAGAATTAAAAAATTCTCCACTGAGCAACTTCATTTTTTTTTTCTCAGAATTATGTCCTGATGTTGAGAGCTTTTTCTCAAAGTGCATAATGAAGAAAATTCTCCCCCTCTAATGATTTTTTTCCTCATTTTTGGCTGATACCCTTCCACAGATTTGTGACTCCTACCATGGAAAATATAAAAAGCAATAGCTGCTTTTCTAACGTGCTGTTATTCAATATGTCCAACAGCTATCTGGAGGTAAGGGTGAAAAAGCATTAGTAAAAATAATCAATAGTTTTGTGATGTTCTTATGTGGCCAGAAAAGATTGACATCAGTGTTCATTTTGGTGTGTTTCATAACTTCATAAAAACAAAACAAAGCTTTGGTGAAAAACAAATATTGATTAAATTGAATACAACAGAGGCCAAAATATCCCAACTCACAGTAAATAGTGTGAGTCCAAAACAGATTGTTACATTTCTTACATCTGAGTGGTGCAAGAGTCCTCTAAGAAAGTGGTTCTCAACTGGTGGGACCTGACCCAAAAGTGGGTTGTGGACACGCTCTGGATGGGTCACGAACAGCTGGTCAAAAAGTAAATATTTAATTTGATATTTATTAGATATTCGATATTTTCTGTATATGCTATTTCGGTAGTTGTCATCCTCATGTTGTCCCATTCATGTGCTCTGAAATGCACTTTACTCAACAAAACAAGTGGATTTATGTTAAAGATTAGAGTCTTTAAAGATTTTTTTATATATAAAAAATTAATTTGCTTTGTTTGAATTCTATAAAAGTGGGTCATGGCTAAAGGACCATGGGAAAATGTGGGTTCCAGAGTGAGACCAGTTGAGAACTACTGCTCTAAGATTTCTCAGTATTCATGACTAAGTGTGAAGTAATGATGGGAACTGCCCCTTTAAACTATACACTCAGTTTTCATATTCTATCAATAATTCACCTGGATACTTCCCTTTAGCTCTCAGTCTGTATGAATCTGCAGTCCCCTGCAATCCCACATGATAATCTCTGCAGCTACTCTGAGCACAGTTTTAATAATTGTGAGGATTAATCTGATCATATCTGTGTGGCGTGCTTTATGATTAAACGGTGAACCACAGGGCATCGAAACAGCATAGTCTGATCAACTTATTTCTTTGGAGTTTTTTTGTCATTGTTATTTGCACGAACACCCAAAACCTATCCTGATCTGTCAGATGACCTTGTCCTTTTAAAAGTCCTCAATCTGGATTCTCCCACAGTGATAAATCCACGGTTAAGATAAGGAGACAGATGACTGACCTCCGATCAGATCTAAACCCTCCTGACAATAATTAAGTTCTGAGTGTCCCTGTATCTGTATAGAACGTGCTCTTTTTTAAACGCCCACGCCACCTCTGAGTGTGATGATGATGCAGGCAGAGCTCGAGCTCCGCACGCGTCGTGACGTGGGAACAGCTGCAGAACAACACCTCGAGTGGTGCGCTCGTGACGTCAGCGGTCCCTAAGTCCCAAATGGGCAATAAAAATTATTCCAACACGATACGATATAATCCCAATTTACATGATAACAACGCGCACCGATCGGGATAACACCCGATATTTTAATCATAACAGTTATTAATAAATCTAATAATATAATGAATCATAATACGGGATTCATGTGTGCAGTCACAGGCACAGAGTCCATTGAATATCTGGTTCTGCAGAATCAGGGGGGTCAGGGCTCCTCAGAGTCCTGGTCCGGGTCAGAGATGTCCCGTGATTCTAAAGAGACGGGACCACAGCTTCTGTGAACTATGCGCGACATTTTGACGACAGCACCTCTCCTCCAAGCAGTAATATCGATCGTAAACCCTGTTTTTTCATCTCATTTCTTCTTCTTTCTTTAAGATAACTTCATGTATATCCTCTTACTCATCAAAACAGGTGAAGCTTTAAAAAAGCGCGTGCTGTTAAAGGAGGACAACTTCAAGTGAGGCAGAGGTCTGCTTCAAGACAAGCGGTCAAACATGGAGGAAATGTTACACCGACCTGTCCACAACACGGACACCCTCAACTCTAACACCAGATATGTGTTTCTATTCTGTCGTTTCTTTGTGCAGCAGAAACCAAAACACAAAGACACGCAAGCACGCACGCACGCACACATACACACAAACACACACACACTGTCACACACACCCCCCTGCTGCTGGCACCTCAACATGCAAATATCCACAGAAATGTTACTTACTGCTCAGGCGGATGAGGACGGTCAGAGTGTAACCAAGAGAGAGAGAGACAGGAGGAGTGTTTGTGTGTGTGTGAAGTCGGTGTGTGTATTATATAACCCGTAATTAAATAAATAACTCCACTAAATCCACGCAGAGCGACGGAAAACCCTGCTGATGTGACGCTGTGATGGCTGCTGAGTCTGCGCAGCTGGCGGAGATTCCGATGGCGTGATGCGACCCTGTGTGTGTGTGTGTGTGTGTGTGTGTGGGTGTGGGTGTGTGTGTGAGGGAGAGAGAGAGAGAGAGAGAGAGAGAGAGAGAGAGAGAGAGAGAGAGAGAGAGAGAGAGAGAGAGTGTGTGTGTGTGTGTGTGTGTGTGTGTGTGTGTGTGTGTGTTAGAGAGAGAGAGAGAGAGAGAGAGAGAGAGTGTTTTCCTTGCCATGAAGGTAACTACTGGAGAAACAGTGATCCCAGTCTGAGAAGGCGTTATTTTCGTTTTTTTTTTTTTCAATTGATTTTATTTATTTTTATTTTCTTATTTTAAAAATATAAAAACGTATAGTTTTTTAAATCTTTTAAAAATCATATATGGTGCAATATTTGTTAGATTTGCATCACAAAAATTTTATTGCTGATGATTCACCCAATATTTCTTTATGTTAATTCAAAACCCTAAATTTAATATTCAGTCAAAATGTTGTAAATCAAAATGTTAAAGGGATATTCCGGCGTAAAATTAATTTAGGGTCAAACACACTGTAACACAGAGTTAGACACCCTCTCGAGAGATAAATGTTTCCGACCACTTGCTTCTCTAGTTCTACCAACTTTAGTATTGACCGCAGGATAGCAATACACAGCGGTCTGAGGAGCCATCAACAAACCTCAACCAAAACGCCACTCTGTAGCCACAAATAATGCTCAGAAGCGCAGTCATTACTAAAGTTGGTAGAACAAGAGAAGCAAGCGGTCGGAAACATTTATCTCTCGAGGGGGTGTTAACTTGGTGTTATGGTGTGTTTGACCCTAAATTTATTTTATGCTGGAATATCCCTTTAACTCTAGGCCTAAATGTTGAATTGACATATTAAACTTTTGAAGTTCTGTTGTAAATCTCAAAATAAATGTGTAAATGTTAAAATAAAATGTAGGTGTTAAACGTAAAATCAAATATCAAAGAGAAATTTAAATTCCATTTTCAACGTTAAAAGGACATGCTCATGACCAGCTGAGATAAAGCAATCTGCTTTGTCCACTGGTGGACACCAGAAATGATACAACCCAAAGGTTTACTCGTATTAAAGGTCCAGTGTGCAGAAATGGAAAGTTTGGTGACATCTAGCTGTAACAAGGTTGCTCAACACATTAAGGATTTATGCACATGTACACACCAGCTCAGGAGGTGGAAATATATATTTTTTAAGTCATTTTTATAGTTTTAAAATGCTAAATCTCACAGAAAAAAAAAATGTTCCTGTTGTGATCTTACTTTTACTTTAATGTTGCTCTGTCAGAAGCCAGATTAGTTCAAACCAGCAGAAAGTCCACTCATCCTCACTCATTTCTAACATCATAATTTCTGAAATTAGTACAAGCTCCAATTTATGCTTTCATAATAATAGTTCACTTTCAAGCAAGGGCTTAAAATTCAAGAGAAAGATACAAAATGTAACTGAAAATAACTCAACCAATCTTCTATAAGATTTAAGGTTATTTCAAATGTAAATATAAATCCAGTTTGAGGACAGTTACATCAGTCTTTTTACACCAACTTGGTCGTGGTTGATGAAGGAGCTTCACTTTGAGTCCTCACTACAGTCCCCGAACACTGAGATGCTGCATCTCCAGATATTTGACCCTCATTGGTCTGAGCAGTTAGGATGAAGATCTCTTGGTTACAAAATATCCTCAACATCCTCCTCTGTGGTGTTAATTGTTCCACCAAGACAGCAGCCCCAGCCCCGGCTCACAAATGGTCCCCTGAAAAACACAACAGGTCAGGGTGAGTTAAAAACACGTGTTGTAAATTTGTTATTGATATTCATATCAGGGAGTATAACACCATGATTGACAGCTGAGGCTCCTGCAGGGCAGAGGAGAAACAGTGGGAGGAAACATAACCGTCACAAAGACAAGCCTCATTGAACTTCTCACAGACTGTGTCTTTTAGGGATGAAGTCTATTCTTACAATCAGAGTGTATGGTGCCTCTTTTTTCTCCCCGCTGTCCTCTGGTGGCGGTGCAGTTGACTGTCCTGGTTGTGCTGGCGTGTCTGTGGCTGCAGCTGCCGGGCCTGTTGGCGACGTGTCTATGAAGACTTCATCCGCCACACGGAAACGGATCTCCTCTCCCTGGTCCATGTAGAGGTCATGGGCTCCCTCGTCTGTTTCATATTCCCAGAGCCAAACCTGCTCTGCTTCATCGCTGAGTTTGCAGCTAAGGACCACTTCACACTACCACTGTCAAAGTTAAAAATAAGCTACATTTTGTGTTCAGAATGGTAAAAACATGTAGCGAATCAGTTTTCAAGATTAACAACTTTAAAAGAACACTAAAAAAACATGGAAACGTTGCAGGTTTCTGAAAAACACCCCGGAAGAACATCTCCTAACTAATAGGATTAGTTTACAACAGATTAGAGACATGACTGGTTACAAAAGAGAGCTTTTCAGAGTTGCAGAATATCTCAAAAGTAAAGATGGGAAGAAGTTTTCCACTCTGAGAGAAACTATGAGAACAAATGGTCCAACAATTTCAAAAAAATGTTTATCATTAAATTGCAAAGAATTTGGAGATTTTATCATCTCAAGTAAGAATCCAGAGGATCTCTGGTACGAGACAAAAAAATACAACTGGATGGCCATGGTCTTTGGGCTTTCAGGTGGAACTGTATTAAAAATGGACATAACTCTATAGTGGTTAATGTGATTCAGAAAAGCTGGTGACTGGGCCTGAGCTGGACTGAGGGGAAGGGGAAACTGTTCCTGGGTCCCAGTATTGTGATAATATCATATCATGGGACCACTATGTGATTCCCACCCCTATAATATAGAGTTACATATTTTGCAAACCCTCACCTTCTTGAGTTGTGGTTGTAAAGGTGTTTTTTATGATAAAATCCAATAAACAGGAATAAAAAAATAAGGATACAACTTTGCAGGCTGTTGAAGCGACTCTGGCGGGATGAGAATATCGTCAAAGAAGCCCATGGTCACTGTGAAACAGAGAAGTTACAGTGTGGGGTCAGCGTGAACCACAGTGGACAGTGAAGACTCTTTGACAAGGTGTCAAATGTTTTTGTGTTGTTTTTACATCAGATGGCATTTCTACTTCAATTTCCAAATTACATTATATGCATGATATGTTGTAAATTGTAAATACTGTAGAAAAACCAACTGAGCAGAATAAACTGCATGCACCACACAGACATTACTGAGTACTCATGACCGTGTTTCTTTGTTTTCATATACTAAGTATGAAAAATACACCAAACCATGAACATCCAGACAAAAGGAAAATATTTAAGGTTCTTATAACTGATCCAAGATACATTTTCTTAAGATTGAATCAAACATGCTGACAAAAGGAAACAGATAGTACCGTAGACTCCTTCTTGACTGCAGTACTTGATCTTTCCAACGAGGATCTCTTCGAGGAACGGGTGGAAAACAACATATCTGAAATGAACTGAGAGAAAGACCAAAAGAAGACAGGAGACACAACTTTGTAAAAAAACTTGAGATCTGAGTGGAAAAATGCAGAGAGAGGGTTTTGAATCCAATATCTGGCTGTGCCTCTGGAATAAAAACATGTGAAACAAGATTCTAAGTATGTGGAAATGATAAAGCCAGATCACAGCATTTTATTTATCAACCTATAAACCTCTTTTACCTTTTGTGTGTGAGGCTCCATCTCCAGGGAAAATATAGGAATCCTCCAGTTTAGTGATATCATACAGGCAGATGCATAGACCCACCTTATAGACCACCTGATGTAGAGGAAGAGGGGGACAGGTAAGAAGAAAATAGTTACTTCACTGTACTTCACTTTGTGTGCGATGAATCCAGAATAATTTAGCATTTCACTTATGGGAGATTTCTGACTTTTTAGGTACATTTTATTTTCTGAGCTGCACCTGTAGGGTGCTTTTTACACGCTTTTTACACTTAGATATATTTTTTGGAATCAGTACATCATATACAAACAAAATGTGTACCTGATGAAAAACCAAAGTCTGAGGTATATATTTGGTATTCATGTCATTTTCATAACATGTGTCAGTGCAGAGTCATCAGCAATCAAATAGAGAGTGTGAACATGTGACATGTTGCGCCACCATCAGTTAAGTTGTCTCACCACATGGGGTAAGATGTCACAGTGGATTTTGCAGCTAATAAAACAAGGACAAGCTATGACTTGAACTGAATCCTAAACCATTCAGCTGTGTATCAATTCAGGAGGTCGGAGTCGCAGGCTCCTCCTGCCAAATACTGAATGATTCTGCGATTTGATGAATAAATCTTTTGAATGAATCTCTTTAGTGAACTGATTCTAGTGATTCAGTTCATCTAAAAGAACTGCCGTGCCCATCACTACCCCTGACCATGTAAAGGAAGAAAACTAGTATTCCACTTTTTAGTTGCGTCCTCTGGTGGCAAAGTGCATTATGACAACTTACCCAAGTGACAACAAGCCCCGGTCTCCCCTACTTCGGACTGCCTGTATGATCTACTACTGAGGATGACTCACAGGTACAACACACACATGCACACACACACACATACACACCTTGTTTGCCAGCTTCTTGTTGAGCTCCTCGGCTATGGCTACGTTCAGCTGTTTGTGGAAATCCCACGGAGGGATCCTCACAGTATCCACCATCTCCACCAACACAAACATCCTTCAGAGTGTGGACAGGTACCCACTCACACACTTAGAAACACACACACACTAACAGAGCTGCTGAGTTCATAAAACAGACTGAACTGTTGCGTGTCAACAGCGTGTCACTTGTTTTGCTAAGACATATCTGTTCTGTCTGTGGAGAAAAAAAAAAAACATTGAACTAAAGACGATTATGCCAATATAGCAATGTAGGCTGCTTCATGATGTCCCCATGTGTTTGCTTTACGGCAGACGGCTTTACGGCATGTCGTAACACTTAAAGGGACAGCGCACAGCAGCGTCAAGATCCACATGTAAGCTCTTCATATTTGAGCAAAATTGAAGTCCTTTAATTTAAGATTCAGTGAGTCAAACTCTCCTTTAGTGCCCTTGAATCAGAAATCGTCTATGACAGAGTATTAGACCACTTTTTTAAAATTTTGAATTTTTTTGAGAATTAAAAAATATCTTTTCTCACTTAGGCTAAATAAAGTTGAGATTTTAAGTCCTAATGTTATGTTATTGTTACAAAATAAAGTTAAGTTATAAAACGACAACTAGATTGACATTATTGTGACAAAATGTATTTTTTATCTTTAAAAAACAATTCAAATGTTTTTATTGTCAATATCAATGTGGCTTTTATACTTAGTTGTAAACGGCATATTAAAAGTTCGACTAATTTATTCATCCATCAAAAAGAAAAATTAATGAGCGTCAGAAAATGATTCAAAGGCTGCATCAAGCCTCTGCATCATAGTCCATTTCACCGTTTTAATGGTCCAGGGAGGAACTTTTGGTTTGAATTTTGGTTTCCCCCTGTGGATAAAGCAGTCTTTGCTCATCCTGTTCTCTATTTGCTTGATGTTTTGGACAAAAAAAATCTAATCTTGCTGACTTGACAGTTCACTATATAGTTGATAGTACATTTTTATGTGTAGAAACAGGCTATTTCTTCAGCTCACACCTCCCTCCTCAGAGCAGGCATAAAAAATTTGGTTATAGAAATATTTTTATTTGTCACTGATGGTACGTTTTGTTTCACAGTATCATAAAAGGACAGCAATATGAATGTCAGACTTAACCAAGTGTCAGAAAACTAACACACAAAACCAGTCACTTTAAAATTTCATCTTTATTAGTCATCTTTATTTACGTACTAATGATTCTGTAAATGTCAACAGTTTTAATCTCACTGGCATCAAAATTTCCAAGGTTCAATCTACTTCTTTAAAATCAGTTTAATGCTGAAACAGAAGTGTGAGGAAATCATCACTTAGGACAGATATTCTGGTTGACACACATGGAGCATGTTGACAATTTCATTTTTGTCATATTGAAGGAAGCTTGAGCAAACAGAGCACATCCGAGTACAAAAACAATCACACAATGGGCATGCCAACACACATCGCCTTTGTGAACAACATTTGATTTGTTTCTTTACAGCAGATATATATAGATTTTTTAAATCAGAGAAATTACACAGTGAACAGTAAAACTTTGAATTAGAAAATCTGAAAGATGATTCAATAAATCTGTGTTTTAGGATGTTTTCAAAACAAAACAAAACCTGAAAAAATCTGATGGAAACATCACCCTGTACAGAATCAAGCATGTATGGACATAGATCTCTGTACTTTAATGTGGCATCTTTGGAAATCTGGTGGAGTGTTTGAGCATTAAAGTGATGTTATTTACAGATGATATTTGAATAAATAACCCCCTATGTGGAGTTATGTTAACTGAGACTTTAAATCATCTCTGACCCTGAAAACCTCTGAATAAAAATCACAAATCAGTCAATCCTCAGCTTTCCAAAAGTTACTAATTCACTTTCACTTTCAGAATCTGTCAGAAATCAGTCGCTACAATCATACATCTGTGCTTTAAGCAAGCACACAATCCACATGTCATCTTGTTTGTGAAGAAGGGTGTGTTAGTGGAGATTCAGTTTAATATAGAAACACCAGAGGGGACTCATGACATTAAAAGGAGTCACAGACAGAGTTAATGGCCCCTTTAAGACAGGCAGCATACAGCATGTTAGCCACTCTTTCTCTCTGTTACATATATAATCTGTTTATAATTTATGTACACAACCTCACACTAAGTGGAGCTACATTTATAACACAATTTACACACAGGTTCAAACCCTTTAGGGTGTAGGGATTTACCTCAAGGACAGTCACTTTTCAATAGAAACATTTTAAGGAGCTTTGTTCCCCTTATGAGAGGATGAGAGAGTAAAAAAGAAGGAAACTTGGTAAAAGAGTGGGGGGAATAAGTGCTAAAGGACACCAGGTTGGAGTCAAACCTCGGTGCATGATTTAGTCCCTCTATCCAAAACTTCTTGACTTCCACAAGGAAAAATAAGAGGGGTGGTGATGGACATAAAGGACCAGCAAAGGAAAAATAAAATATGTTTCAATATATATATATATATAGCAGCAATTACTTCAAAATAAAAGTCATGGGTTAATCTTACAAAATTAACAGAGAAGTCAGCCCTAAAATTAAATACTAAAGGCGGGAACATTTTAAAGTCTTTGTAGAGGACAAAAAAAAAAGTGTGGCAAAGCACTCCTAAAACTACCGTCCAAACTCTACAAAGTGCTAGTGTACAGGCCTCTGGACACTAGATTGTGCGTTAGTTTGTGTAAGACGACAGCAAGCCTTCTAAATGGACCAAACCACAACCTGAAATAAAAACACAATCACAGAGAAATGCAGTCATTGTCTCCCATTAAAGCTGCAGGGGGCCATTTCACACACCAGCAGCTCCTCCAAAACAGACACTTTAACACAGAGATGTTGTTTTAGAGCCTTTTCCTGTTAACAAAACTATTTCAAGAGTCTTTTTATCACACTGTTGTGCAGCTATTTCACCGTTATTTACGCTAAAGTGTGGCCTAACACTCAGGCTGTTTCTCCAAACACATCAGGTTGTGGTTTGGACTTCATGAAGCGGCCTGCTAAGAGCGACAGAAGAGGAAGGATGAGCAGAGAGGAACAGACAGATCGACGATAATCTCAAATCACTAAGCATGCAGGACTGAACACAGAGGAAAGAAAATAATGGTGGCACTAACACTAAAAAGAAAACAGGACATGATGTGATTCATATCCCACTTTGACACGGACATTCACAGTGGAAAATTTTTCAAAATATTCTGCTAATGACAAGTACTTGGTGTGGAGAAAAATGAAGATGATAAATACAGGTGGACAGGATGATCTTCAGGTGACTGGCCTGGACGTTATGAAAGAAAGTTACATTCATGGGAGTTGAGAAACTCTATCAGCTTATTGAAATAATTATTATTGAAGCTACACTGGAGAAGAACAGTAGTCTAAGTGCTGCAGCAGTTAAACATGAATTATCCTCTGTTTATTTCAGATGATTTAGGGTTTAAATGAGATCTGTATAAGCTGTGGAAACTACTATCTAAGTTGGGAGTGTAAGGTTCATGTTTTTATACTGAACAGTTTTGAAACAGCATTTTCGGTTTGGTGTTGAACTACAGAAGATGCCCTGGAAAGACCACACATACAGCATGTAGCTCATCATTTCAGTCATACTGGTTTTGGTATAGTGACTATAGTGGAATAGTTTAACACTGAATGTGATCATCAGCATGTCTGTTACACTCAATAGTTGGAGCGGAAGGTGAACTCAGAACAAGCCTCTTGCTTTGCCCAGTTTGGAGATTAAATTCTGAGAAAAAAGTCAGAGTTACTGAGAGAAAAAATGTTGGCTCAAATCCCCTTCTGTTCCTTGCTGTACGAAAACAAACCTAACCAGGACTTCAAAGACAGAAACCGAGCTGAAACTGGACTCTTTTTGTACCATTACACCCCTAATTTTACAGAATGCTTCTAACAAGCCTGTTTCTGCTGAAAGATGCATATGAACCATATTTTTGTGTCCGCATGAGAAACATAAAACCTAACCGTGATAATCAGGAAGAGGAGACACTGAACAATACAAAGTTATGACAACAGTGGTGTTAAAGTGTGCTGTGCTTTCATTATAAACACAATGCTGCCTACAACAGAGACACACACTGCTAAGCTTTGGGGGTGTGTGCTTGTTTGCGTGTCTGTGCAAGTCATTCTGCCTGTCTTCTGAACAAGCTTTCACAGTAATCCTGTCTGTGCGTGTGCGTGCTTGTGTACGTGTGTGTGCGCTTTTCATCTGTACAGCGACCTTGTGTGTGGGGGTGTGTGTGTTTATGTGTGTGTAAGTGGTAGTTTTTCCTCTCTCAGCAAAACTACAACCATCTCTAAACTGACATCAACACAAAAAGTCTTCTAACCATCGACCGTGTTCACACAATCTCCTCCTCTTTGCCATCTCCTCTCCTGGCTCACGTTTCTCTCCTTCTTCACCCACGTCAAGGCCCCTCGATGGCCCCTTCAGGCCCCGCCTCCCTCCTCACTGGAGCTCCTTCATCCTGTTGAGGGCGGAGCCAGCCTGGAACCACTCAATCTGCGTCTCGTTGAAGGTGTGGTTCAGAGAGACGGACTCCTGGCTGCCGTCGCTGTGCTTGATCACCGCTGTCAGAGGCTGAAGGCAAACAGACCAAGTGTCAATCATTCACCTCCAGTACGGAGCCAAGAAGCCAGGCTGTCCTTCAGAGTCAGGTTTCATTATGACGAAATATTCCTCACCTTGCCAGGATTCAACGATTTCAGCCCGGTGATTGAAATCTTGTCATCAGGGCGGATTTTGTCGTAGTCACTGGGGTCAGCAAAGGTCAGAGGCAGCAGGCCCTGCTTCTTCAGGTTAGTCTCTGTGAGAGGGGAGACAAAGATCAGAAAAACATCAGACTGACTCACATTTTTCTTCTGTTGGGTAACCAGAGGGAGGTTGAGATCATGAGAAATAATGCACTCAAGAAACTGAGTCTGCTTTTTAATTATCATAAATGTTATATCTACACAAACTTCACCCTCAGAGAGATCTTAGATCTGTTCACAGCTCTGAACACTGTATTGTGTACAAACAGAAATATTTCTTTTGTTTGTTCTTGATGCTCTAAGAAAATCATTTTGCATGAATTAAAACTATAAAAGAAGCAGTGTACATAAAACTCCTTCTTTTGTCCTATTCTTCATCTGAAGCAGTTGTCCCCGACCCTTTTTCTTTCAAGCTCCCTCTGCTCGTACCAAAAACTCCTGAGCCACGAGCACGAAGAAAAGTTCTTTGGTGAAATTTTCCCATTTAAAAACCTCATTATCAGCCAGCTTTGTTAAGTCTTATAATGATTTCTTCATATTTTCTCTGAAACTGCAATATAAGTTTGGTCTAATCTAATCTATTCATAGCACCCTTCAAATCGTTCAGTAAAGTATTCCAGAGTTTGACCCCAACTACAGAAATATTTCCATAAGTTAAGGACAAAAATAGTCGCTAACTATCTATCAAGTGTGTAATCATAACATTGGTTAATGTATGCAAATTTTATTTTTGACACCCTCAGAGCAGCCAGAGCCTTACCTCTATATGAGATTTCTGGCGCCCCCTCTAGGTTGGAAACCAAATGATGGTGGTCGAGACATTTTTAAGACAACTGTGTGGTTTCAGAGAGTCTGCAGTGAGCAGCAGATGTTTGCATTACTTCCTGAAACACTTCACTTCTTGATTACCCTGTTGTTTAATTTTTCAAGCAGCACAGACCTTATTAAAGCTAAATGACTAGATCCTGTACAAGAGGATGTGTAATAGGAGTAATGCACTATGACATGTTGGGGGACAGCTTCATAGATTTTATAGCAAAGTGTTCGAAATCAAGTATGATATATGAGTTTAGGGAACAAAAGAAGGACTAAAGAGTAAAAAAAAACAATTATCTACAGCAAAGTTTACTTGAGTATCTACAGTATATGCATGCACACTCCTGATGATGGCTCCTGAGGTAGTAACACTGTTGTTTTTGAAAGAATCAGTAATTATAGAGCATCTGTTTAGCTGTCTCCAGACTTCATTTTATCCCCCCTCTTGCTCACATTCAGAGTTTTCCTGTCTGTGATGAACCGCCTCTAATAGAGTTTAATTATAGCATGAAGACTCACCCAGACTCTGCTGGGAGCTCTTTCTGCAGACTGTAAACATGCAGCACTGAAGAACCATCACTTCGGTCTAAGACTTTGCTAACAATGTTTAAGTGTTTTTTTTTTATTGTCATAACCTTTCTTGAAGAATTTAATGATCTGAGTTACAGCAAAAGAAAAGTGTACATGTCTGGAGCAGTGGCAGCTTATACCAGCTTAGATTTGTATTGTTTCCTCCTTGAGCTCCAAAACTCACCGTGGATTCTGGCGAAGCTCTTGACGATGATGGCGCGTCCTCCAAGGTGTCGTGGCTCGAGGGCGGCGTGCTCTCTGCTCGACCCTTCCCCATAGTTCTCATCTCCAACCACCACCCAGTTTTCTCCGTTAGCCTGGATGACACGTTGAAAGAAGGACAGACAAGTATTTCAACTGGTGTTAACAGCAAAGCTTTTTGGAAAAAAGTTTTACACAAAATATTGCACAACACATTTCTAGTTAAGAGAACAGCATGCAGAAAATAAAACTGGTTCTGCTTGAACTCACTCACTTGCTCCTCATTTGCTCTTTGCTTTAAGACGGTTAGGCTAAAACATCTGAAACACCTTCTGAAATAATGCAACACTGCTCAGCAGCAACTGAACAACATGCACAGAAAAAACAGATCCTGAACATTGAAGTCTTCATGTAGGAGGGGCTGGTTGTAGAGATGTGTTCATGTCAGCCAGATGTACCTAACAAACATGTAACTGACTATTTTTTGTATCCTATAACTGTAAAAAAACTATTAGTCATATTCACCTTGTAGTGGCGGGCGACGTCTGGCACGCCTCCGTACTCTCCTGTCAGCTGGTTCTTCACCTTGTTAACGGCATCGTTCTCGATGTTGACCGCTCCGATCAGCAGGTTGTTAGAGATGTTGTCCAGGTGGCCGCGGAACTTCAGCCAGGGCCCGGCAGCACTGATGTGGTCGGTGGTGCATTTTCCTTTCACCTACAGAGGGGGAGAGGAAAATGGAGCGATGAAGAGCAGAGATTACAGAGGAATAAAGGAAATTATCCAAAGATCTGATATTTCTAGGAATCAGTGTTTATTTTTTTGTTTGTTTGTTTTTTGTTAGCTTGAGCGGAGCTTTGGATAAATCCTGAAGTTATACATGAACAAACCTTTCCCAGTCAACAAGAGAAACAAAAAAAAAAAAAGAAACAAACAAAAAAAGTCTTCTCAAACATTTTAACCTTACCCCTATACCTGCGTCTCAGCTTCCTTTTAATCCATTTTAACCAGTATAAATCTTTGATCCTTGTGATTAGTTTTTTGCCTTTTCACTTAAAAAAGGACAATCAAGTGGGTGCTGTAATTTTGAATTTTTTTGTGATCAAAGCAGAGGAAATTTGAATTTTTTTTAAAGCACACATTGAGCCAAAGTGGGTTTGATTCCAGCAACGGGACTAAGTGCTGTATGATTTTTCTATTCAAAAGAAACCACAGGGTTCACGTTTATTTATGGTATTCATTAAGTGTATCAGGCTCATATGCTCAACGGAAACACTCTCTCAGACTAACCTTGGCTATTTGTCTTTTAATATGATTGTAGTAAAAACAACTCCACAGGACTAGTCTGATAATAAGATCTCAGGTACACCACTTACACACGACTCTACGATACACATTTCTCTTGAATTGAATTATGCTGCAGGAACAGAAGGATATAAAGAAAGTGAAAGTTCAGATGATAATCCAAACAGAGCTGTACGCTGCTTCTTAAATCTGCTCCTGCTTTAGCCGCTCAGGGCAACACGGGTTAACAGGTTACTGTGCAGAATCCTCCTCGTGGGATTACAGAACTCTCATGTCCTCCATCTTCCGTGAGGAAGGTAGCTCCAGCAGCTGCAGACGGTTGCTGGAGGGGCTCACGTCCACCTGAGCAACAACAACAACAACAACAACAACAACAAAATAGATTAGACATCAGTGTTTGTCCAGGGATTTGTACCAAAAACAGACAAAGTGCAGCTCAAACCACATATGATTTACGGTTTTCACCAGCTGTCATATCAGATCACTTTGCTCGCTGTAAGATTAAAAACTGAGTCTAATGAAGCGATAAAAGAATGTAAGAAAAAGTCACCTTGACAGCGCCGCTCTCTGCAGGAGGATGCTGGTAGGTGTCCTGACCTGGGTCAAAGTCTCTGGAGGGGAGCTCATCACCAGTGGGGGGTTCCAGCTTGAACTTCTCTCCATTGGGTGCTGTCAGGTAGTCTGTCTCTGGGTTGAAGTTGAGAGTTCCGGCAATAGCCAGCGCCGTGACAATCTGCATCACATTGAAAGAGAAGCATTTACCTTTCTGCTGCCATGAAATATCATTACATATATATGAAACACATCGCCCATGCTGCATGTCTAAGCCTCTGTCAGAAGTTTAATGAATGCTGGTGTACAGCTTTCATTTATCTGTAATCTCTGAGCGTGTTTTTCTTTACTCTGACCTCGGGAGAGGTGACGAAAGCATGAGTAGCAGGGTTAGCGTCATTCCTGGCAGTGAAGTTTCTGTTGAAGGACGTGACGATCGTATTCTTCTCTCCTTTTTTCACATCTTTTCTGAGGAGAGTGGAAACAAAAGGCATTTTAGTCTAATCCGTCTTGTTCAGTCCACTTTTCTCAAAGGAATACTTTATCTGATCAGACTTCACTTTGTACTTCTGTGCAGCAAGCCTTCTGTTTTTATATCACACCAGAAGAAAAGTCCAAAGCTCTGCTTGTGGACCTTTGTGGCTTCATTAGTGGAATAATATGAAAGTGTACAGTGGAACAACACAGAGAATATTCCCCGCTCTTTAGGCCTAATTAGAAGGAAGGACACAAGCTCATTAAAATCAAAAGTTCAGTCTCTTTGAAACATACATATGTTCAGAAAAACTGCAGCCTCTGAGATCAGAGGATACAGAATGGTGAAGTGTGTCATGTTGGACTTTGACTAATATTAAAAAGCTCTTCATCCATCATTTATTTATAACTGCTTATCCTATTCACAGCTGTGGGGATCTGGAGCTGACACTGGGTGAGAGGTGAGGTGGACCCTGGACTGATCATCTGCTATTCACAAGGCTGACATAGAGAAGCACATAGACCAGGGGTGGGCAATCATGTGCCATGGAGGGCCGAGAGGCTGCAGGTTTTCTTTCCAACCCAAAACTCCAAAACTCCACCAGGTGATTTTACTGATTACCTTACCTCCAAGCAGAGAGCAGGGACTAATCAGTGAAATCACCTGGTGGAGTTTTGGGTTGGAAAGAAAACCTGCAGCCTCTCGTGCAGCTCTACAAGAGTTCTGATAGGATTAAATGTGTTCAAGTAACACAAATCAGAATGGGAAAGCCTCTCACCGTGTGTCCGGTCTGCAAATCATGACGTATATTAACTTTCCTTAATTTGAACAGAACTGATTTATTTACTTAAGAGCTCAATTTTGGATCAACTGTGGCCTCCTCTTACACCTGGCTATCCTCGTTCTTGACCAAAGCTCTGGCATGACACACTCATCACTAGGGCTGTCAAAATTGCTCCAAAATGACGTTTGAATATTCGTTCTAAAAATAACACATAGGTTAGAACATATTCGAATATCTAGCTTACACAGCTTGCATATAATTTTGTCTCACTCAGCATTTTTTCTGTCTTATGTGTCTGCCCAAAATCCTAAGAGTTTCCAAACGGAGCCTCTAAAGTTCATTGGAGTCCAGACCACTCTCTCTGAGTTTGGCTCCGGACATCCCACCATCTCTTTCGCATGTGCCATGGATGATTTTTCATTTTTTCCCTCTCAGTTTTTTCACGCTGCAATATTTGAATATTAGTTTTCACATTCTAATATATATATTTGAATTTAGAATATTCGTTGACGACCCAACTCATCGCCCACCATGACAACACTGCACTGTGACATACCTGTCCCACTGTCCAATGCAGGGGCCACAAGCATTAGCGAGCACAACTCCACCGACATCACTCAGGATCTTGGCCTGAAGAAAGAAACGCAACATGAGAAGTCTTCTTATTCATCTCTGAAAAACTCACTTCTGTAAATCTGCTTAAAAAAAAGGACTTTTATGCTAATCCTCTCTCATTAAATGTTATGAGACTGTGACTCACATATCCATCTCTCTCTATGGTGGCACGGATTTGCTCGGATCCGGGGGTGACCGTGAACTGGGCCTTGCACTTCAGCCCTTTATCCAGAGCCTGCTTGGCCAAAGAGGCGGCTCTGCCCATGTCCTCGTAGCTCGAGTTGGTGCAGCTGCCGATCAGACCTGAGAGAGAAGAGTTCAATATTTGTGGGAGGGAAGAGAGAAGGAAGAAGTTGAGTGCAGGAATAAACAGTTCAAGAGCGTGTTGGAAGGATTCCTCTTTACTGATGATAACACTTCTTACATAAAAAGAAATCAAGACTCAAACTACAGGCTTTTTGTGCTTCAATGCGTCAATCATCATCCTTGTATTTACTAATTTTATAAATAACTGGGACTCTGTTGAGCTTGGTCGTGGTCCACAACGTGACATGGCAGCAATATGATCGGCACAAATCTGGTCAATAACACAGCTTCTTGGAACAAAAGGAAATATATCACATTTCACTAGACAAAGCATTTTCAATGAAAGATAATACAGCTGTGTTATTAATACTGACCAACTTTGACCTCCAAGGGCCAGCCGTGCTTCTTCGCTGTGGCTCCGATGTCAGACACAGGGTGGGCCAGGTCGGGGGTGAATGGCCCATTGATGTGGGGTTTTAACTGTTTGAAGAAGAGAGGGGAAAAGGCGCGAATGAGTGATCTCTTTGTGAAGCTACTATCCCACGCATTTGACCACTGTCAATATCAATATTTTGTTGCTAAAATGAGAAAAAACACCACTAACACGTGACGCAGAACATGACTACGCTGTTATGTGACACAGGGAAGTGGGTTCTGTTTGAAGTGGACAGGGGTTAAGATAACGTGAACATGATATCAGCTGGATTTGGCTGGTCATTGATTCAGAAATTCAGTATCAGCACTCACTCATTCATATGCTGATGAATGTCAAGATAAGCATGCTAAGATGAGCAAATTTGATTAAATGTATTTTGTTTTAATCTCGATCATTATTCCTGCCTTTTTTTGGTTTGGATAGTTTTTTATGTGTTTGCACTGTAAAGGGAGTGTTTTTTTTTTCTATAGCTCATTTATTTTTTCATTTTATTGAGGCTAGGGCTTCTGCATGGATTTCCATAACTAGGGGTGATAGAGCTGATATGACTGGTGTGCTGCAGCTGAGTGTCAGGAGGCCAAACTATCAATTCCACCTCTTTGCCGAGGCTGACCAAGGTTGATTAAGCTTGAGTCAGCATTTCCAATAACACCAGAGAACCAACAGGTGGGTCACCGTTGCTGTGTCCGTGTTTTATACACTCTAGGATGCAGATATGCAGCAAAAACAAACAACAAAAAAAAGGGGGAGTGCTGAAATGGCTGTAGCCTCATCACATGTGCTGCATGCTTCAACAGCTGAGCTACATACACCATGCCCCAGGCTGTAACATTTAGAAGTCACACGCACCTATGCACACACTGTGCTAAGCTTTCATTTTTAGTTTGAATAAAACATTATGTAGATTAAACTGGAGAAAATGCCAAACATTGTGTCAATCATCGTGTAGTGCGTGGTGTTAGGAGTCGAAATGAGGGTTAATGTTGAATCTGCTGGTAAGAAAAATAATGAGAAAGGTACCAAAACAGTAGATCTGTGTTTTCCTACAGTGACTGTCCCAGACAACTTCAAAATAAAAGCACTGAGTAAAAACAAGGGGAGTCTCATCATAAAAAATGGATCAGGTTTTTGCTTTGAAGAGCATACTGGACCACCCTCCACTCCATATTTTGATATAAACATTATAAGCCCTCAGCTTATAAATTCTCTGTCTATTTTGGCCCAGATTTGAGCACCACTTGTGGAAAAAAATCTGCTCTGATCACATGCACACCTACATGGAAATCAAGCCGTTCTGGAGCGTCACACATGCAGCCAACATGCTTCCTGTGTGAAGCAACCACCAGGGTGTAGTTGGCCGTGGAAACCAGAGCAAGATCAGAGTTTCCCGTGCCAAACTGGACCAAAATGGACCACTTGGAGGAAACACACCATATGCTGCTTTGGCATCCTGGCTGTTCATGCTCAGACACCAAAATATTGTGACTCACCTCGCTCAGGTTGATCTCTACGATCTGGTCGTATTCACAGTTTTTATCCGGGACCAAGTCGTCTTTGAACTGCTCGGACAAAGCGGCAATCTCTGAATGAAGGAGGAGATCATAATGAAGCTAAGTACCAGTGAATAAAGGCAGAGCAGACAGAAAATGAACACACAGGAGGAGACTGACTGACCTCCACGGCCGGTTTTCTCCATGTACGTCTTCATACGGTGGTTGTAGGGGAAAACAGATGTGGTGGCTCCAATCTCAGCACCCATGTTACAAATTGTGGCCATTCCTGGACAATAAAAGTGCAAAAAGAATCAAAATACTGTTCTCAGGTTGTTGAAATCTATTGTTTTTATAAGAAAGATGAGGACAGTGTTAAAGCTCTCACTGTCCACTGTCTCCTCCTCACCTGTGCAGGAGATGGAGTCAACTCCAGGTCCATGATACTCCACAATGGCTCCAGTACCGCCCTTCACAGTCAGAATACCAGCTACCTTCAGGATCACATCTTTTGGAGAGGTCCAACCGGACAAGGTTCCTGTCAACCTCACACCAATCACCTGCAGGAAAAACACACACAAGCGTGTACAAACAAAAATCAAACATGAGGGTGCTTAACAGATCCACAAATGGTTCAAACTATAAATAAAGTAAAAAAGTAAGTTATTAAGAGCTCACTTTGGGACACTTGAGCTCCCATGGGATTCCAGCCATGACATCCACAGCATCAGCTCCGCCCACTCCGATGCAGATGGCGCCCAGCCCACCTCCATTAGGAGTGTGGGAGTCTGTACCAATCAGCATCACTCCAGGATAGGCATAATTCTCCAGAATGATCTGTCCACACAGAAAGAGAGAGAGGGAGGGAGACAGTCACAGCCAGTTACACAATATTCCTCCAGGACCTATCCCTCACTTTTTTGGACTGTTGATGAAAATGGACAACTTCTGTGGGAATGTTCTGGTCCAAAAAGAGCCAGACGAGAGGTTACATTAATCACTTTGGCACAAAGACAGTTTGGGAGGAACTGCATGCTGATTCACAGCAGACAGTGTAGAGTGATGAGCAGATTCCGTAAAATGAAGCCATCAAAGATTCCCTTCGAGTGTGTTTGAAGAGGAACAGAAACCTCAGATGCTGAAAAAAAGTTCAGTAGCTGAGTAAACTGTTAAAATAGACTCAACTTTTTCTTTGTGAAAAATCCAAAGTATAAAATATCCTAGCATCTTTTATTTTTCTTTGGATAATTCTGATTTCCATCTTTCGAAGATCTGATGTGCCAACCAACAAATCTGGCTGATACAAGTTCACTTTCTCTGAAGACAGAAAACTTTATTTGCATCCTAGTGTCTACCAGCAGATTTTAGAGCTCTTCATGCTTCCATCTGCTGAGAAGCTTTATGGAGACTGAGATCTTCTCTTCCAGCTGGACCTGGCACCTGCACACAGCGCCAAAACTGCCAGAGGGAGACTGGTTTGTTAATCATGTGTACTACCGTGTTGATTGGCCATCCAACTGGCCTACCCTGAATCCCGTAGGGAATTTTTGGGGATATCAACAAGAGACAGATGAGAGACACCGAAGCAACAATACAAATCAGCCCAAGGCTGCTATCGAAACAATCTGGGCTTCAGTAACACCCCAGCAGAGCCACAGACTGACTAACTCCATGCCACGTTGCGCTGATGCTGTAATTAAGCAAAAGGAGCCTCGAGGAAGTACGGAGTGAATAAATCAACTTAATTTTCCAGAGTTTTAACATTTCTGTACTAGAAATCCTTTTTTTGGTTTGGTGTTTTGTAATATTCTGATGATTTGAGGTTTTTTGTTTGTTTTTTTTTTCGTCAGCTGTAAGACTGAAACTGAAACACCTTTAAATATTTCACTTTGTGCAGATAGCTGGCATTAATATACCCATTCCAACTTGTCTAATCACACTGGCAAACATTTAAGTATTCAAAAGATGTGATGTTCCTCTTCATAATGTTCAAATTTGCAAGTTAATACAACAAAGTGGAAACATTAAAAATCTCCTTCAAATATTCAAGGAATCATAAAAACAGTTGTCCAAAGTCAAAATTTATTGGACAAACAACAGAAAATGTAAGACATTTAAAGAGAGAGAAAGCCACTGACCGCCTGCAGCAACACAGTGGCAAAGAAAAGCAGAGTATTGGATATATTTGAGGGGATCAGTTAGTCTCAGGTTACAGCCACACAGGCTGAGATTCAGCCCATTCCCGTTAACAGGTTGATTTGTGTGCCTACATCTTTTTTTAAGTTTGTCTGACTGGTGCAAAAAGGTGTTATTCTACAAATCTGGGCACACATCACAAAAGTCAAACTGTACCTGATGGATGATCCCCGATCCAGGTTTCCAGAAACCCACTCCATATTTGGCAGCAGCAGTTGCAAGAAAGTTGTACACCTCCTGGTTTACCTCCTGGTTTGAGAGGAAATTTAAGAAGTATTAGGACAAAATTAGACATCTCTGATGTGACTTTAACATGATAGACACAAGGGGAGCCATGTAAGCTCAGTGGGAGAAGGTCCAATAATTCTCAAAGTCTTTCACAACACCAGAACTAAAACTAAAAGCTGTATGTCATCCTAATCTTAATTTATGAAGTGAACTAGACAATTGATTTAAACCAAACTGTCATATCTACTTTGCTGAAAGAAAAGTCTACTGCTTAAACCACGAGAAAAACTGCCTGCTGAAGAACAAATTTGCCCAAAACGACATTAAAACTCTTAAACACATACCTAAATTTAGCTCGCAAAAGTAAAATCAATCTTTTGAAAATGTAAAAAGCCAGTTCAAGAGATTAAACCACAAAATCAGCACTCTGCAAGAGATTATCTTTAATTATCTAAACAATAACACTGTTTAAACACCACAAATATAGAAACTGGCTCTTTCTGCACTCATCATAAACAGAGAAAAGAGCAGAAGTAGATTTTTTGATCTGCAGAGTCTCTCCATAACTGCACCTTGCCAACAAAATAATGGGGCTGTTTGAGGTTGGTATCAAAAACGCACTTTACCGGCAGTCGGGCTTTTTCATCTGAATTTTGGCTTTTATAAACGGAGTGCTGGCTGCAAAAACATCAAGCGGCTCTCATTCTCTATACCTGGAATCAGTATTTTCACTGTTTGTGTTCAGTCTTTTCCAAACCAAAGAGACTTTCACTTCCAAATCAAAGAGTAAGCTTTTATTATTTACATTTCAGACAGCGTCTATACATCATGACCCTCTGTCATAATACTAGATATAGTATTTGATGAGTTCATACAGGGAAAAAATGGAGACCACTAGTGGGACAGTACAGAGTACCAAAAGATTGACTGTTTCTCTTCTATCTAAGTTTATTTCACACCAATGACAGCCCCATATATATCTGTCACGCCCGTGATATTCTTCCCTCTGTCTTTACTAACCTTAGCCCTCTGCAGGTCCTGAGCCCCCCCGATCTGAGCCTCGATCAGGTGATCACAGTGGATGGTGGAGGGGACGGCCACCTTTGGGAGGCCGCTGCTGATGAACTGAAGCATCGCCATCTGAGCTGTGGCGTCCTGCATGGCCACGCGGTCCGGACGCAGGCGCAGGTATGTGCGGCCACGGTCAATCTCCTGCCCTGCTGGGTCATCCAGGTGACCGTATACAATCTTCTCAGACAGCGTGAGAGGCCGGCCGAGCCTGGGGAGATGGATTTATGGGAAAAGATGGAGTTAATATGACTTTGTGTTGGTCAATGTGAGCAGCATCACAAGTTTTTACTAAAGTAGCCTATAATCATTTTATTTATTGTAAAAGTCTTGAATTTAGTTAACTTGTGTTTATTTCTCTCAACACCAGAATGATAATCAGAGCCAAACGTGAAGACCAACAGCAGACTGTTCCTTTAACTGTAACACAACAGCCACACAAAGCATCTTGTATTCCTGGATTACAGAGCGTGCTAAGTTTAGTAAGAAGGATCACCAGGACATCCAAGCTGGCTGCGTGCTCCCTGCTGCCCTGACAAATCAACGCTCTAAAATGTCACATGATTTATCTCACAGCTGTAATGAACACCCTCCAGTGCTCATGAGCCAAGCTGTAATCAACAAACAGTTTGTGAGTGTCCATGTGAGGAAGGAGACGGCTGACCTCCTGCGCACAGTGTTGATGTTCTCATGCATCTTGTCATAGTTAACGGTGGAGCCCGGCTCAAAGCGGCTCATGGCCACCTTGGCCTTGGCGCTGAAGGCTGCAGAGACATGAAAGCGCCTTGCCCCGGTTCCAAGGGCCAGCTAAGATGGAGGAAACAGAGGCAATAACATCATAAACAACATTTAACTGTGCAGTTTAGTACTCACAGATTCAATCTGAGTTATAAACAGAGGCAGTCATATCATGCACAAATGGAAGCATATGTGAGGGTGGTTTAAACTTAATCTTGCAGGATGCAGCAGTAAAAATGTGCTGACAGAAAGAGAGACGACGAGTCCTCTATTTTAAGGTTCATAAGGCTCACACAGTTCACTTTAATATGCACATAAGATCTGAAGAGGAGCTCTGAATGCCCTAAGCTGCTCTGCTGGATCAGTATCATACCAAAGCAAACCCTTTTTTAACATACAGTATTATGACTATTTTTGCACATTTTGTTCTGCTGTGCCGTGGAGTCTGAAAGATTTGATCAAGGCACTGAAAGCAAAGTCTAAGATTCTGTACTACAAACATTTTTATGTTATATTTGATGATACTGAGCTGTCATATTAGCTTGAAGTGCTCACCCCTCCTGTAGCAGCCGTGATGTGTTTTGTCTGTGTTTCTTTTTCTTAGTTTAATTCTATTTCCAGCCTTTGTGCACCTTAGGGTGGTTCACTTTATTCGCAATTATTCAGACATGTGGCAGGAGGCAGAAAAATGGGGTGAGTGGGTTTGAATATTTTCTGTTGACCATCATTATCACCTTCATTATCATTGTTATTTAAGTTTTGTTTTTATAAGATTATTTTTCAGTCTTTTGTTTAAAAAACAGCAAAATTTACAAGCACTTTGATTTAATTCAGTATGTTGCATCTCAACTAGCCAACTTAGACCCTGAGTGGCTTTTTTTTATCTCAGCTGCTATTGGCAAAGCTACGGTGGCCTCTAAGGACAAGAAGCTCCAGTGGTGCATGATGAAGATAATCCTCCATATGTCAAGTCAAAAATACCTGTCAATACAAATCTTTTGAACACAACAAGCACTTTCCTCTCCCTTGTCATCCTCTAACCAGTGCACTTTGCATAGCCTGCCACTAAATACAAAAATGCATGTTAGTATTTGTTCTGTGCTGCTGCAGAAACATGGTGGAAGAAGACCCACTTTATACTTTATACTGTACAACTAAATGAAACTTTAAGTTATTAAAACCAAGAGCAATTCAAAATAGTCTCTTCTGTTACTTTGTCTGGCTAAAGTTGGCTTGAAGGGTTGGATTTAGATCTGTTCTGCCTGCGTATGAGAGTTTCACACCATTGAGTGTTATCTTTTCACTAGCTTTACTCACATGTTTTTTTTTGTATATCTGTTTCCTCTCAGTCTTACATCTGTGGAAAATCACTGTGCTCTGAATAAACTGTGTGAAAGGTCAGCTCTGCTTGCTAACTATCTGACTGATTCAATGAGTCCCTCAAACATCCCTCAACAGTGTTACATAATCAGTGAAGGAATACACATACTTTCAGTGAAATGAAACTAGTAATACACCCCTTTAGCACCACGAGTCTGAAATGTAAATTCACTCAATGACATATCACCCACTGTGAGCACATGACTGTCATAAAACACTGGCATGTGATCTCAGTCTGAACACAGAGAACCTAACTAAAGTAGAACTGATGAACACTTTTAACTGTGGAGAATATCTGTGCAACAGCAGTTCATAAATATATCTCTGCATGGGAACTACGTCAGCAGGTGAAACCCCTGAATGTTTGCAGGGTGTATATACTTCAAAGAAAAAATCTAAAATAGCCCATGAATTCATGAACATACACTTGGCACGTGCAACCTAGTGCTGTTCGTAGTTTAATGTGTGTTAAAAGTAGTGGTGCTATTTAGACTTGCAAGGTAAACCTTGGCAATCTAAATTCTACTTTTCCTAAGCTTCTATATTTTCAATATTTGTTGGCATGATCAGACAGGTGGTGACTGTTGTTTAAATTCAATTGTTGAAGCTGTAGATTAGAAGGTGCTGGAGTGCAATATATTGAAATGTTTTCCCGGTATGCTCATCCCCATGTTCGTCAATAAAGACGACAAAATAAAACCTATCAGCATAGCTCAGTCCACAACACAACCACTACCACACAATATGTCTTCAGCAATAACTCCGAATCTGAATTAGAACCTGGATACTTTATGTATCCCGGAGGTAATTCGATCATCACACTTGCTCTTGAAAATACAAATATTAATAAAAGGAAAATAGAAATACAAATGAAATCAGATTAATAAAAGATTACAATGGTTAGTACGAAGGGCAGAATATTAGAAATAAAGCTATTTACAAAGCACAGTGTTAAAGACATAAGCTAAGGATATTGCACAGTGTAATAGACAGTATAAAAATACAGTACATAATAATAATAGAAAAATTATTACATTACTGAAAGTACCTGTCTTATCATGTCAATTAAAACAGAACTTTTTAAGCTCTCAGAAGGTACAGGTTATTACACAGCTCTTGTCTGGGGCTCCATTAGATCGACTAAATGATGGGGCAGCTTAGTGCACATCATTGCCCACTAAAGTTGACCTTTTAAGGGAGTGCATACACAACATATTTGAAAAAAGAAAATTAAATTGAAAAATGTGTAAACATTTAAGTAGTGGAATCAGTCATCAGAAGCTGGTTTTAAGCTGCCACTGGCTCGAAATTAATTGCTGACTTCTAATTTTTTCAACATTTTTTTGTAAATATTTATGATTTTAATTAGCACCTGGTTTAAAGAATAATTGCCATCTATGTAGTGTAATCTGCTGTATGGCCGCTGGTTAGAAACATGGTCCCAGGATCATTAGCAGCTGTCAGCGGTGAACCTCCATCAAGTGCGCATTAAGAAAACTCAGTAACCTTGCCATCACCTTGCAAACATTAAAATAAAGGAGACCAGTGGCAGCGATAAAGAAGTTGATTTCGACAAATACTTTAAGGTAAAATTAGCGATTAACCGGTCTAAGATTGGCTGCTGTTGAATCGGTCGTTGTTTGAAACCGTTACAGCGTCGCTGTCAGGAGTCAAACGGGGACACTGTGACCCGATAACAGCGGCTCGATGCCGGCTTTAATCCTCATTTACCGACAGTTGGTCGATCTGTAAGGCTAATAGCTGTACCATACGATAGAGAATCTTTGTTGTCACCTATATGCGAGATAACAATAGGAGCAAAAGCTCTGTAAATGTATAAAATGTTTTCTTACCTGCAGCCTAGTGACAGTCAAACAGTAAGACGCCATTTTGTTCACCGACAAAGATGATTGTCGCCAAAATGTGACGTCATGAGATAGAAGAGTCCGTTATTTGTTACTTCATCATTTTCTGTCACTTGTATCGATCACAATAAAGTTGATTTTTCTCTGCAATCCTGAGCTGTTTGTTTTTAGGGAGTCTGCAGCTCGAAGAATAACACTGTACATGATTATTTGTCTTTCATTACATAATTTACAGGTAAATTTGCAGCAGAAGGCCTATACCTGTATATGTTTTTAATAAAACACAATACTTAAAAAATGAGAACTTACAAATTCGGCTTACAAATTATTTTAATTCGTAAACACTGGCATCCAATTGCACTGTTACATGTCAAGTTTTATGTCGTACTTTGTTTCATTTGCTTAGTTTTATTTCTCTCATAAACACTACTTGTTAAGATCCACCATAGCACTTCATCTGAAGAAATACACTTCATTAATGAGACTAATACAAAGATTTTACACACAAAACTTCTTAGAGCTACTTTTAATAAATAAACATACTTTTTTGTAAATTTATAGAAGAATTTAATAGCGTGCAGGTGAAGAGAGGAAACATGCTGAACAGTTTTGAAACAAACACTGACAGGCTGCTTGTGCCCTGGTGCAAAACTGACTTTTACAATCTTTTCAGGCCTGTCTAACAACTGATACATCTTTGAATATCAAGTTTTAAGCATATCTCTACATTATCCTTTGCTCCAATATGAAGACATATCTGTAGTGTCATTGCCTCTGCATAGCAACAAACATTACTGTGAAACAAACGGTAAGACATTCATCAGATTTTATTAGTCCACCGTGAAATCTGTGGACCTAAATGGAAACAAGTCGGTAAATGTTATCTTAACACGCAAGTCAAGGTTCGAAAAAATGTGAGGGGGTGGTGTTGATGGTGTGTTCGGTCCACTGGTCACAGCTGCCTGTGCTGGGTCAAGGTTTTGTTGTTCACTAAGCGGCCAAGACCTAGAATTAATTTACCAGTAACCTCTTAGACTTTTGCAATGTCTCTCCATCAATCATACCCGTAGCTGCATATGACCTGAGCTCTCTGTTGAGCTGTCTGCAGTTCCCCCAGAACAATGTGTGGTGCATAGTCAAGTATACTTACAATAGCTCTAATGAGACTGCAGAACTTATTTTGCTTGTATGTATTAACAACCTTTGCCAAATCTTTGCCTCACTAATAATGTGAACATAAGCAATATTTTCTTATCTTGTCCTCATGTTAAAACAGTGTCTTCTGACAAAAAATAAAAAAAACTCATCCTGCTGACCTTTGTAAGCCAAATGTATAATTTATTCTGAATATTTTACATGGAAATTCTGAAAACAGGGCTGTTTCTCTGGTCACTCAGCTGACACCTAGCTACCCCATCTCACTGGTTTTAGGCACCAAAACTTACCATATCAAAATAATGGTCTTTTTTGCTTTTATATATCATAGAAAGGCATCTATATGAATTTGAACCTATTTAAAAAATGTCCAAAAACTCTTCAGAGGAGCCTTTGTTCATATATTTTTAGGAACAAAGATCTTTGTGCTGATTATCTGGTTCGACTTTATAGCTCATGCAAAGACATCAGTATCAATTTCTTTCTATTTTACAACTAGCAAAAAAACTTCTAAGGGGAGCATTAAGCCCACTTGATACGCTTTGTATTATGTGATAGACAAAAATATAAGATACATGCAGGCTAATTGTTTACCGCTTATATTGTTCATAAAGATAGCACTTTCAAAGATTAAATTCTAGCCTGTCTACTGTTTAGTTAGGATCAACCCCACACTTTTGCTGGAATAAAAGTCTGACTGAATATTTAATTCAGTGCAGTGTAAACAAACCTAGACCTTTTTTTTTTCAAACCCAGTCAGTACTAACACTGAAAAGTCCACAAGTTCAACTGCATTTCTAAAAGCTTTCAGTGGTGACTTTCTCAATTGAAGACAACTGATCTGGTAAAAACATAAAAAAAAACATCCTGAACACCAAAGCACGTGATATTATTTAATACTCCATCAATATTACGAGTGTGATAAGAACATCATTTCCCACAATCTCCCTGCAAAAGTCAGGCTTTTTTAGCTGCTGAATGGAGGCTGCAGCCCAATACTGAGAGGGTCCTCCCCCTTTTCAGCCAATAGGGACTCTGTTGCTATCACGGTTTATATTTTTAGCAAATTGCTCAGCACTGTAGGAACTACAAATATCCCTCCGCAAGTTAAAATAGGACCAACTGTGAAAGGTCGTACTGATGTGAGGACTTAAGTCGAAATAACTGCACTGATTTGGCGTGGGTATTTTATAAGAGCGTGGAGTAAAAGCTTTTAAAGTAAGAGAGGGCGAACATGTCAATGTATATGTTTTTAAATTTAAAGGTAATATAAAAAGAAATTACCCATTTTTGTGGCATAATCACTTTGACTACAGAGAGTGAATAAATTCATGCTGTTTCAGGTGGATGGATAATCAAGCAGTTTAATTGAAATTGAAAATGAAAAATGAAAGAAAGTAGTCCCTTCCGTCACGGGCGTGTGGGCGAGTCACAGTGTATAAATACGCCGGGTTGTCAAACAGTAAAGTTTCCCTGGACCCTCTACGCAAAGTGTGAGCGGAGCACAAACTGGGCAACATTTCGACCATCTGAGAGATATGTCAACAGCTGAAAAACCCTCTAAATCAATTTTGTAGTATTTGAAGGTCATTTAAGTACCAACGTGTCGGTAAATCGGCGTCAAAACGAGCCTGAAAGGGAATCTAAACAGGGACGCAGAGTCCGAGTGAAGCTCGTGCATCAATCCTGAAAGGTGAGTAATTAAATGTAACGCGGTTCATTAACGGCTCTTTAAACTCAGATATGTGTAGGCGGGTTCAATGACAGCAGCATGTTGCTGTGTGTGTTGGTGTTTGTCTTTCCAGAAGCTTTGGCATTAAAATGCGCTGACTATGATGTACGACCTCACCGAATCAGCCATTAAATGAAAATTCGTCTTAATTTTATATTTCGTGTGTTAGATAAATTTACCCTCTCTAAACCTTATCGGTTGTCATCTATTTTTTTCTCTGTGTTTAACGTGTCGTGGTTGTTTATGACGAGGAGGGGCTCTCCTCTTCCTCACACTGTACACTCGGTCGATAGGCTTTTCACCACCTTTATGTTTTAATTTATATGGAGGTTGCATTCACGTGTATGTCAACTAAACCTTTCTGCTCAGGTGCATTTTGGCTAAAACATTGCAGAAAAAACGCTGGTACATCCTGCTGACTTATCTTCCGTGCAAACCTGGATGATGTTGCTCTTGTTCATCATATTTTTGCATGTTTACCTCTATTTGGTACATGTTTCAAGCATTTCTCAATTCAATGAAAGCTTCTCTCCTTTAACTGAGGTTTAAAAACTCAACTAAGACACAAAAAGGACATTTAATGTGGTTTAATGTGTGTGCTAATCTCTTAGTACAGACTGATCTCTATATGATGCTGCCAACCATAAATCATCATATTTCTATATAGGCTTTGGTTTTCATCAATCCATTGTATATCGTGCTTTTGTAGCATCACTGTACATCTGCTGATTAGTACACAGACCCTGGCATGTAGAGGAGACTTTGCAGCACACAGTGCCTCGCTTTGCAGCCCTGATAATGAGTCGATGTAAACAAAAATAGCACAATAGGTGCTGCTCAGACCTGCAACAACAGGCCTGTGAAACGAGTACCCCCAGCTGCATTGGAAATCTGTAAATGGAGGATATAATTTCAAAGATGACAAAGATCTCCGTTCTTGTTCAGATTTTGGTGATTTGATAGAAATTGCCAGCTTTAGTGAGGGTCTTAGACCACTGATTTCTCTCCTGAAACTTCAAATCTGCTCTCATTACAAGCCGACCTGTTCCTCTTGATGTCATTGGATGACATTGGATGTTGTGTATCTCACTTTTGTTTATAATAAAAGCCCTGTAATGCAGCAGAAGCTGTGGGCAGTTTATCCATGCGTTCACACAGAAGTGATGATGATGATGATGTGCAAGTGATGGGCTGCTGGATCCTCGTGAGCTCAAACATCTTTTTCTACAGTTTATGAACTGCTGGCAAAGAATTTGCAGCATAGAAGATGCAAAAGGGAACCTATTTATAGCCCATTCGAACCAACCCCCACCTTATTCTTCAATGTCACCTTTTTCATGTGATGGGGGACATGTAAATCTTGTATGGAGCTGTCACTCTGGCGGGCCTGCATCCAGCCTGGGCAGCTTTATCTGTAATAACATTAGAATTGTCTTTAATCGGAGGCGTCTTTCTAATCTTAGCTGCCGAATCCCCATCTGGCAGGAAAGTGAATGTGAGTGAATTGTTTGTGTGTGCCTGCGTATAAGGGGGAGGGGAGGGGAGGTGGCGATCACGTGCACTGCATGGTGGGAAATGATGTTCTGTGAAGTCACGGTCCTGCCATTTTACACTTGTTTCTTTGTGATTGTTGCTTTTTATTTTCTTCTCTTTTTTTTTGCACATAATCTTTGAATTAGTGAGACTCTGCATGCTCAGCAGGGACTCTTTGGGACCGTGTGAGAGCTTAAAGCAGAAGGCTCTCCATGGGATCGGATTCAGATTATAAAGGATTTATGAAGGCCACAACACAGCATCTGTTACATCCATCAGTGCATCCTGCAGATGAGAAACCAAAATATAAAACACGCAGCTGAAGAAGAACAATGCTGAATTTAATACATTTGCTCACAGATTTATTGGCCATGCACAATGTGACGTTTTTCCCTTATCCGTCTTGAGTGCTCCTACCTCAAGTATGTGGTGTATACTGTCACTAGTTATATTTACAGAGACTGTACAGTTGGATTTTCATGTTGCCACCCTAAACTCTTGGCCAACATTTACTTAAAGGCTGTTTAGTATAACCAAATAATAAAAGAGTCCAGTCCTGACCCATGTGGACACACAGAGGGGGATATATCACTTAAAGGAGTAGCCTCTCAAAGCTTCAGATTTAACTTCCTTTCAATGACCAGGTGAAAAATATACAACCCCTATTCCTTAAGAGTTGGGGTGCTGTGTAAAATGTTGATTATAAGCGGAATTTGATGGTGCAAAACATTAAAAATTGTGTTAGGCTACAAAAAATAAAAATAAAAAAAATAGAAAAATCTCCCATTTATTTACTGAACCCCTCTGTTGCAGGCTGGGTGATGATCTATCTAGTCCAGCAATCCCAGAAGAATGTTTCTTAGTATAAAACTGCAAAGAATTGGACAGTTTTCATAACCTAAAGTAAATAATATATTACAAGATTTAGAGAATCTGGACTAATCTGTTTGAAAGAGACGAAGCCTGATGATAACTAGCCAAGCCTCAAGCAGCACTGCATTAAAAATAGGTATGACTCTGTAGTGGAAGTCACTGCATGGGTTCAATTTTACATCCAAAAATAATTGCCTGTGCATCCACAGTTTGTTGCTGCATCCACAAATGCAGCTGTCAGGTGCCAACTTATCACCTACAAGAAACATTTAATGCATCCTAACATAAAACAAATATGACAAATAAGACCATAAACTGTTTTCTATCTGTCAAGAATAGGACAACATTTCTCTCTCAAACCTGTATAAACTGGTCTGCTCGGTTCCCTTATGCTCACACAGTGATGTTGAAAGAGGAGGTAAAGCAGCACAATGGTAAACATGCCTATGTCCTGACCTTTTCAAACATGATGTCGCTGACAGCAAATTTAAAAGAAGCATTTATTTTTTTCATAAAACAATCAAATCTCTCGTTTTTATATTCAAAATGTTATCTTAAACCAACCATGAGGCTGAAACGATTTCCAAATCATCAAAATCTGTTCTTAATCCACTTTTGACACAGCATCCCAGCTCTTGTGGAATTGGGGTTGTATAAAAAAATGTTACAGATCTAAGGGAACAGTGTAACCAGGATATGATGATGCAGTCTGAATGTTTATGTCATGTTTTTACGTTTTCAAAACCAACAGTCAGAAATTAGCATGTTTGGAGTGCTGTTTTATTTAATTGAAATAGTGATTGTGGAAATTATACTTGCTTAAATGTATGGAAAAAAGTCCCTGAAAATGTCCCTGTTATTTCCACTGGTACCCCTGACCCCCCATCTAAACTGTCCATGTCCATAAATAATAACACACTGGGGTGATTTACCTTCTTTGCTTAAAGCTAAAACTCATGATCACCCCTCTAATCTTCATTTACCTTGTTTTTCTTTTCTTCGCAGGTTGGACCAAAAAACATAAGAACATACTTGGTGACATACACACACGACCCGCAGCCTGCTGACTCTGCCTTCAAGGTGCCTTTAACATGATGACACTAAAGGAAACACACACTTTCAAATAGAGAATACGAGGACAGATTTCCTGTAACAGCATCACTCTCAGCATCATCTCCGGTCACTTTGCTCCCACCACGGCGCTCACCCGGTGCAGCCATGCATCTAGAAGTGAAGGTTGCCCTCAACTTCATTGTCTCCTACCTGTACAACAAGCTGCCTCGCCGCCGAGCCGACCTGTTCGGCGAGGAGCTGGAGAGGATACTGATGTCACGTTTTGAGGGTCACTGGTACCCTGAAGCCCCTCTAAGGGGTTCTGCCTTCCGCTGCATCCACCTGGGAGCACCAAGGGACCCGGTGGTGGAGCTGGCTGCCAAGAGGAGCGGGCTGGATACGGAGGAAGTGCGTGCTAATGTTCCTGCAGAGCTCAGCGTGTGGATCGACCCCTATGAGGTGTCCTACCAGATTGGAGAGAAGGGGGCGGTGAAAGTTCTGTACCTGGAGGATCCTCCGGGCCTCGGCTGTGACACTGAGCGGGTGGAGGGGGAGGGGAAAGGAGATGCAGAGGCAGAAGAAGCCAAAAGTCTGGGCTTCAACCCTGACGCTCAGGTGTTTGTGCCAGTTGGAAGCCAGGCCTCTCCCTCACTCATGCCGTCACTTTCAAGCTCTCCCACCCCGCTGTCGGCCCCACCCTGCCCCGGCCTTTTCAGCTACCCCAGCTCCAGCACACCCACCGATCCTGCCATTCACTCCTCCAACACCTCCACCCCTTCTCCACCCAGTGGCGGTCTGCCCTACCTCTCCACTCAGCAGCCGCCTACCGCTCTCCCTGCTTCCCGCCCTCAGCCCATCACTTTCACCACCGCCAGCTTTGCCGCCACTAAATTCGGCTCAACCAAGATGAAGAAGTGCAGCGGCGCCGGATCATCAACCAGCTCTGCCGTCGTCATCCCTCCCGCCCAGAGGATGCTCTCCCGCTCTCCCACCACCATCTCGGCCCCGGAGCTGCTCAAGCACAAGCCCTTGTCTCTCTCCCTGCACTCCCTTGGAGGTCCCATCGCCAGCCAGCTCTCCCCCAACGCCAAAGAGTTCGTCTACCCAGGTTCCCCCGGCCCCCTTTACTACGACGCCGACACCCAGCCCATGCAGCCCCACGCCAGCCCATTCCAGCCCCCTCACACCGTCGCCACCCATCCATCCTTCGACCCCTTCTCCAGTCCTCCTCCCACCCAGAGTGTGGGCATCATCGGCAGCAGCGGAGGGATCCCGTACATGGAGAAGCCGCCGTTCGTGGAGGGTCTAGGAAGCTACAACCTGCAATACCCCAGCCAGTCCTTCCAGCCAGTGGTGCTGGCTAACTAAGCCTTCATTTGTAACCATGACAAGTGTAGGAAGGTGGGTGTAGGACAGTGATCTTCAAAGTGTTTTCAGTTTTCTAACAAATTGTTCTAATACTAATACGAGTTAAGGATTAGTTTTACTACAGAGATTTAAAATACCACTAAATAGTCCATGTGATTTGTTTTGTCCCTCCAAAAACCTGAGTCCCGGCCTTCTGTTGGTGTTATTCATCACTTTCTGTGTTGGCGTTGATGACAGGGGTGGGTGGGGTGAAATTTTCTCTACCTTGAGTTGTTGCCAATCTCTTTGTGTTCCTTATTTTGCATCAAATGTTGTTGTTTTTTTTCTGGGTTTGTAGTTTAATGGACCCAGCTCTAGGATAGCTCCGTTTTGCACTGCTTTGTCATGCTGTGAAGAAGGACTTCGCCAAGTCCTGCAGGGAACGACGGCTGTGGAAAGCTCAGCACTTTGCTCTGCAATCTGCTCTGCCCTAGTTGCCACAAACAGAGGAAGAGAGAGAGAGAGAGAGAGGGGCTGTGCTGTCTCTGCGTGTGTAGTCCTGCTCTGTTTTGTTTTGGCTCAGTGTGATCCACAGACTCGGGGAAGCGCACTCATGCACGGGCACAATTTGTCGGTTGTTGTTGTCAGCGGGTTTATATTGGAAGCAGTTTATTGTGGGCTTGAGTGTGTACATGACATGAGTTTAGATGCAATGAGAGGAGAGGAGGGAGTGGAAAAAAGGAGTGTGGGGGTGTAAAGGGAGTGATGTAGTGGAATGTATCGCACCTGTCAGGGAAAAACTGCAGCTGAGAAGGTCGGGGGAACCTTGATAAAGAGAAAAAAAACTGCTCATTTTCAGACAATAAACATGCTGATACCTCATTTATACACACAGGGATGTACATTACGGCTTCACACATGTGCAGAGATGTACACACACACTTCCAGGCAGCGCTGTGTGAAGGTGAATGGGCGTAGAAGAAGGTGAGGGGGAGGGGTTGCAGCAGTTAAGCAGCAGTGATTGTGATAAATGGCTTAGCATGACTTTGACTATGAAGGAGAGGTTTTCCTCTGCATGGACAGAGATGGGGAGGACATGAGGGTGGGAGAGAAGCAGCTCGATGGTGGCTTAAAGAACCACACTTTGAAACCCAGAGCACGTTTGTGGTGAGCTTAAATGGTATTGAAGCCAAAGGCGCACGCTATTCTCTCCCTCCTTCTTGAAATTCCTGAGCGATCGCCGCTCCTCTGGCTGTTAACAAAGGAAAAACTGAACATACACACAAACATCCACGTCAGGTTTCTGCTACCCCGCTGCAGTTAGGGAGCCGAAGCTGAATGTTGTTTTTATTAGCGTGAAGCTTTAGCTTGTCAGATCTAAGCCAGCCGTCTCTATCCGTGGTTTGTTTACCAGCTGGGTCCATGTTACTGCTTGCTTTAGTCACTGCAGGGAAGAGTAACCCCCAGATGTCCATTTCGAGCTGTCCTGCACTTTATTACTGAGCTCCTGATGCCGCGTGTCGCCCACAGACAGACAGACAGACATGAGCTGTTCCTTTGCCCTCTGTTTGATCACGGCACGTTTTATTCTGCAGTCATGAGACGCTCTAGAGATTCAAAAAGGAGTTTAATTTGTGTCCTGGGATGCTGTACGACACGTCCATTTATCTGAATGTTTTTGTATTAGATGCTCCAAGGACCCTCGACTTGTGCTCAGCTTGTCATTGCATGCAAATGTCATTTCTTTTCTTTGTTTTTGATTCGGGGTAATGGGTGGGGAGGTTTCATCCGTAATTGTGAGGGAAAAGATGCATTTATAATTTTTTTTTTTTTGTAATTTATTTCCGATATCTCTATATTTTTGTTTTTGCAAATTCTCACATTTGTATGAGTAAGACATGAAAAGTCCAGGAATATGTATATAAAGAGTTCTTATGTTCAGATTCTTTGTTTAGTTTCTTACATGCTGAGGTTATTTTTTCAGAAAAATAACATGAATATATGCAAACTGAGACAAAAATAAAGATGTACAGAAAAAAGTATTGAATGTGTATCGTACCTTGTACAGCATTTTGTCTAATAAGACGGGTAAATGTATCATTCTTGGAGGGGGATATGGAGTTTAAGACGTGAATGTTTACAGAGGGTTTGTGTAGAAGAAGATGGCTGATTTCACTTTCTCTAAGCTACCGGGGCAGGCTGACAAAATTCACGCACAGGCTGAACATTTAAACCAAAAATCGCCTCATCTCACTTTATTTTGAGCAAATTGGACAGCATTTTGTGTGGTTTGCCTGCCTCAGTTATTCCCCCTCTTTCTTTGCACATTAATCAGACTAACACTCAGTTTCTGTTTATGAACAACAACGGTAAATATTGAGATTCATACAAACAGAGCATCACATAACCCTCCTGCTCCTTCAGTCCTAATACTAAAGCCATAACCCAGACTGTCTTTACTTACACAGATGCTTACCCTTCTACAGTGCAATGTAACGCCATAAGTTAAATTACCCTGAAAGAGTTAAGGGGTTACTACCTCTCCGCACCCTGAAAATATATATATGAATATATCTCCTCTGTGGGAATACAGTGTTAATGCAGGTTTGAAACAATGAAGGAAATGAATGTGCAGTGAATGTGATTCTGATCTAGTGTTAGTCAACCCTGTTTGAGAGCGCCTGTGGGAGATAAACGCTCTTTTGAGCTTGTGTTGAAGAGGCCTGGAAATATTTGACTTGTCCAAAAAAAAAAAAAGTCAAAGTTGCTCATTTCAGAACAAGTTTCTGCATTTGTCAAATTTTTCAACTGGATGTGAGTGTTTAAGCTCTCGTGTCTTTAGAAAATATGCTGGTAAAAATATCAGATTATGAAGCTCTCTGAACTGCACCATAATTCATCTCTTACTGCAGGCTGTTCTTCAATCAGGGTTGAACATTGTCGAAGAGGAAAAAACAAGAATTTTGTATTCTGATGTCCTTTGCTTATATCGATGTGTTTTATTTTGCACTTTGGGATATTTCATTGTCATAAAAAGAAGTTTATTTTCTATGTAAGATTTCACATTTAAGAGTAAAATAGATATAATTCAAAGTTCAGATGATGTATAAATATAGTGCTTTCTTTCCTGCCTGTATTTTATTATAATTTTTCCTATTTTGTATCGGATCTGTACACCCTGTAGATGTGTAATGAATCTTTCACTACTGAAAATGCAATGACCTGTTTTCTGTGCTGCCCCTCGAGATGGGGAGTTACTACTGCAGTTTCTTATTGTATCAGATTCTTTTTTAAGTTTGTAATAAAAAGAAACAGATTGGCAAAAAGAAGCATGGAAAATAAGCTGATTGTGTCCTCCTCATTGCTTACAAAACATGACGTGGATTCACCTGATGCAGATATGCACGACCCCCAAAAGTAGGAATCCTGTATGAAACGTTGATAAAAACAGATTTTAATGGTTTGCAATATATTTTATGATATGCCAGTGTTTTCGTTAGGCGTCAAGGTAGGGTTGCAGGCAGGTTAGTTTAGCACCTGTACTCTTTTACTACTGAGTTCTGCTGTTTAAAACATGAAGAATGTGGTTTGGATTGTCTTTTTGAAATATGCGGGAAATCACTGAAAAATACACTTCCGAAAGGTAGTATATGTTGCTCTAAAATCTGTATTTATTTAGCATTAACCTTTGCAGATCCATGAGCTATTCCTGTAAAATGCATTTATGTATTCCTATATGATCTGTGCGCGCAAAACAAGCTGAGTAGTCTCTCTTTACTGCAGAGAATAAGGTGTCCATGATTTCCAATGTGAGAATGTCAAATTTTGACTGGTCGGACAACGGGACAGGTTTTCAGTTTGCTTGAGGCTCAGTTAAGTCAGCTTGGGACCAGAACAGTTACATGCACTTCTAGACCAAATTTCTAGACCACATCAAATTTCCTGCCTATGTGGTAAATTCCACTACAGAGACTAAGAAAATCAATAAGAATACCAAATTTTGTTATGTCAGACGATGGGACGGTTTTCGCTTTACCTCAGGCCAGATCCATCTTGAAGGCTTGGAACCAGAACAGTTACCTGCACTTCTAGACCATGTTTATTTACAGTTTTAACCCTTTTTCTACTTCAGAGTTGAGACGAGGATGACCAAAAAGAATGTTAAATTTTAATTTGTCAGTTTTTCACTTCACCTTCGGCTCAATTCATCTTAAAGAATGGGGCTGTAAAATCACCTGCCCTCCTAGATACATGCTATAATAACACTGTGCAGTTATTTTCACTGTAGAGACATGCATGTTTTCAATGCTGTGCTGATCACAGCTATCCGTTCACACAGTGTCTCAACTCTCCTGGAATTGTAGAAGCATGTGAATCAGTTATTTCTCAGGTACCGCCGCAGATCAAACATGAAGAAAAGTAGATCCCTGTGAGACTCCGATTAAAGTGCAGGAGCAACGTGTTCTCTTATTGCAGTAAACAAACTCAAGTGATGTTTGATCAATTATTCAAAGCAAATTCTCAAACGGTGAGGAACCAGATTGCTCACCACCCACCTCAGCTGGACCCATCCCAGCAGATATTACTTGATATTTCATCAGATTTCCAGCTCCGCTCTCAGCCTGTCCGTTCTGTCCTGTCTTTGTGTGTGTGTGTGTGTGTGTGTGTGTGTGTGTGTGTCAGAGGGATGCTGCAGGTTGGGAGGTTGGCTTGTTCACGTGCACACGCTGTGCTGTGCTTTCTATAGTACCGTGCAGTAGTGTGACATTAACATGCATGACTGAGCTCCTCCTTGGCTCTCCTCTACATCTCCATTGCCCACTCTCTGCACCCCCTCCCCTCCCCCTTTTTTGCTCACATGCCTTCAACTGCATCCCTGCTCACTATCTTTCTCCCTCCATCCCTTTGCCATCTTGTTTCCTCCCTTCTCTAATCCTCACCCACCCCCTTCCCTTCTCCCTCTCTTGCATCCTTTCCTCCTCTCTCTTTGTTCCCACAGCCCCTCCCTTGCTTGCATCCTCGCTTTTCCTCTCTCCATCCTCCTCACGCTTACACGCACACACCCATCCCGCTGGTCTTTGAGGCTGCTGCTGCTGCTGCTGTTACGCAACGCTGCTCCCCAGTGTGTTGATGTGATCATTACGCAACAGCTCCTACTCCTCTGGAATACTAATGAGCAGCAGGACGGAGGCAGCAAGGGGACAAACATCAAGCAAATCTGAAAGATAACAGATTTGCATCTTCATTTTTGGACTGGGACTTGGACTGGGAGTGATTGTGCATGTGCATGAGTGTATGATGGATGATGACGACTTCTCAGTTTGTCTATCACTCTGCCTCTCTAGTTGTCTGTTGTTGCGGCTACAGCTTCTCTGTGACTCCAGCAAGGTCAAACCAAGAGCCCACATGGCATTAGATTCCAATTTATTTTATATGCATGATACAAGATACAGTTAGGACATGGTACTGCAGTTGCATGTATCCTATACATGGTTAGGACGTTACAAAAACACTTAACAAAAACATATGTTATATAAAAAGAGAAAACAAATTAAAACACCACAAAACAAACAAAACTTTAAAAATGTTTTCAATTGTTTAAAGTATTTTCAGAGTTTTGTAGCTACTTGGAAAAGTAAACAAGGACCTATAGTGTCGTTGATGTGAAGCACCCAGAGCCAGAACCAACCCTTTCAGACCAGACCCAGAAAAAAGCAGAGTCAGTTTTGAATGCTAATTGGCACCATCTTCAGGTAGAGAAACAACATTTTTGCACTTGTGCCACGCGATCTATGAAACACTTCAGTGGGTGTGTTGTTTTTTTGTTTTTTTTTTTACATTCAGATTAGGACACATCAAAATTTGTGTGTTCAGACATCAGTATATACTGAAGACAGCACAGTATCGTGTTTTCACCTCAGCTATCATGGCCCAAAAAATTAAGGGATTTTAGCGCAATATTTACACAAACATTTTTACACACACCCTCCTTTTTTTTTCATAAAATTAAGTACCTTGCTTTGGGCCGCGATCACAGCCAAACACTCTCTGTTAAAGGCGAGCGTAAGGGCCACAATTTGTGTTACACTTATGAGGAGAAATTCCCTTCTATAACAATTGTGCGATACTTTTATTGTCTCGCCTGAACAAAGTTTCCTGTACATGCTTAAATTTTGAAATGAAGCACATGCTACTTCCTGTATTCATCTTAAATTACAAGACTGGATGAAAAAGCCCAAAAAAGGGTTATTAAGTACAAATGTTCAAATATTAGCACCACCAAAGAGGCGTGTGTTATGTTTGCATTAATGAAAAAACCTTGCACATCTGTATTTTGAGTGTAGCTTAAAAAGAACAGCTGTGTCTTCTCTCTGTTATACAGGGCTGCTATGAGCACACAGAACCACTTCTTCCACCAAGGATGAACCAAGTTGTAGTTCATATTACTGACAAGATATGACATATTTTTACACATTTAAAAAGGTTGTTTCTTGCGTCAGTCCCAGTATGTATTGATTGTTTTAATGGCCTACATTTGAATGCCCGAGCTTAAATCAAGGATTACTTTTCTTGTGTTGTGTCAAAAAGTATTTTTATGCAAACAAGCAGATTAAGTGTTTGATTAATCCTCAAACACAGAGAAAACAGCTGCTATAAAGAAACAAATATTGTCCCTGCAATTCCCATCTTTGTCTGTAGGTGGTGACAGACTCATCACATCAAGAGCTCTGCTATTATTTACCATAACAGTTTCAAATGAGCAGATTTATTTAGGCAGAGGCAAGTTCGACGAGGTGCTACACATCAAAAAGAAAAATTTTAAAAAAGAAAATAAAAGAAGAGATTGCTACATACCATACACAGTACTATAAACAATATTAATCTGTCTTCTTCTTTAGAGGCTCTCCTGGCCTGAAACTTTTGTCAACTTTGCCAAAATGTTTTAAATTTAGTCAAAAAGTAACTCAAAGGTTTGTATTCATCAACTACATTAAAGTATAAACAGTATAATGCAGTTAATATCAAGTCTGAATGTCAATTGCAAAAAAGGAACACATTTTTTAAGAAGTGTCTGTTATTTTACACCATCATGAATCCCAAAAAACACAGAATTTATTGAGAAAAAACACCAACTGATCCAGTGTAAGCAGACATGGATCAATCTTTAGTCAATAGAAATCAATCCACACAGTGATCAACAGATACTGTTTTAGCTCATGTTCGCCCCAAATGTCAACACTGGCTGCACAATGATAGGTGGCGCTGTTGAGCAAGTCATAAACATATGACATCAGGTCAAATTTTGTTTTGCTTTTTCTTACAACAGCAAGCCATGAACCGACCCATCCAAAAACACATTGAGTTTTCAGTGATGGTTACAGACATAAGTACACTTGGTGTGAGAAAAAAAGAAAAAGAAAAAGAAAAGCAACAAAAAAGACGAATTTACCAGGATTCATGCATTAGGATCCTAGACTACAGAGGATCAAAACTGGAAGCACAAATGACTTTGGGACATTTCTATGTAGCACGTCATAGCAATTTTACATATAACATCATCACTGAAATTAAACAAGCATTACATAACAGAGTATTATTGCCACATTTATTTTCTTCCCAAGATTACGGCGATTATGAGTGCAAGCTGACTGATGACTAAATCTGCATCAGCCAAAGACACTTGAGATATAAAGTCCCATAACAGTCTGCAGTGTTTCATTTACTAATTTAGACACAGACTCAGCCACTTTGGCAAAGAGAACTCAATTTATCAATTCAAACATTTTGCCAAATGAAACTAAGCTGCTTTTTTATGTGCTCTCTGCTTCAACCAACACCACTTTGTAGCCCTGCTTCTTTTTTATACCGTTCAGAATTGGAAGTGTTGGATGAGGTAAATAATTGTGTGCCCTGTCCTCTGTGTCTTACACATACTGTATTTTTTATAGAGAAAGCAAATCCCATAAAACTATAGAAATCTGTTTTTAAAACAAACATCCAAAAGCACAGTTTACCCATTGATTTCCCTGCACTGGTTTCATTAGAAGTATTGTTCCTTAAAGGAAATAATCTGACATATTGTTGTACATCACAATCAACAGATGCATTATTACCATCAGAATAAATACAGCACTCATTGACTATTTGGCAAATATAAGGAATAGTATTGGGTTAATAAAGACACAGTCACATTTCCTGTCTCAGGAAATACAGACTATGAGACAATCATGTATTTACAAGGTTTAGAAGCAGTCGGCTTTGGGCCTGACTTTATTTTAAAAAAATCAATCCAGCCATCACTACACTGTGATCAGGCAGGCAGCGGCTCTAGCGCCCTCTACCTGCAGTGTGCAGTAAAATAAACATCCTAACATATGAACGTACCCCTCCACCGGTGAGGGCCCTGCAGATCATCAGACATAAGCCTTCTATAGTATCTCTCTAAAAAACTATCTCTTTTTTCTCTGCTGTATTTAAGTTATTTTCATCTCTTCACAAAATGAAAATCTTCCTCCTTTCAAAAAAATAAAAAAACCATCATGTCAGGATCTGGAGGCTGGCCTGATGCTCGTAGAAAAGAAGCTACATCACAGCAGCTTCTAACTGTAAGTCATGCAGGTTTCTCTCCTTCAGAGATTTTCTGTCGCCCTTTGTGGCCTCAGTGAGTTAGATAGTAACCTGCCACTATCTAAATCTGTTTTTACAAAATACGTGTGAATGATGCAGCCACGAATCTGTGTGGTGCAGGTAGATGACTTTATATACAAACAGCGTTATTGTGTGCGCAGACGCGTGCATGTGGGAAGAACTGGGTCTGAATCACACCGCTTAAGGACTCCTCCGTTTCTCCTCTACAGACCTGAGGCCTCCTCTTTCCTCAGGCTGGAAGTACCTCTGAGAATCTGTTCCTGCTCCTCTCCTGTTCATCTACATCCCTCTCCTGAGCCTCTGCCACAGTTTTTTTAAGTACAGACACAACAGACACAAATAGAAGTGCAACACAAGGAAAAGTGAGGGACGGCTAGTGTACACCTTTCTAAATACACGTCTTCTAACTGACTCATGCTTTGGTCCTCTAAGGAGAAGTACTGTGCAGTGATAAAAGCTGGTTTGTGGAGTATTTAAAAGCCTGCATTTCTTTAAAAAAACAGACCACTTTATGTTTCCTGACTTTCTTGGAGCTGTCTTGAGTCAGACAGTTCTTTCACTGTGTGTTTGACCGTGGGAGAATCCACAATTGTCCCCTTCTTCTCTGAGTGTAGGAGCCAGGCGCTCTCCACAGGCCTTCACTGTGACCACCGCTCCCATAATGCCTCACTGCCTGCCGGTGTGTATCTAAGACTCCAGCATGGTGTTAGACACAACCTCTAGAGCTCGACACAGTGACCAGAGGTCAGTAAAGACGACAGTGCAAATTTAGATTCCCTTGATGTTTGTGTCTGTGTTGAATTCTGCGGGGAAGGAAGTTCTGCCTCATGTCTCATCAATACATCGTGGGTTTGACTCGTGTGGGAGTTCTTTACAGAGGACCGTACTTAGCCTCATAGCGGGCCAGGATGTTCTTGCAGCGGCCACAGTCCTTCCTCAGCTCGGCCACTTGCTGGCGCAGAGCGGCGTTTTCCCGCTCTAGGAAGGAGGCGCGCACTGTGATCTGGTTCTCCTTCAGGCGACGTGCGTCACGAGAACGCTTTGCCGCCACATTGTTCTTCTTCCTCCTGGACCAGTACTTCTCATCCTGAGAAAATGAGAGTTTACATTAAATTAAAAAAAAAGCAGTACAGCTGGATGAATCTACATCAATGAGGGATTTGAAACTAACATCTGTGTTGTGAGAACATCCCTGTCTTTGATCTCTAATCCAGATGCCAGCACTCTACTAGGAAAAGCTTTTAATCTTTACCAGCACAGACCAGAACATCCAGCAGCCTTACAGTCATCAAAAACACAAGAAATTTGCTTTGCCAGTCTGTGATTCCCTATAGCGACAGGGCAAACAAGTATTTGTACAATATCACAGATAGATCAATAAACCAGCCTACCTTCTGTTCATCAGGAACAAACACTTTCTTTGCCTTCTTGATCATTGGCTGAGGTTTCAGCTCCTCGTCGCTGAACTTGTGTTTGCGGGGGTTGAACAGCTCTCCGCCTGGCACGCTGGACAGAACCAGGTCTGTGGGATCTGGCTGGAAGTTGATGTCCACCTCAATGGCGTCTGGGTCGATGGGGGATGGTGTGTTGCGCTCTGCAGAGTTACGATCTGTGTGTTTGGAGAGACAAAGTCAGCTTTCATAGAAGAGGGGCCACTTGAAAAAAAAACACAGAAAGAGGCTTAACATGTTTGGACCCTTTAATTAATGTTCTCTCACACTCTGAAATAGACTCATGAAGAAAAGCCTCATTACTTTCAATGCAGCCCAGTATTTGTGATTGAATTTATTCCCTGACTGAGCGTCTAAGCCTGTTTGCAGGTCTGTTTTAACAGACATGAGACGACAATGTGTGATTTGACCTGAATGAATACAAAGACCTTCTCTGTGATCAGTTTCTATTTTCAGTTTCTCTTACGGCTAGACTGTTTTTTGTACTTAAGTCTGAGTGTGTAGTTTCAGTTTGTTTATTTGGATTAAGAGAGACATATTTCTGAAGAGAAACTTAAATATTTCTTTTACAGGAACTCTACAGTCTACAATTATTTCTATATTTATTGCGCATTTTTCAGCAACTTTACTCTTTCAACATTTAAACTCCAATCCAAGTTTAGAAAGCCATAACAAACTTTTCCTTTTTCATGAATGTATTATGCTCTTTACATTTCAGTGTTTTGTACTGTTCCTATTTTTTTGAATTTCAAAATAAAATCACAAATATCTAAAAAGATTTGTTTTTTTTGGAAATCTAATTAGCAAGGATTTAATTATGTATCTGTAAAGCAAAGATGAAATGACAACTAAAATATTCTACTCAAATACAGCTGCTTTAATGATGTTTAACTACCAGTCTATTAATCTGCTCAAGTAAAAAGTTCTTTATTTGAAAAGAACTCAAAGTACACCCTAAGTTTTAACTAAGAGTGGGAGGAGTAAGATCTGTATATGTCATTAAATCAGCTGACTGTCATGCAATTTATTTAAATTTAGTTATTTTTTAGCAACTTGGTTAGAAACAGATCAAAAGGTTTGTTGTTCTATCTGTGAATATAAAAATATCTGCCTGATGACGAAGATAATAAGAGCTGATGAGCACAAGCTTCAATATGTGGGCTGTGTGGAAATATTAGTAAGTGCCACAACAAACAAACAGCAGACATATTACTGCATGTCTGTATTTGAAGAGAAATATAGGATCACATGTGGTGGGATCATATTTTTTTGTGTTGTTTTGTTAACAGTTCCAAGACAGACAGTCAAAATGGGAGCAACAGGTGCAGTCCACTACAGCAGAAACTTGGTGTTATTTCAAATGAAACAAATGTTTATATCTGTGTAGACCAAAATGAGTTAAAGTGGCATAGAAGATTTCTGTAGATATCATCCTGTCTGTAATATTTAACCACTTTTCCTGGACCTGGATGTGAAAATATGTCAGCATCTTTAGGTATTCGATGATTTGATATTATTCCTGTTTCAGTTGGTAATTTGGTATTTGCAGAGAGAGTTGCACACTGTTTGTTTTTTAATGCAGCACTCCTCAGTAAGCAGGTTTGATGAAGTGCTCTTAGTTTCTGCTTTTAGGCTTAAAAAGAAAAGTTTAAAAAACAGCGAGATAAAGGTTACAGTTGTGTGTAGACAGGCCCTATAGTTTGAGTTCAAGGGTCAGGTGTTTGTCAGACTGTCTATATGAAGAAGGTCAGTTAAGGTTATGCCAAAATTAATGATTAACTACACTTCACTTTTACAACACAGGAAGCTCAACTATATATTGTACTTCAGTCAAATCTAAGATAAACATTGTCATATGTAGTACCAACTAATTTTGATCAATAACAGGAGGTGTATTGTGTATCCACAATGAGTTATAAAAACCAGTGGGTAATTTATCTGAAACATCATAAATAAAGAGGAACTATGAATTCAAATGTGCCCACAAATATTACCGCTATTGATTAAACATTAACCCCCTATTGGTCAAAACTTCTCACCAGTTTTCTTCGGTTTCTTCTCCACTTCTGCTGTTGGTTCCTCAGGAAGAGCCTCCTCTTCTTGTCCAGCCTCCTCTTCCTCTTCCTCCTCTTCTTCTTCTTCTTCTTCTTCTTCATCCTCTTCCAGTTTTGCTGGTTGTAAGGTAGTGACTGTCACCGTCTCCTCTGGCTCTGAGGTGACCGTAGAAGTGGGGGACGCAGAAGGGGAAGATGCTGAGGCTGCAGCAGCTGCAGGTGGAGTAGAAGGAGGAGCAGCCGGAGTTGTAGTAGTAGCAGTAACCTTGAGGATGGATTTGCCTTTGCCTTCCACTGAAGACAGCGTCTTCTGCAGCTCCTCCTCCTCCAGGCTCACAGGGATGCCGTTCTCAAGGAGGAACTCATCCAGGTCCATGTACTCCAGGTGGAAGGTCTCCCCATCGTAAGGGATGGTTTTCTCCCAAATGGCTGGGGTCAGGGAGGCTGATACCCCTCCACCGCCACCACCGCCACCGCTGCCTCCTCTGGATCCACCGCCTGTACTGGCTGACCCGTCCCCACCTGCTTCCACATCCTCTGAGGAGCACAGCTTCTCCTTCTCTATTTCTGCAATGAAGACAAAAGAGATTATCATTGTGCACAAATTAACTTGTGTGCACACATGATATCAGTGCCCAATGAAAAGGGGCTGAGACACGTGCACACGCTGCAAAAGCATAGTAATAGGAGGAGAGGCAGGTGATAGAAAGGGGGTGTGGTGGTAGTGTGTATCTTTCAAAGAAAAGGTACATCCAGCTAGTTAAACGTTAGATGAAATAAAAGGATGAATACAGTGATGAGTAACGAGGATGAAGAGAAGGAGAGACAAAAATGAGGGAGTGAACTGCATGTGGCACATGTACTCCACGACACAAACACACACACTGAATACAAAATTATATCCAAGTAATGTGTTCGATGGAAAGCTTAGGAGTGACTTTGTCTCTGGGTGTGTTTTTAGTCTGGGTGCTCTCTATGAAGAGCTGTGCAGAGGAGTAAGAACTTTTTGTTCTTTCCTTTTGCTGAGAGCTAGTAAGGTGAAAGTGGCTCCGTGTGACATGACATATGTGCGTTCACTTCTCCACAAATCCACGGACGTTACTCACTAATGAAATAATGCACGGTTTTTAGCACAGACTGTTCTATTTGGCGCATTTAGTCGAGTATAAGGTCTACAAATGCATGGGAAACTAAGGGTTCGTTTTCTAACTGAGCCCTTACCGTCGTCGCCCTCTTCCAGGATGTTAGGAGGAGGGATGTCCATGATTTTCTTCAAAACAAAAGGGAAGGACTTTTGCGAAGCCGCTTTCGCCACATTTCCACCGGACTGGAGAGCCACAGCCGTCGCCGCTTTGCCAGGCATTGTTCCCCGCTAAGCTCCGAGCAGACCACGACGATGTTCCGACTGTAGATAAACCGGCAGCTGCCTCCTTTTCCGGGAAGGACGGAACGGAGAGACACTCGGCTGTAATCTGTTTTAAACCTTAAATGTTGTTTCGCTGTCCTTTTTTTCCGTATTAACGTACTCGATGCAAAAACAACTCTACACGAGCTTCTGGTTCTCCTCACCCACCGAGGACGATGGTTGGATATTCATGAGCGTTGTGCCCCGCCCACTTGTGGAATAGTAGAATCTGATTGGTTGGAGGCGCTGCCCGTAAGAATAAATAGAGCGGTTGGGCGCTCCTCTATGTCTGTGTAGTAGTACGGCTGCATGGTGCACATTGTAACTACCTTTTATACATTTCTTTAAAGAAAGTATGTGCACGAAGATAAACACGACGTTTATCAAGACCTACGCAGCCGACACGTCGTTTGGAATTCATTTGTATATGCTGATGTTTAATGCAAACTACGAGAAAAAAGCAATTTAACAAAGCCACATATGATTAAAGTGCAGGTCTGCCCTCACTAAACGTCTCCTCACACCCTCAGAAATCACACATCGCAGTGTGCCTCTGCAAAGGCTGCAGCAGCTCCTTGCATCCAACCCTGCACAGGAAGGTACTCGTGGCCAAACACGTGCCCCCGCCCGCACCCTCCTCACGTGAAAGTACAAGCTGTTGGAGGCGGGGCTTCAGACGGTTTTATTGCACGTGTGAGCCCGTCTGAACAACTGGCACGAGACCCAGAGGTAGCAGGGAACATGTTGTTTACAAGACAGTTCCTTATGATAGGCTACTGCTCTGTCCTTCAAGGCTGAACATCACCTTTTTATATTGAAACAAAATGTGTGTTTCTACAAAACCGAACACCACATCAACAATCCACAGCAACAGCTGAAAATAATTATAAATAGCTTATTTTTGTTTGGTTTATTCATGTTCCTGTTTTAACGCATCCTTTATCCATATTCATCCAAACTTTATTCAAAACGATGTAAATAAAGAGTGCTTTGGCACTATTCCGCATCAAAGTCGCATTTGTACAAGAACAAAAATGAAATCTCACGTTCCCGTGCACGCGCTGCTATTGCACGCGACAGTGAGCGCGTGATGCGCTCTCGCACTCGTCTCCAGCAGGATGTTTGGGTTCAAGAACACGATGTTCAAACCTCGTAGCACCCCACCTTCAACATTATTTCTTATTCTTCTCTTAAGTTCGCCACAGAAACCACACGGTACAGCGAGTGCGCTGGGTGGGCTTTATCTGCTCCGGCAGAGTGGAGCGGGTAAAATCCCTGCTGCAGCAGCAGCCTGAGCACCGAGGAGAGGGGAATGAGGACTGGGCTGATGCTGGTGACACTCCCTCCTTATCTCAGCCACGGATACAACAGACCCGGCCGAGTCAGAGAGAGAAGTGTCAATGCAAACAGCCCCTCTGATTTCAACTTGTAGTGGTATGCACCATCTCTAAACGCTGTATGACCCTCACACCCTCTTACACACAAGGCTGGTATGTTCAAAATACTGAGTCATGGGTCTAAATTTCCTGTCCTACCACACATGCCATCAACCCAACTTTGATAAATGCTGCATTTATTTGCGTTTCCACTGCCAAAAGCTGAACTATAAGGCCCAGTAATAGCATTTGACATTTAACAGCGTCATTTAGGCATCAGCCCTAACAAGGCCAATATTATGATCTTTTCTAAATGAAAACATGTTTCATCACCACCTTCACCAATGACATCAAATCAAAGTTAACTTGGAATATTATTTTTATTGTATCACCAAGTTATCATGTTTTTTTGTCTTTCACAATAATTTTCAGATAGCCCAACAGAAATCCCAAAGTTTTGTGTGGCGATACTGTAATGAGCCAAAGGTTTTTTTGTTGTTGTTTTTTCATCTACATTTATTCAATAATGAGTATCAACACATCATTACATTAATATATTTAAAAAAAAAAAAACATGGCAGTGCAAGATGAAAAGGAAGGCCACTGTGAAAAGAAACCTGCTCCTATGTAGATATAACTTGCTTACTCTAAGTTAACAAATACAACACCACCCTTAAATTCACGGGACTATACACCAATTTAAACCAAGATATGAGTACAACATTTTTAAGGCTTCTGTTCTGACAAATGCAGCTAAATACTGCGCACTGTGCCTTTAAGACCCTTTTCATTAGGGTGGTCAACAACACCAGGATATCTAGGTCAGCCGTCTGTGTAAGAGACAAAATGATCTCAAACGTGTCTCTAACTTGGCCTCTGAGTGGTACTTTTGTCAACAGTTAACAGTATTTAAACAGAATACCAGAGTTTTGACCAGATAGAAATCCTCTCCTCTATGTCTTAGTCCAGTCTACAGCTGGAGGAGGTTTGCTGTTAAGCTTTTCTTTCGAACATGCAAACTATCTTTCCAACAGCATGACAAATACATGCAAAAAGCCGGTCAAATAACTCTGGGCTAAAAGAGAGTTTGAAGTTTCTTTTCTAAACTTAACTCCCTATTTGACATTTACCTAAAAAAGATATTATTCTTAGAAGAACTATTATTTACAAAGAGAGAAGACCAGTAGAGCCAATAAAGCTATTCAAAGGTCACACTTTTAATTTCTGTTAGGGTTAAGTCAGCCATAAAAAAATGGTAGGTGAATTCTGCTTCATGAATAAGGAAATTAAACTTCTGCATATTCCCTCCAAATTAAAAAACAAAAGGCTCATAAGGAGTGTATAAAGCCAATCTACAAATCTGATCTGATCTTCACCTGACACTGGCTTGCTAGCAACCTGCTCTTGGGTGCCTGTGAATGTATGTATGTGTTGTAATGGATTTGTTTAGCTTTGAATAGTGTTATATGTACCATCGCATTGTGTGGCTAAATATACAATGCAGTTGAATTCATAGACAAATTCTTCAAGGGGTAGCGTTTTGTATTGTGTTGTATCATATGGTATTATATCTTGTTGTATGATAGTATATTGTATCATATTGGATCTTGTTGAATGGTGGTATATTGTATTCCATGTACTTCATATCAAATCGTATCGTATCATAGTATTGTTCGGCACCCCATTGTACTGTACCATTTTGTTTGGTATCGTTTCTTGGTGTATGAAAGTAAATTGTATTAATGTTTTGTATTGTGTCACATTGCATCGCCATATAGCCTTACTCCATTGTATTGTATAAATTTTTGTATCTTTCCTTATTGTATCTTGTTGTAGGATAGTCTATTGACTCATATTGTATTGTATTGTATCATATCTCATCTTATTCATCTCATCTCTGTGCAGTTTGTTTGTTATATCATACCATAACCTGTGGCTCTTGCTCTCGTTTTTTAGCCAGTTAATAGAAAGTTTAAAAGCACAATATGAACGATAATTATTGCTATAAAATAATGGGCTGGTAATTTTACAGTATGTTGGTGAAGGAATACAAGAAGTCCAACTTTTGCTTGAAAGGGTTATTGGCAGCAAATTGAGTCTCTTGTGGATAGTGTAACAACAATAATGGAAAAGGGTTGTTCTGACATGTGGGCTGCAGGTGAGGGGGAAAAACACTCCAAGTGAGAAAGAAACAATGCCTCCTGTGGCCTTCAGCGCCTCAACATGTGATCCCAACTTCCTATATGTTTACTGTCTGTCTCTACTAACAACTATCTAACCAAAACTAAAGAAAGACCCTTTCCAAAAAGGCAGCAAGAAAGTCTATAAAAGTGAACAGGGTGCAGAGAGGCAGTAATGATGTGATGAAACCCTGAGTGAACACTGTTTCAGTGTTGTTGCATCAGATGGGATGCATGAAGAAAGAGCCCAGACAGTTTGCTGACACAAGGAAACTCACTCTCTTTGATCAGTTGGGCATGTTTGAATGAGATAGCTAAATTTCCATAAAGACAAGAACCTATGAAGGGATATCTTGCAAATTCAATCATGGTGACCTTTAAAACAGTGACTAATGATTTCCTGGTTACGCAGATTTGAATCAGAGAGACAAGACAACATCTCATACCATTGTCATGAGGGTGTGGGGTGCTTTCAGGCCAGTTGAAATAACTTAGTAAGAGTGTTAAAAGAAGAACTGCACACTTCTACTACATTAAAGCGAGTACAATAAGTGGTAAAATTGATTCTTACATTTGTTAAGGCTCATATCTTTTTGTATGTTGCTGTATTCACAAAGTTTATAGGTTAACTTTCTATACTGTAGTTCATAAAAACTAATAAAAGTATGCCAAATAGATAACAAATAAAAAGTACAGCAAATAAACCAAAACATATCAAATGACAAGTGTTAAACAGAATAAAGACCACTGGCACTGTACTTTGTATTAGAATTATATTGAAACAACTTCAAAAGTTATTATACTTAGTTGAAGCTCACTATTGTTCGATATTTTGGTCGATTAATGTACAAGAAATACGAACTACGCAGGGTACGTATTAAGACAAAAATCTAGCTGAGAATCCAATATCTTCATTTTAAAATGTAGATGACAATGAGTGAAGATTTAAGAAAAGTTTTGACAAAGTTATGTCGTGTGAAAATGTCTGTAAATGAAACTATGATCAGGCTATAAGTTCAAAATACACAGGAACAAGTTTCTACAAGTTTCAGGCAGTAGATCTGCTTGAAACAGATAAGTGAACACGCCTTACCTATCTCATCAAAGGCAGGGAAGGAGAAGGGGTAGTCAGCCAGGGACTTGAGGAGATCAGGAACATCACTTCTGTCCCCAAAGTAGATTTGGTTCGCTGTTGACATGTTGAACGGTCTGTGAAACTACCAGTCAAAGTCTGTCAGACGAGAAGAGTCCGGCTGAGTGAGAAAGGCTCACACCGTCAGTAAGAGAGAGAATGACTGTCTGCTCTCCTCTGTAAACTTCAGTCACTTTTAACCAACTTTGCAGCAAGTCACATCACGGGGACGCCTGCATGTGTCCAAACAACTTGTAATACAAAGAGTACAGGAAGCCACGCCCTCTACCAGCCCCTGAATAGATGGGATTTGGTAAGGCGCCTGTCAGTCAAAGCGCAGGGCCAATCAGAGAGCAGGACATGATGAAAACAACAACAGACCCTGTTCAGCTGAGCACATTTGTCTCCACGCACGGAAGCACGTGCAAGTCTGTGGGAGGCTCGAGGCCAGGTACAAGAAAGTACAATACGCCCTCTAGTGACGTGCTCAAGTAGTGCACTTGAAAGGCGATGGCAACAGAGGACAAAGTACGATAAGGGAGGTATAGGAGGCAATATCACATGGTAATATCACATCAAGGTGCTAGATTTAAAGGGTAATTCCGTAAAAATCTTAGGAGCATTTTTGGTCCTTGCTCATCTTGTGTTTCTCATATGAAATTATTGTTTTAACGGAAAGATGGTCGGTGATTGAAGGAGGTTAAAAATACAGAGCTGTGGACTTGAAGTTATAACTTGGTGTAAGCAATATTAATTCTTCATTACTTTCAAAATTTTACTCATTAGATATTTCTTTAGCAGAATATACAATTTCCTTCTTATAATTGGTTCAGGTTGTTCTCTATTCCATGTCCTGTTCGGTATGATTTAAGACTTTTTTTCTGCACATTAACAAACACTAGGTTGTGGACTAGGTTGCGTAAAATTAATCCTTTGTTTTAGCCTTTACAACTTTTACCAGCTTCTTAAAAGAGTACTCTCATTTAGGTCATTTACTTGGAGAAATACTGGCTGACTAAGATAACAGGAAGTTGCAGAATGTTTTAGATTGTAAATAATGCAAAGAAAAAACAAGCTCAGATTCATTTTGAACATCAGGTTAATACTTGAGCTCAGAGTTTAGTGATCAATATTTGGTAAGAATACTGTTTTTTGATTACAGCTTTAATATGTCTTCATATGCCGTGATTTTTTTTGTGCTCTGTAGAAATTCAAGCAGCTTGGTTTTGTTTGATGGCTTGTAATTTAATTAAGTTAAACCTCATTAAGAGAGACAGAGATGCTGATTTAAGAAATAAGAAGGGTCTCTTAATTTTTCCAGAGTTATATGTGCGCCACCTTAAAATACATCCAAACACAGACAGACTGTTATCTTGAACACAATCCAAACTGGATAACAATTTTTTATTTGCTGTTAAAAAGCTTCAAACATCCTCTCTGAATCAACTTTTGATGGACTGCACTGTGAATGAACTTTCTGCACAGACAGATATCTGATAGAGGTGAGGGAGAAAAGAAAATACACTGTGTAAAAAAACAAAAGGTTGTAGATATAGTTAACTATGAACCCCGTTATGAATATAACTGTGATGAGTGTGCTGTGTAGAACTAAACTGTGAGGGATAAGAACACCACTGAAAATGTATCATACTCTGAAGAACTAAGAATATTTTCCACTTTAACGCCGGAACATTTCGCATGTTTTGGTTCATTATTTGAGATCTTCTGGACGATTAATTACACTATAGTGTGAACATCACCTGATGACTCTGATCTTGGTTTGTAAACCCTGAGTGCACCACAGTGCTGCTTTGGCAGTTGGCTCAAGAAGTCAGAAAAATCTCAGTCCTGAAGTAAAAAGTTGTATTTCCCAAAGTCAAACTCATCGGGCATGACGAGCATGTCTTCTCTGGCTTTAGCTAACTTCTGTCGCAGGAAATCTCGTCTCTTAGTCCACTCCTGCAGCTCCTCCGGGCTGTGGGCATAGTCACAGCTCACACCGTCGGGACAGCTGCCATGCATCCTGTGAGACAATAACATATCGGACAAGTTGAGACAAGTTAACTCTATTTATATGCAGATACCAGAAACAAAGCATCATAATGTGCTTTACAATTACAGCACAGACAAATATCAAAACATGAAAAGAAAAAACTAAATTTACAGTTTAAATACAGTACATGTTGTACACATACATGCCTACAAATACCGAAAGACAGCATGCACTTCACATGCACACATACAGATGCACAGATACTTGGGTCAGTCTCTCAAGATAAATTAAATGTGGCAGACTCAGAAAAATCGACAGAAAACCGTAGCCTAGCTTGCATGCCAGTTCTCCCAGCAGTTTCTAATTAAACCAACATTCAGAAAAACTAGATTAAACTTAATACTAATATCATTAAACTGGAATATTTAAATCTGACATTGTTAAAGATCTTACTTGGGGCAGAGTTCAAAACCTTTGCCAGGGAAACGGTAACTCCACGTCAGCGCCTCGTCCTCCCCCTCGCAGCTGAACACTCGGTCTTTGTGCTTCTCAGTGGAGATGTGCTGCTGCCACTGACGCTCGCTGTTACAGTGTTTACCACACAGACGGCAGTGGAAGCCATCCTAAAATATCAATAAAGGATTCACGACCTTTTTCTGGTATCTGAACACAAAATGTGTAAGATATGAAGCTAATTACAAGTGGAGTAAACCCACCATTGGCTCAGCGTAGTCAGTTGGCATGGCAATGTTTTTCTCCTCCAGGCCGGCCTGGGTAAGCATGCCTCCTTCTACTTGATGCTTTGGGGCTTTCAGGGAAGAATACCAGATGTCATACATCTGCTCCATGGGCCCTAAAGTAGAATAAAAAACCTTGAGTTAAAATCAACCGATCATGCTTTGCTTTTTTTGAGCAGTGGTATTTCAGTAATACTGTGGATAGAGATTTATGTCTAATTTTGACATCAGTATCAATTTTTAGGGTCTTTTCAGAACTACAAAGCTGTGGAAAAAGTAGCAACGACAAGCCGTGTCTATTAACGCTACATCATTAGAAAAGTAGCAATGAGGTTGCATTAGATAGATAGGTACAAGATAAATAAAGAGGTTTTTTTAACTGCAAAGCTACTCTGACGGCATCCCAGATTGACATAATGATAGTGGAAAATGAGTGTAATAGCTCTCCTTTAACATCAATAACAAGCTGTCAGTATTATCTTTGTGAGGCGGCTTTGTTTTGTCACTTAGGTTTATACTCAACTTTGGTCAATCTTTTATCCAAACTACATAAAACTAAATCGACGAGAGGTTTAAAGGGGAAATAAACAGATTACAAACACTGAGGTTTATGCAGGTGTGAATAGAAATCACGTAAAGCCCCTTGATGCTCTAGAGGAAGGTGTGAAGAAACAAAGAAATTGCATCGAACGGCTCCAGTCAGTTGTAAAGGTTTTTAAGGATCTGGATCTGCTGCATCTAATTTCACCACTCTTATTTCAGACTGCCCAGTGAGACTGAGGAAAAAGGGTAAATGATGCCGTTTCAGTAGAATACTCCTGTAAAAGTAAGTTTTTTTAACACTCACTGTTAATGTCCTTCATATACATCCACATCTCCTTCTCCTCTTGGCTGTGAGCAAAGGTGCATTTCCCGGGGTAGTTACATTTCCCTGCCTTCAAAATCTGGATGCATATCTGGCAGGTAAAAAAAAAAAAACTGTTATACACACAACACAGTGTGCTTTAACAAATGTTAAAAGGCTGAGATCAACAGGAGGCAAAACAAATGGAGAAACATTCTTTAATGACAGCACAACTTACTTCATAGAATTGAGGGAAGTTCTTGTCATGAGGCAGCGGTCGGACCTGGACCCATTTATTTCTCGCTTCGGACTTGGCCAGCATAACAGCTCTCTCTTTAATCCATCTGAGTATGAGGAAACATAAAGAGGAGGACAGAGGATGAAAACACAACCCAAACTGAATTTGTTTTCCCCGTTTATACAAAGACAACATTTAACCATTCATTGTTGATTTTTTCAGAGTGGCTCCTTTTGGTTAAAACAACACTCTTTTAAATGTCTCCTGGTAGCCTGAATGAGTGTTTTTCAGACTGTGTAGGAGTTTTGTGAATGATTTATCTTCACTCACGGGTGTTTGGCCTTGCTAGAGCAGTACTTTAAGTCTTTGGCTGGTTCGCTGATGTGGTTGCTGCCTTGCAAGCACTGAACACAGACAAACTTCATCTTCAAACCTGGACCCTTCAACGCTCCTGCTCCTCCTCCTCTTGGTTTGTTCTCATCATTTCCAGAAGACACCTGTTTTAAATGAAATTATTAAGACGAGAGAAACAATATTTTTAAGCCATTTTTTCCTCTTGGTCGACCAAAGTCAACTATGACAGAGAAGGAGAGCTCTTGGGTGCATTATCAATCAACAAAACACTGATAGAGTGAGCGGTATGCAGGAGAAACATCAGAAAAAAGAAATAAATTGAAAGTTTTCCTCACTCTTTTTCCTTTCAGTTTGCTCAGGTTTTGCTCCTGCTTTTCATTATACTTTGTTGACACTTTCACAATCTCTTCTGGGCTGATTCCTGTGAAAAGCAAAAATTCATAAACTAACCAAGTAGCATCTCATAACACAAACACTGTCCAAAACTTCACATCTGGACTGTTTTCACAATAAAGAAAAATCTGTGCATTTTTGTTTAGTCTTTGGTTTCCCCCTTTCTGCAACTCTTGTATTATTTACTTTTGAGAGTCTCAAACTGCCTCAAGTCTCAGCTCCTTTAAATCCATGAAGACTCACTTTTTTCCGCTGCCTTTAAATCATTAAAGTCCCAGTCCCACGCCAATTTTTTCTTTTTTACTATTTAAAGTGTTCTCAGTTGTCTCTAAACTGTGATTATGTTTTGAAGTTTTTACCAAAAATCACGTTACCCGTGTCATTTTCAAGGGCTTCTGTTCTGCAGAGCAAGAAAAACATGATTTTCATGGGAGTGGATCTTTTAATCTTTTTAACAATCATTTTAAGTTATTATGTAACTAACGTTTCAAAACTGAACAATGCTGAGTTTTTCAAATATAAGTTAAAAAAAAAAACCACTAAAATGTAAACTGTTTGAAGAATGATCTGCAAAAAAGATACAGGGGAGAACCTCTAAGATGGTACCACACACTTGAACTTACCCGGTCCCTACATAGTTCAAACTAAATTCAACGTTGACACTATCTTGAAAAAAAAAAAAAAAACAGACACAAAAACAGACCTGTGTCCCGTTGCACCTTCCAGGTTTGAAGCTCTATGACGGAGTGAGCGAAGTGACAGTCTTCTCTCTTGCAGGCATTCCAGATGGCTTGTCGGCATAAATCCAGACGGCACAGGAGGCTCAGCGGACGGACCTTTCTGTAGTTCACATTGTGGGTCCTAACTACAAATGACAAACACCTGACGAGCAGGGGGACAAATTTCAGATACTGCTACAGTGACACTAAAATGCCAAAGTCCATCTTTTATCAATCTCTCTCTTTTGTAAAAAAAATAAAATCAAAGAAATTAAGCATACTTATTGGCATCAAAGCAGTGGTGAACATCTATGTTCGAGCAGAGGGTGGAGTTTTTACTGCTGCGTTTGCTGATGATTCTGGGTTTGTTGTCAAAGCATTCCTACAGAGACAAAAACAGGCCAGACAGTCAAGAAATTAAGCAACAAAGAAAGTGTTAGTATGAATTTTGCCCATTTATGTAACATTTATGATGACTGATAATTTGGCACCAGATTGAAGTCATCCAGAAGATGCACAAGAGCACACTTTTTTTTTTTGATATATACTTTATCACTGTTTTATATCTGAAGAATTAAAATGTAGAGATTAAGAGCCGTCTTACATTCATGTACGTACGTAAGAGTCATCGCTATGGGGATATTTGGGGCATTATAGAGCTATTTTTACAAAGTCCTGCACAAACCCATGATACACCTTTTTTTTTAACCAGGTGACAAATACAGCAGCTTTGGAGAATTTTGAGGAATGTTAAAGCTCATAAATACAGGATTAATTATATGAATGCATGTGTGAATTCTGTAAACTGACCTGACAGAGGAATAGGAAGATGCCTTTATTCTCCTGGAGCAGGTGTATGATGCTGTTCACAGGGTCACAGGTTGGTAATTCAAACAGAAGCTTCCGGGACAGCACCCCCTTCCTCTCGGCTGTCCAAACATCAATCTCAAGCTGGTTAAAAGCAAAGGTGCAGTCCTCTCCGTACTTACAAATACCCGCATCCCCGGACTTCAGCAGCTCTGCAAATACAGAGGAAATGCACGACTTAGGCTGGACTATGGGACAAAATTCCTGTTTTAATCAGGAGCTCTAGGAAGTGAACTGCACATGTTCATCATCTTTAACTGTGCTATCACATATGACAGATTCTGACCAAACACGTTGAAAGACAGGAGATCTTCAAAAACAAAAATAAATATTTGTGAGGATTCGTACCTTTGCAAAGTACAAACTGCGCGTTGAAGCTAATAGGGGGACGTGGCCGCACTCTGGTCCACTCCTCAGGACAATCTCCTTTCCTTCGACACAACAGGATGTCCCCCTTACAGGTATGGACCATGTCAGGCTTGTGAACAAATGTATAAATCCCTCTACCTGAAGAGAATGAGAGAGAGGGGTTAATTTTTTAAAAGACAGATAAATATTTTCTGTCATATTTAGGCTGCATTTCGTGATAATATCTATAAGACAGTTTTATACCTATGACTTATTTGCGTTGTGCTGCTTCAGATGAAAAAATTAAGATAAACTGTCACAATTGTCCTTGGATTATTTTTTGTTGTTTTGTGTGTGGCTGTCCTTGCATCCTTGCATCACACGCCCATTTTGCCGATGCATAGGTAAACAAATGCCTTGCATGCTGTTTGTACTTTGCATTGTCGAGGGCCAGCCTCCAGATGGCACCCTGCAATTAAATTTTTGCATCTGTTGCCACTACTGCAAGTCAACAGGGCCGGACTTGTAACTTACCTTTCCGGGGGAAACAGGAGGAGCAGGCCTGCAGGAACTCGTGGGTAGAAGACAGGGGGTTATGTGTATCCAGAGCTTGGTTCTTCTTCTCCTGTATCAAAACATCCAGATAAATGTTTCAGTAAATGTTAGCAAACATGAGGGGGAAAAAAGCAGGTGATAGGAACCAGTTGGTCTCACTTTATAGTCATTCTTAGGGTGTCGCATTTTAGGAGCTGCAGCAGCGTAGGATCCACAGGTTTCTGAGGAGCAACAGGAAAAAATGAAGAACAGAAAATAAAAAATAAATTAAATATTTTAGAGGGAAACAATAGCAGTACACTTACTGAAAGACAGTAGGAGTGCAGTAATTAAAAAAGAAATAATAATAATAATAATAAAGGCAGTGAAAAATACATTCTATGCTTCTATAGCACTTGTACATGTTGAAGCTTTTAAATGACATGCTGACATGCTGTAACAAAGACATAAAGGTGCTCGGAATTGATAAAATTAACTAATAATTGAACTACGCTGCACTCCAACACTGCCAGGTGAGGTCAAATGTGAAGGAGAGGTGGACCAAGTGGATGTGAATATGAGATGTTAAAATTTGGAGTCACCAAGTGCAACTGTGCGGTCTATCAGTGAGTGAAATCAAACCGAGAACCTTTTATGTTTCTGCCTCTTTGGTTGGACTCATTTGGACAATGCACTGCCACCTCACTGGTGTAAGGCTGTAACTGCAGTTGAAAAAGACAAATTCACAAAGTGCTGTCCTAAGAAAACAGCAATAAAAAAAAAAACATCTGACTGTACAAAGAGCCTGAGGAAGTGTGGATATCAGACCGAGGCAGCTGTGTCGTAGTTTAATGTGCAGGACCACCCCTGTGTTATCATGTAATATATTCTATATCAGCTCTATTTGTGTTCCCTGAGTAATGCCTCTTGTGCTATGTGCTGATCTTGCGAGACAGCTTATCACCTCAATGAGAAATCTTGACATGCTTCAGTATCCTAAGATCCCGTGGCATGAGATATTGTCACACCCCTGTTATTTTCTCATTGTTTCAAGGGAGTAAGACTCAGAGGAACTGACAGGCACACCCACACCTCTGGTGAAATATGCAGAAAGGTGCAAGATTTTCTTTGAATGTAGTGTGGGGCGCACATGCTGCTATCATACAGCCCCTGACTAAGATAAATTCACAAGTATGAGACTACAGAATAGAAAAAATGATAACTGTTAATCTATATCTCAAAGTAACCCTGCGCTATTAAAGCTTAACTCTACAGAAAAATCCCAAATTGTCAATTTTTGTTTCTGAAATTCTGCATACTTTGAGGCAGAACAGTCAAAGCAGTTTTTCAAATTTAAGCATCTGGAAGCTGTCACTGCACTGTAAAGTATCGTCATACTGTTTGCCAATAATTCCATCAGTTACCAATAAATCATCATTACCAGCTGAGCCGAAATCAGACAGCGAGTCGAGGCCTGACCCTCCGATAGAGACTGCTGGCAGAGCTGGTACAGCACTGTCAGCTGAGGGGAACTCATCCAGGGAGTCCAGCGGCTCTACAGCTCCCAGGTCAACTTTGGGGACATGGATGCTCAGACCATCGAAATCACAGGCGGCCTGAGGTGGATCAAAACCATCAAGCTCATCAAGGCTCAGCTCCCCTACGGATGCATTCTCAGCCGCAGAACTCTGAGCAGTATCTAAGACTTCATCCAGAGAGTCGAGGCCGTCCAGAGAGTCCAGCGCTACAGAAAGAGGAGCTACACTTTGGATTGCTGGACCAGCTGCACCACCAGAGGCCAAGAGGTCATCTAGATCATCCAGTGTGGAAGTACTATTACTAAAAACAATGCCTGAGAAGGAGTCTAAGGAGCTGATTTGGCTGACGGGCGAGTGGAAGAAGGCCGGGGGCAGCTGTGGTGTTGGTGCAGGAAGCACAGAGGCGGCTGTGTGCGTGCTGATGGACGTCTTGCTGGGGACCGCAAAAGCTGCCTGGGTGTGATTCTGAAAACAAAGATAGCAAAGATTGGTTGAGGGGGAGGCAAAGTAACTTTTGGGTTGTTTCATGAACACAAAACTGTGTGAAAAGCGACACCCACAAGTGGTGTCAAACATCATATAAATGGAAAGCAGCCAATCAAAACATTTCAGATCATAGAGCTTCATTAAGGTTTTTCACAGACACCACCCTGAGACAAACAGGACGTTTTTTGAGCTGCAAATCATGGAGAGGTACTCTGTAAATTAGGCCCGACCGATTTATCGGCGAGCAGATTAAATCGGCCAATTTTAGCCCCTTTGAGACTAATTGGTAATCAGCCAAAACTCGCCGATTTTCACAGATATTTTACAGTATATCTACAGTATATGGTATACTGTGGATATCTATAGTATATATATATTTTTTATAACTTCATAAAAAATTTAAAAAATCGTCTGATTAATCGGTAATCTGATTTTTTCCCCCCTAATAATCAGTATCGGCATCAGCCCCAAACACTCCATATCAGTCGGGCTCTACTGTAAGTATTATTGGTCTCCTTTAAGAGCTTGAACAATGCACATGCATTTTGTCACATGCACTATCAGACCGTTCAGCTTTATAAACTTCTACAACTCTGCAAGGACCAGTGACACCCCACATTTCACCTCAGTCGTCTCATTAGGAAAGCTGTCAAGAAGAGAGTCCAGGTCGTCTCCTATCAGCTCAGAGTCCTCAAAAGTGTCCACCACATCGGGAACTACAGGAGGAGCAGGTTCAGGGTGGCTGGGAATAGTAGGTGTGAAAGTGGTCTGAGGCATGATGGGAAACCTGACTGAATGGAAGTAAGAGAGGGTCTATCAATATTATTTGTTATTAATTTTGTCCATATTTTTGAAGAATCTAATCACAAAAATAGACGAAGGGAACACATGTTGTCTTAAGTAAAAAATAAAATAGATATTTTTTTAAAAGTCAAAGTGATAAATGGACACCTGGTGCAGGACTGCTCACAGGATTCAAACCATTCCCTACATGAGGTCCAGACACCTGGAAGTCAGAGGGTAAAACATTAGGATGATACAACCAAGTGCCGACAAGTTACAACCTGAAAGAGTTTAAACAGGAGGAAAGATTTGATGAACCAAAAAGCAAGCAGCATTTATCAAAATGAAGAAATCAGAATGAGTTTGCTGAAATGTCTTGAGTTGGTTTTGGGAATTTGATCTGAACTTGCCTTGATGGCTTCAGCTTTTATTTTTCCATTTGAAACAGTTCTCGTGATCAGCGAGTCTTCCTAGGACAGAAAAAAACGATGCAGTGATTAAAACACATCCAACACACTGACTGAGAAACTTTGTGTAAGAAAAATTTTGCTCAAACTTAGAGTAAAACATTTAGGATTTCGTCAATGCCCCTTCTTTGTCTGTATTAGACCATTACAGAGCTGAAAACAAAGAAAATTCTCCAAAAAGAACAAAATCCAGATAAAACACATTCCTCTCACCTTTGCACCGACATAAGGTTTTCTGACTTTGAGCCCAAGTTTGGCAGCAAGCTCCTGAGCGAGCTCGTTCACCTTTGTGTCCTGTCGAACAAGAAAAAAATGACCATGATTAATGAACGAATTTACAGCACTGACTTGAAATATTCTTTACTTGACCAATACAAAAATAAACTTCAACCAAACAAGGTCTACTTTGAATCCAGGGTAGGACTTATGATTAAAAAGAGATATATATTTTACCAGGAAAGCCTTAATGAAATTAAAATCTATTTTACAAGAGAGTCCTGAAGACCAAGATCAGCATCAGCACTATTCCAAGTTCACAGGTAGGTTTACCTACACATCAAAATCTTCTGAATAAAACTGAAAATCATCACTTAAAGCATCTCCAACCTAACACATCTTCCTCCAACACCATGAATCTGCTATTTCAAACATTCAGAGACACTCGCTCCCTCAGACTCAAGCAGCTCATGGCTGCTAAGGCCAGAGGACCAATCATTTTCCTTGTTTTAGCATTTTTTTGTGCAGTTCCTGAGACTAAAGACAAATATAAAGCATGTGGATTTAAAAATAAAAAACTTTTTTTTAATCTTTTGGGCAGTTTGTGTCTTTACTGGACAGTGGATAGAGCAGGAAATGGGAGTATAGAGCAGGGGAGGAAAGGAGTCACAGACTGTAATCAAATCGAGGTCATCTAGTTGAGGCATAACCTTGGGTATATAAGGTGCACACTTTCAACCATCAGGCCAGTGGCACACCACAAAAAGCCATTTAAATCACTAAACAGCCACTAATAGGAAGTTAAAAACCTGGAAACAACTTTGTGATCTTGCATCAGTACAAAAGGAAACACCCTGAAACTGAAGTTGCAGGTGCTTCCTGTGCAAAAACATTGTTAATAGATGCAGCCCCTAAAACTATTTCCTCAGTTCAATTATCTATTTCACTTAGGAAGCTCAGCACTGATAATCAACTGCATGAGTTTTCAACAGAAATGAGCGCTGAACCCCCTTAGTGGACACAGGCTCTATTTCTTACGACTTTTTTCACTTTAATACCAAGCCATCACTCAAAGATTTTAAAGGATGATTCTGTAAAAGTGTTACATTGATGGTAATTTCTTTGACCCATCTCACCGGACGACTGACGAGTAGAGGGTGGGTGGTGCAGTTGTAGGCCTCCCTGTGTTTCCCGAGCTCCTTCAAACACAGAGCCTTCCTGTACAGTGCTTTGTGGCTTTCTTTACACACATCCAGAGCGTTGTCACAGTCTACCACGCCACGATCATATTCCCCCTGTGGAAAAACAGAGATAGAACTAAAGGCATGGTTTCAACAGCTTAGAAAAGGGACATCAAACTGAATCTGGTACAATGTTTACAACTTCACCGCTCTCTGGTATGTGGGTTTAAGCTGTGTGGTCTGGTGCTGATAATAAATACATCAGAGTAATTTACAAAGGGTCACATTCCTTACAGGTAATAAATCAAGTCTGTTGTTGTTTTTAAGAGAAACATCTCTATTCAGATATGAGGTAAGCCAGGGAGAAACCTTTTCGTGTGTGTGTGTGTACAAAAATAGAAATATAGTTCATGAACTTTGTTTCCTGGACAGTTTCTGTCTTTTAACTTGAGTTTTACATTTTTAATTAAGTAGCAAAGAATATGAATTACTGTGTTATTTTCTAAATACCATGAGTTAGCAAGGACGACTCTGTGTTGACTGTCAGTCAACATTTAGCTTGGCCAGACAGTTAAGGACGACTGCATGTCACAGACCTTTGGACGGCAACGTTAACCCTTAACATTCTCGCTGGGACAAAAACCAGACGAGACTAACAATTATTCCCAAGTTAATAAATTTAATGTTGTTTTAAAATCAATCAAATCAACTTGAGTGTCTGCATACCAACATTTTGTCAGCGTTATACAATCCTGAAGCTATTTGGACATCTTATTTTTAATTCTAACATAAATATCATCATCAAGGCGGGGCCAGCGAGAAATCAGCGATCATAAAAGCAAGTATGGTTCATCCTCTTGGAGCCATGAGTATCTACAGAGTTCAAGGCAATTCAGTCAATGCAATACCATGAACAGAAGAGTTTCAACCTCCAGTTTTACCACGCAATAATAAGGGTTTGAAAAAATAATCATGAAGATTTATCCTCCTGGGACCATGAATCTACAAACATTTTTTATACACTTTGTGGGAACTGTTTATTAGTGTGAAGTGGGCGGTATCTTTTAGTCTCATTTGAACAAAAGCCACGCAAGGCTTTTTTTGAATAAAGTCAAAGATTCATCCTCAGGGGACTGTGAATATCTGCGCAAAAAGTCGAGGCGATCTATAGAGCTGCTGGTGTCTGTACTTATATATAATTTCACAGAGGACTAAAATTGTGTTTTTGACATGTGGTCTTCTATGAGCTTTATGTTTTTAATTTTTTTTGTCTTTTTCAGATAAATAGTTTACGTCATAGTTTAAAGGCTCGAGTTTTCTGTACTGTACAACTAGTTTTGTAAGTTAAATAAGTTGTACCCCGTGATTGACGGATAAGAGAATCAGAGAGGTAAACAGCAGTTTGTAAAGAAAGGATTAGAGCAGATAACCAATCATGGTTCTTATTTTGACAGAAGTCCTTAAATAATAAAAGTGTTTCTCAGTAAAATAGTCTCTGTAGCTCTCTGTTATGACTTATTATCCTATAGTCGTTACTCTGTTTCCCCTCTACCCGCCACTGAAGGTCTTACACTGAGTCCCACAGACACACGTCAGCCTCTCCTTGAACCTGAACTCCCAAAGGTTCTTATCGTACTGATGAAGGCCAGACTCTGTGAGAGCGAAACAGTGTGTTGGTGGTGAGACTCACTGGAATGTAACACAACTCTTCAAGTTTAGACAAAGTTTCATTCAGACTCTGGATCATGACACTTTTAAAGGCACTGCAGGTCATGATGTCCTTCATAATAACTTGAGAAAACTTTTTTCAGGTGGTGAAACTGTGTAAAATGTTGACAAAAAACAGATTTAGATTTTTAAAAATCATTTAAGCCTAAATTTATTGAAGATACCACACAGACATCAAATGAAATGTAAAAATTTAAATTTTTTGTTTGTTTTTATGTACCGTCATTTCAAAGTTGATACTGGCAGCATGTTTCAAAAACACGGGGAAAATCTCTGAAAATGTTTTCTCAAAATAAACACCTGAAGTAACATCTCTCAGTTTATTGAGATACATTTTCAACAGGTTATAAATATGACTGGGTATAAAAAAAAGGCCATCCCATAGTTATCTGAGAAGGTACCATAAATGCTGAACTACAAAGAACAGGTTTTGAGAAAACACATGCTGCCATTTTTTTTCAGGGCAGACCTTCATATTTCACAAAGACAGTGCCATGAATTATTCGGCACATATTACAACAGCATGGCTCTGTAGTAATAGGGTCTGGGTGCTAAACCAGTCTGCCTGCAGTCCACACTAATCACCCAATGAAAACATTTGCTGCATCATGGAAAATAAAATACAACAAGAGAGACTCTGAAGTGTTCAGCAACAGAAATCCTACATCAGGCGACGATGGGACATTTCATCAGAAACTGGTCGACTTGATTCCTGTAAATACTTTCTGTGGACAAAGCAGTTTTTACTTCCTTTGTCCTTAACATGCTTGAGTAGAGACTTTTGACAGTCAAATGTGTCATTTCTTTTGAATATTTTATAATAAAATTGTAAAAACAGGGTTATGTGGGTTTGGCTGCTTGGCTGGTGTGGAGTCATTTTTTGATGAAGTTCTGTATCTTCTCTTGGACAACCTGTGCCTAGCTATTCTAAATTCATGTAATATGTTGTTATAAGGCCTAGGGTCACCCTCCTGAACATGTGAACTTATGGGGCATTCTTGCTGGATACTATTCCGAGTATGACCTCCTTATTAGGATAAGATCGATGTATGCCCACGGGGAGCATCTGTATGACTGAAGCCTGTTCAATGTATGTTTACAGGAAATGTGCATGTGACCACACACCATCAGTCTTGATGGTCACAGGGACCTGATAATGGCATTTTAATGATCATAGTTTGTGTGACCCAGTCACATAAGCCACAGAAGAATATCTTGACATTTGCATCCCTGCTGATGATAAGGTATGTATGGAAAGCACCCTGAGGCCTTATCAAAGGGCCTCATATTGTTTATATTTAATAGGGTTTTAAAGACACCATTAGAAAAAAAACAACCTGTTGGCTGAGCTCATCAGGGAGGGGCTTCACCTCATCAGCCTTGCCCAGACACTATTAGAAACAAAGCTATTAGAACTTATATAGAGAAAAAAGGGTTGGTACTATAAGAAGTAAATGCCTACTGTGAAGTGCTATATATCTTTGTTACCTCAGTCTGGATTCTGCAGAGTTCATTCTCACCGACTTCGTTCATTTGCATGCTGAATAAAGTATCTTGGATGCAACTTGGACAGCCTCATCTCATGATTTGAACCTGACTGCTGTTTCTTCATCGATGGCTCTACACTTAAACTCAGCCAAGCCAATTAGAACAAAGCTAATAGTGTCTATTGTAGAGCCCGACAGAGGTCAGGACCCCCTGAGGGGCAGCTTCAGCATACATCACCTAGAGAACTGAGACACATCACTGTCACCTACCCATTCACAACGGTTTCAGCCATTAAAATTTGGATACAAGAACCAGCAGTTCTGTCACCAATGGCCTTGTTTGCTTTTGGATATCATAAAGAGCCATTACAATTAATTTTATAGAAGTCAAAAAATTCCTCATAGGAACTTCACATCATCAGCCATAAAAGAAAGTGAAACCAGTCAACATCTGCTGTTAGAGAAGCGCCTCATACTGAGATATTTGTAATCATTATCAGAAAGCAGCCTGAAACGTATAAATCAAAACTGGTTTTCTCTTGGTAATGAATATCGTTAATCTAATATTAGAGGTGGTTGAAAAACAACTTTGACCTTTTACAATCTGCCAAAGCTGACTGAGTCATACACAGATCAGGTTTGGGTGTGGAAAAGCATTTATCAGTTGGCTGTCTCCATCTTTTAAAGTGCCTGCCTGAGCCGCAGTGGACCTGTGTAACTCACCATACTGTGGTAGACAGCAGCTCTGTTGACATACAGACTCTCCAGTAACACCTGAGGGATGTGGAGCTCCTCTGTGACAGCGTAGTCTGCAACATTCAAACCTTCAGTGAACATTTTCACCGCCTGCTCCCAGTTTCTGTCTCTGAATAAGGCGTTTCCCTCCTCCAGGAGGTTGAACACCAACTGGGTCAGGAAGTCCTGAAGAGAGGAAATAAAATGACGTGGTTTTTTCAAAAACTCTGAACTTGATAATAACTAAAAAACCCCAGTTTTCCCAGGATGGTGATTCTAGATCATTTATGACCTGTTTTAGCAGGATTTCAACAGCCATCAAATACAATGTTGATCACAGCTCTTGCGAGTTATAAAACAGGTTTATAAAACTGCATTTCGGTTTAACCAATCCACAAAATACACCTCAAAAATGGTAAAATATAAACTCATAAGAATACATTTATAAAACTAGAAAAGCACTCAGAGAGCGCAGACCTCCGCCAAGCAGCTCATGTTCCCCATTATACTGTGATTTACACCAAAACTTTTACTGTTACGTGTCTTTTATTAACTTTTATTTGTGTTTAAACTGGTATGTTCACTGTTCATAATGTTCCTAAAACAACAAAGCTCATATTAGATACATAAATGCATGATTTATTATGCAATATTTGTAAGCGTACACTTCCTTGTATCTTCATTGGTTATCTTTCAGCATTGAAAATTCCAACGACACCCTTATTTTTGTGTGTTCTGGATCACAGTATCCGGAACTTTGTCTGGATCAGGATCAACCTTTGACACCTCATAAAATTCATTGAGATCCTTTAGTGTAATTTTTTTACTAAAGACTCTGGCCATTTTTATAGAGTTAAATGCAAAAATTCCCAAATTTGCCGTATCTCACAATGATAAAGAACCTTCAAAAAATTATTGGATCCAGAAGGCGATCCAGAACACCACCAAAATGTAATGGGATTCTCCTGGGGCTGAGACGCACCTCTGGTGAAAATTTCAGGTCAATCCATCTGTAACTTTCTCTGTAAAGTTGTTCACAGACAAACAAACCAACGCTACCGAAAACATAACCTCCTTGGCAGAGGTAATAAATCAAATAAGTCCAAGTCTGATTTATTCATCAGACTTTTATGAGTTTTTCTGCTGGGCATGGTTGAACAGAGAACACACTTGTACAGTAATTTCAAGATGATCATTAGAAACAGGGAAAGATTTTTTAGTTCTTCACATTTCAAATTAGATAAACTTCTACAGAGGTTGTGGAGATTCGAACAATAAGTAAGGATTTTTATGTTTTTATGCCTGTCCTGAGATCAGTGTGTCTACTTCCAAACATCCAACTCCTCTCAAAATGAAAAATATGTTATTTGTCTAATGAATTTAAAAAAATTCAGATTTCCTTGGTCTGTCTTTACACAATAAATCATTCTGGCATTCATGTTGAGAAATGTTGGTTATTGTAAACATTCCTCTGTGCAAAATGGTCCTAAAGTGATCTCTTTATATCATGTCAAACATGATAAAAACACCCAGTCAGTTGAGATGTTTTAGTGTAGGCAATAGCCACACTCAATTGAGATTACTGTGACAGAAATCAACTTTAGGGCTGAATTAAGAGACAGGAAAAAAAGTCCAGTGAGAAGCCAGTCAATTCAGCCACAAAAGTTGATACATTACAATATGCATGAAACCATCAGGGCAAGACAAAACAGTTTGTTTTTTTAATAACAGAGTACCTGGTATCCATCCGGCTCTGGATAAGCCAATGTAGACCTGGAACATAACACATAAACATAGTTATTATTAAATGTACAGAGTCACAGCAATGTGATGAAGGATGTGAGTCATTCAGAGTGTGAGCAAGTTTCACTTTCCATCAGACTACAGAGGAATAAAAAGAAGAAGACGACATCTTACTGTATAAATGCCAGATCTCTGTTTATATCCTCCTTCCGTTTCTGCCTGGCAAGATCCATGCTGGTTCACTGTGAGGACGAGAAGATGACCACAAACAGATTACAAGACACAAGTTAGTGATGTTATGAAGAAATAGCCTGAAGTACGGTTTATGTGGCCTACGCCCACTTCCTTCAACACCAACATAAAAGAAATAGCGACCATCTCTGAAAATACAAACTTGATCTTCTCAATCTATTTTACTATTGTTATGTAAAGCAAAAAAACCCCGCGTGCAGACCAGACCCCTCACTCTGCATGATATCATGGCGCACAGAGATGAGGCTAACATGCACAGCTTACCTTGTAAAGTGAGGAAGTTCATTGAACCGAATCAAAGTTCAAACCAACCAAGTCATTTGGGGTGTTAGGGAGCAAAAAAAGACGGAAAAATGACGAGCAAAAACGGGTCGTGGTGACCCCAGGCGCAAGTGACACGGTGGGGCTCCGTGACTAACTTCACAGTCTGGCTTAAGTTTCGATTCCCGGCAACAGACCCACTACTTGAACGAGAGAGTAGACCTGAACATTGGCCCTTTAAGGAAGCTGAGAATAACACTAAACCCTGGGTAGTGTCTGTAAGGCACCACCTCCATGAGTCAAAGAGTAAAATCCCTCCCGAGAATGTTGGAAGTCCTGTGGTAAATTGGACAGAATATCATTTATATTTTTCTGTATGCAATTCTTCACGGACACTCTGAGTACGGTGGCCCTGAGGTTAAACTGCACAAACAATTCACTGAACACTAAAAATGTTTCTTTAAACAAAACTACATTTTATTGAAAGGCAAAAACAATTCATAGAGAGAAAATGAAACATTTTAAAACTAAAAATATAATCTGAATCACACAGCAAAAGCTTTGACTTTTTTTTTCTTCATTCTTCAAATGTTTTAGATGTTGAAGATGATTTGTTCTATCCACCGGTGGATTTATAATTACAGATTTTCTATCTGACTTCACAATGCAGCTGTTTTCTCTGTATTAGCTGTATTCTCAGCAGCCCCTTTGCATAGTCAAGACCATAGACTGTATATACTAGATTCTGTTTACAGTCTATGGTCAAGACAGAATGCATAAACGACAGACTTCAGAGTGGGCCTCTGACAAAAATGAGCTAAAAAAGCCCAAATTATTGTCTGTCAGGTATGTAAACCATAAGGCTCCTGCTAACACTTTCTTTGCCCCTAAGTTGGGGTCACACCTCCATAAAACAAAGAAACCACTCTTGATTTATAAATTTCCATGCTTGTGCCATTCACGGTGTGCAGTGATGGCAGAACAACAACCATTCCATGTACAGCCAGGATTTAAAGAGCTCCCCCTACTGACTGGCTGCAGTAAAAATCATGAAACCCACCATAAATTGTCAGATTAGACCTGGGTCAAACTGTAAAATCTAAATACACATTAAAAAGGTTTCTTTTGTCATTTTAAGTAGCTCATTATATAAAATCAACCCAGGGGCGTCCAAACATATTGATACTCTAGACATCAGTATTTAACAAATAAATATCTTTGCAATTGATTCAGTAATGATGATCATTAACAATTATGATGCCAAATATGCTATATATACACTAATGTATTTGTAGGATTCTCATTCTTTCTAAAATAAACAATTGCTATAGTCATGCTGCACATTTTAATCTCCAGGATAGAATTCTAACATCAAACTCTAAAATGATGAATATTATCTGAAATAATATATGTATAGTGCATTAACAGAAATGACACAGGGCATTGCAGGAGGGAAAAATAAAACAGGAACATTTCTTACAAAGCTTCATGGTCTTGGTGGAGTGTGAGAGCTGTCGATTCCGGACCGGTACTTGAATGCCTCATTGAAGTCTCTTTGAACTACAACTCCCTTGTTTCTCGACGGTTCAGTCGTAAAGTCGGTTTTCTGTGCTGTTGTAATTAGGTTTGAACGCCAGGAGCGAGCGGGAGTGTTTGGGATTGCTCACATTCAGCACAGCGGCGTTTTGGTAAAGATTTTTAATATTTCTTCAGAAAGCAGACCAGATAATAGGCGGCCGTTCAAACTAGCATTTCTGTTATAACGAATTTATATCAAGGAGCGGTGGGGCCAGACTAACTGCTGTATAACGTTAGCTAGTTCGCGGTTTACTAACTCAGGAGGCCGAGTAAGAGCCATACTCTGTTCCGTGTGTCCTGTCCGGCCAACGGTCCCGTTTTACACCCAAAAAATGACCGGAACGCGATGTACTTCTGAACCGACAGTTGGCAGTTCCAATAGCACGAACCTGCGTTTGTAGGTGACAAGCATAGTGTTGCGGCTTAAAATGTTACCCTGTGTATTAGCGAGTTTCCTGTTGAATACGGCTGGTTGTTGTTGTAAACATCACGTCTGCCTCGTCGTTTGGCTTGAATTTAAGACATGGGTTTGGGGTATATTTAGACACTTTAATGAAATTAAAAAGAGTAAGTGGCATCCGCGAGCACTTTTTTGGTTTCTCAGTTGCTGTTGGTAACCATACATTTGGCTGAGGTCGCCAGAATGCATGGTCACACATCAAAACGGAACACCTGCAACACGTTAACAGCACTCAGCTAAAGCTAGCCGCCGGGCGTTGAAAGAGAAAATGCACTTCAAATCAAAACTTAATTCTCATGGGTCAACATTTAAGAAGCCTGAAGTCTGTTTTAGTCAAATTATTGAGTATAAAATCACAAATTCGAGTTGTGAGTTGAAATGGACAGTGATTACTGGAAGTTCTCCAGCCCAGTAGAGGTATCCAGCTGTAGGGTGCCATGTCCCTCAGTGAAAACATCACTATCAGCAGTTTTTGTGTAGTACAAAGTTGAACTTAACCTTCCAGAGGGATAGTAAAGGCAAGAATATTCCTCCACAACCATATTATTCGGAGCTGGAATGACTTTCAGTAGATTGGTAATATTTTGTGGTTATTACTTGGTAATAGGTGTAAATGTGCTCAAACTTGATAGTGTTGGTTTTGGAAACAAAGACTGTGATAAAAGTATCTTATACAGTAAATCCTATGTGTGTCCCTTAGGTGTCGTGATGGCGACAGACATTGTTGCACAGTTGGCCGACTCTCTGGCCAAAACTGTAGTGGTGGAAGGAGAGCTGAGCTACAAAGGCCAGGGGCAAAAGCTGGACGATGCCAAATCAGGTGAACATCATCTGTGGAAAACTCTTATTTTTTGTCTTATCAATTCCTAATTCTTTTCTTTCCTGACCTCTATTGAAACCCTCATCTTTTCTCTGTCTTGCAGTGGAGGAAATGGTGAAGGAGATCCAGGATTTTGAGGGTTTACAGGCTCTGAGGTTGGAGGGAAACACTGTTGGTGTGGAAGCAGCTCAGGCAATTGCAAAGGCTCTGGAGACCAAAAGCGAGTTTAAGGTGTTTATTTGTGCCTGTTTTATTATTTTCATTTTAGAATTAACAGCACATGAGTTAATTATAGTTTATTTTTCACATTTAAACATGTTATATTAGGTATCGAGTAACTGTTTGCCAATCCTTAGGTCAGTTCTTTTTAGGTGTGTCCATTTTTTCTTCTGTATTTCCCTCTTTTTTCCAGATCGACTCCTAAATCAAAATGAAAATACATTAATTTGGACATTATTTGGCAATTTTTCTAAAAGAATTACTCTGGAAGATTGTTTTGTTTTTTTAATAGCAACATATCATGTCGTAGATAATTGAAGTTTTCCATTGTTGACATTGACAGTTTTTGTTCTTCCTCTTTCTTGCAGTGCTGTTATTGGAGTGACATGTTCACAGGTCGCTTGCGCTCTGAGATCCCACCTGCTCTGGTAACACACTTTTTTGTTATCATGTCAAATATTGTGCCCCTTCCCTGAACTCTTACTCTACTGCCACTTAGTTTTTTTTTTTAATTCTCTACCCACCCTGATTATTTTTTTGTCCTTGTATCCCCTTGTTGTAGAATTCACTGGGGGACGCTCTCATACTAGCTGGTGCACAGCTCACGGTCTTAGACCTCAGTGACAACGCCTTTGGACCTGATGGAGTGAGGGGCATCGAGAAGTTGCTGAAGAGCTCCGCCTGTTACACCCTGCAGGAGCTGCGGCTCAACAACTGTGGGATGGGTGTTGGAGGGGGGAAGGTACATCACAAAGACACAATTTCAGAAGAGTTATTACAGGGATGATTGTTAAAAGGAAAGAACTTGATGGTTTGCAAATCATTTAAACTCTATCTTTAATAGAAAATAGTGCAAAGACAACACATCAAATACTGACAATGACAAATATGATTGTTAAAGGAAAAATAGGTGCTCACTTTAAAATGAATGCCAGTTACACGTACTAAACCAGCTGGGACAAGGAAGGGTAGCATGACAAGTTAAAAACGACACTCCCATTGCTCTGTGAGGGCCAAGGTGGGCAAAGAGTCCAGAATAACATTTCTCAGCATAAAACTTTTGGGTTTTTTCTTTATCTGCAGTTTACATCTACTTTATATCATTAAAGGATTCAGAGAATGTGGACTAATCTCTGTATGTAAGGGACATGTCCCAAAGCCAGTATTTAATGGCCATAGTCTTCTATCCCTCAGGTGGCACTGCACTGGAAACAGACATGACTCTTAAGAGAAAATCACTGCAGGTAAAAATCACATTTGAAAAAAACTGTAGCTTTCAAAGAGGGACCAGTCAAGATTAGTCACCTTCTGGAAACATTGTTATACTATTATACAGTTGATGCAACACATCTGTAAACATGCTGCTGCCCCTGCTGACTTGAAATCATAGCATCAAGTTCAAAATGAGACTATTTATCATAAAACAACATTTTTAACTTTAAACATTTGATATGTTGTCTTTGCACTATTTCTTTTTAAATACAGACTTTAAACTATTCTGTGAACCATCACAATTCTGTTTTTATCAACATTTCACAACATTTTCACCTGCTCTTATGAATTTGGGGTTTTATACTCTTTTATACAATAAATTCAAGTGTCACATGATTAGGTCTACGTTAGAATCTCTTCATAAGTCCCTGTTAGTAAGTAATGTGTGTGTTTTACTTCTGTGTATGAACACATTTATTTTGCTCTTAAATTTGAAAAGAAGACTGACTAAGCCAAACAGTATCTTACATTCCTTGGTAGTCCAGTCTTACCAATCTGTTGATGACTTGGTTGTTAATTGTTGAGTTTTGCTGTGGTTTTGAGTTATTGTTGTCAGCTGGGAAAAAAAGAAAACTTGCCAAAAACAGTTCTTGAAAAAAACAAACATACAGGAGTTGAATGTTGATGACTTTGGTGAATAGAAGTAATCATCTTTGTTTCTGGACTCAGATCTTGGCTGCTTCCCTGACCCAGTGCCATAAAATGTCGAGTAAAGACGGCACCCCGCTCAGCCTGAAGGTGTTTGTTGCAGGTAGAAACCGCCTGGAAAACGACGGCGCCACAGCCCTCGCACAAGCCTTCCAGGTGACTGATCTTTCAGCTTTGATTTCTTTCCTTGTAGACTGACGGAACGATGATGCTTTCCAATAGAGAATATAACTGTTTTTGTGAGAAATTGACCAAGACTTTCCTTCTCAGAGTATTTTACATGATTGTTTTCGCAATTATTTGACAACTTGAGCACAGTTTTTTAAGATTTCTGTTTCTTTCCCAGCTGATGGGCAGTCTGGAGGAGGTCCACATGCCCCAGAACGGCATCAATCACGCTGGTGTGACTGCGCTGGCCACAGCCATGCAGAACAATACTGGTCTCCGCATCCTCAACCTCAACGACAACACCTTTACCGAGAAAGGGGCTATTGCTATGGCTCAGGTACCACCATACCACCATACATTAACCTTGGGGGAAAAAGGAGAAAGAGTCTGTCTGTGAATCACCTCTTGTAGAAATGACTGTTGATTGGCAAGAGAAATATGAGTCATAAGAGTTGCTTTAGGAGGACAACTGCTGAAGAAGGACTTTTCAACCAATTTATATCAGCTTAACATCTACTTACTGCTGTCTTGTCAAGTTTTTAAAAGTGTTGAAGCAGTAGAAAATAATTGTTACTGGTTGAACTTTTCTCAAGATCTGGTTCATAATACCTGTGACTTCAACAGGCCTTGAAACACCTCCGAAGCATTCAGGTGATTAACTTTGGGGACTGTCTAGTGCGACCGGCAGGAGCTGTAGCTATCGCAGAGACTGTGGCTGAGGGACTGCCGATCCTTAAGGTGTGTTGAATGTACCCCTTACTCTCGATTAGAGTCAGGTGGGATTTCTTTTTTAACTAACATGGTGTTGGAGAAACAAGTTCAGGTTTGATATTGACCAGGACCTACCATGGTCAGCCACACCTGATAATATTCTTTGTCTTATCCAATATTCAATCAGTAAGATCTGTATTTCCCCATTGATTTGAACTTTTGTGCAACAGGAACTCAATCTGTCATTCGGTGAGATCACAGAGGAAGCTGCTCTCGCTGTTGCACAGGCAGTAAAGGACAAAGACCAGCTGGAGAAACTGGACCTCAACGGTAATACCTGCAAAGAGTTGATGAACAGTTTATAGATGTACCCCCTCAAGAGTTTTGATACTAGCTCCATAAAATGTTGTTAAAAAACAAATTTGATGGTTTGCAAAGCATTTGAAATAGTTCAGAAATAGTTCAAAAATATATATGGTGTTTGTTTTCAGGTAACTGCCTGGGAGAGGACGGATGCAAAGTTCTTAAAGATGCCATGGAAGGAATGAACATGGGTGACCTCCTGGGATCACTCAGGTAACTGTAACGTACTAAAGCGCCTTTGTTTAGTGTAATGAAATCCATTGTGATATAGAGAAGTAAAAATGCTGCTGAGGGAAAGACTGACCTGAGTTTTGTGATTCAAAAACTGCAGCAAGCTCTGAGTTTAGTCAAAAAATCTTTAATGCTGCCATTTCAGGAGGAAAAGCTGATGTTTACATTGAATCCTTTATCCAGATTAATAAACATCTATTCATTTATTATTTAAAGGAGTACAAAATAAAAATATCGCACAGTTTAAACCAGTGGTTCTCAAGTCCAGTCCTTGAGGCCCACTGTCCTGCATGTTTTGAATGTTTCCCTGCTCCAACACACCTGATTCAAATGATCAGCTCGTTATTAAGCCATTACAGAGCTTGATAACGAGCTAATCATTTGAATCAGGTGTGTTGGAGCAGGGAAACATCCAAAACATGCAGGACACTGGGGGCTCGAGGACTGGGTTGAGAACCACTGGTTTAAACTGTCTAAAATAATCATAAACTTCTGCTACTAACATGAAGTTACAGCATTTAGAGGCAGTTCCCTGAAATGCCCACAAGAGGTCTCACTCACACTTGTTGCGTAAGCCTAACTAACAGTGAATTGAATTTACTGCAAAATCAAATCATTCACTACTGGATAAAATAAAAGTGTTGCTGTTGGAAAAAAAAATGGAAAAATAATAATTTTGCAATTAAAAATGTGATATCGATGGAGACGAGACCACAACAAGCCTCAAATATATCCTCATAACAAAAACTCTAAGAGGCGCATGTTTTATTTTCATGAACAAAATAAAAGGAAAATGTTAGTGATGGACCATCAGACATTCAAAATCCATGATATTTTTCCTCTTGCTCTGTGTAGAACTCTTTAACAGACTTGCTCTTTGGAAAATTTCAGCGGCTCTCACCTAGACATTCACCAGACTGTACTGTTCACATCTATACCCTTACAGCTGATGAACAGTTTGGATCAGATTGGCTCATTGCAGTTATAATTCAGACCTCTCCCCCAAGTTCAAATTAATACTTGAATTTCTGAGAAAAAGTGAGAGTCCTGTACTTTTCTCGATGTGTGATTCAGAGGAGTGTGTCACACCTGGAACTGTAAAAGTCACACTATCTGATGCATCTTGTCCCAGAACAAAATTTCCACTGAGGTGTCTTTCTCTGCAGTGATGATGAAGGTGAGCCAGAAGATGATGACGATGATGAGGACGAAGAGGATGATGAGGAGGAAGATGAAGAGGATGTGGAAGAGGAGGAGTTGGAAGAGGAGGAAGAGGAAGAAGAAGAAGAGGAGGCAGTGGAAAACGGCGGCATCAAGGTCGGGGAAATGCGTAACGATGAATTTTAAACTCCTGCATGTTTGTTTAGTGTTGCAATTTAACTTCTCCTTTCTTCTCACCCTGACATCATAGTTGTCCACCCCTACTTCAGCACCTCGACCTCCAGACGTCTCCTCCTTCCTCAGCTTCCCATCCCCAGACAAACTGCTTAACCTGGGGTCAAAGAGGGCGATGCTCATTGAGCAGCAGGTAAGCACAGTGAAGGTTGAACAGAACTATGCTGAGGATTATTATAAGTGTATTTAGAACTGAAGATGCACCAGCGAAGCAGGATGTCCATCAGTTTCTTTTTCTCCTCTGAGTGTAGGTGGATGTTTCAGATGCTTCAAAAACAGCCGAGGCCTTCCTGAAGATTGCGTCGGTGTACAAAGAGGACAACAATGATGTGAAGAGCGCAGTACTGGAAAGCATTGGTGAGAGAATATGCTGCTTGGTTGATATGGTGTATAAGGTGATATCTTTTGGAGTCAGGGTCTGTGCAGAGATTGACTCATGGAGCTGTGTTATTGATGGTCACACCCCTTACTCTAACTAAACACCCATTTAACTTGTTCTTCCACTCCCTCAGACGGGGACAGTCCACAGCAGCACGGGCTGTTTTGTGGGTCTGAAGTGATACTTATGGTTCTAGACAGTTCAGTGACTCTTGTGTTAGTGATTGTTGCAGGTCTAGACCTGATCAGTTAGAGAATTTTATGATAACAGGATTTACTTTTTTATTGACTGTGCGGTCATAACCCAGTGTTTTGTTTTCTCACAGACGCCCTTCTCAAGAAAGCTTTCGCCGCCTCCTCCTTCCAAGGTTACAGCTTTGTCTCATCTTTGCTAGTGCTAATGGGACTCATCAAGGTTTGATTGATATTTTAAGATCAATTTCTGATGATTTTTCTTCACCCTTCATTTATTCTTGCTTAATTTCTGATCTCTCTGATGGATGTTTTTTCTTGTGTTTCTTACATCGTTCCCTTGGCTGCCCAGAGTGAGGATAAGGTGAAGCCAATGCGTGTGGCTCCAGGTCACCTGCAGGCATTAGAGCACGTTGTTCAACAGGAATACTTCCCCAAAGAGAGTGTGGCTGTGCTGGAGGCCTTCTTGTCCCGGTAAGGGCGTGAAAGAATGAGCCAATCAGCAGGTAGCAAACAGGTACAAACCACTCTGATTAATCGCTGAACTGATTTTACTGGTGTGGGTGATGGACTCACTCTGGTGACTGTTTTTTTTCCCCATTACTTTAGCCTTTTAATGGACTCCTCTTTCATCTCCTGACTATAGAACATGTTTATCTGTTTTGATCTAGAACTCAGTTAATGTTTTGACTCTGCGGCCAAATTGCGAGCAATAGCAGAAAAACTGCAGCATGATAACATGAGTTACTAATAACATCCAGTCTGCAGATCTAATTCAACACTTTTAGTTAAATATCTCCCTCCTTTTAACAACATTTCTTAGAAAACAGTATTTGAATTGAAATACAACCTCAATTTGAAAAAGTTGGGACAGAGTGTAACATGTTGATAAAAATCAAATCTTATGGTTTACGAATCATTTAAATTCTGATTAGTTTCTGCACATCAGAGCGTTAATAAATATTCTCCCATTCTCTCCTGGCATGAGATTTTAGCTGCTCAACAGTCCTTTACTGTATATTTGTGGGTGATAAGTCAGGGCTGCAGACAGCCTGTTTTAGCACCAACACTCTCCGACTTCCAAGCTGTGTTGATAGAATACTTCAGTAAGTGCCTATCGAGATGTGTAAGCTACTCATGCCACGCTGGCTTTGAACTTTGAACTCTGAGATGATAAAAAGCCTTTTTAAGGGCGGAGGATGTGTTGTCCATGATTTCCAAAAAGAGTGTCAACTTTGGTTCATGCAAGGTTTTCTCTTTGGATGGTGCAGTTTTAACCTGCATTTGTGGATACAGAGACGAACTGTGTTCATAGTCAGTGTTTTGGGGACATCAATAGGAGCCCATGCAGTGATTTCCACTACAGAGTCATGTCTGTTTCTAATGCAGTCCCTATAAGAAACTCTTCATATCCTCAGATTTATTAGATGACATTTCATATTTTGAACCTTAGTTGATGAGATCCTTTTTTGTCATTTTTACACAGTTACACTTTTCTTCAATTGTTGAACCGTTTGCTTTTGCAGTCTCTCACAAAGTGGGTTTCCATTTTTACTTATGGGGGACTCTGCCTCTCTAGACTGACTTTTTTTACTCAACCATGTTACTAACCTGTTGCAAATTCATCGATCTAAATTTGATCTAAATCTAAATTTTCAGTTTCAATATCTGATGCGCTGTTTTTGATTAAATATAGGTTTTCAGTCATTGTCAATGGTCAGGTTGTGTGTAAATGTAGTACATGGCGTCCCAGCTCTTATGGTATATGGGTTATACATGATATAGCAGTAGAACTAATGAGTGTGCTGGATTCAGTACTGTGTGTGTCTAAGAAATGATAACCCTCCTATTGTGTGTGTGTGTGTGTGTGTTGTCATCTACAGAAACAACAAGGCACTGGAGCCGTATGCAAACGCCAGGAACAGCCTCCATTCAACACTGCAGAGAGTCAGGTCTGAGAGCTGAGGACCGACACACACACACACAGACACACACACACGGTCTGAACTTTTACTGATCCCTGATGGACCCTTTGACAGCAGCACTCGTCAAACTGAGCAGCACTTGAAGATCAACCTCCACACTCTTTCTCCTGCTCTCTCTCCCTCTGTGAACGGACTCTGGGCTGGACTTGGATGTTTGCTGTTTCCCCTCTCATAATGTAGACTAACGGAAGTACTTTGTGTATGCTCAAATCACCGCACGACTGCACTGACAACTCTGTCTACATGCTCTTTCTCTGGACACGTGTTGCTGAGATGACACTTCAACACAAACTTCAAACCTCTGAGCAGATCTGACCTGGTCCTGATCAGCTGCTGTACATTAACTGTTTCATATCTACCTTTACTGTCCACTTATTTTATATGAAATGTTTATGAAATTGAATAATAAGGTAAGGATAAGTGATATTCAAAGTTGAAGAGCAACCAAAAGGGATTCATAATGGTTTTATGTATTTTCTGCTGATAAAGGTGCAGCTTTTGGTTTGTGTTGTAGAAATAAAGCTGATCTGAGTGTCAGGCTGTTTTTCACCGTTTTTGCACATTTATCCATTAGGGCTGAGATTATGAATTTCTAGACCTGAAGATGTGACCCACCTGATACTTTCTACATGAAACACACCAACAAGTGAATGAGAGGAGAGCTTTTCTTCCACTTGAAGCACTGCACACAATCAATCAGAGTCAAAATCTGGAGCCCTGCTAGACATCATGGACAGCCATGTGTTAAGACTGTTTACTGAGAGAGAGAGAGCTACAGAAAAGAATAACAAAGCATGATAATACAGATCAAAGTAGCTACATTCAGATCAGTTTGACCCATAAATCCAGCTGCTCCCATCTCAAACTGGACTGGAAATGTAAAGCTGAGGTGTTAATTTGCAGTGAGGGGCGCAGGGATCAGGGGTCATCACAGAAGAATTTACCAAAGTCTTGTTTGTGAGCTGGATAGACTGCAGTCTGTGAGAGTAGGACTCGTTCAGTGAGGATCAAAAACTCAGCAGCAGATGACTGAAGCCTGAAACTGCAGATTCACCTGAAATCTGCTTTGATTTTGGTTACTAAATTGAACTGTGAGAGAGTGATCCCCTCCCTGAAGGTAAGCATGTGACCTTTTCTAAGTTAGGTTTAAAGTCTCCATGTTGTAAGTGAATTATTGCACTTTTTCTAATGTGGGTTTTGACACAGCAGTTTAACTACAGTATATCATTAGAGAAATGTTATGTTTTATATTTTTTAACACCATGTTTGAAGAATAACATCCTGATAATCCGGGCTCTTCACCAAAACTATGTGTTAGATTATTATTTTTTATTTTATTTTTTTGTCTTCCTTTTGTTTGACTCAGACATCTGTAGTTAAGTTTTGATTTAAGTAAACTGTTAGGAGTAGAATGTGTGAAGACCATCAACTCTGCACTGTAAAAAGGTAAAAAATCAACACATAGATAATCAGTGTTCATATATACAGTGTTCAGCGTCCCACTGAGCATTTTTTTGGTCTAAAAGAGATCTAATAGACGTCTAAATGTAGCCTAGATGACTGGTCTAAAATCAGGCTACCACAGATCTAAAAATGAAAGTTTTTTAGACGTCTAAATTTAGACCAAGTCTAAATCTGGGCTATATCTATACTACACTGTATATTGCTCATCGGCTATCATAATTATGTTGGTTAAGTACTTGGAGATCAGTTATGCAACTCACGTTTGTTTGTTTTTTTCAAAAATAGTTATCAAATAATAGGTTAAAGTGCAACGTCTAAATTCCACCTAAAACATACAGAATCTAGACGGTTGAAATTAGGTCTAAAAAATAAATAGCCGTCTATTGCTCAGTGGATGTGTTGCCTTCTGAAGCATTGTCTTTTCTCGCACAGATGTATTTCTCCTCCGTTGTGGTTGTCCTGCTGATCTCAGCTCTGAGTTCCTCCACTGAAGCATTCAAATGTCCCAAAGTGTGCAGCTGTGACACCTCCAAACTCACCGCTACCTGCGTCGGCAAGAACTTAACAGAGGTTCCCCAGACTGTAGACGAGGTGAGGAATTCAAACAGAGTGTGCAGTGCCCCCTTTCCACTTCACACAGTTGTTTGAGACGGAAACATTGATGTGGTCTTTTACTGAACCTCAGATGTTTCTGAAATCCAAATCTAATCAAACCTCAAAAAGAATTGTGATTTTCATATTGCACCTAAACTTAACTAAACAACTTGATGGGTGGAGATAGGAGTGGGATAGAGAAAAAGACAGACAAAGGGAAATGAACCAAAAACAAACAAACAGCCAAACTAAAAATTAAACACTAGATATTACAAACTTTATACTTTAAACATTAAGCATTGAGATTCAGCTTGTTCTGTCTCCTTCTCAGATTTCACTCAAACTCGACTTGAAGAACAACAACTTGAAGGTGCTGCCAAGAGGGGCGTTCACTCACACCCCCTACCTCACCCATCTCAACCTGCAGCGCTGCAACATCATCAAAGTAAAGGAGGGAGCTTTCAGGACCCTGGGTCGAGTAGTCTCCCTAAACCTCGCCTACAATAAAATTGACGTCCTTTATCAGGTACCAGAGGGAGGTAAGAACTGCAGAACTTACACCTCATAGACGGGCGGTTATGTGATCGTCTGTTTCTCCTCCTCCAATCTGACTGCTGCAGGAGTCCTTTGATGGTCTCTCCTCCCTGAAGGAGCTGCAGCTGGACCACAATCGCATCGAGGAGATCCAGCCTGGAGCCTTCACACAGCTGGGGTTCCTCAACATGCTGGACCTGACCCACAACCAGCTGGTTTATATCCCCAACATGGCCTTCCAGGTACTAACACTTAAGAGAATAAAGCATTTTTTTCTCATTAACACAAGAAAATGTGTACAAAACTAAAAATCAAACAGAGTATTGTCCATTATTTATAGTTTTTGTCTCAGTTTTCCACGTTTTTAAATGTTTTTTTTTTTATTTTAGTGCCACAATTCCTGAAAATAAAGTCAATTTGCTTCAGAGCCAGTCCATTTTTAATTGTGTGCGTGAAATTTCTTCATCATCAAGATTAACTGAATGCTGACTTTTCTCTCTCAGGGCCTGAACAACATCAAGTGGCTCCGTCTGAGCCATAACTCCCTGAACAACTTGGCCCATGAGGCGTTCGCTGGACTGTTCACCTTAAACCGGCTCAGTCTGGACCACAATGAGCTGCAGTTTTTCCCTACAGAGACCATGAACAGGTGAGACAGTCTGACACAAAATCAAACAAGAATATTTTTAATGTTCTAGAGGAGGAGATTGGTGGTAGATGTGTCTTTACATAGAAAGTTTAGAGTTACATCAAAGAAGTGTGGTTCAATCTTGCGTCCCTGTGGAGGGTCTCCGTGACAAAGATGAGAGATTGCACATGATAACAGATTTTTTTGTTTGGGTCGAATGTGTCATCACTTTATCCTCCTCTCTCTTTACTAAAGACCCCGTGAAGTCACACGTCTCGACATGAGCTACAACCCGATGACCTACCTCGGCGAGGAATCTGTTTCAATGGCCAAGCTGACACACCTTTATCTGGACCACATGTCCCTCCAGGACCTGTCAGACCAGGCTCTTTCAGGGGCCCCAAAACTCTCCCACCTGGACCTCAGCCACAACCAGCTCCGTTACCTGGAGCCCCTCAAAGGCCCCAAAGAGCTTAGCAGCCTCAACATGACTGGTATAACTGAGTTTGAATATTTTTCATACAAAACTACAAATTTAATCTTCACGATAATTCTGTTTTTACTTAAAGGAAATCCGTCTTACTGTAACTGCTATCTGAGGCCACTGAGGGAGTGGGCGAACGTTAAAAAGGTGAAGCTTCTGGGAGCCTGTGCTGGACCTCCTCACCTCTCAGATGAGCCTCTGCAGGCTGTGGATCCTCAGGACCTGCGCTGTCGCAGCAGAGGAGAGATGCTGCAGGACGAGCTTGAAAGGGAAGAAAGCACAGGAGACACCTCACCGACAGCAAAACCCAAACCTAAAGTCAAGTGCCCGCTTCACTGCGACTGTGATGTGAGTGTTTCTCTATGAGGTTGATTCTTTCCTCTTACATGTGGTTGCCCAGTCATACACTTCCAAGTTTGGCTACTATCTAGAAAAGCAATTAATTGATAAGTCTGTACTTATATAGGTCTAAATTGTCACCTTTGGAGCTGCCTTTCCAACCCCCTGGAATAAACGTTCCCCTTAAGGTTGAGAAGTTGTGATAGGTGAGGCACACCATCTGGTCCTCCTTTTTAAAAGCTAGAACCACCACCCTGGTTTACCACTCCACAGGTACTGTCCCAGATCTCTATGCAACATTGAAGTTGTATGTTGGCCATGACAGCCCAACAATGTCCAGAAGCTTCAGCGTTTCAGGGGGATCTCATCTATATCTTGCACCTTGCCATTCAGGAGTTTTGTAACAACTTCAGAGACCTCAGGAGTGCAGACAAGTCTTCCCCTGGTTCTTCAAATCCTTCTCCTTCTTAGCAGACATGTCAGTAGGTTTCAGGAGTTCCTCAAAATGTACACTCTATCAACAACATCATCAGTCCAGGGCAGCAGATCTCCACCTCTGCGGAGAACAGCCTGAGCCAAGCCTTGCTTTCTCCTCCTGAGTTTCCTGATGATTTGTTCATCTCCACAGCCTCCTGCACTTCCCTTAAACCTGAGTTTTAGTTTCTGCAATGACCAAAGCCACAACCTTTCAAGCCACACAGTACCTGTTTGCTACTTCTGAAAACTCCTGAGCCAACCAGGCCAAAAAGGCCTGCGTCTTGGACCTGGTGGCTTCCCACACCATCAAGTGTCCACCAGCGCATTCTACAGAGCACTTTTCACCATTCATGCTACAAATAAAGTTAATTGAAAGGCAGAAAAACAAAAGTCATACAACATATTGATTCAGCTCATGAAACTTCTCTTTAACTGCCAGTCCTAAAGATTTGAATGTTTCCTAATATCCAGTTTTGATTTAAACCCTCCCAGATTGAAGCGCAGCACGCCACATGCGAGGGTCAAGGTCACACCAAAGTCCCTCGTGGCTTTCCCACAAAGACGCAGCTGCTCGACCTCCGAAGTAACCACTTCCACTACCTCCCTGCCAACAGCTTTCCAGGCACTGGACAGGTAGTCTCTCTGCACCTGGAGTTCTGCAAAATCCACGAGATTGAAGGTGGTGCCTTCCGGGGAATGAAAAAACTCTACTATCTCTATCTGTCTGACAATGACCTCACATCTTTGGACCCTGAAGCCTTTTCTGGAGCCCCTGAGCTCACCTACCTACACTTGGAGGGGAACAGACTGGTGCAGTTCCCTGGGTCAGGTCAGTGGTCACTCAGCTTTAATCTGGCTAGGTGTGAATTAGAGTTGGACTGTTGCAAAATACTGGTATTGATGATACTTGGAAACATTTCAATACTGATATCATTTCACAAATGAGCATACCGTTTTTCTTTAACAGTTTTAGCTGTAATATTAAGCTGTAATAATTTAATTTTTTAACACAATAACCATGAGATGAAAATGTAATATCCTGAAAGCTCTTGCTGCAGGAATTCATGTGGTACAGATGCTGACATATTTTCAAAAATTAATAACTTTGACAGAAGTTTCATCCTTAAGTGTCCAACAAGCTTAAATGGTTTGTTGTCTACACAATTTTGGCCTCTTAGTGTGAAAATACTCAAGGAACTTAATTACAGATTTATTTTTTCTTATCCCTTCTTTAGCACTGAAACTCCTCCCAAGTTTGTTTGTGTTGCACCTGGAGCGCAATGCCATCTCAAAAATTGAGCCCACTGGTTTGCTGTCCTCTGTGACCCCAACACTCAGAGAACTTTACCTCACAAATAACACCCTCACTTCCATTGCGAAGGGTGCTCTGGACTCAGTGTACCTTGGTATACTTCACCTGGACTCAAATCAGCTCACAGAGATACCGGTGGATGCTCTGTCTCAGGCAGCTAACCTTGAGGAACTTAAACTGTCTCATAATTCTATTCGCCAAGTGGGACCAAACGCATTTCAGCCTGTATCCCAAAGTTTGAAGAGGCTGTATTTGGATCAGATGGGAATGGAGAAGGTAGGATGGAAGTCTTTAAACTATCGGGACAGCATTTCCCAAAACTATGCGCACTGTGCAAAGTTTATAATCATTATATTATTACCAAAAGAGTAATGTTCACAATCTTATGGAAGTTTCTCTTACTGATTTTTGTCTAAAAAATGTTACCTGCCATTTATGATTCAATGTCAAAAACACAATTAAAAAGGATGTCAACTGGCCCTAGGTAGGAGACACAGCAATGTACGGCTGTCTGTCTTCCCATAAGCTATGGAAGTCTATGACATGGCTCCACATAACATTTCCAAGAGGTAACATACAAAAGACAGTCTGGGGATCCCAAATTGGGGAATACCACCATTCACTTAACAGCATCTAGATGAGCATTCATAAACCTATGTCAAGAGGAGATGACACATCAAAGCGTGGTACTGTACTGGTACCCAGACCAAGTTTCCTCATCAGTTTCGATATTTCCAAGGTGTAACAGATAAAGATGAAAAAGTTAAGGGGTCCAAAATTGAACCCTGGGGAATACCACTATTTGTGTTATAACATCTAGATGAGCATTCAACTTAAGTGATTTTAAAATATTCTATTGGCATGGTGTGCCAGATATAGCCTGGCCGGGCCATCCTGTTGCGTGAATCATTTGATGTTCCTTCCCACCAACTTCCCACCCAACTTCCCAGTGATGGGAAGGAACATCAAGTGATTCACGCAACAGGATGGCCCGGCCAGGCTATGCCAGATATGCCAATAAAACTGTAGTCTGCTCAAAGGAATTGTGTGGTGGGCTGTATCAAAGTCTGCACTCAGGTCAAGCAGCCCAAGAACAAAGGGTATTTTTGGTCCATGTTTGACCCTCGTTCTGTAACAATTGTTACTGTATTTTTTGTTAGATAAAAATCTCCAAATTCAATCTTTTAAATTGTACCATGTCTAGATATCTCAGGATGCTCTGGTGGGTCTGAATCCTGGTCTGAAGGCTTTGACTCTCCATGGAAACCAGCTGCAGGAGCTTCCTGACCTGAGCCCACTCACTGGCCTAGAGGAGGTGGACCTACAGGAAAACCCTCTGCTCTGTGGCTGCTCTTTACTACACCTTCGCAGGTCAACTCATGGTCTACGTGGAGCTTAATGTTTGGGTTAATTAACAGAAAAGGATTGCCGTTTTTATTGTAGTAGTGTGGTGCTGTATGTAGTTACACTGTGTCCTTATGTGACTGCTCATTCAGCGTCTCTGTGTCACTGTTCCTCAGGTGGATGGAGAATGTAAGTTTGGAGGTGGTCGCTACATGTGGTAACCCTCCTGAAGTCAAAGGTCAGAAAGTCAGGGAGGTCACTGTCTTCAAGTCCTGCACTGAAAATCTCTCTACTGTAAAAGAAAAGGCTGATGTGAATTCTGGACTCTCCAGTGGGAAGAGACCTAAACCGGGTCTGTCTAAGGTCTCTGCAGTCAAAGCTCGTCCTGCAAAACCCAAAACTAAACAAACCAAGGCAACCAAGAAGAGGAAACAACCAAATACAACCAAGAGCAAGAAAACACTATAATACAACATAAATGGGGTTAATTTTATTGTACCTCACATAATGAGTTTGGTTTTTGGCAATCTGACAGCTGGGAGTTCTTGTGTTTTTTGATATAATAATAAAAAATAAATAAATCACATGCACTGTATGCTGTCTGTTCATTACGATTGTACATACATGATATTAATTAAACAAGCACAGCAACCAAAGGGAAATACAGAGCAATTTATCACATAGGTTCTTGTAGGAGAAGAAGTTAGTGTTATGATAAAATCATTTGTCTTTGATAAGGTGTTGCCTTGCCAAGGACTTGTGTACGACAAATTGTACGACAAATGTTGAATTTCCCTCTGGAATTAATAAAGCAGGGTCAGTTCCATTTCACACGCCTCTCCGACTTTTAACGCACCACACACCAACTCTTCACACCCCACTTTTTAATGCGTACATCACAGTGAAGTTTTTAATGCACCACATGAACAACACACAAGATGAGAGTCATGTGTGGCCCGGGGTATTTAGAGGTGGAGTGGGTGGTCGGTTCGCCCTGTGGGGGTGCCCACGGGCGTCCCACCAAGGCGGACGTGGTGCTGGTCAGCCTCCTTTTTGGCAGTGCAGGGGGCCGGGCCGGCCTCTGGTCCACACTATGGTGTTATATATTGTAGTGATTTTTGTTGTTTTGTATCCTAGTCGTGGTCATTATTACTGTTATTATTGTTGTTGTCGTCGTTGTCATTCGTTTATTGTCATTTATTGTTATTATTGCCAGTATTGCTATTGTTGTGGTTGTTGTATCGTCGCTGTTGTGTCGGTGATTGGGGGGATTGTATGTGTGTGTGTGTGTGTGTGTATGTGTGTATATATATATATATACTGTATATGTATATATATATATATGTGTGTGTGTGTGTGTGTGTGTGTGTGTGTGTATATATATATATATATATATATATTTCAACGTAATCAAATTTTATTCTCTATTATATATATATTCTTTCCCCCTCCCCTCCCTCAAAAAAGTATTTTTGTTAAATTTTTTTGTTGTTTTTGTTGTTGTTGTTAAATTAAAAAAACAAACAAAAGGTTGTGGAGGACATCCCGGGGGGTACGCTGTTTAAGCAGAGCATCATCACAGCTTGTCTCTCATACATGGCTACTGTGCAAATGCTGGTTTCAGGAAATAGAGAAACTCCTACAAATACCGTGAAGAATTTGGCTTCAAATTCACACAATGATGGGAGGCGCAGCCAATTTGTCCACAATATATACAGTCTATGGTTTGGATCCAAAAGTGTCCATGAATACAGCCAAATAATGGCCTAAGCCAATTTACTTCTGTCAACTGTTACTATGGCAACAAGAAGCTCCTCAGCATTTTTCAAACCTGCTTCTAGAATTCCAGGGCTTTGATATGTCACAGTGACACATCAAAGCTCCTCAGCATTTTTCAAACCTGCTTATTCCAGGGCTTTGATATGTCACAGTGACATCATCATCATCAAGGGCAACCAAAGGGAATTAAACATAGACTGTATATAAGATATATATATATATATAATATCTTATATACAGTCTATGGAATTAAAGCATCAGACCAACATAGACTGTAGACATAGACATAGACGCAGTACACAGAAAAGTTTTGTGACCGTCCGCTCTTTCTGCAGCCCAACAGACTCAGAATAAGCTGATCTTCATTTCATCATTCATCATTCATCCTATACTTTGAGAAAAATCACGTCATCATGAACAGTTCATCCTCAAACGTCTTTTTCCAAACCAGATACAACCTTTCTGGGTCGAACTACATTCTGCTGCAATGGGTTGGATGTGGAGGCTTTGGGGATGTACTAAAATGTTTAAAAAAAGACACCCAAGAGATCGTCGCTGTAAAGATCCAAGAAGCTGGCAGATACTTTGAAAATGAGTATAATATGTTGAAGTTCCTCATGACTAACAACTTGGACGAGAAGAACATCATCAAGTTTATTGAGATGTGCTCACTTAAGGACAACATGAAAGCCTTGGTGTTTGAGATGCTGGATCAGACTCTTGATGATCATATCAGAACCTCAACCCGTCTGGATCTGGCCAGCATCAGAAGCATCATCAATCAGATGGCCATAGCCTTGGATGCTCTGAAGACCAACGAAGTGATCCACTCAGATATAAAGTCTGATAACATCATGTTGGTGAATCGTGAAGAGCAGCCTCTGAAGGTTAAGCTCATTGACTTTGGATTGGCTATTCCAACCAGTTTAGCGAAGCAGGGCTCTGACGTACAAACTTCGAAGTACATGGCTCCAGAGATTATTTTAGGACTGCCATTTTCAGAGGCCATCGACATGTGGTCTCTTGGTGTGTTGATGGGTCAAATGCTGACTGGATACTACTTATTTCCATCAGATTTGAAATATGAATGTCTGCAATACATGGTGGAGCTCCTTGGTGCTCTTCCAGACAATATAGATGATGGGATGTTTACCAGAAAATATTGCATAAAGACCCTATCTGGCCGATGGATCCTGAAGGCCCCTGAGGATTGTGATGGTGTTGGTGTGTGTGGGCGTATGGACAGCTGGCCCTATTGTTTCAGAAACCTGGACCAGCTGGAAAAACTAACCCACCTTGCTAACGAGGACAATGATGAGAAGAAGGCGTGCATCGACCTTTTGAAGGCCATGCTTCAGATGGATCCCAGCAAGAGGATCACCCCGAGCCAAGTCCTTGCCCATCCGTTCATCACCAGAGGAAACTTCCAGCAAAGCTCCAACCCCAGCAGCAGTAGAAGTGGCTTAAATGAACAGACCCCACAGACACCCTTATTGATCCACGTTAAACCTGCGCCCCCTGAACGCTGCCTGAAACTGGAAGAAGACTCAGAAGAATAACTTGTGGAGCTAGTAAAGAGACCTCGTCTTCCCTCATATTTCTCAGAGGACAGTGACACTGAAGAGACGACCTCAGAGGACAGTGACACTGAAGAGAACCCCAGCATCAGCAGAAGTCGCTTGTATAGACAGAACTCACACTCACCCTTCTGGATCCAGGTTAAATCTGCTCCCCCCAAACGCTTCCGGAAACTTGTGGTGCTAGGAATGAGACCTCGTCTTCCCACATATTTCTCAGAGGACAGTGACACTGAAGGGAACCCCGGCAGCAGCAGAAGTGGCCTGAATAAACAGACCCCACAGACACCCTTATTGATCCAGGTTAAACCTGTGACCTCAGAAGACAGGATCGTCTCCTCTGGTGACCCAGCTCCAGATGAGAGGACACAGAAAGAGGAGAAGAAGAAGAGGAAGAAGAAAGGTGGGAGCTGTTTCGTTCGTTTCTGTCGGTGGCTCCGGAAGAAGCTCTGTTGCTACACTGCAACTGTGCATGCCACCGACTGAATCTCTCTGGGAGAGTTTTTGCGGTGCCTCGCCTTTAGGATCTCACGCATGGATTAGGGCCTGATGCCAAAAACCCACCGGACCTATGTTCCTCGCGTTCTGTCGGCGCTGTGCTCCAGCTCGGGCCGACGGCATGCGCCATCCCTCACTGGTGGCGTGCAAGCAGTGGAGCAGCCGCCTAGGGCTGGTGCTGCGCTGCTGCTACGCTGCTGGTGGGCCGTGGCGTGTGCTGTTGGCCTGGGCCAGAGCGCAGCGCTGGCAGAACGTGAGGAACATGTTTTCTGGCTTTAGGCTTCGCCTCACGTGTGGGGTCCTCCAGGTGGGTAGCTGTGCTGTTGAAACTCTCTCAGATCTTTCGGACAACACAGTGGCCTAGTGGTTAGCACAATGGCCTCACAGAGATCAGACTTTGTGTGGAGTTCGCATGTTCTCCCCATGTCTGTATGGGTTTTCTCCGGGAGCTCCGGTTTCCTCCCATGTGGCCAAAAACATGCATGAGCAGGTTAATTGGCGCATAGCATAAAAAAAAATAATAATAAATTTAAAAAAAAGTGCAAATCTGAAATAGCCGAGATTTGTTTTAGAGTCTCAGCTCATGAACAGAACAAAGACCTGAGGAGGTTTTTTCTGATGTGTGTGGAGTGTGTTTTGTTTGTGTAGCTGTTATCAGCAGAACAAAGGCAGCATGACCCTACCAAATGGTAATTTTGTCAGGATCTTAAGACTTCCTTAGTAATTTCCATCCATGTCTGCGTGGTGTGGACACAAAAGACGAAGAAAAACCATCTTATTTTCAGCTCATGTGGTGGAGTTGGGGTTGTATTGATCTGATGGGTGAGCTGGTTAAAATTTTATTTGAGCCTGGTAAAATTTTCAAGTATCCTTGAGGTAGATTTCTCATATTGATACCCATCTTTTAAGTTTTATAGTCTTATGGTACTTTTGAGTCACTTTGAGACCATTTTTTTTGCCTACTTAAAACCAACACTAAGTAACTTTTTAACCTTCATGCAATATTTTGCCAACTTTTGTGATTGTACATCAACTTACGACAAGTTGAATAACACCACTGTTGTGGCCTGAGGGGGTCTGTGTCGCATTTCCTGCTGCACTCCAATATCGCCCGTTCCATTGGTCAACTTGCTTTACGTGCGTCCTATGCGTTAGCAGCTAGCATTGTTGTAACTACTTGGCTTTGAGCTGCAGCACTACGCAGGCTTGTGTCTCAGCCAATCGGTGGAGAGTTCCTGCATCAACCCCTCATCTGAGATACTTTAATTGGCAGAATGAATCGACGACAATCAAACTTGAATTGATTTGTCCGATCTCTGTGTATATGGACATTTACGGCATTACGCGCTGGTGCTCATGGAAAATGTGGTCTTCCGTCAGGCATAACACTACCACTCTGGTCCACTGGCGCCGCTAAACTCCACCAAAACTGAAAGTAATTAAGTATTGCTTTAAGTCCTTGTTATCTTAAATCAGGCATGAATGGCTGGGGTGAGTCCTATGTCATGGAGGTCTTATATGTCTGTTTATCACCAGGACTTTCATTAGCATTGTAGCCTCTGAGGAAACTTAAAAATGAAATGAGCAATTTAGAGTGTGACTAGGCCGCCATATTGGATATTTGCTTCCATTGGAACCTAATATGTTGTTTTTAATTGGTATAAATACCTAAAACATATTATATTATTTCAAAGGTAGGGTAAATGTAAGATTTATAGCTGCAGCAGAGTGATAGAGTCTAAAACGTTGACCTGGTGGCAGCTATTTCTAAAAGCTGGCGGCCATCTTGAAATATGGCGCCGCCCAGGTGGCCAGAGGTTATATTATGATTAGTAGTGGTATAAAGGATCTCTGTACCAAATTTTATGCTTGTATCACCATTTGCACTATCGCCTCAAAAATCAGCGTATTCCCGCTAGACTATACTGACCTGTGAAAATACAGATATTTTTTTAACTGGAAATAAGTCAAAAGAAAAGATTTAAGTATATCAAATTTATAAACAGTTGTGTTACAGATCTGCCTAATGGTTCCATGGTGTAATGGTTAGCACTCTGGACTCTGAATCCAGCGATCCGAGTTCAAATCTCGGTGGAACCTGAATATTTTTTTTTTAGTTTCGTATGTAACTCACCAACGGAAAAAGTTGTTTTTTGAGACTCGTATGCACCTCTATGTAGCAAAAGCTGTTTTTTGACACCGTAATACACCATTCATAGTAATTGCTGAGACTTTATAGCAACTTCGGGAGGACTTGTGTTCGGCTTATTGTTTTTGACTGAATTTGATGTGTATGAAATTTGATGTTTTGGCGTTTAATGGTTTATCACAATCCCGCTGCCCACGACCAGTAACTCAAAGTAGTTCCTTAAAGTAGAATATAACACAATTCAGTTCCGTTTCTGTCTACACCCGAACGCTTTTTAGTACACTAAAGTTGCATTAACAACGTCCATAATCGGGAAATGAAAATATCCGAGGAGTACATGAATGCGTCATAACACCGACGGACGTGAGCAGCAGCTTCTTCCGGGTTAGTTGCTAACGGCGTTGAAGATGGCAGCAGCTATGGACGTAGATACGCCAAGCGGCACAAACAGCGGAGCAAGCAAGAAACGATTTGAAGTAAAGAAGGTAAGGCTGTCGTAATAACTCATTTACGAGACGTTGAATTGATGTAGAACCGGCCAGCAGGTCTGAATAACTTTGGAATTAGCTCTCTAGCCACCTGCTTGTAGCGATCGAAGGCTAACCTGCTTTGAATTAGCTGTTAGCATGCTTCAGACAGGGCATGAATCTGCACTTCTCATGTTTTGAAACTCGCACTCACTAAAATGAACGGTCAAGAACCTGCGCTGTTGTTATGTAACGTATTAGCTACTATGATAGTGACTAATTATCACCTAAACATAAATCTTGATTTAAACCTCAATTCAAGTGTCATAACTGGAGCTAATGTAGCATAGCTGCTCCGTTACAACCGGGGCTTCAAACTACCTCAACAACAGGATGTTTTAAAGATGTTTTGCTGAGGACCATGAAGTGATTTAACATTTATTACAAAGTCCAAATACAGTCATCCGCCTTAACTTTATGAAGACCTGGACAAACTAATGCATTTTTCGTTTGTTAATAAAATGGACAAAATATTACGACCCCCCTTCTGTGTTACTAACTTCAGGACGAGCACTACCCTCTGGATCAATAATTAATATAAAGTACAACAGTCACATGTCTGATTATTTGAACAACAAAAAATATATATATTTAAAAGCTTTCTGAATATTTTCCTGATAATTTATGGTAGAGTTGATGTAGCAGATGCATTTCACAGTTGTTTATAATGTTATAGGTGACTATGGTATCATCACATGTATTAAGACAAAAAATCCGTACCTTTACGAATGAACGAGTTATTTCTTAAAGTAACCGGAATAGTTTTGGCTAAAAAAGTAAAAAGCAACCCCCTTTTTTGTTAAGATGCACTCCAGGATTATCTAACTTTTTCAGCATTTGACTGGTTGTCTCTTTATTCACTGCATAGTCAGCCTGAATGTATGTCAGATGCATCCTCTAGAAAGTACCCGTGTTAGCACTACTGACCCTGGAAAAATTCTGAAACATCTATAGAAAGAGCTTGAAGTCTGTCAAGGGATATTCTAGCGCAAAATTAATATAGGGTCAAACTCACCGCGGAGAACATTTTAACAATTAATTTTACACCATAATATCCCTTTAATGTGCCTGCACAAAGTCAATAAACTGCCAAAACAGGAGTACCTCCCAATATGTCAAACCCTAATCCAAATAGAACCAGGTTAAACTGAGTCAGGGCATGTTTGTTTGTTGAGGTGGCTTCAATGGTAGAGCCTACTGGGATTTTGAGGTACCAGTCTTTTGTTAATTCGTAATGAGTGTAAATTATTTCTGTAACTGTAATACTCCTCCTGAGATAGAAGATACTTTACAGTTCTATATTTTAAAAAAAAAAAACTACTGGCTATGATTGCCAATTAGGACAAAGACAAAACAAAATATGGGCATTTTTCTTTTTGAGGCCGGCGTGTGAGTCCAAACTGAATTTAAGAGAACTGTGGTACATAAATGAAAAGGCTTTTTGCTATGAGAGTATAGAAGATAAACAGCATCCCCTGGTGAGAACAGACTAAATCCTTGCACTGGTGTCAACAAGTTGTTTTCCTACAAGATAATCTGATAAAGTGTTTGCTTGTGGCTGATCTCTGACCAGTGGAATGCAGTGGCGCTGTGGGCCTGGGACATCGTGGTGGATAACTGTGCTATCTGCCGGAACCACATCATGGATCTCTGTGAGTTCACCTCCTCATCAATCAGAGATGTTAGAAGTAGTTGGTGAAAATAATTGTAAACATGTTAATCCCTCTCCATCATCAGGTATAGAGTGTCAGGCCAACCAAGCCTCTGCTACCTCTGAGGAGTGTACTGTAGCCTGGGGTGTCTGCAATGTGAGTTTTCTTTTCACACTTTACATACAAACCCAAGTCACCTTTTTGTTGAAATCTTAAAAAAAGCATCAGCTTATAGGCATTACCAATACAGCTTACCTGCTGTCAGTATGGGGCATCCCACAATTCCATTCTGTCAGAGGTTAACATGGTAAGAGGTTCACTGGTCTGTGAAAGATGTGGGAAGCAAGTAGATCAACAGCTCCAGAATAATGTACCTCAATGTAAAGATAGCAGTCAATTCAGGGATTACATCCTCTGTGGTTTATAATGTCAGTAAAAAATTTGAAGAATCTGCTGAAATCTCTAAAAACAATTCTGGATGGTTGTGATTTTCTGGTCTTAAGACATACTAAAAGGGGTAGGGATGGGAATCGAGAACCGGTTCTTGCTGAGAACCGGTTCCAAATGGTTCAATTCATCGACATTATATACATTTTATCTCAATGATTCCTTTCTTCTGGGTGCCTTGAAAAACGGTCTTGTGAGAGCCAATCTACGTGAACGAGAACAGAGACTTTGAGGAAAAAAACATGGCGAATGGTACGAGAAGTAGGCAGAAACGATCTAAAGTGTGGCTTCATTTTACCAAGAAAGGCGACAGCGGGTTGGTATGGAAGTTTTGAGTTTGTGTACTGTGGACTAACTGAGTAAGTCAGGAGGTTAGCATACAAAAATATATATATAACCCAGCCCAAAAAGCCCTCAAAATTTTGGCCGCGACTCCGCCCTGCATAGTAGTGTCCTCTTTTTGGGGATCCAGAATATGGTCGCCCTAATTTGACTTAATACTGACCAAAGTAAATGCTGTTCAAACAGTTTGTCGTTTGATTATTTTTAGGCTCTCACTGAAGGTGGCGTACATTTTTTTTCTGTTATCAGAGGCTCCATAAAATTTTGAGTTAATGGTGAAAACCTATAGTCTTTTTTTTTTTTTTTAAATCAAAGAAAGGCATTGATAAGGGAATTGTTTAAGAATTGAATCGATAAGCAGCATCGATATTGGTATTGATATCAATTCCCATCCCTAAAAAGGGGATATGACTTTGTAGTGGAACTCACTGCATGGATTAGAGTTCATGATATGGTACAAAAACAAGACAAAGGAGCATCTGAAATCCCATCGGAGGCCTTTTAATCCTACTCTAAAATACTTTATCCATGGACTTAACTTTGTAAACTTGTTATGCATCAGGTAATGACACAGTCAGACACAACAGAGGAGTGCTTATAGAAAAGACTGTGTATAAAGTCAGTGGAAGAACAGTGGAGGAACCAACCTGTTTGTGATCAGCTGCACATTTAGTGATGTCTTTTCCTTTTCTGGTTGTTCTTCTCAATCCCAGCATGCCTTTCACTTCCACTGTATCTCTCGCTGGCTGAAAACCCGACAGGTGTGTCCTCTGGACAACAGGGAGTGGGAGTTTCAGAAGTAAGTAACAGCTCTTACAGATTTTAAATATTTCAGTGAAATCAGACAAATACTCTCTAAGCTTCTTTGTCTGCTGTAAGTCCGTGAAAAGCTGTGATTGATTTATAAAGAGTGAATATCTGTGTTGACAGTCTTTCTCTTTTCTTGTTTTTACAGATATGGACACTAGCTCGACTCCTTAGTCTTTCTTGGCTCCTATAAGAGACACCTTTATTGTTACCCTGTACCTGCTTGTGACCCCAGTTGTTATTTTACACCTATGTCTTTGTTTTGGTTTGTTGTTAGTACAAAAATAAACATGAATATTGACACAAAACAATAAAAAAAGTTGTTTTTTTTTCATTTCAAGTATCAGGGGATACCAGTGACAGCTGATGTAGATAACACAGCTCAACATGTAACAGAATACAGGTTCACAGAGCAGATTTTATCACAGATATCCACACACTGTCCACGGTGAGTGATAAGCTGTGACGCAGTGTTTCAGGGACAGACTGTCACAGAGCTTTAATCCTCTGCTTTAATGGCAGATGGATGGATTATGTGTCCTGGTGACCCACTCTCCATGCAGACCTGAGTTTTTACTGCAGCACCTGCACAGACTGGCTTTGGTGTTCAGATTCTGTTAAAACATTGCTAACAGACCATTGTTGTAGGAATGAGGAGTTCAGTGATCACTACGCTTCACTATGTCTCAGAAAGTTGCCAAGAAGTGTTCTTCTGTTGTATAAATACTGTAAATAACATCACAACAGCAGCTAAAGTGACAATAGGTGGTGTCAAATGGAGAGCTTGCTTGGGTGTTAAGAGTGAGTCTCAGAGGTTTTTCTGTTGTGGCGTAACTTGTGTAAGCCTGTGAAAAAACTAGCATCCACCAGCAGCCAAAACAACAGGTTTCAGGAAGCGGCAGGGTGGTGCTAAAATAAGGGTCTCCATGGAAACAAATATAAGATGAATACAGTTTTTATGAGCTGCTCCTTAAAGTGTCCCAGACCAGCACAAAGAAAGGTAAAACTGAGTATAATAGGTCCCTGAGAGGTACAGAAATACCTGAATCTCTTCTGTGTGTTAGTACAGACAATTATGTTGTATAACAGTTTAAGATATTCAACATTAGGACTGAATCAGGACAGATGTCAAACCCTTTTTTTTTTGCAGCAACAGAGGTTTTATTTTTGTGAATCATTTTTGCAACAGGATCAGACATCAAGATCAGAATTCTTTTTTTTTCTGTTATAATAATATTTGATTTGTTAACAAAAAGTACCAACAGTTGTGTGTGAGAGAGTTCGACTCTGTTGGGAGAAACAAAACAGATTGTTAGCTAAACCATAACCAGGTTTTAAACGTGTAAAAGCTCCCAGTTCAGCTGATCCAGGTTCAGGTTAGGAAATGCCACCCTGCGGAGAAGTGAAGTCCAGGCTGAGACGTGTCAGGAGGAGATCTGACTGAGACTTTGCTAAATGCTAACAGGCTGATTTAAACATTTAAAAAAGTTGATCCACTTTCTCTATATCACACCAATTTAAGCCGTCACCCGCTCCCTGTTTGATCTGCACACAGTGGAAAAATTGTTGAACAGCATCGTGGCTCTCCGGCTCGACACACTACATCCTCACTTTGGTCTTTTTTTTTCCCGTCTACGGCTGAGGTGCGGCTCCAAATTTGGAGCTCAGCTTGGTGACCAGAGCCATGATTTTGGGGTTGTTCTGGTACTTGGCGATGTTAGCTGGGTTCTGAGCCACATCCTGGAAAGCGGCCATCACCTCGGGGTCCTGGAGTTAAAAACGAAACAAACAGGGTCACCTTCACCAACACAATGCAATTTCAAGAAGAGAGGATGAAAAGGCAGTAAATGACTCAAAGGAACATGATTGAAAACAGGTTTCCTACACCAGAGTAAAGCAGTGAAAACACGCAGAAATGTTGTTCACACCTTAGCTGTGACTGATATTTTCAGAGGACACAAACACCTGAATATGTATCCCGGAGAAAAATGAACTGTGAGTGCATTAATGATTTACTATGTGTGACTGAAGCTCTCAATCTATGTTCAGGTCACCTTCCTGACATGATAACAAAAACTGAACATGTTTGATGAAAGTAAAAATGATGATGGAGCTGTTGTGTTAAAACACATCACACAAGTTGTGACACTGGTAAAGCTGTTTAGTGATTATCTCTGTGTTTCAGCTCAGACCACACAGTATGTTGCCATGGTGATCAGACAATGTCCATCATTTGTGGAGGCGCAATAATTGCCCTAATGTTGGGGGATGAGCTTTTGGTTCTGCTTTCACTGTATCAGAGGCTGCAGTTATCCCACCAAAACTTCTAACACGCCAGAAATTCATCTGACTGCTCAGGAGTAGCTGATCGGTTGTGATCGGATCTATATCTCTAAACACAGAAAATGATACTCCATCAGGCCTGACCATAGACTGTATAAACTATGGACAACTTGGTTCCGCCTTCTGCCAGTATAAAGATTTGATGCCGAAAAGCTCTTGGTATTTCCACGATTTTTCTCCATTTCCTGAAACCAACATTGCGCAGTAGCGTTGTTCGCATTCAGCGGGAGAGTCGCCGGGAGCCGCTGTGATGACGCTTGGCTCAAACAGCGTATCCCCCGGGTGAGCTACGCAATCTTCGTACGCCCATAGGCTGTATCAAGTGTCAATCATGGAAAACTTGAACCCCCTCGTAACATTTAAAAATGGAGCTGTACAGAAAAAAGAGGACTTGAGCACAAACCAGTATTACAGTAACCACATGTCAACATCGCAAGCAGGGATCAACATTATTTTACGTGTAATAAATTTCTAAAATTTGTCAACAGCTCCATAGGGATTGCTGGAGAAGGTGGGATTTATGACCTATACTGCAGCCTAGTGCTGGGCGATATGGAAAAAAATGTATATCACGATATGGATCATTTTATATCACGATATAGCTATGGTATGCTTTCAGTTCTATGAAAAATTTAAGTGTATACAGCTGCACTAGTACAGTACCAGTACAAGACCAGCACTTAAAACTAGAAAAATGAATAAACAAATACGTGGCTGAAGTGCATTCATGTCTGTGCTCACCCAAAGTTATGTAACACTTACAGAAAACGCTGATAGTGTGAGCCGAAGCACTCCATAATAATAATAATAATAAATTTAATTTGTAATGCACTTTACATTTACAAAAAAATCTCAAAGTGCTACAGTACACAGTAAAAAAAGAGCAGCAACAATAAAAAAAGCAATAGAATGACAGTCACAGATTAGCATAAAAAAGAATTTAAAAAAAATAAAATATATAGAGTTGCAATGTAAGAGGCAAGGTAGTAAAAGCATAAAGCATAGAGGAAAACTAACCAAAGGCTTTATTAAAAAGGTAGGTCTTTAGGGCTCTTCTGAAGAGGTTGTTCACACTGCTGGATGTTTCTCCTCCAAAGCTGCTCTCTGCCTCCATCATTGTTTACTTTACTCTTGAAGCACGTAGCAAGACCCGAGCATGAATCCGAGCGCTTTATTCGCCTATCAGGGGCAGACAGGTAAGGTGATTTGATTCGCCACGACTCCAGAAATGATTGAAAAACTACAGAATGTCACAAAATTACGTTTCCTCGCTGCTGGCTTGAAGGGTACAAATGCGCAGCCGCGCTCCCAGCTGACAGGAAGTCAAACCGCTGTTGTAGTTCTTTTGTGTTGCTAGCGCGGTCAAGAGTGTTTACTCTCACTGAGAGATGACTACAAAAATGGACGCACCTGTTCATCTGGTTGTTAAACACGGCTGAAAAAGATCATCTTTTCATGTTGTTCCCGCTCCTGCCCACTCCCGTTGCTTTTTTTCCCGTCCCGTCCCGATCAAGAGATTAATAAAAAAAATGACTCCCATCCCGCGGGAATCACGTGACCCACGGGAATTCCCGAAAAAAGTCATCCTCCACAGGGAAGGTCCCGGAGCAGATGAAACAGGTGCCGGAGCGGCTGAAATAGGTCCCAGATCCGATCAAAAGAGGTCCCGGATCGCGCTCCGACTTGCTCCGGCACAAATTAAGCACTGCTTACAATGATCCCCTCACGTGTGTAACCCAGGTAACCCGCAACGGCGGGAGGCGCTGGACATAAAGAGGGCACGTAAAGCGGCGTCATGTCGCAAAATCGAAAGAGAAATGCGAGCCTACATGTCAACGCATTCTTTTCTTTGTAAGAAAATATTGTTTTCTTTCCCGTTCGACACCAAATACACTTACTGAATGTGCAATTATTGTTGTTGTTACTATGAATCATCTGATGGCACAAGCTCTATGGATTAAATACAACCTATCGCCCGAAACGATAAGAATAAAAATGGCACGATAGACATTTTCTATCGTGCCAACGATATATATCGTCCAATCGCCCAGCACTACTGCAGCCTGTCACCAGAGGGTGCTGTTCTCAGAGTTGCTTCACCCAGTGAGGAGGCAGACGGCGTCCATTCTATATATACAGTCTATGGGCCTGACTCGAAAAATCAGGTCAACTTCACCTGCAGTTAGAAAGTAAGACACTTGACATAGAATAGGAAAGAGCGGGTTTGGGCAGACAAACACTGAGCAGGTGTGTCACCTTCATGGCGTTGAGCAACTCAGGATCCTTTAGGAAGTCACCGAGACCAGGCATGCCAGCAGGGGCGCCTCCAGGGAATCCAGCAGGGCCTAAGGGACAAATACGACAAATCTTAATGGTATTGTAAAGCAGGGATGGAACTCAGCAGCATGTCGGAAATCAGGACAGCTGTTGGCATCCCTGATACCAACATGTAAGGGGTTCCTCCCACCAGCTTCAGGCTTACCTGGGAAGAATCCTCCTCCACACTGTCGAGCTTCCTCCTCCTGCTTCCACACATAAGAAAAGTATTGTTTATTATCAAAGCATTGTTTAGGAAGTTTCTTGTTTAGTGTCATGTGGAAACTTTTTCATAGAAAGAGGTTTTTCATGGAGATAAAGTCTTGAGCTGTTTCAGTGAATATGTTTGGAACAGGAAATCCTCACCCTCTGAGCCCGGGCGTGCTCCTCTCTGGCTTTCTTTATCCGCTCCTGCCTCTCTCTGATCTCCTTCTCCTCTCTCTTGCGCTCATATTTACGTCTGTGCTCTGAGATTTTGTTTGCCTGCAACCGAAAAGGAACTGTCACAAAAATTATGCTCTGGATTCTCACAGCCTGAAGCATCATTTTTCTCTGCCATCTGGAGCCATCAGGGAGGTCTACTCTGATTTAAGGGTTTCTCTGCATAAGGATTACAGATACACTGAAAAAAAGCCAAACATCAAGCTCAAGTTCATCTGATAAAGACTAACCTAGAGTATTTAGAAAACACATCATCTAAGGCAGCTATTGTTATTCCTATACTTTACCTTCGGCTGGACCTCCTTCAGCATGGCACTGGTGTCCTCGTCGTAGTCCAGTTTACAGGCTGTGGCCAAGTCCTTGGCTGCTTCCTCCCAGTGACCCAGCAGCCTGCAGGGGGGACACACAGGACATCAAAAAGGTGAGTCGCAGGTCAGGTGTACGAATCATGGAGATTCCTTTCTAGTGGTGTGTTATCAAACTGAACAAATGAGATATTTAGATATGTCAGCAGCTGTAGAATCAGAATCTTGAGCCTGAACTCAAAGGCATACATGTTTTTCTGTAGACTTCAGCCATTCTAAAAGCTATACTCATCTCAACTAAGATACATGTCTTGACTTGTTTGACTCTTATCTTACGTTTCCACTGAGCAGTCCAAGTTTAGCACACTCAACTCTACCCTTGCTTGCATCTCTGCAGACTCTACCCTTGGACGCTTAATAGAGAAGAGTGTTGGCTGTGTGACAGCTCCAGAGTGGCATGATTTTCATTCACATGTGCATGTGAACATTTCAGACCCTTCATACTGTGGGTGTGAGAAGGGAGTCTTGCCTCATGCACAGAAAACTCTAGAGGGCTCACAGATTTTTCACCAAGCTGCACACAGATCTTGATTTTGGTGCCACCTGTGGAGAAAGCAGTACCACTCATATCTTCATTGATCCTGCCCTGGACACGTGTGATTAGAAGATCTAAAAGGACGTCTCATCCTTCCCCCTTCCCCCTTTGACTTGGCTTACCTTCCACTCACTGTGAAATTGTTAAAATGTCAACAAAAGCTTTTACTTGAAGTGCTCTGGAAACAAGTAAAATGCTGCTTTTTGACCAAGATAAGGTGTGCAACTGTTCATGCTGAGGGTGGTGGTAAGTAACCTCCTGGAGCAGATCTCTGTAGTGTAACCCCCAATTTCCACCGCATCTGGAACAGCTCCGATCCAAAACAGCTGCAATTTTCACTGTCCGCCAATTCCTACTGGATCCATTTGTGAGACGAACTCCGTAGCGGATTACAAACAGCGGGAATCGCGAGAACTCACAAAAACCCACAGATTCATGTGCAATCGCCCAAAATGAGTTGTCTCTATAAAGACAGCCACATAACCATATAAGCAGTAGATTGAGGAAATCCACCTCTAGAATCAAGATCTCCTCATCCATGTTGTCATCGGGGTGAAATACTGTCTAAAAACCTGTCACTTTTTCATCCCCGCCTGTTTGCATGGTTTGAAATACGATCCGCCTGAAACACATGGTGTTTTATTTTGAAAAGAAGCCAGATCTTTTATCTTGTGTCTGTGCCTGACTTCCTTTCCAGCACAGACTAATCTGTGCTGAATTTATGCAGCATGATCCGGCGCCCAGAAAAAATAGAACTCTTGTGATCGACTGCGGAGTCCGCCGATCCGATCAATATTAACGATCGGCTGATTCGGCCTTTTCGTAACCGTTGTGGATGTCGTGGAAATTGGGGATAAGTGTCTCGTTATAAAGTACCTGTGGGCTTTTCCCCTCCACTTGTAGGGCTGAGCAGAGTCTGGGTTGATGCTGATGGCTCTGTCACAGTCTCTGATGGCTGCGTTTGGTTTCTGCATCTTGATGAAGACACTAGCACACACAAAAAGAGCAGATTACACTCAGTCATGGCAGACAGAGGAGTTTGCAGAGAACAGATGCAAAAATTCAGATTCACTCTGAAATATTCAGTCGTCGTGAGAGATTGAATATTCACAGCTCTGTGATGATGAACCACACGAGGACTCTCACCTGGCTCTCTTAGCGTAAAGGATGGCTGAGCAGGGGTTCAGTTTGATGGCTGCAGTAAAAAGTTCCAGAGCTTTAGGCAGATCACCTGTAAGAGACAAAACAACCAACAGGGCTTAAGAACAAGATCTCGATACATTATGAGTTTTTCAAGAATCAGAAAACAACTACAGAAACTGCCCATGGTAACTTTCAGCTTTCTCCTACCTTCCCCTAAAGCATTAATGGCTTCCATCTTCTTTTCATTGGCCTGGTCCATCATCTCATCTGTGACCTGAGGACATTTACACACTCAGACTTTCTAACAAATTCTTATAATTTATAATTTGTTGAAAATATAGGAAATGTGAGTTTTTTACCTCAGCGTTTTCAGTGTCTCCACTGTCCTGTGGGTCAATAGTGTCCGGCTCAATCACTCCTTCATTGTCGATTTCTGAGGACGCAAAGATATAATCTCATCATGCGCTCCAAAATCCTGTCCAATAGTGATCAGTATAGAGATGGCTGGGTCTTGGTAATTGATCAAACAATGAGCGTGGTCTAGACCTGCTTTTTTTTGGAAAGTGTCTTGGGATAATGACTGTTGTGATTTGGGGCGATATAAATTTTATTTGATTAATTGATTGATTGATTGATATTGTGGGCTCAGCTACCCAATGGCAGGATGGCAACAGCTGAAGATACTAGAGAGAGCTACGCTGCTGCATAAAAGCTGTACATTGATGAACACAATGTGAAGTTCTCACAAAGGAGACAGTTAAACCACTTTGTCCTTGAGTGACTAGCCTGGTTGGGCCATCCAGTTGCGTGAATCACTTGCCGTTCCTTCCCACAACATGGGGGAAGGAACGGCAAGTGATTCACGCAACTGGATGGCCCAGCCAGGCTATTGAGTAACACCTCCAGAGTCCGAGTCTGTGATTTCACAAACTTTGTGTTCAGGGCTGAGATGGACATTAATTACCTATTTCACTCTCTTCACTCTCAGACAGCACAGGGGGCTCGGGCTCGGGCTCAGGCGCTGGTGCTGATGCTGATGTGGGAGGAGGACCACAAGGACAGCCGCCCTGAAGACAACAATGTAAGACAACACAACGTGACAAGTGTGAGGACTCGCAGGCAACTCATCAAAGCAACCTGGAAGTCTAATCAAAAAGAATCATTTTACATCGCGTAATCAATACATTATTAGAATTATTATCATTCCTCTCACCTGGCATGAGTCCTTTGTCTTAGATGGTGAAGGAATTGAAGCCCCCATTCTGCAAAATAAAATGATAGAGAAGATATTCAGTAGGCAACAAATGCATCTCTATAATTCAGCTCCTATCTGCCAGTTAAACACTGTTTTACATGTTTAAAGCTCCGATCAGAATTTTCCACATGGTTACAATGTATGAAACGCACTGAAATTGTTCTAAATGTGCCTTTTCATAACCTACAGAAGCAGAAAGACCATTCATAAGAAGACTGAACATTTCTTTTGGTATATTTAATGCTTGTTACTGTTTTGAGGGAGCAGATTTTCAGACCAGATGACTCACCGGAAAAAGGGTTTTTTTTCCTTTCCACATTAAATATTCCCAGTGAGAAATGAACTTTATTGTTATGAGTGCTTTGAAAGAAACCCCTGCTAAAAGATGTAAAAGGACAAAACCAGACGTGGTACCACTTTGTCAACAGGGGGTGCCAAACCCAACACAAAAAGAGAATTCCTCACAGGGGCTTGAATTTTACCTCTTAAACTCAAGTTTATTGAAGAGCTATTTTCCTTTTCCTCAGCTGTTTTATGTAACTTTTTGCAATAACTCATTTATATTTATCTCTGTGTCTAAACTAACTCGAACTGTTTCAGGGGTGTAATTTATGGATCATAGTTGGTCGGTGATCCATTTGGACTGCAATTGGATTGCATGTAATCCACAGAGTGATGGAAAATTTATCATCAACATATTCAATAACAAGATGCAACTAGTTTTTGTTGCTTCTTACAGCACTTCAAACAAGTATGAGCATTACAAAGATGCCTTTCTGTTTGCCTGTGCTGACCACACCCCTGCACACTCAGTATGGGAAAGAGGGGAGGCATTTAGCAATATAAATAATGATCATCATTAGAGTCTCCTTCAGATGCAACTAGAATACATGAGTGGCAGCAGCGTGGCACCTTCACAGTCTGCATCAAAAATGTCCTCCCAATGTGTCTTGCAAACCTTTATGAATGAAGGGATTTAATGAGAAGCTTCTTTTTACAGAAACACACATACATTTACTGTGCTGATCCTCTTCCTCTTTGCTCCTGCTCAGAGACAAAGCTTCACTTCACTCATACAAACACTGCAGTTGCAGTAAGAGCAGCAACAATAATTATGCATGGTCACACTCTCAGAAAGTGAGCAAAGTGGGATTACGATGGCATTTAATTCACTGGGACACAAGGTCATCAGTACAGAGACACTACATGACTCATGGTGCACATGTGGTTGCACTGCATGGCGCAAGTGTCTGAAAGATTTCTTCTAAGCTCCATACTGAAATGATAACTCAATTTTTGTTGAATAAGGTTTATGGTGAATAATGTTTGAGGAAAGCCTGCTGTGAAGATTCAGAAGATATGATCTGCCGAGCCCTGAAGTGTGCAGTCTGAATCATTGCTTAACAAACTTAAGTTGAAAACGAATTCAAATTCTATTAGATCAACCCTTGAGCTTCACTCAATCCAATTTAGTCAAACCATGAGACTGATGGTCCATTGCATAGGGATGGGAATTGATAAGATTCTATCGATATCAATGCCATAACGATTCTGCTTATCGATTCAATTCTTAAACGATTCCCTAATCAATGCCTTTCTTTGATTTAAAAAAAAAAGACTATAGGTTTTCGCTGTTAACTCAAAATTTGATGGAGTTTCTGATAACAGAAAAAAAATGTACGCCACCTTCAGTGAGAGTCTAAAAATAATCAAACGACAAACTATATGTACAGCATTTACTTTGGTCGGTATTAAGTCAAATTAGGGTGACCATATTCTGGAAACCCAGAGAGAGGACACTACTAGGCGGGGCGGAGTCGTGGCCAAATTTTTGTAGGCTTTTTGGGTTGGGTTAAATTTTTTTTTCATGCTAACCTCCTCAGTTAGTCCACAGTACACAAACTCAAAACTTCCATACAAAACCCATTGTCGTCTTTCTTAGTAGCCACACTTTAGATCGTTTCTGCCTACTTCTCTTACCATTCGGCATGTTTTTTCCCTCATAGTCTCTGTTCTCGTTCGTGTAGACTGGCTCTCACAAGACCGTTTTTCATGGCACCCAGAAGAAAGGAATCGTTACGGGAATCGTTAAGATAAAATGTATATGATGTCGATGAATTGAACCAGTTCTTGATTCCCATCCCTACCATTGCATCCTTCATTCATTTAAACAATGTCCAAACATCCTTGGGCTTTCTATATCATGTGCAGCATTTAGTATTGTACATTAAATGGACATAATTTACACTTCCGTAATTGCTTTATGCTTTCATTGATTTTGTAATAGAGTGGCAACTATAATTGTCCAATTTCCCTCAAACACACACACAGAGCACAAGGCTCTATGGTTGTGTGAGGGTGGGAGGGACTAGGCACGTGGTGAGCCCGTGTCAAACACTGGCAACCAAGTGTCAAAGGGACCTCTGTAATAATAATTCCTCATATCAAAGCAGGTGATCGAATGCTTTAGTTGTCCTCTTGGTTAGGAGCAGCAGCCATGTGGTCTGTTGTGTACTCACTCCTGCAGCCAGGTACGGAGGAAGCCCAGCTCTGGCAGGTGCAGGATCTCTGGGTTTGTCTCGCACAGCTGCACAAAGGCCTTCAATTCTGCCACTTTCCGTGGATCCATTCTGCTCTGTCAGGTCCAGCACACTGCGCGCTGTAAGCAGAGAGAGACAGAAAACATCCACCAGCTCAGCTCAGTGAGTCCACCTCTGTTTACCTGCTCTGCTGCTAACCTTAATACCAGTCTCAATAAGCTAGGCGCACTGACGCGCAGGGTTTGAATAAACCTGACTGTTTCTTTTCACATATAGCCCACATTATCACTAGTTAAGCAATAATATCCATCCAGCTTTATAAAACATGCCTATGGTCGGAGGTCAGAAGTTTCTGGAAATGTGATTCCATGACGCGCAACTGTTTGACGCATCATAACGTCGTTAGCTCGCTGCTAAACAGGCCGTCATCAATGAAACACAACACTCACTTCAACCATAACAACAGCAACAGACGTTAAAATGCACCTGATACAAGGTGTTACATATTCGCACCTGTAAACTGTGACAATAACTCGCAGAACAAGGTTGTAAATTTATCCTTCTCTTCACCACACTGCTTCACGTAGAGCTGCGTCGATTCTGTGTTTTCATTCAGGCAGTTTGTAGACAGACCCACAGAGAGTGGTGTCGTTGTGCCCTGGGTACAGACTGCCTGGCAAGATGTGGGTAGGGCATAAAGCAAATTTATGTGCAGATTAAAAATGGAGTAAGGATATGGAGAGATATAAGTAAAAATGAGAGCTACACAAAAGCATAAAAAAATCAGAACCAAATATTAAAAAAAAAAATGCAAAACCATCTGCTAAAGTATAAAATAGCACAGAGTTGGGGGAAAATTTAAAAGAAAGAAAAAAACAAAAAATATTTTGTTTATCAGTTGAAAATTCTGGAAACATTTTTTTAAACATCAAAAATAAATCAAAACCAACGGTATATTTTCTCCCCGTGAAAAAACGCAAAAATTGGTTAAAAATAAAATATTTTGTGAGATGGAAAAACCTTGAAAAAATATTCGAAATTACAAAACATTAGAGAATCATATAAACGTTCAATTAAACACAAGAGTTTTCATAACTTGAGAACGTTTGTTAACAACAAACACCAGAATAGAATCGGAATCAGAATATCCTTTACTGTCATCATACTCAAAGTACAACGAGATTGGAGAGCTTCTCTTTTTCCAGTGCAATAGACAAGTAAAAATAAGGTCGTAAAAGTACAAATAGTCGCAAGAAAGAAGGAAAAAACTTAAGGTAGGGCAAGCGTCTCCCCCTGACAAGCAAATTCTAGGGCAAATTTTACTCTTGTGAGAGTGGTCCGGCAGACAAACATGGGGGCAGTTAGCTAACGAAGCTTAATGTCAACCTCTGTAAAATCAACAGTTTTACAATAAGACTTGAATGTTTATGAGTGAAACTCATACTGTAAGGTGTGTCTGTAAATACACAGTGTTACTCGGTTTGTTTCTCCTGACTGTCCCTCAGATGTCACAGGAAAACATGCTGTGACACTTGTTCAGTGTCATCCAGCTACAGCAATGTTGCCTTCAACCAGCACCCTGGTCAGGTCTGCTGTCAGGCTGCTGCCAAGGGGGACCTGGGGTCGAATTGAGACCAGTTTGGTGAACTCAGGTGACACTTGAATGACACCGGTTGCACTTCTTTGGCTTTTCTATAGACTTTTTCACCACTATAAAGATGAAGTTGATTCGGTTTATTTTATTGTAAGTTAAAAGTTGTTATATAGATCAGATTTAAAATGTCCAGCTTTGGATTCGTGCTCTATAATTAAGCGTTTGACTGCAGATAAAACTGACTGTTATGTTAAAGCAAATACACGTAACAAAATGTTTCATCTGTGTTTTTCTTTTAGCAGGATGTGTCCAGTGTCCATGCAGAAACATTTCTGTGAAACCAGGGGGTTTGAAACCAAAGACAGTTCCACCTCGGTACCTGGGTCAGCCCAGCCCTTTCACTCACCCACACCTTGTAAAACAAGGTGAGTCTTTGCAGTAATCCAGTCCTGGCTTCACACATTTAAGGAAAAAAAAAAAACAGCAGTTTCTGTATTTACTATCAACATCAGGAGCTAAAAGCAAATTAAAGTTACTCAACAGAGAAAAATTACACACCTGTCCTCTTTTCCTCAGGTGAAGTGACCCCAGGTCTGAGCCAAACAGAGTTCGAGCTGCGGAGACACAGACTAGCCTCGCTCATCGAGGCACAGGCTGACCGTCTGGAACCCTCTGCCTCCAACAGTACCCATGTGGTTATTGTATTATCCCACCCAACCCGCTACATGACCAATGACATCCCTTACCACTTCCACCAAAACCAGGTTTGTGTTTCTTTCACAGTTTGAACCAACTAATTCACATCAAGTTTATGGGAATGTAAGATAGATAGGTTCATTCAATGCAGGGTGAGGCGATTTAACGGTTATCTACAGAGTTCATTTTCTGTTATAAAGACTGAGCTGAAGCTAAATGTCCCCTCAGGATTTTCTCTACCTCAGTGGCTTTCTGGAGCCTGACAGTGCCTTGGTTCTTTACGGCGAAAGGCGACCGGACCAGGCCATCTTGTTCACCCCCCGCAGAGACCCAGGAAGGGAGTTGTGGGATGGACCCCGGTCAGGGAAGGATGGAGCAGCTGCGCTAACTGGCATAGAGAGAGTTCACTGCACTGAAGAGTTAGGTGTTGTGCTGAAGAGCCTTAAAGGTGGGTGCAGGACATCTCTTCAAAGCACTAAAGGAGATTCTTTTGGTGCTATTAGAAAATACAGTCAAAACAAAGTCAGATATCAAATTTTGTAAATTGAGGTAAAATGAAAAAAAATATGAATAAATATAAGAATAAATCACAAACTGATTCTCTTTATAAAATGATGAATCTGTTTCTTCACTGTCATTTAAAAGGATAATGGATAAAGTCAGAAAAAAAGGGAAAGACTGTGAGGAAATATAGTTTGTAGCAGAAAGAGCAGGGGTGAAAAAGGTGACAGATGGGATTTGTACGGGAGACTGGGGGCAGTTCTAACCAAACAGCAACCTCCAGTCTTGAAAAATGAAGCTGATGCAGAAGTGCTGAAAACTGAAGTTCTGAGTGGCCACACTGGGCCAAAAATGCCTGCCTTTAGAGCAAAACTTCACATGTTTACAGCCTGGTTCAAAACAAAACAGTTTTGGTCTGAGAAGTTCTGGGCTCTCATGGCACTCACAACTCAGGAAGAATTTTTTTGTAAGGTTTTTTAAGTTATTTTATTTGTATGATCAGCAACACCACTGCACTCTTACAACACTAAGCACATACTCATTTGGGGCCTTCCTCCGCCTGCATAAAAGAAGTAGGATCAGTTCACCACAGCAACATTTTTAAGCCAAAAACTGATTGTAATGGAGCACAGATATATTTACAGTGTAGACATGCCCCACATTTGCAGAAAACCCAGGTTTGATTCCCTGTGGCCCCTGGATGTCTTTCAGGCACTATGTTGTGGTATGACAGCTCTCAGCCTGTCCATCCTCGGCTCCATCAGACTCATGTGGCTCCTGTCCTTGAGGCAGGGCCGATGCCACGCTCCATCCGGCCCCTCATCCACTCTCTGCGGGCCCTTAAGAGCTCTGCAGAGGTGGCACTCATGCAAGCCGCAGGTCACATCACAGCACAGGTAAGTGTGGAATTACTTATGAGTGCCAATACCATATTTTTAACAACTACTGATAATTGTCCATAAACAGGGCCATATTTTCATTGTTTTGAATTTTCTGTACCTCCTCTCACAACATGGACAAGTTTTTTCTTTTCCAGAAAGTTCCAACTCATAGTCTGTGTCTCTCAGGCTTTCAGGAGGACAATGGCTTTTTCTAGAGGAGAAGTGGACGAGGCTGTGCTCTTTGCCAAGGTAGCGTATGTGTGCCTCTGCTCTGACCAATAACAGCGTTTTTTACAGACGCCTTTCATGGCTTTTAAGGCCATTTTTCCCCCTTACATCTTTATAACATACTTTTCTTTTGTGTAAATAGAGTATGTACAATCAGTCCTTTAAACTTAACTAGTTTGTATGAGTCATTTAACCTTATTTACTCAGATATCTGCAGTATGTAGTTTTACAATCAAAGGGTGTCACTCATTTCTGTAACCAATAAGATGTTATTATGGGGTTGGACCCCTTCGTGGAAGAAATTGTCTCTGTAATTCACACTTCAACAAGAAATTGACAAAAGTTTGTGGGATAAAACAAAACCTCCATGGGAGAAAGATTTGGAAAGAGGTGTGGCAGACCAGCTCAACCTGTTTACACACTTCTGCAGTGTGTATACAGCATGAGTTGATTCGGCTTAAGATACTTCACCCTGTTGGCTGCTTAAGGGACAAAATCTTTTTCCATTCCAAACCTTACGCTCAGGATGCATTTATACTCCAGTAGGACATAATTTGTGGACATGCCTCTCATTTAGCAGTTATTGGGGACATATTTTTGATATATTTCCTCATGTTTTAAAAACAAACTATAACTCCTGTTTGGCACTAGTCCATTTTGGAAATACTATCCAAGGATTATAAGTGTTGACTTTTATGTCTGCTTTGACGTTTGACATTTTTTAATGGCAGACTTACTCTTTATAACTGGGTGTCTTTTTGCCTTTGTACTGAAACTACAGCTCCAGTACTAATACGAGCATAAACGTTGCTCTTTTACAAACTTCATTGAAGGCTACATTACTTAAAAAAGTCAACACAAGAAATATTGTTAAGTAGACCCTGTCTGGAGTCTGGGGGTACAGTTACATGGTGCAGTTTTAGCCTACATTTGTGGATGCAGCAACAGACTATGCTCCCATAATTTTGTGAATTTGAGCAGTGACCTCTACTACAGAGTCATGTCTGGTTTTCCTTGCAATGCAGTCAGAGGCCCCTAAGGTCATGACCATTCAGCACTGGTTTTCAGCTGTATTGCCTGTGCAAAAAAATCAATCCAGATTATTGAAATCTTTTAATGATTATATGTTCCTATATTCTTTGTGCTGAGGAACATTATTCTGAAACAGCTGAACTTAATCCTCACTCAGTATCTCACAGAGCAGTGAACCTATTCTCATCTTTACTTCCAGGAGATTCTACCTCTTAAGGGTGCCCCTTTCTCTTATTTCATAAGCTATGTCAAATTAAAAAGCGGGTTTCAAGGAAATGACATGAAGCTCAGAGCTCTGTTTCACGCTGATTCCCTTTTTTGACCAGTTTGATTTTGAGAATCGGATCCATGGGGCCAACTTCCTGGCCTATCCACCCGTTGTTGCAGGAGGGAATCGAGCTAATACTCTGCACTACATCAACAACAACCAGATTATCAAGGTAAAGAGGACTTTCAGTACCTTATAGGTTGGTTTGTTCCTCTGCCACTGTTTGCCCTGAAGGTCCACACATCTGCGGTGAAAATTATACACTACAATCTTTGTGTTTAGATGATTGAGAGTGATTTTCATAAGAACTTCATTCTCTTTTCCCCTGTTTCTGCCACATCAGGATGGGGAAATGGTGCTGCTCGATGGTGGTTGTGAATACTTCGGTTATGTCAGTGACATCACTCGAACATGGCCGGTGAATGGAAAGTAAGTTGGAAAAGACCTTGAGATGTAAATATGGAGAGACAGTAGTAGCATGCTACAACTTTTTGTCTTTGTTGGCCAAGATAAAGAACACCATGTATCTCTCTAGTCCATCTTTGGTTTGCATTTAAAATCAGTTTGTTTGGAACCTTTGGGGTGACTTGAACAGAACAGTCTTTATTTTGTCAATTTATTTGTTTCTCACTAACAAACAAAAAGAAAGCTAACCGTTTTTTACTGCCCCCAGGTTCAGCCCCGCTCAGGCTGAGCTGTACGAAGCTGTGCTGGAGGTGCAGCGCTCCTGTTTGTCTCTGTGTTCCCCAGGCGTCAGCCTGGACCACATTTACAGCACCATGCTGGCTCTGTTAGGACGACAGATCAGACGGCTTGGGATCGTCAAGGCCAGCACCAGTGACGTGGACATACTCAAGGTAATAGTCATAATAACTGCTGAATAGATTATAAATGGTAGATCATATGTGGGCACTGTTGCAAATGAAAATGTCATTTTTAAAACAGCAACTCCTAGCTTTGGAAATCCAAGTTTTGATGCAACTAATAAGATTTATCAAGACTCACTTTTGACCATTTTAGAAATAATCTGCATTCAGACCTGCAGCAATGTAACTACAGGAGCCATTTGCAGTTATGTACGAAAAACCATACCCTCTTCTTGAGCATCCACGTCCTCCAACAGTAACGTGGTTTTGCTTAATGGCATGGTTGACAATCTTGGAAGCAGTTGAAAAAAACTGAGCCGTTTAGGCAGATTTTAAAAAAGAGTCTCACCCCCCCACACACAAACCCCTCCCCTCTGTGCTCCACAATAACTCCCCCCTGAACCTGTATCGCCCTCCCCACGACACACCCCCTCTGGCAGAGCAAGAAGCCGGCCGGCAGATGATCCTACGCTAGCTTCAAATAGGATTCACTATGTCGGATTGCAAAGTGACTAGCGGCAGTAAACGCACCATCTGCAGTTGCCTGGACAGCTACCGTGTTGACATTGCAGAAAATAATAGGCGTTATTTATGTATATAAAATGTAAAAATTACCTGTTCAACAAAAACTCTGCTGTCTCAGTGTCTGTTTTCAAGCCCAAATCCTCGTGGAGCTTTCTTCACCGCTTAAAGGATGACCCGATGTTTATTCAAGTTAGATTCCTCTCTTGGTCACATTTCCTCTTCAACTCTGCCCTTTCTTCTGTCGGCTTGCGTTTTCATAGCACTTTTGGCGGTGGGGCAAGCAGAAGTGTTTTTTCTGGGGCGTCCTTCTCCATCACAGCTCCTGTAGCTAAGCTGCTTTGCTACTTTTAGCCACTCAGAGCTCCGAGGAGGGCCGGGAGAGTTGGAGGGGCCGAGTTGGAACTACGGGAGAGGGGTGTGTTGAATACAGCGAGGTGATGGGATGGAGAGGCGGGGCAGGAGATTTACGAATAGGAACTGTCCGGGACAGATGGCTCCCATTGGTCAATGTTTTGCCAGATTAACGAGGTTCATAATAATTACCAATCTCTCCAACCGTCAACCGTACCTTTAATGTTGCTGAGTCAAGATGTCAGAGGCAAGGGCCAGATTCACTAACTGCATTGTTGTTAGATGCAGCTTGCTATTGTGACCATGGTTGTAGCACTTCGACGGTAGTGCCCCCTGTCTGGGTCAGTTTCTGGATCATATGTATAGTGTTGAGGCATGGGTTCTTCTGGATTGTGGAAGTAAATTAGGGTTTTTCTTTCTCTGCACTGGACTACACCCTCCACCCTAATACAACAATCAGGCAGCCAATCAGTGCAGCACTGTATTAGCATCCCACACCAAAGATGAGGGTAGAAACTGAGAGGCTGCAAATGACACAGCGACTGAATTTGTGACAGTTTTTGTTTGCAGTGACTTTTAAAACTTTCTTAAAAGACAACTTGGACATGCTGTAATGAGCTCAATACCAGTGTCTGGGACCTATAAAGAGTTTTCTCTGCTCCTTCCTCCAGGCTGCACGGAGGTACTGTCCTCACCATGTGGGCCATTACCTAGGCATGGATGTGCATGACACTCCTGAACTTTCTCGCTCTCAACCTCTACAGCCAGGAATGGCCATCACAATTGAACCAGGTACAAAACTGGGCTTTAAATTTGTTCTCTCATCATGCAGTTGTGCATGAGGTGCAATTGGCACACCAACCCTCACAGATCCTCTATTAGGACATTATTTATACCTCACTCTCTTCTGTTTGATCTCTTACTTTTTCACAGGGTTGTATATCAGTGAGGACAATGACGAGGCACCAGAGCGTTTCCGTGGGTTGGGCGTCAGGATTGAGGATGATGTGGTGATCCGAGACAAGGGAGGTCCCCTGATTTTGTCCTCTGAAGCACCAAAGACCATCACTGATGTGGAACGAGCCTGTGCTCAGAGATAGAACAGGAAGAAAGAGCATATACATGGTGTTGACATTGTCAGGCTTTGAGCCCAGGTACATGAGAAGTTGGAGCACACTATAAGAGTCTGGTCACCATCTCAGGAAAGCCTGAAGAAATTATTTAAGTTGCTGTAGAAGACCATAGATTTTGCAGAAGTGTTTCTACAAATCAGAGCTATGGTAATGTGACACAAAGACCAATTCTGATTCTGTACAGTTCATCCATGAAGCAGTGTGATGGTGCTATGAATAGATTAAAACAACCCATGATTATCATAGAAACTTAAAAACAACAGATAACCTCTTCCATCAAGTAAACTGAAGAGGCAGATGCTCAACCCAGCAATCATGTAAGTCAAAGATTCAAGTGTTTTTAGAGCCAACATACTCACACTTTATCTTTTAACAGTGCAGAGCCTCAAAACTGTAAGTGCTGACATGAACTCAGTGTCCTGTGGGGCAGTTAAGAAAGATCATTGAATGCAGGATTTATAGACCACTACGTTTGTTTTCACAGTAGATGAATAAAAATGATTCTTTCATTTGTGAAGGTGTTGTTTGGGGGACTTTTTATTTCAGATGGAAAAATATTGTGTCTTTGGAAAAATAAATTGTTCTTATATATTCTGAGAGTATTTCATTATACCCTCTGTAATAACTAATAAACGGTACTAGTTTTACCAAATTCTGCAGGTGACATCATATGGAAAAGTTGTTTTGTTTCAATTAGTGTCTGGATTGATTGATATGGACAACTCAAAATGAAAAGCCTATTTCTGTTCACTAGTTTCAACCAACTATGCTTAACCCTTGTGCACCCCTTAGGACTGTTTTGGTCCTTCGTAACTATACTTTTGTGGATAATTTTGGCTGTGATGATGCAACTGGCATGAAAGTTTGTACCGAAACAGTCCCATTGACTCCCATTAAAACATGTTTTCTTCAATACACTGCCAATGCAGTATAAGTTTTGGATTTTTTTTTTCCCTCATGTACACCTATTCGTTGAGAGTCAAACTGGGTTTTTTTTAATGCCGACCAGCAGATGGCACCATTTTTCTTTTTTCCTGCCATACCCTTTAGAACCAGAGGGGCACTGTTTTCCCTTTTTCACAGAGCTGGTGTATTTCATGCATATCGATAGACAGATTGATAGATATATAATTTTTTGATCCCAAACTGGAAAATTCTTGTGTGTGTGTGTGTGTGTATGTGTGTGTGTGTGCATATGCAGCCGTGAGAATAGCCTTCCAGAAACAGTAGCAGTTGAACAATCTGCACCTGCAGTTTCCTTCTGTGTGTGTATGTGTGTGTGTGTGTGTGTGTGTGTGTGTGTGTGTGTGTGTGTCTGATTGTGTGTCTGTGTGTGTGTGTGTGCATTATTCAACACTACAGAAAAAATACAAATCTTTTCAAATTAATTTTCTCATCAATGTTTACCAATCCCATGCTCTTATTAAAATAAATATCGGGTTTTTACAAAAAGGACTGGCATTTATGGGGTTAAAATAAAAATCCTGAATAAAGTTTTGCCATATATGATTAGGCTATTAGTCAATGAAGGCAGCCAAAAAAAAAAATTTGAATATATTTATTTAGACCATATTTCTACTCCAGCGAAATGGAGGGGACCGTTTTGGTCCCTGAGGGGTGTTAATTGAAGTTTCATATATTATTCGACACTGCAGAAAAAATACGAATCCTTTCAAATCAATTTTCTCATCAATGTTTACCAATCCCATGCTCTAATAATCAAAAGTTTAAAAAAACAATTTGCATTTATAGGATGGAAAATAATTCACCAAGTGTGTTTTTTGACTTAAAATAATATCAGTTTTTTACAAAAAAGACTGGCATTTATGGGGTTAAAATAAAAAACCTGAATGAAGTTTTGCTATTTATGATTAGGTTATATGTCCATGATGGCTGCCAATATATATATATATATATATATAATTACACCAGAGTTCTACTGCAGCAAAATGGAGGGGGCCATTTCGGTCCCTTTGGGGTGTTAATTGAAGTTTTTCTTAGGGGTGCACAAGGGTTAATATTAGGACTAAGTAATACAGACTTTTTTGCTTCTTCCAACTTTGCAACTTTGCACTAACCCACTCTCCTCAGTTCCCCTAGGCCCCACCCCTTTGTGGTATAGACTTCATATAGGCTCCAGACTAAATCTTTGCCTAAGGGCCGTGTCTCATATTTCTATAATCTATTATCACCAACAAATGACTCAGCTGTAAGTAAGAGCGTGACCGACTGGGAAACCGTACTCCAGATAAGTAGTTCTGTTGCTCTATGGAAAAAAGCATTGGAAGCTACATCCTGTTTGGATGTATTATTTACTGGATATATGAGCGAGAGAGAAGGAGAGAGAGAGACGTGACTGTAATCAGCTGTTTCCACCTGCCCCCTCCCTGTTGATTTCAGTGGTTAATGTTAATCATGCAAAGAAATAGCTTTGTTTGTAATGACAATTATTTACATAATCACATTGTCGTTTCTTGTCATTAAAACAAGTATGATCACTGGACAGACTTAGCCTTCCTAAGCCTCAGCCTCACCCGCCTGTAACAAGATGATAAGTATAAATTGACCGATGTAAAAGATGTAGCAGACTTCAGTTCACCCCTTGCTGTCAACTTTCAGTGGAGACCACCTACCTTTGAATCCCAAATACAGGTTGTCTATATCTTCAAAATAGTACAATTGGCCTATGTTGATCTATCCAAGTCACATGAAAGAATGTGAAGAGGCAGCCAGCAAATGGTTAGGCCTGTCTAGGTCCTGCAGGTTATGACAGTGCAACTTGGTGTTTTTTGCAGTGATCATTTGCAGGTTGTTTCATTGCTGTGTCACTTCATCAGTTAATTTTCTGTAAATGGTAGGCACGAATTGCTTGTTCAGTTCTGTTTTAAACTTATACTTAAAATGTGGAAAATTAGTAAATGGATTGCTGTTTTCTTTTACTGTCCCTCAACAGGATGTTCGGAAAAAAATCAAATGTTTTGAACAAACATTTGGATTATTTGGAATTGTCCATGTGGACATTTTAGTATGATGTTAGCTTGAAAAGGTGTATATTATAATATTTTCAAAGATATAAACAGCACATCTTTATGTTGTTTTAACACATTTTTGTGTTTAAAGTAAGAACACAAATATGCATTCAAAGTGTTCACACACTGATCGTGTTATATAGGTCTGCTGATCAGCTCCAACTCGTAGTACCAAAAACTTGTTTAAAAATCTGTGGCGACTGTGATTTCTTGGCGGTGGCTCCCAAATTATTAACAATTTAACAAATTGCCACTCGAGATTAAAACATCCCCCACTCTTTTTACTTTTAAATCACGTCTTAAAACGCATTTTTATTCCTTGGCTTTTAGCTCAGCTTGAGAGTTGTGTGATCTCTGTCCTTTAATGTCTTTTTATGGTCCTTTTATCACTTTTATTTCTTTTATGCTTTTGTGTTTTTATTTCGTTTCATTTATTTTATTTTAAATGTTTTTTACCTGCTTTTATTTATTTAATCTTGATGTTTTCAGCATTGTCTGTTCTTTTAGATTTATTGTGCAGCACTTTGGTAGACTTGAATGTTTTTTAAAATGTGCTTTATAAATAAAGCGGATTGGATTGGCAGAAACACAATTTATTCTTCTCAACTAGACAAGCAGCGGTGTTGAAGATGAACACATTATATTTTACTTATAGCACAACTATTTCAGTATAGAATTTTGAATTTCTTGCAAATTCAGAATCCGGGCAAAGTTTGTGTTGGACTTCTGCTCACCCTGTCAGAATTCTAATAGACATAATCACCTGCTTATAGTTCTATGATACACCAATACACACTGTGTGCGAAAAACACTAAAGCCCAAGTGAATGTTTTTATTTATTTATTTATTTTTTTGTTTTATTTTATTTATCTGAATGTTTTTTGTTTTATTTTATTTATCTGAATGTTTCTTGTTTTTGTTTTATATTTTATTTTTTATCAATTGAGAAAATTACATTGCAGTGATATCTTTAAACACAACAAAACACAACTCAGTGGGATAGAAACATAGAGTAAAGAAAAGAAGACAGAAGTAGAATACAGGTGCGTCTCAACAAATTAAAATGATGTGAAATGGACAATGTTTTCTATATGTTTCAAAACTTTATTTTTCATATTTTGTGTATGAATTTCATGACGTGAAATATTCCAAGCTATCTCTTGGTTTGAACTGAGATGATCACGGCGTAAAAATAATGAATATCAGTGATTCTGTATTTCTGAACACTGAATTTAGTGTGTGTGTGTGTGAAGGGGGTGGGGGTAATTTAAAGTTAATTTTAAGTTTAAGAGATAGTGCTGCTGGATTGATTTAGAAGCGGAGTGCACTCCAAAGATGAATTCCTTGGGTTCCCCCTTCTCCTTCTTCGAATTGGTAAGGCTCGTTTCCACCATTTTGTTTTCTTCTCCTTTTTGCAATTCTGAAAACACAATAAGAAATGTGTGATTATTCTTTCTAAAGGTAAGTTCATAGAGGAATACAACATAAAATACAACACAAGAATGGTTCAAAGATTAAGGCAGATGTGCTTCTTGCCATCGTCTGTCAATCAATCTTTCAAATGTGTCTAGTTTAGTTAAGCCCGAAGACTGGATGAATGGTGGAACTACTAGACGGGCTCAATTCAATTCGACTTTTAGCAGTTGGATACTACTGATGTTTTAATCTAATACATTTGGGCTAAAACTATAGTAAGTGGATGACTATAAATCCACTGTTTGGGCTTAGCTAGCACATAGTAATAATTTTTTACTTAACCAAAAACTACTAACATAATTTGTGGCTTTTAGAAATATAAAGGAAATATTAAAGGAAACATTACTTACCTTGTCAACGAACACTTTTATGTATTTTTCTACCCTCATCAATCTCTGCCAGTTTTCCTCTTTCTCAGCCAACAGACTTTGGTAGCTTTTGTCAAGAGTCTGATATTTCTCTGACCATCTCTTGTTACAGTGGTCAACTTCTGTCTGAGTCTGGCCCAGCAGGATCGGGGTGTTTCTCTGCTCGCTCTGTCTTCTCTCATAAGTTTTAACCCTCTCTTCGAGCTGTTTCACTTGCGTCTGCCACTTCTCTTCACATTCCTTCAATTTTGAAGCAGAGACCTTCTCCTGAAGTCTGCTCACCTCCTCATAGTGGCTCTCCATGAAAGCTATCTTTGCAGAATTTCCTCCCCTCTCTATGTAAAGACTTTCCATAAGAGAGTTGACAACACTCTCAAAATGAGTCCTGTTTTCATCCAACTGTTTCATCCAACTGCATTGATGCTCCATGTCATCGCTCTGGGTGTGAAGATGTTCCTCATAGGAAGCTCTCTCCATTTTTGCTCTGCATTCAGAGAGCTCTCCCTTGGACTCTTCTACCTGATTCTCCAGCTGCCTTACTCTCGTCTGCCATCTCTCTTCACATTCTTTGAGTTTTGAGGCAGCGTTTTCTTCAGTGAGAGTTATCATCTCCCGGAAGTGAGCTTCCTGTGCAGAGAGCCTTATAGCATGGCTCTCTTCCTTAAGCCGAAGCCTCTCCTCAAGACGGAGGATTTCTCCATGAAATTCTCCTTGGCCTATATAGGAGTCACTCCTTAACTTCTCATTCTCCTCCTCAAGCTGTCTGACTTTCTGCTTCCACATTTCCTCATTTTCCTTCAAATGACTGTCCATGGCAGAAAACTTTGCTGCACTCTCCTCTTTTTGAACCCTCAGACTCTCCTCAAGAGAGATGATCCGTCTCTCTGCCTGTATTTTGCATGCAAGAAGTTCATCACGGTACATTTTCACCTCCTTCTCCAATTTGTTGTCATGGGATAGAACAACCACCATTTGGGTTCTTAGATTTACAATTTCCCCTTGACATTTTTCATTCAGGTGCTTCCAGGCTTTCCTCGCATCCTGTAAATTCCCGTCTATCTCTTTTTTTAGCTCCTGACTTGCATGCCTTAAGTTCCCGTTAAAGCATTGGCTGTCACTTGTCAGGATCTGGACTGTATCCTGGCCTAAGAGCTGAGTTTCTCTGTGGTTTGAGTTCATAGTTGGAAGTTTTGTCTCTCCTAAAGATCAAAATATTTCACAGTAAAATGTGAAAATTTGTAGTTCTCACTCAGGATAATGTGTCTTCTATAAATAAAATGGGGCTCAAATACCATCAACGCTGTGACGTAACTGCCCCGGCCCTTTGATGTTAACGTAACATCTTTGAACGTTACGGAATTGGAAGGATCAAAGCCGCCGTGACGTAACTGACCTGGCCACGCCCCCCCTCGAGCGTTTGAATGGCGTAACACTTTTCAATATGGCGGCCTCCGGAAGGATCGAACGGCGATAATGGGAGCAAAAAGACGGATATACACTAAATAAATGAAAGTTGGACTCGACACTCATCTTTACAACTTATTTAAAGCACAGTGATCGGTGGACATTGACCTGTGGCTGGAAATCGGGCTTTTAAAGCTGTTAGATTCTCCAAACAAAGCCTGAAGACAACGGTTCATATCGTAGATGTATTTGGGCAGTTCTGTACAAATGTTTTTTATCACAGCGGTTCAATAAGCGATCATAACAGGCGGTTTCAAGAGAAAGCGTCTGTGGTTGCCATAGTTACCATGTCGCAACCGGAGAGAGGAAATCGGGCTTTTAAAGCTGTGAGGTTCTCCAAACAAAGCCTGAAGGCACACAGAAGTCAGTATTTACGCTTTGTCGAACATCAAGACAGGTTCTGTTGGTGAAATGAATACGTTCAAGACAATAATTTATATCGTAGATGTATTTGGGCAGTTCTGTACAAATGTTTTTATCATAGCGGTTCAATGAGCGATCATAACAGGCGGCTTCAAGAGAAAGCGTCTGTGGTTGCCATAGTTACCATGTCGCAACCAGAGGGAGGAAGTCAAGCAATTTACAGATCATATCTGGTTTTGTTTGTTTGTTTTTCTGATAATATGACTAAAATGAGACTTGATAGGGAATTAGGCTAAAAAAAAATCGTATTGTATTTTTTTTTTGCAGAAGCAAATAAAAACAGGATGTGGAAAGAAAGCTCAGTGGTTCATTTATGAATTAAAATGCATTCATCTCCTTATTGTGAAATGTTCATCAAAATACACAAAGAGGGAAAATACACAGTTAAAATAACAATTACCTTACACCTTTGTGCACACTGGGGTCCAGTCTGTATTTGTTTCCATCACCTTAAGCTACAAGCATGAAATTTCCTGCTATGACTGAAATAGCCATATGTGTATGTTCAGGCCTGGACAATTACCCCACATGGAGGTTTGGGGTGAGACTGGAGCATGCATGTCTGAGTTAAAAAGTTCATCCTGTTTCATTAAGGAACACCTAAGAACTGCCCCAGCCACTCACTTGAGGAAAAACACAAACTTTGGATCTCTTAATCCTTTATGTGTTTATGATACACCGTGTATTTGGAGTTGATTGGATGAAACTACCGGAGTTTCTTCAAACAAATGTAAATCACTTAAAATAATGCTGACTTTTGAGCTAAACTCAGAATTGCAGACTCCTTGTTGAGTTACGGTTATGAGTATAAAGGGGGTGTTGTTGGTCAGATGGTTACGTTCAGTCCTTAACACCTGATTGTGTGAATACCCTTTGGGAACACTCTGCTCCCAGCATGGTGGTCTTATTGTTGTATCTAGAGTTTGTAAAAGTAGAAAGGGAGTAAGAACCTTTTTCTTTCTGCTATCACAAGTAGGTTTAAAACTTTCCTTTTAGATAAAAGTCATAATCAGAGCTAGTTCAAGCTGCTGGGGAATCTGTCACACTGAGTTTCAGTTTTTCACTCTCTCTCTCTCTCTCATCTGTCTTCAACTTTCCATGTCCCACTCAAGTTACTAGCCATAATACTTAATGCAGAGCTGCATTGAGGTCAATAGGACAAGCCAAAAAAGTGTTTTTCAAACATCTACTGCTCTGACTCCTATTATTTATTGTATAAATTAATTCTTGAAAAAGGAAGATTTGTTGTAGTGTTTGTGTGCTCCTTTTATATAATATCACAATGCTACTGGAATGAATTGTTTGAAATCTCTGAAGACTGTCATCATAATGTCATAATTCAAAAATTTTCTAGAGGGAATTTTCTAGTTATCAATGTCATAATCCCAGTTTTGTTTTGACAACAGCTTGACCCACTCTACTATAATCAATACTTACTGTGGTACCTGCTATCATTATCAGATGCTTGTATGAGACCTGTTGACTTTGCCACTTATTTTACAATCTGTCTATTAGTATACGCTTTCTGTACCTGCAACTTGTACACTTCAATGATCATTATTGGTGCTGAAAGTAGAGGTCTTTATAGCCTTTTGTTGTTGTACTCTGTCTCTTTCCTTCTCTTTCTTTCTCCAACTTTCTTTCTATCCGTCTTTCCAAGTCAAATACAGTTGCAAATGGTTGTGTCTGGTGAGGCTGGCTCTGTTTTTTGTTTCTGTGTTTTATTGGAAGATTCTCTGGGTTGCTGTAACTTGCCACATGGTGCACAGTGCTCCACTCATAAAGGATTGAGATGGGATAAGACTTAATGTAATACAGGATGGCATCATATCTCATCTAGATGTTGGGTCTTTGTAAATAATTTAAAAAAGAATACACCCTAGACTTGCTCTTTGAGTTAAACATATTTTGAAACGCGTCTTCAACCTTAGCCTGCAACTAGCGAGAGTGTCCACCCTCTGGAAGACATCCTGCATAGTTCTGGTGCCAAAGAAGAACCGGCCCAGTGAGCTGAATGACTTCCGACCGGTGGCACTCACGTCCCACCTTATGAAGACGCTGGAGCGGCTCTTCCTCACCTTCCTCAGACCCCAGGTGCAACATGCCCAAGACCACCTGCAGTTCGCCTACCAGCCAGATGTTGGGGTGGAGGATGCCATCCTCTACATGCTACACCAGACCCACTCCCACCCTGATAAGGGAAGCGGCACAGTGAAGATCCTCTTTTTGGATTTCTCCAGTGCTTTCAACACAATCCAGCCCCCCTTGCTACAGGACAAACTCAACAGCATGGGAGTGGACCCCTTCCTGGTGACCTGGATCTCCAGCTACCTAACAGACAGGCCACAGTATGTCAGGATGAGGGATGCCACATCTGAAACTGTGATCAGCAGCACTGGAACCCCCCAGGGCACAGTGCTTGCCCCTGTTCTCTTCACCCTGTATACATCGGACTTCTGCTATGATTCGGACCTGTGTCATATACAGAAGTACGCTGATGACACAGCCATTGTTGGGTGTATCAGGGATGACCAAGAGGAGGAGCACCGGAGTCTAATGGGGGACTTTGCCTCCTGGTGTCGCCTTAACCACCTGGAGTTCAACACCTCAAAGACGAAGGAGCTGGTCATAGACGCGCATGCACACACACACAGACACACAGACACACACACACACACACCATCATATGCCGCTTCTATATTTTATTAGGAGTGTATTTCTTTTTTCCATCTCTATGCGGACTATGTACCTTTTTCAATGCACAAGAGTCTATAGAGTTTATGTAGATTGTGTAACTTGTATTTTATTTTATTTTATCTAATTTTATGTTGTGACTACGTTTTGCATGTTGCACTTTACACCTTCTTTTTCTACCTTTTTATTTGTAAAAGCTGCTGGTAACCCGAATTTCCTGCGGGAGTCATCCCAAAGGATGAATAAAGTTTAGTCTAAGTCTGATTAAATTGGTTGCTATATAGATTAGGATTGATTGACTTTGTTGACAGTAACAAAACGTGTTGTCCATAACTAGATATACAGGTGTATTAAAAATGTACACATAATGCATTTTTTAACAGAAGTGTATCCCTAATTTCCTGTTTTTTTGTGTTGTTGTTGTTATTAAAATGATGAAGATAAATAAAATTGGAGGAATTCATGAAAAGGAGGACTAAGCTGCTATAGAAAAAAATGTGTAAAATATAATCATGTTTCAATCAAATTGGCTTTGAGAGATGACTTCTACACCAGGAGCTAATCCAATCAGAGGGCTGTCTCTCTATTTTTTTGTATTTTACATCCCCAGTTCCATAAGAGCTGGGACACTGTGTACAGCATGAATTGAAGTGAAAGCTTATGCTTCCCCATACCATCAGAGATGCTGCTGGTCGCTCCTTTCGTAGAAGCAGTGGAATCGAAGTTCATGGTTTCCAAAAAGAATTCTATATTTTGATTTGTTAGCCACAAGACAGCTTTCAGTTTCCTCTCAGAGCATCTTCAATGGGATTTGGCCCCAAAGTGCCACTATTCCTAGATCATGTCATGTTCGTACATGGTTTCCTCTCTACAGATACAGTTTTAACTTGCATTTGTGGATGCTGCAACAAACTCTGTTCACAGGCAGTGGTTTTGGAAGTGATTTGTAGCCCATGCAGTAATTTCCACTGCAGTCTCAAGTTTGTTTTTAATGCAATACTATCTTTGAGAGACATTATTTGCTGTAGATCACAAGATCCTCAATGTTGTCAGGGTTTTGCACGCAGCAAACTTATTATGGAACAGTTGGAACTATTTCTTTATCTAGTTTTTTACAAAGTGATAAATGTCTTTAGCCTTCATTTCCAAAAGTTGTAACTTCTCTGTAATGTCATTTGTTTACTCAGTCATGATACTAAACTGTTGCTAATTAGCACAATTTGATGGGAGTAGTTACTCTGTTTTTTGTTTTTTTAAGCATCACACAACTTTTTCAGTGTTTTGTTATCCTTGTCATACCTGTACTTAAACATATTTCCGACATGAAACGTTGGATAAGCATTTATATTCTTCATTTAAGAAATAACATTTTTCAGTTTCGATATTTGATTTTAGTCTGCTCTATTTTAGGTAAAATATACGGTTTGGGTGATTGGCAAACCTGTGTGTTTTAATGTACACTGATAACAAACATGTCAACTCTTCTGGGATGGAGAATGTTAAAAAAAAAAAAAAGTATATACAGTTATTATTATTATTATTTATTTATTTATTTTTAATTATTATTATGTCTCACCACGAAAGAGCGGAGGTAGAAATCGCTAAAAGAAACGCATTACAAACAAACTTTTACTGAACTGCTGCTGTGAAACGTGGAGCTTCACCGTCCCCTGCTGATAGAAACCGGCCTCGAGCACAGTACCTGTTTACGGACAATCCCGAACACTTACGAAGACAACCTCCCCTGTTCTTCCCTTCATTTCTCCCTCCCTCCTCCTCCCTTTCACGCCTAATGTTGCTGTACCTCCAACCCTCCCCCCGTATCAGAGGAGTAGAAACAACAAGCCGCCATTTTGTTTGTGCGGACAGACCGTCAGAAACAGGAGGAGATAACCGAGAGACGGAGCGACTCCGGCAACCGACTGCAGCCGCTCAGGGAACCGCCGGGAGAGGAGAGAGTGGCGAAAGCCTGGACGTGTTATCAAGAACGGAAAAGCATCGCCGAGACGATAAGACGCCCGTGGACGGCAGACCGAGGCGGTGATATTTGTGTGCATGAGAAGGAAATACTCCGAAAATCCAAGGAAGGGGGTGTTTTGCGGAGCGGAGACGGAGAGGAGAGGCGGAAGAGGGTTGTATTTGATCTGAACGAGGAAAAGCCTGTGAGAAAAAGGGAAAACATCAACATGAAAAATCACTATGAGTCCGTCTCAGAGGAAGGGGAGAGCCCGCATAGACAATTATATAAATAAATTGCTGCCGGGCAGAAGAGAGAGGTGGAAAGAAAGACGTGTTTAAAGATAAGGGGAAATAGCCAGGATCAACGCGAAGGGGGGGCTTCTCCATCACAAAGAGTCAATGAGAGGATTTTTACAGCCCAAAACGTTTTGAGGGGGGTGTCAACATTGTGCCGATTTGAAGCTTTCCGCTTCTCAAATAGCCATAATTTCTGAGCGAGTCACTGTCAGTTTTTTATCACATTTTTGCCTGTCGCCGCTGTTGTACTCCGGCTTTTGGTTTTTCTTTTCACTTGCATGGCCAACATATCCCACAAGTAGCGAGTGACAGGTATATATACTGAGACTGTTAACCATTCTTTCCTTTGCCTTGGATATAAAGTGTTGAAACCAAGCGAAAACCGGGGGAGGAACCTTTTCTGATGCACTGGAGAAGTAACCCCTCGGATCGCTCCCTGCAAAATAAAAACTAATAGGATCAGTAGGTTGTCAACTGGAGCTGAGATTTCCCTCAAGAAGTCATCCGTCAAAAGAAATCGAGTCTGCATCTGGATCGATTCGAGCACAGCAGCGAATTTTGACTTCTTATTTTCAACCTTTGCTAACGCTGCTGCTGCCTACAAAAGGCACAATCGTGAAAGGGGGGGTTGCAGCAGCCAAATGTGCAATACGAGTCCGTTGTTTCTGACCCAGTGCCTTGCATGGTTATACACACTCAAGTGCACAATTTATTTAGCATGCACATGCAAAAGAGAACTTATGCATGGGAAGATATATCCACATTAGACTTAACTTTAGTTTGAGTTTCTGCAGAAGTGGGACTCCAGTGTTTTTGCAGAACTGCTTTTATTCAGCCATCTTTACGCCAGTGCAAGTTTTTCCCTTCAGTGTTGCACCTCGAAGTTTCGCATTTCAAACCTTTCAAACCACACACGTTGACTGTCTAGAAACGTGAAAGAATCAGTCGCATATCCAGCAGTGGGGTGACTACTCGGGTGGGAGAAATGCTGAATGCAACTACGGATCTTATCACCGTTGCATGAGAAAACAACCTCTAGAAGTTGACACAGGAAATCTCCTGCGTTGTGATTTCGTCGTTTTCTTTCCTAGACAGACTGAGCTGGTTAAAGGGCTGAAAGGGGAGATTTCTCCGCCGACCATGGCGGGCAGGACTTGGTCCAGCTCAGAGGACGAATTCTGGGATGATTTTTGGGTCTCTGAAGAAGCTACATGAGGTTGTCAGAGCACGCTCGCCTTTTCTATCGACTCCACCTTCCCACCTCCTCCTGCTCCAATCTGTGAAGAAACCAAATCTCGGACAGGGGAGGGGGCTGATATCTGCAGAGGAATACACCGAGAGGAGGAACTGTGAGGGAAACAGTTCAACACTGCTGTCTTCCCCCTACCGTCCCCCAAACGGTGGGGGAACCATCAGGTGTATTTTTGAAAGGGAGAAGGAGACGCAAATAACAGGGAAATAACATTTCCCTCAGTGGATTTACTGATTTTTTTTTTAATTCGTCAAAAAATATGGCTGATAATGTCCTGGAGTCCGGCCCGCCTTCAGCCAAGAGGCCAAAGCTGTCCTCTCCAGCTCTCTCCGTGTCTGCCAGTGATGGAAATGGTAAATAAATATTTTTAATACTATGTTGGACAATTTCTAGCTTCGTCTGATGGCGTGTTCAGGGCTGGCCAGTCTTAAGAGTACCAGAAGAGTTGCACTGCAAGTTCAATCTTTCACTAATCTGATGCTTTAAGGCGGAAATAAACGCGAGTCGTGATAATTATGCACAATTGTGACACATATGTACTTTAGACAAAACTTAGTGTTGTGTTGGTGGCAGGGGTAACTTTCCAGCTGCGATGTTTTGATGCGTTAGCCACAGCAGGCTAACTAGCTCCCAACTACAGGGTCCAACTCCAAACAATGGAAGAGTCGAGTCACCCCAGTTTACTCCAAGTTGTCTCTTGAGTTTAAAAGTTAAAAGAACAAAAAACGAATACACACGAGTACAGAACTGTGGGACTCACCAATGTCCCCGTTAACAAAAGGTCTTAATACTATTACCAAACTAGCTTTAGGAGAAAGTAACGGTAACCGAGCAAGCTAGCTCACTAGCTAGACAGATAACCCCACCGGACCGGCTCAGCTGAGCTCGGTAGCTGGCTAGCATGAAAATAATTGATGAGTTACTCATCAAACCATACCAGAGAAACCGAGCAACGTGATATAAAGTGGCGTTTTCACAGTGGCTTTTCAGATACACGTATTGTATATTTGGGATACCCATCGATTTGTTTGGCCGAACTGTTGGTTTTAGTGATTTGTTGTCGGTAAAAGCTAACTGTCCATTGTTCGGCACTTCATTGAAGTTGCGCTAAGCGTTGCTCCTTAGTCGTAGATGTAGCTGTGTCCATGTTAACTCTGACCCTGTTCTGTGCTCAATCTTATGGTAGAATCTACACCTATGTCTTGAAGTCTCACTTTAAAGCTTTAATTGAAAAGCGGAGAGTTTTTCAATTGTTTTACCGGCTAAAAGCCTATTCTTGTTCATCGTCCATTGTTTGCCTCCACTGTGTCACTGCGGTGCACCAAGTGCAGTTCACTTTTGAACATAGTTAATTCTAACCAGACCGTTTTAATTGTTCTTACTTTGGTCACTTTTAAGGCTTAATTTCGGACTAAATCATTGATGTTGGACAGCTAGCTCTAAACATAGGGCATCACTTCGTAGGGAGACAGAAACTTGGTGATATTAGACTTTAACTGAATATAGTTAAATGTCCTCAGAGACGCATCGTTAAGAAGTAGACAAATTTAAGGGCAGATCATGCAAACAAGACAAGGTCTAAAACAATCCACAGTAGCTTATATCAGTATTGAATTAAAATCATCACATTAGACAAGAGTACTATTTAATCTATCGCTGCTGTTTTCAATGTATGTGCAGTCTGCATAATAGTTTCTGTAAACCAATAACTGTAATATGAATAATTATATTAAGTAGCAATGAATGTACAGCACACCCCTTTATATCTATGTTACACATTTCTCAGTATCCATCTTTTTCCACTACATCTCATTTGGCAGAGTTGTTGCCAGAACTTTGATTTGAAAAATGAAAAATGATAGAAAAGGTTTGACAGCAAGAAAAGTAAAGAGGACAAGTAACTTGCTTGTACATTCAACAAAACTCTGGTACATCATACCTACAGACTGGCCCTCAGTTTCAGCGGGCAGCACAGTTCATTAAATGTTGGTTTTGATCATAATATTAACCTCATTACAATTAAAAGATATCATTAGGGGTGATTACTGTCAAGAAAAAACATATGCAGCAAAGCAGACAGAGAGCAAGATGAGGTGAACATGTGTTAATGAAGCAGAGGGACACAGTGAGCACAGAAAGCAGGATAGCAGCATCATTGAGTGTTGGCACATGTTTATGAGCTCATAACTGTGTGGCTAAATGTCAACATACCTGGAAATCAGTATAATTTACAAAGTTTTGAGATACAGCCTCAAAATTTCAGGCCCAAACCAGACATCCAAAAGACTGTTATACTGTATATTAATTCTGTAACTGTGTCGAAATAAAATAAATGCATGTTAAGATAATTTAGTTTATCACTGCTGTATAAATAAGCTTTGTGCCTCACTGTACTGTCAAAACCGAATCAAAGTTTACATTCGAATTTAACTTTTATGCTAGAGGATGCCAAGTTATGATGGCCCCTGTGAACCAAAACTGCCATGGCATGTTTTTTTTTTCCAGTCCACCCCTGGCAGGTGATATAAACAGTATGTATGGATGTGATGGCACACATGGAAAAAGCTGCTGTTAAGATTATGTTAAAAAGTGATTAGAAATGATTTGCTTGTTATTGATCAAAATAATTGTGATCATCATATTGACCATAATCATACAGCTTGAGGAAAATGCAGGATGTTTTGCAGGAAAACTCATGAGCATCTTAAATTCAAGAACTATTCACTACGTTTTCATGAATCTGGAATAAAAACTGAAATAATCATGCACCCCTGCAAAATGAATGTCACTGATAGCCTGAGCTTGTCAAAGTTGATGAAAGTAGGTATGACTACTGATACCATTTGCTTTTTCACCACATTACTGTAGATCTAATGTACACACCTGCCTGGGTTCTAAAGTGTTTACCTCTCTGTGGCTTCTCACCCTGACCCTTCTGGGTTCACTCTTCATGTTTGGCTACCCATCAAACCACAAACTGATGCCCAGGAGAGAAGTCCGAACTGTGAGCTGCAGACACGGCTGCAGAGTAGCTGCTGGCCCTCTGCTCAAGGACTGTAGCTTATAGCCCATATCAGGCCTGTTATGTTTTTTTTTTTTTAAATTAAATAAAAGGTTGAAAAGTTGTATATATAAATATATACTTTTTTTTTTCTTTTCTTTTTTGTGAACTATTTTTTTTTTTTCTCTGTTTCTAGATTTTGGGTCCCTCTTTGACCTGGAGCATGACCTCCCAGATGAACTCATCAGTTCTTCAGACCTTGGTCTAACAAATGGAGGGGATGTCAGCCAGCTCCACACCAGTCTTGGAGGTCTTACAGGGGGTCTTGGTATGGGAGGCCAGGATGCAGCTGCAAAACACAAACAGCTGTCTGAACTGTTGCGGGCTGGTGCACCAGCTCAGCAGGGTGGCCCAACTTCCAACAGCACAGCATCAGGGGTTTCCATGGGGATGATGGGGGGCGTTGGCGTCCCTCCTGGTGGACCTCAGGGCATGCCTCCCCAACAACAACAGCAGCAGGCTGGACTAATGCAGCAGGTTGGGATGGTTGGAGGGCTAAATCGGGCAGCTGCTATGATGGGTGCTCAGAAGGGGAACACTGGACAGCAGCAGGGCCTGATGGGGGGGCAAGTGATGAATGGATCACCGAGAATGGGTTACCCTGGCAGTGCAGGGATGGGAAACAATAATATGTCGGCGGACACCCTGCAGCAGCAACAAGGAGGGCAGCAAATGGGACCTGGGGGTCCAGCAGCGATGAGACCACAGCAGCCTGGCGCACTGAACAAGGTAAGGACACTCTGCCTAACAGGGATGGGTTGGGATAGTTCAATGAGCCTTTTTTGGGAGGACAGTTTTCATAAATTTGTGCTCAGATCAAAGGAAGATGTTTTTTTGGCTATGTCAATTATACTTGTGTTGGATGCGTTTGAACAGTTCTTTCAGTTTTACAGCAGGAAAATACAGACATCTTTTCGTATCTGAATGGTGCTGTAGACTGTAGTTATCTTGAGACTGCAGAGGATCAGTTCTCCAGATCAGGTGTGAGTGTGGTCATGTTTTGGATTCATAGCCATATCACTGTTCACCTTGTGGTTATTGTGGTAAACCTCCTTACTCGTTGATTTACCACGTGACTACTGAGATTTTGCTTCAAGTGTGTAATGGTAGCTTTGAAATAAGTATTACCATAACAAAAAGTGTGTGTGTGTTCACTCGTCCTCACTGAATCAGGAACCAAAGTATTTCTAGTAATGCCATCCCTTTGAAACATGCATCAGTCAAGTGTTTGTGTTTACATGTCATGTAAGATTGTTTTTATTGTAGACTTAAGTTTTTGCAAAACCAGATCAGAGATGTTTTGACTCGAAGTTCAGATGGCATGACTCTTGTGGTTGTCAAAGAACAACTGGTTTGTTTTGACAGTGAAGTGAATTCACACAGTGATTGTAGACAGGTGGATTACATTTGTTTTTAAAACCTATATCCTGTCTTTAATGTTACATTTATTTTGTAGGCCAGGTTATGACAGGAATAGTGGCATGCTAGTATGAAAACGTACAATGAAAGACTCACCTTTAGGAAAGCAGTTGCACACGAGCAGAATTTGATGGCTTACAAGTCAGTTAAAGCTTATACCTGATTCAAAATGCTGTAATTTCAGCGTTTGAAATTTCGAACTGAAAATTCTCATGTTTATGAACAATGTATTTTAAACTTGGCATCAGTTAAAGAGCATTTGTAACAGGGCCTTGAACTCTTCTACTACGGAGCTGGGCTGTTGTGATGTGGGCAGAATGTGGTTTGGCATCTTCTCGCTGAAATATAATGTCTTCCTAAAAAAAAAGGACCTGATCTGGACGGCAGAATATCTCCAAAGCCTCTACATATGGTTGAGCATTAATGGTGCTGGAATTGCTGGAATCATTTTCTTCTCCCAGTCTCTCAGAGTTGTGACCATCCTTGTCCTGAAAAATTCAGCCTGTCTGAAGTGTCCCTTTTCTACCTCATTGGTTACTAACCTGTTGCAAATGAGATGGTCCTTTAGACATTATTTTTTAGAAAATACAACTTTGTCAGTGTTCTTGTCCCAACTGTTTTGAAACTTGTTTCTGGTATCAAATGTAAAATAAAAGTGGATTTTCCCCAAAACAGCAATTTTAGTTTCAACATTGGATTTTTTGTCTTTGCTATGTTGTTCATCAGATTTAGGAATCAAATAACTTGCAAACCTCCCAAATCTGTTTTATCAGCATTTTACTGCGCTTTCACTCTTAAGGTCTCAACATTGCATTTATTTCCTCCTTTTCTACTTCCCCTCTTTTTCATTCCCTTTCTCTGTACTTTCACCTCTCTCCTCAGATGAATATGATGGCCAACGCCGGCCCCTATGGTGGTCCGTACGGTCAGTCTGCAGGCCAGGGGCTACCTGGAGCAGGGCTGGGCCCACAGCTCCAGAATAAGACAGGTCTGCCCAACAATATGGCCGCCCAGTTCAACATGGACAAAAAGGCGCCACTGGGTCAAGGGATGGCTGGGATGGTAGGATCTGTTTTTTGCTTCTCTGAATATGTGGAAAAGTTGAAACTGCATGTACATGTGTGTGAGTCACAGTGGCTTATTTTTTAACACTTAGTTGACAAATGGGAATCCTTAAAACTGTATGCAAGGACCAATCGGAGTGGTGTTTCATTTCATGGTTCAACTGAGCTTCTCCATGACTTTGAAAATATACAAACTCAAAGCCCTACATTTTCAGTGTTCACAGCTGCAGTCCGTTCTTTTCAGGTTACCTGTCACCATTTTAAGTTCTCATAAACTTAAGTTTTTGCAGAACAAATCTCAGCAATAGAAGCCCACAGTTTTTGGTTTAGTCTATAATTCAAACAATCCCTGAGGTAAAACTCATCTGTGATCATTTTAACCCCAAATGTTAACTGGGGAGGATGTGCAGGTATATTTGGCTATGTAGCAGCTCCACTTGGAAGAGGCAGATTTTTACAGACTTCTCTAAAACTGATGCCGAAAAATGCCAAGCAAAATTATCTGCTTGTTAGCTTGTGGAGGATTTCAGAGAAACTTTTTATCAAGGAGAATCTGCTTGATGGAAGTCCTCCGTTTTGTAAGAGAAAATTCAAAAGACACAGTTTCCTTGTCTGTTTTACACGGGAAGAAGTTGCTCAAATGGCCAATCCCCAAAAAAAAAAATCACACACATCTCCAAGAAATAAATCTACTCGAACCAACTAAATACTCTCAACCGGCCTGTTAGATTTCATTGAGTGACTGTTCAAGTCCATAAACTGGATGTTAACATGCAAACTGGAATCTTCAGTTTGCTACACTAACATAGGCACAAAAACCAATGTCTAAGTAAGCTGCTCTGCTGAACCTCAATTCGTAGGATCAGGACTTATTTTGGCTACTAACCAGAAGCCCATTGTAGTTTTTTTTATGTCCCGGCAAGAGGTTTGATTAGGACTGGGCGATTATATGATTGTCATAAATTTCAGTTCGATCACGGTGATAAGCTGACAGCATATTTACTCGGTCAAACATGGCGGAAATGTGCGTCACAACAGTCAATCAGAGTCAAGCTTTTCCTGCTCACTTCTGTAAGTTGCCAGAGAAGTAAACAGGAGAAGTAAATAAAATGACCGAACACGGAGCTAAACGTGGAGCTGAGGGCAGCAAGATAGTTGTCAGCCGTGACTTTGAGTCATTCTCCGAAGATGTTATTGTTTAGAAGTTATTTAACGTCAGTTGTGTGGCGGTGGTATCTCCAAAGTGACATCGAGTAATTAAGCCGATGAGCAAGGTATGTCGGCGGTCGGTGCCCTCAAAAACCGGCTACACAACAAATCAGTTTAATCATTTGTAGAAGTACCTCCCTGATGATTATGCGGAAAGCATGGAAATGTGAGCGGAGTCTGTACAGCCTGCTACTGCTGACGGCACGAGTAGCATCAGCAGTTTAGCCACAACAAGCGGTGCAGCCACCAGACCTAGGCAGCTATTAATCGTATCATTTATGTTTACATCATCTAATGTTTACATTTTAAGGCGTCTTCATTATCTCTGACGGGGCGATTTGTTTATTTTGGGTTTTACATAACAGCAAAAACACTCAGGACTGTAAACTAATTTACTGATCGTGATATCTAGTATATCTAGTATCTTGATCGTGATATTATCAAGTATTTATCTACATTTGTTGTACTGTTGAGTTAAAATGTTTTTTTGTATTTTTCTAAGTGTATCTTACTCAATTTGCTTTGTTATTTACTTCGTATGTTAATAAAATGTTGAACTAATCTCTAGTTTCTTTAGTTTTTAGTACAGATGCTTTAAAACAGGAAGTTTAAAAATAATAATAATAATAATGATCGAGATCGGACGATATGACAAAATAAATCGTGATCATTTTTTTTGCCAAATCGCCCAGGCCCAGGCTTGATGCAGTTTTATTCCTAAAGGGTGACTAGTGGCTGTTTGTGGTGAAGTTTGTGGGACTAAAGTGATCAAGTTAAGAAGAGTTTGACTCAACTTCTTTGGTGGGAATACTTGAGAAAGTCACTGTCCCAATGTGTGTGTGTGGGTGGGTGTTGGTGCTTCTATTTTCCTGTCCATGTGAGGAGCTTGTGTTTGAATATACCTTTATTTTGGGGACAAATTGTTTTGGATTGCACCTGAAAGGCTGTAGTGAAACAGTTTGTTTTATGTGTGTGCCTGAACCCCCCTGATTAAAATGTGCACTAATTTCTGCCTTTCATGTATTCAGGATTTATACGTACTATTATCACTTAAAGTTTTTCTTCAATCACCTGACCAGAACTTTTTTTATCAACTGTATTTTACCCGTTTATCCACAGAGCATTTGAGACAGTTAAATTGCTCATCTACTTTGCAACCTCTTGTACCCTTTTCCCCTTTTCAGAGACTGTGAAAACAGAGTCTGTGGTTACATCCATAAAAACTTCTTTATAAAAACCATGTTCTTTTGACAGCTAACACCTCGTCCATATTTGTTTATGTAGCCAAACATGTTCAATCTTGTGGGCTGCTCTATTTCAACATGCAACTTTGACGATTCAGTTGATTTGTTGAGCTCACTACAATAAATCTGTTCATTCCTGATCATTGTCTTTGTGAATACTTTTCATAAACATTGATTTTTGCTTTCTCTCTCTCTTTTGCTCTCGCGCTCTCTCTCTCTCTGATGTCGAAGCAGCAGCCCGGGGCAGTGGGTGGTGTTTCCCTCAGTGCAGCAGCAGCAGCAGCAGCAGCAGTGGGAGGGCCCCAGGTTGGGCTCAACGCCGTAGGGGCAGGTCCCGGAGCAGCACCCCCCACTGCAGACCCTGAGAAGCGGAAGCTGATCCAACAGCAGCTGGTCCTGTTGCTCCATGCGCACAAGTGCCAGAGGAGGGAGCAGGCCAACGGGGAAGTGCGGCAGTGCAACCTGCCCCACTGCCGCACCATGAAGAACGTGCTCAACCACATGACTCACTGCCAGGCCGGCAAGTCCTGCCAGGGTGAGTCTGGTCAATTATACTGATTGCTGGTTCTCGTGTGTTTGGTTAACATCATAAACACTAAGCAGGGTTTAAAGGTGTTGTACGTCTTTTTTTTGTGCATGTTCTTGTTTGTATTCTATTGGTTTACCTCCCAGTTGTTTAGTGTCACAACTTGCTAACCTAGCTTCTCGCTGTGCAGCCAACAGTTTTTTTTTTTTTTTTTACCAAACTTTATCTTTGAGTATTTTGTCAAAGTAGAATGATTCAATAAAACTAAGTAAATATGACCGAGAAATGTTCAACCTTAAGCTTTTATTCAGGTTGTCAAACATCAGGGTCATCAATTACACTAGAATAGAGACAATAAAAACGCTTTAACTTATAACACAAAAAAGAATGACCTTGGTTTGGTTTAGGGCAGTTTGGTACAGTAAGCCTAGATCATGCTTGCATTTTCACAGCAAACTTTACCTATCCTGGTGCTTCGTGAATAAGTGTCGGCTGAGTGATGGCCTTAAAGTTGGCTGGATGTTTGTAGACAGAACAAACTGTTTTTCGGTGTGAATTTTGGTGTGAGCAGCACATCTTAACAAATTCTCTTATTTTACTTTTTCAAGCTACGCAGAAAAAGGCCCAAAAAAGAATCACTTACAGGCTTTGTTTTCTCTTTATCAGCTATCACAAGTTGAAAATATACTGTACATACACTTCGAAATTGCAAATAAAGCAGTGGCCCCCATATTTTGATATAGTGCTTTTAATCTGAAGTTGTACTAAAGGCAATTATTTGCTCAAAGACATAATTTTATCTCTCTGCGTTCACACTTAAACTGCAGGTAAGCTCTGTTAATTATTGAATAACATCAGGTTATTTGTCTTTTGCGATCCCGCTCCCCTTTTTCAGCCACCGCTGCCCCGCTCTGCTGATGACTGTGTGAATTAAGCACCCGTTGATGACCCCGAACAGCTGTCAACACCCCAGGCCATTTCCTGTCATGAATAAAAACATAAAAAAATATAATCATGATTAGTTGTTTAATGAAATCAGGATAGATATGATATTATTCAGGACAATCTTTCCTTTACACTTCTCAGTCTTTGCTGTTTAGGGTTGGATTGGTCCACTTTGCCAGCATAGAGGGCCAAAAAGTATGATGGTCCAGTTTTTTGATAGCGGACATGTAAAAAAATAGTGATATTACTGCACTGAACCAGACTCTTCAGTGTGAGCAGATTGAGAAGCACACCAATAGAAGTACCTAAAGAATATAAAGAACAACCTAGAGAGACGTCTAATACAAAAAACACATAATTCCACAATATTTAGTAACATAATAATTTACCAAAGTTTGCTTTAAATGCATGGTTTTGACATAGTGACCGAGAAGAGTCGATTAAAAAGTGGAACTGCAGATGTCCCATCATGCTTTTTAAAGTGGTGGTGGTGCAGGAATAGCATAGCAGGTAGGATCACTTTAAATCAACTTTTCCCCCTTATATTAAATCATGCAGTAATAGCCTGCTGTAATTGAACATTTAGGAGAGGTATTTTTGGGCACCTTCACCAGCATTTGATAAAATGAAAAGGTATTTTCTGATAATTCTACATGTTCTGATTGTTTGTAAGAACTTATAAGCATGTCTACTCTCTAGTACGAGGGACGGTTTTTCAGTGTGAGAGAGATGTGAGAAAAGGAAAACTCAGGAAAATGTCCCGAAACTGTTTTGAAACTTTCAGGGCTGCTTAGTACAAGTACAAATATATACTACATTCAACTCATTTGAGTTAAAAGTGCTGGTAATGCTAAAAGAACTAGTCTAAAATAACCCGAGTGAGTAATGTTGATGACATCCTAGCAGGCTGTTTTACTGTAATTTCTCCTTTTTTTCTCCCTCTTCAGATTTTCTAACTAAATGACTCATACAATAACTTTTTGACTCTGCACCCCCTCTTTCTTCCTTTTGAATCTCCTGTTTCTCATTATTCTGGTCTCCTTATTTATGCCCTCCTTCACTCTGTCACCATTTCTCATCTCACTTGTTCTCCCTCCCCATTTCTCTTTTCGCTCTTTCCCTCTTTTATCCACTTCCCCTTCCTTTTCGCCGACGTTTCTCACATTCTCTCTTTTTTCCTCCTTTAGTGGCTCACTGTGCCTCGTCCAGACAGATCATTTCTCATTGGAAGAACTGCACACGACACGACTGTCCTGTTTGTCTGCCACTGAAAAACGCTGGAGACAAGAGAAACCAGCAGTGTGAGTGTTCCAGCACAGGCTCCTGGCTCTTATCTTCACATTATTGGCATTAGCCGCAATAAAAAGATTGCATGACTGTTGGCTTGAATCCACCGATGCCTAAACCTTTCTTTTCCTTGTTCCCTTTCCTCTCCTCAACAGCTCTAGTCAACAGTGCTGGTTTGATGAACTCTTTAGGTTCAGGGGTGCCTGGCGGACAGGCAAACACTCCAAACCTGAACCCTCCTAGCCAGATAGACCCCAGCTCCATAGAGCGGGCATATGCTGCACTCGGCCTTACGTACCAGGGCAACCAAATCCCTCAGCAGTCACCACAGAACAACATGCAGAACCAGGGGCTGCAGGGCCAGCCGGGGATGAGGGCTCTAAACAACATGGGTTAGTTTGGATACTCATTTCTCACCTTGCAGATTAGGTTTGTCTTTGATTTCATGTTGAAAGGACCCTGCATCTCTATCTACTGCTATTACAAAAGAATGAAGCCAAAATGGAAAAACACTCATCAGTTTTTGCTCTGGTTGTGAAAGGTCTTTCCGTCTCCTGCTCTCACACTAAAGTTTGGTCAATTTGGGATCATCTGACTCAAGTGATCGACACTTGAATCATACATAACAGGCGCAGCAAATTTTCAAACTTCCTCTCTGTTCGCAGGAGGAAACTCTCTGGGAGTGAACGGTGGAGTTGGTGTGCAGTCACCCAACCAGCAGTCCAACCTTCTGCCAAACGCCATGATGCACAACAACATGAATGCACAGAGGTAGGACCCCCTCTCATTGGTCAGAACTTTAAACACGGCTTCAGTTTATTATAAGAGGCTGCAACAGAGTATAATTAGTTCTATATTTGCTGAGGTCTGACTCCTCCCTTTCCTCTGTGTCTGTCGTTTCCCCCCAGCTTGATGAATGATGGTTTGGGGAACCTAGGCTCATTGCCCACGGCAGCTCCTCCCTCAGCTGCAGGCATGAGGAAGTCGTGGCATGAAGACATCACACAGGACCTCCGCAACCACCTTGTCCACAAGCTGTGAGTCACAATCAAAAAAATCTCACATGAAAAGGGCTTTATTATTACAACCCTGATTTCATGAGAGATATGATGCTCTATAAAGTGTTGTTTAGAAAAAAAGTGAATGAGTTTCATATTATTTGAAGCCCATGTGCCCTTGAAATAGTGAAAAACAAATGACATATCAAATGTGAAAATTTTAAAGATTTGGTTGTTTTATGAGGGATATATGTTGATTTCAACATTTATGCCAGCATCAGGTTTTAAATGAAACATTTTGTTGCATCATCTTTGCTTTAACAACACTTTCTAAAGGTTTGGCAACACAGGAGTCCATTGCCTCAAGATTTCAAACTCCAGAGCCTCCTTTGTTGTAGTTTCGGTGTTATGGTGTGCCAAAAGTTTACCAAGTATTTGAATTTGATGCCACCAACACATTTTTAAGAGGTTGGCTTGGGAGCAACAAAACATGGAAAAGATGTGCGGTGCTAAAAAAAAAAAAGAGTTGTGGAAGAACATCCCCCAACTACTTGGGTTTATCTGCAAGAAGTTAGTAACGTGCTTTTAAATAGGTTCCTAAATGAGTCACATGACTTTGAAATCTTAGAGTGTCGGCCACGATAAGGAAAGGGGTTTCATTGCTTCCTGTATTACCTCCTTTAGCAAAGGAAACATTGTGCCATCCTATATGAAAGGGGAGAAGGAAAATGACCCATGACTTTTTGCACCAACTTTATTCAAAGTTACACTCTTCACCATGTGCATGACAACAGACTATCACTATGACAGCATCTGATTTGAAGGCAAATTCACTGGATTGAACAACTTCTTTCATTTAAGAACAGCTGAAAACGGATGGCAGTGATCTTCAGGTCGTCATGCCGAAGTACATGTAGAACAAACATAACTCTGCAGTGGAAATCACAAAATGGGCTTAAAAATTAACATCCAAAAAGCATTGTTACTGCGTCTACATGTGCAGGTTATAACTTTTCTATGCAAAGAGGAAACCAAATGTAAACATGGTACAGAAATGCTGCCTGCAGCACTGGGTCTGAGCCTATTTAACATCCTCCACTTATAAGAGGAGATGAACTATCCAGCTTGTTGATACACAGTTTTAAAACCAGTATTTGTAACAGTGTGATAATGTAAACATGCCTGACGCATGTCCAGTTCACACATCTGGGGAGCCACCATGAACTGTAAACAATATATAAAGGTTTTTTGGCAACATATACTGGTAACTCGTCCTGCAGGGAGGATATTGCATGTTTTAGTAAGACAATGCAAAACCTCATTACAACAATGCAACCCTGTAGTAGAAGGGTTAGGGTGCTTAATGGGCCTGTCCTCAGTCCTGACTTGTTGCTCACTGAAACCACTTGGTGCATAAGGAAACAAAAAATAGGACAAAGGAGACTCTGGACTGTTGAGCAGTGGTAGTCTTAAATCAAACAAAAACTGGGATGACATTTCTTTTCCAAACTCCAGAAACTGGTCTCCTCTGTTCCGAAAAGTTATCAGGGTTACTAAATAAATATGCTTCTGTCCTAACTACTTAGACAACACACTTCCAAACAGTGTCTATTTAAACATTTTTAGTTCAACAATGAATCGGTTGAATATGAACTGTTTTTAAATATGTAGGGCCTAAATGATTGGCAAACCATCCATTTTCATTTTTATCAATGCAGTGTCCTCCAGTAATCTTCAATGGGTTTGTCTGACCTCAAGTTGACTGTTGCTTTGTGTCTTTATGCTTGTGTGTTTGTGTGAGCAGAGTGCAGGCCATCTTTCCCACTCCTGATCCAGCTGCTCTGAAGGATCGACGGATGGAGAATCTGGTGGCTTATGCACGAAAAGTCGAGGGGGACATGTATGAGTCTGCGAACAGCAGAGTAAGAGAAATACTCACAGAGAGTCAAGTATTGCATTATCACCATCAATCTAGAGTTCTGGGGTGTAGGGTTTTATTTTTGGCTGTATCCTGTAATGTCTCCTCTTGGTTGTCGTATTTGTTTTAGGCGGAGTACTACCATCTTCTGGCAGAGAAGATCTACAAAATCCAAAAGGAGCTGGAGGAGAAGAGGAGGACGCGGCTCCAGAAACAGGGCATGATGCCGGGCCAGACTGGCATCGCATCTCCAGGCCTCCCACAGGGACCTCCAAGCATGGGACAGCCTCCCATGAACCCTGGGCAACCCCCCAGTATGTAAACACACACCCCTCTCTTTGTTAATGCGTGGACACAACTGAGAAATGCTCAAAGAAACAGAGCTCAATACCGGTTTTGTTCTGTGAAGAAGAACTCCACTTCACTTTTTTTTTTTTTCACTGTGGTAATGTCTTCTTGTCACCCTGTCAGATGGTCCTCACGCAGATCCGTCCATGGTCAGACCAGCTGGGCCCAATCAGATGGTCAACAGGATGCAGAACCCTGCAGGTATGTCTCCAGAAAGTGTAAATTATATCTAGAAGAGGGTTATTAAGTATTGATGTGCCGTTCAATTTTCTGCTTACTAACACATCATCCAAAATTAGGCTTACGGTCCTAAATGAGCTTTTTGTTCCGTCATCATAGTCAGGGTTGCTTTCAGTATGTTCTTCCAATCTTATCTTAAATACTTTGAATGATTATTTTCTCTGTAGTTACCACACACTGCCTCTGAAGGGCAGAATAGCTCAGTTTGTTCATCAAGGAAGCACCATGGCGTCTGCCAATCAGACCAACTTTTCATTAGAGCAGAAGTTTTCAGGGTTCAATGAAGTCGGAGTAAATAGAGAGTAAATGAACAGACTTCAAGTGAATAGTACCTGTCAATCTGCACCTTCCTCCAGATTTGATCGTGTGTCTCATTTCTGTCCTTTCTCCCCTGGTAGGAATGAACCAGTTCAGTCAGATGGGGATGCAGTCAATGGGTCAGAGGTTGACCCCACCTTTGCCTCCAAATGCTCCACTAAACCAGGTCAGTATCACTGTCCCAGTCTTTTTCTCAGATTCCTTTGACATTGAATTAACTCACAAAAGTACAAAAAAAGTCATCCACCCTGGTTTCCTAAAGTTTAGAATGAGGTTGTTAAACAAAGCGCAGTGTGAGATCTCAAGCATCATAGCAGTTCAGTCATGCTGAGTCTATTCAAATCCATATTTTTACAGAAAAATAGAGGATTATGCAGCGATCATGATGAAATATAACCTTGACCAAAAAGTAAAAGCATAATGTCAAAGAACATAGTTAGATTTTTCCATAAAAAAGAAGTAAAGCGAAGTTTACACTTCTCAAATCCTACCTGCTTTGATCAGACCTTTTTATTCATGCATCTTTTCCAGATGGGTATGGGAGCGCCAAGGATGGGTCAGCCCAATGCCACACAGCTACAGAACCAGTACCTCCCTCCAGGTCAGTTCCCCGGGTCCAGTCCTGGACGAGGGTCTGGTCCTGTTGGTGTGAACCAGCCTGGGGCTCAGGCTCCTGTCCCACAGGTAAGAGACTGACACTTCTAACAGCAAGAACAGTTTCTATGACTGCTGGGAGAGGGTAGATCACCACCTACTGTAGCAGAGGTGGACATAATTGGTCACAACAAGGACAGTACAGGGCTTTTCCTTCTCTAACCTCTGCTTCCTCTCCTTTGCAGCAGAATCAGATGCCCACACCGCCTTCCCTACCAGCCAGCAGCCCTGCAGCACAGTCGGCTTCTTCTGCTCCTGGCTCCGGGGCCCCAGGAGGCTCTATTGGGCCCGGCAGTGTTGGGGGTGCTGGACCCCTAAACAACCTACCCCCATCTTCCACCCCCACACAGCCAAACTCATTCCCTCACTGCCCGTCTGTACGGACAAACTCCCCTTCCCCAGCACGCAGCTTAACGCCTCAGCCTCATCAAACACCACCCACGCTACCTGGGTGTCAGACCCCACAGCCACAGACTCCTAGCACCCCCCAGCTGCCTCCTCCACAGCAGCAACAACAACAACAGCAGCAGCAGCAGCAACAACAACAACAACAACAACAAACTCCACAGCAGCCATCAGGGCCGAACGGGAGCTCTGAGAAAACCAATCAGCTTCCACAGCAGATGCTTGGGGGTGCAGCTTCGTCAGCCCCACAAGCAGGTCAGGTGCCTACCCAGAATGCTCATGTGCCATTACAGCGGCCACAGACCCCGGTGAGTAAAGCTGCCACTTGATCACTTATCAAACCAGAACCTTGAAGTATTCAGCTGTTTTAAACCTTCAGTCTGTGATGCTCTTCATCCCTCATCCTTTCTACTGTAGGATCCATCCAGTCCCCAGTACAGCATCTTCACACAGCACATTAGTGTCTCTTTTCCACTGTCACTGTGATGGCTGTGTGGTAATACTGGCTGTATCCCACAGTATGAAAGAGACAATCTTGATGCTTGTCCTTTCAAAGTGCCTGAGTTAACCAAATCCCCATGACAGCAATCTTTTGTGTGACATCATACTCGGCGTGGAAAGCTCAAATATTGTTATCCAGTCTTCATGCTTTGAGACCACAAGTGAAATGCTTAGTTAGTTGTTGTTTGCTGCTTTCAAACAGACCTTGTAAAGTCTCAATGTCATGTAAAAGGAAGTCTTGGCGTTAAAAGTTGTAACCAAGTGGAAACACCGTCATGCCAAAACTCACAAAAACTTCACGACAGTAAAAGATCAGACTACTGGAAATATTATCCAATCCAATTCAATCCAATCCTTTTTATTTATATTGCACATTTTTAAAACAATCAATTTTATCAAAGTGCTACACAGTGCAATAAAATAAGTAAAAACACACAGAACATGAAATGTTAAAATAAAAGAATCATAAGAAAAACCACATAAAAACACTTTAAAATTAAACAATGAAGAAATAAATACAAAATAAAAACACTGAAAGAGCAAATTAAAGAAAAAAAACAATAAAAGAAAAGGCCGAGACAGATCGCACAACTCTCATGCTGGGTTAAAAGCCAAGGAGTGAAAAAATGTTTTCAGGCGGGATTTAAAAACCTTTAAAATTATGCTAACATTACACGTTTTCACAAAAATATGAAAAGAGAGAAAAAAAACGAATTAATATAAAGGCACTGATTGAAAGTGTCTCTTGGTACATCACAGTCATTGAACTTGAAGTTCTTCTTCTTGGGAACATGGAAAACATGCACTCTCAAATAGACACACAAAAAAATGCCTGTACAGGGTGACTCCAGTGTCAGTATTTAATCTTCATATTGTCAGTGAGTTCACGTGAAATAAAAATACACAACATGAACATTAGCAAAGTATTTATTTAGCCTTTTTGACATTTTTTTTTACATAATAGTTAACAAGGAAGAGGCTGAACGGGGATATTACTTGTTCTGGCTGTCAGAGCTTTTGTCTACCTTAAAAAGAGGGTTTGATTTCTCTCTTGATTTTCACTTGCAATATTCAAGCTGTCCCCCCTCAGCAAGAAGATTGTCTACTACTCCATTTTTAATCCTTACTATTCCTGTCTTTCTGCCACAGCTGTCACCAAAACCCTCTCTGACTGCAGACGGTCAAGTGTCCTCCCCTGCCTCAGTCAACAGCAGCTCAGCTCCCAGCTCCCAGCTCACTCTGGCAGATGGCCCCGCCCCTATCAAGGAAGAAATCAAGATGGAAGTGAAGAAGCAAGAAGAAGAGGAGGAAGGGGGCGACAGCCAAGACGAGGGTAAAGGGAAGTCTGGAAAAGGTCAAACTGACGTCAAGTCGGAGGAGAAACCAGAGGTAAAACTGTTCTAGTTAACTTACAGACACTGAAATCTTTGTGTTAAAAAATCAGACATAAGCTTTAAAATATTGTAAATGGTGTCTTTATATTTGATCATGACATTTGACCTATTGATCTTCCCCTTAGATAAAGACGGAGAAGCCCTCAGGTGATGGATGTAAAGGCGAGCCCATGGACACGTCTTCATCTTCTGTGACATCAACAGCAGCAACAGGTGAAGACAAGAAGCCAGAGGTGAAGAAGGAGCCCAAAGAGGAAGAGGAGGGGTCAGGGTCAGCAGCCGCCAGCAGCTCCCCAGCCAGTGCTCAGAGCAAGAAGAAAAGTATGTCCAAATGAATCACTTTATAAAACACATTTGTGCGAAATCGAAATAAGTCTAGAGATGGAGACCGGGGTGAAGTGAAAATAGCAAGAAGAATGATGACCAGTCTGATAAGCCAGGATTCTGTGGGTTTTGCTGCAGTCTGCACAAAAAGTTGGTTGTGTGAATGCTCCAGAGAGAGTTTGGGTTTATTGAAATTGGATTTGTGGATATGCATTTTATACCTAGTTTAATACACCCCCTCCGCTTCACAGGAGGAATAAGATTCACAGCAAGGAGTGAGTGAAACCAACCAATCTTCCAAATAAATTATGTGAACTGACTTCCTTTATCGACTGAGCCAAACTTTTCAGCAGTCAGCAACAAACTTTAAACACAGAGAACCGAATCATCCTCATTTAGAAAACTGATCATTAAATAAAGAGCTATCAGCAATGAAACCTTCTGAGAGACAAGGAACCTTTGGGCCACCCACCTTCAGTGTTAGTGCCTGTATTGAGTTTACAGGGACATTGTCCAGGAACTTTAAGGTTGAGACTCGCAGTATTAAAATTTCTTATTGACTGGATACGCACAATTCAATGTGTTAATTTCTGAGTACTTTCTTTGACATTCATGAACCTGTGCTTATTTACCCACCTACTCATCTACTCACTTTTCTAATCGCTTACATACTTATGCACTCTCTGGAGGCTTCTCGTAGGCCGGCCGAGGGAAGAGCACAATGTTTTGGGCCCGTCCCCTCTATTTGTTCCCATGTTGAGCAATCGACTAGTGCAGAGAAGCAGCGTTAACCCACTTCAACCATTCCCTGTTTTTTTCCTTTTTTTTTTACATCTGTAAGTCTCTCAACTCCCCGCTCTCTTCCAGTCTTTAAGCCCGAGGAGCTACGACAGGCACTTATGCCCACCCTGGAGGCTTTGTACCGGCAGGACCCTGAGTCCCTTCCCTTCCGTCAGCCGGTGGACCCCCAGTTACTGGGAATACCCGTACGTATTCGAACTAGTAACAAAACTAACCTGGTAAGGGACTGCACTGGCTGCCATTTTGCTTCAACTTTCCTAAAAAAAAAAAAAAGAAAAAAAAAAAGTAGTTTCTATCATGTTTGTTTTGCTTTTTCATCTGATTTTCTTTTTGTCATAGTTGTCATATTTTCTACATTTATTTTACACACACCTGCCGCTTTAGTTGTTTTTGCTCCCAATGCATGTCAGGAGTTTAGCTACATCACTTTGTAGTTTGTATGTACGTTTTGTTGTAAATCAAATCAATGGCTCCTGTGAACAGTTACTTTTACAACTACAACTCAGTAAGAGTTGAGTCGCTGTGTAAAATGTTGATAAAAAACACATTTCAATGGTATCCAGATCGTTTAAACCCTATAGATGAAAGACATATTTATACTCATGCAAGCAGCACATTAAAAAAAAGTTCAGGACAGGGACAAAAAACATTGGACAACATTGGACATTGGACATTGCTCATAAAAAAAACTTGGAGGCACATCTTTGAGTTGATGAGGTTAATTTGTAACAAATAATACAAAAGGAGGGCATTGTACCGACACTGAATCTTTTAAAGTAGGGATGGGAAGGGGCTGGTTAGCTTAGCAGTTTAAACACGAACCCTTTGTACACTGATCATAGTCCCATCACATCTGTTGCTCGTTCAACTCCTGGCCACGGCTGTTTGCTGCACGTGATCTCCCACTTTCCCCACATTTCCTTTCACTCTTAAGTTGTCCTGTGGAAAAGTCTCAGTTTGATTTTTTTGTCTTTGTCTGATTTTCAATAAAAATCAGGCTTTTGATAATCTGCAAACCATCAAATTCTGATTTTGTCAACATTTTACACAGCCTTCCAACCCTCATACACTTAAAAATGACTTAAGCAAAGAACAAAAACTGAGTTTCACGTTAAATGTAGATATAAAACGACATTCAGTGCAAAACTGTCTGTACTATCATTAACTATTTAACTGTTTGCTGCGATTTTCACGATTCGATAAAAACATGATCATAGGTTCAATGAGAAGATAAAGGAAATGATCAGTTCAGGAGCCGATTGCTTTGATTTACCTCTGTGATCTGTTTGACTTTTGCCTTTTTCACGTCATGTTTTAGGTTTGGATTTGCATTTTGGATTTTGCAGTTTTCATCCTAGAGTTTCATCGCTAGCTTTCTAGTTCAGTTCCTCACCAGTAGTAGTGTGTCAGTGTTCATGTGTGCAGCGTGTGTACGGGGGGAAAACTTTGATCCAGTTTATTAGATAAGGAGGAAAAGAGTGACAGTCAGGTGGTGCATCTCTCCACTTTTGAAAAACAGCGAGTGCTGTCAGCATCAATGACTTGATCAAGCTGTGATCAAAAACAAAGTTGAAGTGCTTTTTTATATCATGTTTATTTGTCCCTTTTTGTGCATCTTAGTTAAGCTGCTGCAGTGTTTTCCTGTTGCAGTCGTGCGAGACAGTTATATCTAGACAGTAATATCTTATTGGCTATCATGTGGGCTTTTGACAGCCCACTTGATAATAACAAAAGCAGAGAAGCTGCTGGTTCTTCGGTTGAAAAAGTTAGATGCAGAATAAATCACTTTGTCTCTGTTATTACAGTATGAGTACATTTGTAGTTAACACACTGCCAAAGGAATTAGTGCATCAAAAAAAACAGCTTTATGTCAGCACACACTACCTCCTCACCCAGAGTGTGTATATGTTATTTGATGGATGTAGGTCTGGCTGTGTTTTAACGTTATGTTGACACTGACAGATGAAGCATGCAATCTGTTTATTTTGGACTTAGGAGAAGGATATCAAAGAAAAGAGTATTTAGTTGTGTTTAGTTTTATCACTCTTCATCGTCTTGAATGAAGGAATGAAGGATAATCCTACATCGCATATTTCCCAGTGTTGTGCAGGCGTATGTGCCCAGTTGACGTGGTAATGTGCATCACTTGTTTGTCCATTCAGAGATGAGGTTCTGTTTCCTTCCTCTAGTTGCCATGGTGACACTGAGACGGACCCTGCTCTTTGAAACTCACACCTCCTCTTTACTTATCCGCTTATTCATTTTTGGTTGAATCTCCAAAAAGCCTTCTTTTCCCTCACTCTCTGCTTTTTTTTCCTCAAATGATGTTGAAGATTTAAAAAATCAGAAAGTGCCAGAAAAGAAGAGAAATCAGAGTCTTATCAGTCCCTTGTACACACGCTTCACCTCAGCTCTGTTGGCTTTAACTGCGCCATCACATTGATACTCATGCTGCTGGTGCTGTTGATGCCAACTGCTGCGTTGCTAAAAGCATTAAATCTGTCTGCTTGTTGCTATTGCCACTGCTCTGTTTGTCTTAGTTTTGCACCCTGATTGCTTCATGAAGCTGGAGCTTTTCAGCAGGAAACCATTCACACATCTGAATGATTTACTGCAAATGCTTCTTAAGACAAATTCATGCATAAGACTTCCATTTTTTGCAACGGGATATCAAAAACGCAGTCCAATCTTTACCTGATATTTGAGTTTTTTTGTTACTGAGGACCGAGCAGACTTGTGGTGGTCTCCTGGTCCTGACTTACATTCTAGATAAACAGTTGAAATGTAGGGTGCAAAGCAGAGAGCTGGAGGGCAGAAGTTGTCATGTCTCTCTGTTTGCACGCAAACCTTTTCTCTGCAGCGCTCAACAACATTGTCCCCCTGCACCCTCTTCTCTCCCTAATGTGGTCCCACCCGGCCGACTGCGTTCGCCTGATCTCTTGAATGCACAACTCTCTTCGGACCCTACCCGACTTTACCACCACCTGCCTCTCGAACCTGGCTGTCACCCTTCCTAAACAGGACTACTTTGACATCGTGAAGAACCCGATGGACCTTTCCACCATCAAGAGGAAGCTGGACACGGGACAGTACCAGGAGCCGTGGCAGTATGTGGACGATATCTGGCTCATGTTCAACAACGCCTGGCTCTACAACCGCAAAACATCTCGAGTCTACAAGTACTGTTCCAAGCTGGCCGAGGTGTTCGAGTCGGAGATCGACCCGGTCATGCAGGGTCTGGGTTACTGCTGTGGAAGGAAGGTGAGGCAGGAGTGCTAGTTTTGGTTTTCTGAAGTCACATGACCTTGGATGTAGAAACTTTTGATCTCTTGAAATGGTTTGTCTATGTTTATCGAAATAATTTCTGGTCAAGGTTATAATACCAACCCTACGATGATGTCAAGATTAAATTTGTAAAAAACAAAAGTTGAAAGTTTAGTCCGTGTAGGTTTATGTTTTATTTTGAAATGACAGATCATAAGATCAGTTAGCTGCCCGAATTGAAATGAGGAACCTTGAGTTGAAGTTATAATTTGATATGAGCTCCCTTAAAGATGAAATACGCAATGTTTCATCACATTTGAAAGGAAAGTATCATAAATATCAGGTGTTTAAAAAGACTTTGAGAGAAACTGACTCTGTTCTGAAGAAAAGCAGGCCAGTAGACAATCTGTGAATGCTTCTACAGCCACCGTGTCTCGTCTGCTGCTCAGTTAAGCTCATTTAGGAGTCATCAACTGGCCTGTAATCTTTTCTTGGCCTGTATAGATTAAAACTATCTTATCAAGTAACGATTTTGCTTTCCTCAGATTATGACCTGAATGACAAAGTTTTTTAGACTCATATGTTTATAACTATATCATGAATTCACAACTTGGATCTTTTAAATGAAGAACTTAATTCTTGTGAAATTGAACCTCAGTCACCCAGGACTTTATTTTTGTAAACTAATCATTTTATCCACTTAACCTTTTTCTTGATGTTGGTCCTACATCACATAATGATGTTTAAACAAAAAGAGCGTAAGAAATGTCTCATTCTTTCCTGATATTATCTGCCAATATCTGGCAATGTCAGCCTTTCACAGATATTTATTACTCTCAACTCCAACGCATCTACTATGTGTTGATAAGAGAACATTTTTACAATTAAACCGTGCAGAATTCAATGCACAACCTTCAACCCTGGAAAACCACACAAAATCTTCACTGCTACAAGTTTGCAGTCAGCTCTCTTTCCATCCTTTATAAAGGAAATAAAAGAAACATGATTTTCTCACCAATGACACCATAGACTAACTTAGTAATCCACAGACTGAGGGGTGTCAGCTCTAATATCTCTATAAGGAGAGGTTTTACTTAATCCAACAACTTTTGTCTTTTTGTCTCTTTGTTGTTGCAGTTTGAGTTTTCCCCCCAAACTCTTTGCTGCTATGGAAAACAGTTATGCACCATCCAACGAGACGCTGCTTATTTTAGCTACCAGAACAGGTAAGGGCTTCAGACATCCTGAACCATACAAGTAACTCAGACCAACAAAGAGTTTGACTTTGAGACAGTTTGCTGTGAAACTCCAGCCAATCACTTCAGCTTTTTCATGCTTCACCTGAACCTGCTTTAGTGCTTTAGTGAACTTTGCACAGTGATGCTTTACTAAAGGGAATCTCCTCAATCAGTGCAATCACAGATGAGTTTTAATTTGGCTCCCACTGGTTTTCTTGGTACCATCTCCACACTCATAGCTCACGTTTTAATTTCCATGATGTTGTCGTTCATAAAGTGGGCTCCTGTCTTCTTCAGATTTTCCATTTGTTGCACTTTCCTTTTTAAATTGAACCCTTTAATAAACCGATAAAAAAGGAGAGGAGTTGAAGCAGAAGAAAGGTTCCCACTTTATGAACTCAGTCAAAGGATGATGGGTCTCTGTTTCTCTGTTTATTTTTTTCTCATCCTCCCCTCCATGTTGGGAGACTTGTATCCTCCCCCCTCCTCAGCTCCTGGTGGTCTCTCTCATGTTGCTGTAATGTTGTTGTTGTTGTTTACACCTGGACGTCTGACGCTAATCTTTGCTTTGCCTTGGCTCTCTGTCCTCTGTTGGTTCGTTGTTTACATCCTGTCCCCCCCTCCCTCCATGCCTCCTCCCTCCCTCATTGTCCTCGTCTGTCCTGTAACCATTTATTTCACGCTTTTTTAATCTTCATTTTGACCTCCCCCATCTCCCTCCCCCCTCCCTCCTCCCCCCTTTTCTCCCTCCTTCTTTAACGCTTGTGATGTCTGCATTGGCCTGTTTTGGTGTGACCAATCATCCACTCCAAAATTTACGCGCAAAATCAAAACACTCCGCCAACACAAAATCCCTGCATCACGATTGGCTGCTTCCTCCTGGCGACGACCTACCTTGCCCTCTGCCTCCTCCTGTGTGTCCGCCCCCCGGCCTGTCCTGCCCTGCCCTGATTGATGGCTGCTTCCTCGTGCCCTCTCTGTGATTGGCTGTGCTGATGGCGAATGGTGTAGTTCACCAAAATATGGGCTTCTTGCTGACAGGTACCACTTCTGTGAGAAGTGTTTCAACGAAATCCATGGCGAGAGCGTATCCCTGGGAGACGACCCCTCCCAGCCTCAGACGTGAGTACCGCCACCTGAATCCTTCCCAACGTATTTAAGTTTGTTCAGTTAGGCAGCCTTTCCTCTCTGAATTATTGCTGTTGAATTCACAGTATATGTGTGCATTTCAACAAATTAGAATAAAAAGAAAATAGTTTTTGTTTTCCTGTAATTTGATTTAATCAGGAAATTGTCTGAATATCCTACACGCATGCAAAATTAAGTATCTCAGGCCTCTATAGCTCATGAAAATCCAATATTTCAATTTATCTAAAAAATTCCTAGAATCAATCTAAAAGGGATTTCCGATTTGCAAATGTTCAACTTGAGGAAATTGCGTTCATTTATGCACTTCCCTACTTACTTACTTGGGACTACTTCATCGTAAACTGCTGCACCAAAGTGGTGTCTCTGGCCTTTAAACTTGTTTGAATTTTGAGGTAAGGTGTTCTCATGGTTCTCTTGACAAATATCTCGCAGATTCTCTGTGGGGTTAGGTCAGATAAGCCGACATGTGAAGCACAGTGATATTATCATAGATAACAAACTCTTGAACAGTAGTTTTGGCGCTGTGGGCAGGTGCAAAGTCCTACTGGAAGAGGAAATCAGCATCTCCATAAAGGTTGTCAGCCTGTGGAAGCATAAAGTGCCTTAAGATCTCCTGCTAGACAGCTGTGTCAGTTCTGGACCTGATCAAACACAGTGGACAAAACCAGCAGATGATATTACACCCCAAATTTTAAGACTGTGGGAAAAATTAACTGGACCACAAGCAACCCAGACTCTGTGCTTCTTCAGTCTTTTCTCATGACTCTAATACCTTGATTTCCATATGAGATGCAAAATGTCCTTCCATCTGAAAATAGGACTTTGGACCACTCAACAACAGTCCAGTTATTTTCCCTCTTAGCTCAGATAATACTCGTGTTATGACATTGTCTCTGGTTCAGGAGTGAACTTACAGGATACTTGGATTGGGACAGTTGTGCCCCTTTTCATGAAAAAGCCTGTGTTTGTTGGATCTTGCTGCACTGACACCAGCCTCAGTGAACTCGCCAGAGTTTTTGAATCAACTTTTCTTGACAATCCTTTCCATGATTTGGTCACCTCTGTTTCTGGAGCCCCTTTATTTCACACACTCTCTATGGACAACTGTCAAGTCAGCAGACTTTCTCCTAAGTGTGGTGAAGTGTACTGAATCAGACTGAAGAAAACATAGTATTTAAACTTTTTGGATGGTGATTGACTTAAATTGTTTTTTATTGAGACGCACCTGTGCAGCTGTTATTAACTCTTTATTGGACAGTTATAGAGCATACAAGCTATTCAGCTGTTTCCTCATAAGTATCAGTTTGGTAAGACAGTGTCAGAAAAATATCAGGAATCAAAAGATAATGTATAATTCTAATTAAATGTATAATTCATATTATTTTACTGTATTATTAATTAAGGATAATGATAGTCATTTATGTTAGAAGGGCATTATTCAAGCTCAGACAATGCTCCATTTTTGCAGTACTGTTAAGATCATTGGGAAATCCGAGAATTCAAATATTTCCCTCTAGGTTTCTTTTAACTGAGTATTTCCATTTTATCTAAAAAAAAATTAAAAAAAAGTCAAAATAAAAGCATTTTTAGTTCTATCAAAAAAAGATTATCATCACAACATCTCCGTGTCTCCAGTTGTCTCTCACCAGCCTGCAATCAGAGCCAATTTGGCTGAAATGAACTCAACAATCATCAAGTTCCTATGATTCAGAATAAACTCTGTACTTGAAATTGAATTAGCCAAGTACAGTTTATGAACATTAATCAGGAATAGGACCTTGAGTGTCCCGTTGCTTTATACTGACAGCAGTGCGGCGTGGCAACTATTTGTGTTTATTTGCAGGTTGTGCATGAACTTAACTGTGTCGAGTAATACAGGAAGCACCAGCTGATGGCAAAGCAAATAAAGTTGTGCCAGTCAAGTATGATCCAGTTTTGAATGGCAGCTTTTTTTTTCAGTTAGTCCTTGGCTGTAAACATCTGTGAAAATGCAGAGGTCCAGAACTTGCTGTGAAAACATCCACATTAAGAAAAAGTGAACTCATTAGATATATAGCACAGTGATTTTTGCTTTTTCTTATGTGTGCTGTTTAGACTGATCAGCTGCACACATTTTTCCACACACCCGTTCATTAAAATCAGGATTCTGTTGTGACAAAATAAGATGGTTTCCTCACTGCGTGTATTAAAAACAAGTTTCTTTCTTGCAAGTTCACTGCAAATCCTGAAAGTACTTTCATCTGAAGCAGGTCTGTTACATACTGATATTGATAATAATCGTCGTTAAAATAAAAAAGGAAATCTTGATCAGAATAACAGCGATGACACATAAAGTTAGCAGATAACAGGGTTGAGGATTGTGCACACAAACTGAGGTCTGTAACAGGATTTTAATTTCTGTATTCACCCACAGGTCCATCAACAAAGATCAGTTCCAGCGGAAGAAAAACGACACCCTCGACCCTGAGCTGTATGTCCTCTTCTCATCTCATTGATTCGTATTGATAGAGTTACTTTTTTATGGCTATTTTTTGATACCTTTGAAGAGCTGCCTCTTAGAAATGATAAGTTCTTGAAGTTACTTTGGAAAAACTTGACATGTGAGAAAAGATTTAGTTTGTAATTCAAATAAGATACTTTTCCATTACGAGCAGTCTTAGTCATCATACTTGTAGCTCTTTTAAAGACACATATTTCCCTGAAGTCTCATACGTGACTTTATTAACTTTGCATCTTGTGTCTGTTTTGTGTCTCTTCGTTCTCTCTCCACTCAGACTTGTGGAATGTACCGACTGCGGTCGTAAAATGCACCAGATCTGCGTCCTGCATCATGAAACCATCTGGCCAGCTGGGTGAGCTGCCATCACACACACTAATGGGATACTTATTTGGCCTTTTGTATTTGTAGAAAAGTTTTGTCTTAATTGGACTCCGCCTGAATCAAAGTGCTGGAAAAATACAACTATTGAGGAAAAAAATAAATATGATATGAGCTGATTAAGAATTAAGTACCTCGCAAAAAGATTGAATAATTAAAACAAGGCAGATAACAGTTGTAACAAGATAAATATCTCTACAACAAGATGATTAACAATCAAACCAGATCATAATATATTGTGAATAAGTAAGACCCAATAATTCAATAAGATAAGGAGACAGAGAGAGACGTGAAACAGCTTATGGTCATGAAAAGGTCAGACAGCAGAAGTGAGTTTGAAGAAGAGATTTAAGTTTGCCTGCCTCACATCTTCAGTCAAGACATTTCAAAGCTTTGGAGCCAGAACTGCAAAAACTCTGTCACCTCCGCCAAGGTTCAGGGACCTCAAAAGACCTCAGACAGCAGCAGTCAGGCTCAAAGGGAGTTAGCAGCTTTCCGGTGTAATTGGTGGCTTTACCTTTTAAGGCTTTAAAATCAAGCAGCATAATCTTCTAATCAAATCCAAAACTCATAGGTGAAGGGCAGCTCGTCTTCTGTGATTGCTGCTCTCGCTCAGTGTTAAAAGCCTCGCAGCAGCGTTATGAATTACAGTCAGTCTTTTAGGATGTTGGAGCTGCTGACGTCTTTTAAATAAGTGCAATAAAAGTCAGAAAAGTCTGGAGGAAATAACTGCATGGCTGACTTTTTCAAGTGTGCAGGAGAAAAAGAGAAAAATTGTCAGGGGCTTGCAGGAAATGTTCAAGATAAAGAAGGGTAAACATTTAGCTGTTTTGCAGCTCACTCCAACAATTTAGCTTAATTTTATAGCAGTTTGTGCGTGAAAGGGTTAATTGGTTGTAACAGAGAGGATGATCTCCTTCTATTTTAACTCACAAGTTTCCTCTTCTTCCCTGACCACAGCTTTGTTTGTGACAACTGCCTCAAAAAAGCCAACAAGACACGGAAAGAGAACAAATACGCAGCCAAAAGTAAGTAACGCTTTTAGCTTTTATCACGTTTTTTTATTTGTTTCATTCAGACTTGCTCGCTTTGTTTTCATCGTTGCTCTTTCTGAAAGTTTTCCAAAATCTAGATTAATTATAAAGTGCATATGTACTCTTGTAGTTTGTCTCTAAATGAATTCCATTTTGTCTCTGGATGATTGGTCTCATAAGGTATCCACAGCTCTTTATAATTACTAGTGGTTCAGCCCACCCCCCCTTCTCACCTGTTAGGGGAGGAGGTCGGCTTTATTTGTGTTACATTCATGTGGTTTCTAATATGAAGTCAGACAGAAGTTCTCACACAAGTCCTCAGTCAGTAACAGTGCTCATCATAACACAGAGTACATTTCTCTCTGTTGATATCACGCCCTGTGTTTCTCATGGTTTGCAGGACTCCCACAGACAAAGCTGGGAAGCTTTTTGGAAACAAAAGTAAACGACTACCTCAAGAGGCAGAGCCACCCAGAGTCCGGAGAAGTCACCATCCGTGTGGTCCATGTCTCAGACAAGGTGGTGGAGGTCAAGCCTGGCATGAAGTCCAGGTAAGAAAGAGGTTGCAACACTCTGCTGCTGCTGTAGATTCTGGACGTTAGTGTGAAAGGGAGGCAACATAGGGTGATACTCATTAACGTCCAGGGAACAAGTATATTCCCTAATTTACAAGGTTATTCTGGATTACTTTATTTAATCAAACACAGAGGAGCCACTCTTTTAAATAATTTATGTACTCAGCATTCTGTAAATGTGATATTGAACAATAACAACAGAAAACACACCTAGTCACCACATGATTTCCACCACACACTATCCCTTTTGTTTGTTTAACGTAAACAGTGGTGAGTTGAGTTACTTCTGGTGGGCTCTGAGCATCAGCAAGAGATGTGTTCAAACTTGACCTGAGGCTCTGTAGGCAACCCCTGCAGCAGTTCTCAGACTGATCATAAGATAAGCCCTTTAATTTGGAGTCGACCCACCTCTCACTGTCACCATCTTCATGCAAATCCTTTAGCCTTGTCAAGATTTACTGCGAACAAATTTCAAAGGTTGTAATTTTGTAGTGATCAACCACAGTTCCCTTTTTTTCCTCTCTTTTTCTCTTCTTCTGCGTGATCACATGTCCATGAACCTAGTCAAATGTTATCTCCTAAATCAACAAAATAATTTTTATAGCACTTAGTATCTGTGAATCTTCACCTGTCATGTAAGGAGCTTTAATGTCACTGAGGTCCAGGATTCAGAGGATGTCTCCACTTAAAATAAATCACTGCTATTTGACTGTGTGAAAGGAGAACAGAGCTGTAGCACATTTTTCTTTCTGTTGTTACAGCACACTCTGAGTCTGTCACTGAAATTTTCTCACAACCCCCAGTTTATGAAAAATAAGATTCTACGGATAAACTAGACAATGTCTGAATTATAAATAAGCTGTGATTTGAAGAAGAGATCATCATCTCACATGACCTGAAATACGAAGTGCAGTGCCATCGGGGGAGGGGGGACCTGCTTTTTCACGTGATTCCAGTCACACCACTGTTTCAAAAACCTTTTCCTCACCCCGGCTGTTCTTTTTCCTCCAGGTTTGTCGACAGCGGAGAGATGGCCGAGTCCTTCCCATACAGGATGAAAGCCTTGTTTGCGTTTGAAGACATCGACGGAGCAGACGTCTGTTTCTTTGGAATGCACGTCCAGGAGTACGGCTCTGACTGCCCGCCCCCAAATCAGAGACGAGTTTACATCTCTTACCTGGACAGCGTGCACTTCTTTAAACCGCGACACCTCAGGACTGCTGTCTACCACGAGATCCTGCTGGGGTACCTGGAGTATGTCAAGAGGCAGGGGTAAGAGAGCAGATGGATCTCTGGCAGGTTAAATCAAGTAAATCCTTCCTCCTCTTTGATAATGAACAAAACTGTGTCTCCTGAATCAGGTTTACAACAGGTCATATTTGGGCCTGTCCACCCAGTGAAGGGGATGACTATATCTTCCACTGTCATCCACTGGACCAGAAGATCCCCAAACCAAAACGCCTGCAGGAGTGGTACAAGAAGATGCTGGACAAGGCTGTATCTGAGCGGATCGTCCACGACTATAAGGTAAGGCATTATTCCTGAATTAGGAGATTCACAACTAAAAATTTAATGTCAAGTACAAACTGATCCATCATCTTACCTTTGAAGCACATTCCCATCATACTGTGTGCTAAGAAAAGGTTCCCTGATCTGGAGTTTTTGATTATACTTTCTGTTCAAACTAATTATAATTATAAAGAGAGATCCAAAAAAGGGAAAATGTGTTTTTTCGTCCTATCAGGACATCTTCAAGCAGGCCACAGAGGACAGATTGACCAGTGCCAAGGAGCTGCCATATTTCGAGGGCGACTTCTGGCCCAACGTGCTAGAAGAGAGCATCAAGGAGCTGGAGCAAGAGGAGGAGGAGAGGAAAAGAGAGGAGAACAGCACCTCCAGCGAAAGCACAGATGTAAGTAGATCAAGAATTCACATGTACAACATTTTTTATATTTTTATGCCAATGGTTTTAATTTACATTTGCGTTAAAATATCCTCAGGCCACAAAAGGTGACAGCAAAAATGCCAAAAAGAAGAACAATAAAAAGACGAGCAAGAACAAGAGCAGCCTGAGCCGAGCCAATAAGAAGAAACCGGGGATGCCTAATGTTTCCAACGACCTGTCGCAGAAGCTGTATGCCACCATGGAGAAACACAAAGAGGTAAGCAACACAGGTCTGACTATAACCACAGATGTAGCTGGTATGTAAAGTTAGTCTAGACTGTATTCTTTACATGAAGTAAACAGACACGTCTTTCATTTACTTAAGAGCAAAAATGAAACATTAGAACATCTGCTGGTCAGTTTGTGAGAGACTCAACTAAACCATCCCTTATTTTCAGGTCTTCTTCGTCATCCGTCTCATCGCCGTCCCCTCCGCCAACTCGCTGCCCCCCATCACCGACTCAGACCCCCTGATGGCCTGCGACCTGATGGATGGGCGTGACGCCTTCCTGACACTGGCCCGGGACAAACACCTGGAGTTCAGTTCTCTGCGGCGGTCCAAGTGGAGCTCCATGTGCATGCTGGTGGAGCTGCACAACCAGAGCCAGGACCGCTTCGTGTACACCTGCAACGAGTGTAAACATCACGTGGAGACGCGCTTCCACTGCACCGTGTGCGAGGTAAGAATCAGTTGATCAAACTACATCAAGAAAACAAAATGTACAAGAATTAAGGGATTAATGCTGCGTTCGAGTTACCTCGGAAGTCAGATGTCTGAGCTGGGAATGACGTCACACCTGAGGAACAAAATGGCTACATCTACAGAAGTTATTTTAGCTCTTGTTATTTGAGTTACTTTAGCATCCCCCTTCTTAGATGTAGCCATCTTGTCCCCGCCTCAGATTTAGCTTTTTTCCAACTTGGTAACTGAAATGCTGGTAACTCGGGTGTGACGTCATTCCTAGGGATGAGGAGGGATGAGGTGCAGGGTGAAAAGATGATGTTGTCACAGAACCAATGTTTGAAGGCTCATCACAATCTGATGTACCTCAGAAATCAATGTGCGTGAGCATTGTTACATGTGTAACTATCAAGAACATAACAAATGTTCTCATCTCTTCCTTCCCTCTCCAGGACTACGACTTGTGCATCACCTGCTACAACACTAAAGGTCACGAGCACAAGATGGACAAACTGGGGCTGGGACTGGACGACGACAGCAACAACCAGGCAGCAGCAGCCACTCAGAGCCCTGGAGACTCTCGCCGTCTCAGCATCCAGCGCTGCATCCAATCTCTGGTCCACGCGTGTCAGTGCCGCAACGCCAACTGCTCCCTGCCGTCCTGCCAGAAGATGAAGCGTGTTGTTCAGCACACCAAGAGCTGCAAGCGGAAAACCAACGGAGGCTGCCCAATCTGCAAGCAGCTCATTGCTCTGTGCTGCTACCACGCCAAACACTGTCAGGAGAACAAATGCCCTGTCCCGTTCTGCCTGAACATCAAGCAGAAGCTCCGTCAGCAGCAGCTGCAGCATCGCCTTCAGCAGGCCCAGATGTTGAGGAGGAGGATGGCCAGCATGCAGAGAGTTGGGCAGCCAGCAGGAGGGCCACCTGGAGGACCCATCCCAGCACTTCCATCACCAGGGAACAACGGTACAACAGCGCCCAGCACCCCAACTTCTGGTGGGACTCAACCTCCAACGCCCCAGACCCCAACTCAAACCATGCCCTCTGGTCCTCAGCAGGGTCTTGGTCCTGGTCTTGGGGTCCAGCAGCAGCAGCAACAGCAGCAGCAGCAACAACAAGCTGGGATGGCCTCACAAGGTGGTATGCCTTCTCAGCACCCCCATCATCACCAGTTCCAGCCAATGGCAGGTGGAGGAGGAGGTGGTGTTGGGGGGATGATGAGCTCCCCTCAGCATCAGCAGCAGATGCATCCTCAGGTCCAGCAGCAGTTAAGTGGAGGAAACACCCAACAGCTCCAACAGCACCCAAACAACCTGCCTCCGTACACAGGGAGGCCCCCAGGCTCCTCCCCCCTCCATCAGTCCCAGGGGAAACCAGTCCTCGGCTCAGCAACGCCTCCCCAGCAGCAGCAGCCGGGTGGAGCTGTCATGGCTGGAAACATTGGAGGTCAACAACCTCCCAACCAGTCACAGGGGCAGACTCAACTCCCTCAGCAGCAGCAGCAGCCTCCATCAGGCCCTCCACCAGCAGCAGTAGAGATCGCCATGAAGATCCAACAGGTAGCCGATGCCCAGCGAAAGATGGCTCTGCAGAGACAAGCAGCGGCAGGTTTGATGCCTCCTCACCAACACCATCAGCAGGGTCAGGGTCAGCAGATGGGCATGGGACATCCGGGGACAGCAGGGATGGTTGGACCCCAGGGGATGCAGCCGCAGAACCCAGCAGCAGTCGCAGCAGCAGCAGCAGCTCGGGCACACATGGACCCACAACCAGGTGCTCCAGCAGGGATGATGGTGGGCCCTGGTGGTCCCATGCAGCCACCTCCCCAGCAGGGTAACCTTCCACCAGGGCAGATACCTCCTCAAGTCCAGCTCCAGCAGCAGAGGATAGGGGCTCCACTCCAGAATGTTCAACAACAGCAGCAACAACAGCAGTGGGCTGGTGGGCAGGGGATGCCCCCCCAGCAGAGACAAGCAATGATGAACCAACAGGCCATGATGGCAGCTCAGCAGCAGCAGCAGCAGGCTCAGGCCCAGGCCCAGGCTCAGGCCCAGGCTCAGGCCCAGGCTCAGGCTCAGGCTCAGGCTCAGGCTCAGGCTCAGGCTCAGGGCCATGCTGCGCTAATGAACATCGCCCAACAACAGCAGCAGCAGCCACAGGGTACAGGTGGAGGGGTCCCAGGAGCTGCAGGTGTCCAAGGGCTTGCAGCTGCAGGTGGGAACATCCCCCAGGCCGCCTTGCAGGACCTGTTACGCACTCTCCGCTCACCCAGCTCACCACTTCAGCAACAGCAAGTCCTGAACATTCTGCGCTCGAACCCGCAGCTGATGGCTGCTTTCATCAAACAGAGGGCTTCAAAATACAAGGGGGGGCAGGGGGGACCAGGTGGTGTCCCTGGAAATGTCCCTGTAGGTCCTGGTCCAACAGGGGGGCCTGGAAACGTCATGGTTGGAGGGGGCCCACAGGTGAATATGAATGCATCAGGTCCAGGCCAGCAAGGGATGCACATGGGGGGTCAAGGAGGTCAGAATGTTAACATGGCAACTATGGCTCAGCTGCAGCAACAACAACAACAGCAGCAACAACAACAACAACTTCAACAGCAGCAACAGTTACAGCAACAGCAGAGGCCGATGCTCAACAGTTTACAACAGCACCAAGTGGCAGCTCTCCAACAACAGCAACAACAACAGCAACAAGGGGCGGTCAGGGGTCTTCAGGGCCAGGGGCCACAGATGGGGAACCTGAACAATCCTCAGTTCAGAGAGTTGCTCATCATGAGGAGACATCTCCAACAGCAACAGCAGCAACAACAGCAGCAGCAGCAGCAACAACAGTTGGGGGTGAATCACGGTCAGTTCCAGCAGCCGCAGCCTCCTCAAGGGCAGGCCTACATGGGTCAGCCCGGGATGCAGCCCCCTGCTGTGGGCCAGGGTCCCTCCACAGGTCCCCCTCTTGGCCCTCAGCAGCCTCCACCAGGCCAGCAGGGGCAGGGTTACCCTGGCTCTGTGGCCCAGCAGCAAGCCACCGCTGCACTTCAGCAGAGACTCCAGCACCAGCACCACCTGCAGATGCAGCAGCAGCAGCAGAACGCCATGTCCGGCCTGCCTGGGGGGGAGCAAGGACCAGGTGGAGGTCCTCAGCAGCCCCCTCAGGGCCCTCAGCCCAATCAGGGTGGTCCCACACCGTCCTCTCAGGCTCTGCTTCAACAGGCGCTCCACCAGAGGCTGCTCCAGCAACAGCAGCATCTGGGCCCTGGGGGGTCGCCGGCCCAGCACAGCAATCCCATGAGCCCCCAGCAGCCTCAGCAAATGGCCCCGTCTCCCCACCCACATCTGCAGGGCCAAACTCTGCCCACCTCCCTCGCCAACCAGGTTCGATCCCCGCAGCCTTCACCCAGACCCCAATCCCAGCCGCCACACTCCAGCCCGTCCCCCCGCATGCAGCCTCAGCCCTCACCACATCACATCTCCCCTCAGATGCAAACGGGGTCTCCACACCTGAACCAGCACCACCCGGGCATGGTGGTCCCTCCACAGCAGCAGACGGCTCAGCAGCAACAGAACTCTATGGATCAGTTTGGGTCGGATCAGAGCACTATGCTGTCTCAGCTGAGTGGCATGGCTGGTCTACATGGGCCGGGGGGAAACAGTCAGGACCCTCTGGGCCAAAATCTGAATCACAACCCTTTAGACATCATGTAGGAACTCTAGGAAACGTGTCAAAGTGAGCTGAAAGCTCGTGATTCTTCGCACAAACTGCACTCACCCAGGACAGTGTTACTGTTATTAGCTAGCCTTTGTTTTTATACGATGATGATGACGATGATGATGATGATGATGAAATGTTATTTAAAATGTTTTCAATAAAGATGCATTGAACTGAGCTTCCTATGGGAGATGAACAATAAATCAAGCAGTCATTATATAATTAGAATAAATGTAAGTTATTGCTGTTAATATATTTTTTTGCCAATCGTGGACAAAGAGGGGGGGTTGGTTTCTCTAGCGCTCCCCCCTTTCCTCCACTTCTTGCTGACAAAGAAGATATTTTTGGGGTTTTCAGGGGTAAATAGGACAAAATGCCTTTTTTAAGAAATGTTTTTAAGATTTAAAAAGTGGTTGAGGATTAAAGAGGAAATGATTTAATGCAAAGAACTTTTTTATGGTTTTTGTTTCCCAGCATTCAGTCTGTTTCTTTTCTGCAGAGTGATGTGGATTAATATTAATGTAAATCCAAACATGATGCATATCTTCATTTTTAAATGTTTGGGTTTGCTTTATTTATTTTCTTTGGGGGGTTCAGGGGTTCTGTACCCTGAGACTGCTACAATTCCTATAGAAATATATTTTTGTTATTGACTGTTGAGGTGGGGGTAGTAGATGTTTTATTTCACTTTGTATGTCTTTAGTCCGGGCAGAATAATTAAACATCAGTGTTTTCTTGCAGCCGTTGAGAGTTTGAAGAGTTCGGGACGTTAAACGGACACGTCGCCTCGACTCACCAGCTTCTTTTTTGGACTTGGATCCTGCTGGAAGAGACTCTTCCCTCGCAAACATGCAAACCCTCTCCCTCGAATGTGTGTGCACTCCCTCCTTTAAAGACACCTCACATGGAGCAGGGGAGGCTTGGGGAGGGGGCTGCATACCTGTGTGCCTGTAACATTTTGAGGACATGGACTGGGATGTTAAAAATGGGTGGGTGGGTTCCTTGTAGTGTTTTTAGGATTCTGCTGTTTGGAGTAAACAGAGGATTTTTGATCCAAATGAACTGTGTTGCACAGAAATGAGGAGATAAGAGAAGATCTGAGCGCGCTCAGTCTGCCTCTTATCCTCGTCCCCTTTGCTGCTTCTCCTGGACTTCAAATCCCCCGCCCCTCTACTCGTCCTCCTCCCCCGGGGAAAGATCTTCTCCATCCCTTTGAACTCCATCCTCTTTATCTTTCTGCTAAGAACTTTGGGAGTTTAATTTAATATTTTTTACTGTACAAAGGAAACACAAACTGTGGACTCAAATACTGTTTTTTTATAATAAAATGAAAATGACCAACAATGATGTTTCTGCATGTGGCTGATTCTTCAAAATGAGGCGGATACATGTGTAACATGGCAGAGTAGAGTTAAAAAATCAGTTTAAAGTGTAAATACTGACCTATCAGATCCCTGCAAAGAGGGAAGCATTATTTTATGTAAGCCTGACAGGGACGTACTGGTAAAGAAATGAATAATAAGCAGCAGGATTCTTTGCAGCTACAAATGAGAAAATAAAAATGATAAACTGGATTGATTTTTGACAGGATTCCTGAAATTTTAGCTGGTTCTGCGTCTCTAAAAACCTGGAGCACCCTTGAGAGAGTAACAGGAAGATACTTTATCCTATTGTTTTTATATTATTCGTACACAACTTAAAGACCTGGGTCAAAGTATAGAATCAAATTTTATTCTTATACGAGTGAAAGTTGTGCAGTCAGCATATTACTTCAGTCTAAGTACATAAGTTCTTCATACTTGGATATATACCTATTGCCTCGCAAGTGATGTTGACAAGAACGGTTTGTCTTTCCTGAGGGAGATGCGCCCTCTAGCGGTGATAATTGGCAGTGCAGTCGTTCCTCTTTAAGGCCACAAAAATAAATAGATATTAAATGTATTGAATTATGTATTTTACAGACACATTACAAGAGTTCTATTTTGTTTTTCTCTTTTCGGTTTATTAACAGTCGTTAGTGTTTTAGGAAATAGAAAGTCAGCAGTTGAATTTGAAGTTCTCATGCCTTCAGTTACGTGCTTCTTTAATACAAACTCAATTTCATAAAACTTGGGACACAATAAAATATTGTTTACAATAGAATTTGGTGGATTGCAAATCATTCAAAGACTATTTTCAACTGAGAATATTGCAAAGACAACATATCAAATCTTGACACAGGAGAACTTCAATGTTTTGTGAAAATTATATGTAAATTTTGAGGCCGGATTTTAAAAAATTGGGCACTTTAACAAATGTTAAATGCTTAAAAAGGGGGAAGAACACCTGATGGAACATCTTCCAATTAACAGGATTGAGTAACATGACTGCTGGAGATCAGTCTTGTAAAGCTTAATCCCCCAGGTGTAAAGATTGGAAAAGCTAAACCACTGTGGGAGAGACTGTGTGAGGAAAGAGTTCAACAATCCTAGAATGATGTTAATATGGATGCAAATGATCTCTGCCATGGTCTTCAAGGCTCAAAGGTAGGAGGACTACAACAAAGAGCAGATACAACTCTGTAGTAAAAATCCCTGCATTGACTCATTTCCAAAATCATTGTCTGTGAGCAGTTTGTCGATGCAGCATGTTAAAAATTGTTCTTTCATGAGCATAGAACTTTCATAAAATGCCACAATCTTTCAGTCTGAATAACAATGTTGTCTTTGCACTATTCTGGTTAAATAAAGGCTCTAAATAAACTTCAAAAAACACTGAATACAGTATTCCTACACATATAGAATTTGGGTTCTATAAGACAGTACAGCCAATAGAGATAAATGAATAAAACAAAGCAGATGTGTTTACTACTGACTTTATAGTTATTTTTAGAATTTCAAGGGTGCTGCTAATCCAAAGAATGTTTGACAAAAATCTGTGAAATGTTGAGTCAGATGTCTTTTTCACTGCTTAGACAGAAATAAACATCCCAACAAACACTGTCTGAATAAGAGTCACACTGAATAAAGATCCTCTAGATGGAAGAAGTGGTGTGAAGTTTTGTTCAGTTGATGGTTGATGTGTGTTGTGTGTCTTCAGCCTCTCCCATATCGGATTTCTGGCGTGCAGCGTGACAAATAAGCTCCATGAGGCAGTTACTTTTTACACATATTTATTGGAAATGCACTAAAATAAAAATTCATTTTTGTAAAGAGAAGACGTGTTTGACAGTTCATCTTTTTCAGAAACAGACTGGGACATATTCAGAGACATAAGTTAGATTAGCTTATACATGTGACATGCAATAAATAAAGCTCATTACTGTCTGACCTAACATACAAGTGCTTCACTAGCCTACACAACAGAGCAGCGGCAGTGTACACTGACTTCGCTTCGTTCGAAAAAAAGCACAAAAGCTTGAGAAGAGAGTGGACTATCAGTTGGTAATACAAAAATAGAACCAGGAAGCATATCATACTGAAATAATAAAAAACACGGACAGCAACACAACTGTGTACTTCTTTTTGTGTTTCATTCCTTCTTGAAAAGCACAACTTCACCAAAGCGTCAGGCGTTATATCTTTCTCTTTGTTTTTATTCTTTTGTGCCAGAAATAAACCTCTCTAAAAAAAAAAACCCACAGGACAGGCCACTGTAGCACAGAGTGACAGGGCATGCAGCGAGCTCTGTGGAAGTGCTGAGAAAAGACTGATATCTTTACAAAATGTAAGAATGTAAGAAAGAGGGGCAGCTAAAGAGGCCCTTGATAACAGATCAGAGCACTGAGGACGACACTGTGTGGAAGAAGTAATGTGGAGTTTAACCTTTGAAACTGTATCAACCGTGTCTTTACTCAGCAGCTTGCCACACAGATCCGTTTAATCTGGGTCCAGCTGTTCAAAAGTGATCCGAGCAGATTAAAGATATCAAATTGAATTACAGCTGGTCAAAATAAAATAACGTCAGGTGGTAGAGTCGGAAGTTACACCAAGATTTCAGACTTTCTTTCTGTATTTTTAAGACATAGATTTCAAGCTTTTGTTTTATTTATTTTTTTGGACTGACCACGAGTGTTTCAGTTTTTTGTCTTTGTTAAGTTCTAAAAGGTAGATGGACATCCAACAGTAATTATCATGTATACAGTCTAACAGTTAGTCTACAGGATTGAGGCCACTGGATGTGAGGGAGATTCATAACCGAGTATCGTCAGCATATGAATGGTATGACATGTTTTTTCATGATTGCACTGAAGAAGAGTGGGCTAAGGATTGATCTCTGTGGAACGCCACAGGGTAACTTTTGATTCAGCAGATTTAAGGTTGTCAGTTGAAAACATAAAACTTAGTATTAAAAGCGGCTGTGAAATCAAGTAAAACTATGACTTGTTTTCTGACAGTGTTTATTCTAGGTCATTGATGACTTAGTGATCTAGCTCTGGTTTTAAAAAGTTCAAACTTTTTGCTTTGATTTTTTAAGATTACAAACACAGGGTTGTATTCAATTTGGTTTACATGAACTGAAAAGTTCAAATCCTTTAGGTTTTTTCACTTTTGTTAAAATTGCTGAATCGGTTCTGTGACATGAGATTAAGTGGACAAAAAGACTGGAAAAATGAAGGATTTTGTCTTGCTTAGGTATTTTCATTAAACCATGTATCAAATATTGATTTTGGAGCAACTGTCACAAGGTTTTAGTTTGTGTTGATTTTGGTGCCCCCTGTGGACAAAATATGTAGTCCCATTGAGCACTTTTTTACTCAAGATGTAGTTGTCTTTAAGAGCCTGTATCTGGATTATGTTGGTCCTTTCCAGTTGTTCTGAACTCTGTTTTAGAGCAGGTTAAGTGCAAACTCTGAGTCTGTTAACCTAGAAATGAGTAAAACTTTTTTTTTTCCATTTCAGAGGGGGGATTGGCTCAAACCCAAGGAAAAGGGGTAAGTTAAGCTCACTCAAGACAAAGGGGGTAACCTGACTGAAGCTCTGAGTCTCTATTGTGAGAGAAAAAAATCATTTCCGTGTTCAGTCATTCCATCTTTCAGAATTATTTTGATTGTAGTTCTAAATAATCAGCCTATCAGATCCTTTTTGCCAAGAAATAATAAAAGAGTCATGTGCAAATCCCTCTGCAGTTTGCAAGGATAATCTGAACATATTAATGGTGCCTCAGATAGCAAATCAGTCTGCACAGACAGAAAATTGATCAAAGATTATGAACTGTGCGCATGGATTGGCACATGGCTCTTGTTTTCACTCCTCATGGGACCTGAATGGGCTTTGTATTTTACTGAGGAGCCACGCTGTAGATTAAGGGCGTTAATCTCCAGTGAATGACATTTACACAGAGCTGATTTTAAATACACACTATTGTGTAACAACCCTAACATCACCAACATCAACCTCTGTGGACGTGTTTTTGCATCCGAGCCTATTCCTTTCTATTATCACATTTCATTTTCAGTTACCTTCAAATTGGCTTTAGTCCACTCAAGAGTGCTTCTGAATACAAATTATTTCAAGTTTGAAAACCATTCCATGACTGTCTACCTGTTGCCTACTTTTATCCTGATTAATTATTAAATAGTTGGACTATTTTAAACAGTTTTAAGCAATTTTCTCTTGTGTTGTTTTACAGCAGTAGTGTTACTGTATTTCTACACATTTGTTCAATTTCAGATTCCACAGGGTTAAGTAGGAGGGCCTGTTACCATGGTGAATTGTAGTAGCAGGTCTCCATTCGCGCTGGCTTTTTACCGTCACTGTGCACACTCCAAACTCAGAGTGGACTGAACCAACTCAAATCAGCTGTTCTGTTACTGAAGACTCAGAGTTTCCTATCTGAGGGTAAAGACTCAGAGTTTGTTGACCCTCCTTTCTGAACAGACCCCTTGGATGGGAAGTGGATTTTCTAGTTAGGATAATTTTTGTCCAAATTAAATCCTTCAGAATAACCGGGCCCAGGTGTTTTAAGGATTATCTGACCATGTCTCCGGTGCATCAGGCTTCCTATCCCCTGATAAATGAGCCCTAGGGATAAATAATCTCTTACTTTTTACTCCAAGGCAAAAGTCTTCATTGTCTTTTGTAGAAATGAGTGTAGCTTTGTAAACATGTGGAATTATTTTACAAACACAAATATTTACACGTACAAAATGAGTGGTGAGTTTACAGATGAGTATTTAGTTTCCCTCCTCATTCAATAGCTCTTAAAGAAGCCCTCTGCCACCGTGGCTTCTTTAAAAGTCACTGTCAGAGAGTCAATAGTCACTTTAGTCACAATCACCTTCCCAGGATGCTTTGCTGTTATGGGAGGAGTCTCACTTTCCGGTGTAGTGCTCTGACTGTCATCCTTTTCTCCCTCCTCCTCCTTCTTTTCCTCGGCCGTCGTCTGGCTGCTCCCCTGATCACTCAGCATCTTTGTCGTCACGTGATTGTTGCTCTCTAATGTGGGACACTCCCACTCTGACTCCACCACCTCCTCCTCGCCTCCACCCCAGTATGACCCGTCACTGGGTATGGCGGCATCTTCTGATCCAACCATGGGCACGGAGATGCTGTCCTTTGATTGATCACATGCAAATATTTGGTTCTGTCTCGTTTCTGTTTGGTCAGTCCACATCTCCAAGCCTTCGTCCATCAGACTGCTCTCCCTCTCCTCCATCACCTCCATCTCCAAGTCCTGACGCTCCAGCAGGGGCGGCGAGCTGCAGTCTGACTGACCTAAGGGAGAGAGGGGGAAAATTACATTTTGTGAGTGTGACTGAAAGTCTATGCAATCAAACAACTGTGAGAAACTTGCAAACTTGATGAGCTGTGGACTTTAATTAGTGTCATTTTTTGTCTTTTAAAAACAAAAACAAAGATTCTGTCAAATAACATGCAGCAAATCAATTTGTCCAAAGCTCTAATGCAACACTGACGGTCTAAATATTCATGGTCTAACTACCTTTTTATTATACAGAGGCATCGGTATTTGAATAAATCAGTTTGTAGTGTGGGCCTCACACCAATACCAGTACTGCTGACCCCTTATACAATTTTTTTACCGCTGGAAAAATTAACCTTGGAAAAATACAACTGTGCTCATATCAAGATTTTTGGACTCCATTATTTTCAAAATTGGAGAATTTCTTTAAGAGGGATCAGTGACTATTTGTAATTCAGTAGGTATGCATTTGTATGTGCATGTATATGAACATGTTCACATATATAGCCTATATGTATACTATATTATTGTTGTAGCCTTTTTCTTTTTTCTTTATTTATTTACTTACTTTTCTTATTTTGTTTCTTTATACTGTACTTGTCTGATTCTGTACTTTTTATTTATTTATATATATAGATATATTAGACTTTTTTTTTGGTTGTTGTATCAATATGAAATAAAAAAGATGTTTAAAAAATAATAAAAAATAATAATAATTAAATAAAGAGGCATTAGTATTTAAATACATATGTTTTTAGTGTGGACCTCACACCAAAACTAGTACTGCTGACCCCTAATACAGCATCAGCAAGTAGATAGTCAATGTACCAATCCAGTACCATAGCTTAACTATTATGTGATAAAAATAGACCCTTTGTGTTGAATGGAATTAGAATCCGTATCAGGCAGAACAAGAAACAATGAAGTCAAATGTGTTTCATAACTGGTCACAGACTCCTCACAGTTCTTTGACTCACCATATAAACTGTCCTCATGTCTCTCCTCTGTTGTGCTCTCAGACTCCTGCTTCTCCTCTTCACTGGTGCCTCCCCACTCATCCTCTATGGCCTCCTCCTTCTTCCTCAGTGGACGGATGGTTTTATGCGAGGGTCCCTCTGGTACCCTCCTGGACGTCCTCTGCTTGCTCTTCCTCCAGACTTGCCGTCGGTAAATGCTGCCGCGCTCGCCCTGGTCCACGTCCGTGCTCATGGAGCGAGTGAGGGAGAGACGCAGTCGAGGGGGGGGCTTCTCTGGGATTTTGTGGGCACTGCGGAGGTCCATGGCAAAGAGGCTCTGGGACAGGTGAGAGGTAAAAAAAAAAAAACATCATGAACATCTTACTGCATCACTATGATCAAAATCTCTGGAGAAACTGAACATTTTTTTACTTCATGAACAGACTTCAACTCTGTGAAATGAGGCCAAGGCCTGTGCACTACAAAAAGATCATCCATTTATAGATATGAAGAACTAAGGAAGTCGAGAAATCGAGAGCAAAAACTAATTTAACATCTTTATTATTCAATTTCTGTTGATAAACCTTCACTGCCAAATTTGTAGTACTCCCACTAACCACAAGGGGACCGTATTTTTCTTTCTGTCAACAAATCCCATAAAAACACCTAAAACCAACATGTTCAGAAGTACAGCTAACATGTAGGCATCTCTATACATATTGAACGCTAAGACTAGTTTGAATCCTATTGAGATGTACACAGAGAAGAGACAGTTAATCCCCAAGAGGGTTATCTTGGAATGATTGTCCTTTTTACTGCAATTTCAATCTGACTGATGTGTTTGCATATATTTCAAAGGCCCAGGTTTTTTATTGCACAACATGTAAATGTTTGTGCGTGCATTAGACTATTCATGTGGAGCAAGAACCGTAAGATAATATGTACTGAGTACTGAGCACTGAAAAAATAACTTTAAATAACTGTGAGTGTCAGCATCAAACCCACACACAAGTCTGCTCCGGTGTGGACTGTATCCACTATCCCCACCTGGAGGATCTTTTTAAGTTTTATCTCTGAGTGTTTGCTCTGGGTGTGCCTAAAGGGTGTAACATCAGTCCTAAGGCTGCTTCTGCCCATGGCTTGGCTGCTTCACAGCAATATGTCAGCACAAAAAGCCGAAAATGAGGGCTCATTAACAACTTTACAGTCAATGATCATAAAGTAATAAAATGTATCATAAAACTGAGTCCTGAACGCAAAAATATATAGTAGTAATTAGATAGTAATGTACTGTTACATACAGTACATACATGAGCAATCATGTAATGTGGCTGAGGCTGACAGCTAAGTGATTAGATTTGAAAGTATTTGGCTATAAATCACAGTATGAACTAAATGTAGCTGATTTTGAGTCAATGTACAAACATGCATTAACCCACCACTGACAGAAGCCCCCTCTAATTTCATCATTTACTTCCTTTTCAATACTGTTTGCTTAAGACGGCATCTGTCCGCTGTTTACTTTTACTTTAACAAATAAAACTGCATGTTGACAACCATTTTAAAATGTATGTCTTTGAACTGGCTTTGGACTAAAAGCAGCCCACACTGAGAGCAGCACTGTCAGATCATCAGATCTTGATTTTGATCTCTGTATGGGAAAGTGATTCCACCCTCTGAAATGCATAAATTTCAATTTAATCAAACTATGAGTTACTGCATGTTGAATCAGAGAGATTTTTTCCCTCTCTGTAGCAAAGCTCTCCAGGGTGTTACAATGTAAGATCTTACTTAACTGAATTCTTACAACTACAGAGGAGGAATATTAACTTGAGGTCATACTCTTTCAGTGTTTCACATGAAACTTGTGGAGGCTGTAAAAAAAAGCTGAAGAGACAGAAAGTAAAGTAAGCTGTCTTTACCCTCAGGACGAGCCTCCTGGGTCTGAGACCTTTCCTGCGGTAGGCCAGAGCTCTGATCTTCTCCTGACTGAGAGAGAGGCGGAGAGTAGAGGGGCGGAAAAGGACAGAGACGGGATGACAAATAGAAACAGATTGTGAGTGAGGGAACAAAAAGTAAAGGAAAGTAAAAGCGCAAAGCAAGCAGATCACAAACTTTGCATAATTACTCACTGTTCTTCGAAGGCCAGGACCAGGCGCGGGTCCAAAATATTGTCTTCTGGTTCCCAAGTACTGTACCTGCCAACACACACATACACATTTAGATCTATGTATCTAAATGTGATCTATCTATCTATCTATCTATCTATCTATCTATCTATCTATCTATCTATCTATCTATCTATCTATCTATCTATCTATCCATCTATCTGTCTGACTATCTGTCTATGTTTACTGGAGATGGGGCTTGGCTAAAGAAGAGTATGCTTTGAAAAGGTCTCAGAGTTTATATTGAGGGGATGAGATCACTGGTGATGACTCAAGTCTTACTCACTTTGGGGGCCAACCCTGCCACTTCAGTAGATACTCCACATTACCCTGAGGAGAGAGAGAGAGAGAGAAAAAGATGGGGTGAGAATCAGACACATAAGGTATTAAAACTGCAAGTACCAGGAACTTTTATTTCCAGGAACTTATGGGCCTAAAGTTCCGTGAAGATTATGTTAGTTACTAAAGCTCCTGTGAGAATTTTTCTGCCGTTTATGAAATTGACTGAAATTTATACAGATGCCCTTTCTTAATATTCAAAAGCAAACAAGACCAAGATTGATGATTTTGACATTGAAATTTCTCATGTCTGAAACCAATGTTAGGGGGTAGGTGTCAGCTGAGCAACTGAAAACTAGCCCTGGTTCTAATTTTCACATAAAATATTCACAATAAATGGTATATTTGACTGTCAAAATGCTGCAGGATGAGATTTTTTGTCAAAAGTCACTATTCAAGTCAAGGTGCAAAAACTGCTTTGTCCACAGGGGGCGCCAAAAGTTACACAAACTGAGAGTTCCTTACAGGAGCTTTAAATAACATCACGTTGTAGGCACCATTTCTGTCTTTTGTGCTTCTACATGTTTGCCCTATTGTCTGCAGGAGAGTCGCTGAGATGCCGCTCAGCTCAAACAGTGTATCCCCTCGGGTGAGCTACGCAATCCTTGTACACCCATAGGCTGTATCAGGTGTCAATCATAGAAAACATGAACCCCCTAATAACTTTTAAAAACGGAGCTGTACAGAAAAAACAGGACTTTGGTACAAACCAGTCTTACAGTAACTACATGTCAACATCACAAACAGGGGGAGAAAATTCTAGTTAAATTAGATGATCTTCAGACTACCCTTGAAGGTCCTGGATCTTTGACAGTGCAACCCTCTGAGTGGGGACTTTTCCAGGAACCTTTTCAACAGTAGCAGGTGGGACACACTGAGACTGAGGGGTCTTTTCATTAATACAACTCAAACAACAACAACATTAACAGATATGAACTAAGTTATAGGAAAGTTGATGCTGATTCCTGTCATAAAAGTTCCCCAAAGGGATCCTAGTTCTTGGGGAAAGTTCCCTCTAACTAAAAGCACCCACCGATACTCACCTGTACTGCAACCCTGACCAAGTGTGAGTATAAAGCATGCAGCTGTGAGGCTTTGAGCGTGAATGACAGAGAAAAGGATGACTGTCACTTTAACATATTGAGGGAGGGGAGGGGAGGAGGGTCATGGACAATTTTCTCTCTTTCAAACGGTGTTTTTCTCCGGGATGACGTCAATGACAGCGGGGCCAGGCAGCCTCCAAACACCAGCCCCCCTCTCTCTCCCTCTCTGTCTCTCTCTCTCTTTCTCTCTCTCTAATTCTCTCGCACTGCGGTGACGTGACTGCACATGGCAGCACGAGCCGGTTTCAGTAGCGCACGGGATCTTTCTGGAACATCACACCGGTGGCTCGGGATAGGTGGGGCCACGCGAACATGTAAACAACGTGGTGTTGCGCAATTTTTCAACCAGCAAAAAAAAATCACTAAGAGAAAATCCCGCGAGACAATGAAAAGTGTTTGTCAACGGAAACAGACTTTTAATATTTTATTACATTTTTATGAATCTTATCATCACCTGCAACCAATGAATGAAATGACAATGCTGTGCAAATTTTTTTTATTATTTCACTTTCTATTATTACTATTATTTTTTTTTTATGTACACGTACTGCGTCAAATTAAGAGTAACCTTTAGAAACAGTGGGAACTATCTGCGCGTCCTCCTCTTTACTTACTGGGTCACCGTTACACAGCAGTCAGGTACATTACGCAGCACAAACTGCTGCGCCGCTTTCTGGCGTAACTTATATCAACTGCGTAGCTCCCCCCGTGCACTAAACGTACTCCCGCTTCCAGGATACACACCCCCTTCAACATTTTACTACAGCTGCGTAGGCTCCTTCAAAACACGTCCATGCCTCAGCAGCTGCACAGTCCGATAGCAGGATGCGACCCAAACAAACTTCAACTCCGGCGCAGTTGTTAAATTGTACATATTGCATCTGCTTCAACATGTATTCGGCATAAAAGGTTCGGAAAATGCGTAGCCTAGTTTTTGTTGCGCATGAGAACAAAGTGTGACAGTTAACAGACTGTACTCTTAGGGTACAAAGCTGACGTAAATAAGTTATAAAGTCAATAACTAGGCATGCCTCTTACCTTTCTGACTCTTTTCTTTGTTATTGACTCCACTGCAAACACTTGGTCCCCTATAGATGACAGCTCCATCGCTGCGCGCTGTTCCACACGCTCCAAACAGATCACAAACTGACTCTGAGCTTTTCCTATCGAAGAGCTCCGATAAAAACACTTCGAGTCAGTGGAGGAAAATCTGTCCGTGTGTGGCTGTGGACGCTCGCTCCCGCTGTGAACTCTTGTTTTGAGCGCTGAGACTCTGTGCTCCCTTCTCTCTGAACTCCTGCTGCCTGCCTCTCTCACTTTTTAAAATCTGCGACACATCAACACAGGACAACGCGCTGCTTTAAGTCGGGCGCGCCCCCTTTCCATTGCGTAGGGCCGAGCCCCCAATGTGCGTACCCGCGCCGGCGAGGCCGCGCACGCAAATTAGAGCAGAGTGCAAGAGAGGGACAGAGGAGGAGGGAGGCGGTCACAACAACAAGGTTATTTATGAAACTGAAGTTGGGAGAGAAAAGAACAGAAAACACCTCTGCAGAGCATACTTTGATCTAAACTATATAAACCTTTAAACATTATAAAAATAACATTTAAAATTTAATTTGGCCCAGAAAGCCTGTCTTTGTATGGGGGGTTCACTACAACTATTGTGGTAGTAGTGAAGAACATAAATAAAAGTAAACCCCTAATTTTAAATCCAGCTGCACCTCTGTCCACTCACAACATAATACAGTTCCTAACCTTTCTACAGCTTTTCTTTGCTAAAACAATGAAAAATATATATGTCATGGAAACAGTCATTTAAAGGGGTTTATGTAACTATGTCTTGTTTGAGAGGATGGACTATTTAAATGGACAGGCAACAAGACAGCTCTACAAAAGTGAAGCCAAAAAAGCTCCCCCTGCTGACTGGCTATGATATAAGTCATAGAGCCTGTTTTATCCAGTAAAATGTTCTTAAACGTGGTTTCGGTCATTTGGGTTGATGTCTTATCATGCTGATTTACGTCCAAGTGTTTTTTCTGACAAGTTAAGTGATTTTATCTCATAACATCATGCCAGCTGTGTTGGAGAAAAAAAGTGTAAGGCAAGGGAAACCCTGTCCATTCAGTTCTCTGGACTTGTAATAACAATTGGAGCCTGTCAAGACTAAAACCATAGACTGTATATACCACGGACAACTTGGTTCCACCTCCCGCCTGTATATGGATTTGAAGCCAAAAAGCTCTCGGTATTTCCGGGATTTTTCTTCATTTCCAGAAACCAGCATTGCGCAGTAGCATTGTGCACATTCGGCAGGAGAGTCACAGAGAGTCGCTGTGATGACACTCGGCTCGAACAGCGAGTCCCCCCGGGTGAGCTACGCAGTCCCTGAACGCCAATGGGCTGTATCAGGTGTCAATCATAGAAAACGTGAACCCCCTAATAACTTTTAAAAATGGAGCCGTACAGAAAAAAGAGGACTTGAGCACAAACCAGTACACACTTACATGTCAACACCGCAAGCAGGGGGGAGAAAAATTTATGTTTTGTGTAATTAGTTTTTAAAGTTTGTCCACAGCTCCATAAGTTTGCCGGCGGAGGCGGGATTTATGACCTGTACTGCAGCCCATCAACAGAGTGTGCTGTTCTCGGAGTGGCTTCACCCAGCGAGGAGGCAGAGGCTGTCCATTCTATATACAGTCTATGGCTAAAACATACAGGATGCGTAGCATTTGCGCAGCAAATAGTTTGCCATTCTAATCAATGCATCAAAGCATACAGGACGCGTATCAGCTCTGCCGCAGCATCGTATCGAGAGCAGCACTGCTAAAGATACACGACAAGTCTATTTTTGCTGCTCTACACTTCCAATACGCGTCAATCCACACAGGGAAGATCGTCCTAGACAGGAAGTCAAGCAAAAAAACAGCTCATATCATTTCAAAATAAAACACCATATGCAAACTCCCGACTGTGTATCAGTTGGTGTAGATGAGAAATCCTTCCTGGTAATGGATTTATTTATAACACAGAACAATCTGATGGTCAATCCCTGATCCATGTGGACCCCAACAGGACTTTTAACTGCTAACTCTGTCTAAAGGGAACAGCACAGCATAAAGGAACATAGTTTACTTTATTAAACACGGGTAAAACTGCAAAAACCGAAACTGTAAAAATATGCTGCTTTCTCACATACAGTAGAGGTTCAACGGTCACTGAATTATATACAAATTAGCAGGAAATAGATCACAGAAAGGCAAAACAACCTGTTGTGAGCATGTCGTTTCCTCTATACCAGGGGTGGGCAATTAATTTTTACACGGGGCCACATGAGAAAGCTGAACTGTGTTGGAGGGCCGAACCAACAATAACTTCAACTTCAAATCAGAGGGGTTCACACATACAGAAAGCAAACCCAAATAAGCAACTACTAGATTAAAGCAAGCCCAAAAATAGCACACCCACAACTCATGAGTTTTAAAAGCGACTTCTGAGCAAAACAAGCTTTAAGTCGTTTATAATAAGCAGACTTGGCAACTCTAAGGCGTCTACGAATATTTTTTTTTTTTTTTTTTTTAACTTTATTTTTATCTTTTAAGGCAAACTTTCAAACATACACGCAAATATTGTACAAAACAAAACAAGACAAGAACAAGAACAAGGGGGGCAAACACTACTCAGTTACATACAGGTGCCATTTAGTCCATCTTACAGCATATAGCTCAGCTTTAATTCGTAGTCTGTAAGTCATTTGTTCCATTGATCGGATTTCCTCTACAATGGTCAGCCAGTCACTCAGTTCAGGTGGATCAGTTCTTAGCCAAGTTCTTGTGATGGCTTTCTTAGCTGCAAGAGATAGGATCTTGAACAGGTATATGTCCTCTTTACCCATTACATCTTCTAATATCAGTCCAAGATAAATAAACCGGGGATCTTTGGGTAAATTATATCCAAAAACTTTACCCATGACTCTCAGGACCTCATCCCAAAATGTCTGTATTTTCGTACATGACCAAAATATATGAGAGTGGTTGGCATTCAGTTGCCCACATTGTCTCCAACAATGCTGTTGTTGACCTAATTGTTTATTTTTGATTTTTGGTGTAATAAATAGACGTGTCAAATTTTTCCAACCGAACTCCCTCCATGTTTTAGAACTTGTTGATGTATGTTGGGTCTTGAGCATGGTCTGCCAATCACTCTCAGATAATTCAATGCCGAGTTCCTTTTCCCATTTCTCTTTTATATACATTGTGTTTTTTCCCTGTTGCTTCAACAAACCTTTGTATAGCTTTGAGACAATTCTTAAGGGGGTTTGCTTGAACGCGCCTGTTAATATTTCGATCACATCATTCCCCTCCAAAGAAATTTCCCTCTTAACTTCTGTCTCATAAAAGTGTCTTAATTGGAAATATCTATATAGATCTTCATTTTCTAATCCAAACTCATTTTTCAGTGATGTAAATGATTTGAAATGTTGCTTATCTATAAGTGTACATGTGGCTGTTATTCCTTTGTCTCTCCACTTTTCAAAGGTCTTATCTAACATTCCTGGTCTGAACCTAGAGGTGCAAGAGGGCCAAATCAACAGTTTACAATCTCCTGTTAATTTATATTTTTTCACCACCTCATACCATATTTCTAATGTTCCTCTCACGACCAAGTTTTCTCCCTTAAGGTCTCTGTATTCTTTCCCACTTAACCTTGACTGTGGAGGGGCTTGGCCTTGGCTCATCTCAATGTCCTTCCATCGGGCTTGATAATTCGGAGAGCACCAATACACAACATATCTTAACTGTGCTGCATAATAATACCCTCTTAAGTCTGGCAGTGCCAATCCTCCATTTTCTTTGTCTAGCTGAAGGGTCTTGAGTCTTATCCTCGGTCTGGCTCCAGCCCAAATGAATCTGGATATTAGCTTATCCCATGCTGAGAATTGTGCGTCTGGTATTCGAACTGGGAGCGACAGAAAAAGATACAACAACCTAGGCAGGAGGTTCATCTTGATCACCTCAATTCTTGAACTGAAGTCCATTATTAGTGTTGACCACTTTGCTACATCTCTTTGAATTTTATTGTTTATTAACTTGTAGTTTGTCTCATAAGTTCTGTCAAGTTCTTGAGTTATTATCACTCCTAGGTATTTAATTGACCTAGCATTCCAAAATAAGTTATATTTCTTCCTGAATTTTTTATTTGGCTTATAGTTAAAAGTTAAAACCTGAGTTTTAGACATATTTAGTTTGTAGCCTGACATTGATCCATATTCTTCTGTTATTTTTACTAGTTTGGTAAATGTTGAATTTGGGTTTTGAAGGTAGGTGATTATATCATCAGCGAATAACCCTATTTTATGCTCATCTCTTGCTATCATGATTCCTGTCAACTCATCTTCCTGTCTAATTGCTTAGGCGAGTGGCTCTATGAAGATTGCGAAAAGGGCGGGGCTAGCACAACAACCTTGTCGTGTCCCTCTGTGCAGCTTAAAGGTGTCTGTCAGGTGTCCATTAATTTTGACTCTAGCTGATGGGTCAGTATACAATGCCTTAATGCATTTAATGAATTTATCATTAAATCCCAATTTCTCTAATACTTTATATAAAAAATCCCAGCTGACCCTGTCAAACGCTTTTTCGGCGTCTAAGCTGATCAGGGCAGCACATGTATGATGTTTGTTAACGTGATCTATAATATGGAGGGTGCGCCTGATATTGTCCTGTGTTTGGCGTCCCTTAACAAAGCCTGTTTGATCTTCATGTATCAGGTCAGGCAGAAAACATTCCAGTCTTTTAGTAATTATGGATGTGAACAATTTGTAATCGACATTCAAAATCGATATTGGGCGGTATGACTCACAGTATTCCTTGTTTTTCCCCTCTTTGGGAATGACGGTTATCACAGCATCCTTCCAGGACGGTGGTGCTATAGCTTTCTCAAGAGTCCAATTGAATGATTCCAGTAATATCGGAGCTAGGACTTCTTTGAATTTTTTGTACCATTCATTTGGATATCCGTCGCTCCCAGGACTCTTATTAGACGCCAGTCTACCTATGGCTTTATCCAATTCGTCTTTAGAGATCGGGGCGGTCAGATATCCATTTTGTTCTGAGCCTATTGAGGGGAGATCAAGTGAAGACAGGAATTGTTTTATTTTCTCTTCGTCAGCCTTCTCAGGCTGTGAATATAAAGTTTCATAGTAGTTTTTAAACATTCTGTGAATTTCTTCTGGGTCGTATTTTAGTGTATTTGATAAAGGGTCCCTTATCTTATGGACTGAGTTTGTTATTTGTTGTGTCCGAAGACGCCTCGCCAGTATTCTGGTGGCCTTTGGGCCTGATTCATAGAAGGTTTGCTTCATGAATCTCATTTTATTTTCTGTTTCATCTTTAATTAAGTTTTCTATCTGTTTCCTTATAGCTTTAATCTGGTCTCCTATTGTATCTTTCTTTTCATTTTTAGGAAGTTGTTTTTCTAGTTTTTCTAATTCCTTTTCTAGTTGATCATATTTTGATCTCTGCATTTTCCTTAGATAGGCCGTTCTTGATATGAGCTTCCCTCTCATAACTGCTTTGACCGTGTCCCAAACAATAGTCGGGTCGACATGGTCATCCTTATTATCATCTATACATTCTCCTATTTCTTTTTGGATTTCTTCCACTGTTGATTTATTGTTTAAAAGTCCTACATTCAATCTCCATAGCGTATTTCTTGGTTTACTGTTTAGGTGTATATCGAGGTAAACAATACTATGATCGGATATATCTGCTGTTCCAATTTTGCACTCATTTATCTTATGTCTATCTATAGTATTTATCAGAAAAAAGTCCAGCCGAGAGTGTACTTTGTGTGTAGCTGAGTAATGGGTATATTCCCTTTCTCTTGCATGGATATTTCTCCATACATCAATCAAGCCTGTCTCTCTTATCAGAGTATTTAGGTATTTTGATTTGGGGGATCCCTGTCTGCTCGTGCTTGTTGTGTCAAGCTGATAGTTCAAAATAGTGTTCCAATCCCCCGAACAAACAAGTACCCCCTCACTCTCACGTACAATTAGGTCAAATAAGTTTTTAAAGAACGATATATTACACTCTGGAGGAGCGTAGACATTCACAAATGTGACCAAAACATTATCCATCTTGCCTTTGACTAATATATATCTACCTTCATCATCCCTTTTTGTTTTAATCGGCTCAAAATGTAATGAATTAGATATCATTATCACGACCCCTCTCTTTCTGCTATTTTTACATGAACTATAATATGTATTAGAGTATCCAAAATTGCTTAGTTTCTTGTGTTCTGAATTGGTCATATGTGTCTCTTGTAAAAATATTACTTGGGACTTATCTTTCCTCATTTTTGCCAGCACCCTGCTCCTCTTGACCGGATTACTCAAGCCGTTAACATTCAGTGAAGCTATTTTCAATTTATGTGGCATTATCACTCAAATATAAGAAGAAATGAATGGCTTTGTAATAGTGTTGTCCCCCAGACAACCCAGAAAAACAAAAAAGAAACAAAGACAGAACAATGTCGACTGAACATAGTAGAAAAACAGACCTCCAAACTGGGAGGAGGTGACTCCTCACCGAGACCCCGTTGGTGGGTCGAGGGAAAATCCCATCCCTAAGATAGGGCCCTATACATAGGGTGGCTTGGCCATCTAAAGGAGAAAACCCTACCATCCTAAAGTCCAACGTCAATCATTGAATTTAAGGTCGTCACTCCCAGACGTTTATTTAACAATAGCCTATAGCCTTGAGAAAGAAGCCTTATCTTTGTCCAGTTCAGCTCTTATATTTCGGTTTTAAAGTGGCAGCAGTTTTACCAGTCTGTGATGGTTTCTACTTCTTTATTTTACCTCCCTTGCGCTGGGGTTCGTCTCTCTGAGCAGTGTTATCACTCTGGAAACTCTGAAGTTTATACCGCGCTCTCCGGGTCACGTCGTCCTCTGCCCCGAGGGATCCCGTTACTCTCTGCCACGACCCCAGCAGCTCTCCCAGGCGCGCTCCCCAGTCGGTCTCCCCGTTGGTCGGCGTCGCCTCCTCCACGGTGATCCCGCGTCTCCTCAGCTCCTCTCTCGCCTCCTCCGCGCTGCCGTATAGCCGGGCTCCCGTCTCCCAGTGGATGCGCATGTTGACATAAGGTGTTTGGAAACGCACTCCTTTCACTTTCAGTGCCTTTTTAATCCCGTTATATTCTCTGCGTTTCTTCACCACCTCTGCAGTGTAATCGTGATCAAAATAGAGGGGCTTGTTATTCAGCTGGATCTTTTCCGTTCTGTTTTTCCCCCAGGCTTCCTTTAACACCCATTCTTTGGTCGTAAACTCCTGGAAATTGACGATAAATGCCCTCGGGGGTTTGTCTGGAGCTGGCCTCTGAGCCCCGGTTCGGTGTGCGCGCTGGATCTTTAGCTCCATGTCGGCCGGGATCGGTAGTTTGCTCCGGAGTAGCGCCTCGACAAACTCCTGCGCCGAGTTTCCCCCCTCTTCTCCTTCTGCCACCCCGAAGATGCGGAGGTTATTGCGTCTCGATCGTGATTCTAAATCGTTTAGTTTTTGCTGCAGGACTTTTTGCTGTTTCAGGCAGGAGGTCAAGGCCTCAGTTGATTCAGCCGCCCATCTCTCCACCGTCTCCACCCGCGACTCTGCCTCCTCCACTCGGTCCGATAGGTTACGGACTTCTGCCCCCAGCATATCCAGTTTACCGTTTATTTCTTGTCCAAGATGTGTGATTTCTTGTCGCAGAGTGTTGTTGTCGCCTTTTAGATCAGTTTTTAGATCGTTGATTGCCTTAATTATGTCCGCAGGCGCCATGTTGTCCTGGTCTACTTTGCCGCTGCTGTCTCTGGCTGTCGTCGTGTTTTTCTGTTTTGGAGGCTCTTTTTCGTCGTTTTTTGGTTTCGGCGTGTCCTTCCCCAATCCATCTAAGTTTTTTATCAAACAATATTGAATTTTAAATTACTCTTGGGTATAAATTGCGGTTTGTCTGGGAGAGCGATCTCGCGTGCGTGTGACTACTCCATGAGCCAACCCGGAAGCCCGTCTACGAATATTTTGCCGATGTTTAAACTTGTCTCTGTTAACGAATGCAGATCTAGGATGTACGCACGTGCGTCCAAATGGAAATAAAACAACGGCTAGGTTTTCAAAATAAAGCAACACACTTTTATGGCATGTTGATGATTTGATTGACTGACCTCATGAAGGGCCAGACAGGGACATCCAAAGGGCCCTCGGGCCGTAAAATGCCCAGGTCTGCTCTATACAGAGCACTGCTGGCCGGGGCTGCACTACACTGCTGCCACGCTCCAAATATGCATCCTGCATGCAATACCTTATGCTGCTCTACGGAGCAAATACGGAACGTGCTTAACACGGATCCTGTATGTTTTCTGCTTCAGTCATGAAATAAAGCACTTGTAGTGGACATACTTTGATAATGCACAACTGGTCAAATAACGTTTAAGCTTGATTTGCGGCTGCTCCATTTTCCTTCAACACATAAGAACCCCTAGGAAAAAAGGGCCCAAAGTTCCTCTTTAATGCTACAGTTAGACCAGTCGACCCTGGAGATCAATCGTATGTCTTGTATGGTGTGTCATAGTGAACAACAATCAAAGCCACATCTGGGATGCTTCCAAAAGGTCTGTCATGTCTTTCTGTCTGTCATGATATGTCCCATAATGTCAGTGATGTTGATTAATGAGAGTATTAAGTGGTCTGCATGTGCTAAAATCACTAGTGTAAGCAAACTAAACGGTGAAGGCAAAGTAGAATGGTGAAGTTGTTGCTGCGAGATGAAACAATGAAACAGAGGAAAAGTTTGACGAGCTCTAGAAACCACATCCATGCCTTCCAGATGTGTTGTGAAGGGACTGCCACAACCTTAGGCTGTATCAAATATCAGCATAGCCTCAGTGTCACTCAATCATTTCTGATGCAGAGTTTTGAAGCCTGTTGTTGGTGGTTGCCATATCAGAAAAGCTAACTCAAGCTAAACTTTGGTCAGCCTGAAAAGAGGTAACGAGGCAAACCTTTAACCTCCATGCTAAGAGCTAAAGTGTATCCTGGCGGTCAATTCATAGGTTTTCTTTTGTGGTAAAAATAGACTCTTCTGAATGGGTGTGTATGTGGCTTCTTGTGCTTTTGGAGCCAGCCCCAAGTGTACATTCAAGGAACTGCAGATTTTAACACTTCTGCACTGACTTCATTTTTCAAAAAGTGAAGGTTGCTGCTTGACCTCGACAGACCAAAATTGGGGAAATTTGACAAGAAATAGTTGGCACAATCCAGTAACCCAGTGAGTAGCAGTAGTTATCATTTTCCAGGTGTTGTCTAGCCCCACCTCTTTTGTCCTTCTTGTATTATGCTATCTGTGGGGATTAGTCAGGTACTGCTGTACAGTCTGTCATGTTTTTTGTTCTGGCTGGATCACAGTGATGTGGCTCAGTGAATGCCCATTTTAATGCAGTGACCATGGTGATGGATGAAATGTTAGAAAAAACTTTAGAGAAAACCCCAGAGAACAAAAAGTTCATGTCCCCAAAATGTCTAACTATTCATTTAAGATATAAACACAAAGACCAGCAAGTAAGTCAGATAATTTGATGGATTTTCAGCTTTCTTTTTTCCCCACTAGTGGAAAACAGTTGAATGAGTTAGCGCAGTTAAAACTCCAGCCTGAGTGCGAGTGTGAGCTCATAGATTTTTATGTAACACAAGAAAAGGAAGGACGGATCAGAATCTGCAATGGAAATTAAGGTCCTGCTTCACTCTCTAGTGGAAATGTCCAGCCTGCAGTCCTGTTTAAGCCAAATCTGGAACTTAACAGCTGAAGTCTTAACAACTAAACCACAAAGCATCATATCTGCAGAGAGGAGGAGATGAGAGGAGGATACACGCTGGGGTATCACTCAGACCTCAGGGGGGTAATGACTTTGACATGTTGCAGCAAACTCTGATTTTTTTTATATCTTTCTTTCTATGATCAAGGCCACTCATCATACACACCTGTCCAACTTTTTACCTGAATGTTCGGCCAACTTTTCTCACCCATCAGCAAGAACAGCTCACAGAGAGAAAATGCACCACCGGGGAAAAAATGCTGCAACCAAAGTCCTTCATTTTACTGAGACTGTATGAGTACAAATCTATAGTACAACTCTTTGTTACCACACACACACACACTCCACACATTGTCCAACAGTCTCTCTGCACCTGGAACACTTGCATCACTTACGGGCAATGGGTGTCATGGCAACTGTTTCTTAGGAGACGGCTGAAAAGCTGGCTGATGAGGATGATGAAGCAGCAGAAAGAGTTCGTGAACAGCTTGGGGCAAAAAGGTGATCCACCTCATTTGACCCCAAAGTGACCGTTGAGCTCTGAATGCTTAGTGCGTGTAACTCGAGGTGTCAAAGATTGTTTCCGTCCTCCATTATTTAATAAAGGGTTGTTTCATTTAAAACAAAATCAAGAAATAGTGACTCAAACACACCCAGACATTGTCGGAGAGCTCATGTTTTGGTCAAAACTGTCAGACAACAGTCCAAACTTCAACAGGAAATGACTTAGTAAAACTTTTATAAAAGCAGAATCATCAACATTAGGAAGCAAACACAAGCGTATCAGTATTTTTAGGAGAATTTTGCAGGAATGAGTTATAACGGCACAAAAATAGTCACTTCAATAAAGTTAGAATAGGGTTTGTGATAGGATCTCTTGCAAATGCCATGTTATGGTGAAGTTGGGACATTGACCTTGATGGTCCATATATATAGTCTTCACACCTGGAGCCCACATCTTGAGATTCATTGTTGTGGGTCAAAAAGCATGAGGAAAACCAAGCAAAAGAAAAAAGAAAAGAAAAGAAAAGTTTGGTCTATATTCCTAAATGTCATGAAGCTAAGAAAAATCCTCAGAGCGTATGAAAAGGCTCCAACAGCTGCAAGATGCTGATGTCATAGAAGCTCTATCTATTATTTATAGAATATAGCAGTGAAAAGTAAACTGAACTGCATGTAAGAAATTGGTGGAGTGCCCCTTTAAGTTTATTCCTACAGGAATTTAAAGCTCCTGAGAGGAGTTTTTGACAGGTTTTGCAATAAACTGAAATGAATAGTGATGCTTTTTTTATGATCTACAGAGTGGAATAAATAATCAGAGTGGATGATACATCTCACCTCGAAAAGAAAGGAGGGTGAGATCTTCTTATCTAAAAACATTAATTCACATGTACGAGACAAAATTAACAAATAACGGACAGGTCTCACTTAATCCACAGGGGGCGCTGGAGTCAACACAAACACAAAGTTTCTTACAGTAGCTTTGAGGACCTCTGCAGTGACCAGATGATACAGAGCCATCTATTGAGCCTCAAGATTGGATATCAGACTTTGGATTAATACTGCGTTCCAGTTGTACTCAGAAGTCGGGATTTCCGGGCTCTGAGTCAGAAATACATCTGGAGTTTCCGATCCGGAAAGTCGGATGATCCTCGCCAACCCCGACTTGACAACGTCATAAATCAAGATGACAGTGAGTGCATTAACAGTATAGAGTGACAGTGAAAGCTCTCACAGTGGATTATTTATTAGCATTTCTGTTTTGTTTTTGTGAAATTAAGTAAGTGGTATATGTTGTTCTGCCTAACGTCTAACTCTGAACACGGTGCTTTGGTGTTTGTAGAGTAAAATACAATGTTGTGTGTTGTTTACAACTGGTATTGCTAACAACAACTAACAACCGCTGACAACGGCTAACAACTGCTGACAATTGTAAACAACAGCTAACGACAGGTAATTGTAGGCGTCTATCTTGGTTTTCCAACTGGAACGCTATAAACTTGGGTGTAGCGTCATTCCCAGCTCTGACTTCCAAGGTAACTGGAACGCAATATCTCCATATTCAAATAGACTGTATCATCAAATAGACCCCCCCCCCCCCCCCCATAAAGCAGTCTTTGCTTATCTTGTCTTGTTAAAGTCGAGTCTTCTGACAAAAAGAAAATTGTCATCCTGCTGATTTTGACAATCAAATGGATCATTTATTGTGAATATTGACACATACCATCTTACACCTGTTTTAGGCAGGAAAAAATTACGATTTTAAGGAAGTCAGTCTTGTTGCTAATAGTTTTGTTTGCTCTTTTGTGTCATGAAAAGATTTTAAGATGAATTCCAGTCTATTTCATTAACGTTAGAAAAATCCTCACAGGAGCTTTAAGTCAGAAAGTTGTATGTTCATTACCTCACAGTTGCCTATGACTACTTTAAGAAGTACAGCTATTTTGATGGGACCAGTGGATTTCAGGCTGGGGTTACTTAAGGTTCCCAGAGTTCGAACTTCTCGGGGAATTCCAGATGAGGCATCTTGGAATTTCTGACTAAGTTGTCCGTAATGCGCAAAAACAGATATGCAAAATCATCATGAGTTGTTTATCATATGTCCTTCTACATTTTAGAAAGTGTCTGTTAATCATTTGTGGCTCCTTTATCTTTTATAATGCTCTGGACCCTCTTTATGATGCTGACTTTAAAGGGTAAGTACACAAGTTTTGATGCACCGGTACCTGTGGATTTAATATTTAACACCCACGCTGCAGAGTTCACATTGTTCACTGATGGATCTCTGTGAACAGAGGCTGCTGTGTTCAGTGCTGACTTTGTCTGATGATGTTAAAAGAGCTCCGGTAAATTTCCACAGGTACCTGGGTTGACCTCATGCAGCTCTATGATGGTAATAACCGTCACGGTCCTCCTATAGTGACCCTGCAGGGAACAGAGTTACGGAAGCCTGTCTGTTTTCAATGTACCACGGGGGTAATTGAGCGCGTTTCCCGTAAGGAGGAAGTTAACGGTGCAAGCCTGTGAAGAAAAAAAGTAATCACATGACTCGTTATCTGCCCGGATACTCCTGCTGTAGCGGAGTGAGGAGCAACAACAACACAGCAGCGCTCCGCTCATTCCCACCCACATGTTATGACTCACGCATGACTCACCAAACGTGACGGTAAGTCCGCTACTTCTCTGGAATATCAGCACACACACACACACACACACACACACACACACACACACACACACACACACACACACACACACACACACACGGATAACTTATAGCCTCCTGCCGGGAATCCATGCCTTTCTGATTTATTTTCCCTTGTCCCGTTTTCTTTTTAATCCCTGAAGGGCTCTGCTCAATTTGTCTCGCCTGTTTCAGTCTAAAGCGCCTCAGTGAAAACGAAACCATGAAACCCTGAAACCCTGCAGTGAAACACAAGGCTGCTGCTAACTTTCTCTGAGGGAAGGCTCCTTATCTGAAAATATGAAAAAAACAGTTAATAAAAAGAGAGAGGGATTACAACTTCACATTCATATTTCTGCTCATAAAAGACTACAGATCAGCAGTAGTGAAAATCTCTCAAATATTCCCACCTATCTATACATGTACTCTCTACTATATTTCACAGTGTATGTCTGAACTGTATCTGACCAGCATGAGATTTAATTGGGAAAACCCTTCCTTTTCACTGAACTATGAACCCCAGTTTGCAAACTCTATCTTTGTTGTGTGTGTGTCTCTGCAGGAACATTGCTAGAGAGACCAGAGCAGCTGTGAGAAGTGATGGTTCAGCTCGGATAACAAAAAAAAAAAAATGCTTTGAGACAATCTGCGGTTTGAGTTAGAGCTAAGGAAAAGTGAAACTCAGTTCAGATTCATACCAGAGATTGTGCACACTTAAACATTTTTAAAGGGATATTCCGGTGTAAAATTAATTTAGGGTCAAACACACTGTAACACCGAGTTAGACACCCCCTCGAGAGATGAATGTTGCCGACTGCTTGCTTCTCTAGTTTTACCAACTTTAGTAACGACCGCACAGTAGCAATACACAGCGGTCTGAGGAGCCATCAACAAACTTCAACCAAAACGCCACTCTATAGCCACAAATAATGCTCAGAACAGCACCTAACTTCATCAACAGTACATATAGGGTTCTAGCCACCAAACATCTTTTTAGCTTTGCCTAATTTCTTTCACAAAGAGACTAAACACAACTCACCTACTCTCTTCCAGCAGCCGCTTGTTTGTAGCGAGACCCCAGGCCAGTTCATTATGGACTGCTGCGGGGTGACGCAGCTGAAGGAAGAACATTTATGATCATTTCTTTATCATTTCCTCGAAGTAATAATCATCATATTAATCATTTTGCATTGCAGATGCGGAAGCAGCTAGAGGAACAGCTCAGTTTTAACAGTTTCCACCTCAGTAAATGATACATTTGACTGTCAAAAGTCTGCAGGATGACAGTGATTGTAGATGACAAGATCAGCAAAGATTGCTTTGTCCACAGAGTGTGCCAAAATTGACACAAACTGAAAGTTCCCCACAGGGGCTTTAACTAAATCGGTATGAATTTGATCAAAAAGTGCGCTTAAACCCTGCTTACGCATCAGTCTTGCAGCTATAACAACAAAAACAAAAACATGTAACTTTCATAGAGGGCTTTAGTCAGCATAAAAAGATTTGAACTTTTCAGCTGCAGGATATCTTGACTGTAAACAGACGGATAAATCTTTTCACTGAATTCAGTCAAAATGAAACCAAAACCATTGGAACCAAAAGAGAAACAAAACACAAAAAAGTAAAAGTGAAAATAAAAGCTCAACAAAAACAAATAAAAGCTGAACAAGAAGAAAACAGAGGGCTACAGCATATTTATGTTTTATTAGCTTTCAGCAATGATAAAATCAAATTATCAACCAACACTGATATTTCTTACATGTAGAGACGCCTACTAGTTTCCTGTTTTTGCACATTTATTATTACACTTGGTAGATCTTTCCAGATTATAATTTTGTAGACAAATCACACCTGACTGCTGTTAAAGAAACTGAGAGGAAATGAATGAAAAAAAAAAAACAATTAAGCTTTTTTTCAGCACTCCATCAATTATCAACAAACTGTGCAAACTTTTTTTGTTAATTAAACACAGATTGGTTAATTGAAGAATGTCTTTCTCATACTATAAACAAAGATACAAAAGGTCTGTTTTATCTTTACAAAAGACGATCAAGACCACTGAAGAAAAAAACTGGGGTTTGACTTTTTTTTCCTTAGAATTCTGAGTATAAAGTCAGGATTTTAACTTTAAACAAAGTTGCAAGAAATCTGAGAGAAAAAGTTTACATGTGAACTTTAGTCTCAGATTTCTGCGAGGAAAGTCAGAACTTTGAGTTAGAAGTCCAAAATCTGTGAAAAATAAAATCAGGAATCAGAGTTTTAAAAATGTTCAGACCAAGTTCAGGCCCCAATGCTCTTCCGTACAGCTGGTATCACTGTGGGCTGTTAAAGTAGTGCTGACCTGGACTCTACATTGTGTGTGCAGAAATGTTGTTCAGTTAGAGTATCACCAGTACGATCTAATGCAACCACAAACTCTCCTTTATAAAGATATTATTTATTAGATATGAGGAAGTCCTTTCAGTTTACTGCACTCCAGCACACCCACTACAAGTCCAACAGCCACCAGAACAAGTTTTCCCTGTCTGAGCCTGTCAATAAAAACTGAGAAAGCAGAAGCTTCCTTCAAGTAGGTTTGATGATGGAGCTGCAGTTTTGAGGGCATTAGACTGCACAGGTGTCTTAAAGTTATGAGGAAGTGGTGTTGTCTCAAAGGGAAAGGTTGTCTGACACAAAGATGAGATGTTCGGAATTTTCAAATATGTTGTAAAATTGACAGAATTTCCTTGTGTAGGTTTTTTAAGTGGAGACATTTTTGCTAAGTCCCCCTCCAGAGCGGTGACTATCCGAGCTTCATGTCTAAGCTGGAGATGTTTTCTTCTAACAGTAACTGCCACTTACTGTGGGTTACACTTTCCCCATACATTAGTTCTCAAACCACACTCCCTTTAAAGTCCAAACTACACCTTTCTCAAATAGTTGGTTTTCCAAAAATTGGGTCCAGATGTGTGCCTGAAGAGACGCTGTGGTAACAGTCTTTGCTGCACCTTTATTTTAAAGGACATACATTTTCTATGACACTGTACTCTTGCAGTAGTAGTCGTAAAGTAGCCCATTTGCCTGTTATTCATCCACCATTCATCAAGTTAGACCTGGGTCATGACTATCATTAAGGTGTTGGTGAGTCCTGAGAAAAGAGAAGAAGTGCTGCCCTGAAGCACAAAGTAAGTAAGTCTACAGGAATACTGGCCTTTAAAGGAAAGGTCCCACATCTTTGTGAGTGTGCTTAAAGCACCTGTGTGGGGCGTTTTATCTGGTCCTGAAAGAGTGGAAACAATACTGACGCCTCTTTGTGATAGAGAAAAGCAAACAAGACCATCCAAAAAAAAAAGACTGTTTCCATTTAGTCATTGTTTATGTCTGAAACTGCTGGTGAGGGGTAGGAGTCAGACCAGGTGATTAACCGCATGAAGCTCATACAGCCTGTGTTTGAATATGTTTCTTAGGAAAATTCTCAATCAGTGATATATTTGGCCATTAATAACAGCAGCATGAGACTACTGTTGAGAAATATTTTTTTTACACAAACTCACCCCTGAGCTGTAAGTGAACTCCACAGGGTAGTGATTCCAGTGTGACTTCAACTCAGTCATTATGTCCATGAAGCAGGTCCGAAAAGTCACAGTTTGGTCCCAAAAATCCAATAAAGTGACTTGAAAATAACGCAAATATTCATATCATGTCATAATGACTGACTCTAGCTAATCCAGTTATATCCCTGTGCCATACTGACTCAAGCGGTCTCAACATATTGAAGCTCCTGTGAGGAACTTTCAGTTGTGTCCACTTTGGCGCCCCCCTGTGGACAAAACAGTCTTAGCTGATCATGTCCTCCTCATCCTCAATTTGTGTCTGCTGACCAAAAATCTCTGCTGACTTTTGAGATTGAAATGTATCATTCATTGTGAATATCGTATGTGGAAATCGGCTGACACCTACTTTACAGCAGTTTTAAGCATTAAAAATGAAATACAAATCATCTGTTACCTTGCTGATGGTCTTGTGTGCTTTTGTATATCATAAAAATGCATGAATATGAATTTGGGTCCATTTATCAGATGTCAAAAAAACTCCACTGGAGCTTAAATCAAGTTAAATCAGGTAAGACATTTTTTGCGGTTTTAATTTTTGAGGGAAAATCAGAGGCCTCCTGTTTTCTCATGGATCATGATGGACTTATAGAAGGTTGAAGTTCAACACTGTGGTGAATTTGTCTTATTTTAGAAATCACTCTGTAGCTGTTTCCAAGTGTTTAAAGACTTTTCATCAAGTTAAACGAACTGAAGATCTTGTAATTGATGAAAAAAAAGACAACAGTGTGGAATCAATCTTACATATTTCCCAACATGCAGTTTTCCTCTGGGTTTGAAATCAGAAATAAACAGATTTTATACAAGTTAAAAGGACCCCTAGATAATCCTGTAATTTTCTTTCAGTGGGACAGAGAGCCCTTCCTCTTGGATCGATCCACAGCAGCCCTTCGAGTTCAGAGCTGAATGAAGGCAGAAAGTGAAAGTCTTGTTTCTTCTGACAAAGTTTCAATTACATTCCTCTTTTTTAAAATCAAGGCTGCTCGGATTTATACTGTTCCTGCTTTGGTTTGCTGGAGACTGTTAAAAACGTAACTTCACAGTTCGGATTTAGGGTCTCTGAAGAAGAAGACATCAGCTCTGACGAGAAAGTGCTGACAGTCTGCGTTTCCACAGACTATATATGTGATCGAACTCCACACTCTCAAGTTAAAAACTTCGATTTTACCCGGTCAGTGTCTGGTAGCAGCTGTCACCGCTGAGGGCAGGTGACTCGTGTGTGACCCGGCATGCTGCAGATGCCGCAGGTCCGAGCTTTCTTAGCAGCTGGAGGTTTGCTGGCTGTATTGTCTGCCATTATCTTCTTTCCTCTCCTCGCTCCGTCTCCACCAGCATTAAATCCACCAAACCCCCCTGTAAGACCAGAGCAGAGTGGACACAAAGAGCATGAGAGGTTTAGAGGTCACTGCATTAAAAACACAAACAATGTTTCTGTTTAGACTGTGTCAGTGCGGTAAGTGAACGCCTCAAGGTCTCAGTGGGAGTGTTTGTGAGTCGTGACAGCTTTTTCTTTATCATGGAGTAAAGTTTCTCTCTCTCTCTCTCTCTCTCTCGCTCTCTCCCTTTCTCTGGTGTTTGATCTGGGTGTGAATCTTTCTGTTCTGTTTCTTCGTGCAAAGACGTTTCTGATAAACAAACTGTGTTTTTAGAAATCACACAGAGAGCCGAGCTAGTTCCAGCCTCCCGGTGTAAATGATTTGACAGCCAGTTTAATGCAGTCACTGTTTAACAGTTCAAAACATATCAAACACTCTGCAGATGTCTAATGTATTGTTTGTGTTAATGCTTTGTCAGATGTTCTTCCTTTAATGTGAGTCTGCTGGAGACGCAAGAAAATATTCAGAGGAGTTTAACATTAAAGAGAGATGAGGTGATGAAATTATACCACATACCAAAACTGAAAAACATCTGAAGAAGTTTTTTTTGTCTTAGTCAGATTCAAAGTCAGCAGAGAGAGACAGGAACAAAAATATCTGAGATATGGATATGAATCCTTTGAAAGGTGTCTATAGTGCCGTGTGTTACTGTGGTATTTAAGGATCTTATTTCCATCTCAGGATGAATAAGTAGCTGTTATTAAACTCTGTGTCGCTGCTTTAAGTTGAAACATATCAGAGGAAAAAGGTTTAATTTTCATTTTCATCAAGAGTGAGAAACTGCAGCTTATGTTAAGCATAAATAGTGTTCAAATGTCCACCTACTCAAGCTCTAAAACATGCAGTTATTGTCTACCACTTCCTCTTTCACATAGCAAAGATTAGTAGGGATGTCTTCATCTGATGTTGATATCGGATATCAGTCTGATAAAGAATACTGAATTATATCGGCCTGCATTGAACATCCCTGATATCAGCACCCTGTTACAAGCAGTCCATTCCAGACTCCACTCCAGCACCTGTATCTAGCAGCGCCTGGATCCAGCATGCAGAGCCTAGGTAATCACAACAACAGTGTGTACTGAGGTACTAACAAAGTAGCAAGGAGTAGGAGTGATGTCGACTGTGTGGCAGTATTTTTTAAGCCTGAAAAAGACATTTCAGCTGAGTAAAAAACTTGTCAAGCACAGGTTTGTGTCAATATTGGATCTTCATTCTCAGAAGAAATTGATTTGACAACAAATTCATTATGGTGAGAAAATTATTTTAGTAAGAAGTTATTCTTTTAACAACATGACAAAAAAAATCTGGCCCCAATTCTCTGTCGTAGTATTCAGATGTAGTGGTCCAGGGATATCACTTTCTCACCAGCTGGTCGTCAATCTATTATGCCAATGTTAAAAAGATTTTGTAGAGCCGTTTGTAATTATTAAAACAAAAAAAAAAAAGATAATATTCTCATTGAAAAGGAAATGTACAACTCTGTTATTCCATGCATATTACAATTTAACATCAACATCAGAGTCAGCTTCAGCTTTAGATGGATTTATCTTTCCATGAAACAGATCAACTCATCAGTCTGTGCTTTAGATTCCAGAGCATGACAGATATCTATTTCAGACTCAATATTAAACTCTTTTATTCCACAATAATTATATTTAACACCTGCTGGGAACTCTTTTAGATTTGATATGCATTCATTCAGGGTGGGAAAAATGTGATATCATTGAGAGGAAATGATGGTAGGAAATTTAAGTTCGCAGTTACAGCAGGGGTGCACAGAAGTTAAGGCAAAGGCACAGAGCTCAAAACTGACTTTTTCACCACCTTCACAAAGTTGCCAGACAGCGTCCGCACTAACGAGACTGCCTGTAGTGTCTGTGGACATTATTTGTAGGTGTTTAGAAATAGCTTTGTGAGCTGAGCTGCTGAGAAGTTCTTTTAAATGATTATATACACTCATAGAAACATACGGATTAAAGTAATATTCCGTTTCTGACTAATCTGCTCTGCTGAATTCTCCTGATTACAACATAGCAACAACTTTTTTTCACTTCTTCTACTTTTATCTTAACATGTAAACCACACTGTTAATTGGATGAGTCTCCACCTGAAACTCCATGAGAGTGAAGTCAAAATAAACCCTGTAAGAGGCGGGCTCAGACCTCTTATGTTGGTGAAGTAAAGCGGAGCGAGAGATCAGCTAATACCGTTCCTCTGATCAAAACACAGATCTAGCCGACTGATGACTTGGCAGAGACTCCAGGTCTGCTCAGAACAGATTCTTGTGTGGGTTTGAAGCAGACACTCATGGTTATGGAGAGTTCAATGACTCTTGTCTTAGAGTTTGTTACATTTCCTCTCGCTGTTCCTCCTCTGCTCTGACAAATCGCAGCGCAGCAGCAGGACTTTTCGATGCTTGTGTGTGTATATGAGTGTGTGTTTGAGCCTTACCTTGTGGTGGTACGTTCTCATCAGCCCACTGGAAGAAACCACACTGCTGATCTCTCGGTTTCCCGCAGGTGTGGAACATGCGTCCTTTATTCGGTCCGTCTTTCTGCACTGTGCGCGTCACCGCCGTCTCGTTGCAGTTACACATTGTCTGTCCTCCGTCATCTCCCTCCTGCCCTCTTCCTCCTCCTCGACTGTGATTGTTACCGAATCCCAAAGAAGGCCTCGGTGGCTGTGGTAAGTGCAGTGGAGGCCCTCTGCTCTGCGGCGGTGACCCCTGCTCGCTCGGCTGATCCGCCCACAGGAAGAAGTTGCAGCTGCCGGCGCTGCACTTGTAGAACTGGCGGCCTTGGTTGGGACCGTCTTTGCGCACAGTCAGGAGGACAGCATCCTGCCCACAGTTACACATAATGGCATCATTGTTGGTGTCCGTGCCAACGCCACCACCACTACCACCCCTTGGTGGATGTCTCGGCTGCGGGGTCCAGGAGGGGATGGATGGAAGGGAAGTTCGAGGGTTTGGGTTTGAGGGTCTGGGTGGTTTGGGTCTGGGGGGCCAAGAAGATGGAGGAAAGTGGTCGTCTCCTCTTCCTTGGCCCCCTCTCCCTCCAGAACCGCCTCCACCTCCCATGCTCCCTCTGCCATTCCCACCTTCTCCTGGTCCAGCTGCTCCAGCTCTGAGGTATTTCAAGTCCAGCACCTCTCTGAGCGTCTCGTCACATCCGCCAATGCAGCCGACAAACTCTAGAGGCATCGTGGGAGGAAGGCTGCCCCTGCGGAACTTAAACTTCAGCCTGAAGAAGGAAGGAAACACAGGAGACGGATGTTAAACAAGCCAGACTCCTCATCTACTCGAGCAAACCAGAAAACAAAACCAACAAAGCGGGAAAGTTCAAACCTCTGTTTAAGGAAATGCAAAAACCCTACATTACCGGTCCAAACATACGCAGACCAGGATTATAGAGGAACTTCCTTCTTTACTTGTCTAAGGCTTTGGACAAAGTTGACCGTGATTTTTTTAAGGCACAGATCTACAAGCATAAGACTCAAAGAAGAAGCAGTGGCCTGGTTTATAGACTATTTCCTCAGTGCATTAAGCATGATGAGTTTTATGTTGTGTTTCTCCACAGAGGTGTGCCACAGGACTCTATATTGTGTCTATTTTGTTCACCATTCATGTGGATAATCAAGGACAAAATGTTCTAGATGTTGTTTCATTTTCATGCTGGTGATTCTGTCCTATTGTATATTGAGACCATTGAGCTCAATGCTGAATGCATTTGTTCACAATACACTGCTTGAGCTAAACCTTGAACTAAGTTTAGACAAGAGGCTGACAGAGCCTTCCATCTGTACTCCATGTTCATTTTGTTCCTATTTCACAGGTCCTCTACAAGCTTTCAGATATGGACAAAATGTGGTATTGCCATTGTAAATTGCAGGGGAAGGATTGTGGGGTCAATAGTTCAAATCATTGTGTAAGGCACAAATGATAATGTCGTTCTTTCATAATTCTGAATCTCCCTTTATGTGTTGTCGTTAGGCCTGTCGCGATAATCAATAAATCGCCTTATCGCTCGGTAAATAAAAACGAGGTCGGTCATTTTGCCAGCCTCGATAATTAACGTGCGTTTCTTTTCCTCCTCTCTCGCTACCAAACACGCTGGATGAGAGAAGAGGTCTCACTCTGCGCATTTTTCTCGGCACCTGGGGGCGCTGGCTCTATAGCGGAATGAACGGAGTTAGTGAACCCTCCTGTCAGTCATTCAGTATCTTTGTCACGGGGGGGCGCGCGCACAGGTACACGTAGGCGCGCACAGGCACACAGACAGACTTTTGGATACAGTGCTACAAGTGAGCGTAGTGAGTGAAAAGCAAGCAACAGAATAAATACGACAGCTTTGGTGTCTAAACCGAACGCAACAGCCCAAGTGTGGGAATATTTCAGCTTTAAACCAGTTTTGTTCTCGTCAACCACAAAACTCCACGTGTTTGCGCGCGCGCTCGTGTGTGTCTGTGTGTTGGAGGAGCACAGCAGGCTGATGAGAGCTGTCAGAGCGGACTGAAGCTGCTCCTATATGTTTAGCGTTTAACTTACTGAGTTTTGCAACTCTGTTCGTCATTTTCGTCTCGTCCCATCAACGTAAACGCACTTTCGTCTCGTCACATTTTAGTCATCTCCGACTTGTTTAGCTCGTCAACGTTACGTCTTCGTCGTGGGTAAAATTAAAGTTTATCACTTTTGACACGGTGTACTCGCATTTTTATGCCATTTGATATCATTATCTATAATTTAAAAAAACGGTGTCAATAATATCGTTTATCGGCAATAATTTGTAGCACAATTATCGTCCAGCAAAATTTGTTATCGTGACAGGCCTAGTTGTCGTGTTAAAATGGTGTCACAGCCTGATATACAGATGTATAACTAAAACTCTTCCATCATCACCAAGTTCACTGTTGTCCAAAAACTTTTGGCTTCTCTTCATTTTTGGGGTAACTTTTGAGTCTGAGCGGTGCTGTCTGGTGGATGTACTGCTTAAAGTCCATTCCACTGCAAAGGTGCATAAAGGTAAGTGGGCTGTGACACCTTAAGCAGTAACATTATTGATAAATGGAAGAATAGTTCTGCTAATTTTAAATCAAATTTCAGATTGTTTTAGCACCATATTGCGGATCTAACACCAATCCTGTGGTAGAGGGTTTAAGGCATTAAACATCATTAAAAAGTGTGAAGAGATCACCTGTCCTGCTCCAGATAGTCTGATTTGCTTTTAGAGGTCATGAGGAAGCATCTGTATTAAAGGGATATTCCGACGTAAAATTAAGTTAGGGTCAAACACACCGTAACACTGAGTTAGACACCCCGTCGAGAGATGAATGTTGCTGACCGCTTGCTTCTCTAGTTATACCAACTTTAGTAACGACCGCACGATAGCAATTCAGAGAGCCACATGATCAACCAAAACGTCACTCTATAGCCACAAATAATACTCAGAACAGCACCTAACTTCATCAACGGTACATATAGGGTCCCAACATTCATCTCTCGAGGGGGTGTCTTACTCAGTGTTACGGTGTGTTTGACCCTCACTTAATTTAACGCCGGAATATCCTTTTAATTTCACTGCTGCGTGACCAGATAAAACCCCCTCACTGGAGCTTTAAACCCCTGTTTGTCCACCCACAGTTGGATAAGTTGAGGCTTTTCAAAGTACATTATCTGTAAGCCATGATTAAATTCTGTCAGTGTTCATGACTCTTTTAGTTTTGTTTCAGTAAATGTAGAAGAATGTAGAAGATAGAGGTCTACCTTACAACATTTCTGTTCCATTTCATGACATTTTTGAGAGTGTCAAAGTGTTTGGAAGTGTGTGAAAGACAAAAAGGTTTGTTTTCCAGTCTTTGTGAGTTGTGGTTGTGGGTGGATTTAAAGGGAAATTAAATCCAGGAAATATTGAAGAGGAGTTTTTTTTTTTTTTTTTTTTTTGGATAAATTTTTTTTTGTCAAGGCAATGAAAAGTGATCAAACCACACTGAATGCTGTCGAGCTAACTGTGACCAGATCTGTAAAAAAGTGAACTCTGTATTAAAACCAAACCCTGAAAAACTACAAAAACTCTTTTTTTTCACAGCCGAGTCCCTGAAATGTGTGCGACATAAAACCAGCTAGTAAAAACATGTAGGTCCACGCTCCTTATAGAAATGTGTGTGTATCTGTGTGTAAGTACAAAGTTGTATTAAACCCTGTGCTTCTGCAGCAGCGGTGGGAAACAGTTAATTACTGCACACATCTGCTGTGAACAAACAGCTTCTCCACTTATCTAACACTCTGAAACTGCTGGGTGAGCCTGATTTTAAAAAAAAAGTGATACAGTTTTAAAGAGAGCGCTGTAGCTCAACTTTGAGCTCTGTACCAGATTGGTTGCTATGGTAACAGATGCTGGTGTGCAGCACTTTGGCTTGGTGCTCATGGCCTATATTTGGACTGAGCTGAGGCACGTGCCCGAGGGGTTAACGCCTACAAGTGTAAACAGGAATTTTGACAAGTTTCTGATACCGCTGAAAACACACAGAGTTTTATCGTCGAGTGTTTTCATGAGTTCAAACAGCAAAGAGCGCCTCCGGATGCTTCTCAATTATCAGAGATGTGTTAGCTTTGTGTTCAGGGGAAAAAATTCTACTCTGAGTTGAAGTGACCACTGACAAGACTACGTCTTTAGGTGTTTTCATGTCTCTATGTGTCTGAAGTGTGCAGAAAGGAGAATATGAAAAGCAAAGGACTGAAGGATCACAAACAGAGTATTTATAACACAGACGCAGTGAAAACAAACCAATTTCTAAGATCATGCATGCTGGATTATTATACCTGACAACAGGGAGCTAAAAAAAGGAGCCTTTGTTGGGTAACTCAGCGAAGGTCAGCTATTTAGGACTACAGTACTTGAAGTTGCAATCTTGGGAAGCTCAATTGGCTCTCTTCAGCACCACCTCTAGTCATATGCTGGAACTGCAGAAAAGATTTTTGGAATCCCACCCATAGACTGTATATAAGATGGACAACCTGGTTCCGCCTTCCGCCTGTATACGGATTTGAAGCCAAAAAGCTCTCGGTAATTCGGGGTTTTTCTCCACTTCCTTGAAACCAGAGCTGCGCAGTAGCGGCCAGGCAGTCGCCGAGAGTCCCTGTGATGACACTCGGCTCAAACAGTGTATTCCCCAAGGTGAGCTATGCAATCCCTGAACGCTCATAGGCTGTACCAGGTGTCAATCATAGAAAACATGAACCCCCTAATAACTTTTAAAAACGGAGCTGTACAGAAAAAAAAGGACTTGGGCACAAACCAGTCTTACAATAACTACATGTCAACATCACAAACAGGGGGGAGAAACATTTATATTCTGTGTAATAAATTTCTAAATTTTGTCCACAGTCCCATAAGCTTTGCTGGCGGAGGCGGGATTTATGACCTATACTGCAGCCCACCATCAGAGGGTGCTGTTCTCAGAGTGGCTTCACCCAGCGAGGAGGCAGACTCTGTCCATCTTATATACAGTCTATGATCCCACTAAAGTGGAGATCCTAAGTGCGTGAACTAGAGTCTTAAGAAATGAAGCTAGAGATGTAGAGCCAAAAACCCCAAGTTTCCACTAAAGGCGGAAAACACAAGTAACAGAATCAAAACAGCCGATCTTTAGAGCTGAGTTAGGCACGTACAATATTGGATTATTCGCCAATGTCCAGTTTGTCGATCTCAAACTCATTTTTGCCAATACTAATGTCAACATCGATACATACAATTTTTTTCCCCAATTGTACCTGATCTGTTTCGCCTTATTGTGACAGTCTTTTTATTTTTGTAACAGAAATAAAACACGAAAAATGTGACTCTACATAAATTGAAATCGTTCTTCTTCGAATAAAGACATTCAGTGATGAGTCTGCAGCCCATTTTGGACACTTCAAAACGCTTCCATATGCCTGTCTGTTAAAGCTTTTCGTTGGCATGCTTGAACTGTCATCACAAGCACATTAATTATCCCTAACCTATCAGCCATGCGCATGTATTTCATCAGCTGACATTTAAATATAAGCAGAGATGTTTATATCTGTGGATACCAATGTCATGCCTATTATGTTGACCATCCTAAGGAACAATAAACATATTTCCAGCCTGGTGTCAAACATGTTTTAGGTCTGAAAGCATATTTCTCCCTCTGCACACACTGTATGTCTAACAGTCGCATCACTGAGATTCTTTGAAGTGGAAAATGTCTTTTCCTGCAGCATGACGTTAATCACTTTGTTAGACAAATACTGGCTGCAGTGCACTCAGACCTTACTATATAAAACTGTAATCATGTCTTCACAAGTGCACACAATGACTTTTTAAATCCAGTACTGCCACATTCACAGTTTGAAGAAATGCACTGATCTCTCTTGTTTGGTTTTGGGAAATAGACTCTTTATCAGAATCAATCGCTCTGAAAGTTCTTCTAATCTTATATCTTATCTTACAAAGATATTTCTCAAACAAGTGACCTGTACCTGGATGGAGTTTTTATGTCTTTCTCTGAGCTCTGAGCTGTTAAGAAATGTGATCTTGAAAGTAATGTACATTTTTGGAGGTGCTTGCAAATGAGAGACTGTGTCATTAAAGGTCAATTCAGTGAGGAAAAGAGGGCAGTGATGGAGTTTTTGGATTTACCCTGTATTACACACAGAGTAGCTACTGTACGTTTTATAGAACCTTTTTCGGACTACAGGAAAATATATGTATCTATCTGAGGATCAGATGCTGCAGTGATACACCATGGGGTTGTCACGGTTACCTGAGTCATCCTGAGTTTATGGAAAAGTTCATCCTCTCCAGATTCTAAAAAAATGTATGGAGCTTCTGTTGGAAATAATTTCATATGAACAAAGTGAACTTGACTCGATCTTTAAGAGGTTATGGAGCAGTTTCCTTTCTCATGGCACGGCTGAGAAGATCTGGCTGAACGAATGTATCTGCAAAGTAATTATCGATTTTGTTTGTTTTACTGTCGCTCTCCTTTTTTACTGAGTAAGTTTATTTCAAGCCTTTAAATACTTTGTAACTCGTGGTATTGATACTGTGTGTAATTTCAAATAAATACAAACTTAAATGACAAGAAATGATCAACCTTGTCACTGATGGTCCTGTTTACAATTGTATAGCAGAAAACTAACATGCCAGCCAGGTGTGATGGCAAATCTGTACAATAAATATCAGTGAAGTATCAGCAGGTAAAATCCTCCTCTGTGCAACGCAACCTCTTTAGTGAGGTTTATCCTGACTCGTCAGCATTAAAGTTTTTAACAGTGCACAGTTTGGAGTGTACAGCTCTGTCAAATTAAAGGTTTTAATCGAGAGAAAGCCTTACATGTGAACAGGATGTGGCTGACAGGTTGGACAGATGCTGTCGTCTCTGCTGACCTCCTGCACAGTGTCAGGGAACCACACGGCCGATTTACAGGCAGGGTAGCCCACACAGGTCAGGAACTTACTAAGACACAAAGGACATAGACAGTCAGAGTCATAGATAACATGGATGTTGAAGCATTAATCTGAGAGTTAATGCTGCTACATGACTTTGAAGACATTGAAACATGAAACTTCGTCTCAAAAATGAAGTGTAGTTGATTTGGAGTGAACAGGCTGAAAACATGTAAATGTTTTGAGAGAAATAAACCTAAAAGTGTAACAGCTGGACAGAAACAGGAGGAAAAGTGAAGATGAAGTAAAGAAATGGGTTTTAAAAGTAAAAAAAGGCTGGAAAAACTCCTTTCTTTCTAGTTAAATTATAGCTCTATGTTTCCTCGTTTGGACTTGTTGTGTCTGTCTCACCTGTTCCCTTCCCTCTTCTTCTTTAGCACCATGTCCCGCCCACAGTGAGGACACTTCCTGACCGGCAGAGGGATCTCCATGTCCTGCTGCTGAGCCTCAGGGAGCTCCTGAGCTGCACCCAGATATGGAACCAGAGCCTCATCCAACCTGGAACAACAACAACAACAGAGAGTGACTGTGTTACAATTCTGCTCATTTAGCTTCAAGTGGTGCATTAAAAATATTTACTACTCCTGTAAGTGTGACTAACTTCTTGGCTTTCTTGGCAGACTCGATGAAGACGGTCTTGTATTTTTGGATGTGATGCAGCAGCACGCTCTGTTTGTCTTTCCTGCCCTCTGATACCAGCTTTAGATCAGCCTCCAGTTCAGCTCGCAGGTTTGGCTTGGACATCTCATAGCCCATGGAGTTATACCCTGAACACGCACATTTATATGATTGTTTTTACTCTTTGATGTTTTTTTTTCATTAAAATTTGCAGTTAAATCCATCTTCCCCCACAATCCCACAGACATCTGTGCCAGTTGTAGTTACAGAATCATCAATACAAGCCCAGCTCAGTCTCTGTGAGTTCAAACCAGTGTAAACTGTGGTGTACAGAGTCTGCACTCACCCTCCACCAGCCCCATGCCCAGCTCTCCAGGTATGAACCTCTGGTCAGCGGTCAGGCCGACGTACATGCGACTCTTGATGGTCTCGATGTGGTCCGCATGGGTCGCATCAGTTCCTGGAAGACAAACAGATCAATCTGCATCAGAAAAAAAACTGTATTCAGTTCGATTTTCTTAAACCCTCAAGAATAACTCTGACATTTTCATTGAGATTTCAAATGACTAGTATCGGAGGGTTACATCATGGAAAACACAGTCCTTTCCCTCAAACTCTCTTTTCTTTGGAGACATTTTCTACTAGAAATTTTGATTTTTCTTTTTTTTTTTTTTTTTTTTTGATGATTTTCAACAAGAAGTCAAAATCTTTTGGTTCACAGCATTCCTGCTGAAGCGAGTTTGAAGTGAAATCTGAGTCTTTCAAGGTAGTGGCCTTGTGAAACGCAACGAAATCGGATTTCTCAATCACTTTCATGTACCTTGGAATACTTCTAAAGGTCTCAGTCAAGGTAACATCAACCTTCCTTAGATTTAGAAGTCTGCAGGTAAAACTACAACAACAAACTGCTGTATTCGGTGAAATCTCTCCATCATAAAATTCATCATCAACTGTGTGGAGAAAATGAAGTTGGAGAAGTGAAAATGGGATTATCTCGTCAGACAGATTTCAGAATTCTAGCTTGTTTGTCTGAAAACTTTCTGCCCGACTCACATTTGTCCAGTGTGTCAGAAAACTCACCTAACATAGGCTGAACTGAATTTCAAGGGATAGCTGATATTTTAAGAGACTTTGAAGGATTTTAGATGTTTTTATTCAGTTTGGTAACTTGTACTCTACCAGAATTACTTTATACTTCATTTCAGACGAAAAGCATGTTTAAACACTAGTGGAAACAAAGTGACCTGGATGGAAGACACCAGGAGTGTCAAAATAAAAGAATAAAAAAAAGTTGTGGACACAGGGCTGGTGATGCAGATAAAAAAAATGCTCATCAGTCTAGTTTATGAAGTTTTTTAAATGTGTGAATTTGGCCGTGTTAACCATGAGGTGAAAGCTGAGAGACTACACTAACTACCAAGTTCAAACACAATCTGTGTGTGTGTGTCTGTGAAGTACCGATGCCGTGCTTCTCCATCAGTGAGATGAGGTCGGCCTCTGTGAGCAGCTGAGGAGCACTCGTCTGTCCGTCTACCATCTCAATAGCAGAGGGCTGGAATTGGGAGCCCTGCTGGTACACTGGAATCACCTGACATATACACAGCAGCAGGTTTAAAGAGGATATCTGTCAACCACTGAGACGAGAGCAAATACATCTACAGTGAGATCTCAAAGGTCATAGTCTTTTATGAGCGCGCTCCATACCTTAGTGCTCCACCTGTCATACGGGTAAACGTCCAGGTAGTTCCTCGCGATGATCATGAGTCCTGAAGCGCTGAACTTTTCCTGAGCAATGTCTATGTCCACCACAGTCTCCTGGCCCTGAGCATCCTGGGATACACAAGCCAAGAAGTGTCTGACGATGAACTCATATACACGCCCTTCATTGCCCTGAAAATAGAGGATATTGAGAGGGATATGCATGCAGAGAGAAGATCATCAGTTCCTCATTTTTTCTTTTTATTTATCATTTGGCAAGTATATTTCTTTATGGCAGAGTTTTGAAACAACAGTTCAGTGTGAGAGCATTTGCAAGTTCTACTTTCTAAACACGACCATCAAGAAGACAAAACTAGCGTATTGATCTCCACTCTCTCCACACCTGCAGATTGCCATTGTACTTGGTGGGGTGTATGGGGGGATGGGCTTGGTCAGACTTCTTGCCCTGCCGTGGGTTTGGACCTCCAGGTTGGTCCATCACCCGCTGAGCGAACTCCCCCCAGATTTGGCTCTGTGTCTGCTGCTCCACCAGTGGGGCAAGAGGCAGGTTTTTGGGGAAAATGTTGGTCTCTGTACGGGGGTAGCTGATAAACCTGAGACGAAAATCACAAAGTTATCTTCAAACCGAAAAACTCAGAGAGCTCTGGAAAACTCAAGCTGTCAACTGACACCACTTGGACTCTGCGGTGGTGTTAAAACCCAGTACACAAAATATACAACCGACTGCTTCATAAAGTTGATATAAGGCGGCATCAAACCAAAGAGAGGATACAAAGAAAAGAAATTCTGCATACGTTGTCACCAAGGCCACACTGGCGGTACACATTCCCTCTTCTCTTCTCACAGATTCGACATATAAAATGTAAAGTCTGTGCAGAGAGGCAGAACAAGTCTGCTATAATAACATCTAGTAATCTGACAACGATTTACCAGTCTCAAAAAATGGAAGAACAATCTGTTTTACAAGAAACATAAACACTAAGATGCTGAGTCAATAAGTCGTGACAGTACTTAAAGTTCCTAACTTTTTCTTCTCCTGAGGATAGACCTGACAAAACCTGACTTTTTACCTTCCACTTTTCTGTTTTGGCCAAACTTTAGACTTGTTATAATAATAATAACTTTATTTGTATAGAAATTATCAAAAAATATTTTGGGGGAATACTTCAAAGCAGGAACTGTGGTCTTTGAGACAACTACAGGGATAAATCTTCAACCACATTGGATAACATCTTAGTTACCAGGGTAGATCACCAATGTAATATTACAGTATCTGTATTTAATTTGATTTGCTACAGTTAAGTTCAAATACACATTTAAAATGATTTGATGTTTTAAGTTTATTATCTAGGTCATTTTGGATCTTAAAAATTTACCCATATTACAAAAAACTAAAACTAACACTCACAAAAACTAACCTGAAACTAACAAACAAACATTAAACTGATTGAAACTAAACTGAATTTGAAAGTAAAGTCAAACAAAATAAGAATAAGAACTTTTAAAGGATCGCCTCCCGGTGGTAGATATCGCTTATCCCCTAACTAAGCATACACTTACCCTTGGGTGTAGAGCTTTTCTGCGATTTTCATGGTTTCTTTGGCATTTATTCTTAGCTTCCGAGACGCAAGTTTCTCCAGTTCCTGTAAAAGACAGAGGAGTGTTTGTTTTGGGGCAAAGCAGAGGGTGTTAAGACACAAAGATACACTGACGGGGGAAATGTGCTTGAGGGTGTAGCATATGCATGAGCTCCTCTGTTTGACTTTGTGTTCTTACCACTGTGTCCAAAGGCAGCGGTCTCCACTTGCTCTTGGGTTTGCTGGTTACTGAGGTGACTGTTGCCATGGGATCCTGGAAATGAATGAAAAGATGTTCTCATGTGTTCTTTTCTACACGTGGATTTAAGCCCAGTTTATTCGACAACATATTCACATTAACGGCTGTGTGCTCCAGAGGCTGAAGGAGAAGTTAAACACACACACACACACACACACACACACACACACACACACACACACACACACACACACACACACACACACACACACACACACACACACACACACACACACACACCAAGAGCAGAAACAGAGACACGCACAAACACACATATAAGAACACCCACACACGCTTCATTCTGTTTCCCCAGGTGGGCAGCACCAACAATCAGAATATTTTTGCATCTATATTAAATAAATCCTATTTGTCCTGAAAAAAAATAAAAACACATTGGAGTGTGGACAGGATTGTGTTTCAGCACTAGTACATTCGGACATGTTCAGCAGGAGCATTTTGCCTTTATTTTATCGCAGTAGTCAAGATACCCAGAGGAAAACACAGGGAGGAGAGCACAGCTGTAATCAAAGGGTAATGGTTTGTGTCAGTTAGTACTTTTTATCCAAAGGGGAAAAATTTGTCCATAAAAACCAACATGATTTTTTTTACAGGTGAACAAAGTGACATCACTTCGGAATTTGCCAAAACTTCCCCTGATGGTGAAGTTACAACTTTTGACTGAGAAAAGACAAGTTTTTCTACAGATATAAAACTGCAACTTTGCTGTGTTAGATGTTGATAAGACAGAGTTTTGAGGTTTGCAAATCCTTTACAGCCTATATTTAATTTAAAAAGACTGCATAGCAAAGGTTGGATGCTAAATTGTAAAACTTTGATGCCAGCAGCATGTTCCATAACAGTTGGGACCAGGGCATGTTTACCTCTGATATTAGCCTGATAGATAGCTTTCTTTTCCCATGTCTACTTTTGATTACACAGTGTCCAACATTTTCAAAATGAATGATAAATTGTGAAATTACATTTGAATTTGCCCAAACTTTAAAGTTACAGTTTTTAAATGAGAAAATGCATTCAAAATATAAGTAATTAACAGGTTTGAGACTGTATATTACTGCATATTATCTATACCTATAACATTCAAAACCTATATTTCATTTAAAGGACAAAATAACAAAGGTTGATGGTATTATTTCACACAGCGTCCCAACTTTTGCATAATCAGGGCTGCAAAACAAATGTGTCCTTGTCAAATAACATCAGCATAAAGCTCTGTCACTGAGATGTGTCACAGTTTGTTGGGCCTTGAGATGCAGGTATTACCAGTGTGAAATAAATCTCTCCCTACTCAGTTTTTTTTCTGTCTCTCTGTGAGCCAAACTCGGAGATTTGTAAACCGTTGCACCTCTGATGCTATATGTTTTGGTTCAGAGCATTTTATTTTGGTACATGAAAACAAAGGGTAAAGCTGCTCTGATTGATGGAGGCAGGCTGGGTGGTATTTGGAGACAGAGGATAAAATGAACGCAAGACCTAAGGGACGGTTCTGTGGGTATGTCACCAAAAGGGAACCTTTACAAATCCTTTATAGTTATTTGATCCATTGTACATACTTTAGGAATATCCTGGACCTTTAAGTATGAGATGTATTTGATATGGTTCCTATAATTTTGTTTACAGAGAAAGAAACAAGAAAACCTTGTTTTTGTTGATTGAGCTCTGCTGTACCGAGACTTTCAGTTCTGAGTTTGTCTGACCCGAGTTTGGCTCCTTTTTGTCACATCTTACACTGTTTGGGAAACAGTGAAAACTAGCTAAGTGATAATTACATGCTTGTCAGCTGTGCAAAGAAGAAATAAGGTTTTTTTTTTTCAGACAGACTGTTATGGATTAAGATTAGACTCTGTTCCTGGCTCTGATAACTGAGACCACACAGGGTTTTAAACTTAGGGTCTCGAGAAAGATCAATCAACCAGTTTTAATCAAAGTATTAATGCTACTGTGTGATGTTTTTAAAATAATTATTGCACTAATAGAACTTTCACTGTCAGCGGGTGAATTAAAATATCACTATTGTTTTTGTTTTAGTTTTTCCTCAGAGCTATGACCTTTACAGCAAACATGTGTGGCCAGTTCTTGAGAGCCTTTTACCCACTTTGTATGTTAAGAATCCGTCTTTTTGAATACAGAGGAATTTTTTGTCTGCTTTAACTTATTATATCACTCTAATAAAGCCTAAACAATGTATACATTTATTTTTGTATTGTTCTTCTCAGTATTAGACACTTTACCTCCATGCATATCTGGTAGAGCACCAGGCACGCTGTGTGGTGGAAAAGTCGGTTTCTTTTCCAGCTGAACTCCACTGTGTCCTCCTCGGTCTCATGCAGCACTGAAACAAAAAGAGACCCGAGGAACAAAGAGGGAGAGTCAAATAAAAATCACTTATGCAAGCACAGATACACAGATCCAATGCTGATTCATAAGTTTGTACCTTTAATCTTGTAGAAAGTCTCGGGGATGAAAGCCTGGATGGCTTTGAAACGCTCCACCACAAAACCCAGAGTGGGAAACTGGCAGCTGCCGTATGAGATCAGCTGGTTGGCAAGCGAGTTTGGAAAGATCTTCTGCAAGCGAAGCGTCTGGAAACGAGTAAAGGATGCTCCTGCAGATTCACGAAAGAGATGGTGGATGAACACAAGTGTCAAAAGGTCATCATCCTCAATTGAAATGTGAAAGCCACTGCCTCCTGACTCATAAGGGATGTGTTATTACCTGATTTGACGAGTTGTTTTGGTTAATCTAGAGTGTTTCCTCACCTATCCGCAGGTCCAGCTCCTGACGGACATCAACGGCATCGCTGATGTTGGCATCTGGCTCGTTAAGAGTCTCACAAGCTCTGCTGATGGAGCGCTGAGTGATCTCTGAAAACTTTGCCCGGAAGACTTGTAGATTTGGCTTCACTGGAAAAGATAAATAAAGAGTTCAAAAACACAGACAGGAGTTATACGATTACAAACATACATACCACCCACATCTTTTTTACACTATTTCAGACACTGTGGATATTCAACATGCTTATTTATGTGAATACTAAGGATACAAAAATCGTAAATCGTTTAAGGAAAAGTTTGATTTCTTTTGGGATGAGAGTAGACAACTCTATCTACTCTACGATCATGTCTATAAATACAAATCCTCAGACAACAGCATGTTAGCTTAAGCACTAATCGCATAGGATTAGTGCTACCTGAGAACCTCTGATCATTTGTAGTCGTTGCAGAGGACGTCTGTCTTTTTAATCCTGTGTAAATTGACCATGTTTGTAATCTGTTCAGTAAAAATTCCAGAGCAAACCACCTACTATATTTTAAGACAAAGAGTTCCCCTGATCATTTTGATCTAGTCTGAATCGCCACTTCAGTCATTTTGAGCCTCCATGACTTTTTCTCCCTTGTCTGCTCAGGGATGACTCAGGCTGTGTTGGAAATTGTAGAAAAGTTGTTGACAGCATTTTGGGCTTTACAATTTCTTTAGCGTAAAAGACTAATTCACTGTTACAGTGTTTCGTTTTACTGATCACCAATGAAATTAATGAATGATGAGGGTAGCTGTAGCTGTTAATATCCAATCTTTGTGGAAATCTAACAGATGTGGATATCCTCCTTTTTTAATGAATTTGTCTGGGAAGCTGTAGAGCTGTATGCAACTCTCAGAGACAATGCAGATGTCATGCAGCGCCTTCGTGTTTTCAATCAAGCATGCCAGTAAATTACAGACTTGGTTTACTCAGAGTCCTCCTTCCAACACTGACCTGGGGGTAGTTCACAATTTATCAAAAGTTGCCAGGTAGTTTTAATCCCATGCTTTATCATAAAACTGGAAATGGGAGGAATCAAAAAGTTTGGTAAATATTCCTTTTTAAAACATACCATCCATTTCATTTACCTACTTTTAATGGATTAATTAAGCGAGATATAACATACAGCATGAATGAGCTGTAATTATGCAGTTGAAAGCTTTTAACTTCACCTCGAGTCTGAGTAATTCTGTGATCACTGTATAGTGGCCTTTCATTACCTTAAAAAAAAAAGGAGATGCACTCTCACTAACCCTCACCAACTAAACCAGAAAAACAGCCCACACATATAATACCTGCTTTGCAGACATCAATGATTTCAAAGCCGATGTTTTCTCCCTCTCGGTCACAATCAGTCCAGATGACTAAGGCTTGGCACTGCCTCACCTCTTTCTCTAGGGTACGCTACAAAGACAGAGGAGGGTGGAGGTGGGAGAGAGAGAGAGGAGTTGAAAGAAGAGTGAGGATATCAAAAAGATTCTTTAAGACCACTTAGATCATTCTTATTCATCATTGTTTCCTTTAAATCACAAGCAAAACCTCCCACTGCCGAGAGATAAAGAGGAAACCAGTTTCATCAAATGGTCGATCCTATTCTAGCTTGATAAAATGAGGAGTTTTTGCTGCGCACTAGTTTTTAGAGCAAAATGAAAACAGAAAATTGGATCAGTCATCCATTCAGCCTGCAGCTCGTTCCAAATGCTGCTGCTCAACTTCTCACTAGTAAGAAAAAGAGGGACCGCATTACATCTGTGTAGCACTCTTTCCCCAGCCTACAGTCCATTACAGGATCGATTTTAACATTTTGGTTTTGACCTTTAAGGTCCTTAATGGATTGGCACCTCCTCTTCATGTTTTCACTCCAGCTGGAGCTCCGAGGTCAACCAATCAGCTGCTGCCTGATGAGCTTTAAACTCGCCAGAAAACCAGGGGTGACTGAGCCTTTGTAGTAGCTGCTCGTAACATGTGGAGCAGCTGACCACCGCAAAAAACAAGAGATGGCTTTTTATTTGTGCGCTGTATTTACGTTGTTTTGTTTACCTTGATTTGTACCATGTTATCTGGACAGTACTTCTCCACCTCAGCATCAAAGAGCAACACAGGATTGCAACTGTGCCTGAATAGAAAAGATTCAAACACAAAAAGTTGTAATACTGTTTGATAATGAACTCTCAGAAATGACAGATACTATCTAAACTTACCATTTCTGAAAAGGTGCTTTAAACTCCAGACCCAGCAAATGTCCAGAGACTGACGTCATCGTTACCATCACATCCTGTGGCAGAATTTAGACACAATGAAACCAAAGAGACAGCTCATACAATTAAACACAAACCTGCAGACATAAAGTAAAGGTGCATGATACATGTAATAATTATTTCACTCTTCTCTCTTACCTGACCAAAGAGATGATAATCATACTCGTAGATTTTATTGAACTTGGACATTCCTTCCCTCTGAAATGAAAAATAAGATAGGAAGAAAATAAAGGTTACGACAGCAAATAAAATCAAGTCTTAATACAGTAGCAACATGAACAAAACTGCTGATAAATACAGCAGAATTCGATGGTTTGTAAATCATACATAGCCAATGTTTAATTGAAATGAGAGCAAAGACAACATATGTCTGTGTTTGTTTTAGGAAAAGTATGTGCTCACTCTAAATTTAGAGAAATGATTGCCATCGTGTTGCATCACCTATTCTGGTAACAGCACTCTAACTTTCTAGAGTTACATTTTATCCCATTTGTGCCTGACTAAGGATTTCAGTTACTCAGGAGTTCAGGGTCCCCTTTTTCATGATGCACTAAATCTTTTTAATGGGTTCTGGCGGTTCAATTCAGCAACCAGACCCTTTTATCGAGCCATGCTGTTGTTTCATCATCTTTAGTGGCAGACACAACGAATGGATGAAAAAAAACGATTGAGACAAACTAGCCTTGCTGTTTGAATACATGTAGAATGTGGTTTGGAGGAAAATCAAAGTCAGTTATGGATCAGGTTTATACGAGGTACAATTTTAACTTACATTTACTTATGCAGTGACAAACTACGGTCACAGATAATGGTTTCTGGAGTGATTCAAAGTTATGTGTGGTGATTTTAATACAGATGTGGCCTGAGGGTCTAAAGATCATGACCAATAATTAAGTACTGTTTTTCAGCTTTGTCCTCAGGTTCTCTGAAAATAGGTCCTGTTTCTGATCTACTTGGTTGGATGGATGTTCCTTCTCCCTAGGCTGTCATTATATTTACAATGATCATATATATTTATATTCATATGGGATTCACTGACTATGAGACAAACTGTTTCTTGATCACTCTTGTAGTGTCCTTGTATTACACGTCGTGGCTAAAACTGCTGTTTTATTCATGTAAAAGAAAGACACTTATTTCAGCACATCTGTCAGATCGTAGATAGATAACTGACCCTCCTGGACCTGCCGTGAGACATGATCTCAGCGATGCCTTTGGCCGCGTCGTTCTTCTCGGCCACACAGAGGACCCTCCTGATCTGAGCCCGGCTCCGGTTCATCATGTCTGCCGGCTGCTGCTGCTGCTCTGTGTCCGGACAAACACACAGAAACCTCCGCTGGACGCCGAGCCGCTGTAGTCCCGAACGAAGCAAAGATCTCCCAAGAAGGTACACTAGCATACCTGGCTGCTCTCACCTGAAACAGCCAGTCCTCCAGGCTCTCCACTCTGTTAGCATGTTAGCTGAGCTGCTCTGCTTAAGATACAGTCCACTCTCCAAAGGGATAACAAGAGTTTAAAATGTTTACCGGGTGACACTTTCCCTCAGATCAATTATATTGCAAAGCTGACAAGAAAAAACGACAACTCTTGAAAATACTGCTAGTAAAACTAAAACCTTCAGTGGGCAGCGACAATGACTTCCAACTGCAGGACAACGAGCTCTGTTTACAATTTCCCCGCCCGCTGGCTGTCAAATTCTGCCGTAAAATGAGGTCGTAAAATTGGCGTAAAGTTTCTTCAACTACCTAAACGTCGCATTAAAATGAAAATGAAAATAATTTACATTCAGAAAGTGCATCGAACTTACTTCTGATGAAATTTATAGTTAGTGCCTTAATATAATTAAAATATTGCACCATCGTGTCACCAAAACTACGTAATATAAGAAAGAAAATACATCTTAATAACGAAATTTAGCATATGATGGAATTATTCAGATTAACAGAGAAACAGAAATAAATAATTTCTTTTTAGGCACAAAATTATGAGACATTTTATTACTGTAGTTATATATTATTGTGACCACTTCATCACTTTTCAGAAATGAAAAATAAGACACTTGCAGAAATTATGTGAAATATTAAATGTGAGTTGTTTTTCCTTTCATAGAAAATTTGTTAAAAACATTAAGAATTATATACTGTTAACCCGAATTATAATGGAATTTGACTAATTCACTAGCAAAAAAATTGGCTCTTATCATCACCAATAATCATCAAATAGTTCAGAAGGAAAAAAGGATAGTCTGTAGTCATATTAATAATTCTGTAAATTGAAAGACTTTTCAGAAGTAAGTTTTTTTGTCCAGTTCAGTACAAATTTCATTGTGAGCTAATACTGTAGACCAGAACTGAGTGTAACATTTTTCACATTTTCCTTCATTCGTCGCATATGATATAATTTTTTAAATATATATATAAGACAGATACTTGCAGTATTTAGTTAAGCTATTGATACATTTATGACAAATAAGGACATGGTAAATAGTCATAGTGTTTAAACTTCCCCTGTCATTGAGACAATTGAAGCAGCATTTGTGTGGAACTGTAACAGTGAAGAAATAAGTTCACAACGTCATGAAATCACATAGAAGCAATATCCAGTTCATTAAAAAAAAAGATAAAACGAAACAGAGTTTTTTTAAAAAATCTGTTTTTAAATCCAACTTGCAAGTATAACTTTTGATAGAGGAGGAAAAATGGAAAAATAATTGACCAAAGTTCACTTTCACATCTCCAAACCACATTCTTCTTTTAAACTTGTGCTGTGGCCAAGTAATTCCACTACTGCTGAGCAGAGAGAGAGAGAGAAATCAACTGAGCATGTGCAGAGTCAGAGCCATTAATTATTTCTAGTTGCAGATGTTGTGTCACAGTTGCCCCTGTGCAATCGCCCCTGGTCTTCCGTACTATATCTAAAGTTAAAAAAAGGCCTAAAATATGAAGAGCGATCAACAGAGGAATAGAAAAAGATACATTTGATGCGTATACCTTTGTAGCATTATGTATAAAAAAAAACAGTGACTTATTATTTTTTTTTTTTCAAAAACACTACATAAAATAAAAAACTAGCGATATCAGAACAAATATCCAGGTTCCAGTGAGATTTCTGTAAATACAAGAAATAAATACAGTTATTTGACAAATGTGATAATTCCATTTTAGACCGCTTTTTATTCAAGTGGGCGGAGTTTCGGTCACCTGACAAGACTACAACCAGCTGGATAAACATGGCGTCTGTCTCTGAATGTAAAAATTACCTGTAGCGCTGCTGGCTGTTATCGGTTTTTCCCTGTCTCATCTTTGTGTCGTATTGGATTCTAAAAAAAAAAACCGTAATGGGATGGACACGACCCATAAAGAGAGGAAGAGGAGGAGGAGGAGAGGGTGGTTTGTGTGAGGCTGCTGTGTGTGTCTCTCTGTGTGTGCGTGTGTCTGCTCAGCATGAATGGTGTGATATCTGCCCGCAGCCTGAGGCCAGCGCAAGATAACTGCTTTTGTTAACAGTAACGCTGGTTTGTGTATCCCTCGCAGTGGATACAGTCATTTTCCAGGTAAATATAAAACCTTTTTACGGTTGAGTTGCAGCTGTGGGGCCTGGTCTGCTGCTGGACCCATTTTGGATCATCTCTTTCTGTGGCATGTAGAGCTTTTTAACCTCTCGATCAAACGCTCCTCAGCAGTATGAGCAGTCTGAATGTTCAGTCTGAGGCTGCCCTCCATCACTGTGTGCTGACAGCCGCTTTATGACTGGTCATTGTGCTACACTGAGCGGTGTGTTGCTCATGCCTTGCTCACCAACAACATTATGATAGGCTCACCAGACCTGGTGGCTTTCACTAAAGAGGATGAGTATGGGCATCCAAACCCAGACCCTTGGGGAATCCCTGAGGAGTTTTCTGTCCCCCTCCACCCCCTGGCTGACTTCAACCCCTGGGCCAAAACCTCCTACGCCAAATTCACTAAAGACTTCATCCTCATCTCTGAGTTCTCAGAGCAGGTTGGTCCTCAGCCCCTCCTCACCATACCTGATGACCCTAAAGTCTGCGGCACCTTCGACCTCAACTACTTCTCCCTGCGCATCATGTCAGTGGACTACCAGGCCTCCTTTGTAGGGCATCCTCCTGGAAGTGGCTACCCCAGGCTCAGCTTTGTGGAGGACTCAAGGGTGGTACTGGGCGACTCAAAGGAGGGGGCGTTTGCATATGTCCATCACCTCACACTGTATGACCTGGAGGCAAGGGGCTTCGTGAGGCCGTTCTGTATGGCGTATGTGTCAGCAGATGAGAGGAAGATCATGCTGCAGTTTGAGGAGCTGTCCCTCCGTTTCTCACAGGCCTCTGAGTGTCTGAAGGCTGGAAACAGGAGAGCATTCGCCAAGGAGCTCCAGAGGAAGCTGCGAGACCTCGAGTAAGACCCTATTTTGATTTAATTCTATCCTAGTAGTTGACAAAATTGAAAATACAAGAACATCTTTATAGATAATCGCTAAAAATATATAGTAAAGAAAACTAGACCTGCTCTTGCATAATGATGTTGAATCATTTTGTTAAAATACAACTGTTCTCAACACCTAATATTAATGTGGGAAATAACAGCAACAAAAGCAAAGATTAAAGCCTTTTCTTTTAATAGTTTCCCCCTAATAGTTGTTATTCCTATAATGTAAAATATTATTGTCTTTTACAAAGACCACAAGTTTCACTGAATCAGACACTAAACAGTTGTCATTCATGTATCAGAATCAGAAGGGGTTTTATTGCCATTGTTGATGAACAGGATTCACAGACTTGGGATTTGTTTTGGCATGATGGTGCAACAATAAACAGAGCGTACTATAAAACACTAGAATAAAAACTAATAAGAGCATGCAAGAAATATATTAAGTATAAAAGTATAAAAATATAAAAGGTTATGTACAGTGTTATGTACAATAAGTATAAAAGGTATAAAATGAACAGTGTGGGTCCCAAGATTGACCCCTGTGGAACACCACAGGTAATGTATAAGCACCTTGACCTATGATGCCTTATAGAGATGGAGGATACATTGGGTATGTTAATGGCATAGACATGACATAACTGGTGTCCAGCATTCTTCACAAGGCTTATGTCAGTGTTATCTTTTCTATCTTTAAAATCTATTGAAAAGATGTTACTAGTACTGATTTAAAATAGATGGGTAGAAATTCAAAAGTTTTTGAGTAACATGTCATAATCAGCCGTGTCAAAACCACATTCCAGGCCAATGAAAATTCCCCCTGTATATTTTTTCCTGTATGCATGTGGTTAAAGCCTCTGCCAGCTCCACACGTGCTACAGAAGTAGATCTAGCTGATCTAAAGCATACTGACGGTCCATTAAAGGTTAATGTTGTTTAGTTTTCCATTATATAGTTTTTCTATGCCGAAACCTTTAAGTGTCATTTCACACACAAGAATTTATTCTTCCCAAATCTGGTATTCAAAATCATCTCCTGGAATCATTGGTGAACCAGGGACATAAATATTAACTGGAATAATACAGAAAAAAAAGAAGTTGGTTGCACCATAGTGAGATAAAACACACCTAAAACTTGCTGCTGGCTCTTCATAAACCCCCTCACAGCCTCAGCCCCTTTCCTCTGTGTATTGTTCATGTGCCAAACTGCATCCAAGTCCCCATTAAGTGGAACAGAGGACTATACAGACCAGATTCCCAGAGACTGACCAGAGCTCTGTTTGCCAATTAGTTTGCAGTAATTTCATTCTATATGCTGGATTTTTACCTATAGAATAAATGCTAAATCAGCATTCATTTAAATATTTATAAATATAACAGTGAATATAGTTGTACCCAGGAAAGTACACAATTTAATCTCTTACATGATGAATATTATTCTGAACTTCAGTAATTTAGCTTTTAACACTAAATCTGAACTCAGGGTCCTAGAGAAGGCATTCAGTGACGCAGAAGCACAATAGAAATTGGTATCTTTGTGCAGTTTTTATCTAGCCTTCAGTCACAAAATTTTATTTTAAAATATCTTCAAACATTAAACAAGTTATCTTTGTGCTCAGCCACAAAGTTATTTGAAAGAAAGATTTACTGAGTTTTTTTTCTTTAATGGAAGTTTAATTAATTTTGCAAACGATGTTCAGATTCGACAAAGTTTCCTTGTTGTTTTAACAAAAATTGACCTCTGACTAACTGAAAAGTCTAAATGCGAGGAGACACCCAGAGAGAGGTCAAAGTTTAGAGCAATTTATGTAGTGTGGACGGACACAGGATCACAGAGCCTGCAGGTAAAAAAACGTCAAGTCACTTTGCTCTGTTTTGCTGCTGTTAGCAGAGCTAGCACCACTAGTTTTCAGTCCTTATTGCTCTAGTTGAGTGGTAATATGATGGTATAACCAGACCCAGCCCACATACAACCCTTCCTCAATTTTCTTCATCAAAATACTGACAAACCATGTTGAGCTACAAGGTACCATCTGTCATCTACAGCAGTCTACATTAAACAGGATGACAGCCCAGGCTAGTGAAAGGTGGCTGCAGAACAGTTAAGATACAACAAATAGCAGGCATTTCAGGAATTCAGTGATATAAATATGAATCATGTATTTAACTGACTAGCAATTCTGATGCTAAAAAAAGTTAGAAATTCTTTAAAAAGTAAGCCATATTTGGACAAGGTCTTTATAATCGTTTGGTCGATACTAAATTAATTGTTAACATCCTGAATGAACACATTAATGATTCAAATCTTTTTATGCACTCTCAAGGAGCTCTGCCCCTAAAATTTACTAAAATTGCTTGTTCTCACAAGTTTCTTGAAATCACAGTGTGAAAAACAGTGAAATGAGGATGAAGCAGCACAATTTGCACCATTATGGGAGTTTTAATATTTATACCAATGCTTTGTTTGGCAGACAGATGAGCAACCATCTTCACCGCTCTCGTCCAGAAAAATGATTCTCATAGGGTAATATGGGGATTCTTCTCAATCGCCAATGTTTTTTAAGCATTAACACTGGTTGCATGATATGAATGCCACTGACTGAGTTTTACTGGACATTTCCCACTGATGTCACATCAGGGAAAGGTCTGAGCAAAAGCAGGACTGAATTTTAACCCACATGCAACTTACTTTTGAAATTAAGGAAAGTTTTCAGGAGTTTGTGAATTTGTGAGAACGCATCCAATTTCCATATAAAAGACCAGCAGGCTCAAAATGTGTTCAAATCACTCTGATGCATCACACTGCTTGAGTGGCTTCAATGCAATCCTTTCAGGAAATTACAAAGAAGCAATTTAAGGCCACTTTTACTTTTGTTTTCATCACTGACAGCCTGACAGACTGTTTTCAGAGTCTGACAGGATGAGGGAAATTATCTGTCTGCTTAAAACTCCAAAACAAACTCAAGGTCAAGGGCAAGAACAAGGAAACTCTTTTCAAACTGATCTCTCTTTTTTAAATGGCTGTTTTCTTCCCCAGGTATACTCACTCTGTGTTGCAGAAGGAGGAGGGTCTACAGAGGGAGGCGGGGCCTCAAACCATGTACTCCGCCCATGCTGTTGAGAAAGCCAATGAACTCGCAAATGTGGAAAAGAGTATCTACGAACATCGAGACCTTCTGAAACAAATCAGCTTGTACCATCACCGTCCACGAAGAGACCCTCACGCTGTCACCTGTCAGAAGTGTATGAACGAATGTCTGAGCGAGTGTGAGGAGCTGTTAGAAAAATACGCCAAGCTCGCCAATCCCATCAGTTACAATAACAAAGGGAGAAATGTGGGGGAAGAGCGAGATCAGGTTGATGATTTCGGAGGTGAGGAGGAAGTGGACGATGATGGCGTTAAGCGCCGGCCGTCCTACACGCCTCAGCTGATCAAAGCCAAATCTGCCAAGTGTTTCGACAAGCGCTTAAAGACCCTGCAAGAGCTGTGCGATGAGACTTTCTACCAGGCCACGGTGAGGCTCCTAAAAGAGACGGAGAAGAGTTTCCGGGGAGATTTGTGTTACCTGCACACACGGCGTCTGGACAAGATGCTACGCAGGAAACAGCAGGTCACGAATTTCCTGTTTGAGGAGGAACTGGGTGAGGATGACGAGAACGAATGGGGAAATCTGAGACCATTCTGTGCTGTGAATCATGTGGTAGATAACTGCACAATCTTGAATCCCCCTCCCATCGTGCTTGGACCAGATCCTCATGAGCTGGACTCTCTAGAGCCCCCAGATCTTCTAGACCTGGCGTCTGAGATAAGCCACACTCAAGAGCTCGGGGTTGTGGAGAGCCATCTAGAGTCCTCCCCCTCAGACCAGACTCTAGAGACCCAGGAGAGCTCAGAGGAGACTAAAGGAAGCTTGAGCAGTGGTAAGAGCGGGAGGAGTCAGACCACCAGGCAGCAGAATCAGACGCCTGATCCTGATTCTGACCTGACCCCCGACCGTGACCATAACACTGACCTGGAGAGGGAGAGCAGCAGCGAGGAGATGGAGACCACTGCTGGAGAGGAGGAGGGTGACAGCGGGGGAGACCAGACTCCTGTGTCTCTCCTGGAGGTGGTGCCTGAGCTAGCGGGCGACAGAGACTCAGACTGTGAGGGAGCAACTGATGGGGCTTGTGAGCTTCAGTCGGATCTGTTGGTTCCTCTCGACACAGCGTGCTGTATGTCTCAAGAGGGCTTCCTTTACGAGGCATCTCCTCCAGAGGCAGTGTCCCATCTTGACCACAGCTCCAACCCACAGTCCTGTGACACCCTAGTGGTCAATCAGGAACCTCAGGCTCTTCTTCCACTCCAGGATGACTATGCTGTAGGTTCCCCATGCTCAGAGAGCCCAACAGCTGGACTGGAGCTGCCTGTTGGATCCCTTGGAGATACAATATCCCGTACTTCGATAGAAGAGGGCTCGGATTGTACCATGAGTGTTTCTACGGGCTCTGAGCGTGCCGCCTCACCTCTCGGCTATGGGAGAGGGGTGACCCTGCGTCAGAGGAAGAAGGCAGGACAAGGAGCGTTGAGGTTCGTGCGACAATACCCCTTCGCCATGCAGGCTCTGTGGTGTCTGCTGAGCGGGAGGACCTTGGTGGTGCTTGGGTCGGATGAGGGGAGAGTCCGGCGTCTGGTTGCAGCTCTGGCTCTTTTTGTGCCCGGTCCTGGGAAGTGTGGGGAGAGGGTTCAAGCCTGGCTGTCCTGCCCCTTCACCTTGACTGACCTGCAGAGGTGGAAACTCGTCGGGCTGCAGAGGTATGTCAAACCTTATATACCAACACACACACATGAATGATGCTGCTGGTAGAGAATGACTGAACCACAGCGAGTTTCCATTCACATGAAATTAAAAAAAAGAAGTACACTCCACTCTGCAGTTTGTTTCACACACCTTACTCTGCTGTTACTCATCTGGTCTGAGTCATTTCTCAATGAATCACTGCTACTCTGCTGTTAGACCTTCAGATGCATTTGCCCTTTAGCTCTAATTTAATTCTATTCATTTGTGACTTTTCCTACCTGAGAGTGGGCTGTGTAAATTCCCCTGCTATTATGGTGTCCGACTTTTTTTCCATTTGTATTATAAGTCTAAAGGGAAGCCAACCATTCACCCTTTGGTCTCTGCACTTCCTAAATTGAATGTTGAGTTGATAGAGATATGAAATGGAGGAAGAACTTTGTCACATTTGTGGTTTGATTTACTGAGATTGTACACCACAAGTAGAGGTGTAGCAATTATCAGTCTTGGTCAATTATTGGGGCTGATATTCGACATTTTGCCAATTATCTGTAACTGCCTTTCGTTTTGCAGATGGTCGATAAATTGATTAATTAAAAAGTGTTTGTCTTTGACTCTGCTGCAAGTGTGTCTTGCCCACAACTCTGTCTGATTGATTAGACGTCACACGACCATGTCATGTAACTGCACTGCAACTGTGGGTGGTTGACGTTTTAGTTTTGATTAAATATCGTCGACATTGTCCGTTGTCAAAGATCAAATATCTAAGACACAAGCGAGACCCAATTTCCAACTGTGCGCGTGCTTACAGAAGTCTGCTGTATCTGCAGTCATGCCTTTGTTTTTACACGCTTCAACTTAAGGTCTATCAGGCCCGTACTTCCATTTGAAAGGTGCTAGAATTTGACTTTTAAACTGATGTTTTTTTTCTTTTTCATTTTTCTTTTTATACCCTTACCTCAGCTTGACCATGGCATGAATCTTTGAAAAAAAGCATCAACTTTGACTAGGATTAAAGAAGAAGATCTTTTAATTCAAACTGGTTTCAGAGCCATCAAACACGTGTTATATGTCTTTATTTCTGTGGAGCTGCTTGATTATGGAAAAACTCAGAATCACATTAATTTTGGTCAATATTGAGGTCATGGTTATTTAACATGGACACATTTTTAGTAGGATAGGGGCTAATGTTTCGTCTGACTGTTTTTAACTCATTAATGCTGCTTGTTGCTCCACCCTCTCCCTCATGCTCATGCTGTCCCTCTGCTTTACTGACACACACCTGCTCCTTTAGCAGCTAGGTCTCTGATGTGCACATCTATTGGATCAGGTGATCTTAATTAGTACTGATATTTTGGACTAAAATATCCTAATTATCTGCTTTTTCTGCAGAGTGGCGTCTCCCGTGGGTTCCAGCATGCTGTATTCGCTGTCCCGCTATAGCCGCTACATCTCCATCCTGGACGCCGACCAGAAGACCTTACGCTGTCCGCCATATTGTGGTCAACTCCTCGCCAACATAGCCACCCACCGTACCTACATCCGCCGGGGCTCCACCTACTTCCTTCACTTGCAGAGTACGCTTTGCCGCCTGGCAGCTAAGGCCTTCCTGTTTACCTTCACTCACCACCTCCACCTGCCTGTCAGCTCCACAGAGGGGCCCGAGGTGGTGGAGGGCCGCCGCCGCTGCTTCCTGCAAGAGCAGCTGGGGCTTGGCGAGGAGGACAGCCTGATACTGCTCTACCTCAGCCAGCTCATTACACAGCATTACCTTCAGCCCGCCACCGGGGGCGGCGCAGCAGCATCGTATTTTAATTTTGACTACACCACCAGCGTTTTATACAAGATCTGATATTAAACACACATTCAGGCGTCTTTGGACCTTTTGATTTTTAGCAGACAAGATGAGACATTTCTAAAGTCTGAGGTCTCATGAAAGTTTCAGAACAAAATCTGAACTTTTTTTCTTTTTTAATCTTGGTTACTCCTCTGCCTTGCTGTCTTCTTCTCTGGTCTTTTTTTTCCTGTTGTGTGCAGGAAAAAGGAGACAGAGTGGGTTGTGAATGTTTGAGTGGTTTACTTAAAAACTCACTGAACAAAACAAACACAGGTGAGCTCTGCTTATTGCCATTTGAGCATTTGTGCTTTTTTCTCCTTTATGACAAAGATGTTATTCCATGACAGGCTCACCCCTCCTCAGCTCACACAAACACACAATCCAACATGGCCGTCTGTGTCCTCAGCGCTTGACCATGTTGACTCTGTTAGATCACAGTTATATCTGTGACTCAGCTATGATATAATCTTAGCTGTATGTAAACATGTTTTTCAGATTTTGCTGTCACATACGTGGACATTTTCTGCCTGTGAGGATCAGACGTCTCTTTGAATCTGTGCGTGAAACCTCATTAGAAGGGCACAGGCGTGTTACAGCTGGTTTTCTGACATGCCTCTCTCTCTTTTTCTTTCTTTGTTCTGCATAAGCTCCGAATGCCCAAACATTTCCGAAGCATCTTTTTTTATACATCCTTTATTGCTTTGCTCACAGAAATCTTTGTGTTTCCTCTTTCTTGGATGAATCATACAGTACATTCCCGCAGCTACGATTTATTTTCTCAACACTTAGACACTGAGTTGAGGAGATTTGACCTTTCAGAGTAAAATGTGGACATTCCCAGAGGCTGATTCAGGTTGTGATGCATGAGGCAGTGTATTAGGATGATGCATGTCCAGTTAATAATGTCACACACCCACCCGTACGACCAGCAGCCACAGAAATCAGTCACACGTTACCTGCTGAGAGCGTTCAAAGGATCTTAGCACACAGGAGCATTTGAAGCTATTTAACCTTAATGTATTGAGTATCACTGTTGTCTTACAGTAATGTGAGAGTGTTGTGCTGTCAGCATGAGACCGTCCTGTACCGGGTGAATCACCGTGTTGAGTATCTTTCTGTTTCCATTTGGATGCACTGATGCTGAAGAGTTTGTGGAGTTATGGATGAGGCTGTGATGTTGTGTTTGTGTAGATTTTATTATGGATAAAAGATGAACTTCCTGTGCCATTGAGGCAAAATGCTCAAGACTTCTCTCCTGATTTTGAACATTTATTTATGTCCAACTTTTAATGTGAACCATGAACAAAGTTCTGTTTTTTGTATTTATTGCTTTGTTTCATAATCGGGATCATGATCATTATTCTGTGATTCTCTTTCAGGGAGGTGCGAAATTTTTCAACAGAGTGGTCGGGCCGGGTTAAAGGAAAAAAACTGGACTGAATAAAGTTGGTAAGAGGAGAGTGGTTCATGTCTAGCTTAAACGTAGAGCATCTAGTGAAACTGTACTCCATCGTAGGTTTTGCATAGAGCCTGAATTCTGGACAGTTTGTGCTGAAATCATGGGTGAAGCAGTTTAAGCGTGCACCCCATTTAAGCAGGTTACACTCAATAACTCAGCTTCTTTCAGTCCCTGCTCTCTCCGCTGTCTTATCCTCTAAATTAAAGGGCCCTAAAACTAAAATCTAATCAAAGAGAAAGATTGTGCAGTAAGATGAACGTATTATAATTAAGAGCTGTCTGAAAGACAACATTTTTCCAATAAGATATTGATCTATTTTCATAACATAATGAGTTGTTTCTTATAGGATAAAGATTCATGCCTCTAACATTGCAACATAGTTCTGTTACAGCCTTATTTTCAAAGTAGAGTGCATAAAGCTCAATCTCATAGGACAAAAGAAGAAACTACCTTATTTTCTTACATCTTGTGTTAATTTATTTTTTTAACATTTCTACTTTAATTTTGATAGGACATCTGAGAGACAGGAAATGTAGGAAGGGAGAGGGATGAGGTACAGTGTAGTCGAGGCTTGTAGTTGGACAAGTTAAACTATCACTATTTTTCTTATATTGTCACTAAGGACGTGACTTCTGCTTATTAAAACTATGACCTGACCATTTTTTTTTTATCATGACTTTCTTCTTCTAATAATATGACTTTATTCTCTAGATCTCAGATTTAAATTTCTTACAGTGGCCCTGATACTCTGTTGTAAAATTTGAAACATCTGGAAATGTTGACATTTTGAGTTGTGTTTTCCTAAATTGACACTGGGAGTGTATTTTAAGTGTTTTTAATCTGAATTGAATTGAATTTATTCTCATTGCACATGTCACACGTACAGAGCAACGAAATTGCATTAATGCTGAGATGGCATCAGTGATGCTTTGATTCTGTATCTTGGATGATAACTATTTGTGACTGCATGGTCAGACTTTTATTGTGAAAGGTGAAAAAATGTTGGATCACAGCTGCTGTTCTTCCTGTTACTAATAAGAAAAGTTTTTATTTTGAAGGTTATAACTACAGCAACCTGACTTCTGAATCCACGTGTATCAACTGAATTTAAATTTTTGCAGTTTGCTCTTTTATTTCTCACCATGTGCTTTTTTTATTTTTAACTTTTTTCAATATCACAAAAAGTGTGATTTTTTGGTATTCTCCCCCCAAAGCTGAAAGATGAATGTGAATCCAAAAGCCATACCACGGTGTGCTTAACATGTTGTCACGAAGTGTCTTTATGTTGCCATATCATGTCTGCCTTTTTGTACACCACCATGAGGGGGCGCTGTGCTCACTCCAGCCCTATTAGATGGCCTTGTTGCCAATGATTCAAATAAAGCACGTTGTGAATGTCTAAACGCTTGTCTGTACTTTAGTCATCCTAATCCATTGATTTTGTTTTGTACTTGAATCCTTTGTCATTCATCATATGCCTGAGTAAGATAATTTATCTAACCATGTCGATAATATTGACTCTTCCTTTGAGGTACCGGAACAAACAGACTGATGCAACATGCAGATCAGCATTAAACATAAAATAATCCAACAGGCTGTGTCTGCGTGACTTGCTTTAGCAGTGACAGATGTGTGAGTGTTTGAGGTGTCATGAATAATTAATGATCTGCTGTTTAAACCTCTAATTACCCTGCTGGAGGGGCTGCAGAGGAGGTAACAGCACATGACTGATGATAACAGAGACTAAGGAGGTGAGAGGATTTCTTTTTTCTTAGCTCCAATAAGTGAGCTTCACCACTCCAGCCTTGAATTTTTTTAATTAATACCAATGAAAGGCTAGTTGTATTAGAAGATCTAGATCTTAAGCTGCCCTCCCCCCATACAGTTATGGCATCCCACTGAGCAAAAGACGTATATTAGACGTCTAGTCTAAATTGATACTTCATTTCAACGTCTAGATTCAGTCTATTTCTAGACGTGATTTATACTTCGCCCTCAACTTCATTTTTCGATAACTTTTAATGCAATAAACATCTGTAATAGGCATAACTGACCTCTAAATACTGGATTACATTACTTATGATACCGTGGAGAGATATGTAGCATAGTATAGATGAAGACGTCATTTACACGTATAGATTTATACTTCATTTCAACGTCTAGATTCAGTCTATTTCTAGACGTGATTTATACTTCGCCCTCTATACTTCATTTCAACGTCTAGATTCAGTCTATTTCTAGACGTGCTTTATACTTCGCCCTCTATACTTCATTTCAACGTCTAGATTCAGTCTATTTCCAGACGTCATTTACACGTATAGATTTATACTTCATTTCAACGTCTAGATTCATCATTTCTAGACGTGATTTATACTTCCCCCTCAATTTCATTTTTCGATAACTTTTAATGCAATAAACATCTGTAATGTGCATAACTGACCTTTTAATACTGGATTACATTACTTATGATACTGTGGAGAGAGATGCAGCATAGTATAGATGTAGACGTCATTTACACGTATAGATTTATACTTCATTTCAACGTCTAGACTCAGTCTATTTCTATACGTCATTTACACGTATAGATTTATACTTCATTTCAACGTCTAGATTCAGTCTATTTCTAGACGTCATTTACACGTATAGATTTATACTTCATTTCAACGTCTAGATTCAGTCTATTTCTAGACGTGATTTATACTTCGCCCTCAACTTCATTTTTCGATAACTTTTAATGCAATAAACAACTGTAATGTGCATAACTGACCTTTTAATACTGGATTACATTACTTATGATACCGTGGAGAGAGATGCAGCATAGTATAGATGTAGACGTCATTTACACGTATAGATTTATACTTCATTTCAACGTCTAGATTCAGTCTAATTCTAGACGTCATTTACACGTATATATTTATACTTCATTTCAACGTCTAGATTCAGTCTATTTCTAGACGTGATTTATACTCCGCCCTCTATACTTCATTTCAACGTCTAGATTCAGTCTATTTATATACGTCATTTACACGTATAAATTTAACTTCATTTCAACGTCTAGATTCAGTCTATTTCTAGACGTCATTTACACGTATAGATTTATACTTCATTTCAACGTCTAGTTTCAGTCTATTTCTAGACGTGATTTATACTTCCCCCTCAACTTCATTTTTCGATAACTTTTAATGCAATAAACATCTGTAATAGGCATAACTGACCTTTTAATACTGGATTACATTACTTATGATACCGTGGAGAGAGATGCAGCATAGTATAGATGTAGACGTCATTTACACGTATAGATTTATACTTCATTTCAACGTCTAGATTCAGTCTAATTCTAGACGTCATTTACACGTATAGATTTATACTTCATTTCAACGTCTAGATTCAGTCTATTTCTAGACGTGATTTATACTTCGCCCTCTATACTTCATTTCAACGTCTAGATTCAGTCTATTTCTATACGTCATTTACACGTATAAATTTAACTTCATTTCAACGTCTAGATTCAGTCTATTTCTAGACGTCATTTACACGTATAGATTTATACTTCATTTCAACGTCTAGATTCAGTCTATTTCTAGACGTGATTTATACTTCGCCCTCAACTTCATTTTTCGATAACTTTTAATGCAATAAACATCTGTAATAGGCATAACTGACCTTTTAATACTGGATTACATTACTTATGATACTGTGGAGAGAGATGCAGCATAGTATAGATGTAGACGTCATTTACACGTATAGATTTATACTTCATTTCAACGTCTAGATTCAGTCTATTTCTAGACGTCATTTACACGTATATATTTATACTTCATTTCAACGTCTAGATTCAGTCTATTTCTATACGTCATTTACACGTATAAATTTAACTTCATTTCAACGTCTAGATTCAGTCTATTTCTATACGTCATTTACACGTATATATTTATACTTCATTTCAACGTCTAGATTCAGTCTATTTCTAGACGTGATTTATACTTCCCCCTCAACTTCATTTTTCGATAACTTTTAATGCAATAAACATCTGTAATAGGCATAACTGACCTTTTAATACTGGATTACATTACTTATGATACCGTGGAGAGATATGCAGCATAGTATAGATGTAGACGTCATTTACACGTATAGATTTATACTTCATTTCAACGTCTAGATTCAGTCTATTTCTAGACGTGATTTATACTTCCCCCTCAACTTCATTTTTCGATAACTTTTAATGCAATAAACATCTGTAATAGGCATAACTGACCTTTTAATACTGGATTACATTACTTATGATACCGTGGAGAGATATGCAGCATAGTATAGATGTAGAAGTCATTTACACGTATAGATTTATACTTCATTTCAACGTCTAGATTCAGTCTATTTCTAGACGTGATTTATACTTCGCCCTCAACTTCATTTTTCGATAACTTTTAATGCAATAAACATCTGTAATAGGCATAACTGACCTTTTAATACTGGATTACATTACTTATGATACCGTGGAGAGATATGCAGCATAGTATAGATGTAGACGTCATTTACACGTATAGATTTATACTTCATTTCAACGTCTAGATTCAGTCTATTTCTAGACGTGATTTATACTTCGCCCTCAACTTCATTTTTCGATAACTTTTTATGCAATAAACAACTGTAATGTGCATAACTGACCTTTTAATACTGGATTACATTACTTATGATACCGTGGAGAGATATGCAGCATAGTATAGATGTAGACGTTATTTACACGTATAAATTTATACTTCATTTCAACGTCTAGATTCAGTCTATTTCTAGACGTGATTTAGACGTATAAATTTATACGTCATTTCAACGTCTACATATAGACCGAATCTAGACAATCGATTTTAATCCACAATTCAAGAGTTGATTATTTAAAATGATAACTGAACGTTGCAGAACTGATCTCAATCTATGGGACTACTATCATATCCTGAGCGTAACCAGTCTTTTCGCCATATCCGGTCAAAACGCATATACGGCAGAAAAATAAAATAAAAAACAACTTCGGATCTTAAAGCCTGGGTCCTGCTGAGTACTCGACAACAAAGTTGGTCGCTGAAATTCAATTTGATTATTAGATTTCATGTGTTTTATCCGTCTCGGTAACACCGGCTGCCACCGTGACAATAATCCAGCCACTTTATTGGTGGAGCACGCTCACGTGACCCACCGTGCAACCACTTCTGGTAGATTCTAATTCCGCCAAGAGCAAAGTAGTCCGTGATAAAAGTTATCGGCATAGCCGCAATGCTACGAGATGAGCGACAAAAAGTATTTGGTAGCTCTGCAAGAGCCCAACTTAACACCTGTTTGGAGATCGTACCATAATCGGACCTTAACATGAAAACGGCTTCAAATTGTGGACCGCACAACATCCGGCTGAAGCATTGCGCTCTGTACACACTCGACCTCAAGACCGTCGGAGTACAATAGAACTTCCAGGAGTCGCGGAGTTCGAGAGCTATACTTTCTGCAGAAAAGAGGTGGGTGCTGAAGGAGATATTATAGAAAATGTTTATTTTTGCAAGCTTTGGTCCTCCCACCGTCGTGCATCATGATGCGTGACGGTGAAATGCATTTACAGCAAATGTTAAACTCGAGTTCGCATGTAGCCTGGTTGCTACTACGAGGGCTAGCTTGTGGCTAGTTTAGCCAGCATCAAATAGTCCATGCTAACGTGTGTTGTCATGAAAGTAAATAAGGGCCTGCTCTCTCTGTTGGAGCCAAGTTTAAAAGCTGCTAGTTAGGCTATCCAATTAAATTAGAAAATGAAGCCTATTTTGATGCCAGTACTGTTGTTTTTGTTTATCCAGTGGTATTTTTTCATATTATAAAATTTGTGTTTAACTGTAATTATCATAGATTGTGTTTTCACTATGTGTGGTAGAAATGGGACGCATTAGTTGAATTATTCCAATACTATTTTGTTAATGCATTAGCAGTGCTATAGGAAATGCTAATAGTAAAAATCTCAAAGTACTGGTATCGACATATTTTTTACCAAGAGTAAAAGGTATTCATTATGCATTATGTCCTGTTTCACAAGTTGCCAATTGTACTAAATAAACAGAACAATTTTATAATGGTTGATCTACAAGTTCACACTGTTATTAACATTATTGTTTTTCTACTTTCTTTTTTCCATGTGTTTTCTTTCCAGCCAAATTGAATATGGCCTCTACTTATTTGAAAGAGTGGCGGAGAAAAAGAGCTTGGGAGGGTGATTTCATGGATGAATTTTTGAATTGGATTCAAGGTAAGGATTTATCAGGTTTAGCAGTGGTTTTTAAGTAGGGTGGGGGCTATTTTAAAATAGTGCAACAGCATATGATTTTGTGTTTAAAAGCCAAAGTTAAGCACCACACTCATCATCCATTTATTGTCTCGTTCTCGGATTTTGCAGCGAGGAAGAGGGTTTATTCCTACCCAATGCCTGAGTAAAGTAAGAGTGGCATAACTACAGTACAAAATGTTGTTAAGTAATGTATTCTAATTATTGAATTGAATGTTACTAAATCATATCTTTTCACCAAGAGTTCCAGCGGGTGGTCGTGGAAACACTTTTGGAAATCTGCGATGAATTGAAATCGCTCAACCAGCAGGGGGACATTGAAGATGAGGGTGAGCAGATACGTCAGTTGCTGTTAAGGACTTTGGAGGAGGCTCAGCGCATGTCGTTGGAAATCAGTAGGCACCCCAGCATAAAACGTTTACTGGTAAGTCAAATAGAGATGCTAAAAATGATAGAAATCTATACATTAGACACTCTTGATAATTTGATTATATCATACAGATAAAACAACTGTCACACCTTGGGGGGAAGGACATCAAGACCTGCACACGCAGGATCCTGGACAGGTATGAATATGACAGCAAGACAATGTTATTAATGTAATCATGTATTGTTGGTGTTTATCAAGTCTTTCTAGTGAATTGCAAGAGTAAGCAGTATTAAGGTGCGTTCACACAGGCACTTGCGCAACGGCAGCGAGGGTTTCTCTGAGGTTTTAGGGACTTGTTCCGCAAATAAAGAGAAGCGCTGGACACAGTATCTGACGAGATCGAGGGGAAACCTAGAGTGGGTGTGACGTAATGCGCAGCGCGAATTGAAGGTGGCAAAGTGACACGTTTTAGGACACAAGACAGGACAAGTTGCATTGCCTGTCCAGTGTGAACGCACCTTAAGAGATTTATTTGTCTTTGAATTCCATTTCAGAATTTTACACAATGATGTGCAGAGGAAGTACAACCTCCTGGGTGAAGGATGCCAGGGGAAAAAAGGCTTTAAGAAAACTGCTTTCTTCACAGTTGTTCTTGGTAAGTGAATTATATCTCTGCAAGTTATTACTTGTTCTTGGTCATGTTACTGACTCATTTAAAGCCTGAAGCTGTAAAAAAGTGAAGAATCCTTCCGGACAATACTAGATAATTTCTACATTTACTATGATTCAAGTTTCTTTTGTTTTTTTTCTTTTTGCAGAGTCTGTTCGCATCAACTTCCCGACAGCAACAGAGGAACTGGTCGCCGCATCGATTGGGGACCATTTGAAACAGGCACCAGCTCGATGTGGTGGGAGGGGCACCACCAGAACACCACCCTGCTAATTTTTAAAAAATATATATCTTAAAATTGTTAATATTTATTGTTCATTTCAGTATTAGTATTAGTAAATTTTTTCAGTATGTTGTTGTCCTTGTTCTTTATACTTTGTAGCTATGTTTGTATATAGATATATAGATTTTTTTTCTTTTTTAAATGTTTGTTTTACTAGATGTGAGATATAAAATTTGTTTTTCCCACTCCATGACTGTAATGGTTATATTCTGAGTGAAAAATGTACTGTGATTTCAATTACAGTTGACTGATCATTGCCAAATGTAGATCAGTGTTAAATTATGAATGAGCATGACTGTAGAAGCTATTCTAAAAGGTCCAGAAAGAGAAGCAACATTGCCAAATTAGAACATCCTGGGAGTATGTGTATCAAGGTAAGCAGCAGGTAACTTTTGGTGTAGAGAATCTGGCTCTACAGATGGTCCCAGCAAGCATTTTGAGGTTGATTATACGTCTAATATACATCTAAATTTAAAGTAGACGTCTAGTCTAAATTTGGTGTAACAGAGGTATAGAAATGAAAGTTTTTTCAACGTCGAACTTTATACTCTCTTTAAACGTTTTGATTTTTACGTTGTTTCACGTGTTTCCTGTGAATATTTTCATCAATTTACATATATCAGACGCTTGTGGTAATATGCATTGTTGATATTTAGTAAATTTATTAAAATATTTACAAGAAATGATTGTGCCTTTAGGCGTCCGTTGGACCTGTAGTCTAAAAATGGTTTAACAGTGGTATAGAAATGAAAGTTTAATAGACTCGCTCGGTCAGCGCCGTAGGCTGACCGGGGACCTGCGGGCTCCAGCGGCCGCCGCTGCCGGGACCGTCTGTGCGCGGGGAGGCTCGCCCGGTCCCCGCTGGGTCGGCCGATTTGGACCAGATGTCTAATAAACGTTTAATCAACGTCTGTGTCTATACCTGGGTTTATATTGGTTGAAGCATGAACGTCTAACATAAAGACGTTTAAATGAAAACGTCTATTGGACGTCATTTCAACGTTATAGACGGAACAGTGTAGAATAAACTCGTTTAAACAACATATAAATCAAAACGTTTAAACAACATATAAAGTTCGACGTTTAAATAACGTATACATTTCGACGTTGAAAATACGTATAAATTTCGACGTTGGAAAAACTTTCATTTCTATACCTGTTATACCAAATTTAGACTAGACGTCTAGTCTAAATTTAGACGTATAATCAACCTCAAAATGCTCGCTGGGATGTGGCCTGAGATAAGGTCCATATTTAAGGTATGTAGCTTTTTTTTAAAACAGTGTTTGAACTAAGATTTTTTGCAATTAAGAGTAAAAAAATGGAAACAATCAAGACAACTACAATATTTTCCCTACTGCGTAATAGAATTACTTAAAACTCCTTTTAGGAACCTCTGTGTGTGTGGACTTTGGCACCATTTTGCTGATCTTGTTTTGAACACAAGAAACAATAACTTCATATTGATAATATCATTTGAGACGCTAGTTTTTCATTCTATAATCAATTTCATTTTCTAATCAGCTTAACTCTGTCACTAAGGCTTTAATGTCACAGAAAATTATCAGTTGGAAACACTGACCCCCATCTTCTTTTCTTTGATTTTTGCTGTTTAGTGGCCTAAACCAATTTACCTTGCCAGCAAATGTGAGTATGAGCCAGCTAATGACTCGGGCAACCCCAGGCTAACTAATTAGAGACACCAAATCCTTACCTAGCACACATGGACAAATAATCATGTCCAAAAAACAGAGAAAGATCACGTGTGGAATATTGAGCCATTAAACTTCAGGTGTTTGGAGGGAATGATCTTCAGTAGATTAAACATTTTTGTGATCGCCCTCCAGTCAATATCAGGCCCTCATAAAGTTGGTTTTATAGGATTTACTATTGGTAAAATGTAAAAATCAATATGCAAGACTGAGTAAGTAAATGAGAAATGGTTTATTTAAAAGTAGACAACAAAAATGAAGTTTACAGGTTCAAACAATCACATTTTCTGAACAAAAACCACTCCCCCTCTGTCAGCCCTTTAGATGAAATGAAAACACAAGAATTTAAAATCTTCACGATGGGCAAAACTAGCTCTAAAACACATCTGATCTAGAAGCTGCTGACCTCAGCTTCTACTTTTGAACTTCTGGAGTTCAGGGCGAGATATCAAAAAAAGAAGAAAATAAATGACAAGAAAAGAAAAAATGCCCCCTTCATTTACCACCTCTTGCGCTCCTGTGTTTAAAGGAGAAGACTACAAGCTCCAGCCCTCCCTCCAATAAAGGCAGCGAATGATGATGATGATGATGAAGATTTGGTTTCTGACTAAAGTAAGATGATGTTGCTCTGAGGTTTTTAGAGACTGCAGATGGAGGCTGTGTGAGACAGAAAGACGAGCAAAATCTGCGCCTAGCCAGAACAACCTCGGCATCCACAGTGGGTGCATTCAATGATCCTCCCCTGCAGAGAAGAAGACAGTGGTTAAGTACATGAGAGCAGAGAGGGAACAGTGCCATAAAGTCGGCAGGTTCACTTCAATTATAAAATATCATGTGACTAAATTTTAAACTCTTATATTTAATAATAAACTGTAGAAAGGAGGACATCTACAGCTTCAGTCAAAGCAATTTTCACTCTGCTTGAATAATATAAAAACCATCAAATTCTGTTTTTATCAACATTTTACAGCGTGCCTCAGCTCCATAGGAGTTTAAGACTATATACCAAACTTACAACTTCCAGTTTGCTCTTGGGGACTCTGCAGATGCAGTTGGTTCCAAAGTTTGTGTCTCTTGTCTGGATGCAGCGCAGGCAGCACAGGTTCTCGTAGCCCTGCTTCTTCCACTTTGCTATCAGGTTCTTATCTGCATATCCTTCCTTTATACAGTACTCATACAGCTCTGTCAGGAAAAATACAAGTAAAGGGTTTGGACAGTCAGCACATCTCTTACAAATCATGGCAACCTTATATTTTATAGGTTTTGTAGATACATTGCCATTAAAACTCACTCACAGAACTGAATTACTTCAACTCAAGTATGTCCATGTAGATTCTCATTCATCCAGGTCATGGTTATCTTGAAGACTTAAAAACAGGCAACTGGACTGTGTAGAGTCTACACAGTCCAGTTGCCTGTTTTTAAGTCTTCAATTCAACTTAAGTAAACATTATGTTGAGTGAGTTTTGATGCAAGATAACATCAACTGTTATAATAACAAAAATGTAAAATGTTTTGACTGGATGACAAGAGAAACTTCCTCTACCTCTGCTGATGGCTTTCCTCTTGTAGAAAAGGTCGAAGATGTATCGACTCCGCTGATGATGCAGCCTGAAAATTGGCCAGAGGGACTCCACCTTCCTCTTTCCCTCATGAGGCTCTGTTTCAGCTGAGAAAGAGGAAAAACAGAATGGTTCTGATAAGAAGGTATTCTAATGACTGATGATGACCTGTGTGGTGGTGTGGTTGTAGGTTCAAAATGTCACCAGTTGTAGCTGTTTTTCTTAAGTCTGAAGCTTTAAAACTTTGGGTCTTTTTCTGCACAAACAAGAAAAAACTAAGTTTCATGAAGCACAGAGATCCTGGAGTCATCGCACTGGTCAAAAACAACCCAAACTGAATTTTAAAGTGAAACCAGATCACTTGGTTCACATGAATAAAAAGTGGCCACCAGACATGACGTCACTGTGAAACCTACAGGTTGACAGAAGTGTGATTTCCTCCCCTATACTATTTTCACTGAAGGCATCATTCACTGCCTGAAGTCCAGCATGATGTCTCCACAGTCTGTGATGATTTGGGGTGCCATGTCATCTACTAGTTTTGATCTACTGTATTTTATCAAGTCTAGAGTCAATGAAGCTTAAAGTCTACCAGAATATTTTAGAGCGGATTTGAAGCCAAAAAGCTCTCGGTATTTCCGCGATTTTTTTTCATTTCCTGAAATCAACATTGCGCAGTAGCGTTGTACGCATTCGGCGGAAGAGTCACCAAGAGCCGCTATGATGGTTCAAACAGCACATCCCCCTGGTGAGCTACGCAATCCCTGAATGCCAATAGGCTATATCAGGTGTCAATCATAGAAAACATGAACCCCCTAGTAACTTTTAAAAACTGGGCTGTACAGAAAAAAAGAGGACTTGAGCACAAACCAGTCTTACAGTTACTACATGTTAACATCGCAAGCAGTGGGGAGAAAAATTTAGTTCTGTGTAATAAATTTCTAAAGTTTGTCCACAGCTCCGTACGGATTGCTGGAGGAGGTGGGATTTATGACCTTTACTGCAGCCCGTCACCAGAGTGTGCTGTTCTCGGAGTGACTTGACCCAGCGAGGAGGCAGACGGTGTCCATTCTACTTACAGTCTATGGTGCTACCCCCGGCAGAAATGCAGATGAAGGCTCAACAGATGATAAACTTTTTCCCATATCGCCCAGCCCTACCCCCACTAAGTACGGAGAGCATAAATGAACATAACTGTCTAGAAGGTTGACATCTCTGTGTTGTAAATCCTTTTGTTTTGGACGGGTGTTTGAGGTATTTAAATTATTTGAGAGAGTAAACAGTTTCTCCTGACCGAACTCCAGGCAACTTGATTTTTTATTTTTATTTTGAACAAATCCTCAGAATAAGTAAGCGTTTCACCGTCAGAAACGTCTGATCAGCCTTTTCAATGATCCCTGAAATAATCGTTTAGAATAATAGTCGAGACAATCAGATGAGAAGCAGCAGGTTTACTCGTTTTTACTCGTTACTCTGCGTGTTTTCAGACTCATCTTCTTTAATCGTCTCACCTTCTCTCATTTTCTGATCCAGCTCGTCCAGTGTGGGCTCAATCAGCTCCCAGCCGTCTGGAGGAGGTTTCCGACTCCTCTTCACTTTGGGCATTTTGCTCTAAGGTTTTTTTTTTTTAAACAAAAGAAACAGAAACAAACACGACGATGTTTTCGTTGTCTGTCGAAGCCGTCTCTGGCGCGAGAGTTTGACGTCATGCCGGGGTCCATTTCTACTTTTCGCCCCCAGGTGACGTCACTCCTCTAAACAAACGTAACACTCCAACGTTTAAATCATTTTTGAGACAAACACACGGACTCAAGGGGTCAAATATTTTATTCAGATTGAAATTGAGTTTATTTGAAGATGCTTAGTGAACCTAAATCAAATTAGAAGTCTTTCTTTCAATTCCAGGTGATTGCATCACATTAGTAAACTAGCATTTTGCCTTAAAATAAAAAAACACGATTTAGTCTGTTGTATTTCATGGCATGCGTCATTTGGATGAAATTAATAAAAATATATAAAAAATTGCAAAACGATTATTTTTAAAGCAGACGCTGTGTTTTGTTAAAGAAATGTAAAAATGCCTTGGTGTGTGGATTTGTAATCAGGCATATGCGTGAACCGCTGTCAGTATTGTGTTACTCATCCTGAGTGTGAGTTTAGCCAGCTGTCAGCTCGTGCTGCTGCTCTAACACACCTGTTTTATGACGTTTTTATCTTACAGATAGTTCACAACAAAGGCTTCGGTTGTCAAAATGCCCAGAGGAGGTAAGAAGAACTGTCAAAACTGTTTTATTAAACTAACTGTGTTCTTTTTGTACATCTGATAGTCCGCTGTTAGCCACTCAGCGACCCTCTACACTGTAGGCAACACACCTCAGCGCGAGGGGAAACTAATTCACACACCTTTACTCTGAACATTAAAACGGTTGACATCATTTGAATGAGCTGCCCTACCTCTGATAGCACCTGCCTGACTGTTAGTGGTCCCTCTCGGCTGCCGTACAATCTGGGTGTGATGTCATGTTTTGTTTTGCTCACCTGTGCAGGTAGGAAAGGTGGCCACAAGGGTCGTGTGCGGACCTACACGAGCCCTGAGGAGATAGACGCTCAGATGAAGGAAGAGAAGGAGAGGAAAAAGGTTGGTTTTACCTCAGTTACTTAAAATTTACCCGTAGACTAACTTTACTTCATGGCTGATACATCCAGCTGTAATAACAGTCTAACCACTGACAGAAGAGGTGAATATCATTTATTTTTATGACACTCTCATGTAATGGTATCTATGTTCTGCAGTGGTCGAAACCAGGGGGTTAAAATAGGACCAAAATATTTGACCTAAAGCGCCTATGAGGAGGTTTTTTTTTTCTTGCATAAAGTAGACCAAAATTCACATTGATTCCTTTTCATGATAAAAGGAAACAAGACCAAGTTAACATGGAAACAACACATTGAATACATCAAAGGGAACATTTCAAAATCCCTTGCAATCCTGTACAAATCGAGAAAAGTATTGAATTCCAAGGCTTTGCATTTGATTTACTACTCATTGATTAGTCCCTATGTATCTTACTGTGTGGAGCTGTGGGGATCCACCTTTAAAACCACTATAATTGCAATTATAAAACAGCAAAAACAAGCTATACGTATTATCAGTAAGACAGATTACTATGATCACACGGAGCCACTTTTTCTAAATTCTCATGTTATGAAATTTTATGATCTGTTTTATTATAAAATAATGCAAATAATGTTTAGAGCAAAATCAAAAATGCTCCCTGACTCAATACAGAGGTTCTTTTCAATTCAGGACAGTCTGTATAATCTCAGAGGCGCTTGCAAATTTACTGTACAAAAAGCTAAAAAAGGTATGAAAAGGAGATGTGTCTCCGTTATTGGAGTTAAATTCTGGAATAATGCCAACATAAATCTAAAAACATATCAGTCCTTTTTGGTTTTTAAGAAAATGGTTTGTAAAGCTATATTTGAAGCTTATAGGTGCGATTGATTACCTGTTGTTGTGGTTTCTTTGCTTTTCTGGAGGTCGGTAGCCTAAAAAGTTGACAACACAGGATAGGCTTTTATAAGCAGTCTGCTTCTGCCTATGCCTTCTCAGTCAATGTTCAACACATGATTCTTGATTTAGTGATTTTGTGTGAAATGTCAATATTGTGTGCAATATTTGGTGTTGTCATGACTGAATAAACAACTACAACTGCTATTACTACTACTACTACTACTACCATTAGGGATGAGATTCACCCTACTTAAAGGGAGATTCCGGCGTAAAATTAAGTAAGGGTCAAAGACACCGTAACACCAAGTTAGACACCCCGTCGAGAGATGAATGTTGTTACTCTATGATTCCCTCCTGTGATTGGTCTGCCTGTTGTTAATGTTTGTGTTGTAGCACGAGCAGGAGCAGGATGAGGCGGGTGCAGCTCAGACTGAATTACCAGAGGAGAAGCTTCCGGGGTCGGGATCAGAGGACAGCGATGACGAAAACTCCTCAGTAATCATGAACTGTTTCTTTCATTCACTTAGCAGCCATGCATTTAGAGATAATAAAATATCTATTATTAGTGTTTAATGTTGTGTTTCTTATGATCATGACTAACTACTTATTTATCACCATTGTATGCTCTCTGCTTATTCCACATGTGCTGTTGTTTTTGCAGAGGAGGAGACAAGGCGTGGAGGGCTTGATTGAAATCGAAAACCCAAACAGAGTTGCTCAAAAGTCCAAGAAGGTGACCCAGATCGAGATTGATGAGCCCAAGCAATTATCAAGGAGAGAGAGGTGTGTGGTAAATATCTGAATGAATGACTTAAATGTATTAAATACCAAATAGCCACTCAACACATTTAATCTGTATTATTTTAGTAAAACATATTTTATTTTTTCAGGTTGTTTGGAGTAGTGTGTAGAAGAAATTTGCATGATTTTCAATTAAAAATAGGCTTCATATCTTTTGCAAGCAAACGCTACATTTCAACTCTTGTGAGATTGGGTTGTACAACATAAACGACATCATCTGAAAGTGGCGGACAGAGTGTAAATAATCTCTAAAAGGCTGATAAATTTTCTCCAGTTTCGTCCTTAAATTCTTGTTAATGCTGAATTTAATTGAACCCCCATTTAACGATCTTTGACTGTCATATCTCCACTTTGACGCACACTCACACACTTTGACAGGGAGGAGATTGAAAAGCAGAAAGCGAAGGAGCGCTACATGAAGATGCACTTGGCAGGGAAGACGGATCAGGCTAAAGCCGACCTTGCTCGACTCGCCATCATCAGGAAACAGAGAGAAGAAGCGGCAAAAAAGAAGGAGGAGGAGAAAAAAGGTAAAACACATGCAACAGGGTTGAAATTATTACATATATTCTATTGGTTAGAATTTATTAAACAGCAGCCTCTATCACTAAACGCTCTAACCAACAAAATAACTACGCATTACTTTTTTGAACTGCATGTTTCCTCACCACACTTGAGTTGGTTTTTGTTCTGTTCAATATTTTTTTAATTGTGTGTCTTTACAAGAGAGAATATGATTAATTGGCTTGGTTAATGTTATTTTGTAATAATAGGCATCATATCGGCATCAACTCTCACAAGTTCAAAATCACAAATATCTTTTGAAAACACATTTTTCTTATCCCTGATAACAGCAAATCAAATCAAAATCTGTCACTGGTCAGGTTTCATTGTGAATTCTGTTAAGATGAGTAGATTAATACTTATTAATTAAAGACTCTGATAGAAATACTAGCCTACCATAAATCACTTCCTATTTTTGTATTCTTTTATTTGAACTGCGGTCTTTGACTTGTAGTTTTTAATTTTTTTAACAAGTTAAATTTTTTTTTATTGAGGAAAATATTTTTCCATCTGATTTAATTTGTAAAACTGTTTTTTACAAAAACAAAACAACAAATGTTGAGATATCACCAGCTATTGACCAACCTGCTCTATTGTTATCGGTCCCCACATTTGCCATTGAAAAACTGTGATTAGTCAACCACTCGTCTTTTGTTCCACTTTTGAACATGTGACACAGTAAAGTCCCAGTTTGTTTTGTTTCAATGTAGTTTGGCAGTTGAAATGTGATTTTGACATTCTGGAATTTGACCAGATAAAAGTGAAAGTATGTGAAGACTGCTTTTGATGTTGTTTAGGTTTACTGTAAATATCTTGTACTGATTTGATCAGTTGTATTAAACTAAATAGTTTACAAAACAGAAACCTGAGATGAGCCAAATGTATTGTGACTATATTATGCAGAAATGATAAAAAAAAGATTTTCTTCAGCTGCTTTGCTTAAATATTACAATTTAAAACACATCGATCCTGACACTAATGGTTTTGAATTTTAGTCCAGTAAAAAAAAAATCCTCACAGGAGCTTTAAGTCAGTTAATAATAATTTCTTTGACATGGCAAATTCTGATGTTCGGAACCTTTTTTTCTATTTCAGCCTTAAAATTAAATATTTTGATGCAGACTTGTTGTCCCCTCTGTAGGCAGTGTTATCAGAGTATGATGTGTCGTCTGCATTGAAGAATTTGTTGAAAGTTCAAACTGCAGCTGCACACACTCACTTCCACGTCAGTGTTTCTGATTGATTTTGTTGTCTCTTTTCTTCCCTCCTCTCAGCGAAAGATGCAGTGGCAGCAGCGGCGGCAGCAGCCAGAGGAATAAACTCCCTCGCACTGAAATGATGCAGAGTATTTATCAGAGGCACTTGTTCATGGACTGGTGATCAATCTATATTTGACTATTTTTAAAGAAGGATTTATGATGTTGTCATTGCTGTAACATATATGGAGAATGAATGAGCACACACCAGAAGAGAAGAGAGAGGTGTGTGTGTATTCAGGTCTCGTTGATCCCTTCAGGAAGTAAAATAATGAAAACAGCCGTCTTCATATTCACACTCAGATCGACCCTCCTCTAACCTTGGATTATGTACATGATATTAATAATGGTAAAGTATCACTGTACAATACCAACTTTGCTAACTAAACTTTGCCACTATGTTATTTTTTTGGGGATCTTACATTGTAAATAACAGACTCATGAATATATGTCAGATTAATATGACGAAACCAGTCACACGTCTTCATGTCTTTCTTTGCTTTACATGATTTACAGCTTTAAAAAAAAACTTCATTTATTCCTTCTAATCCCAGGCTGGTGTCTTTTAAAACCCTAGTTTCAGGTACCATCTCTTTGACATCCTCTTAGAAGCCTAGAAGCCTCTTCCACTGTTGCCATGTAACAAAGTCATGTTTCTCAGTTTAAAATGATAAATTATGGAACATTTCCACATGATTTGAAAGTTTGAAAAGGAAAAAAATTCCCAACAATGTAAAAGAGAGGTGTTATTTTTATTTTGTCCTTATAGAGAGATTAACCAACAGGTGATGTGGTGATTTGAGTAAATCATGTGTCCCTCTCGCTCAAGTCTCATGCAGCTTTTGAACAAGCCAGTCAGAGCATCCCGCAGTCCTATCCAGGTATTACTGCAGCACACTCTTTGAAACTGTGCCAGTAGTATTGACATCCAACATTGTAGTGGAATATTTTTGTAAAATATGAAAAAGCAAAGTACCACCTCTTGAACAAGTAAAAATATGCAAATACAGTTCAAAGAAAGACCTCTTTTTGAATGACAACCTAGTCCTCATTTTTGTCAATATTGACTTTAAAGTCATTAAAGACACTTACAAATGTCATCAACAGATAATAATCATACTTACATTATGAATAGTCACAATGAAAAAAGATAAAAAGCAAAACATTTGACTAAAAGACATAATGAGGATGTTAGTAAAACTGAGATTATTTTAATACCCATGTGATTAAAAGGTAATCTATGCACAGAGAGAAAGGTAAGGAAATGAGATAAGCAGACAGGTATGAGGGGAGAAAACTAAAGATTTATACAGTGAGTTATACAACCAAAAAACAGGTTTACAAGAATTGATGATGTTGATTACATAATAGAAAATAAATCCTGCAATAAAATTGGTCCAAAGTATAAAATAGAATAGACCAGTAAAATAAAATAAGATAAAATAGACTGTCAACATCCCTGTACGGGAGCGTGTTGCATTCAGCCCCCCTGTTTTTTGGACCATTTTTTTATTGATTTTTGTTTGTTTTTCAGACTAACCGTTTAGTCAGGGAAAAAAAGTAGTCAGAAAAACAAAAAGATGAAAAAAAAAAGTCCAAAAAACACAATAAAATTTTGTCCGAAAAACGGAAAGAGGGGGAAAATATTAGCACAAAAAAGAAGAAAAAAATAGTCAAAAAATAAAATTAGTCAAAAAATCAGCAAAGACAAAAAATAACTAAAAACGCCTGCATTATTTTGGATCGACTACAAAATCATAAATATGAGATAAAACATCGGAATGATCACTCAAAAATAAATAGGGGTTTTATTTCGCTCCGTGTCCAAGAGGGGGCGATAATCCGTGTATGTTTGAAAGGTAGAAAAAGACGAAGAAGCAGAAGAAGAAGACGGAGCGCACTGATTGCTGGAAAGTTTGGCGGACTTTATCCCCCGCAAAGAAGCGATTTTCGTCATAACACCGTGGTGTGATTGTCAGTCCAGTTTGACAAAGTGACAGCGGAGAGAGTGTCGACCTCAGTGGTAAGTGAAATCAAGTCACTGGCACCTGTTTTGAGGCTGAGTATAATTCAACAGTTGCATGTATAAAAGTATTTTAAGGGGGACTTAGTTTCCACTGTGTGGGTCTTTATTAGTCCGGATCTTTTTCTCCCGCGGTGTCATAACTCCACACCCGACGTCACACGTTTGTTAGCAGATGGCGGGTTGTAATCGAGCAATTTTTGTGCAAAGTCAGAAGAAACTTTGTAAGTAAGTTATATATCACGAGTATTCGTATTGAGCGTGAAAACGAGTCCGTTTCTCAGTGCTGCGGACTTTGTGGGTCAGCTGAACATGGCAGATAGTAGTTATTACAGTCATGTGTCTGGTTAACGTGGCTGCAGTCTGGGCTGACCTGGAATGACTTTTTAGTGGGTGGACTGCTTCAGATAGAGACTATTAAAACAGACTAAGACATAAACTGTGTGACACAACAAAGGGGGAGTGAATGTGTAATCTGAGTTACCTAACACTGTGTTTTTGCAGCTTATCAGTTCATGTGAGGGGTCAATGTTTCACTGGAGTGACCGTGTCAGATCTTGGTTACAGACCAACAACTGAGGAGGCTCCTTTGTTTGGCTCAAGCTCAAGTCTGCATCAGATTCGCCTCTGATTTCTCAAATCTGATGTTGGGTTTTTACCAAGACTAGCAGCCCTTCTGGTTTAATAGATCTTTAGCTCTCTAGAATAAATTAGTCCAGATCTGTAAAGTCGAGGTATCAAGGTGTGTTTTGGATCTGGTCTAACGTGGTCATTTATTTTTAAAGACAAAAGACATATTTTACAAAACTCGAAGAGACTGCTGCTGCATCTCCCTGGTACTCTAGATCTGAAATGTCTAGGTAACATGGTTTTGCATCAGCCTTATTAAAAGCTGCAAACAAGATGCCAACTCAAACAGTTCTTGTTTGAGGCTTTTAGACTTGAATTAAAGATCTACTACAAGATCAGTTTAACACAAGCCAGCCTGTCATTGCACACTTTTTTAAGATTTACCCAAATTATTTTCTGAATGCAACTTTAAGAAGATTTGTAAATCACTTTGGTTTGATCATTGGAGTTTAAATAAATGTATCTATGGTGGCCCCTCAAGGGCAACTTCCCAAACATCACATGACCATGAAAAAACATTTTACTAAACACAAAAAATTGTCACCAGACACAAAAAGCTGAACAGCAAACTGCAAAAGAAATTATTTTACAAAATAAAAATCATAAATGCAAAAAAACAAATAAAACTTTAAAAACGGTGAAAACAAAAATCACAGTGTGCTACTATATGTTTCATGAAACAAACAAAAAAATCCCAATTTTGTTGGTGAATTTAATGTTGTTGTTTTTTTGTCAGTGATAGTTTTGGTGTTTTGTTGTAATATATTTACAGATTGATGTTTATTTTTCCTCCAGAACAGCAGCAACCATGTCTATGACCAATGGCAACCATATCAGCAATGAAACATGGGACTCACACAACAAAATGATGCTGGACCCTCTGGCTGTCAGCGACTCTGAGGTCGGTGTTATTGGAGATTAAATCAGATTGAGTTTCTGATCAGTGGATAAATTGTTGTTGTTTTTTAATTTTTTACAAAATAGTTTTTTGATTAAGATTTAGTGAATTATTGAATCCTTCCTAACAAGCTGTGAATTGTATTCATTGTGTTTATTTGTGTTTTAGGTATTCGACATCATAAAGAAAGAGAAGCACAGGCAGACGTACGGTCTGGAGCTGATCGCGTCTGAGAACTTTGCCAGCCGAGCCGTTCTGGAGGCTCTGGGTTCCTGCATGAACAACAAATATTCAGAGGGATACCCGGGTCAGAGGTGCGAAAATCAATCACAGTGTTTGTTTACAATGTAAAACCTGTGCGTCTTGCTTCATTTTGTGTTTTGTAAATCATTAGACCATGTGATGCATGTGTCCAGGTACTACGGCGGCACGGAGCACGTCGATGAGTTGGAGAGACTCTGTCAAAAGAGGGCACTGGAGGCTTATGGTCTGGACCCGGAGAAATGGGGCGTCAACGTGCAACCATACTCAGGTATTGCTTATAAAAAAAACAATTTTTTAATTTCTCTTCACCACATTGTCTCCAAAGCTACATCTCTATTTTACAGCCCTGTATACTCTGGTGTGGTACAGAATAATTTGTGTTTCCATCATCAAAAGTTGGGAAAGGTTCTGTTCTGTGGTGGGTCTGTAAGGCAGTAAGAGATCAGCTATGTACTTGGGGACAAGTCTAAATAGTTTTTTCAAAAGTTAACATCAAAATTTTAAAATCAGTTCTCACATTCAGACCTAATTCTTGTGTTACCGAATAACTGTCCAGAACGCAACTTTAGAATAAAAGCTTTACTTGTATTTCCTCCACAGAAATAAATGGATCAGACTATTATTTTGAAAAGATTTCCAGAAGTATTTCCTAATATCTTTTTCAAGCTTGTGGCATAAACATAGTTAATACATAGCAAAAACGGCCCTCAGTTCATCATATTTGGTGTTTTTGGCTAATATTGTCCATGGATCGCGGTTAAAAAAAAATGGGGTGCTCTGCTCACAGCAGCGGTCTTAAGAGTCAAATTTTTCAACATGTAAAGATAAAAGATCAGTGTTGAATGGAGCTAGAAGGCATCCTGTGTGAGGAGCCAGCAGATGAATTTGGCTTCAAGATCAAGATTTATCTTACTAAAGTGTCTTGAACCAAACCAGCTCACTTGGTGGAAATCTCTCTCTCATACTGGTGTTGTCCTCTATTAGGCTCACCTGCTAACTTTGCCGTCTACACTGCCATTGTGGAGCCCCATGGGAGGATCATGGGACTGGATCTACCTGATGGAGGTCACCTGACACACGGTTTCATGACAGAGAAGAAGAAAATTTCAGCAACATCCATCTTCTTTGAGTCCATGCCGTATAAGGTACGCAAAAATCACATCGTTGACTTTGTTAAAATGCACAAATGCAGAAAGTAGTACTGAGTTAAGGTAAGTAATAATGACTCTTAAATGTAATTTTGTGTGGAAAGCGCTGCATTTTTAGTTACATAACTCAGAAATAATACACCATACAGTCATCATAGTGTAGAGACTAAGTGGATTTAAGTTCAAACCTGAATGTTTAAAAGTCCTGTTATTGTTATTTTGTTACAGTAAAGTATAAATGATGAACCACAGGAAACATTTCTCTCTATAACACATTTTTGAGTCGAAGCAGCTCCTTCACTGGGCTTAACCAGATTAGACTTGTTAGTCCAAGAATGTGCGCATGATTTTGGCCTGTGGCTCCTAATGACAGCTGAGGAGATATGAAAAAGGATTCCAAGAAGTCATGACAGCCAAAATAATGGAAGCAGAGAAAGTAGCATTTTCATTTTCAGGAATTTCAAACTGAAGACCCTGTAGGCTGCTGCTTATGGGTAGAAATGTTGGAATTTCTCTGCCAGTCCTGTTTGCTTGGATAAATAAGATATAGAGTTGATGAGTTGAATTAGAGGACACCAGAGGATTAATGTTCAGTGGGATGACTTCAGGGCCATCTTACTTCTTATTGGTGTCCTGTATATCATAGCACTACCAGCTGACCAACCAGCTCTCCTGATCCTGAGTATCAGTGTTGGGATTGAGAGTGGGAGAGGGCCAAGACCACACAGCGACACTTTGTTTTAGCTGAATAAGACTAGGAATGAAGTCGCATCCCTTGAAATACTGTCCTGAATTTGTTTTAGCGATAATGAAAAAGGCGCTGAATTGTTTCTTCTATTTGTGTAATCCTTATTTTCACCGATGCCACTTCAGGTTAAGATCAAGTAAGGATTAAAGAAAGAGAAGAAGCAGTTCAACCCTCATTTTCTGTCAAGTTTGAGGATTCCTACAATCACCTGCCCTGTGTTGAACACACATGATCGACTTTTGTATTTCTTATAAAAACATGCAAGTGTTAATGCTGTGACTCCTACTTTAAGGTGAATCAAGAAACCGGTTACATCGACTACGACAGACTGCAAGAAAACGCCAAACTGTTCCACCCCAAACTCATCATTGCAGGTCCGTTGTTACACACACACACACACACATATTGACATCAAAGTTGTGCTGAAATCTGATGTTGAGTCTCTTAAATGAAAAAATAGTGAAATGATGGAGAGTAAAAAAATCTGAAGTTGGGGAGCTCACTTCTTCCTCCTCTGCAGGGACGAGCTGTTATTCCCGAAACATCGACTACGCCCGCATGAAGCAGGTTGCTAATGAGAACGGCGCCTACCTGATGGGGGACATGGCTCACATCAGTGGGCTGGTGGCTGCTGGAGTCGTGCCCTCCCCATTTGGGTACTGTGACATTGTTTCTACGACAACACACAAGACGCTGCGGGGCTGCCGTGCTGGACTCATCTTCTACAGGAAAGGTAGGAGTGAAATATGACAACACCACAGCCAAAGTAAAGCCTTTTAGAACAGAGATGGACTGATTACTGGCCTTGGTCGATATTCAGAGCCAAAATTTAGCGTTCAGCCAGTTATCTGTATTTCTGTTTTATTTTACCAATCTCCTGAAATTCCCCGGCTTTTTCCATGTTTCAATTTTCATCCTCCTCCTTCAGGTGTGAGGAGTGTTGATGCCAAGGGGAAGGAGACCATGTACAACCTGGAGTCTCTGATCAATCAGGCTGTATTTCCAGGGCTGCAGGGAGGACCACACAACCACGCCATTGCAGGTCAGCCTCTCACCATCGTTTAGTTTATTTCTCGTGTCCTCTCAGTTTCATTCATTCATGTAAACATGTTTCTCACCAAGAGTTCTTGTTTTACATTTGAAGGTGTCGCTGTAGCTCTGAAACAAGCCATGACGCCGGAGTTCAAAGCCTACCAGACGCAGGTTCTTGCTAACTGCAAAGCTCTCTCTAGTGCTCTCATTAACCACGACTACAAGATCGTCACAGGTAAGCACCACTGTGCCATATCTTCAGTTTATGTTGAGAGGAAATGTTGAAACAAACAACTAGATCAACAGGTTAGCTAAAACATGAGTGTGTTGTTGACATGAGGTAATTGAAAATGAGTTGAAATGAGGCCCTCTTCCTTTGATTTTTAATGCACATTGTTATAATGAGGACAGAAACTGATGCTGTCGGTGTTTCTGGAGAATTTAAAGTAATCACTGGTCATTACGATCTCAATATGAACATTTGTGACGATACGCATTGGATCACACTAAACCTAATCCATTGCAAACCTCCCTCCATGTCTCCATATGACAAACAACCCCCTCATATTAAAACATCTAAGACCTAAGATTATTATCCAAAGAAAGTTTATGACGTTTATTGCTCCGGAGCTGGGTGATAAACTGTCTTTTCTCTGTAAAACTATGGATTTCACAGTTTTTTTTATTTTCTTCTTCAGGGGAAAAAAACTAAAACTGACAGAAATTCAAAACAAGTTTTTAGCCTCCCGGGTGATGAGCTCATCTTCAGCTTCTGTAGTAGCTTTGTCAAACCTAGTGCAGTGGGAAATTACTTTGCTCATCCTGTTTGCCGGCTGTAGCAGTCTTGTTCATCTCTTAGTGAGACACGTTTCTTCGACTTGGCTGCATGTCTCTGTGTATAGATGTTGAAATGACATGCTAGTGTTGCTGCCTTTAGCCGCAACAACCTTTGAAAAACTTTGAAGTCCGACATTGCAACAACCAACCCACGAGACTGCCTCTTTAAGGAGCAAATTGTTCATAAACCCTGGTAGCCATGATGTTGTTTGTCATGTGTCTGTCTCTAAGGAAAGTAAATAAAGACAAATGTGTGAGCTGTGAAAGTGAGGAAGTAAGAGAGAAAATGTAGATTTTTATCTTTCAAATCTCCCTAAAGTACAAATTGATCCATCAAAGTGATTTATTGCCAAGTCCTAGATTGCATGAAGGTGTCTTATTTTTCGTTTATTGGTTATGTAGTTATAAAGATTGATTAGCTCCTGTCTCTTTAGAGTTTTGCAATACTTTTATCCCTCTTTCTGTGTAGGCGGCTCTGACAACCATCTGATCTTGCTGGACCTGCGCAGCAAAGGAAGCGATGGAGGGCGAGCTGAGAAGGTTCTGGAGGCCTGTGCTATCGCTTGTAACAAGAACACCTGTCCAGGTACTGTGTATAGTTAGTGTAATGTAAATTATTGCAGTCTGTCCTGAATGACTGCTCGTTTCAGTGTCAGTCTGTATGCCTCTGATGTGTGTATCTGTGCTTATACAGGAGATAAGAGTGCTCTGCGCCCCAGTGGACTGAGGTTCGGCTCGCCAGCTCTGACATCCAGAGGTTTAGTGGAGGAGGACTTCAAGAAGGTGGCTGAGTTCATTCACAGAGGTAACACTTTTTTGTACACTTCACTACAAATCATACTAGAAGCACACAATGCACTCAAACTTCTGACACCGTCTGCAGTTGGAAGATTGTGAAGATTAATTTCGTCTATATAAATGAAAAAAAAAAAAATATTACATCCTAACTCCCTTCCCTGCTTTTCTCTCTCCTGCAGGTATTGTTCTGACTCTGGAGGTGCAGAGAAGTCTGGATCCAAAGGCCACACTGAAGGAGTTCATCCAGGCTCTGTCTCAGGGAGAGAAGTTCCAGCAGCGGGTCGCTGAAATCAAGGCAGAGGTGGAGGCTTTCGCCGGTCAGTTCCCCATGCCGGGTCTTCCTGAGCTGTAAACGGAGGCGGTTCAGGCCCCATGGACTGATGATTAAATTAACATGCCGGGCCTAGTGGTGTGCTATAACGTGTGCATATTTCTTAAGGTTGTACACCTGCTGAACCTGTCACAGTTCAACACAAGATTCTTCCTTTTGGCATTTTAACAGGATGGTTTTTGGTTGAACAGATTTGACCAAACAGAGAGGTATTTCTGCAGACTTCCTTTGCTGTTTTTGTTTCCTCTGTAACTTTGCTCTCAATACTGTGATCACATTCAAGCTTTAATCTTATCAGATTTCTGTTTACTATTTCAAAGCAAGGAGCACTACAAAGCAAAAAGCAGGCTTATATATGTGGGCTTCATACAGGGTTCTCTGTATTCTTGTTAATTTTACCAAACATTTTTTGATAACGAATAAATAACACTCTCATTCTTTCTGATAAAAGTCATGGAAAAAACAGACTGATTTAAACTGCTGATCCAGAGTGAGAGGACACTCATCATGAGGCCTACCGTTGAAACAGATGATTGTTAATTCCAAATACTAAACCAAAGTTCAAACTGAAGAGACACTTCAGATACAAAGAACAAATGTTTCATCTGCAGAATTTATGAAAGATGGAAAAACTGCCTGTACTGAATAAATGCTGTACATTCTTGAGATAAGAGCTTGAAATAAAATAATTGAAACCAGCCATTGTCTGTTGCCATGGATCTGCAGTGACACCCTATCTTCATCATATAAAAATAAAAAGAAATTTCAAAAATAAAAATCTAGAAAAAAAAATATTTTCCATTCTTCAGGGAATTGTGGTTTTTGGGACATTAAGTTATTTTAGTTTGTGAAAGCCATTTCCCTGATTTTTCCAGGATTGATTGTTTTTCTGAGAATTTTTTAGGGACAAATTTTTCAAGAAAAAAAAATCTTTAAAGCCTTGTGAAATTTTTTAAGTGATTCGTTCAGAAGACCGGTTCAAGAAAAGTTTCTCTTAAATCTGTACATTCACTTAAGCAAACAAAAACTCAACCTTTCTTTCATCCATAAAATGGTCTTATAATTCTCATAATTATTTGAGTAAAATCCCAAAAACAAAACAGATTATTTTTATTTACAAACACAGACTGTATATAGAATGGACAGCGTCTGCCTCCTCACTGGGTAAAGCCACTCCGAGAACAGCACCCTCTGGTGACAGGCTGCAGTATAGGTCACAAATCCTGCCTCCTCCAGCAATCCCTATGGAGCTGCCGATAAATTTTAGAAATTTATTACACAGAACATACATTTTTCTCCCTCCTGCTTGCGGTGTTGACATGTAATTATTTTAAGACCGGTTTGTGCTTAAGTGCTTTTTTTCTGTGAAGCTCCGTTTTTAAAAGTTATTAGGGGGTTTATGTTTTCTATGACTGACACCTGATACAGCCTTTTGGCGTTCAGGGATTGTGTAGCTCACCCGGGGGATACGCTGTTTGAGCAGAGCGTCAGCACAGTGACTCTCGGCAACTCCCCCTCTGAACGCGCACATCACTACTGCGCAGCGCTGGTTTCAGGAAATGAAGAAAAATCCCGGAAATACCGAGAGCTTTTTGGTTTCAAATCCGTATACAGGCGGGAGGCGGAACCAAGTTGTCCATAGTATATACAGTCAATGTTTACAAACAAGTTCTCGTAATTCTGAGATAATTATCTTGTCAACTCTGAAATACAGAGCAATATTTTTTATCCACTCAATTATCTCCTAATATCCAAGACAAATATCTTGTTAATAAGAAAAATAGAGCGGGTTTTCATCTTGAATAAATATATAACGCTTTCGTAAATTTCTGTCCAAAAGTCGCACATAAAATACATCGATCTGTGAGCATGTCGCCATAGTAACGCGGGTGAGTTCACTCGACGATCGTTTAGTCTGGTCTTGTGACGTCAGGTCAGAGGTCAGTCCGCGCGCTATGTTCCATGTAGCTACTGTTGCGAAGCAGGAGCGGACAGGTGAACAGGTGTGGAGGAAAAGTTTCAGACCGGCAAACTGCGAGGTTTCTCCTTCTAAAACAGACTTTCACGCTGCAAAGAAGAACAGTTTCTATCTTCTCTCTTCAGTTAGTCGACTGTTGTTAACTTATAGGTTAGCCTAGCTAGCTGTTAGCAACTCGCTGTTCTTCAGGCTAACTAGCCTGCTAGCCGACATAGACTTTCACGTTTTCTTCACTGGAGCGAAGAAACTGAGCGCAAACATGCAGGATTTGCTGGCTAACGTGGATCACATCAAGTTTGACCTGGAGATCGCCGTGGAGCAGCAGCTGGGAGCTCAGCCTCTGCCTTTCCCCGGCATGGACAGTAAGTGCGGGGATGCTCGCTGTTGTTAGCCGCTGAGTGTGAACTGTGATCAGAGAAATCTTTCAAGTGTTATCAGCTGACCTCACTTTGACCCTGGAGTTTGAATCATCTCATGTTTATATGAAGCATCTTTCATGTTTTTGTCTGCAGAGTCCGGGTCTGCTGTGTGCGAGTTCTTCATGAGAGCTGCCTGTGTGAAAGGTACAAACTTGACAATGTCACATGCAGCTGTGCTAAACATTCAAGACATTAAAATCAGAGATGATGACAGGGGAGAAATGAGAAATGACTCAGGGTGAGACGAATTTTAGGATTTAGACTGACAGCTTGAAAAATAAACTATAATTTCCACAAAAGTGTTGTATTTCTCTTTGAGGTGAATAAGAGGTGAACGAACAACAACAAAGTCTGACTTGTTGCAGCAGCAGACACAGTGATCCGGACTAAAAGCCTCTGATAAACATCATGCTTTAAAGTTAGTTTACTCAACAAAGTCAGAATTATACCTGGAAGGAAAAAAACAAGCTGTCTGTGTAACATTGTAACTGAATTTTTTAAACCCCTTTTTAAAAAATGTAGTATAACAAAAAGTTGTTTAGTCCAATCAGATGTAAAAGAATTGGCACAGTTCGGCAGTCTGTGAGTTCTGGCATCTGGTAATAACAAGCGTCCTTTATCTAGTAAGACAGCAGAGACAAATAGATATTAAATAGATTTATCAATGTCAATGTCAACTTTATTTAAAGACAGCCAGTGGCCTACCAATGTGCTTTACAGTAAAATGGCCAGAAACAATTAAAAAAAACAATAAAAGCATAAAACTTATGAAAACTTAGTCCCAGTTAGGAGATGAGGAGCAGCATTTTGGATGAGCTGCAAGCGGTTGAGCTCTGACTTGCCAATGCCAACATACAGGAGGTTACAATAATCTAAGATGTAATAAAAGCATTGATAACTTTTTCAAGGTCCTTCTGGCCTAAATAGGATTTAACTGTGGCGAGACTCCTCAGCTGAAAAAAGCTAGATTTGACCACTGGGCTGACCTGTTTGTCAAGTATAAAATCACCATCAATAATAAAACCATGATTCCTGGCATGGGATCCTGTAATAATTGCTGTCACGAAGTGCTGCCATCTACATATAAAAAAGAAAAAACAACTCAACAGTGTAAATCAATTTCATCGTTAGTAAAAATGTATTATTGGTTGAGTTAGCGATTAGACAAAGGACTGTTGTTAGTGATATCTTATTTTCATCTTTTATATTATATAAAATGAACATTTATTATTGCTTTTTTGTAATTTCACCAGTTGTCTAGGTACACTTTTACATTCAGTCTTTTACTTTTTAAAAATACATTAACTAATAGCTTCAAGCGTGGCTTGGCATTAATACTTTATCAGCAATCACATGCCAAGTAGTCCAGATAATAGAAAACAGATGGAGTCATGAGTGAGATGAAATATATTGTGTGGCATCAAAACAATCAACCAAAGAAATAAAAAGAGGAGCTGGCTTTGCACCACATTATAAAATAAATTTGGCGGCTACTTTTTAGTCTAGTTTTATTCACAGGTCTTCCCCAACAAAACACATGAAACAGGATGAAACTATTTTAAATTCAAAGAAGAGTTAAGGCTGCAGAAGTTATTCCAAATTGTCACATTTTTCTGTTTCCTGACTTGGAGAAAAATTCAGTTTTTCCACAAAATACGTTTCATGAACTTCCACTCTGGATATTTCTTATCTTCCCATTTTAAGGTTTATTGCAGGGAATTGGATAATAATATTTGTAATGATTTGCTCACCTTTTTAGCTTGTGGGGCACATTTCCCAAATTCAACTGACAATGAAGCTCTGAGCGGATATTAATATAATGACCTTATTTATCTAGTAAGGACGGATTTTAAGAAGTGAAAATGCTCAGCAGACACTGTGTGATAAAAGGTGAATACCAAGAAACTTTTGAAGCACTTTGATTAACCAGGCTGTTATTTTGAAAGATACAAAACCTGTGAGGAAGATTATGAAACAGCCTGACACGGTCTGCCCAGTAGGTTGAGTGACAGAGTAAGAAAGTTGTGTATCTTATGGTGAATCTTGTTTCATGCTGTCTCCTCTTTTAGGTGGGATGTGTCCGTTCCGTCACATCAGTGGAGAGAAGACAGTGGTGTGTAAGCACTGGCTCAGAGGGCTGTGTAAAAAAGGAGACCAGTGCGAGTTCCTTCATGAATATGACATGACCAAGATGCCCGAGTGCTACTTCTACTCCAAGTTTGGTTCGTAGACTGAATGTTTTAAAAATAAAATCATGTTTTAAGATCAGACATCTGTGTTTTTATTGTGTGATCATCACAGAGAGTGTCGTTTGTCATTGTTTTGCTACTGTGTGTCCTTGTCAAATGTGTGTGTGCGTTGACCCCCACAGGTGAGTGCAGCAACAAGGAATGTCCATTTCTGCACATCGATCCAGAGTCCAAGATCAAAGACTGTCCCTGGTATGACCGAGGTTTCTGCAAACACGGTGAGTCTGTTCAGTCTGTCTGCACACAGAACATTTTCACCACAGATCTCTTAAAAACAGTTGAAAGTTGCATTGCTGTTTGGTCATCAAAAAAACATTTGTCTCAGGCCCTGACTGCAGACACAGACACACGAGGAGAGTGATCTGTATGAACTACCTGGTTGGGTTTTGTCCTGAAGGGAAATCCTGTAAATTTATGCAGTAAGTTTCACTTTTTCATTCAGTTGTTATGTGATACAGGAGCTTTGGGTTTGTGAAATTACTCCACCATCGATGACTTGCCAGTAGGGCTGTCAGTTGTTGTTGTTGAAGTATTTATTCTCAGTTATTTCAATCTGTTATTATGTATTTACATACATAGTTCGCATGGTTAATTGAAGGAGAAACCCTGCTCAAATCCTGATTTTATCCTCTGAATATTAGTGACTTTTCTACTGTTTGGAATACATTTGAATCCCAAACACAGTTCCAGTAGCTTAATTTGTCAAAGCCTGTTTTGTATTTTCATAATTTTCTGCTCCTGCATTAATTACTGAATAAATTATGTTGCATCCTGGAACATTCTTCATCCAAAAAGCAGTGACTTCCTGGTGTAGTTCTGCAAATTGAAAACTGAGATTTTCTTCCACAGCCCTCGTTTTGAATTGCCAATGGGAGCCTCTGAACAGCCTCCTCTAAATCAGCAGAACCAGAACCTTTCAAAGGTAAGAGTGGACACACACACACATTTAAAAACACACATCTGACTGTAGAGACATCCTGTGAAATCTTTAAATTTGTTTCTGCAGCCTGTCCCCACCATCGGCCGCTCCTCACTCTCTCTAATCCAGCTCACAAACTCCAGTCCAGGCCAGCGACCGCAGAACCAAGCACCCATGGGTCTTGGTCCGCAAAATAACATGATGGGTAACAGAGGGCCTCGGCCTCTGGATCAGGTCACTTGTTACAAGGTGAGAGCATGGGTCATATAATGTGTGTTTGAGCTTTCCAAACCAGTTAAAAACACTGTTGTGTAACTTTAAAGGAATAGTTCAGTGTTTTTGAGGTGTGGTTATATGAGGTACTTGTCAACAGTAAGTGGAGGATCCAGGTTAGCTCAGCCCCTTTGTGGAGAAAGTGGTCAGAAAACCAGACCAGAATATGAGTTGATTGCTTCTCTTGAAATGTTTTACTTATCAGACACAAATCCTCTCTTTGTCTGTCGATGCCATACTCAGCTGTCTTTTAACTACAGTGAGATCTTAATTTTATTTCTCTTTCCAGTGTGGTGAGAAGGGCCACTACGCCAACAAATGCACTAAAGGTCACCTGGCTTTCCTGAGCGGACAGTAACTGTCAGCCTCAAGGTCACCGCTGTGCTGCAGCTCAGTCCTTTCTGATGTGAGCAGAGGAGACGAGAGGACGCCCCCTCTGTGTCACAGCTGGACATAAAGACATTGACGTCCTCTGTTTGTGAGTTCAAGGTGAATCAAAAACTCCACACAGGCAGGAGGAGAAAGATAACTCAGCTGGAGGTACTGTCCTGTAACATTCTGGAGTTTCTTACAGGAAGTTCACCTGTCCTCTGGTCATGTGACTGCATCATCAGAACACCTGACAGTGTACAGTAGAACAGATGTGATTCATGCCAGTAGAAATGTAAATAAATGCTGTTTGTATTCAAACTGATGTGTTTAATCTGAGCCATAGTTTCACAAGTGTCAGTCAGACCCTTGAAGGTTGGGATGTGGGTGACATCAAACTGAAAACCCAACAAGACAACTGGAAGTGACACTGCAGTAGGTGATGTCTATACCTTTTCTATAGGGAGTATAAGAGCAGATAAGCAGGAGAGCTGCGCATGACCAGTGCAGCCAGACCAAAAGTGGACAGGTTCTGGTATTACCTCAGGAAGAACTCTTAACTCGTGTGTGTGGCAGGGGGCAGGGATGGTGGCTGAGGTCACTAGGCCTCAGTGGTGCCTCATTGACTTCTAAATATTTTCATGTGTGAGTGGCCCACGGTTAAAAATGAAGCTAAGGTGAATGTTGTGAAGTTTGATGATTTGTTAGTCTTACATTTACTTGGTAGTCCTTTCATGAAAGCAGCCGTTTCACACCATCTGCATTGTGTCATTAAACCAGGACACACCCCTCTTTCTGCCCCAGACCACCCTCTTATTTACAGAGACCCAACAATATCTTATATGCCATGAACAAAACACCTCACAGCATTTCACAACTAATAGTGGGGAGACCTTAAGCAGAACCAGGCTCATGATGTCAAGTCATCTGCTACTACCAGCCAGGGGTCATTCCCTCGTACTTAAGGACTTTTAGCTGAAAATACTTCCTTTGACAGATATTTACACTGAATGTAAATTTGATATTGAACTTTGGTATACATTTTATACAATAAAATACACTTAAACTGAGTTGAACTTTCATTCAGATTTATTTCAGAACATAAGAAATATATTTCTTAACTTTTAAAATGAAATAAAGTAATTGATATTTAAACTGTGATAACTATAGTAATTACAGTAAGAATTTGGGTAGCTACTTGAACTGCACAGCTCGAGGATGATTCCATCATTTTGTTTTGACTCATTGTCTTATAATTCTTATAGATGAGAAATGTTTGCTATAGGAAGTGAAATACAAAATAAACCCAGCCAATCAGACACAATATCCAACAATAAATCTTTGTGTAGTTTATTGGTCACAACAGTCACATATTGAACACAAGAAAGAGCTGAGAGTAGAAAGCACAGGGGGAACACAGAGACTCCTGTTCGACCCCTGGAGGGCTGACGGCTGCTGAAGAGGTTTAGTGGTACTTCCTCCAGCGGTCATGTTCTGCAAGAGGAAAGACAAGAAGAGACGTTTATTTAGAAAAAAATACAAATTTGAAACCTTGAAAACAGAAAGGATTGTCTGTTTGCTTACTGATGTGGTCGTATTCCCACAGGTAGCTGATAGCCACGTAGCCAACCAGCAGCATTGCAATACCGCCGATACCTCCCTTCTTCACGTTAATGTACTTGTTGTAGTATCTGTCGTGGCCTGAAAGTTAAGAAAGCAAGGAAACAAAAGGTTTAAACCCCTGCTGAAAATAACACTCCACTACAGACACTGTTAAACTAATTATAAAAGGTTCAGTGATGAAAGCCTCTGGATGTTCTTTGTTCTCTCAGACTAATTATAGAGTTTTGGTGCCGAGAGCATTTGAATGATTGTAGTTAGTGGAGCTCTTCAGTTTTTCTTAACTCAGCCAGGTTGAGACAAATGTCAGCTTTAGGACATTTTAATTTTACATGTTCAGCCTTTGTTTTTACCTACAAAAGGTACTGAAATGACAAATTGACGGCAGGTGTATTATGTAATGGCAAACAAGCATGAAAAAGCTACACTGAATGCTACACTTCATATTATGACATTAAAGAAAACGCACAACCAAGAAACATCTGTAATGGAAAACTAAACATGTTATGGATAAGCAGACATTAGTACTTTCTCAGAAAATTAAAGTCAACCAAAACAATCCTTGAGGTTTGAACTGAAGCAGCTAAAGCTAAACAAAGAAAAAGCAAATCCTTCTCATGGTTCAGTTGTTTTAAACAGGCTGAAAATCTTTAGTAACATTGGTAGTCCTTACCCCTGCGGAGAGCAGCAAAGATGCCATTGGGAGTGGCGTCACGACCTCCGATCCAGGTTACCAGCTCACCCAGCTTAACATCCAACAGCCGCTTCTCAACTATGGGAACTGAAGAAAAAGAGAGTAACAGCAGTTTGACAACAAGTTCTCACAGTGAAGGAGATACTCTGCAGACAAAACATGCAGCTTGTGTCATTCATTCACTCTCAGATAAACTCTTAACAGTTTAAGAAAAGCATGCACCAAACTGGGCTTATGTTACACCAAAAGAAGACCAAAATATTGCTTAACTGACCACTGAATTTGTGATTATCGAATCGTTATCGCGATATTTGTGTATCGCAACCGTGCTTTTTCCTCTCAAATTGTGCAGCCCTGCTTCTAACTTCGACATTCCCTCTTTAAGACTTAGATATCCCGATTTACGCACACTTGATACTTAAGCACACCCTTCACAAGAACATCTCAATGTCCAGCTTCGGGTTCAATGTATCTGAATTAGGTCTGGGCACTGTGCAAACCGGCTGCAGGGAACCATTACACAACATAATACGCGTTAACTTTTTCATAGTAATATCTGTGGCATAAGTACAATGTGGTACAAAACGTGCTTTATCGCTTTAATTGACAAATAAAAGAGTAAAATTATACCGTGAATTACTTTGAGCTGAAAACTGACAATGACACTCAAAGTCCTTGACGTGACTCCGAGGATTCATAGCGGCCTTCAGTCAGAATAAAACGTGCCAGTGACTTATTAACGGAGCGAACAACACCGAACAAATAACCATCGTTGAAAAGTCTTCGTATAATTAGAATCAAGCACAGACCATTTAAAATATTAGATTTTTGAACAGAGGACACGATGTATTACCTGGTCTGTCCGCCATCTTGACTGGTGCAGAGAGCTTGCAGCCGAGAATCATGGGTATAAAGCGAGGAAATGCATTGTGGGAGAAGTTGTAGTTTTTGAATCAACCCGCCAGATGGCAGCAAAACTACTGAAACCGGATAGTTACGAACGAAGCTGAGAAGGAAAGAGGCTGGAGAAGCTCTTCTTCACTTTTTAGTCAGTCGAACAATTGATTAGTGACATGCAAACTGAGCCAATTAACAAAGAAAACAAATGCCTACATATAAACAACTGGTGAAGAGTTTTGGTGACATTGGTGTTTGACGGAAAATGTAAGATTTAGGATGTTTTGTGACTCTGTACAGTGGCTTGAAATCCTTCTTAACCCATTGCATTCATCACAGATTAACAATGAAGAATATAAAGGCTACACAGGCAAATAAGGTGGAGTGGTAGAGACATGTAAAATAAAAGTAGGCCCATGCTTAGGAGCTCAGTATGCAGTTAAGTGATTTTCTGCCAGGGTCTCAGCAGGCGGAGGTGAAACGTACTAGTTTCAGCAGATTGATTTCAGAATCACAATAATTTATTTATTCTTGGGGTAAATTCAGCGGTGGTGATATGGTGTGTTTGACTAGGCTGGCATTGTGGTTGTGTTGGGAATTAATCCTTGCTGTTAACCTTAACCCCGACCCTAACTTGAAATACATGTTCTTTTGGATTTGTAACATTTTTTTTTACCTCTGTGCTCTATAACTAGGAGTACAAACTTATGTCAGCATGTAAGGTTTCCATCCTGAGCGGGTTATAAAATGGTGGCCTTATGTATGTAGTAAATACATAGATCTCTCTTAAAATATAACCCGATATAGAAATAAATCCCCTCTCCTCTTTAAGAGGCTACACGTCAGATCTCATTTATTCATCAATAACAAGCTGAAGGGTATATTCTTGTGGTGTCCCCCGATGATCTATCAGAGGTTTCATTTTTTCAAGAACAGGCAGCCAATCAATGAGCGGCTCAACAGCCGGCAGCACTGGTGAACATAATGCACCTGAAGATAGAGTTAAGAAAACACAGTGTTTGTGTGTGTGTGTGTGTGTGTGTGTGTGTGTGTGTATAAGAGAGAGGTGGTGCTGCTAGTTCAGGTCCCCTCTCAATACGCCCACCGATCAATACAACCCGCTCCCCCTCTCTCTCACACATACACACACACACACACACACACACACACACGCACAGACAGAGAGAAGACACACACACTGACTTAATTAGGGTGTGTAGTAGTGGTTTTGGCCTTCATCCAGCTCTGAGCAGCAGTCTCTTTGCTTTATTAGACTGATTTCCAGCTTCACTCTGATTACTTTTATTAGATAGGGGACTCATAAAGTGTCCAACACCCACTTTTTTTTTTCTTTCACATCTCTATCTCTCTTTCTCTGTTCTTACAACACAGACATGCTTAGTTTATCTTTGATTACTTGCATCATCTCCTGATTCGGTTATGTTTCTGCACAAACAGTTTATGTTTCATGGAAGATATGCAGTTTGTGTGTGTGTGGGGTGGAGGGTGGGGGGTGTATAGAGGGGTACATCCAGATAATGTGTTGAACATGGATGAATCTCTCCAGGTCTAGTCTCTGATGTTGATGATTCAGCTCTCTCTCTCTCTCCCTCTCATGGATATCGATCAGAATGAATTTACTCCTAGTCTCTTCCCCTGCTGTTGCCATGTTAACAGACACTGAACTGTGCTCAAAAGTAATCACAAGTATGTACAGAGCTTTCAAACATTAAATGGTAGTGACAGCGCCAGCCTTTAACAACCATGGGACAACTTGAGGTTTAGGTTGATTATTTTTAATATCTAGTAATTTATATTATTAGCTGTACCTTAATTCATAAATAATGCCCATTATGGTTTAAAAGCAGCAATGCAGATGCAACATTTTCAGACAGCCAAATAGTTTAAGGGTAAGTCAAAAAATTCTTGAAAGCATCTTTTCAATGACGAAGAGGAGATGAATGAAGACATAAATATTAACTCAGTATTCCTGCAGAAGCTCTGCTCGCTTTGTTAAATAGAAATGTTAATTTTAATGTGAATTAGAACAAATAGGCAGGGTGATGTTCAAACTTGACCCTGAATGGAAATGTTCAGATTTATGTTAATTCATTCTGCAGAGGCTGATGAGAATACGTTGCCATGGAAGTGATACTGACCCTGAGGACTACTTTTCTTGGTTGCATGAATAAACCATTTTTAGATACGCAAAGTCATTTGTAAATCAATATTTTCCATCTTTAGTTGAAAGCTAGATAAGAAGTGGAAACAGACGCAAATTTAAGTCCTGACAGGGTGAGCAGACCCAGTCAGGATTTTAATATGCATAACCACCTGATCACTCAACATGATCTTTTACAGAGAATTGCCAGTGAAAGTTCACAAAGTTTAGCCTTTTTTAACACAACAATGAACAGGAAGAGCCATTATCTAGTTTGACAACAGGGAATGTTTCCATTCAGCACCTTTATATTGGAGGATTACGAACACATTTAGCCACATTAGAGGCATTGGCAGGCTCGGGCTTCAGATAACAATGTTTAAAATGTCTCCATACATATTTCCTCTACATATTTTGAAATCATTGAAATTATAAGTGGCATAATGGTTGTAAATATATGACCTAATCCTGTTGCTCAGTTGGTATTTGGTTGGAAAATGGTGAGAGATGCATATAGGTTTGCATTTGGCTGTTTGGTCTTTTCTTGGCACCCAGAGTGAATATGGCCAAGGATTCTTTTGTACCAAGAACTTTTATTAGCCTTTTTTTAATCTACACAGCTTTACCAATGTTTTTATTGAATGAGAGCTAAGATTTGGTGTCTGAGATTTCTTTTCATTAAGATTTGTCTGAGTGGGAAAGGGGAGGAAGGGTTAGTCTCGATATTAGGGTTGCCTTATTTGCAGGCAACATTATATGACTCACTATCTGGGGTACAGCAGAACAGCACCTGAAATCCTCTTCCTGAGTGTTACTTTAGAGGAAAATGGCTGCCATGTTAATAGACTGAATTACAGAGAAAACTGGCAACACTTCTTCTCTCCTCTCCTTTCTGCTCCACATGAAGGTCACCAACATTTTACGGCTGTCTGATTTACACACAGCTTGATCCAGAACCTCTAATCCAATCTGTGCCATCCAGAGGCCAGCACATGCCCTGAGAGGCATCAGATACTCAGGTGATCTTTTAGAGCACATAAACTCAAATAAATACAAACATACGGAGACATATGCTCACAATGACAGACTACCACACTCTGCAAACTAACACGAGTACACATTCATGCACTCAAATTGAATTTTGGCTGTAAGAGTAACCAACAACACGGACACAAATTTGATTCCGAGGGAGACACGACCCTGCGGTCCACGTTTACCTACTTTTATTGGATTTGCTTGTTTGTTGCTGCACTGCCTGAGGCCCTTTTGTACTTGCGCGCGCACACTCACTCACACACACACACACACACACACACAGTCCGTGAAAAGGGGATGGGTGATTTTATTCCACCTCAAGAGGCAGGTGCCCTGGAGGTCTGTCAGGGAGACGGCTCTTTGAAGCTGAACCAGGAAGATGGAGAGAGACGGTGGGAGGGAGGGAGTCGGCTTGTAAGAGACTGAAGGATAGAAAGACGAGGGAGGGGTGAAAGCATGAAAGAGGAAGGACAGAAACGAAGATGGTGTGAGCACAAAAGAGAGAACTCGTTGCAGAAAGAGAGTGATGCAGGGAGGTGAAGGATAAAGAGAGAGAGGAAAAGAAGAGGAGGAGACTGAGTCCATGTCTCTGCACTAATACACATGACCTTTAAACATCCACTCTCTCCCGTTCACTCCCCGCTCATCCATCCTTCAAGCTGCACATCTCTTTTTCTTTTTTAACTATTTCAAACTTCCATTCTTTCCTTTTAAATCACCCTTTTTTCTCTGTACGTCCTCATCAGCGTTTTCTCTGTCCCTAACCTCTTTACTTCCACATTGATTCCTCTCCCCTCCTCTCTTTCTTCCTCTATCCTTTCCCTCCCCCATTCCCCCTAAGTGACCTGCATCTTTACCTTTTCATCCCCTCTGTCCTAGTGGAGCACTTGAATGTAGACAGAAGGGAAAAAAATATACAAACATTCAGGGCAGGAAAGGAGGAGGGACAGCCAGGGGGTTATGGATTTATCAGCGCCTCCCTTTTGCTTGTGTGATCTTATTTGAGATATGGAGATCATTCTGCTAAAAGGAGCTCACTGACCTGATGAGAGTCTCAGGGGGAAAGGCGAATAAAGAGAGAGAGAGGGAGAAAGAGAGAGAGAGGTGTAGAAATGTTCCACAGGGACTGTTTAAGTCTTCACAGTGATAATGGCTTTGGACACTAAATCAAATTTCCCCATCCACATTTACTCCCACTGTTAAATGTATTAAGTGTAATGAGGCCACGCTGACTAATTGCAGCTACACTTCTGCAGAATATCAAACAGCCCATCCCCCCTAAAAAAAGTATTACAGAAGAATTTTGTGTAAATTTGTGTAATACAGCCCCCGCAAAAGTTTGGGTTGGGGTTGATAAAACAGAATTTGATGGTTTGCAATTAATTTGAAGCCGATGTATAGTTAAAAGAGTACAAAAACAACATGCCATGTCTTGAAACTGAGAAATTTTATTGTTTTATAAGAAAGATTTCCCCTTATTCAATTTGATGCCAAAAAAGTTATGACAGGGACAACAAAACACTGAAAAAGTTGCTTTAAATTAAAACATGTCCTAATTTGTTGGGTTAATTTGCAACATGTCAGAAACACGACTGAGTATAAAGGCACTTTAGAGAAAGATGGGAAGAAGTTCACCACTCTGTGAGAGACTTTGTGAGCAAAAAGCTGAAGAAAATATAAATGTTTTCTGTATAAGATTGTTTTTAAAAATGGGGTGTTTGCAGTACATAACACCATTTGACGATCCGGATAAAATCAGGAGAAATCTCAACATGAAAAAGACAAAGCTGGATACCAATACTTAATGGGTGGAATTTTGGAGCCTTTCAGTGGTACTGTATTAAAAACAGACATTACTCTGTACTTGGAGTCACTGCATGGGCTCAAACTCACTCCTCAATAGCTAGACAGCTAGATATACTTTATTGATGCCAAACTGGGAAATTCTCAACTCCATTGTCTTTGAATTCAGATTGTGACTGTATCCACAAATATATGCTAAAACAAACTATGTATAAACATGATCAAGAAATATCTGCTCTGGACTATGGATTATGATGGGCTATGATGGATGGTGGACCATTGCGAAGTAAAAAAAAAAAACTTGTCCCGTAGTCTTCCAGATCTAAATGTGACAGTCTTTTATGGAAACCATGGATGCTGTTTTCTCTACTCTTAGGAGAATAGGTGCTACATAGTGCACAGTTAATGCAACATTAATGCTGAACAACGTACACAGATCTTAGTCCTAGTATTTGAATTCTTGTTTGCACTAACTTTATCAAAACTTTAAAACTTTGAAATAGTTTGGAAATATCAAAATGGGGTTGTATTTTCAGTGAGATTAAATTGTATGCAGTCAAAATTTTCCTTTTGGTATTATATCGTATTACTCTTATATTGTTAAAGTGCATCAGTTTTTTTACACACAGTATAACAAACTGCTCTGATCTTAAGTGTGGGCAGCTGATCAGACACAGATTGGTGTTTTCACTTTACTGTGTGACACTGCAGCTGAGGACAGGGAAAAATCAAATTACTGTACTCACACAAACACAGATACAGAGAAAGAGGGTACACAAATGCAAAATCAGAGCTCTGTAAATGAATGATTCATGGTTACATAGCAACCTTTTACAAATAATGGCTGTAAGATGGAGAAGAATATAATGAGAGTCAGAGATAGAGAGAGTGAGGGAGAGGACTAATTTAACTCTCGCTCTCAGAGCTTCAGCCACACAGTGTTGAGTCTCAGGGCAGGAATTTGTCTAGGAGGTGTGTATGTGTACAGTGTGTGTTTAACAAAACACTCAAAGCTCGAACCTACTAGAGGGACAGCACATGCACAAATAAAAGAGCACAGACAAACTATAATAGAGAGAGTATGAAGACGACTAACAGAGATAAAGCAGGAAACAATAAAGGTAGAGTGTGCAGTATTTAGCAGCAGAAATCAGAATAAATGATTAAAATTGAATAAATTATTCATAACTTTGTTTAAATAAGGGTATAATCACCTGGATTTCTGAATAATTTTCTTTTTGTTTACTTTGAATGCAAAGGAGCGACTCTGTATTTTCTACAGAAGCATAGAACAGACAAACAGAAGAGAGTTGCTGTTATTATGTACAAAATCATTTGTATTGATATTTGTTTTTTTTTATGGTAAACACTTCACAAATGGAGGATCACACTTACTATGCGTCACGGGGGCTTTTTGTCCCAGTAGAATAATGTTAATCATCTAATCAGCTAAGGTAATTTGTCACAATTAACAACATTCAAGAACATGTCTGTGATGCCCCACGACCTCCTGACAGATAGTCCCACATTTTTGATTTACTCCCTGCCTTCTACTTTGTTTGCTCATATTATTGATTTTAACTGTTGAGCGCCCCAAACCAAATACTGAGGCCAAAGTCAAATGCAATGATTTGTGCTGTATAATGGAACCAGGAAACAGACGAAAACGTTTGTCGAGCTCCGGCAACAACATCCCTGCCTTTATAAGGTGGTCGTTCAGAGTAAGTGAGAAAGAGCATATGCACTGTAGCAACCTCTAGTTTAACTTCCATTAGCATTTCTGGTGTCATCCAGCCCTGAACCACTTCATCCAACAGGTTCCTGTCAATCGTAATGACTTGTCGCGCACTGTCATCGTACATTGTCTGTAGATCGACATCAACACAGTGACAGACTGAAAGATCTTGTAGCCTGATAGGGATCTTGTCATAAACTTGTATCAACAATCAAATATTGTCCCTGCTACTACTTGCCGCCAGAATTACTTGTTTTCTAAACTAATTGTTCATTTTTTTCTTGATAAAAGGCTGTAGAAATAGATTACAGATGAGGAGGGTAAGCAGATGAGTATCTCAACATAATTTTAGGAGGTGGCCATTATGAAAATGAATTCACTGTATGTGTTCCTTGAATGCATCTCAGTGTGTGTGTGTGTGTGTGAGTGTGTGTGTGTGTGTGTGTGTGTGTGTGTGTGTGTGTGTGTGTGTGTGTGTGTGTGTGTGTGTGTGTGTGTCTTTGGGACTCACATGCAGAGACTCTGAATCTCCATGTAATCCCCTCCCAGAATAGACTGCAGCCAAACATAACAATAGTGTGGATTTACAGCAAGCTCTTTCCAAGCGCTCAAGGCACTTTCCAGTTTTCACAGCTTCTTCTGAGAGTGTGTGTGTGTGTGTGTGTGTGTGTGTCTTGCTGTGTGCTTGCATTTTTTATGTGCACTTTTTTTCCAGAGTGAGAAAAAAAGATACAGAAATAATGTGAGCGTGTAAGAGCAGTGAAGGATTTTGTGCTTGTGTGTGTATCTGTGTAGCCCACAACTGTGTGTGTGTGTGACTGCATGCAATCTGACTCTGCCAATACTCTTGGGACATACTGCATATTCACCGTAACATAACGGGGATAAGTTTCTATAGAAAGTTCAGCCGCCTAATCAAGGCTTCAACTATAGCAGCATATCAGCTGTACGGGTGCTACTTGGAGGATGAAAAGGTGAAAAGAAAGTCAATGGTAGAAACCCACACAGAGATAAACCTGTAGCAAAAACAACCCTGTGATGAAAGTCACACATTTGGATTTTATTAAGATATTCTGTCTGGTCATGAATTATGTATTGAAACAGTATGTGTGCTACTTTTCTAGGTGATCTATAAACCCAAATCTCAATTTAATAGATATGATCCATGTTTTAAGATAAACAGCTTCTTTCAAACTATGATGTGATCTTAAAAGTTCAAAGCATTGAATACGAATCATGACTTCACCATCTGTCACAGAAATAGTTTAGAAGTTTGTAGTTAAGATTGTATTCATTTATCTAGCATTTTTAATCAGGTGGTTATAATGACCTTTAATACTCTAAATGCATGAGCAAATTACTGTATCCTATCGCTTCGTATCATATTGTATCGTATCACATGATATCGAATTGTATCATATCATATCGCATCGTATTGTATGGAATTCTATGATATTGTATCGTATCGCTTCGAATCGTATCATGATATCGCATCGTATCACATTGTATTGTATCGTATCGTATTATATCACATCACATCATATGGAATCCTATCATATTGTATCGTATTGTATCGTATCGTATCGTATGGAATCCTATCATATTGTATCATATTGTATCGTATCGTATCGTACTGAATTAAGTCTCGTCCGATTGTATGGTTTTGGTTCTCTTGGGACCTAATTTCCCTGTTTTTCTTCTTCTCTGACACCATAATTATCTTCATATGACCCTGTGTAGACTCTCCCACTCTTCTCTCTTCCTCACTGCTTTTTCCACATTTCCACCTGTCTCCGTCCCTCAAGCCCTTTGCCTCTGTTTTTACACCTGTCTCCTACCTTTCATCTCCTCCTGCACATCTTTACCTCCTCCTTCACTTCCTCCTGGTCCCTGTTCATATCTCTCCCTCTTTCTTCTCCTCGCTGCATGTGTGACAGGATTGGGGCCCCATCCATCCCTCTCTCTCCCTCTTTTTTCTCCTTGTTTTGGGTGCTCTTGTTTCCTAGTCATTTTTTTAATTTCCATTTTTCATTTCCCCTCTTTCCCTCTCTTTATTTTCTTATCTTTTCCTCCAGAGGTGAGCAGAGGTGGTGATGGGCGGCGGTATTATCTGTATGCAGAGTCATGGCTCTGTGGCTCTGCCGTCATTGATTGAACCAGCAGCTAAATATAGACACTGTTGAGGCTCAGCATCTTTACCAGGCTGGAAGGCGGGACGGATGAGTGGCTGGAGGGATAGACGCGCATACAAACATGACTGAATGCTGGGGTTAGGGGACTAAAAGTGGATATACACAAATTAAACCCTTATGAATTAAACAGATTTACACAGCAGCAGTCATACACACTCGCGTGAAGAACATTCATATGGATTAAAAGGTTACTCGGAAGCACACACATACACAAATACATACAAACACCTCTGCAGACTGGCAGACTCAGCTATACAGCCCTGCAGGGTATTGGTTGTACAGAAATATAACTCGATTTGGGTGGATAAGGTGTTTCATGGTCTAACCTTTTTATACATTCATAACAGGGAGCTGAGGAAAAACATGTCTATGGGATGCACACAGATACGAACACACACACACACATACAGAAAAAATTCAAGACCTGGACGGATTGCTGTAGGCTAAAACAAGATGAACAACCATTACTATTCAACACGCAGCATAAATCCAGAGCTGCAAGCCTTCCCACAAGCAGAGAGAGAGAGAGAGAGAGAGAGAGGTTGGCAAAGAGCCAGATATAGAGCTGTATGAGCAGAATGACAGACAGAAGGAAAGACAGCAATTTGGCAACTCAGTAATAACCCGGCGAGGCAGGTGAAGCAAGAGGCAGGCAGGTAAACTGACAGCCAGCCAAAAAGATGGCAAGCAGACAAAAAAGATGGAGAAAAGGGAGGAAAATGACGCCCCCGTGATCTGTAGGATTTTACGCAGATTAAATTTATCCTAAGAACATGTTTCTGGACCAGCATCAAAACTCCCGCTCTGCTTCTGAGTGTTTATGTCTCAGAAACAAAGTATGGTTAGTAAATCACAGATTAGTTTCGCCGTATTGTCCAGACAGCTGTGAATGGAGAGCATTTTTGAGTATTTCGTTCTGTCACTGCTGCAGTTTCTCACTATTACTGTGAACTGTAACAGAACAGCAACCAGGAGAATTTAAAGTACAGAATAATTTAAGAGTTGATGTCACAAGCCGTTTGCTCTGATTTTGGCTGGTACTGAGCTGATAAAGAGTTTGTATCACAATTCAAAGCTCTATTTTTTACCCAGTCAGTGACAGAACAGTCTATTTTGAAGGTTTGTTGTGGTTGTGGCATGCTGGTGGCTGTGAGAAAACAAAGCATGATCCAATGCAACAACGAAAGAAGGGTAATAAAAAGGCTGCTCCCATAAACTTGCATTATACTATTACAGGACAATTCTGAGCAAAATGCTGCAGGTGGCGAGAAAATCAGAAAATATAAAAAGATTTTTCTCCCTGAAACACAATAATCAGCCAGCAAAACTCACAAGACTTCGCATCCTCTTCTCCTAAGTGTAAGGCAGCATAATTCTTCAATCCAGTGGTAGGATGAGAAATTAGATTAGGTTAGATTAGATTCAACTTTATTGTCATTAAACACAGTACAAGTACAGGAACAACAAAATGCAGTTTAGCATCTAACCAGAAGTGCAAGGGGGTAAGGTGCAGGTATGAACTAAATATACTATATATATATATATATATATATATATATATATATATACAACAAAAAATAAATACCTAATTATGTATATTATCTATATATACAGTATACTGACTAGTGCAGGTGTGAAAAAGAGAAAATGCAAAGGACATAAAAGCAAATTAAAAACTTCAAATAAAGCTTGTCACATATCAGTATAATGATTCATCTTTGAGTAAAAGGCCTTATTCTGAGAACCTCTTTGTATGGACTTCATATTTTTTTGTGCTGGTTTTGAATTAAAATTCTCTTGAGAAATTTCCCTGACAAATACTTTTTATCCATTTGCAGTAGCATTCATTAAAGAATAACATGCATTACATGGTTTCTATAAAGTTCTTGACATACATACCGCCCCCTTGTGGCTCTTCCTTGCTGCGACAAATTACGGTTTGGCGTGAAACTTTAAATTTGCAATGAAATAATATTGCTGTTAATTTTTGGCCCTAAAGGATGAAGGTTTACATAACACCACCTTCATTTAGAGCACAGCTAAACATTTACATTTTTTGACAAGTATTCAGATGTTTGAATCCCAGTTCCAAATTGATTTCTGTGCCCTGGCAGACACACCTATACTTACTCTGCCGTGTACCATATCTCACAGTTTGCAGGATGTTGACAGTACAGAATCCCAGAATGAAAAAGGTATTACACTCCGCTTAGTTTAGGCTCCACATGACATTATCTGCCAAAGATCTGATTTAGTATTCTGTTGGGATGAATATTATGCAGCCCCTGTTACGGCTGATCTTCAATAAATTGTGTGATGCTGAGCCAAAGGTTAGCTCTGTATGCAAAGACTGAGCTTCAAACACACTGCAGCAGGAGCAGCAGCAGAGCCTGGGCCTGTTGTGCTGCACTGACAGCACACCTAAAAAGACTGTTATACCATTTAGCTAATTCCCATCTGGCTCTATCTCTCTACAGCAACAGAGGGGGTGTGCAATATGACAGAGCTCCTGCCAGTAACAAAGCATTAGCATATTCGGCTAAACTGATCAAACTGTCAATCACACAGAGAGGACAGTGCCAAAACTGTGTTTCCGTTCTGTCTAATTGTGTAAGACATTTTTTTCCCATTTAATTGTTGTTTTTTTCCCTTTTATCTTTCGCCGCTTTTATTATCTGAACCTTTGGCATAACACATTTTTCACACGTCACGCCAAAAACACTGAATAAAACTGATGAAATTCAAGCAGAGCTAATTAAAAATCACACCTTTTCTTTTCATGTGTTTTTCATGAGCTGTGGCCTTTTTGTTCATATCATCTCTCCATTTTTGATGAGGCTTTAACTGTTCAGGAAGACTGTCTGTTCGTGGTGTACCTTATTCATTACACTGTGTTTACTGGTTATAGTGTTGTCCAGACACTCTGAGCAGCCATACATATTTTACTCTTCTCTGTCCTTTCTTGAAATTTTGATTTTAACACCTGATGATCATAGCTCATCCTTTTCCAGGGATTGATCGACAGGACATGAACAGGAAATGACTCGACCAGCTTATCTTCAGAAAGTGTGAAATGTAGGGATGAGTATACAAATAGGGAAGAGGAGACTGATTTTTTTCTCAGTCACCCAACACTTGCTCATTTTGCTTGAACTAAGAATTAAGCTGAGCTTGTGCAGCCCCTTCCCTGAACAATAATGGTGCATAATAATGACCGCTTGTTTCTCTAGTTATACCAACTTTAGTAACGACCGCACGATAGCAATACACAGCAAATCTTTGTAGCGAGACCTCGACCAGTCCATTACAGGCTGCTGCGGGGTTATGCAGCTCAAGGAAGAACATTTATGATCATTTCTTAATGGAAATGCAATCAGACCGAGACACTAAGTCAAAAGAACTACCGTGTCTGCAGTGCAAAATGATTAATATGGTGACTATTACTTCAAGGACATGATAAAGAAATGATCATAAATGTTCTTCCTTGAGTTGTGCCACCCCGCTGTAGTCCGTAATGGACTGGCCCTAGGTCTCGCTACAAACAAGCAGCTGCTGGAAGAGAGTAGGTGAGTTGTGTTTAGTCTCTTTGCTAAAGAAATTAGGCAAAGTTAAAAAGATGTTAAGTGGTTAGTGCTGTGGCTGGGACCCTACATATACTGTTGATGAAGTTAGGTGCTGTTCTGAGCATTATTTGTGGCCATAGAGTAGCATTTTGGTTGAGGATTGTTTATGGTTCCTCAGACCGCTGTGTTTTGCTATCCTACGGTCATTACTATAGTTGGTATAACTAGAGAAGCAAGCAATCAGCAACATTCATCTCTCGACGGGGTGTCAAACTCAGTGTTACGGTGTGTTTGAGCCTAAATTAATTTTACGTTGGAATATCCCTTTAAAGTTCAGGAGCTTTAAATGAATTTGGACTTTTTCTTGAAATTTCCACCTTATTCTCAACATTTCACTCTTTACCAGGAACTTTGTTATTTTGACCTAAAACTCCTTTGTAGCTGGAGGCTTTCCTAAATGTGTCTTTTTCTTCAAAATTACAGGATAAACCTGGAGTTTCAAAACCCCTCTCATTTGAACTGCAAGGGTTCGCTGGTTTCATCCATGAATTTTTATTAAAGCTGAGGCATCACCCCCTCTCTACCCCCGCCTCCCTCTTAGTCCCCCACCCCCCTGTTCTCCCCTCCTTACTCTCCTCCTCCACCCATCCATCCATCCACGCTTCCCTTCCCTGCCGCTGCCGCTGCTGCTGTTGGATGTTGCGTTAGGAGCGCACGGAGGACGTTACCGGGGCATCCCTCCTGTCTGATGGAGACAGGGCTGATGAGGGACACCAAAACCCGGACAGCCGTGACCACGACCACCACTAACAGAAAGCAGCACCTGAGCACCGTGCTGCATAAAGGACCCTCGCTTTATCCTGTGTTACACTAACCCGAGAAAAAAAAAAGCCGGGAAGCGGACAGAGTGGGGAGCGCACAGGGAGAGACAGAGGTAAGGGGCCATTAATAACCTGTTGTTGTTGTGTGTTTGGTTTTCAGATGGCAGCAGGACGAGCGGCTGAGCAGGGAGGAACAAAAACATGGATGTAACAGCTCTGTTTAAACCTTTTCAGGCTGAATTGTGGTCGTTTTGATTTTGAAAGACAAGGAGAAAAGCTGACATAGCAAGACCGTGAATGCTCCTGTGTTTGTCCGTGTTTTTCTTGCATCAATAACAATTTAAAGATCTAACAGGCGCGCACACAGTAGGAACACGAGGTTAATTGATCTAAACGCACATTTCTATGCGGCTTTCATTCAGAGATTTTGGCCACGTCCGGTGTAGTTTCTTTGCAAATTGTGGTTCATCTTATCCTTGTAATTATTCGGCTAAATACAGAGACACTGGAGACTGCAGCGTGATTTTAGACCGCAAATTAATTCGGGCCGAGCATTAGAGCCTTTTAACTTTCAGATTCAGAGATGAGAGCTCCCCCTGTAGACCGGAGATGGAACCTCTGTGTGATGTGATCTCTGGTCTGAAACACAACCTTGGCTCACCAGTGTCATATTAGGAGAGTGGGCTCCTGTTTAACCACTGTGGGTCAGAATCAGTCCAAATAACAGAGGATTGGAGCTACTTCCATGACATCGCACAAGCAAATATTCAAGGAGCTGATGCAGGCAACTTAACGGGCTGCTTCAAAGCTTTTGCTGCCTGTAAATGGTACTTAAAGTCTTGCTGTAATGTTGTGAATTATGTCCTGAAGTAGTGCTCTGAATATGTTCAAGTGGTTACCAATTACTAACATCATTGCCAGGTTACAGTGACATAAATGCAAAAACATGATTTGGTTTCCTCCTGGTTCTTCATAAAAGGCTTATATGCTAAATTTCTTTCTTTGTTGTGAAATGGACAGGAACAGAGGACGAGACAAAGTAAACTGGGCGGGTGATATGGGAAAAAGTTTATCACAGTAAATTTTTTTTCATATGAGTCGATATAGATATATGTCACGATATAAAAAAATACACTTTAACAGTGCTTATTGGTAGCATGTCTTTTGCAATACAATAAGCTGCTGCATCTGTGAGGTCTTTGTGTCTCTTCAACGTTTTGTCGTAAGGCGTTGCACTACGGAAAGTGGACCGCTCTGGGTTTGTAACCTTTTGCATGGCGCGTGCTCTGCTGTGTGGCACCGCTTCACTTGATGACAAAGATTTGAGGTATTCCCCGACTTTGGGAGAACATGTACTCAACACAATTTGCAGTGCACATTACTCTGCTTCATGTCTGACCTCAAAAAGACAAAATTCCCCCACACTACCGACGTTTTCGTGCCAGTGTTGACTACGATGTCATCATCTGTTGAGCCTTCATCTACATTTCTGCTGGGGGTAGCACTCATTTTCTTTTTTTTCTCATCGACAGTGCTGTCAGCTTCACCTGTTAAAGTGCTATGGTTGTGTGTAGCTGCAGCCTGCTACTACGACGTTGTTTGCTACCTGGTTCTAAATCAGCATAATTGGTTCAGTGCGAAGCAGACCTGGAGCAACTCCCCTTTTCATTGGCTATTCGTATAGTCTACCAAAACATGCCAGAATGGTGACTATCGAAAAGCATATTGACCATGTTTCATATTGATATTGAGGTAAATTAATTTTTGATATATATTGTTATCATTTTATTGCCCAGCCCTAACTTGCTATAATTCCTTATGGTCCCTACAATAATCAAACTACACGCTACAAAGTTGCACTCTTGCTAACTTTTGCTAAATTAAGCTAACTACAGCTAACTTAGCTCCTCTATCTACCAACCCAGTTGTAGTGCAACTTATGTAAAACTTGTGAGATCCATAACAGTGTTTGAATGCACCGTATCTCACAGGGTGTCAAAGGTCACCTACATACACACTGCAGGGTGGGGAGCTCAAATGCTACAAAGGTGAAATGCTGCATTGTTTGGTGTAAAGTTATGGACATACAGGAAACAAGGCAGATTTATCATTTCAACATTTTCTGGTAAATAGGAAACTGATGAACAATGGCTAATGAAAATCTGGAGGGAAAACTTAAAATTCCTCGTTAAAATGGCAGCGGAAAACAACATTTACTGTTGTTTAGCTTTCAGCTGCTACGTGGACTTGTACAGTTGACGTGCACAATGTGATAAAGGCAGCAAGGTAAGAGAGCGTGGTGAAAAGCTAACATTGACTGGTGTGTGATGGTAGCTAAGTTGTTTTTCTGTTTTTCTTCAAAATAAGTTAGTACACTTATTCTATCATCTTGCAACACTTTCACAAGGTAGCGTTAGCACTTCCTAGCTAGGAAATGACTGACGTAAAAGTAGAGTGTCAACAGCCATACTTCAGGTCAAGGTTACATGTTTTTGAAGTTATTTTTGCCTCTATTAGACCAGACAGCTGAAGAGCTGTTGTTGATTTGAAATTTCCGGTATGAATATAAATATAACACTGTTGACAGTATATTCTGCATTTGTACAATCTACTAACTAGAACACAGCAGTTTATTTTATTATTCTTAAGGCTTCCCACCTCCAGCTGAGCTACAGAGGAAGACGCTGCTGAGTGGTTAGACTGTATCAGGTAGATGTTTGTTGACTGTGCTTAATTTATGTAACCTCCAACCCCCACCTTTCAATGTCAGCTCTCTGCAGGTGGACACAATAGAAGTGCTTGGTCTGTTTGCATTAACAGTGTCAATACTCATTTCCATTGATCCACCCTGTAAGAATAACAGATCTCTGTAGATGGGAGCTGGTTATTGAGGCATGTCTCAGCTGCAGTGAGGAAAGAGGAGTGTTTACACTGCAACAAGGGGGCATTGTTTGATTTTCATTGCACCTGTAATTATAGAAAACATATCAATGATGTTTTCTGATAGACTCAGTTCTCAGTCAATTGTGCTGAATCACTTATCCCTTCTAAAACACTCGATGAATGCTCAGGAGCAAAGGAGACCTGGTCCTAGAGTTATGGGAGTTCAGCTGCCTAACAGTTCAGAGTCTCCTTTGCCATATTTTTTATTTTTTTATGCTCCAAATGATTTTAAATTGGGACTGCAGGCAAACCAATTCTACTACAGAGCCATACTGTTGTATAAATGCTGAGTGTGGTTTGGCATTGCCTTGTTGAAATATATAAGGAGTTTACTGTAAAATGCATTGTCTGGGTGACAGCATATGTTGCCCTAAAACTTCTCTATATTGTTCAGCTATAATGGAGCCGTCCCAGGTGTGTAAGATCTGTGTGCACTTTCCATACTACCAAGCTGGGTGGTACTTTTCCTCTGAGGGCAGGATAATGTGTCTATAATTCCCAAAAATAATATCAAATTTTGATCCAACCACAGGACAGGTTACCTTGCCTCGTTACATCTCAAATGGACTAAGGCTCAGAGAAGTTGCTGGTGTCTCTGGTTTATGTTTATAAATGGGCGTCTCTTTGCATGATTCAGTTTTAACCTGTGTTTATGGAAGCTGCGACAATCTTGGTTCACAAAGGTTTTCATGAGAGATTTTTGGCGTATGCAGTGATTCCCACTACAGAGTCATGTCTGATGTTAATGCAATGCTGTCTCAAGGCCAACTTGGTACAGAGATGTTTCTAGATTCCTTGAATATTTTAGTAATATCATAAACTGAAGATGAAGAAATCCTCTCACAGAGTGGTGAATTTCCAATCTTTACTTCTCAGAATCTCTCTAGAGTGCTGTTTTGATACCAAATCACATGCTTTGCCTGTTGCAAATGGACCTATGTACTTGAGAGATGCTTCCACAGATGTTTTTAGGAGCACTACACAGCTGTTGCCAAAGTAAGAGCTCTGCATTTCTCAAATTCCAATAGAAAAAAAAAGACTAAAGAAATAGGATCATGTTTCCTGCTGCCTCTCTTGCACTGGTAAAAAATGCGTGCTGGTTTCTATCTGCCGACCTGCTCATGGATTTTTAGATGGTGTTGCCAAAATACCAAATAAAAGTGCAAATAATGCAAAAGCTAAGTGTGCTGAACAAATAATGCCCAAAAGAAAGTATATGTCAAAAAAATCCAAACCTAGATAATGATTGAAGTAATGCTAGAAACAAAAACCTCAACACTAACAACAAACAACTCCAGCAGTGAGCTTTCTGACAGTCTTTTTATGGATGATTTCTCTACTGCAGTTGCATATAATACAGTTTCTGTTCATTAAATTTAGAGCAGCATTTTCTCTCACCTTGTCAGTCACCCAGTCGAGCATCCTTTGTCACTTTCCCACATTTAATATGCCTCACACACTTCCACTCACACAGCTATCTACGTTTCTTTGGGGCGTCTAACCTTGTCTCCTGTCACAGTAAGTGAGGCAATGACAGTTTTTTCCTCACTTACTGTTTCCTCTTACATTTTAATTTTGTGTCTGTTTATGTTTCTTCCTGCAGATCCTCAATCCTCTCCTCCAGGGCGTGACGCACTGATTGTGTTTAACATGCACAATCCCATGGGTGTGTAATTTATATAGCAAAGAGGGGTGTTTGCGAGTGTGTGAGTGTGTGCAAGTGCACTTGAAGATCTGAGATGGGCTCAGTGGGAGCGGAGCGCCGCAGGCCAACGCCAGTCCAGACGCCCGAGGAGAGGGACGTGTGGAGGGATGGAGGACGGGCAGGATGGAGGGATGTAGGGAGGGAGAACTGGAGGGAGGGGAGAGAGAGCGGCGTGGTGCAGAGTTACAGCTTTGACTCGTACCAGCTGGAGGAGGAGGAGATCAGTAAAGACGCCCCAGAGCGAGGAGTTTTGGCTCTTTCTGAGACCGGTGAGACAGTTTCTATTCTGACTACCTCTGTGTGTGTGTGTTTTATAAATAGATACACAAAGAACAAGGGATAAAAGGACTGAGGACTGAAACAGAGAGAGGAGACCACATGATTATTTCTGTTTTACTGTCTTCACTTTTAAAACACCAGGAAAACCAGTCAGGGAACAAAAGGATCAAAAGAGTTATAAAAAGATGTCATCATTTACATGTGAACTTATTGCCATCAATAGATACTTGTTGTCAAATGTAACCCAAATGTTTACTTCTTAAATACAACTTGCACTTTTCTACGTAAATAACCAACCCTGACTGAGTAAGAATAATGATGGTAAATGACCATTTTCCTCTCAAGTCACTCTCAGGATGAGGAAATGACTGGAAAGAGCTTAGATGAAGGAAAGGAGGAAGGATTATTTCCCAGCTAATACACTGACATGCAAGTGTTTACTTGTTAGCTTGGAAATGGTCGACTGCCAGCATTTAAGTTTGTCAAATTTTTCAAAAATTTGACACATTTCAATCCCACACACTTCGAAATGGTACAGTATCCATTGTTTTTATGTCAAAAAGCTCACAAAAGCAGGTTTACAGTCATATTTTTAACCTAAAGTTGCCTTTGAGTAGGAGAGTGTTTGTACATCTAATAGGCTCGTATTTGAAGGTGTGTAGGATGTTAATTTATGTTTTTTGAAAAGAGCAAATCCTGCACACTATACTTACTTTCAGTCCCTCTGGTCTAGAGGTTTGCAGTGCTTGTTGCGTGCTACATCCTATGTGTTGCTCTTTCATCACAATTGCAGCCCTCACAAAGTGCTCTGATTCACAGGTTGGCAAATATCATTGTTTCACTATGTCAGTGATGCATTTGTTACTTTAATGTCTGAGGGCAGAAAAGAGAGACAGCCATGTCACCAGGATCCTCACTGGTGAACAGACTGTATTTATGTAACACTTTCTCAAGTTGCCTGACCACTTAAAGTGCTTTTACCACACATGGCACACTCACTCACTTATAAACTGATGGCTGAGACTGTATACATGATGTTGTACTCAAGCCCTGGACTCAAAGTAAAACTCCAATCCTGCGACTTGAAAAGTGATGACTTGGATTTGGGCTTGCTGAGGACTGAATGCATTAGGACTCGGACGATGTAGAGGAGGAATCAGATTCATTTAATGAGAAAGACCAGTTTAATATTTAAGAAGGCTGCTCGTGTGTTCATCTGCATGCACAATCACATGCAGTTCCTGCTGGAATAAAGAGGTGCCTCAAATCTGCATTTTGCTTCCAAAGATTTCTCAACAGTCGTGGGGCAGAGCAGAACAACATGTAAAAGAGGTTTATTTTTTGTTGCAGTATAAACTCTGTTATTACTCTCTGTTAACTTTGACATCTGAGCTGTTACATGTTTTTACCGTGAAATATTGCCCTCCATCTATTGTCTTCCAGCTGCTGATCCCTCAAGAAGCAGCAATAGGTGTCAGATTTTCTTTCATTTATGTGACTTATAAACTGAAACAAAGATTCAGATGAGAGATTACCAGCCTGAGCCCAGCATCAGAGAATAGGCTGGTAAGTGTCACTCAGTACAATCTATGTCTTTAGATTGTGCATTTTTTTTCTAAGAAGCTCAGGAAAGAAAGAAAGAAGAGCAAGTGTAAGAACAAAAACAGAGAGGAAAATTCCCTGTCCCAGCGCTGCAGACAATATTTCACCCTACCTAGAGTATAAATTGGAATTATTGCTCACATTTGCTTGTTATTGCCTCATCTCCTCCTGTCTCTGGATTGCCTGAAAGCTAGGCTGAGTCTGAATTTCCAATATGGCAACAACCATCTTTGGGGCATGTTGTAGATGGGAGAGTTGTCTCATGAACGTACTATAGGTTACGTAAAGAAAACATGCCTTTTGTCTTTGCTGAAAAAACAGAAATTACTTGTCAAAGCATTTCCAGGGCACTCCACTCTTCAAATGTCATTCAAATGCTTTTGTTTCCTTCCTGTAAAAAACGCAGAAGCAGATTTTGGTTCCTCTTTCAAACCTAATGGAACAAGAAAAGCCTTATTGTATAATTTTTGATGCTTTGCATTGAAACTGAAGGGAATGAACGGCGTGTTTCTTGTAGAGCAATTTGCGACCATGACTGAAAGAATAATAACAGTGACTCAGACCGAGGAACAGAAAAGTACATGTAGAAAAAGGAGGGTTGTCTTTTGAGGGAAAATTGCTGTGTTGCCTAGTTGCAAAAAGAACACATTAATCAGATCACAAGTGAATGAGGGTGCACAGCAAGCATCCTAGATGGACAGAAACACCCTTTTCCCTCTTTCAGTATGTTTATCTGTAGCCTCTTTCTCTTCCCTTTCTAAAGCTGTCTTCCCCAGTGTATTTAATTCTGCAGCTGACAGAATAAAAGAGAGGAAAAGTCAACATAGTCTGCCTTTAACTGATACAAAAAGAAAGAAAAAAGACCAAGGTACAGTGAGGCAGGATTAATTCATCTCTGTCATACAGTCTGAATCTACTCTGCAATCTGTGCTTCTGCAGACGGACCTTTCTTTCGCGAAATGATTAGGAACTGAAGGGTTCAGAAAAAGAGGGAGGCGGTGTCAATTTTTATAGACCCACATTAAAAGACTTTTTCTTGGTCAAGGGAGGGAGAAGGATCATTTTTCCATTCTCAGAAATCCAAAGTTCTTTTAAATTGAACCATTATTGTACCACAATTTGTCAAACTTGATCGTACTCTATCGTATCATTTCTAATCATGTGATTTCATATCATATATCATTCTGGATTTCATGTCATGATATATATCATACATCATATCATATCATATATCATATCATAGATTATATATATTATAAATGATTGTGTTGTATCATAACATACATCCTCAATTAAATAATATCATATAATTTCATATCATATAGTTTTGTATCGTATCATTTATCATTTAAAGTCAAGTCATATAGTCATAATCATATATAATAAATAACTGTACTGTTTTTTACCATGTCATATCAGATCATATATTGTTACAAATTTTTTCATGTTTTAATGTATTCAATTGTATTGTGTTAAAGTTTACCGTAGTGTATCATATGGTTCTGTGTCACACTATAGTATGAAGTTACTATAGTGCATCATATCATATTTAGTTGTTATTTATAACATCATTGTTTTGTGTGTATTATACTGTAATGTATTATTTTGAATTGTATTGTATCTATTGCTGTCTACCTTCTGGGCCACATCACACTCTTTTACACTGTGCCAGACTTATATTGTTTTATGCTGAATTGTATTATATGAGTTTGCTGATAATATTTGCATGACAAGAACACCTACAATTTTCTAACTATCATCACTCAAACCCTGACCATTTGGGATGACTTTAGAACAGCTTATACAGACAAATATTTAAAAGTGCAGTCTAAGGGCAGCTATGGAAAACAAAGAAGTCAGTCAGATGATTTGAGAAACACGAGGATAATGCAAAGGAAATTACTGGTGTCTATCAAAATGTGTGACAGACAAAGAAATATCACCCAGGGTGATGAGAAAGCAGTTATTCTTGACTTTTAAATTATTTCTTGCTTTATTAACAATTAAGTCAAAACTGAGAACACTGGAGACTGAAATATGACGTTTAACCAAACTATTTCCCTATTTTCTGAGCTGAAGTGTCCGTCAAACTCAATGGGCAGCGCAGCTTGGTCTTCATTAGATTTCTGTTAATGAGCTGTGAGTTTCTGCAGACGTTAATCTTTTCTTCTGTCTGTGTAGCTATAATGACATTCAGTTCTCAGGCTTATCACACTGTTTGCTGTATTCTAGACAAATCTGCTGCACTGCTTCACCTCCTGCTTGTGTCCTGTGTGTTTTACTACAGGAACAACAAACTGGCAGGAAGAGCAGGCTTTTAAAGGCTCCTTTGTGCGTGGTCATCACATATGGAGTTATAAGAAAACTGTCTCTTTTTTATAGAAAAGAAGACAGCCAAAGCAGCACAGTATTAAGAAAGTAACTATTGTGGTTACAAACTACATAAAACATTAGAGTGAATAAATCGTCTTTAAGTCCTGTTTGTGTCCCCTATAGTCAGCTGAAAACTATAAATCTGCCTAAATAGAAAGCTTACAGGATTAGGAAAGGATTATTAAAAAGAATCTGCTCATCACATTGGAGTTTAGTATAAAACTAAATGAGCTGCAAAGAATAACAGTCCATTTCTTTCCAGCAAAAACTGTTTGGCCAGCTGATCTATACTCGGCAGATTAATCCTCCACCAAAACAAGAGGAACAAGGTCCTGCTGAATGAGCTGCTCTAACAGTGAAGCTGAGACTGTTCCTGCAGCTCCTTCAGCCTTTCCAAAGATGAATCTGTTGGCTTTATTGATGTTTTGAAGACATTTTGTTCCCTGTTTTATATTCTCCAAACTCTTGCTGTCTCCCTCCTGCTCAGACTTTGAGGAGCCGATCCCTGATGACCGGTATCATGGGATCTACTTTGCCATGCTGTTGGCTGGAGTGGGCTTCCTGCTGCCCTACAACAGCTTCATCACTGATGTGGACTACCTGCACCACAAGTTTGAAGGTAGAAATGTTTTTTTTGTAAACTAATGCAAAAAGTAACTGGCATCATATAAATAATTCAAAATAAACAATGTAGAAAATATGAACACCTGGACATTAATTGACATGAAGTTAGCAAACATAAATGACAACAACCACCTTTGGGGATCATGTATTCAATCTAACTTTGATTTCAAAGTTTAACCCATGTCCAATCTGTTAACATGGAAAACTTTGGCTCTATAACTCAGACTGCAGCCAGTCAGCAGGGGGAGCTCTGAGTGTTAAGGCATCACTTTGGAGGAGTTGTCATGTTGTCCATCTTTATAAAGTATGTGAAACCATGTTTTGGGGGCTTGTGGTGTCAGATCCATGTTACATGTACTTAGAGATTTATATATTAGAAAATATATAATCTTGCAGTATTGTCTACACTGTTGGAGAATCTTGTCTCTGAACAACTGCTTAATTATTTGGAGACTTCACACTTTATTTTCAGACATTATCATTCCACTGAGTCATCTGCCTGATTAATATAAAAAAACATAAAATGGACAAATTGAACCATTTTTAATTCAAAATGTTCTGCATTAATATCCCCAGAGCTGACTCTGTCATATTAAAAAGGCTGTGAACAGGGCTTTGTAATCAAAAAATAATTAATTAGCTTTTTACAAATTTGAAACTTGAGCCCCCAAAGGAACCATCTTGGGGCCCCTTCTTTAAATTTGTATTTAAACCAGGATTTAGTCGGCTCTGATGTGGGTCTTAAGTTGTATGCTGATGACACAGTATGAAAGTACTGCTGTTATAGGCAAGCTAAAGTCTTACAAAGTACATCTCTTATCTGAAATAAAAAATGTCTGTTTTCAAAATCTTGACAGGTAATTTTTTTTTCTTGTTCCACTGAAAGTTTTTTTTTTACAACTCATTGCTTGTAGCATATCAGATTCTAAATAAAACTTTTCCCTGGCTTGTCAGAGGAAATTTAGCCCAATAGAAGTCAAAAGAAGTAAGACAAAAGTTCTTACTAAGATTTGGGGTTTGCAGCATGTTTTCACAAAAATCCTTCAAGGTGTACGTATTGCAAAAGGAAAGTGTTATCAGTCTGTCTATGTTGGGGCTGTTAGCAGTATTAACAATAACAGTCCTTGATATCTTGCTGGCATACAGTAGTACCCTGAGCTCATAGTAGTGGCCCATTATGCTGGTTGTCTTGCCGTGAAACATAGGAAAAACAAGAAGAAGAAGCAGCAGCTGCTAGCGGTAGCAACCCTCTGAGAAAATGGTTAGGCACTTTTAAAACTGTTATTCAAAGATCGAAAACAACAAGCTTGTGTCTTTTCAGATTACTGATAAATTGTATTTCCATTCGCATTATTCGCACCATTATACTTCAAAATAAAAATAGAGTTTTACAAGGCACTTAAATTTGGAAGAAGTTTAGGCTGTAACCTGTTGCTAAACTTTTGTCTTACATTTCTTTTATTTATACTGTTTGTGTTTTATTTTCAAACTTTCCAAAAATTTTGTGATATTGATATTGTGACATTTTATGCCCACAGTAACAACTTTAAATAAATTATACCTAAAATCTCTGATAAATATGCATTAGTTTGACTGAATCCATGTGGAGCAGCACCTGTAGAGACAGCATGAATTATACAGGTTTTTAAGCGGATCTGGAAAGTTCAGAAGTACAGTAAGTAGTAATTGTTCTTGATTTTTGTGTTTCAGGGACGTCTATTGTGTTTGACATGAGCCTGACGTACATCCTGGTGGCTCTGTTGGCCGTCATCCTTAATAACGTGCTGGTGGAGAGGCTCAGCATGCACACCAGGATCACTGTGGGTGAGTCAGAGAGGACCCCGCTCTGAGGCCAAATATCACGATGAAGAATCTCTCACTATGGGAACTCCTGCTGCTACTTATTTATTAATGGCCCACTTGGAAGCTCCAGGCTTATCAGAGCTAAATAAGAAGAGCTTAAAAAAAGGAGATGGTTTAAAGAGAGAGAGAGAGAAATTCACTCAGCTGTAAATGTCTTGTGGGTTTCATCTATAAAGTGTTTCAAACAAACTTTGCCAAAGGCTGTGAATTCACCAGAGGTTGTCTGTTTTTCTTCTCTCTTTTTAAAAATATTGCATCATCTTCAGTTCCCTGTCAAAACATTTTAAATGATTTTACTGTTGTGCTCCAGAAACATATCTAGTTACAAACATGCACATTCAGGATGATAGTGCATCAGTTTTTACAGAGACAGCCTGACACTGCTGTTTGTTAAAGGATGTTTTAATAATACGACACATCTCTGCAGAGTGAATACCCTCATTGAGACAGAGTGCTAATGGAGGCCAGCTTAAAACATATCAAAGCTGTTAAAGGAACTTGTTTTTAAAATACTTTTGAGCAGAAATGTAGAAATGTTCTTTAAAAATGTATGTGCCCCTCAGAGAATTTTGGTATTTCTTCCTCACATTTAAAAGCGAGGTTTGTACCCTCTGCAGCTAAAAATAGCTCCTCTTGCATCCTTGAGGAAACATCTTCTGAAGCGTGTTGTCGGCTCGAGAGCTGCTCCCAAGAGTCACACAATCACAATCTGACTTCAAATGAGAGTGATACAGCTTTTGCACCTGCACTGTTCTTACATGTCTGATCATCCAGTCACAACAGGACCTGAGTCAGATGTGTCATCTCACTCTCTCTCTCTCTGTCTCTCTGTAGGTTATATCCTAGCTCTGGGCCCGCTGGTCTTTGTCAGTGTGTTTGACGTCTGGCTGGCAAAGTTCACAACCGCTCAGGCCTACATCATCAACCTGGTGTCAGTGGGAGTGGTGGCCTTTGGATGTACAGGTACAGCTAATAATGATGCTTACGAACTAAACGTGCCAGAGTTCAGGGCACACTTAAGCTCAGGAGTTAAATCACTTACCCTGTATATCAGAGTATCAACAGCTGACAGCTCAACTCATTACCCTTGTGGCATCCAATTGGCAAACGTAAAAACTGGCATTCTAGTTAAACTGCCTTAAAGGGATATTCGGGCGTAAAATTAAGTTAGGATCAAACACCCTAACACTGAGTTAGACATCCTGTTGAGAGATTCATGTTGCCGACCGCTAGCTTTAACATTTCCTTAAAGTAATAATCATCATATTAATCATTTTGCACTGCAGACGCGTTAGTTCTTCTACCTTAGCGTCTCGGTCTGATTGCATTTCCATGAAGAAATGATCATAAATGTTCTTCCTTGAGCTGCATCAGCCCACTGCAGTCCGTTATGGACTCGCCTGAGGTCTCCATACAAACAAACGGTTGGTGGAAGAGAGTAGGTGAGTTGTGTTTAGTCTCTTTGCTAAAGAAATCAAGCAAAGCTAAAAAGATGTTTGGTGGTCAGGGTTGTGGCTGGGACCCCATATGTACTGTTAATGAAGTTAGGTGCTGTTCTGAGCATTATTGGTGGCTATAGAGTGGCGTTTTGGTTAAGCTCATGGCTCCTGAGCCCTCTGTGTATTGCTATCGTGCTGTCGTTTCTAAAGTTGGTATAACTAGAGAAGTAAGCGGTCGGCAACATTCATCTCTTGACGGGGTGTCTAACTTGGTGGTACTGTGTGTTTGACCCTAACTAAATTTTACGCCTAAATATCCCTTTAACCTCTTCTCGCTGCGTCCTCTGCACTCCACTTTGCAAACCCCCCTCCACCACAGCTCCTTCAGGATCGATGTGAAGATTTTAACATTAAATACTGATGGCATAACTATACTATAGTTGTTGTAGTTGTTCATTAAGAAGATGAAAATTTAAAAACATGCACTCACTTTTTACACATTAGAGTGTAAAGCTAAATGTGGTTTCCTGATTAAGCACTGGTGTCAGGCAAGGCTGTTGAATGACTTAGTGTCAGGAAACACACTCACACACACACACACACACACACACAGCTGCTGATAATGACTCTCATGCTGTTTCCTGGTTGTTACAGTGAAAGTGAACACAGTCTGTCAGACAAGAGGACAAACACATTCATTAGTGCAGGTCTAGAGGTCAGAGAAGCTCCTCCTCTGAGTAAATGTGTTTTTTTTCTGTCAGGCTCTGATAACCATCTCCATTTCCCCTCCACAGTGCAGCAGTCCAGTTTCTATGGTTACATGGGGATGCTGCCCAAAAGGTACACACAGGGGGTGATGACTGGAGAGAGTAAGTACGCTGAGATGAAGAGTTTATACACGTCACTTTTTCAGCTCCTCCCTCTCCTCCATCCTCACCTGTAGCTCCTCCCCTTCTCTTCAGGTACGGCCGGGGTCATCATCTCGCTTTCTCGCATCTTCACCAAGCTTCTAATCAACGACGAGAGGAGGAACACGCTTATCTTCTTCCTTGTATCCATCAGCATGGAGATGCTCTGCTTCCTGCTGCACCTGCTGGTTCGCCGCTCTCGATTTGTCCGATACTACACCAACCATGCCCAGGGCAAAGGTCAGGTCAAAGGTCATGACCCGCGGGACAACGGGACTGGTTACAGAGTTCATCACGACGTCACCGCAGAGGAAGTAAGATTTGTAAGTTTGTGGGTAGTTTCTTGACTGAAACTTGTGTGTGTGTGTCTGTACTTGTCTTGGTGGACTTGAGAGGACCATGTGTTGCTGCATAACCTGTCTTTTGCGACCTCTTGCCGTTGTTGTTTTTTTGTTTTTTTTTGACAATTTTTTACAAACAAAGTGCTTGGATGTCATCACAGAGGAAGTAACAATTGTAAGTGTGTGAGTACGTTCCTGTCCGAAATTGTGTGTGTGTGTGTGTGTGTGTGTGTGTGTGTGTGTGTGTGTGTGTGTGTGTGTGTGTCCTTGTCTTAGTGGATTTGTGAGAACCAGTTGTTGATTATCTTCTTTTGGGGACACCCTTGCTGTTGTTTTTTTTGCAAAGCCCATTGCAAAGACATTTTAACTTCATCAGAAATAGGTAGTAAAATTCAAGGCTTCAATATACAGATTAAAAATTTGTATTTCTTTACATTTGGCATCTCTTATTTGGCTGCTGTTTTCTCAGGTCTTAATTTTTAGGTTTGATCGACGCATCAACTCTTCCTCTCGATAAAATGCACCACAGTCTGTCATCAGAGCTTCTTGCACGTTTGGTATTAAATCCTTCATGAATGTTGTAACAACGAACTGTTTATGGACCCAACAGGCGGGAAACATCAGGCCTCTAAACAGTGCTGTCGTCCTGGTATGTTTCCTTGATGATTTTCGTGAGGAGTGTTTGTCTTACTGGTTTTGGAGTGAGCGTGCAGACATGGATGGTGAGCAGTGTGAGTTTTTAAATGTAGAATCTTTTATTTAAGCTACAGGCTGCTTTTAGCTTCACTTGAACTGAGTCACATTAAGGGAGACACTGGGGGATGAGGTTATTTGGGTTTAAGACATCTAAGTGTGAGAGGAGCACAGGTAATGAGGGAAAATGAAAGAGTATGAAAGAGAGGAAAGCCTACGGAGAATTGGAGTCACAACATAATTGGGAGAAACTGTTTGGAGAGAACGAGGGAAATAAGAGCAAGAGATCAACAGAGTCCAGTTACACTTCGGACCAATCCCAATGTCCCAATGTGTGTGACTATCAGTAATATGATATTAAAAATATTCATTCATTGACGGACAAAACTGGACTTTTTAAGATACAAGTCAACATGTTAGTTTGTAAAAAAAAAAAAGTTTATCTGCTGCGTTAGCCCCACTGAAGCTCGACTTTTAAATTAAAGTTAAATTCTGTGGATTGGGTTGGGGCCACAGGTGAAGAAATAATGAAAACTCCTCTTCTCCCTCATGCATGAAGCAGCACTTTGTGGGCTGAAGTAATGTGTACCTCAGAGTCTTCAGAGGGAACATACTGCCTGAGGCCGTTGTCTTTTCATGTGCGCGTGTGTTTGTGTTTGTTCTCCATCATACTCAAGTCAAGTGTGTGAGGTATACTCCCCCGTGTTTCACAATGTGTGCGTTAGTGTGTCTGTGTGTGTGTGTTATGAATTTGGGGGCTGATTGAGGCAGCTCTTTGTTCCGGTTGCCTTGGAAACCAAGGCAGCGCTCTACATTATGAGATAATCAGGAGGAGTGCTGCCTTCTGGCCCACAAGTCCTTTTAATCAACTAATGGATTGGTCGGTGTGTGTGTGTGTGTGTGTGTGTGTGTGTGTGTGTGTGTGTGTGTGCTTATTCGCAGTCCAGTCTGCAGTGTCTCTCTCTGTCATTATTACGTCAGCCTGTAGCCCCTCTCAGTGATCCTCTTTAACAGCCACGGTCATAAAAAGCTGATGTCAAGCATCTCGAAGGACATAATCAATGAAAAAGACCGACAGGATCAAATTTAAACCACTGAAAGAAAACCTGTATTAACTCAGATATATATGACCCTGATTATAAGATGACTTCCCATTTTCAAGACGAATTCCAGGAAAAGACCTCTTAAAGATGTAGTGTTTGAAAATTTGATTGCAAACAACGGTAAAATACACTTACAATTAAACAAGATGAGTTGATATTTTCAACATCTTTTGAATGAATTATGTTTTAAATGTTTTAAGATGAAATAAATTGATCACATGTGTAAATGAAGCACCCAAGTTTTGGTACAAAGAAAGAGCACAGATCTACTGATACTAGAACATATTGAATAGAATAAATCCATTCAAATCAGAGCTATAATTTATATTTCTATACTTTGAGGAGATCATGATATTTCCCTCAGTCTGGCCTATCACTGAGCCTTTACAGTTCAGATGATTGCAGATACAACTTCTAGTTGTCAACAGGCCATAACAAAAATGGCAGCATGTGTTTAGTATAGTCAGCTTTATAATAACACACATTCACTTAAAGTTGAATGTAGATCTTAACAGATTACCTTCAGTTTGCGGGGGAATAAAAAAAAGTACACTGATCATCTCTGTGGGATAAAAAAAAGTCCTAAGATGTCACAGCAACAAAGATTCTTTGTCACTTTAAACCTTCCAGTCTCACTAAGCAAGTGCATTTTCAAGTAAGTGGAGACATTTTCTATTTTCTGTTCTATTTTCAAGAGCTGATGTTGCAACACAATAATGTAAGGTTGTATAATGCAGAGCCATACCCAGTGATAACTGGACCATGAAAATAGACTGATTCCCCTTTTCGCAGATGTATAATATCTTTACAATAAGAAAAAATAACAGGTCGATCTAGTCGCTGACAGTCTTGTTTACTTTTGTGTGTCATTAAAAAAAGGCATCAATTTCAGACTACTTCCTAAACACCAAAAGACCTCTCAAAGGAGCTCTAAAAACAGTCTACCTGCTGTTGGTTTGTTCCTTTTAGTAATTATGAACAGGAATCAGAATCCATCTCTTACCGTTTTATAGCCAAACAAAGATTACCAACAGATGCTTTATATGAAATATGGTCCCTTTTTCTTTAAACCAATAATAACCTGTTTCTTTAAGCAGTCTGTAAATCTGGAAGCAGTGAACTGGTAATGACCACAGAGTAGAGATTCATAGCATTAAATGTTAATTTGATCGTCTTTTGTCAAGTTGCCTCCTTTTTGTGTCTCTCTTCAGGGAAACGGAGGGACAGCTCCACCCTCCGCTGAGGAAAGCGTCGAGGACATTGCAGGAGGGACATATGTGAGATTCGACGCTCCTAAAGCCAAGATAAGAAAGAGCTGGCCCGGTGTTCGAGGTACTTTATGTTTTAATCCCGAGTACTCACTGCTTCATTACTCTCTGACCCTCTGACTGGGAACAGCAGAGTGTCTTCAGTGTGACAACCTGATCAAAATGTTCTTAAACACCCCTCTGTGTGTGTGTGTCTGTGCACTGGTGTTTTCTAACTTAGATATGATCCTGCATCGGTACGTGGTGTCCCGTGTGATCTGGGCCTACATGTTGTCCATAGCGGTGACCTACAGCATCACCCTGTGTCTGTTTCCTGGTCTGGAGTCAGAGATACGAAACCCCACTTTAGGGGAGTGGCTCCCCATCCTCATCATGGCCACTTTCAACATGTCTGACTTTGTTGGCAAGGTGAGCGGCATGTTTCATTTGCTGTAAAAATCAACAATAGATGAATATTTTCTGATATCAGTATACAGTATGTCTCCAGAAAATTCCCTCAAGAGTTGCTGGAGATAAAAATGCCATTTAGGATAAGAGCGAATTTAGGATTTATACAGAGCAGGTGGACAGAAATACAATCATGAAAAAGTTATGGTTGACGACACAAAGTCAGAGTCAGCTGAAAAAGCCGAAACTGTGTCAGAAGTTTTTAAAGCTTGTTTTGATGCCCCCTGGTGGCATTAAATTGCAACAAGCCACAACACTGATGTTTATTTCCCGGCCACCCTCAACTTAACATGTGAATCACGCAGACATCTGCTTGATAAACTGTTTCTGCCTGTTAGCTGAAGTTGACATAAGTCAACTTAAATTCCAGTTTTTAACTCTTTATGAAGGCAAAATAATCTAGAAGGTGCATGATGCGGAAAGTTTGGTTTGAATTTTGGTTTAATTATATCAACTTTCCAGCTAAAGTTAATGTTGAACATACGACTCACAATATAACGAGTTATCATCCCCTCCATTACAGTTGTAATATACCAAAAATAGACATAAATTATATCTATAACATCAGAATTAAACATTTAAAAACATTTGCAGGTATTTTGTTCCAAAATGTCTTCGATCAAATTTTGACATATAAATAACCTTTAAATTTCATACCTATTTTAAATGGCTTGTATATTTTACAGGGGCCGCTGTAACAGGGTGGTGAAGTGGTGTCTGCAGTCTCTGTCATGATTTATAAAAGGTCAAAGCAGCCTCAACAAAGAGATGGAGCCACTTGTGTGTTTCCTATGAGGAACTTCAGGGCATAACAAAGGCCACTGGTGTCAAACATGGTGGAGAGATGACAAAAGATTTATTAAGTAAATAAACTGGAGAGGCCTATTTTAATTTAATCGTTATCATCCGACAAACGAATCCTTTAAACAAAGAAAATGATGGGGTTATTTCACGAGTCTGAGATCAGGTTAAAACACAATGATAGCCAGAGGGAGGAAAGTTCCTCCAGAGCTGACCTTGAGAGGTTGTTAAAGGAGTTGTTCCATGAGTTAATCCAGAGAGTAATGAGCGGAGAGAGTCTGGTTTATTTCTGGATAATTTCACTCAGCTCTAAAACTTTATCTGAACGTTCAGAATGAAACCTTATCTGCTGGTCTTCACTCCTGAGTTTGACTTTAGAGGGCGGAGAGTTGGTGCTCTGAATGTGCGCTTTGACTTCGATTTAAGAGGTGAAATTAAACGGAAAATGAGAAAAGGAAATTGAGGTAACTCAGTGGGGAAAAAGTCACAACGAAATGGAGGAAGAAATGGTGTAGAGAAAATATTTCCCTGGTGTTTTAACTTATGTAGCCGACTGCTGCTCTGCTGTGACTGTATCAGCAGCTTCATTAGGGTTAGTTCGTCAGACAGGCTTTAATGATGGAAAAGAGAAGTTTGAACCCTCAGAGTTACTCACACTCTTCTGCTTTCTCTTCAGATCCTGGCAGCACTGCCGTATGATTGGACCGGAGGCCGTCTGCTCTTCTTCTCCTGCCTGCGAGTGGTCTTCATCCCTCTCTTCGTCATGTGCGTTTATCCGGCCAGCTCTCCCACCCTGTCTCACCCAGCCTGGCCCTGTCTCTTCTCCCTCCTCATGGGAGTCACCAATGGGTACTTCGGATCTGTTCCCATGATTCAGGCTGCTGGGAATGTGCCGCCAGAGCAGAGGGAGCTGGCAGGTGAGAGTGATCCACATTAACAGGGAAATAACAATACTTATGGACGGTTTAGCTGTTTTATGATATGTTTTATTCACATTTTAACACTGCATCAACCAAAGGCTGAAATAACTAGCATAACTGAGTCCAAAGCAGAGAAATAAGACTTAAAGTTCAAGGCTGTCTGGTTTTCAAGTTGGGAATTACTTGAAAAAACTACTGAAGTTAGCAGTGATTGTTCTTACCATGAGGAATTTGGTGTTTGTTGCTTCTAATGTTAAAAATACCTAAGCCAAAACTCAGCTAGCATTGTTAAAGTGCTCTTTGTTAACTGCAGACATTAAGGTGGAATCACGGCTCATGTTACTGAATTACCTCAAAGTATCTCGCAGGTCACAGAATATCTTAAATGTCACAAATGCTAAAAAGACCTGATTTTTGTAGTCATGCTAAACATTGTTAACATTACATCAGCTAAAGGTTAGCATCAAAGGTTTCTGGGGATTTACCTTAAATTTTCCCCTTGTGTGTCTGGGGGTCAAAGATCAGGGAATCAGGCCTCTACATTGATGATCTGACATGTGTTTTTAACATTACACACAACAAATCAAATCATGTTGGCATAGCAATTGTGCCCATTGGCATTAGAGACCAAACTGACCAGTGGAGTCTCTCTGTCCTGTCTGGAACTATAGATGTTGCATTTAACACAACTGTGAGGACCTCAGCTGGTCGAAAAATTGGTAATATAGACAGCAGAAATATAGACGGTGTGAAACACAGAAGTAGCATCGGTGACTTCAGACATTGGTTTCTGAAACAAAAACGAGTTTTAAAGCTAGTTGTCAGCAGATTTCATACTGGGAACGCTGAGTTTATTTTATTCTTAGTTGACCTACTGTGAGACAATGGGGTAGGATATAGATGGGCCTTTAGCCTCCCCACTAACAGCTACAATATGCCTGTCTGCCAATAAAGCCATGCCTCTAATTTGCCAAATCTGCAACCTTAATTTTCAGCCTTCATGACTAATGAGTGAAAACCCCCAATGCATGTCAGCTACTGCAGCAGGGTTATCTAATGTTTGACTTTACCTCCAAATAAGCGTCTCCTTCACTCCCTGTGTATCAGCTCCATCACCACTCTCTCTCTTTCTTCAGGAAACACCATGACGGTCTCCTACATGACAGGCCTGATGGTCGGCTCCGTTGTGGCGTACGCCGCTTACAGCTTCACCGCCCCAGGATCAGGAACTCACATTCACACACTCATACACACTTCTGCCAACGCTACTGGGTACTGAATGTTCACACACAGACATGTGAACACCATAGACTGTATAAAAAGTTGTACAGTCAGTGGTAAACACACATACATGCACCTGCAGCCTTTAACACACACACTGATGCTGAGCCAGGAGAGCGGCACGGACTGGGAGACTCAAATCAGGTTTATTTTGGTTTGGATCATTGGATAAAAACGTAGCAGATTTCTTAACTCTCTCATTCTTAAATCAGCAATGCACAGACATTTGAAGGATCCCGGCTCTGATGATGAACTTTCCCAGGAGTTGAAGACCAGGAGCTCAGTGGACTGAAGCTTTGCGAGTGTCTCACTGTGAGGTTATTGTCTGCATGCACCAGATAACAGAGGGGGTGACATTTGTGCATCATGGAGAGCACCTTCGTGTTATTAGTCTGAAACAGTATGTCTCATTTCTTATACCTCAAAATCATTATACAGGCTAGTTTGTTTCTGTAATGGAGAATGTATTTGGTAAAGCTGTTTCTTCATTTTTGTGACAGAGTATTAAGGCCACATTAAAGACAAACTCTTTTTAAAGATTTCAAACAATTTTAAATCATCTCCTCATGAGAATAGTTGTAGTAAAGTCATTACATTACATGAATAAAGTCATGTTTATTATTGTCATTATGTTGTGAAAAAGTCGTTAAGTCAGTCAACAATTAACCTCATAATGCTGTTTTGAAGGGTGGCGCCACACGTCTCTCCAGGGTCCTGATACTTTTAACAATATGGTTAAAAGTGTGACTTTACTCTCACTATATTATGACTTTACTACAACTTTAATATGACTTTAATATCGAAATATTAAGACATGATTTCCTCACAACTTTATTCTTGTAAGAAAATAACCACATTTAAAAAAATCTATATCTTTAAATGTGGCCCTAATACTCTGCTGTACATCATAGCTTTCTCAGATAAAAAACATTAATGAGTTGTATCTTTGGTAGCTTGATTCATCGCAATAGTCCAACTGCATTGTTAAAAAAATGACATGAACAATTAAAGGGAACTCTTTAATTTATAATAAAAAAGATCTTAACAATGATTATAACAATTAAAACATTCAGTGTACACTTTTTAAAATCCAAGTCATGAAACACTCTAACCCTAACCGACACAGTCTGCATTCATGATTCTTTTAAGTTGATGTATTGATACATACGTAAGTGTTAAACAGATATAACTCCACATGTGGACTGGAAATAATGAGAGAGACGTTAACGGTTGCAAACTCCAACCAATAATGTTATTCAGCTATCAGACCTTATGAAGTAACGAAAGACGCAGTGTAGTTTTGCAATAATTTCCCCAGGACATGGATAACAGCGTCTACGAAATGACATTGTAACATTACAGCATCTTTACTGTTGTGTAAGTCTATCAGGCAGCTATTTTAGCTAGCTAAGTTGTTGTATGCTGCTGAAAGCTCTTGTCAACTGGTTGCCAACAAAAAAATGGAAGTTTTTATTTCAGTGGGTTACAAAACCAAACCAGGCAGGACTATGTCATAGAGGGTCTTCTCAAAACTTGCCTTCATCTCATTAATTGAATATAAGGTCATTGGATTATTTTCATCAGTGGAAAGTCCACCCTGAACCCTGTCCATCGAGCTTAAATTGGAAAACACAGAGTAGTATTTCATAACAATTATCAGGAGAGTAATCTTTACAAGCCTTATACAACTGAGTTTCAAAAAAGGTGGATAAGTAAAAAAAAAAATGTCTGGAGTGATAGTTATTATCTGTACTAGCAACTGCTTTAACCTGTTTTTATTCACAGTAATGCTAAAAAACGAATCACAAATGAGCTGATTTCTGTCCTTTCTTGTCTCTTCTTTTATTGTCTATAGAGAGAAAAAAAAAGTGGGATTCACATTATGAGGAAGGATGATAGATGAACTGTCTTAGAGTATTTTTTACAGCTTTGTGTCTCTCTGTGTCCCTCTGAACGGTGTTTCTATGTGACATCTATGTCATGATGTGGGGCATTATGGGGACCTAGACTAGTGCCAAAATGTCTGAACAGTATAGGCCTACAGGGAAAGGAGTGAATGTGATGGACTGACAGGATGAAAGTTGTAAATATTGGAAAAAAAATGAAATAAAATGAAATGAATCGAAGGCAGTTGAGAGATTATTTTGTTCAAAACCTTTAGAAAATAGCAGATCCTTTTTTCGTTCTTTGTTGTCCAAGGTTTGGACATCACTTTCTCATGACAGAAACAGCCTCTCCAGTTATTTATTTCCCCCATCTTTCTGTTTGCTTTGATGAGAATTTGAGGGGAAAATATCTCAACTAGTGTAAAACATGAAGAAAGCTGATCACAGCATGCTGTACATCAAATGGGCGAGATATGAGCCTCATGTTGGTTTAGTCTGAAGAACAGAAGAGAGTCACTTGAGAGCAAACCTCATTACTATTTGTATGTCCCGCTGTGCTGATGGTGCCTGAGGCCTCTCCGTGAGCTGCTGGGTTTGAAGGTGATTTATTAAAGGACAAGAATAAACCTCCCCTTTCTGCCTCTGTTTGAAAACACACTGTCCTTTAGAGGGGACACCCCTGTGTTTTAAACTTTACAGATATTTCACATTGAATTAAAACTATTTGCAGTGACAGAGCAAGACTATCTGACAGTCCTACATAGGGGGGTTATCTCCACCAGTCACAACAAATTTAACTTAAAATAAAAAGGAAACAAAAAATGTTTTATTTCTTGTATATAATATTAATTTTAAAAGGTTACTCAATAGAGTGACATTATTATCATACAATACTATGACATTTTGTTTTTATCATACTATACTTGACCAGGATTTGAACCCAGGACCTTCTTGCTGTGAGGTGACAATAATAACCATTAGACCGCTATGCCACCTTTGACATTAAAGATCCTTTAATTATACAGTTCTATGATTTTTTTTAACATACTGTACTGTGACATTTTTATCATACTATATTATGTTTTTTCATACTAAAACTTGAAATTTTATCGTACTATACTATGACATTTGTATCATACTATACTATGCCTTTTTTCATACTAAGATTTAACATTTTTATAATACTATACTATGACATTTTTATCACACTATATGACATTTTTTCACTAAAATTTGAAATTATTTTCAAGCAACACAATAACATTTTTTCACATGAAAATTTGAAATTAGTTTTTTTCATACTAAAACTTGAATTTTTTTTATCATACTATACAATGACAATTTTCCATACTAAAATTTGACATTTTTATCAAATTACACCATGACATTTTTATCATACTATACAATGACATTTTTTGAAATTTGAAATTATCATATTATACAATGAATTTTTTTTTTCAGACTTAAATTTGAAATATTTATCATGCTATACCATGACATTTTTTCTTACTCCAATGGGAAATTTTTGTCATACTATACTATGTCAGCCACAAGGTTCACTGTTTGGCAACCTTGTGGCTGCAAGACTGGGGCAGGAGCGAATAAAGACAAAGGATAGAAACATGGGGGAAAAGAAAGCTGGTTAAACTTACAAATACCCATTTTATGACCTTTACACGAAGCTATAACTTTATTTTTGCACATAAAGCACCAAATTCATGAATGTAAGTGACATTTAAAGACACAGCAAGCGTATCTTGGCACAGTTTTCAAACAGAAAGACAAGCCTAACTGGATCTGTTCAAGCACTAAGCAGCTAGAAATGCTAGTCTTTACCCTGTTAACAATTTTTATGCTAAGCTGTAGCTTGTTACCATTTAGCCAAAGTTTATATTTGTGTGAAATTGTTAAGCTACAGTTTCACATTTATACAAATATCATCAACATAATCTAATCAATTTAGCATAGGGCGCCACACACCGAAAGAGCAATAGTTCGGCTCTGTCTGAGCTTTCAATTGACCTTGAAAGTTTTGTTACATCAGGGGAAGGGGATGCTAATATCATTGCGTTCATGTGTTTTTGTTGATCAAAACCTGCCTGTTAAAATGACATTCATTTTTAACTGAATACAAAGATGCAGTTTTGTATTTGTTGAATAAATTTGAAGCTGTAGCTGCCCTTGCAAGACTAATAGCCTGGATCTCAGAGTATAAAGGTACCAGTAAGCATTGTTACTTTGAAAGAAAGGTTATGCTAGCTGTTACTGTGTTTGCGGTCTACATGTTGAGCTGTAGCCTGCTTCCTGTTGGCATAACTTTACATTTTTTATCACAATGTTACAGTTAAAACTTGTTAGCTAAGATCACTCAAAGCCCGAAATCGGGGAGGTCACTTGCTAAGCTCTGTCTGAACATTAGCTTTGGATATTGTGAACTGACATTGTTTAACTTACTCTTTGAGGAAAATCTTGCTACACTGCGATACTTTACAACATGTTGACATGTGAAAACAAATGAGACAGCAATTATTTTCTTTCACCACAAAATAAGAGATTATTCAGCCAGCATGGAGGTATGTCAAAAGATTACAGATGCTCCACAGAGGTCAATAAATCCTGCATAATTCAGCCATAAAGAGACACTGACCTGTTAAAAAACTGACACCTTCAAATCAAAATAATGAGAGACTGCTGCTGAATTATTCAACATGTCAGAACAGATTTGAGATATTAGCTGAATCCAGAGTTTAACAGTCGAATAAGCTTCTCCAAAATTAGATCACAGAAAATCACAGACATCACATGGGGAGGATTGAGAGGTCAGAGCTGAGCTGCTCCAATAAAATCCCTGAGACAAGACAGGAGTGTCTGTCAAATACAGCAAGTGAAGAGGGAGGAAGAGTGCTTAAATAGCAGATAGATGTGACTATAGGACAGAGAGGGAGGACAGGCGAGATAAAGCAGCTTTATTTCTTTGTCATGTTCAAGATAAAAGGTTTAGTTGTAATTTATGCCATGTCTGTAGAGTATGATTTGACACAAATAATGTTCATATTTTAGCTTTAAACAAATATATCATGTTTCTGAGACTTTTGAGATATGGCAGTATAAGCTGGTGTGGCTTCATGCTAATATTAGCAGTTGTCTGAGGGTAGCAAACAGGAAGTCAAATCAGTGTTCTGTGTCAAAACTGGAAGCAGAAAAATTCCGCCGGCTCATTTTTAACAGCAGCAAAATGAACGAGAAAAAAAAAATCACTTCCTCACAGAAGCTAAGTTTTGCCTCTCAGTCTGTCATCTTCAGTAAATAAAGCACGTGAGTGTCCCTGCTGAAGTGTGTTTGAGCTCATACTGTATTTTCATGCTGCTTTGCTTGAGGTAAGTTGAAATAAAGTATGTATTTGCTACTTTTATCCAGCAGAGGGCACTATAGGTCAATAAACAACAGAGAGGACTCTGCTAAAAGTCTTCAGGTTGGTGAAGTTGGAGGTCAGAGGTTGTATTGATGTCTAAAACGTATCAGAGAGTGAGGCAGGGAGCTCCTGCTTCTCTCTGTTGCAGGTTCACCTGACTCCAAACATTCCCACGTAATTTTTAAGCTTTCTGTTTGGAAACAACATCTAGACAAACATCTGATCTGTTTTCAGACTAATTGAAACATTTTTAACTAACTTTTCTGGGGCACTTTTGTTTGCTAAGTTCTCCTAAAATTCCCCTGTACTTGGTACTGCTATCTGAGTTGTTTACAGACAGGCTGATGGTGTGTTCAATTTGATCATGGAAGTCCAACACTCGATGGAGGACTTTCCTCTGAAGTCAGGATTTCTACTCAAAAACTTGGAGCAACTTCATGCAACCTGAGCTAGAAATCAAAGATGGTTGTCCCCCTGAACTAACTACAAACAGTTGTACTTTTGTTGATGTTTAATCACAACTGAGTTATTATCATAGACTGTATATAGAATGGAGTCTGCCTCCTCGTTGGGTGAAGCCACCCAAAGAACAGCACCCTCTGGTGACGGGCTGCAGTATAGGTCATAAATCCGGCCTCCTCCAGTAATCCCTATGGAGCTGCGGACAAACTTTAGAAATTTATTACACAGAATATAATTATTTTTCCCCACTGCTTGCGGTGTTGACATGTAGTTACTGTAATACTGGTTTGTGCTCAAGTCCTCTTTTTTCTGTGCAGCTCCATTTTTAAAAGTTATTAGGGGGTTCATGTTTTCTATGATTGACACTTTACACAGACTATGGGCGTACAAGGATTGCGTTAATATTGTGCAAGTCCTCTCTGTTGTCATGTTGCTTTTGCATGCAAAATTTTATGCAGTGCGTTATATTGTTAACAATGCCAATAACAATTGTGACAACTACAACTTTTTTGTTACATATTACTTGAAATGTAGTCAACTTCAGTGTGCTGTCATTCCCAGAAATCTGACTTCTGTGTCAAATGGACTGTCATCTAAATGCACCTCCCCCATTTTCATATTAAGGTCTATGATCAGTCTAGCATATCTAAGAATAAAGGGATATCTTGTGGCATAAAGCGGAGGAAACTGTCAGGTGATCTATAAGAAGCATTTAACTTGTTTTAAATGAACATTGAAGGACCAAACCGTAATGATCTATACTGCAGCCGGACACCAGAGGGAGCTCTGACTGTTTGAGCTTCACTTTCGATGCACCGTCACATCATCCACCATTCTATCCAGCCCTATGTGTGTGTATATGTGTGAAATATATGCGTGTTAAACTAGTGCGCATGTGTATGTCTGTGTGTGTTGTACCTCCGAGTGTGTGTGCAGGCTTACGTTAGAGTGTAATTGTGCATTTGTGCCTGTGTTCATGTGTGTGTGAGTGTGTTGGTGCTAATTTTGGATATTGCTGCAGGGAGAGAAAGTCTCAGGCGTGTGACAGAGCAACTGATCATTAGTCATTCTGCTCCACATACTGTAGAGAGAAGGAGGAAGAGGACGAAGAGGAAGAGGAGGGGGAGGGAGATGGAGAAGTTAGTTAGGGTGCTAAAGGTCTGCTGGTCTGTTCTGCACTCTGTGTTTTAAAGGTCATTACATGCTCTTTAGGTTAATCATAATCCTCTGCAGTGAACAAAAGATGATAACCTTACTTACTGTGTGTGTGTGTGTGTGTGTGTGTGTGTGTGTGTGTGTGTGTGTGTGTGTGTGTGCGTGTATGTTTGTGTGTGTGTATGTGTGACTTGAAAATCTTCTCTTTTTCTGATATATTTTCCACAGCAATTAGCTTGTGTTATTAAACAGTTGTAGTACCCAGAAAAGTGTGTTGTTGTTTTTTTGCACCTCAACATGTTTTCACAAAAACCTTTCTGAAGTTTTTCTGTCAGCTGATTTATAGAGTTTGGTTTTACTGTTGAATGTGCACCCTGTTGCCTCGACAGTCTTAGAACAGCATCCCAGCTATGTGACAGCATGCAGGCCCCTTCACCTTGGTTTACTGTCCTTTGGGCAGAGTGCCCGATCACTATGGACCCTCTTATCCAGCATTTGGATCTGTTGCTCTCTGAATGGATGACCTTGGCCTTTTCTCAGTCTATAATGGGACACATTACTTACTTTTACTACACAATTTACTTTTGCCACATCCATGGTTAACCATGAATGTGGGAAATAAATCTATAATATTTCTATGAATCTTCACTCACTGTTAACTATTACTTTAAGTCATCATTAGAATGTACACTCTTTGTACATAGAACATTTACCTTTGCACAGATACAACCTCTATTTTTACTAAGACTTGTGAAATTAAACTAAACACCACAATATACATGTCATGAAAATGATTTACAAAAGAATGCTTACAACACTTACACAACTAGAAATCATGTAAGAACATCGCAATTTTACCTTATGTACCTGAACTTAAAATTAAGTAAAAGATAAAGAGAAAGTTTTTCAGTCCCTGCTTAATAATGTACTCATACAGTATTTTATTTAAATCTGAACTGCGCCTGTGCAGAGCAAGTAGCTGCGGTGTCTCTAGCAGGTTTACAGCAGAGCGATAGCACCCTCTATAGGTGTAGAGCTGTATTACTATGTAAAATATGTTAACCGGGAAGTTAAAATAGTTTAAAACAGGGGTTGTCTGTTTGAATTGTAAACTTTACATGCAGTGTTTTTGACTTGCTACACATAATTTCCTGTTGTTGTTGTTGTTGTGTTGCTTTCAAATTTCATCCATATTTTTGTGAGAATTTTAAAGTTACATTTATCATGGATCGTGCATGGCTTATAATTTTTGATGAACAGAAACAAAGATCTTAACCCCACCTGTAGTTGCCCGAAATACTTTTATGATTTGAAGATCCCTGATTTAAGACACACCTATTTACGCTGTTTATCTTCTTTAATATAACTCAATGCAGATGACACATCAGAGCCGGCCCAAGGCATAAGCGAACTAAGCGAACTAAGCACCTGCTTAGGGCCTCGCAGCCAGTATGGGGCCCCCAAGAGCAATCAAAAAAAAAAAAAAAAATTCAAATATTTTTCATTTTTTGCATGTATGAGTGATGTTTTCTGTATGATCAAATATAAATGATTGTAAAAATGAAATACAGTAAAAATATTTTAGTGCTGCTGCTGATGTAGACCTATGATTCTTACTGCCAATATGTCAAAGCTCTGCTACCGTTATGTGCCTCCTGCTGTGAAATGTGCACTGAGCATCCTGAACGTGTTACACTTTGAGATTAAAAACCGTATGTGGCACCTTGAACATCATTCACCGGTCATTCATTGGTATTATTTATGTTACTACCTAGGTCACCTCCTTAAATGTGTAAAAACGTGTCAGGCGCATTAAATTTATACTGTAGTAGGTGTGTGAATGTTTAACAATCAATATTTTTGGCAGAAATAGAGGGCCTTGAAATCAAATTTTGCTTAGGGCCCCATTGAGGCTGTGTAACATTAACAAACACTATGACTATTACCAAAGTAAATCTTGTGCTCTGTTCTTATATTTTGGTATTTACTATATCAAGTCTTTTGACAGAAACTCTCTTTTTTGGACGCAGCGCTTTGGCTGTTTTTTAAGGAGATGCCTAAAATGTAGAAGTGTAAAATGTCTGAAACCAAACAGATCAAGACATTGCATCAAGCTTGTGCTTCTTTATGGTTCAGTTATGAGTGAAAGCAGACCTGATGAACACTGTCTGTGTTTTAAACCTCACTTTAAAGAGAAGTCAATCATTCATGTGAGGCAAAAGAGTAAAATACTCAGAAGAAATAAAAATGAGAGACGCAGAGAGACAGAGAGGACAGAATTCAACATGGAGGGGAGAAATGAGTGAGGCGATGGATGACGTTAGAGAAAAGAGGGAGAAAAATGAGGCATTTGATTGGACAGAGGAAGAGAAGGAGACATTTTGACATGAGACATAATGCAGAGAAACGTCTCATAAGTAGGATGGATAGAGGATGTAAAAACACTGCATCTGTAAAACAAGACATAAAAATGAAATATGACACATAACTTCCAGGCGGGGAGCGCTAGACTTCTCCTACAGGGGGCAGCCTGGAGCTGGAGGAGACATCACTCCTCTATTTGTGTTTACTCTTGTCAGTGTTTCCAAAGATGTCCAAAAGAGGGTCACATTTTGATTCTTAAGGCCACAGGACAGTTTTTACTTCACCTTAGTCCATCTTTAAGGAGCTCAGACTGAAACAATTTGCCAACAAGGTTTCATCTTTGCATGATCCAGTTTGAACCTGCATCTGCAAAGACCTGGATGTGAGCTCATCCAATAATTTCCACTGCAGAGTCTTTTTTTAACCCTAATTACATCCATCCAATGTCAGTTATCAGCCTTGTTCCTTCTGTGCAGGATTTCTCAAGGTTCTCTTTATCTTTAAAAACATCGTGTACTGTAAATGATAATGTCGTTCTTTGTCATTTCAAGCTTGAGAACATGATCCAAAACTACTTGCTGATGCAATCTCTCTGCAAGTGATGAACCACTTCCCATCTGCAGTCGTGTCGCTAACTTGTTGCGATTTGTTAAAGTTAGTAATTTTATTTTTGGCATTACTCGACTTTGTCACTGTTTTGTTGTCCCTGTACGCACTTTTATTCCATATTTCACAGTGCAACAACATTTTCAGTGTCAAAATATGATTGGTTGTTTTTGCACTTGTTTCAATCAGGTTAGTAAAATAGTGCTGTATGGACAGTTCTGTGTTTTAGCCTTTTCTACAAAAGTCAGATGATGTTTTATTTTCTTAGACTTCTTATTTTTGAAATATGAATACAAATGAATGTTGTCTTCTCCTAAATGACAGCACATGAGAGGTCAAACTCAAGACAGAAAGTCCTCCTTTATCTGTGAATAAAATAATTAGGGCAAAAAAAAAACAGTATCCTTTTGTTGTGTATCACTGGCGACTAGGCAGACTAGGAAAGATTTAAAGACCACATCACTCTCCTCCTCCTTTTCTTTTTGAAAGATGTCCCTCATTCTTTTTCACCAGAGCTGCAGTCTGTTGGCTGCATTCAGCTGTCAGGTATTCACTGAGCATCACCTCGTCTTCACAGCTACACTGGGATTTCACTCGCTCTGTCACTCCTGTCTAAATACCCACAACGACATCTGTGTGTGTTTGTGAGTGTGTGTGTGAGTGTGTGTGTGAGTGTGTGTGTGAAAGAGAAAAAGAGAGAGAGAGAGAAGTAAACATGTCTGAAATCCAAAGACTGTGATGTTTCATTCATTACGTTGTCAACATGAATAATAGATAGCTAATTGATATGCAGTACATCACACACACACACAAACGGGCACACACGCACACGTACACACACACGCGCGCGCGCACACACACACACACACTGGCTTCCATGTGGGATCACACTCTGAACTAATATTTGTAAGCCTCAGCTGTCATTTCACATTCAGATTTATCACAAGAGGAAGAAGAACAAGAGACACAGTGATAGGAGAGAGAGTGATCAAACACTTAAAAACACAGTACACACACACACACACACACACACACACGCTAGTCCACATACTATACACCTCTGTCACTCAGACACTTTTTCACGGAGTAGAAAACCGTAAACTCCTGTTGCGTCTTTGCCGTTCTTTCAGGTTTCTGAGAGGAATCTTCTGAAAGCTAAGTCTGTAATGGCACAAACACCTACCCACAGCAGGGGGAGGATGTCTAATCCAGGAGAAACCAGGTCAACAGCCCTTTCAACAACTTCCACCTGACTCCCACCGCTATCAACATACTTCAGGACAAGAGTTGAAACATGTTCAAGGACTTCATCCAAGTCCGGCCACAATTTCTGATTAAGCTTTGAAGTACCATGACCTGCATGACTGAGAACCTTCACAGGTGTCACTCAGCTCTGGGTTACACTCTGACCATGGCTGCATTTACTGCGTTTTGTGCACAGACTCACAGGGTCATGCATTGGAGCATGCATAGCTAAGAAAAAACGACTTCCTTTCCGAGGGTCGAATACTTAACACAGCCATGCCTTTAGACTTGACTGCAAGATTTTATGAGTTTTTCATCGTTCAGGTGTCTTCTATCTGTAAACCTGCATGTAAGTAGATCAGATGAATACTGTAGAAGAAACTTACCAAAAGTCCCATGAAAACAGCCTAAAAAAAGCTGATTTCTGCCTGTTTTTTGCATAATACCCAACTTCTTGTCTACATTTCACCATAGTTAGAATTTACATAACTGTAAAGTTTCATGAGTTTTTGGCATGTTCAGGGCTGAAAAAAAAGACTGATTGAAAAAAATAATAAACTGTCTTGGGATCTGAGTAGAGTCCTCACCCTCCAGTGCCAAGGGGCTGAATAAAGCTTCAAGCAGCACTGAGCGAAGGTTTGAACTTGAGTGGTTTGGGTTAGGGCCTGAGAGCGGGCTAGGCAATCAGTTTTCAAAATATTCAAAGGTTGGGTTTAGATCTAAAGATTTACAGAGAGTGAGGATTAAGAATAAAAAGTTCAGGGACCATTAGGAATAGGTTGAAGGGGGCTAGGTTTGGGGTGGGATGGGGGGAGTTTTAGGCCAGGGCTAGTCTTGTGCTTGTGGTCAGAGTCATGTTAGGCTTACCCCGGATTTCCACCGTATCTGGAACGGCTCCGATCCAGAACAGCAGCGATTTTCGCCATCTGCCAATTCCTACCAGATTCGTTTGTGAGGTGAATTTCGTGGTGGTGGATTACAGACGGCGGTAATCACGAGAACTCACAAGAACCTGTGGATTCACATGCAATCGTGCGATAACAAGTTGTCTCTATAAAGACAGCTACATAGGTTTACCATATAAGCAGTAGATTGTGTCCTTCCAGAGGGAGGAAATCTACTTCTAAACTTATAAAATCAGCATCTCATCCATGGTGTCTTTGGGATGAAATGCTGTCTAAAAACGTTTCACTCGTCCCCGCCTGTTTGCGTAGTGTGAAATATGATCCGCCTGAAACACGGAGTGTTTTATTTTGAAAGGAGGTGGATGTTTTATTTTGTGTCTGTGCTCGACTTCCTTGTCAGCACAGGTTAATCTAACCTGTGAATTAATCTGGCATCCTCCGACGTCCGGAAAAATCAGCTGTGGAGTCCGGTGATCTGCAGCGGAATGGAAAGAAACCGGTGGAAATTGACACAGTAACTTGAATGGTTACCATCAACTGCTATCGGCGGATACGGCCTTTTCGTAGCCAATCTGGATGTGGGCAAGGGTTAAAAGGAGCTTAGAGAGAGTGTTTGCATAAAGACTAGGTCCAGGCTCAGGGTTAGGGTTGTCTAGAAAATCACCAAAAAAAGGATCAAGTTTGTCATCTACCCAAACTACTGGTTTTTTTTTTTCTGTTGGATTCAAGGTATGGTTTGCTTGTCTTGTTCTCTTCATTCTTTAGGAGTTTGATTCTGCTGAACTCTGGCAGTGAAATGAAAAGTTTACACTGAATATTTTAAGAGCAAATTGTAGAAACAGGTCTGTTTCTTTGGCGGCTCGACTGACACCTACCCTCTCACATCAGTTTCCAAGCATTAAAAATTAGGGTGTAGAAATCTGTGATCTTGTTGCTGATGGTATTCTCCAATTGTTGTTATACAAAGGCAGCAATATAAAAAGGCAGACTGTTTCTTTAGGTTAAAAAAACTCATTATAGGAGCTTTAAGCTGCTTTAAGACTCTGAAAGAAGAGCAGAGTTGATCTGACTGAGCTGAAAAACAATCACACTCGCCAAAAACATGTTTCAGCTCAATGTTTCTCTGCAAGGAGATAACTGCAACAAACACAAGTAAGAAAATGTAAAAGAAACAGCTTTAAAATGATAGAGTAAGAAAGAAAGAAAGAAGAAAGAGTTAAAGCAGAAGTAAATTCAGAAAACTCTCTCTCTCTCTTTTCTGTGACAAAGAGCCGAAGGACAAACTCACAGAGTCTGAGAGCAGACTGAATAACAACGCTTTCAAACTGTTTGTGCTCAGCCTGCATCTGAACGCCCCCTCACTTAGATACCTGTCTCCTGGGAAACCGGTGCGCACACACACACACACGCACTGGAAAGCTAAGGAGCAAAAAAAAGAGAAAGAGATGTGGGGCAATTCAACTGTATTGAGTTGAAACAGACACAGACACACACACAACTACACACACATATACACACAGAGCTCAGCCTCCTCTCTGCAATGTAGCCTAAGCCAATGAAAAGCCTCTGGTAGTGTGATGCTGGCCAATCAGAACGCAGCATGCAGACACTCCCACAGGAGGGTGTGTAAAGTACTGCTGAGGTAGGATGGAGAGTGAGGGAGTGTGTAAGGATGTGTGGAGTGCTTTCTGCGTGGGTGTGCATATGTGTGTGTTTGTGCGTTTGTATATGTGTGTGTGGGGGGACTCCCAGCAGGTTCTGATGTTATGCTGATGTTGGTCCTTTGGGGGGAACAGAGGCGGCCGAAGTCCTGACTGCTGCTCTCACCATGAAACAAGAAAACACACACACACACACACACACACAAATAGGCAGTTCATGTCAGCAAAGATTTAATTACACTTGCACACACAGGAATTCAAAAGCCACACACGCACACACACACACACACACAGACACACACACACCTCTGGCAGCTCTGTGAGGGCAGAGTGGTGAACGGTCAGCGGTGGAAAATGTGTCTCCTGTGGTCAGCAGAGGAAGCTGAACTTTCCTCCATTTTACCATGAGCAGCAGCTTCATTACTGAGCTGCCAAAATGGAGGCCTGATGGAGTCCACTGCTGATTAAAGGGGCAGTCCACACAAACTGATCCCAGTTGTTTGAAAAGACAGGACAGTGGACATACCAGGGAACAGGTAGAGCGAGTAGGGGACACCATGCAGGAAAGGAGCCACAGGTCACAGTAGGTGTGTTCCTGCTCTCTTCATTGATAGTAACACAGCTGTACTTGTAACAGTGCTCATCAGTAATCCAGCCTTGTCCTGTAGCTAAATCAATCAGTCTAAAAGTCTACTGCAGGATCTAATTGTGCAACAGCAGAAGAAAGAGAAGTGAAACAACTGAGGGATTACACCTCAGTTACTTTTGACAGCTTTTGCTTGAACCACAAACAAGGAATTTCTCCCACTGGCTGCTTATATGTGATGCTCACAATAAAACACTCCAGTATCAATGTACATGTGCAGTGATATCCTAAAACTAGTTTCATATCTGATTTTTAAGGAATATTCCAGCGTCAAATTAATTTAGGGTCAAACACACCATAACACTGAGTTAGACACCCCGTCGAGAGATAAATGTTGCCGACCACTTGCATCTCTAGATATACCAACTTTAGTAACGACTGCAGATAGCAGTACAGAGAGCCACGTGCTCAACCAAAACGCCACTCTATAGCCACAAATAATGCTCAGAACAGCACCTAACTTCATCTACAGTACATACAAGGTCCTAGCCATAGTGCTAGCTACCAAACATCTTTTTAACTTTGCCTGATTTCTTTAGCAAAGAGACTAAACACAACTCACCCTCTCTCTTCCAGCAGCCACTTGTTTGTACAGAGACCTCTGGGTGAGTCCACTGACTGCAGCAGGGGGACGCAGCTCAAGGAAGAACATTTATGACCATTTCCTTGTGGAAATGCAATCAGACTGAGACACTAAGGCAGAAGAACTACAGCGTCTGCAGTGCAAAATGATTAATATGATTATTACTTCAAGGAAATGATAAAGTAATGATCATAAATGTTCTTCCTTGATCTGCGTCTCCCCACTGCAGTCGATGGACCGCGTACAAACAAGCGGCTACTGGAAGAGAGTAGGTGAGTTGTGTGAAACAAGAAATCAGGCAAAGTTAAAAAGATGTTTGGTGGCTAGTACTGTGACTGGGACCCTATATGTACTGTTAATGAAGTTAGGTGCTGTTCTGAGCATTATTTGTGGCTATAGAGTGGCGTTTTGGTTAAGCTCGTCACTCTCTGTATTGCTATTATGCAGACGTCACTGAAGTTGGTATAACTAGAGTAGCAAGCGGTCGGCAACATTCATTTCTCGAGGGGGTGTCTAACTCGGTGTTACGGTGTGTTTGACCCTAAATTAATTTTACGCCGGAATATCCCTTTAAGGTACTCTCAGAAATGCATGAGTGTTATCAATCCTTCATTAAATTTGAAAAAAGGCAGTAAATCACAGTTTTTCTCTACCTGCCAGGAGTTTTGTGAGGACTTTAACTTTAAAATGACAGTTTTTCTAAATGAATAAGAAATGAGAGGCTTGTTTTCATATTGAAGACTCAGAACACCAGGATACAGTTTTATGTGTTTATTGATTGACTATAAAATATTGAGTTACTAAAACAATTGAAAAGAAACACTGATAAACGTGGTTACTGTCTGTAAAAAAAGGAAAAAACAGTTCCTTACACATATAGTTTATGTTGACAGAATATATCTGTGTCAGATTTCTCTCTAAAATGTTTCCTTTTTGCATTTTTACAAGATTCGACATGTGTACAAAGTATATTCTGATAGCTTTTTCTCCCCTCGACAGTGAAGGATCATTTACAAAACTTAGATGATTTTTTTATTTTCATTTTCAAAATAATCTATTTTTTTTCTTAAATCTGTAACAGGACGATAACGATACTGAAGGAACAGCAGACGAAGAACCAGCCTCCAGTCCACCTCTCTCTCTTTCTCTCTACCATTCTCTCTTATGCTCGCTCTCCCATTTCTCTCTCTCTCTCTTTCTAGCAGCTAGCTCCAAGTGCCCGTCAGCGGTATTGCTTTAGAGGCGTGGACGATTGTTCAGAGAGGGGAAGCAAGGGAATAATAAAAAAAAAAAATGACTGAAACATGCAAAAAAAATTACAGATTTAAAGAATAAATCACAGCAAGAACAAACGTTTAAAAGGCGAGCAAAAGTACAACAAACAGTGATAAAAAAATATAAAAAATCATATGACCACAAATGAAAAATGAAGGCGCAGAGGGCGATTCGTGTTGGCGTGTTGGACCCTGTTTGAAGGCCTAAGGCTGGGCTTTGGATGGACAGAGGGGCTAATAGAGATTGGAAGGCAAAAACACACACCTGTATGGGTTACAAAAGTGTGTCAATGTGTCTCTGTGTGTGTGTGTGGTCTTATTAATTTCCCTCTTTCACACACACACACACTGAAAAAAGTGCTTTAGCAGCTTAAGGGGAAAATGAACATTCAGAACGGGTAGTTTTTTCAAACGTGTGGACAACCATTGTACCCATCACAGATCGATCTTCTCAGCTGACTGTCACACAAAACTTAACTGAGAGTGAGGCAGCAGCTTGAGCAGCAGGCGGGGGGTTTAGCAGATAAATATTACCCTTCAAACCGGTGAGTAATCTCAGAGAAACAACACTCTGTACCTGGTTAAACCTCTTTCAATAGACTAGCAGCTTTCATTAAACTTTCTGAACTGGGTTTCCTCTGTAGTCTGGACTTGATCTAAGGGGTTGCTAAAACATTGCCCCACATACCGATATTTTACATCTTCATTTTTAAAACTTGGGATGTAACGATACACTTCAGTAACCAGATGATAAGATAATATGATACCATGGGATTTTAAGCAGTCTGAGTAAGCTGATAAATATTCAAGCTTTAAAGAGGATAGTATCTCTTATGCTTTTCTTTTGTCTTTTTACTGCCATGTGCCGAGATTACTTTATTTCCTGTTCAAATATCTGACATACCTTTATTTCCAAAGGCCGATAGGAGTATCCATTTCAATTTCCATCTTTTACATAGATTGTTTTAACCTATCTGAGGTACCGTTACATCCCGAATACAAACATGAACACCACAGGCTGTCCTCTGTGTGTGAAGCAGCCGTTTCAGAGTGAATTAAAATCTGATATGTTCTTCAATAAAACCATTAATCCAGACAAGAGTAGAAAAGACTAAAACTATTGAATATCAACAAGACAATCCAAAATCTCTGCAGCAATCAGAGAGAGGGAATCAACGTGATCAATGATGTACAGTACCCCTTTACTGTACGAACATACGGATACAATCTCTACATGTCAGAGTGTAGCTGAGTGAGTTAAGAGCTCAGGAACGGGGATTCAAACTACCAATGATAATGTCAGCAGGCTGGAGAAAATATGGATCTGATTATATATGGTGTTTTAGAGGGAGGGGGCGGGGCATAAGCCAGATTTGGCAAATCTTAATCATCATTATCATCATCATAAGGCCTTGGAGAGAGTAAGGCCGCCCAAATGCTCACAAACCCTGAGCAGGACATTCAAAAGTTTCACCCTTTAGTAACGGATCAAACGAGGCACATAGAAAAAATCTATAAGCAGCTAAGAGAGGAGAAAATGAAGTGTAAACAGGAAGGTGTGTTTGTCTATCTGCGTTAGATTGAAAAACAAATGGGCGCCATGCAGAGGGGACGGGGGAGGAGGGCTCATGAATACTCGAGGAAGACGTTCAAAATCCCCAACCGCAGTCTCTCCTCTGCGGTTCAAAGTGCACTCATGTCAAAGCTGATTGTTAACGGGGGCAAAACCTGGACATGATGTTTGAAATAAGAGCTGAAGCAAAAGAAAAAACATCGAACACAGGACGTTTAAAGGTTGAAAACACTGCAGTGCTTCATGAAAGCCAAATGAGTGTTAAAAAGTGAGATGATCTGATCAGTGCTGGCACACCATACTGAGGATCAGTGCCATAACCTTGGACAGACTGCACTGTTTAAAACCTTTAAAAAATTAAAGGAGAAATCCACCCTGCAGAGCTTCTGCCACCTGAAAAAGTTTTCTCGTCTCTTTTTCCCCCTTTTAAAAATCGTGTCCTACATTTCCCAGGATGCTTCCCAACACTTTTACAAACAAAACCCTGTGCCACTGCTTTTCAAAGGTTTATTTCTCCTTATTTACTGCAGCAGCTTTTTGTTTTTACAGTGTTATAGTGTTTTTTTTTAAGGATGGATTTGCCTTTAAGACAAAACTCAGGGATGGAAATAGGAAGTGCTTTAAGTAGTACAAGATTCCTTCCTCTCTCTTTAAGCCTGAGTCTCTGAGGGGGTTAGAAGTTCGAGTAGCGGACACTTTTTCCTGCACAAGTTCAAAGGATTGTCGAGGGAGTCTGAAGGGTTAAATTTAAGTGTTTTTTCTCTTTTTAAGTTAAGTGCTTTCTGTTGGAGGGAGTCTCCACCTCGTTTTCTTTCTGTGCGTCTCTTTTATTTTTCTCTCTTTCCTCCTGTTGTCTGTCGCTCCTGCTGTTCTGTAGATACATTTATAAGACTGTCACATGACTAACATCACCATAGCAACATCATAATCACAACGTCACATGACTGGCGTGCATGTCTGTCTGTCTATCATCCGGAAACGGACGGAAACGTGCGTCTGTCTCTCTCCATCTCTCTCCTGTTTCTTCTTTCACAGTTCATTAAAGCTTCTCGGCTGTTTTAGAAAAAAGTACTCTGACATAAATCTATGACATGAAAATAAAACACTCAAGTTTCCTCTAGATAACTGTGTGTGTGTGTGTGTCTGTGTGCGTGCGGTACATGGAGGTGTGTATTTACATGTGTCTGTGCAGGTGTGTCAGTGAGTTAACGAAGGGTTTATTAACAGATTCGAGGAAACTGAAGAGCTCCTGTGCGCTCTCAAGTTTTTTCCTCCATGAACACAACGACCACAGAGTGTGTTTGTGGAGTTTGTGTGTGTGTGCAAAGGTTTCAGGAGTCGTGTTGTAATACTGTCTGTAGACTCTCTTGTCTCTTACAGTCTGAAGTGTGGCATGGTGTCAGGAGCGGGTTAGTTTTTTTTAAGCTGTGAAATATCCCTCATGAAAGTAGATCCCAGTCCGATTTCAGGTCAAGGTTTGGTAACTGGGTCCTGTGTTTTAATCAGCAGATGACCGGGACCCCGTCAGTGTTGAAGATCATGCCTGTGGTGGGTTCGTAAGTGCCAGCCAGGTAATAAAGGTCCTCGCTGTCGGCGTAGCGGCGTGTGTGTGTCATCTGCTCGTACTCCTCCACGCTGACCACCAGGCACTTGTGGCTGACCGTCTGCACGTCGTTCTCGTCACTGTGGGACGACTGGTACAGGGCCCGCTGTGACAGACAGACAGAAGAGTTTCCTCTGAATCTGTGAATCCATTACCACACTGAACACCTGCTTACTATCCGAACAACAATGAAGCACATTCTCTGTTGATCCAAAAACCTGACTTGACTTAGTTAACCAGAATTAGAGGAGTGATCTCTTAACTACAGACAAAACGCTGTATAAAAAAATTGAAGGGTGAAAGTAAATACAAAACTTTGAGAATTCCCGTCTTAAGACCAAACTCTTCTCCTACACCCAGTAGGAGGTTGACTTTATTCATTTTATTTTATTTATTGTATTTGTTTTTTTATTTGATTTTACAGTGTTTTATCTCATTTTATTTTTACCTTATCTACTGTGCTTCCGTTGTGTTATTTACTGTATTTTTTTATCTTGCTGTGCAGCACTTTGGAAACTTTGCGTTTGCTTCAATTGGCTATATAAATAAAATGGATTGGATTGGAATTTTTTATTCTTCGAGGATTCTCCCTCAGTGCTAATTTTGTAGTTTACATTAGCTTATATTTATCTGCATGGACAGCAGACTATGTCACGTGTGGTGCAGTACATAGATAAGTTCAGAGAAACATGGTGGACCGCAGGAAGCAACTGAGAGTTTGACTATACTTTGATGACATGGCAAGAGGGGAAGTGTCCATTATTATAAATTCAAGTATTTACTTCAACACAACTTGAATGTGAGAGAAAGCATCTATAAAATTCTGGACTTGGACTAAACTGCGTTCCAGATTTACTCGGAAGTCAGAATTTTCGAGCTCCGAATCGGAAATTCATGTGGAACGCCCCCCTGAAGTCAGATTTTAAACTCGGAAAGTCGGACGATCCTCGCCAACCCTGACTTGTTGTCAACGTCATAATTCAAAATGGAAGGGCAGTGCATCAAGAGTAAAGAGTAACAGTGAAAGCTCTTGTAATGTATTATTTATTAGCACTTCTGCTTTGTTTTTGTGAAATTAAATAAGTGGTATATGTTGTACTGTCCAACGTCGAACTGTGAACACGGTTCTATTGTGTTTGTGAGAGTAAAATGTTGTTTACAACTGGTATAGCTAACAACAACTAACAACCACTGACAACGGCTAACAACAACTGGCAGCGGCTAACGACAGCTGACAATTGTTAACAACAGCTAACAACGGGTAACTGAAGGCGTCCATCTTGGTTTACCGACTTGTTAAATGGAACGCCAATGGAACGAGCTGGGAATGACATTACACCCGAGTTATAACGCCAACTCGGGTGTAACGTCTTTCCCAGCTCCAACTTCTGACTACCGACGTAACTGGAACGCAGCATTAAGTACTGATACAAACAGGATTCTCTTAGCTGGAGTTGAAAACAAACCAAACTTGATGCTGATGAGAAACTAAAATATGTTTGTCCTTGAGTCGTAGTTCGTTGTGATCATCAGCAGGTTTCAAGCTGAAAAACTTTGATGAATATAGACAAAATTTCTCTTTCCTTACTTCCATGAAGTCTTTCCTCTGGATGGCAGAGTGCAGAGCTGCTGGGAGAGACTGACCACACATCTGATCCCAGTTCTGAAGAAGAAGAAGAAGAAGAAAGTTTCACTAAAAACCCTCGACCAATCATACAAAGAAAATCGATTTGTGTTTCTTTAATTTGATGCAAATACATAAATCATGCATCCATTACTCCATACAGCCATTATGGAGCTTTAAATGATTAATCGTACGGCTGGACCTGAATGTGGGAGTCGCACATATCTTATGAAATAGACCGTCAGCTAAAGCGTGTTCCCAGACCCCGCTCCAGAGCTCCTACCTTCTTGTCGGTTAGTTTCTTGCCGGGGTTCGTCTCCTCTGGATGATAGAACCAGTTGACCCTGACCACCATGTTGCTGCCCCACGACTCCCACATGCTCTGGATGCGACCAATGAAGGGCAGGTTGGGCCGGCCGGCGGAGAGGAACACGGCGCAGTCACCGATCCGGATCATCTCTCTGCCCCGGACGATGGCTTTGTAGAAGAGCTTCTTAGCTTTTCCTTTCATACCTCGTCTCTGAAGGAGCAGAGGAGGATCAGCACAGAGTCAACACTGAGGCTTACTTCAAAAAAACAAAATTATGACATTTGGAGAAACCAGGAGAAAGATCTTCGTTTCTCTCACCTGTGTCGGTTTCCCAAACCACTTCCAGAGCTGTCTTGCTGGAAGGAAAGCAGAGATTTTGGGTCGGTTTTCCACGCTGGGGAGCCTCTGACGTTTGGCCAGCTCCTTGGTGGTGGGGAGGTGGACCCCCTCCCTGCGCTTTGGTCTCCCCACCTTCCCCTCTCCTCCGCTGGGCTTGGGTTTGGGAGGACGCCCCCTCTGTCCGGAGCCCTTCCCTGTGGCCAGTTTGGCAGGTTTAGGTGGAGCAGGAGCAGCAGGAGTCGGAGAGGAGGATGGAGAGGGAGATCTTGAGGGAGGAGAGAGTTCTTCTTCTTCTTCTACTTTCAACTCCACCTCCTTCTTTACCTCTGCCTCTTTTTCCTCTTCCTCCTCTTCCTCTTCCTCCTCCTCCTCTTTTGATTCCTCTTTAGGTTTCTCCTGCACTGGAGGCGGGGAGGCTGGAGGAGGTGGAGGCGTAGGAGTCCTCTCTTCATCTGAGCTGCAGGAGGAGTCATCAGTGGAGGATGACGATGAAGATGAGGACGATGAAGAAGAGGAGGAGGACCCAGAGCAAGAGGAAGAGGAGGAGGAGCAGCTTGATGTGCACTTCTTCTTTTTCTTCATCTTCCCTTTCTCTCCCTCCTCCTCAGACTCTGAGCTGCTGCTGCTCTGAGACTCCTCCTTCATCTTCCTCTCCGGTTGTTTCCTCTCCTCTTTCTTCCCTTTCTCCTCTCTCGCCTCGACTTCCTGTCCTCTTCCTGCAACGCCACGGGTCTCAGCCTTCTCCTTCGCCAGAATCGGCGTTTTGTAGGCTGGGTCCTTCTCTGGCGGAACAGCCTCTCTCTCTGGAGCTCTGGGTTTAGTCTTCAGCAGCTTCTGATTGGCTGTGCTGAGGGGGGTGTGGTCTCGCCTGACCCCCCGCCCCTCCAGCAGCATCAGAGCCTTGGTTTTCTTGGTTTTTGGGGAGGTTACACCTTCATGGTCGAGCTTGACAAGGGGCTCTGCAGATTTGCGCCTCACTATAGAGCTCACGTCGCTCTGACCTGAGCTGGGTTTAGGTCTGGAGACGGAGGACAGCTGTTCTGACGGAGCCTTCATTTTGGGTCTTGGGGCGGATGATGATGATGATGATGATGATAAAGACGATGATGATAAAGACGACGATGAAGGTCTGGGGGTCAAGGAAGAGCCAGGTTTACCTGTGGAGAGCCGGGACATGGGGCTGAGTCCAGAGCTGAGGCTGGGTCTGGAGCTGCTGTGGTGGTCTGAAGAGGGTTTAGTTTTGGATGCAGAGGAAGGTCTGGATAAAGATCCAGGTTTGGGTGCAGACGAGGATGATGTCACTAGACTGGGTCTGGACATGGACTTGTTGGTGGTGGGGCTGACACTGCTGGAACTCTCTCTGCGCTGGTTGTTGTAAGTGCTCAGGTTGGGCTCGCTGTACAGATCCACGGTCAGGACTTTCCCGTAGGTGTTGGGGTAGAGGGACGGAGGGAGAGAGCGGGCGGCTTTAGGGGCAGGAGACTGGGACGAGCTGGATTTCCTGGGCATGAGGCCAGGAAGACTCGGTGTACTTGTTGGTGAGGTGGTGGAGCTGGTCCGGCTCGGTTTCGCCTGCTGCATCGTCGGGCGGGAGGCGGGACGAGGCTTCTCATGAGCTGCTTTCTGGACGGAGGAGGGTTTGGATGGAGCTGGAGGTCTGTCGGTAAGCTGGCTGGAGCAGGATGAGGGCTCGGATTTCTCACGGCCGTCTTGATTCATGGAGGTCTCTGAAAATAAAAGAAAACACCCACAGAAAAAGAAGTCAAAAACCTGATACTCAAAACCAGGATGTGTGTCCTCTGGATGTGCTGATGTTTTCACTGAGCGGCTGCTTGATTTTTGTGGTTTGTGGACGAATCAGCGAGGCGAAACTTCTGAAGGGAAAAGAGCTGACTGCATCGAAACAAAGCCAGCGTCTTTACTGGGCCATAAATCACAGCTACAGTAATCAACTCTGAGTTACAACAGCAAAACTGTTTGATGAAACGTGGCAGCCGTGCTCCTATATGAGAGATCTGATGACAGAGCCGTCCACACCAGGAGCTATTTTAGTTCTCTTGTTTTAAAAAAGACAAAAGGGTCATCAAAACATGAATCATGACAAAAGTATAGATATTTTTTTATGTTTCACTCTCAGCTTTATGTGAGAAAAAAGCTCCAGAAACAACTACATGCCACTACTTTCTATTATTACTAACAATCAGAATTACATTAAGTCCAGTTTGAGAAGATAACCCTTCAACATGAGTCTCCTCCTGCTCCAGGTTTCAGTCTGATAGTAAAGATAGTTTTTTTTCTGAAATATGAGTATTTACTGATCATAAAACAGTCAAATCTTCAGTTTCCATGTTGACATGTTTAGTGTTGGTAAAGGATCAAAATCTGTTTTGTAAACATGTAACACTATGTCCTGTCTCTGATGGATCTGGAGATGTAACACAGAGTTCGGTCCACACCTGCTCTTTTTGTAAAATAAGCTTTTAGTGATCAAACAGCTGCCTTAACAGTAGTTGGTTGTTTCATTTAAACTCGTTAATTCTTGCAGCTGTTTCACAAAGACATTATGTAGATGGACGGGCAGCTCGTTGTTTCAGCGATAAAACACTGACTGACAGGTTTGTCTCAGAGTGGCTCACCTGGTTTGGGTTTGGGTTTGCGTCCAGGTTTCCCTTTAATCTTAGGAGCGCTCTCCTCCGGCTTTTTCCCCGCCTCTTTGCCCTCTTTGCTGCATTTTCGGACTCTCCTCCGGGAGCAGCTGGCCACCAGCAGAGCAGGAGACGGCTCAGCGCCTGCACACGGGCAAAGAGACACCAAGATTTAAAGTTTACCTGAAGAATTCAGCCTCACAGACTCACATGTTTTCATTTGGATTTTAGGAAACCTCAGATGTTCAAGTTTGTAAACAAAAATAAAGCCGTGTCCTCATCTGTTACCGTAAACCTCTCAGATCAGCCAAGATGATGGACTGTTTCCCCCTCTGTTATACCTGATTGAATGTTTGCTCTCTGCTCTGTTCATAGAAAACTCGGCAGTTCGAGGCACATTGATTGAAAAAGAAAAATCTTTATAAAAGCTTCTGAAGGCAGAAATTAAACAAAGCTCCCACAGATGAAGAAATGAAATATAACACACTGCTCTGAGCACAGAAATCAATAAATACTTCTGTGTTCGTAAACAGTGTTGTTGGTTCCTCTTTCATCACTGAGTTCACTAAGGACAGATGAAACCAGCCATGAAAACATAAACTACACATGCTTGGTCATCTCCACACTGACTTATAATGTGACTATTATGCTTGTATTTTAACATTATCTTATTTTATTGAACTTTTCTGTTTTTCCCTTAACTTGAATTTTCAATGGCTTATTTTGATCATTTTGAAGCTCCCATGAGAAGTTTCTATAATTTCTGAAATTGATACTGATGTTTTTTCATGATAAACAAAAGCAAACAAGACCACCAGCAACATTCACAGTTTTTAATTGTTATTCTTAAAAGTGTATCAGCAACTCAAGAGCCCTGTTTTACAGTTTCCACAATAATACTCTCACTAAATGATTGATATGACTGTCAAAAGTCATCAGGGTGAGATCTTTCATGACAAGACATAAAGCGAAAATTCCTCACAGGAGGTTTAACCGTTTTATTCAAATATATTCTGCTTGGTTTGTCAACTTGGTTTCATGTCCTTTGTGAAGCACTGTGAATTGCTCTTTTGTGAAGACATGCTGAAGAAATCATAAACTCAAAGACATGACATTTACACAAGTGTGAACAAGCGGGAGCCTCCCTCACACACAGTTTTACACCATCTATGAAGATGACACATCTACATGTATTTCTGCAAATGAGTGTGACAGGATAGCTTGAACTGAGAGGAAAAGAGAACAGCCTGTGGGGTGTGAGTGTGACTGATGCTGCTTTTACTTAAACGTGTGTGAATGTGTGTTTGTGCGTGCGTGCGCTCACAGTGGATCTTGTAGTCCGGCGGCAGCAGTCTGATGTGTGAGAGGGGGATGCGTCCTGTGTCACCATCATCAAACTCCACCGTGATGAGGTCGTCTTTCTCATCGATATCTGAACTTCCTGTTTCAAGAAAATAAAAAAAAAGCGGATAAACAAATTAAGTTCCTTTTTGACATAAAAAGACTTGTGGTTGTCATGGATATGTTTTATTTACTGTCACTCAAGCAGAATCACTTTCAAGACTTTCACAGACTCAAAGTTTAGCAGGATCCAGCAGAGTCAGACTCACATCACATCATTCCCTTACTAACCCACAGGACTCTCATGTTCCCCTGACCAAAGAATGTTCAGTTTTACCAGAGCTGGACAGTAAATGTAGATGTTCCTGAAACACTGTTTCTTGGTGTTTTAGAAACATCTCCTTCGGTTGGCTACACTATTTCACAGGATAAAGAAATGTTTATCAACACGAAGCAGCAGCTCAGCTCAGAGACTTCTAAACCAAGCAAAAAGGCTTTGGAGAAACCCTTACTTTAGGTTAAAATGTGTTAAAATTCAAGCTCTTTGTTGGGGCCTAAAATCAAGATGGGAACTTGGCAACTAGCTAGCAGCAGCTCAGCTAGCAGCCCCTTCTATTATCTATAAGAAGAGCATAACAAAAGATTGTTTATAACATAAAAAGTGCTCTATTTACATTGTTTTTACTGGTTTAAAACAGCCAGAGATCACCACTTCAACTCAAGTTGGCAACTAGCTAACTAGCTAACAGCAGCTCAGCTTGTAGCCCCTCCTGACACCCACAAAAGAGCATTAAAGGGACATTAAAGTGCTTTATTTGGATTCCTTCACAGGTCTTAATCAGGCTGAGATTTAAACCTGATATCAAGTTCATTACTTTCTAGCTAACAGCAGCTCAGCTAGCAGCCCCCCTGACACCTATAAAACAGTATTGAATAAGCGTTTGTTTTAACATGAAATCTCCCTACTAAACTAGTCTTACTGATTCTGGATGAAGGTCTGTGTGATACCACCTCACACCTAAAGTCCTGTCAGTGCACAGACCTGATTCTCACATTTGATGGCTGTAAAACCTGTAAAAACTGAGAAAGGTCCAGTAAGAACCATCCTGCTGCCTTGCATGCTTCAGCAGCAGCAGTTCTGTTAACGCTTCTCACATTTGTTTGTTAATTAAAAGTGTATTAGAGGGGATTATGAATCACACGGTTTTAGAGGTGGGTGTGTGTCTGTGTGCTGTTGTTGTACCATTGACAACAGTGCCGGGGTAGAGGCAACGGTACTGCTGGCTCCAGTAGGCAGCGATGCGGGTGCCCTCTGGGAGGTAGCGCACGGACGGAGGCTTCACATCGATGATCTGCACACAAAACAAAGGACTTTTATTTGTCAACACAACAATGCAGCCTCTATCTCCATGCACAGGCAAACATGTTTTCGCAGGACAGAGTCTGGATGTTTTGGTTGTTAGCTTATACTCTCACATCTGACGTCTGTGGTAAACGGACTCACCGCCTCCTGCAGCAGTTGCTCCAAGCAGTAGATATGCGGTCGGTTCCCTCGCTCCCCCTCCACGACCACGCTGTATCTGCTCAGAGGACATGTGAGAGGAGAGGTCAAAAGTTTGATAAGTTGTCTTTTTCTTAAAGCCACTTCATGATCCAAATACAGTCAAGGCAGAGCTCGGCTAATATCTCCATCCCCTCTGAAGTATTTTTTGATCTCTGCATTACTCCCTTTTTTATTTATTCTCTCCTTCATTAAACCAGAAAAGAGCACCAGATTTATCTAAGTGCGTTAGCGAGGGCATGTTTAAAGGACTTTTTGTTTAATAATTAGGACTATTTTGGTAGCTCCCTTGCCAGGTCTTTTTTTTGGGGTATTTTCTCCAGTGTACTCACATGTCAGGGGAGTGTACAGTGTTCACATGTCCGGCGTACAGCAGCTGGTCGTCCATCGGGATCAAAACCCTGAGTCCGTCTACTAGAGAATCCTTATCCAGCACACACTGAACTGGAGCTGGAAACATTAAAAAACACTTGTAATAAATAACCCTGCCATCGCTGAGTGAGTAGAGGAGGTATCAAATGATAGGTGAGTGTTTTTACCAGGTGTGGAGGACCGCTCTGATACACTGTTGCTGCGCGGTGGGAGAAGCTCGTCCTCGCTGAAGCTACTGTCCTGGTTCGGCTCGAAATCTTCGTCTGCCGCCATGCTCTCCATCAACCGGCTAACAGCTCCTCTGGACGGCTGCAGACACACACATAACAACACAAACACACACTATAAGGCAGGATATTTTGACATCTTTTCCACAGTGTTTAAGTTTTGGGGATCTTGCCCTTGACAACAATCCCGTGCTACAAAAACTAAACTTTAAAAACGAATCGAAACGAAACTGAAATTGAAAACAAAAAGCCAAAACAACAAAACGATAACAGCTCATGAAAGTTTCCAAATATTGTAACCTCGGTGCACACAGTTTTATGTTTGAAGTGTTTCCAAAACAAACTCTCGTTTCAGCTGTTGGCAGATGGACAGCAATGCAACACTTAAGCACAAAAACAACAAGGTTTACTTTAGTTTCTACCAACAGCAGAAGAAAACAGATTGACCAGATTTTAAGACTTGTTGTGTGTGAACGTGTTAGAGCGACGCAGAGTCCGGGCAGCATGTGTGTGTTTGTGTGTGATCACATTTGGGTTGAACAACCAAAACACTCTGCTTTTGTCCTTGCTGGTATAATTACGTCCACATCCATAACGGCATCACCGCCGATCTATCATCTCACTGACCTCTCTGGCCTTGGCCTTGGCTTTAGGTTGGCTCTTGCGTGCCGGGCTGCCAAGGCTCAGCGGTGCGGGGACGTCAGTGATTGGACTGCACAGAGAGGACGGACTCACAGGGAGAGGACAGTCCTTTGGCTTCTTCTTCTGCTTCACACAGAGAGAGAGGTAAAACACACTTATGAATGACTGCGCTGAGGATGCACAGGACAGATTTATGTCTCTCTCTCTCACATACAGATTCGCTAAGGGTGGGATGCTGCCTGCAGTTGTCCTTTCTTGTCAGCAACATGACACAGACGGTGGGGGAGTGCTGCAGTTACTGAATAACTGAGAGGTAGAGGGAAACCCTGCTGCTGCACACACATCCGTCTTTCACACACATGCACACACACAGAGGAGTTAAAGGGGTGTAAAGATAAGAGAGGAGGAGGAGAAAACGAAGAAGAACAGCGGGGTCTTTGTTTTTGCTCATCTGTAAAAACTTGATGAGTTTTGGACGTACTTTGACCACATCTTTCCCGTCTCTGCTAGGCGTGGCTGGTTTAGGTCTGGGGGCGGGCTTCTGAGTAAGGGGCGTGGCCGAGCTTGAGGTGGCAGATGACGATGAGGAGGAGCTCTGGCTGGTGGATGTAGAGGTTGGCATAGACGTCTGACCGGATGAAGTGGTGGCGTCGTGGAGGAAAATCCTCTCGCTCCGCCGTCTGTTCCAGCCTTCATCCTCGCTGAACCCCCAGAGCCCGCAGCTCGAGTTCAAATCAAAGCTGAACCGCCGTGGAGACTTAGGCGAGGGGCGAGGCTTAGGTAGAGTTTTGCGTTTGATCGGCACGGATTCGTCCCTCTTGGTGGGGCTGGGCTGGTCAAGGCGGCGGGTGGCAGGGGGAAGCAGCGGAAGCTCGGGGGCGGAGCGTTTGCCATGGAGCAATGAGGGGAACTTCCTCAGACGCAGGTCAGAGCCAGAGTCAGACCACTCACACTCCGAAGACCCTGAGGAACGAGGAAAAGGGTCACATGATGTAAACACACACACGGTACAGAGGCTGCTCGTTTCACCCAGCAGCGTGTAATGAATTCAGGTGTTAGATTCTGTAAGATCAATAACATGTTGACAGGATTATTGATCAAATTTCTAACCAATACATAATTCAGATTGAATCATTGCACACATCTTTAGAGTAAATTGGAAATGAACTGATGTTTAGGCGTGATCAGTAACGCAATCCTGAGTAAACGCTTGGGCGGTGAACCTGCCCGGCCATGAGAAATTAAAATTTATGTCTTAAAGACTGCCGAGGGAATCTGTGAAGCAGGAGTTAGTGAGAGAGAAAACATCAGCTAAATTTAATAAGACAGAAGACAGTCTGTTTTTAAGTTTATAAAGACACTCATCTTTTGGAGAGCATTCCAGTCTTTATATCACTAAAAATGGATGTATTACTCACAGTAACTAATCTTTGCATAAAAATGGACCATCAGTTTAAAATGTATTAATCTTGTTTTCACCATCTGGGACTTTTATCCAAGTTTAATCTGTTTGTCTTAATGACTCTGAGAGGCTTTTACTTCCATACTTTAGAGACCACTTTAATGCACTTTATGTTGGCATTAAACAGATCTCTGCGTCTCACCTACAGCAAGTCTAAAATAGAGAAAGAAGTTAAACAGAAAGAGGAAGCTTTAGTCTACAAGGATACAGCGCTAAAGCTTTAGAAATTAGGCGCTTAAACAACACAGAAAAACAAATTCAAGATATATGCGTTTATTTTCTGTATTTGACTTTCTTTTGTTCATTTTTTCTTTAAACTCAAATATTTTCCTGTTTTAATCATTACAGATGGCTGCACAGAGATCCAAAAAGTCTCTTGTGGGGAAATTTTTATTGAGCCAAATATTTTTCTCACATTTATTAGAGGAAATGTTGATTCAAGTACAGCAATTTTTCTCATTTGTTAATTTTGCTGAATTGTTGTATACATTGGCCACCAGTCAACCAGCTCTCTCATAATTGAACAACTGGTATCAGTCATTTATTTGTTTAAAATGCTGCTGCTTGGTTTTTCTCTGGCACTTATTGGTGAGACAGCATCACCCCCAACCTTACATTCCTCCACTGGTTCCCCGTTCATTTAGGATCCATTTTAAGAATGCTGTTTGGTTTGTTTGCAAATCCTTAAATGGATTATAGCACCTCGATATATCCCTGACCTCCTCTAGATCAATATCCCCTTTAAATGATTTTTGGTTTATTCTTCTTACTGTATTTTAAAGTGTGAATCAATAAGAAACCAATTAGTGCTCAGTCACACATTTTTATCTGTTGTGTTGTACTACCCAGAGTGCTTTGCAGGCTGCGGTGTTTGCTGTCATGGAGAAGGCTCAACGGCGTGGAGCTGACAGGGAGCACACTCGCGGCAAACCTGGCCAGCAGACCCAGCCCGCTCTCCTCGCAGACGCCATCATTGTAAGAATCTGACTCATCGTCATCCTCATCATCTTCGTCTGAGGTTTCTAATTCAGAGGAGAGATTATCAGCTCAGAGATACATGTGACTGAAGCACAGGGCTGGGTCAAAGGTGAAAGGTCAAAAACAATTCAAACACAAGGACTGAACCTGAACTAAAGAAAAACAATCAGGATACGACTTAAACTGCAGAAAAGCCCTGTGTGCAGACATACAGCGCACACACACATACATAGACTACATACTTTTAAGTTCTCTGTGTGGAGGATCAATTTTACTGAATATATGAACCTACCACCAGAAGGGAGTAGACAGTTTAGATATCACTTTAAAATGTATTCATCAGGGCCAAAAGAGCTCATCTAGCCAATTTAGTTGCGAGGACCTTGCAAAATATCTTAAGCAAAAATGTCCCCAAAATAAAGTTTTTCTATCCACATCTGGTCCACACAAGTATATAAAGACAAACACAATCACACACATACTATTCCATTTATCTTTCTCTGAGGGGAGGCTGATCCCAAAAAATAAAACAGTGGAGAGAATTAATGTCCTGTCTAAACTACTGCAGCTTCCCTTAACTCCGTAGCGCTGTGTTAGCAAATACAGCGGTAAAACTTAGGCTAACACGCATGCACGTGTGTCACACACACACACAGACCTAGTAATTCTCAGTCTCTCTCTAACACACACACACACACACACAGTAATACAAAGTCTTGGATACTATTTATAATAAAAACAATAGGTTCTGATCTTTCTTTCTCAAAAATACATGTTAGCATACTGCTGGTTAACCATGTTGCTAGCAGTTAGCGGTTATGTACATGGCAGCAGATAAGCAGAGGAAGCGTCTTTATAGAAGTAAGAGAGTTAACATTGGAGTGGATACACAGTACAAGTTTTTTTTTTAAACCAACAAGCTGATATACTGTTGAATCACTTTTGAAGTTTCACGAAATTTCTGAGGGAAGACTAGCTACAGCTAGCTAGCCTTACCGGTTGAAAGTCTGAATTTTGCTTTCTCACTTTTAACAAATTTAAATTTTAGTGAAACAACAGAGTAAATGTGTGGCTCCATGTTGTACTGTGAATCCACTCGGTGCGAACATTAGCAAGCAGATGACAGTTAGCAGGCACTGAGAGGACAGCCCTGTGAGGCCCCTTTATTTTCAAATGAGGTTTGTTCAGCCATGGTTTTGTCCTCTGTCCTGTAGCAAGCTTCTTTAAATTTTAGTAATTAAACACAGGATAGCAGACAAACCATGGCTCTTATGAAATATCTTTAATTTGTAAGAACATTGACAAGCTAAAACCAAACTTCAGTTAAATTCTGTTTCTTCTGTTCAATTTCAGCATAGCCAAGTTAGCGTTTGATGGAGAATAGAGGGAGGGGCACTTCCTACTTACAGAGCATGTGACAGGGGTGTGGCCTCAGGCAGGGCAGGGCGGGGCAGGGCAGCGCAGCGGCCTAGCCGTAGCACAGCTTGGCCTTAGCGCAGTCAAGCTTAAGCGGAGAGACTAGCTCTAGCGAGGAAGCGCTAGCCAAGCTTCTGTAATGTTGCAGCAGCAGCACAAGCACATGGAACAGGCTGAGAGACACTCAAAGCATCATGGGTAGAAGACAGGGGGTGGGGGTCAAAGGTGAGAAGGCAGAGCAAGGTGTCTGAGAGAGCAGGGTAAAGGGAGAAGGTTATTCTGAAGGTTTAGTTGACACAGGAGGAGCTCTATTGTCCAAATATCCCCAACATTTGATATTCAAGAGCTTAAAATTGAGCTGTGAGTTTTTATTTCGGCAACACCAAAAAGCTGGACCACATCATCAAAACCACTTAATCAGATCTGAATTTCATAAAGCATTTATATTTAGAAAAATAGAAAAAAGCCAACCCTTATGATTCTGTTTAAGACCATTTTAATCTGATCAGAAGGAAAATCAGTCTCATCACATTCAGCTCTGTTTGCTCTGAACTTGATCTGTTTCAGTTCATCCAATATAAACTTTATTTCTCTGGAGGGATATTTGAGGAACAGAGCGTCTAAAGGACGTGTGAGGTGCAGACTAACAGAGACAGACAGATGAAGCAGACACAAGGACCACAGCGCTTCGCTTTCTGTGCCAATCAAATCAACACCTTTAATAAATCTTATTGGTACCAAAACTGCAATACAACTTTTATGAAAAAATCTCACAAATCACACAAATTTTCAATATACAAATGCTACAAATATGCAATCCAGGCAATAAAAACCAGCGTAGAAATAGGTCAACTCTTATTAAAAAAGGCAGCTGTGCAGAGAAGCGAGAGAGGTAGGCATGGTGGAGCTACAGCAAAGTCTGGGAGCGAAATGAAAAAAAAAACAAAAAAACAGACAGACGCTGTGACAAGGCTCAGAAACACAATGCTGTCTGACTGTACAGCGAGGGGCAGGGCGGGGAGGGGAGGGCGGTGAGGTTTGGTCAGTAACCTTGGTCGAAGGAGTCGTCAGAGGAGCTGAGGCCCGCCTCCTCCAGCAGCAGAGATAAGTGCTTGTGTTTCTTCTTCTGAGGCTTCTGACTGGACAGCAGGGACGTCGGCGAAGACACGGAGCGCCTCTTCTTGTTCAGGCTGTCATGGGAGGACGTCCCTGAGAGAGAGGGCCAGCCCCCTCGAGCTGAGCTGTGCTCCTCTGAATCTGAGTCTGGTGCAGAGAGAGTTTAGTTAATGATTTATTCCTCATTGTTTTGTCTCTGATTACAGAAATATTCCCCATACAATGAAGTAATAAGGCCACTTTAAAACAGACTGAACTGGACACACGTTATCTTTAAAAACACGTCAAAGTGTTATGGGTGCTTTCCTTTTCAGGTATTTGTTCCTTGTAAGAAGGAAAAGGGGGAATTTTGGGAGACTATTTGTAGTGGTGAATGACTGTGACTGATGTAGTGGTAGGTATTTCTGCTCGCAGAACAGTTTACAGTGTCTTCATGATGATTCTTGAACATGTAAGATGGATCAGAAGCATCTTTTTCCGGATGATACTTGAATTTTAAGCTCAGGGGACGACTAAAAAAGTCACAAAAGAGACAATAATAAATCTCAAATTTGACTATTATTAGAAACAGATGTGACATGTAAGGTAATGTTGTTTAGTAGTAAAGTTCATGAAGTTGTGTGTTGCTTAATTATCACGGTAATACTGTTACCAATTGATTTTGTGGCTGTGATAATAGAGAGGTGAAAATCTGTGTTAATTTCCGCTTCGCTTTGATCATGTGGATCAGTCAAGGTTCCTTATTGGTTGTTTTTGAGGCGTTGCTGTTATTTCTTTTACTTTTCTATGTCAGTTTTATAAAGCAGTGATATCAGACCTCCTCCTCCCGCCGTACTCACTGTTGGAGCAGCTGCTGAGCTCTGATCTCATTGGCGAGAACAGAGCAGTCTTCTTCTGACCTTTCACCTTGCGGACGCTCTCTGAAGCAGAAGCCTTGGCGTCCATCTTGTGTTTCCCAGCCTTGGCAGACGAGTGGATGCTTCGCTCCTTCATCCGACTTTCCGCAGACTTGCCCTTCGACTTTTCTAACTTTGAGTTGGACGAGAGTTTGCGAGCGGCGCCGAGCGAACTGAGCTGCGAAAGAGAGAGCGCCCTGTCGAGGTCCGACGCCAGCTGCTCCTGCTCGCACAGGTGGCCGCGTTTCACCTTTAACACCTGACGACAACACAAAAAACACACTTAGTAATCAGAGTTTGATCAAACACTACTTAAATCTAAACATCTACCTCTAACAAACCCACCTCCAAAGCATGACTGGTGGACGGCTCCGGCTCGTTCCAGCTCTTCTTCTTCTTTTTCTTCTTCTTCACCTTCACTCCTCCGCTCCCCGTCTCTATGTCCTCTTCTAGAGACAGCCTGAACCTTTTTCTCTGTCCCTCACCGGCTTCAGAGTCCTCAGAGTATTGCACTGTCCTACTAACCCTGAGACACGAGGACATTTGCACTCAATGTAAATAAAAAAAACAACAACATAAAACTGAACATGCAAACAGAAAAATTCAGAGAAAAGTGAAAATCGGACTCACTGTGCAGGCCTGCTGTCCAGTTTGGGAGGTGTGGTCAGGTGTTTCCTCTTCCTGGGTCGTCCTCTGCCGCGCCTGGTCAGACTCCGCCTCTCGTCCTCCTGCTGCTGCCGCTCCCTGAGAAAAGAAGATAAAATCAGACGTTATTAATATGTCGGAGTGTGTTTTGTTTTTGTAGTTGTCTTCGAATCAAACCCACCGCTTGTCTCTGCGTCTCTGCAGCTTGCTCAGATCTCTCTGCTTCTCCTTGTACGTCTTCTGCAGCTCAGCCAGACGGACGCGGTATTCAACTTCCACTGCGTCCATCACATCCAGAGACATTTTACTGTAGAGCTGCAGAGACAGAGAGAAAAAGCGTCAGGACACTTCACAAAGTCCATACTTTCATCAATCTGGTGAACGTCTCCTCCATCTCACCGGCTCCTCCTTCCTCTGCCGCCAGCTGTACTTCTTGTTGGGGTCGAGCGTTCTAGACAGATCGATGTGAGACTGTTTCTCAATGGCTTCCAACAAAATCTGCCGGCTTGCCTCCAGAAGACAGTCCAGACCCTCCAGAGTCAGATCTGATGGAGATGAAACATTAGAGGGAAGCAAGCGTTCAACACATTGACAGGGCTGCCAACATTAGCTGGTGCCTAACAGCAGGTAACAGATTAGTCTTTCACTCTCGTGTCTCCTCACCTTTCTCCTGGCTGATCTGCTCCATCTCTCTCTGGGCCATTTGGCTGAGTAGGGCCATCCCCTCCAGCGCCACCATCTCCAGAGAACCTGCCTCCCTGCAGTCCACAACCAGGGCGGGTTTATCATTCTGGGGTACAAGAGATGGGGCAGATGGGGAGCAGGGCCGAGCCTGAGCGATCTCACTGGCCGTCAGCAGAGCGAGCATCCCCGCCATGGGATCCTCGGGGCCGACGAGCAGCGGGGAGTCTGAGGTGTAAACAACGGCGTCTGTGAGAGTTTCTTTCTGGACAGGAGTGTGTGAGCTGATAAAAGTGCCTGGTTGTTCTTGTTCACACACAACACTGGCGGTTTGTTCCAGTGAAGGAGCTGACTCCTGGGTGTCCGGCTCTGCAGCGATGCAGGGATATTGCTGCGGATCCTTGTCGACCTCAGGTTTAGGCTCCTCTATGAGCAGAGGAGGCGGGGGAAAAGCTGCCTGACAAGAGTACGACGAAACCTCCGTTTTGATATGACCTCCAGTCTTCTCTTCCTCTGTTATCTCCAGTCTTTCAGCCGGTTGAGGTGCAGGGCTGGGAACAAGCAGAGGTAGCGGCTGGGGAAGGGGTTTTGGTGCGTCCCCTTGTCTATCTGATAGTGCTGGACTGCAGCTGCGACGGAGAGGACCTAAAGGTTCTACCATCAGGTCATGGCGTGGATGCTCAGCACTGGGCTCCTGCTTTAGGAAGGATCCGGTCTTTGATTGGTCGAGTTTTTGTGGTTTGACGTCCGGATCCAGCAGCCGTGAATGAAGGAGGGCGGGAGGAGGTGGAGGAGCCGCGGGGGCGGGAGAGCGGGAGCGATGTGGTGGGACAGCTTCAGTGTTAGCCCCAGTTGGGATGTGATAGGGAGGGAAAGTAAGGGGCTGGTACGGGTAACCAGGAGGAAGATCTGTGAAGCAGACACAGGAACAGAGTCAGTTCTGGATGATCTGATGCTGTAATCGAACTCTCCTCAGATACTGTTTAAAAGTGCTGAAAACACACATTTGATGGAGTGAGTGTGGACTCCTGTTAGACTTCTGGGACTCAAGAGCTTATTGTTAAACCTCTCAGAGGTGTCGTGGGCCCTTACTGAACAAAAGCATCATTAAAGGGAGGTTCCCACTAGAAAAGCCCTCTGGCTCTTACTGCCCAGCTGTCCCATCTCTCTGGAGCTGAGGGAGACATTAGGAGCCATGTGGTAGGGGATGAAACTTAACAGTAGAGGGTGTAAAGGGATGGGTTTCTTCACTGAGCGCTCATCTGTCTTATGAAAGCACAAGCCCTTTGTGTTTATCTTATAGAAACATTAGAGTTCAGTGACTCCCTGCGAACAATTATGTTTAAAAATCACACACGCAACATAAAAGGAGAAACATCTGCTGAAGCAAAATGGTCATTTCATAAATGGCTACTTTGGAGGCAATGATTTGATAAAAGTGTCTATTTCTGCAGCACAGAAGCTTTTTGTTTTGGAGTCGTTTTTAATCCCTTTTTCTAAATCTTGGCAAATCAGATTTTTTTCATCCTGCACCCGCACTGAAGTTTATATTTGTCCAGTTACAAAGGTAAGACCTGCAGAGTTAAAGCTGGTGCAGTCAGTCAAACACTGAAATGGTTGTTGTGGTAACAGGCTGAAAGTCGTTGGTCTTTAAACAGCGACACTAGTGTCTGTTCAGTCCCATCAGACGGGTGATTCATGTAGACTCAGTCTGTCTCCACGGACTCACCTGAGTAGATCCCTTGAAAGGCCACAGAAGCCGGTTTCTGTCCTCCTCTCTGCTCCCTCCGTGTCACCTCCCCCTCCTCAGCCGCTTCCTGTTTAGGCCGCCGTGGCGAGGATGGTGGCGGCGAAGCAGAACGCGGGGAAGGCGGGTGAGGCAGGGGCGTCGTCGGTGGGTGAGACAACGCTCTCTGCCCTCCCTCCTCGGACTTCAGCGTGGTCACCGGCGAAGGGAGAGGAGGCAGCGGCGTGAGAGAGGAGGTGGACGGGGTTGGAGAGCGGGAAGGAGGGGGAGGTTTGCGGGGATGCAGGACAGGTGAGGGAGAATGGGAGGATATGGAGGAGGGGCGGGGTTTTGGGTCGGCGTTCCGCTTGTCAGGTTTGTCTTCTAAGTCGGGCCGGTGCTCGCTGGCCTTTAAACGCTCCTGAAACACAGAGAGAGGGAGACAGCTCTGTGAACACGGAGTGTGCACTGAGACAGATTCAGAGCAGAAATATCACCATGAGGATTGTTTCCACTTCCGTCACTGTTAGTCTGCAGCTGCAGGATGTGCTGTGTTACAGCCTCTTCACCAAGTGTGTTTTCATGGACATTTATAACATCTACAGGTTGAACTTTAACTCTGTACTTATCTGCGATCTTGCCACTGTGACCATTTCTACCTGAATTTCAGACAAAAGGTGAACTTACGACCAGCTGTGCGTTCCTCTGCAGCTCGAGGACCTGTGCGGTGTGCTGCTGGATCATCAGCAGCTCCTGCTGTCGGAGGATCTGCTGCTGGGAGAGGAGTTGCAGCTGGGCAGCGTGCTGCAGAGAGCTGCCTGTACCGTAAACCCCCGACCACACCGAGGCTCCACGATCCAGCACATCGCCTCCTACAGAGAAACACAAGTTACTCAAAATTCATCTCAAAATCTCACCTCTGCCTCAGCCTTTTATCCAACTCTTTAATCTCACATTTGCTGCACTTTACTGCTTTGCTGTGAGAACTGGCCGAACTGTTTTACGCTTTTTTTTTCATCTGTTGCTTCAAGCTGACTGCTTTAATATCATCTAAATATATAAATAGATATCTTACTTCCCCTCACCCCCACTGACATGGGTTAGGACTAAGTACATCTCATATAAAGTTCTTTTTTATGTCATTGAGTAAATTAACAGACTCTTCAGTAAGATGTCATTAAAAAAACTTAAACTTTAGTAGAACACTTGAGCGCCCCTTCATTAAAGGACTATTCAGCTGAAGTTACAGATTATTATTAACCCATAACTAACCTCTTACATCTCTTATCATTTCATGCATTTATCAAGAAGACAGGCCAGTGCATATATCAGGAAACTGGGAGGGGAGTTCGACCTGGGGGCCGAGGCTGCCCTGTTAGAGAATTACATCCTCTGCACACAGAGCAGGAAGATTAAACCACTGAGAGGAACTGGAGACTTGTATTAATCCCATACTTCCTAATCTCTCTAGTGAACCATTCCTATTTTTTATAACAGAGAATAACTTTCAGTTTTAAGTTGATGCTTCATGGTTTTGTTTTCTCTTTTTATTTTACAGTGAAGGTTTTCTTGTAAAAAGTGTATCAGATCTCTAAAGCCCGCCCTCATTCTCTCACCGTAGTGTGGCAGGTGCTCAGTGGGGATGACAATCAGCTGTCCGGACTGGGGGTCCCGTGCAAACTGGTAAGGAGGGGGCATAGAGCCTGGCAGGGAGGGAGGGTATCCGGGGGGGAGAGTCTGGTGGAGTGAAGATGGACCCAGGCCTAAATGAGAAGAAAGAGAGAAAACAGAGAGAATCAGTGAGTAAGTGCTATAAAGAGAGGAGACAGAGCACAGCTCAGTTAAAGCAGCAGCATTATCATCTCTCTGTGTTTATTCTGCTGTTTGAACCACAGCAGAGTTACATCAGTGAGCAAACATGCTGAATTTGGCTGCTTCTCAGAGATTTTTGTTGTTTTTTTGACATCAGTGTCTAGACAGAGCTGGCCCTTGGGGAGCTCTGGGTGAACATGTGTGTTGTCTTGATATTGTTTTTTTATTTTAACGGCGAGTGTTGGAGGAAAAGGAACGTCCTGTAAAGATCAGGAATGTCTGACCCCCGGGGGGGAGGGGGGCTGCAGCTGGACCAGACAGACAGACAGACAACAACAGTCCCATCAGGACACACAGGTGGAGGGTACATTTTTAACACTCGCTGCTGGTGTGAAATTCTTTGGAGCAGAAGAAAAGACAAAGAAGATATACTTGAAATATTCCTCCACTTACTGTAAGGTGAGCCCGGCAGCCAGACTGGAGGGGCTCCAGGCCGGGTCATCCAGGGGTGAGAGGTCAGAGTTGAGGGGTCAGGAGGCCAGCGCCCTGCCCCTGCCAGGGCCGCCCCTCCTGTCACCATGAGGTTTGGCGTCATGAGGCTGGGTGTCATAATACTGGGTGTCAGGGTGGATGACAGAGGGGTGGGGTGCATCTGAGTAAAGTCGGCCAGCTCCTTCGACTCGCTGAAAGGCACATTTTGTTTTATTTTTTAATAAGTGTTTCATTTTAGATTTTACCATCTATCTTATTAAAAAACACAAACGACTGTAATTAACAGACAAATAAGCACACCTGAGCACTTTCTCCTGCTCGCGCTCCAGCCGGCCTGCCAGCAGTCTGTCATCGTGATGTCGAGCACGCTCCTCTGCTCGCTCCTCGTCTGTTCAGGCACAGAGGAGAGCAAATTTTCAGTGTTACATGTTTTCATATTATTGTCAGCAGCAGCTAATAACGCATACTGACACCAACTAGGCAAATATTTCATACGTGTATCCAAAAGTAAAAACAACCCCCAAATTTCTGCATAAAGTAGCTGAGAATTAAAATCATTGATGACATTAAAGAGCCACTCTGATGAAAATCATGTTTTTCTTGTTGTCTATATGTTCATATGGCATTTTTCTGATACTAGAGGACATCATGAGAAGACAGTAGTGTCCGAGAACTGAATAGCTCCTATGTTACCTGTTTCTTACACCGGCAATGTTAGGCTGCAAGCTAACTCGAGGAGAAGTGTGCAGAGCAGCGCTGTCTCCGCCCACAACTCAAAGTTTTGCAGCAGAAAAGCCTTTGAAAACGACACAGGTAACGTGATTTTGGCTAAAAACTTCATAATAACAATTTAAAGACCACTGAGAACACTTTAAGTAGTGAAAACACTCGGAGTGGGACTAAAAAAACCTGCTTCTTGGAGCAGTCAGAGATCTGAAGATGATCATTGAGTTTCTGTGTAAATCAGTTGACAGTCAGAGAGCAGAAACAAAGGGTGGTCAACTCTGACTGTCCTAACCTGGCTTAGCCTCAGATTACATGTCTAACCTGTCTCATGAATATCTGGTGTGTGGCCTCAGATCCTTGTGCAGGAACCTCTTTAAAGTTCCAAACTTCTTCTGCTCTTGACCTGTCCGAGAACCTGTGGTGACTTTTATTGGCGTCTTCTTTCCTATTCCTTCTAAAAACATATTTTTGTCAGAAGAACTTTGTGTATTTTCAGCATTTTTAACATGGTGTTTTGTTTGTTCAGCGTATTTATAGTTTTTTGTGAGGCTGATGTTGTTTTCAACCGTTCCTCTTTCATTCTTTCATTTCTCTATTCAGCTTTTATCGTTGGCTGAGTCGTCTTTTAATTGGCTCGCCTTTTTATTTAGTCTCCATGTTTTATTCTTTTATCGACAGCTTTTATGTTTGCGAAGCACTTATTTTTTAATGTCTGTTTTGATCGGAGCTTTACAGATTAACTTTATTATTATCATCATCATTTCTAAATGGAAGACTGAGCAGTAAGAGAGACGGGCTGGACGATTTGGAGCTGTGAGGAAGGAATGATGGGAAAGAACGGGTTTGAGAGGAAACATGGGAGACGCTGGCTGGAAAAGGGTGACACCACGGCGTGTTGGATAGAGGGGGGAGGCTAAAAATATAATGTGAGGCCAAAGAATGAGTGCAAACACACACACACATGCAGTGACAGCTCTCAGTCTGAGTGTCAGCTCTTATCAGTTATTAGTCTAGAGCCACAGGAGACGTGTGAACATACCTCTGCTGCCTCACTTGAAACACACACATGAAACACACATTTACACACACACACACACACTCAGAGCCTTAAACCAATCCGCTTGGAATAAAAAAAAAAAGTCTCTGCACTCGACTGAGAAAACCAGAATAAACATGAGGATCCTCTGCTCCAGCTTCTTCCAGTTATTCTGTCTCATATGCGCTGACTGAAGGACGGTCCCCAAGCAGCTGGGAGTGTGCTCAACCCATCAGTTCTGCTCTAAATGTGTGTGTGTGTGTGTGTGTGTGTGTGGAGCCTGTAAAGGGACAAGAGACTTTAACAAACCCTGACACGCTCTGCAGGAAAGGTTTCAAGACTGTTTCCAAGGTTACGGGGAGTCTGTCCCACATGTTATCCTCTCCGCATCAGAAAGCTAGCGATTAGCGCTGCACGCCCCCTCTCTCCGCTCGCTCCCTCTCCATCTCAAACAACGAGCTCTTTGCACACTGAGCTCCTGATAGTTCCTGGATAATTTCAGGAAATTCTGGCTCCAATACATTTATTCTGAACTCACACCAGCACCTCACAGCGGGAGACTCACTGAGCTGGACACACAACTGCACATACTCGGCCTGTTTCAGAAGGAGAGTCGATATCACTAAAACATGCATAAAAGGAATACGTCGAATTACATGATGGTCGATTTGGAAGGTTGTTTCTGTGCCGCCTGCCTTGTTGCGCTTGCTTTGTCTTGTGGAGCACTCCCTCACTCTCTGCCTTTACAGTACAGCGTGTCCTCTACCTCTCCCCAAAACAGCTCTCACCGTAACGTTATCATTATTACCTCTAATCAATCAACGTCTAACAGTTTAAGGAGCGCAAGAAAGTTGCAGATGTTGCTAAGATCAACCATACACCTGCATTTCTTAAATATGTTTAACAAACTATCAATGTAGAGTTTTCCTACACAAAATGTAGGACTTCTTGTACATTATTTCTGGTGGTAAGATGTGCTCGGGTCCTAGGTCTGTTGCTGCATTAACTCCACCAAGACAAATTCCACTTAAATGATGAAATGAGAAAGACCAGAGTGGGGAGTAAGTCCTCTGGTGGATCTTTAAAGCACGAGGAGCGAGGCCTTAGTGATGACAAGCAAGCATGAGACACTTTATTAGCAAGACAAAGTACAACAGCCCCAGCAGGTCTCGTCTCCTGCACAGACAGACTCCAAAAGTGTCCCCAGAGTGAGGCTAACAAACTACCTGACTTCACTTTTGTACAACAGGAGGAAGTAAAGATAAGCTGCTCATCTTTACATACAGTCAATGTTCCTGACACACCTCTCTCTTCCCGTCTATCAACCTATCGATCCACAGCCATCTCTTATCATTAGCCTGCCTGTCTTCTCCTTCATTCATCCATTCATCCATTCATCCGTCCAAATGTGAGTATTAGAGAGTCTTTCTGTTGTTTGTTTAAGGCTCTTTACAGCGAGAGGGGAGAGATGTTGTCAGACCAATCACTCTGCTCCATGAATCAACGCCCCCAAATACAAATACATACACATAAACAGCAGCACACACTCACTCATACACACTCACAGTCCATCACTCTCAAGACTGATCCATTGCTTAGCAACACAACCATGGTCTTATTGTAATTCAAGGCTTGTTTGTAGCTTTTAGCTGCACTCTGTAATGACATGTTTAATGCAGGGGAGGAGGGGGTGGAAGAAATGAGAGGAGAGGGAGGGAGAGAGAGAGAGAGAGAGAGAGAGAGAGAGAGAGAGAGAGAGAGAGAGAGAGAGCAGGGGGCCTGAAGTAGTACGAGGAGGGAGTGTCTCTGCAATGAGGAAAGAGGTCAGGGGGGAAAAGAAAAGAGATAAAAAGACATAAAAAACACAAAAAAGATGAAAGAGAATAAAGAAATGTGAGAAAGAAGGATGAACAGAAAAAACAGAAAGGGGGAAAGAAAATTAAAACAGAAAAGATGAAAAAGTACCCAGAAGAGTAAAATATAAGAAAAAAGAAGAAAAGAAAAAGAAAAGGATTAAGGAAATTCAAAAGAAAAGCAATAAAGAAGAAGATAAGAAAATTAGGAATAAGAGGGAAAGATTGTAGAGAAGGAAGTTAAAAAAGACGAAAAAAGGAACAGAAAAGAAAGAAGGAAGGAGGGAGAAAGGTAAGAAAGGAAAGAAAGGTAAGAAGGGATGAAGAGAAGAGAAAGGGAAGGAAGGAAAGAAAGGAGGACAGAAGAAAGGAAAGAAGGAGGTAGAGGAGGAGGAAAAAAGGAAAGAAGGAAGGAAAGGGGGAGCAAAAGAGGGAAAGAAGGAAGGAAAGGAGGAGCAAAAGAGGGAAAGAAGGAAGGAAAGGAGGAGGAAAAGAGAGAAAGAAGGAAGGAAAGGAGGGGCAAAAGAAGGAAAGAAGGAAGGAAAGGAGGGGCAAAAGAAGGAAAGAAGGAAGGAAAGGAGGAGGAAAAAAGGAGAGAAGGAAGGAAAGGAGGAGGAAAAAATGGAAAGGAGGAGCAAAAGAAGAAAAGAAGGAAGGAAAGTAGGAGGAAAAAAGGAAAGAAGGAAGGAAAGGAGGAAAAAAAGGAAAGAAGAAAGGAAAGAAGAAAGAAGGAAAGAGGAAAGGAGAGGGAAAAGAAGAAAGAAGGAAAGGAGGAGTAAAAATAATAAAACACTGAGAGGGAAAGATGGAAGGACAGAGAGAAGGAAAGGAGTAAGAAAATACAAAGGAAAGACAAAGGAAGAGACAGAAGAAGGATAGTAGAGATAAAAAAGAAAGAACAATCAAGAAAAAGATCTACAATGAGGTAAAGAGAGAAAGGAGAGAGTAAAAGAGAACAGAAAGGATAAATGAAAGAGAGAGGGAGACAGAGATGGAGCAGCGTCTCTGAATGACCTTGACGTCCAGGAATAGAGCTCTGCACGGTTTGAGTTTCTCTGCAGCTCAAAGGGAAGAAAAACACTCACCTAATAAAGCGACACCAAACAACACAAACCTGAACCACAGCCAGTCATTTTCTACCACCCTGATCATCAACACCACTTCATCATCAGAGCTGAGGAAACATCACTGATCTATGACAAAACGAACCCTTAATTATCGATGGAAAACAAACGAGGAATTCAAGCTTCATTTAGCTGATGAGAGCTTCACCTCCTGCAGTGATCCACAGAAAGCTGAGAGCAGGAAGTGAAAGTTAAACTAGAGAGAAACATATTTTCAATGGAGAGAGTCAGCGACTCCACAACTGATTAAACATGATAGTGTCACTGTGGATCCTTCAAAGCTGATGAGAACATGTGTATTACAATGTATTATATCAAGTGACAAACCAAGGCTTTTAATTAGCAACTTTATTAAGGAACTCTGCAGAGATTAAAAAAAACAGCTGAAATTCACACTAAATGTCTGCTACTGCAACTCCTTACTGGCAGGCCTCCCAGCACACACAATCAAACCTTTGCAGATGATCCACAACACAGCACTTTCCACACTCTGCTGTTCATCTCTCTCTCCTCGGTCTCCTACTTGCAGCTTTCATCAAATTCAAAATCCCACTTTATGCTAAGAAGAAGTCATATTTACCTTTAATGGTGGTCTGCAGCAGCGTCCTCTGGGTCTCTGATGGTCCACTGCTGGGTTTGCTGCTGCTCCCGCTGTCTCTCTGTCTCGCCACAGCCACAGCTATGCCCACTGGCGGATGACGTACCTCTCCTTCACCCTCTCGGCCAAATGAGCGGGCGCTGTCCGGGCGCTCTTGCTCCCTCTTCAGCTGCGGTGGTACTCTTAGCGACCCTGGACCCCCTGCCCCCACTGACACCCTCTCCCTCTCTCTTTCCCGCTCCCTCTCTCTTTCCCTCTCTCTCTCTCTTTCTTCTGCTACGATGCTCCCCAGACCGCCGAAGGGTCCTCGACCATCCGTGGCGTGCCTGGATGACCCAGGACTCTCGGAGGCAAAGTTCCCGCTGTATTTGATCAGACTCTGCATGGCTGAAACCTCTGCGTGATCTGAGGCCCCGCCCCCAGCTCGCTCTCCCCCGGGTCTGTAGAGCGCTGCTGGGTCCAGGTAGCGTCTCTGAGTCCCCTCCTCACCTGTGTGTTGGGAGGGGTGTGTCTGGGGGGAGTGACTGTGAGTGGAGTGTGTGTTGCTGCTCGGCCGGTGTGTGTGTGGAGACATTTGTGTGTGTGTGGGAGAAGAGAGTGTGTGTCCGTGATGTGCTGCCAGAGCAGCCATGTGACTGGTAGCATAGTTAGCTAACGGGCTGATAGTCGTACTCCACTTAGACTCCGCCCCTGTCCGCTCTACGCCCAATCGTAAGGAGTGTTTAGGAACATCCCTGCTTTCTGGGCTGAACCGTGATTGGCTGGAGGAGAAAGGTGCGTCCTGGCCTCGTTTTCCAGAAGAACCGTTTGAACAAATAATAGAACCTTCCTCTCGATGATTGCTTGAATCGCCTGAGAGACGAGGATGATCCATCAGGCTCCTCTCAGGAAACCTGTAGCTCTCCCTCTCCCTGTTCCTCTCTCTCTCTCGTTCTCTCTCTCTTTCTCTTTCTCGTTCTCTCTCTCGTTCTCTGTCTCTGTGTCTGTCACCATGTTTGTCTCGAGCCTGAGACGCGATCTGGATCGGCCCGACTCGCTCGTCGTAAACCTCCACAGAAGGCACATACGTCGGTGCGATGACTCGCTGCTCTCTGATTGTGTCTTTGGGTGTGGAGGAAGAGGAGGAGGAGGAAGAGGGGGAGGGATGAAGTGCAGGAGGAGGAGGGAAGGCGTAGGAGAGGTGGAGGGTCCCAGCTGATGTGGCCACAGGGTCACCTCTCCGTTGTCTGTCAGAGTTAGAGTTATTCGAGTTATGGTTGTGAGACCGAGAGCCCCCCTCCTCATCCCGACTCCCTCTGTCTGATTCCAGTCCGTGAAACCGGCCTCCACCTCCTCCCCCTGAGGAGAAGGAGGGCCGAGGAGGTGACGGCCTGGATCTGTGCTCCGCTGAGGATTGTGACTTCGGCTGGTTTGATTGGGGACTTAAGGGCCAAACATGTCTGTCTCTCTCCAAGTCCCTCTCCCTGTCCCGCTCTTTCTCCCTTTCCCGTTCTCCACTCCTCCCCCGGCGCTCCTCCTCGCTCCTCCCGTCCTGTGTCAGGTCCACTACGCTGTGAGGCCTCTGCTCCTCTCTGGACCTCTCTCTCTCTCTGTCCCGCTCGCTCCGGTAATGTCGCTCTCTCCCTGCGTCCCGGGATATCCTCTGCGGTGGCGTGGAGCTGGACGGGGCAGAGTGGGGAGGGTGGAGGGGCAGCTGGCTGAAGGAGGCTGGCAGGTAGAACCCATCTGAAACACAGGAACCACACATAACTACACAAATACACATTCTGGAGCTGGAAAGGCACACTTATGAGATATGTTGAATGACCATTTTCACCTTAAAAAAACTAATTTTTTAAAGTTTTGTGATTATTATCATAGATATCAAATTTTAGTTCTTTTTTGATACTGAAATAGAGCTGTTATGGTGTCACATTTTTAATTATAGTGGCTATCAAATCAATTAATGACATTTTTGAGATGTTTGTGAAAAACGTCAAATGAATGAAGGGAATAAAAGGGCGGAGCGACACTTAACTGAATAAACCATACTAATAAACTCAGTGGACATCATCAGCCTCATGACAGAAACTTCTTTTAAGGTTATTGTTGATGATGCTTTGCTGCCCCACACTGTGAACCAGGGGTGTCCTGATACAACTTTTTACCAATACTGATATTGTAGCCTTCAGCATTGGCCAATAACGATATTGATCTGATATTGGCCTTGACTTGTGCATGACACCCCGGAAAACGACCTGTTTGACCTGTTACTGTCGGGCTGAAGGTACAGGTCACACAAAACAAGGACCAACAGACTCAGGGATAGCTTCTTCCCGAGAGCTATCAGTGCAGTCAACAACAACAAGTCCGATTGAACCTGTCCCCCTCAACCAACATATATACTGATCACATTGATCACAGTGCAATAAATGTATCATCTAACCGTGCAATAACACTGGGCTTCATTTGTGCAATTGTCAGGTTTCATATAATTCCTGTTTGTTTATATTCTGTATATATTACTGCTTTTTTACTTTTCTTTCTTCTTATTCTTATCTTTGTGTTTTAAATGGCTTTCATTTCTAGTATTTATTTATTACTTTTGCTATGCACCAAAGGGAGTGGCGCTCAAATTTCGTTGTACTGTTTACAATGACAATAAAGGCGATTCTGATTCTGAATACTGCCACACGTGAAATCACTCCTTCTCCTTGCTACTTTGTTGGTACCTTAGTACACACTGTTGTTGTGATCACACGGGCTCTGCATGCTAGATCCAGGCACTGCTAGATAGAGGTGCTGGAGTGGAGTCTGGAATGGACTGCTTGTATCAAAGTGTTCATATCGGAGATTTTAGATGCAGGCCGATATAATCCGATATTCATTTTTTTGCTGATATTGGACCGATATCAATACCGGATCGGGACATACCTACTGTGAGTCAATAGTACTAACTACTACCATGTGCTAAGGGTCTGGAAGTTGTGTCATCAAGTGCCACATATGGGTTGATTTTTAGAGGGCAACTCTCAACAGGCTTCATTGTTCTTTTTTAAATTTGGGATAACAAGCTAATGAGGAAGAGAAATCGCCGTAATGTGGCGCTGCTCACTTTATATACAACATATTTTTGGTAGCAGTCACTTGCTTTTGTGAGCACCATCTGCTGGGTATTATACCCTAACACATTAAACACCTCCCTCTGTGTATGCTTTGGATGACAAACAGGTATTAAATGTGTGTTTTATACACCAAGTTTACAGTAAATATGAGTGGCACAAAAGAGCGTTGAAGGCGTGTGAACATAGAAAAAAGAAGTGTTTTATATGATATTAAGTATATAAAGACACAAGGCTTAAAATAGAACAGCAATATATTATCTCAAAACAAAATTATGCTTGGGAGAAAAATAACACCAGTTTTATCAACAGTGATATGAGAGGCTGTAAAAGCTCCAACTACACAAGATAATAAATCTATTTATACATGATGGTGAAGAAAAACCTGCAAGCTATTAATAATAGGGATTCTGTACATCACAGAAAAGTGAAAGTAAAGCTGCTCATATTATGTACGTGGATGGATGGATTAAAGAGGGGCTGCTTAAGTCCTCGATTCTCCCTGACTGGACTCTTGTCTCTTATTTCCCTGCTGTATGTATGGCAGGCTGGGAAACTTAAGATGGAGTGAGTGATGAATCATTTACAGCCTTGAAAGTGTCCTGAAACAAAACCATTAAGTCCAGAAAAATGCTCCTGTAAAAAAAAAAGAACCTGGATACTTAAGTGAATTGATTTTCCTCCCATCTCTAACAGTGAAAGAGTGAAGATAGCCCTCTGTAAATGATGAAGACCAAGAATAAAACTGAAAACTGGGACCAGATCCACATCCAACTACGCGTCCTCTTAATGAATAAAAATCTACTTCTACCAGATAGGAGGGGTCGATTCAGCCGCTCACCTTTGTGTGACTCATAGAGAGGATGGGAGGACAGTGAAGGAGGGTCCAGGTGTCCCAGGGACAGGTATGGGCTGGAGTACAGACTGCTGGGCAGGTGAGGATAGCCTGAAGAAAAACACAGAACATGTCAATGTCATTCACACACAATGACTTCTTTCACAGCACATTTCTAAGCTTTACTGTAGCTTTTATGAAGAGTGTTTGGAGCTTCTAAAGAAAAGACCCTGGAGGAGAGCTGCAAGAGGGTTTAAAGCACGAACAGAGAACAGTACAGCCTCAATCTAAAGAGACTTAGAAAAAAAAAGTTGATTGTTTCTGTTATTTTTCAACCAGAATTGCAAAACAGTTTCCAGCTCTCAAATGTGAGGCTTTAAGGCTTCTCTGTTTTTATATCACAGTGCATCATGGGAAAACGGAGAATCTGAAGATTCAACTCTCGTAGCTGCAAATTCTGGTTTAAACCGGCTTTAGAGAAAGAAATGAATATTTCCATACATGAGTGAAATCTACAGCATAAATGAGGAGTAAATGTGTAATAGAGTAAATATTATTCAGTCCCTGAGCCATTCAGCTGTCTTGTGTCCATTATACTTGTGGGAGTGACGGCCATGTTTGTGGGTCAGAGACAAACAACGGTAAGTTTTTCAAACAGTACATCATTGACTGACCAGTTAGAAACTAGCTCAGCCTTTCAGTGTTCATGTTGAAAATTCATCACTTCATACTTCATTACAACCCCAGGGGAGTTCCTGTTCGTCTGTGTACAATGAGTCTCAGTTTCCCAGTAAACGGTGAGTTACAAAGAGGCTTATTCAGCAGTATTTACCTGGAAAAGAAACTCATGATTACCTCATGGTTAACCGGTCCTCAGTTAACTGTAATAACAACATGATAAAGATTCCCGTAGGGGGAAATGAAAGCTTCTTCGAAGGGGAAAACCAGAGGAGGGCCTGTTCATATAATTCTGGTGAGTCTCAGTTTCACTCTGGTTTAACTGCACCGGTATAAACCCAGGATGTAAAGCACTTTTCCTGTGATTTAACTGGAACAAGTCTTTAGTTTTCCAGAAAGTCGAGAAATCTTATCCCTGGTTGACTTTAGCGGCAGAGCATCAAGCAGATTTGTGTCTCAGTTTCACCATTTGATCCAGAACAGATTGTTGCATGCAGATCTCTTAACTAGATTGATGTCCTTTTAAAATACTGAACGGGTGAAGATGACCCCCCGTCACCTGCACAGCCTCGTGTTGTTCCTGAGGTCAGTTTGAGGTTGTCGTTGGGTCAGAGTCTACCCGCCGGCCAGCTGCTTCTCTCAGAGACCAAGTCTTAATATAGACAGAGCCTCACGCCTGACGGTGTAACGTGCTGGATTTTGTTTTAAGGCTGAGCTGACTGTTAGTGTGACGCTGGCTGGTGTTACCCCTCACACACACACACACACTCACAGAAAAAAGGCTGGGTCTGCCACCCAGAGAGGGTGAGACATTCCCTGTTCCCACACTCCGACCATTCCAAGAAATATCAAAGATGCCGCCGTCGTTCCAGCACGCAGCGCCAGGGAGCAGAGCCCGAGAATAAATCAGAGTCCTTGCTCCATTTTCAGAGGCAGAAATGGAGAAGCAGGAGGAGGTGGACAGAGGGAGACAGAAATATAAGAGGAATGATGTGACGAAAGCAAAGGCATGCAGGATTGGTTCCCGTAAAGCTTAAACCGGCGCTAACAGCTAACCTTGATCTTTAACAGCTTTGATTCAGCGCTCCTCTGCAGACACGGTGGATCCTCGCCACATCCAAAGTGTGAGTGTGAGCTGCTGCTGGAAACGGCTCCAGCTTTGAGAGACTCTACCTGCTGTAAAATCCCGCCACCAACCTTTATGAAGCTTTCCGAGACCGTGAACATTTCTATTCATATCAAAGTCTGTCTGAGCTCCCACAGCTAAACTTGAGAGTTCAGTCCACCAATCCTTTAGTCCTCCTTCTCCAGGTGAACTTAAAGTCAATCCAGGTGTGTCTTCACCTTTATGGGTCCCGTAAGGTTCTTCAAAAGTGACACTGGAAGTACAACAGAAAGCCTTTGACTGACCGGAGGGTCAAAGGTTATTCGGTCCTACTTTTGTGATTTCATGGTTTCAGTGTTTTACTTGAACTTTGGTTGTATTTAATGTGCTTCATTTAAACACTTTTATTTCATTGGATTTTGTTAGATTTCACTTTTTATATCTCGACAGTTTGAAGAATTTTTGCTTAAACTGATGGAAATTGAACTTTTAGAGTTTATTTAGAGTTGGATCAATGAACACACCTAAAATGCTTAGGGTGAATTTTCTTTTGCGTATGTACACCTTAATCAAACCCAAATGAGCCTGAGTATTCTGAGCAGGCTCCAAAGTTTGCATGTTGGGCTTTAACCTGAAGTTAAGCAGCATAAGTGCGCCTTCCCTTATCTTGTTCTCTCTCTCTCTCCCCCTGTCCTCTACCCTCTCCCCTCTTCTCTCTACATTCCTCCCCAACCCAGCAGCGGCATGGTGGCTGTCTAACATGAGGCTGGTCCTGCCCAAGGTTTCTGCCTGTTAAAAGGAAGTTTTTCCTTGCCACTGCTACTCATGTTAGTTGAGATGGGCCAAAACCCATCTTAGGTTGGTTCTTGATCATCAAACAATGAGCGTGGTCTAGACCTGCTCTTGTTCCTTCAAAAGCGTCTTGAGATGACGATTGTTGTGAATTTGCGCTATATAAATAAAATTTGATTGATTGATTGATTGAAGGAAGCCAGGTTGGAAACAAAACATCAACAGAAGACGAGGATGGAAAGTAAAAACAGACAACTTTAAAGCTTAATTCTGTTGTTCGGTCAACTCACAACACATAATAAATTCAGTTTCACAGTGAGTTGTGCGCCAGACTATTCTGGGCTGTGAGCGGTTGCCAGCAAACCAGCAGAAGTTTGAGCTCTGAGTGTTACCTGTGATAAAGGACGCAATCACGTTTCTGTCGCTCTCAATTCAAGAAATTCACAGTGAAATGAAAACGTAAAACTAATCACACACAGTCTGACCTGCTGTTTGCAAAGCTCTGAATAAGACCCGTGTCACACAGGTGGTGTGATCAGTTTTAAAATGAGTCCTGAATTTAATCTGTTCGTCCTTCTCCCTTTACTCCAACAAAAGGCTGCAGGATACGTTTCCTCCAATCTGACCTTCTACTCCAGTAAGATTCGATAAGGAGAGGCATAAAGGACAGAGGGAAGGAGGAGAGGAGGGAGATGTAATCACTTAAAGAACAGAAAGGACAGAGAGGCACAAGGGAGGACAAAAACACACACTAAGATGTATGTACAGCATATAAATAAACCTCTAAAACTGTTCTATAGCTGGGTCAGGGGAGGGACGCTGCAGGAAAGTGGGGCAGGAACACTATAGGAGGACGGACGGAGACAGAGCGGATTGGACAGAGGGCTGAAAAAAGGACAAGAGAGGGAGAAAGATGGATTACAGTAATGTATGACAGGCGAAAGGAAGACACCGGTCAGAGACAGAGGAGAGGAGACGCATATAGGACAGAGCCGAGAGCGCCGCTACAAGCAGAGACAGAAATGGAACAGGATCCCACAGGAGTGAGCGATGAGCGGCAGAGGAACGAGCCTCCTGGGTTTAGGACGGAGCAGACTGTGAGAAATGTCACAGAAATATGATGTCAGTGCTGTCTGCGAGGCTTTGAGCCAGAGCCAGACTGATATCAGACCCCTGGGACAAATATTGATACAGAAGTGAAATAAAGCAGCTAGTTATTAGTTTGACGACGTCCATCAGATAACAAGAGATTTGACACCATTGGTCATCTCTCAGATCCACCAATCAGTTATGATATCACAAACAGCAGTAAGCAGCAGGTTGAACATGCTGTCCTGGAGTTAAAACAGGTTCTTTGGTGTCTTACAACATCATAAATCTGTCACATCAAAGTTTTACTTATCTGCCAGGATACGTAAACAAAGTTCAGCAAAAGTTTGGCTGAGCTACACTTAGTAAGGAGGCACATATAATACAGCAAAGCATTTATCTCAATGTGTAATTTACCTTCATGAGCGTGTGAGGCCCAGAGCTGAGCCATCTGCAGACCACTGGGATTGGCTGATCTGTACGTGGGGTCGGAGGTCAAAGAGGAAGGGCCCGGATAACCCGACAGAAAGGGACTGGAGCCTGCTGGGAAGGCATCACCTGAAGAGAAATATGACAGCAAATCAGTCACCGTGGTAACAACAAGTACACAAATGATGATGGCAAAGATGTTCAATTGAGATTGCACACTGTGTCAATGTGTGTGTGTGTGTGTAAAATCGATGTATGCTGACGGCTCTGTGCTGAAGCAGTCTGTTGTAATCACATTATTACTGAGCCACTGTGGACTCTGTTTCCACAGCACAGACCACAGACAGACTGCAGTGAGGAGGAGGACAGTAAATGTGACCGCTACATACACACATACACACGCACAAACACACACAATCATCAACATAGCTGGAGACAAGCATGTGTGCAGAAAATCAGAACACCTCATTCATATAGACTGAAACATTCACCTCCTCATAACACACAACTCATACCAACTCAGTCTACCAGCATATCAGGCCCTATGAGTAGCTTGCCGTACTATCCAGCAGAGGGCGCTCTCATTGTAACCATGCACTCTTGACCTTAGTAAACTAAATAGTACATTTACTCTTTATTTAAACATCTCAGAGGTTCAGTGTGGAAGTATCTCAGGATCTAAAGGACAAACACGGGTCTGTATGCTGAGTCTTCTTGACTGAAACAGCCACTTTGAGGACTTATCTGATGGTTTGCCACTTATGTAAAGCCGCAGTGGCAAAGGAGGCACCATGAAGCTGAACAACGGCATGTTTTCAACCCCTGTGTTCAATATTCGATCAAAGTAGATCTGTAGATAAACTAGCAGCCCAAAAAAGTAAGTGCAACACAGCAGGCTGAGAGCAGGATTAGGTTGTGAGTGTTAGTAAAGCAGAGGGACTGGGTGAGCATAGAGTGAATGTCGGGGAAGTTCATGTCCCTGCTCCACTTTTGGGGAGCTGTCGTGTTGTCCACTGTCACACCAACTGGTTCAAATGCACATGCTCAGACAGTTCAAACCTACTTTACGTTAAAAACATGAGAGTCGATCCTCATCAATCATGTCAGATCTCATTACAATGCTGGGATCGATTACTCTGGTCTATTTTTATTGACTCTACTCCCTGCAGGTGTGCCATCATCAGCAAACTTTGAACCCTTAGCTCATTACTGCTTGAGCCAATCAACAACAAACCAATAGACAGGAAACGTTTCTCACACACACACACACACACACACACACACACACACACACACACACACACACACACACACACACACACACTAATGTACACTCAGTCCCCTCCCCCTCCCCTATATACGAGCTGCACCCTGTCCCTTACACACATGGTTGGTTTTATCAGGGTAATGGTTGTGCAGTGTCCGGTAATGGGCCAGGAGGGGAAGTGTGTGTGTGTGTGAGTGAGTGTGTGTGTGTATTAGTCCTGTGGGAATATGAGAGACGTGCTGTGCTCGCTGTTTCCCCTGCATCTAAATCAGTACATTAAATCACACAAACACACACACACACACACCAAACATCTTTAAATCAACAGCAAATGCAGCTCTCCAATTAATCAAAAACTGAGCCCTGTGCGCAGACACATGCAGTATTAATGTACGTGTGTTTTGTGTGTGTGTGTGTGTGTGTGTTTGTGTGTGTGTGTGTTTCCTCTGCTCTTAAAAATACTGTGTAGGTGGATCTTTCCACACTCAGCCCGCTCACGCACAGATTTATTGAGGTCTTTCCATGTTTGCGCGTTTATGTGCGTGTGTGCGTGCACTGTCTTGCTGCACGTGTGTGTATTCAAGGTCTGTGTGTGTATGTGTGTGTGTGTTTGTGAAGTGGCTGCTCTGCATTGCTGTGTTTGACCACGATGACATGTGCAAACAGTTGTGCGCTGGTTTGCAGTGAATATCCGTTGAGTCAGAGACACAGAGGGAGCTTCAAACACACACATGCACACACACACGTCTCATTTATTGCTCTACAGTTGTGCGCTACTTTATTTGATTCCTAACACAAATCTTCAGAGTGGCTGGTTGTTGTGGTCTAGGCTGTGGAATCAGACTTAAGTTCTTTCCAAATCAACTGAAAACACCCAAATTTTCATACAAATATGTTGCTCAGGACAGCTTCGCCCGCCAGTTTGACTCACTGCATCACTACTGCATGACTCCTCATGGTGGTGCTAATGAAATGAATGAGGGGACCATGAACAGCCGCTGATTCACCAATGAGGAAGTCAACAGCAGGATAACAACAGAGTATGCCAAACAGCTGTGAAAAGAAGCTAAGAGAGCAGCTAGCCAAAAAGAGAGAGAAATATGCGTTCCAGGATGCGCTCCAGTCAACAGAGAATCGTTCACCTGTGGTATGAAGATTTTATGCTCTGTAGAGTGTTACATGATGATTCCTGCCCAGTTTAAATGCATCCAGAGGGAAATGTATGCTCACAGCGTAGTGTCCAAAGTCATTATTTATGTTGTTTTACTATTGAGGTATTTTTGGTAACCTTTGGTTAAACATTATGACATGATTATCGCTCTATCACTGTATTGAGTGTCATGGGTGAAGTATGCTGCATTGTTTCCTACTTTGTTTTCCACAGAGAAAATTCTTGGGCGAGCCACCAGGGTATATTTACAGCAACATGGAATGTTGAAATGTTTTAGGAAAGCATATTATTATCTGCGTTGTATCAGTATCGGCAGATAATTGCATAAAAATGCACATCACTGAATGTCTATATTTGAAGAATAATAAATTAAAAGAGGAAACAAATAACTTTAGGCTTTTGTTAGTCTGTTTCTCAAACTAATGAGACTGTAACAATAAGAGTTAAAGGTTAACTATTTCTGGAGAGACTCTGTGTTCTTTACAGTTCAGGAAGGTGTGTTTCTCTCAGTGTCAGTATTGGTATTAGCCCAAATATCGACACATCAGATATCAGCAAAAATTGGAAATTCTGCAAATGAATTGGTATCTGCTTAGTCAAACTCAGAGTACCAGCATATCTGATATTGGCATGTCAGGCTAAAATCAAATAAAATGTATCACAAAAATATTTCCAATGTACTGATGTCGACATATTGGACATCAACATAGCCGACATCGAGAGAACATCATGATCGAGAATAAAAACAAGGTGTCTTTTTAAAATTTCTTTAAAATTGTGGTTATCTGATATTGGCATTTCAAATATTGGTAAAATCCAATATTGTGTATTCCTAGATACCGGCGCATGGGATATATCAGGTTTCAGATATCAGTGTAAAGCCAATATCATACATCCCAGACACATTACAAATGAGTTCATATCTGCATATCATGTATCAGTAAAAATTTCATACTGTGCCTTCCTGTAATATCTTAAATTAATTGATATCTGCATATCAACAAATCAGGTATTGATGCAAATCCATTATTCTGCATCCCTTTAACATTTTAAAATGAATTAACCGTATAAAAACATTCTTCTGTGCAATTTTATTTATCTTTTTATTTTACAACTCAAGAAACACAGAGTATACCATTATGCAAAGCGCTTTTAGGGTCTCTAATAAAGCACTATAAGAATCTGAGGCATCAGTATTATTATTATCTGCAGGGAACACTGAATCATAATGGAAATGAGTCCACCCCTGGGTATTGGCTTATTACTGTATGTCTCCCTTATAATGGTTGTTTGAAACACCACCTTTATGATAAATCTCTGACAGCAAGGGTCAAAATATTCAGTGTTATTCTGCCTGGCTCCATACAGTGAGTGTCCTCTGCTGCTATTGGTTCATCTGAGATAAGCATGAATAGATTCCACTGACTCATGACTTTTCCATAACCTAATCATGCCAGTTATGATTCAATAAACCTGTTCAAATGCTGACTGACTAATTCAAATACCAGCTTCCATCATTCACTACACTGTGTCTGAATACCTGCCTGCCTACAGTAGATTTACAACAAGGTATTCCCACAGTTCATTCTTAACTGTAACCTGGTGTGTGTGTGTGGAGCAAACACAGACCTGATTACACACATACACACACACACACCACCTGTCAATGTTGTTCAGGCTCTCAGAGGATGTCAGCAGTTTCCATTCCTTCAGGCCAAACACCAGGGTCTCACACTAACTCACATACACAAAGACACACACATGTGAAGAGGCACAGATGCCCCACAAGCGTATGGATCAATCTCAGAATCGCAGCCGCCCACAGGCACACACACACACAAACACACAGAGTCCACGGTTCCCTTTTGTGCAAAAAGACAGGAAAAAAATACACAATCTCAAGGTCCCTCTCTCTCTTCCCAAATAGTCAGAGGGACGGATAGAAGGGAGAGGAGAGAGAGGAGGGAGAGGAGGAAGAGGAGGGATCTGAGGGTGTGGTGGTTTGAGGGAAAACATTTTGGCTCCTCTCTTAGAAACAACATCCAAACTGAAGCTGGGAGGGAAACCTTTCTTTACATGTTTCTACTCTTTTATTAGGCCTTTCTCTCTCTCTCCCACACCGCCCTTTCCTCCCCCCTTCCTTCCTCGCTCTGCCTTCACAGCTCCATACTGATTTCTGACCCTTACACACACACACACATACTCACACGGTCTTTGGCTCCCTCTTCACAGACAGTTTGTTTGCCGTGTTGGGATAAGAAGGTTGCCAAGAAACAAGCTCTTTGACTCCAAACACGTTCTGAGCCTCTATTTTCAGATCCTCATAAGAAACAATATCTGCATGTCAGGGAGGACTCAAACACACACAAACACACACAAACACACACACACCGAAAGGAAAAGCTACAGAACTCAAACTTGAGAGCAAGAGTAGTTGTTGCAAACTGATCTGAAATCAACCCTTAACAGAATCTGAAAAAAAGAGTACTAGAGTATGGAAACGCGTATATTATAATACAATAGGAACTGTGTTAATATCCATTAAACACACACACAGTGAACCTATTTGTCATCAATTAACACCAGCAAAGGTTTAGTGGGCATAGAGGTCTGTACCTATCTATGGTTTATCACACACATACACAAACGATGCGAAACGATATAATATGATAAAATGATATGTTACAATACAATATGATACGATGCAATCAGTTCAACACAATGAGTTCTTTCTATTCTATTGTAGGTTTTGACAGAGCATGAGTCAATACACTACGGTGAAGTGCACCAACAATACAATACAGTATAATAAGGTTCAAAAATACTGTGAAATTCAACAATCAGAGGCTCTTAGTTTAACTTAATTTACTACAAGACAATCCTATAATAATACATGCTGATATGTGATTGATGAAGGTAGAACTGGGGGAGGAGGGGGTCTCTTTAGAGCACTGAACCAGTTTTTCAAATCCTGATGTTTAGATTTGTATAAATGGATATTTATCTACATGATGACACAGAGATGATGTTTTAGGGCTGGGCGATAAACCATAATTTACCGATACACAAATTTTTGATAATAACCAACATCATTTTGCCCATATCAATGTTTCGGTGTTAAAAAAATAAATAATAAAAGTTGGTTTTGGATGTGTGTAGGTAGGTTATGGTCTCATGTCCCTTAAAGACGCTGTCCTACGTCAGAGATGTGACTCCACCCCATCCAGTCAGTAACAAAGAGGGAAAGTCAGGTGAGGAGATGAAGGATGGTTCAAAAGTTGTAGCGGCTGGAGCGACATCAATAACTTCTTTACTATGACCGGTAGTTCTGGTGCAGACGTGCAAGGGTGGCAGCATTAAAAACACACTCCCATCCCTGGAATGATTGGAAAGAAACTTGTTTAGGCGCTGTACTATTGCTCTACTGCTATACTTTTGCAATGATGGGATGCTCTGATGCACCAGCCAGATGAAAGAAACACTGCTCAACTAATATTCTGTCAAACTCAAAAGGACAAAAATAACGTTCAAAAATGATCCTTCTGCCTGTAACACAGAAAAGACAGCAGAGCACACACTGAGGGGCGAGGGTTTTGCATTGATAACTGGTAACACATTTCTGCTCTCTGTGTTTCTCCAGGTTGTGAGCATGTGGTTTAAAATGTACATCTGCTGATGATTTCTAAATGAAAGCATCTGGTTCTACTTGTGAAGTTGTTTAGAGGAAACACTTGGAGTTAATGTGTTTTTGAGCTCAAGGGCCTAACGCAAACTATTTCCCAATTTCACTTCAAACTTTGTCACAAACTCAGGTTACGACACTTCAAAACCTCCAGTTCTGCAAAGCACGCTGACATGTTCATATCCGACGAGTCTCGTTTGCAGAATAATTCAAAGAGGAAGAAATTACACAACACGTCTGCAAAACATAACAAAGACAACCTCAGACACTTGGCTGCCTCCACAAACTGCTTCATAACATGTAGAAAGTGTGGAGAGCGTCATACTAGTACCTGTTTTAAATGTCCCTGTGGGTTTGTCTTTGAAGAGAGAAACAGTGTGAATGAAGGCAGGAGCTATTTGGTTTTTAATAGCAGGTGCTGCAGATTTAACACCACCAGCCTCCTGAAACTGAAGCCGCTGAATGATGCTCCTCCATTTCAAAAGAAACTCATAAATACGAGTTTATTTGCATGAACCAAAGAAGAGTCACAAACTTTCTCTGACAGTCTGATGGAAACACACCTCAGAAGAGTGTTTGAGCCTCGCTGTGCTGCAGAAACCTCCTGTGAAGACGACAGGTGTTGTTTTGACAAACTCCTCCATACTAGCTAATGGAAACACTCTCACAAACACACACACACACACACAACCGTGCAGTCTCGCTTTGACAAGATGGCAGTTGCATGGTAACAGGGATGCAATGAAACACACAAGTGCAAGTTTTCAGGGACATGAGACCACTAAACCTGAGCCTGCCGCTCGCCAGACTGAGAGACTTCTGGTTTTACATTTAATAAGAGGAGGAACACAAACCTCCTGAGGTACAGTTCCCTGGCTTACTGACAACATACTGTTAATTAAATAACAGTCTTTGCATGTTTCTTATTCAGGGTTTAGTGATTAACAAGGTCAACGTTGACATATACAACATGTAACTGCTGTCCTGGCAACATCAGGTCTTCAAGTAAAACAGTAAAGCCTAACACCTTGTTGTAAAAATCCACTCACCTCGTGAGACCAGCAGCTCAGGGTATAAACTCTACTTCTGCAACACCCAGAAGGTTTTCTGTCCCACAGACAATATGGGTGTATTTTCAGAGACTGATCACATACGATACCCGCCAAACAAGGGTAATCTGTGCGGATCTGTGTTTAAACTGAATTGAAATAGTGCCATTTCGGTTGTTAGCTGATCAGCTCATTGTTTTGGTCAACCAATCAGAGGCTGCATCTGTGATCAGCTGACCTCTAAAAGGTCCTGTAAGAGGCCAGATGTCTCAGCATGTTCAGGCCACACAAAAATGCAACAAATATTATTGGGGGGGGTTGAGAAGCCTGGATCTAAATGGTTCAATATAAAACAATCCTAATTTTCCTTACGTCCCATGAAGCAATAAAACCTGTCCTAATTACCTGCTATTCATATCCCTCCATTATCAAGGTCATTCATTACCATTTGATGTCATACAGTACAATGTGATGCCATTACATAACACAGCATATGATATAACAGCAAACAATACAATACTATATATTGTATATTTACATATACAAACCTACCACACCATATGATACAAGACATTATGACACGATACGATACCGTTTTATGCAATACAAGAGAATAAGTGATTATACAATTCAACATGCTATGATTTAGTGAGTTAGGGTACAAGGCACTTTACTGACCCCTTAGGGAAATGTGTCTTTTGGACTACACATGCTCAACTGCATCAACGATAGTATTAATGAATGAAATGTGATTAAACAATGTTAAAACAAGCAATAACTGGATTTAGTTATGGGTATCGATGAAAGGTCTCTATAGATATAAAAACACAATAACATAGATGTAGCTGATAGATAAGCCAATGATGCTCTCAGGGTCAGAAACAGCGAGATGTGCAGCAGCTCGTTCTGTCAGATGAAGCTCACTTAGTTCAACTGTTATCATGTTGTTGCTGCTCTGAGTGTCTGATCACCTCACAGTCTTAACTGACTGACTGCCATTTGCATAACAGACCGAGCATGGACTCAACACACAGACAGACAGAACACTGTGTGTGCATGTGTGTGTGTGTGACCTTTGAATGTTGTTTGACTTAAAGGGAGGAATCTGGCACACACAGAGCGACTGAGCTAATGCTTCAGGTATGTCGACATGCCACAGCACGCTCGTTTTCTCACTGAACACACACACCTATCACTCTCGTGTTTGTCGGTTATAGTTTGTGTGTGTGCGTGTGTGTGTGTGTGTGTGTGCGGTTTGTCTGCTTCTGACAGGTTTATTGCAGCAGGGCAGCGGTGCCCTGTGCTTTCTCTTAAGGAGTCTGTTTTCACTCCTGAAGGATTCAATTAATGTGAGAGGGATGTGTCCGGGCCACATTTTCTCACACACATCCCAAACGCACACACACACAAAAACACACAAGGGAGGGGGCTGTGTCTTGAATACATATAAACACACACTCACCACATTAATTTTAAGGTAAACAGACACACTAACTGAGCAGTGTGGAAGACAAACTGGTAACCCTGCCCTGCACACAGCATGAATCATATTACTGTGTGTGTGTGTGTTTGTGTATGTGTGTGTGTTTGTGTATGTGTGTGTGTGTGTGCGCGAGTGTGTGTCTGAGAGAGAAAACATTTGAAGCGCCACCACATTTATCAGCCCGTGTATGAATGTGTTGTGGTCAGGATAAATCTCTTCCTTGCTCGCTCTCTGCAGAGCGTCTCAGGGGGAAACCCGGCGCTGACTGCACTAAGCACAATCACATGCTCCCATTCCCATACACAGGACCCCAATCTACACACACACACACACACACACACACACACACACACATACATACACACATACACCTACCCACACACACCCACACATACACACAAACAAACTCTTATCCTCTGAAAACAAAACAGCACTCTCCACCTTCTGGTTTCTGCTCATTGAGTTCTCCTTTAGTCTCTATTTACATCTCCACTTTCAACATCTACACCCACCTCTGTATCTCACCACAGAGAACCGGGGCCACGTTTGAGGAAAGAAAACAAGAATTCAAAGACTGAACTGGTGAGTTTATGGGTATAAAGTTGTACATTTCCAAGAGTAAACCCGAAAAGGTTATTTCCCTTTAATAGGTTACTTGTTTGTTATTTCGAAGTGGCAGATCTGATCAGAAATGAGAAAAACTGGTAGCATTTTGTGTTGTTATACTTGAAGATAACTTATAAAACCTCAGTGTTTCAGCATATCAGCCTCACATTCCCATAAATGTCCCAATTGTGGAAAAAACTGTAATGAAGATGTGTAGTTTAGTATGCAACTTGTACTCACTACTGCAACCTGTTTGCTCTCAGCTGTTGAGTTGAACTCCCTATTTTGGTGCAGGCATCTGGCCGCTTCTCTGATATTTTGTTCAAAACTACACATAGATTAACTATAGCCTGTAATTATGACTTTATTCTTGCAAGATTACAACTTTAATCTCATAAGATTACAACTTTACACTCCAAAACTTAATCTTTTTTGTATTTCTTGTGGTAGCCCTAATCCTCTGCCATATAATCTCACATGGATCTTATTCTTATTCTAGAGATGGACTGATATGCCCGCTTCAATGGCCGCCATTCATCCAATAGTCTGCAGGGTGTCCTTCCTAGAATGGTGGGTTAGGGGGTTGGTATATCTCTTATTAAAAGGTTTAATATAGTCCTTTTGGTAACTATGATGGTAGGTTTACAGGGTTTAAAGCTCGAACCTTCAGACTGGTGTCTTTGGTAATGATAGACTGATCAATCAGGCTGACTTAGATGCATTTAGAAATCAGCATCATATCGACATCTGTCCTTACAAACCTGATATCACCATCTTCTTTTGTGGCTCTAGTTTGCTATAATTGTTATAATATGAAGAATATATAGAAGAAATATTGCTCCTCACGGATATATCAGTCATGCTCTGAAACCTATAGAAAGCCTGCAGTGTTGGTCTTTTTCATATACTCATTAAACGTCAGTATTACGCGATACTAATGAAGATAACTACATATGTATGATTTTAAAATGCATCAATAAAAACTGATTTTTTGATGCACAGCTGAACAATCTTACTGTTCCAAGCTTTTTTTCTGTCGATAATGATTTAATAAAATGCTCAATCAAGTTCAGCTATTCTGCATCTCACTTGTATGAACTTTTAAACTGACATACCTCATGAATTCCGGAGAAAAAGAGTCTTTCAGTTTGTTAAATGTGGAGGAAAGCGCAATCACCGCTCAACAGACTAATACTTGGGTGCTTCATTTACACGCAGTTTTTAACTCTCTGACTCTGAAAGTGTTATTTTCTGTCTAAAAACTACTGCCGACCTTATTTTAACCTCATTTTATTCAGTATTCCAGCATTGAATTCAGTTTACGTTATTTTGATTGTAAAGTAAGATACAGTCTTCAAAAAGGCTTCTCCTGAAAATACAGTTTAAAAATGGGAGTGTATTTCAGGCTGCATCAGGACTGACTTCACTAACAGCTGTAACAAACAGCTCACACACTGTGTGTCTCTAGGAGGCGGTTTGGCATCAACAGAGAGGTGTGTATATAATCTGTATTATCCTCTATAATCAAACACCCTCATTATTCACTTCTAGATTTTGAATTTTGGGTCTTTTAAAGCTCAGACTGCCATTAATCTTACCAAGATCATGACAGTATGATGAAGAACAGAATAACTGTCCATATGTAATCAAGCTAGACTAAACAACACAAACATGCAACATCTTGTCCTGGTGAGTACCAAACAGCTGATTGTTTTGGACTTTGGTTTAGCTGATCAGCAGTTTAAGGACCAGAATCAAGTCAGAAAGAAGAAGACTTCTCTGAAAATTATGATAGGAAATCTGTATCCCTGTCTCCAGCATCCCTCTGAGGTGCAGACACATTACAGCAGGTCCTCCTACCGCTGCTGTGCTCAAGAGAAGAGAGCGAGGGAGAGGACAGATGGCCTCAATCTGGTGATGGGGGGCTCCAGCAGACCTCCAGCAGATAGAGGACCTTTAACAGCCATCTTTCCAACAATGGCTTGAACCTTACTGAGCCATGAGAAACAATGAGGAGGATTTCTTTTTTCATTATCACTTTTATATTCAATCATATTCACTCTAAGGGAATGAACTAAGAAGGTTCAGAATAAAGTTTAAAAAAATGTAGCAAAGGTAGGACTGAATAAAGGGGACTGTTTGCCTGTGTTTGTGAATGATCAGTATTACTCCATACAGTATTGGCTGGGCCAGTTTAAACCTTAACAGGGTTTAATGGGACACTGCATTCATCTTTACATGCTTATCATTCCTGCTGATAATGAACTGGTTATTTATTTACAGTGCGAGTACGTGAGACGGTAATTGTTCACTGTCGTATTTTTTGTGGACCTGCTTTGTTGCCACTGATCTACCATGTACTTTATTCTTGACGTCACATTTGGGCTCTCTTTTTTCAATATTTTGACTTTCACCATCAAGTTAGCTTTCAACATTACTCTCTTTTCTCTAATTATAAGCCTGGGTCAATTATCCAGGCAATATTAGGCATTTCACTGATTATCTGTTTGCCGTTTCATTCAACAGATTGCTGATTGAAATAAATTAGTTAAAACATGGACTACTTTGTCTCTGCTGCCGGTGTGTCTTTCCATCTGGGTGTATTTGCACCACTCTGCCTTACCTAATGTCCCACCCACAACAGCTATCTGATTTGCTAGATGCAACTGAACTGTGATGTAACTGGCTGACTGTTAACTCCTGTATATAAACAGGGGTGTAAAAAAATCGATACAGCATAGTATTGAGATATTTTGTCTGGTGATATATCGTATTGTCTCATTGACCAGGTATCGATTTTTTCAAATTAATTGCTAAAATGAAGTCAAATCTATGATAATGGAAAAATAAAATTAACTGTTTGTCCAGTGAGGTTGGCAGAGGTGACATCATAGAAGATTAATAAATTGCAATATATAGTATTGCAATGTTCACTGTATTGCAAAATGCTAAAAATCGAAACGTTATCATATCGTGGCCCAAGTATCGTGATAATATCGTATCGTGTGGCCACTAGTGATTCCCACCCCTATTATATAATCTCAAATAGTTACTAAAGGCCTTTAAGAAAGTTTTGTTTGACTTTGTAAAGTTGAAAATTCTCAAGTTTGACAGAAAGTTTTTCATTATGATTGTAAATGCATAAAGATCCACTTATCGGTGTCATAAACTTCTTACAATCAGGATCAGCGTTGGCCCTAAAAGACCAATATCAGAACTTTAAAGAAAAAAAAACCCATCCTCTTAATTGTTTTCCCCTATTTTTGACCCTATTACTCTTCCGTGGGTCTCTTTTTGCTTCACTGTCAACTACTTTCAGCCAAATCAGAGTCCAGCCCGCTCCAGTAAGTGAGGTAGAAACCCTTTAAAAAGTCAACTTATAAAGAAAATAACGGATCCTCCAGGGAGACCAGGGTGTGTTAGCAGCTCCACTCTACTATAAGGAGGTCAGCCAGAAACAACACTGCTAAAACACTTACAGAACATGCAAACACACATACACAGCACACACCAGGGGTGACCTCGGCTCCTCCACGCCATCCTGCAGCGCTGAGTTCATGCTGTTTAATGCGAGTTAAATGGGACCATTATGAACAGGAGCAATTACTGGGTAATTATCATGTAACAGGGCTGTGTGGTGTTATAACAGGCGCAGGGCTGAGATCTCACTCGAGTTTGGTTAGTCTAATGTGCGGGGATTTGATATTCAAGGGTGTCATAAAGCTAAATGACCTGCATCGTACTGTAAGGTGGTGGTGTGTTTCAGTGGGTGGAGGCTGAGAGTGTGTGGAAGGGGGTATGATGAGAAGGTCAGTGTGTGGGCTGAATAAAGCGCATCCTGCTTTATGAAAGGAGTGTTTAAGCTGACAGTCCAGGCTGGAACTGCGCTGGGTCAAATCCACTCCATGCGCACACACGCACACTGAAGTACACACCCACCGCTGGTTTAACAGCCACAGGAGGGGGACATTATCTTCAGTCAAACACACTGCTGCTACAGACTCACAGAGATGCTATTTGCACGGTTTAGAGTAAATCCAAACATCTGATCGCTCCTCCTGAAAACATTTCCACGTTACTCCTCAGCCGCAAGAAAATCACATCAGCTTGCTGCAATAAGCTGCGCCCTGGCCCATCACATCACCGCCATTCACCCATCAATCATCCCCACGCCCCCCTGCTGAGGGCTGATTTCATCTCTGACAGCTTTTTCATGTGCGTGTGTGTGTGAGAGAGAAGGGAGTGTGTGGGCTCTGCCGGTGTGTCGAATTAACGCTTCATCAGAGCCCTGCCCTGGGAGCGCTGCATTGCTTTACAAGACCTTCTGGTACCACGGTGATCCAGAACGACAAATGCTGCATTGAACCCACGCTCCGGGAGAACAGCTGAGGAAGAATTCGATCATCTCTGGGGATTTACCTCTGCAAAACAACAACTGGAGCCGAGTGTGCAGCTGAAGGACTTCATGTGAGTCCGTGTTTGGTAGACTTTCTAGCGGACCATTCTTTGCCTTTTCCTCACCACAAACCTGAATGCCAAGGTGTAATGTTACCTTTACTGAGAGCAGCAGAGCGCAGAAAGTGAGAGCGAGAGTAAAAGGGACAATCAGCAGCTCAGCAGGGGATATCATATACTGTGTATGATCCACAGGGAAACACACGCCTACAAGCTTAAAACAAACACATGGTGGTTCACTTGTTTAATGGCCAAACACATGCAAAACATACAGCCCGCACAGATGCCCTCATGAGCGTGAAGCAGCAGAGGGGTTGTCGAACAGAATCGGTACAAATGCATCAAAAAGCAGCATCCACAAGAGCTGCTTCTCCTCTGAGAGTGAACTACAGCTCACACAAATACTCCAGCAATTTACCCCCGAAAGGGTCAGGAGTGATCTGTCATCCCTGCAGGGTCACAACTTAACCACCCCCACCCCACCCCCCAAACACACTCATAAACTGCATCTGCTCCACAGCTATGACGCTGTAATAGAACACATGCAATCCAAAGCCATTGCACCCTGACCTGCACACTGCTGCAGCAACACCTACCAAAGCACCACAGGCTGGTGGTGGAGCCTCCAAAAGCACCGCTGTCCGTGTGTGCATGAGTGAAATAAAACCTTATGTCATTTCCCGCTAACCCTTCACCTATCTTAAGAGCTGGGGATCCCATACTCTGCATCCGTAACCTATCTTAACAGACACACCTCCTTCCAAGACCTACAGCTGGGCTTATTTCCCCCACACCTCCGCGTAGAGACATCGGAGCGATGACCGCACATGCTGACACAAACTGTGCGCATTTTGGCGCAGCGTTCTCTCAAGTTAATATTTGATCATGCGAAGGCTGTAACATTACATCATTCACACAGCAGAGGAAGCTTCATGCACTTACTGTGGTGTGGATGTAGGTTAATGGCCGATGGCAAGAATTTCCCGGAGTGGAGAGGCGGCGGATGACTCGTGCCCAAGTGACCGGGCGAGGGAGGGATCCTCCCGGCTGCTGCTGCTGCTCCGAGTCGGTGAGACTCCATTGCGAGCCCCGCCAGCAACGGAGGTGGTACATGGACAGATCGGGGAGGTCCAAAATCTCTGCCATCCATTATACACGGAGGGAAAAGTTGGGAAAAGAAATAGTCCGTTCGGATAGGCCCCCTAGTCCGAAAAAGCCAATTTTGGCTATAATAATGTCTTTAGTTCCCCAGGCGAGTCGGGCCCCTTTTCAGCCATCCCGCTGACCTACAAAATACAACAAGAAAAACATCGCTGGGTTTACATTCAAAGGGCACACTGAGCAAACTGTTGGAAGTGCTTGTTTTCGGATTTCTCCTCTTTCCAGCGAAACAGGCGGTCCAAACGTGCAATGACGCAGTTTGGAAAAGCACTTCAAAAACTAAACGATGAACACAAGCTGCTCGACAGAAGGAGAATTTGAGACCATCCTGGTGTGCCCAAACTGCAGGATATAGTGCAGCTTTAACTTATTTCGATAATATTAGGATTTAATGTTGAAGCGGACAGGCAGCACTCCACCCCCCTCTGCACAGCGAGTAGCAGCCGCTCCGGGGCTCCGCTTTCCGGGGAAACACATGCAAAGAGAGGGGCGGCCAGCTGCTCTGCCCCGGCCATGAAAACAGCCTCTCGTCCCGGACTGGATACGCACACGGTCAAATTTTAATAACCCTTTCTGTCTTTTCCGATTACACAGCTGTTTTTCTAAACCTTAAAGCGCCAATGTAGGCAATGGGCCGAGCCTCCCTGTAAACCAATACACCATAAATACTGGAGGAGCATCAAATATAAATTTCAAACAGGTTAAAAATAAATAAGGTTGCAAAAGCCTGCATCATTCATCAGCGGGGTTAGCGGTGTTTTGTTGCCCACAGAAGCGGATTTTAGTCCGGGCTACAGTTGGACATGGGTGCTACCCAAGAAGAGGGACCAAACCTAACCCAGAAATACTTAAATTTACAGTTTTAAACAACAAAACTTAATCTCATTTGCATAAAAGGCGGTTTATCGTCAAAATAAATAACATATATTAAGATACGGAATTGTGTTATCGCCGGACAGCCCAGTTTGGACACTATCGACCTGAGTAGAAGCTGGTAAAAGGTCGATTAATCGTTTTCGCAAACACATGATAAATACAGTTTTGCAGATGTGTTTATTTGTAGAATTTTAAAAAATAACAACTCGAGTTACTTTACAGGGATTAAGGGCAAACATGCGACTTTCCCATGAGGATGTGATAAAATCGGAGTCATGTTGAGTCTTAACTATTTTTATCCAAACACTATGAATCAGTGTCCTTTGTATTTTCGATAAAAACAGGCGAAAGTCGAGTTAACCTTCAGAGGCTGCAGACACAAATACATTATACAGCAATGACTCGTGATATCCAGGCGGCGGGATGAGAAGAAAGAGTGCTTCAGAAATCACAATAAAGCCATTTTTCCCCTCGCTAAAACCTCACCAAACAAACATGTATGCAGCGCCTCTGAAATAAACCTGGGAGGTATATTGAAACTTTTCTCTGTTTGCGGTCCATGCGGCACGGCAGTGAGGAGCACGGTGTTTCAGCCACGTTTCAAACTTTTCACGGTTCCATTAACGACACGAAAACTTTCTCAGCGGAAACGTCCACAGAAACGGCTTTTTCACGCCGAAGAGAGCCCCCGAAAAATCCCAAATGTCGCACGAAATTGCATCCGCGCCATTTTTACACGCATTTAAAGCCTGAATTAATTTAAAATGCTCGATATTTAAAGAAAATGGTCGTTAAATTTGTAAAAATAAGCAAGAGAAAAGCATGCCGTCCGCTTACTTCAAAGAGGGAACTCTTGAAAACGGGTTAAAAATGTCTTAAGATCCGTCCGGGTGGCTGGAAGAGCTGGAATAGTCCATAACAAGCTCGTCCGAAGGTAAACTGGGGGATATCTGGGGGGAGAGACAGACCCTGCCGCGTCCGTAAACTCTTCAGCAATGAAACGCAGCATTGTTTTCAGACCCCGCCCACCTCCCCTCGATACCACCCAACCCCAGCCCTGCCCAGGACGGCTCACTCTTCTCGTGTCTGATTGGCTGCGCGGACTGTCAATCAAAGTCCCCGAGAACAGAGGGAAAAAAAACACTGGCCCCACGCCAGCACTACAAAACCAATTATGGAGCAAGAAGGTTGAGCCGTTTCAAGGTCCCCTCTCCTTCAAGACCCAACTGATCAAAACAACACTGGGTTTCTGTTTTTTTTTGTAGGGACGATGGTGGTCGAGGTGGGGGCGAGTTTCATGGCGACCCCCCTCGTTTTCACGCTAGTTAAAACAGACGCTGAGTGACTGGGGAGCGAAAAGTATGGGGGCGTAACAACGCCCTACAACACTGTGCTTGTTTTATATACCGTGGGCATTGGTTTACATTTTCTCACGGAAACACGTGAAATAATGACAGTCTGTTTTTTTTTATATAGTTGAAATAAAAAAGGGGATTTTAAATGAGAGCACTGCATCCCCACGGTTTCCTACCATTCAAATAAGTTATTTTATTCACAGAGCTGTTGAAAGCCCCCAACTAATCCACAGCAATCATTATTGAGGAAGAGGAAGACCTAAGCAACCACAGGCACACATTTATGTATTAGTTCACTTTCTGTCCCCCATTATGATCTGGAAAAAAGGGACAATATATAGCTTGCAGGAAGTTATCTTAAAATAATCTTCCAACACCCACTGGCTACACTATGAAAAAGCTGAAGTGGAATATTGATAGAAAGGTGGTTTTATTTATCTGTAAATTCCCTATTAATGTGGATTTTACTTCACATTTTCATTCTCAGCAAGGCATGGACATCCTGTTTTACTGTTATGAATCACATCAAACTGAACATTTTCATTTACAGTAAAGTGTAAATGTGTTGGGACCAGTGTTGTTTTCGTTGATGAAAATATTTCATCAATGCCCCCTTTTTTCCACGACGAAGAAGTGACGTTGACAAGCCAAACATAAGTCTTATATGACTAAAATGTGATGAGACAAATGGGCGTTTACGTTGACGAGACTAGACTATTAGGTGATTAGCAATAGAGCTGCAAAATTTGTTTCTCATAACAACAGGATTCCTGGTCACCTACTCAGCATGCCAAGTGGAGCTGCAGTTTAAACTCCGCTAGGATTCACTGAACTTCTGATCTTGTCCGATAAGGTACCAGTGAAAAACAATCTATTGATAAAAAAAAAACACATATCTGCCTCTATGGTGGCAATATGGCTTCCTTAAGGTATATTTATAATTGGACAATCACCCAAATATATACAACATTATACAACTTGTGTATTTCCATAAAATTTGACAAAAGAGCCATAGGCTAACTGGTTGTACGTTGAATATTGAGAACATGCATAACTTTACAAAACTGTACATCTTCCACACGACTGAGACCACAGTATTGTATTTTTTGCTCCTGATCTTTTTTTTCTGTTAAGGTTTTCTTTACTTTCCCAGCTTCTTACAATGCATCTAACTGTCTGACTTTTGACTCCAAGCTTGGCATATTAACTATTGAGCATGTGCGGAAAACTGGGCTGGTTTTGAGTCAAAAAGACCATTCTCTGTTTTGTTTTGCTTTTCTTCACATTACCTATACATACTGACAGTGACAGGCCAGAACAAGCTCACTCTAAGGAGGTGAATTTCTTCACATTTTCATGTTTGTTTTGCGGTTTGAAACTCTATCTGATGAAACCAGTTGTAATCATCTGGCTTTAAGTCAAAATCTCCATGAAACAAGTGGCATTTAATCTTAATCATGGGAAAATGGAGTTGATACTTGTCTGAATTAAACTGTTCATAAGCAAAAAGTAATAACTGAAAAAGCCCTGACAAAAAATAAGTGGACCAACTCTTTATTTGAGTTAACCAACATATGTATATATAAACAGTATAGAACTTGTGTATTGAATCATGTACCATAAAATTTGACAAAAGAGCTATAGGCTAACTGGTTGTACGTTGAATATTGAGAACATGCATAACTTCACAAAACTGTACATCGTCCACACGGCTGAGATCACAGTATTGTATTTTTTGCTCCTGATCTTCTTTTTCTGTTAAGGTTTTCTTAACTTCCCAGCTTCTTACAATGCGTCTATCTATCTGACTTTTGACTCAAAGTCTGGCATATTAACTATTGAGCATGTGCAGAAAACTAGGGCTGGTTTGGGTCAAACTCAGTGATACACTTGCAAGAGACTGCCGTAGACCGTCACATTATCTAGGTTTAGTAGTAAAACTTTGAGAGGCTTCAGTTGTGTCTACATGTATTTAAAAAGACCAGAGCTGTTTTTTAAATTACATATACATACTGACGGTGACAAGCCAGAACAAGCTCACTCTAAGGAGGTGAATTTCTTCACATGTTCATGTTTGTTTTGCGGTTTGAAACTCTATCTGATGAAACCAGCTGTAATCATCTGGCTTTAAGTCAAAATCTCCATGAAACAAGTGGCATTTAATCTTAATCATGGGAAAATGGAGTTGATACTTGTCTGAATCAAACTGTTCATAAGCAAATAGTAATAACAGCCAAAGCCCTGACAGAAAATAAGAGAACCAACTCTTTATTCTGTTTTGAAAAAGTACAACCATGAGTCATTAAATTTGCAGACACTGAGGAGGATGTCTGTTTTGGTCTGCTGTATTTATTCTAACTATCCTGAACTGTGAAGTGATAGCTAAAACAGCAGCTAGAAGACCAGGTCCATTTTTCGTTGCCCTCATTTGTGCTACAGTTTTAATTCTCACACTCCAATGAGACCCCACTCTCAGTATGCAAATGTTCCCAGCGGGCTGTGAAGGTGAAGCTTTGCTGGATGTCTCTCTGTGTTTAATCTGCCTGCAGTCTTTGCGGAGACTCTCACATTTGCATGAGAAGAGGAGGAAAAAGTGGCGCACTCATTTAGTGCTTGTGTTAAAATTCAGAGGGAGGGTGGTCGACCTCTGCTGTGTGAACTGAAGGTCCTCTCACATGACCTCCTCGTGCACGCTGCTGCTGTACTGTCCCACTCTACTCTCGCGGTTTTTTTATGATCAGTCGATTTCCCTTTGAGGTAAACTGCTCTGCCTTTAGTTAGAAAAAATGTTGATTAAAAAAACTGAGCCGGTTTCAAGCTCCCCTCTCTTTCTAACCCTCCCAGCCCCTCCTTCATACAGTGTGACGGTTTCAATGAGCCCCGTCGACTGGGAAAGGGGAGCGTCTGAAGCAGAGAGCAGCAAACCGGAGAAGGAGAGGGGAAGACGGCGGAGGTCTAGTTGCAACCCCGTGAAAGAAAGACCTCACATGAACGACGAAGAAACCGAGTCGGTTCGTGGTTGCCGACGTACTCCAAACATTAGGTGCGATACCGACGGTTCGATACCGGCGTGTCCATTATTTTATCGGTTTGTACTCATTCGGACGACCGAGCCGATCAGAAAGAAGAGGCCGCTCAGCGACAGCCCTCACCCGGCTGACCTGTCTGACTAGACCTGGGGAGGGAATTACCAAGTGGAGATCAGAGTGAGGTCCCGTCCGAAGGGACCAAGCGGCCCTTTGTTCTCCAAATCTCCCCGACTGGGAATTCAGACAATGCCTTTAGATTAGGGCTCATTGTTGCTGTCTGTCACCCTGTGAGCAGGAGGCTGCTCTCCCTTTTTCCGTGTTGTTTTTCGGGTGTCATGCCGCGGAGGTCGTGGGGGTATTGTCCAAACCCGAGGTGGGTTTTTGCCACAGTATTGGTTTGTATTGGATTTTACTCAAAAGGTTTCCTTAGATATCGAGGGTAGTAGTGATTACGATTTAAACTGGGCTGGCTATAGCCAATTTGGCAGGATTATGATAACGAGTCCCAAAAATAATTGAGGGTGCCAAAGAGGTTTCTTATACGTATTTATTCTTTTTTTAAATTTTTATTTTATTTTCACAGAGAATGCCAAGAAATTATGCACCCTATCACATAAACAGACATGTTTTTATGTTACAGAGTATACTTTTTAATATTTTATCATCAGCAGTTTTCGACAAGATGACATTATGGGGCTTTTTTGGGAGACAGCTCACAATCTCAGTAGAAGTGCATAGGAGTTTTCCTTAATTTTTAATATATAAATGCTCCATCAGATTTTCATGCACCCTTAAGATTTTATTTGCATCACTAATGAGAAATCTTGCCTTAAATTTACTTGACAGCAGCTTTGATTTAAGATTTAATGACTAAAATTGGAATACTTGCAATTAGTAACTGTTACTTTTGTGTGATATACAATAAATGCTGTAGTTACTTGTCCACCTAAAGGATTTTCAAATACACATCCAGATTTACTCCGTAGTTCACCAGATGTAACTGTGTTGTGAGCTCTCTTTTCTATGCAGATATTATTTATTTTATCCGTGTGGCAAAATTGCTCCTGTGAGAATGTACTCATTCTGCACAATCGGATATAGAGTGAGAAATTTGAGCTTTACATTCACATTTCATGGTAAAATCTAACAGATATGCACTGCCTGTTTATTTCTAGGTTATCCTTGTCATGCCTTACAGCAGGAGCAGATGGGAGCATTTGGTAGATTGTGTTTTGTAGTTTATGCACCAACTGTGCTGTTTGAGGACGGTCCAACTTGAAGCTTCGAGCTGGTCTCTCTGCGGAGCTGCAGTGGAAAAGTACAGAGATTTATAGCCGGAAGGCTGCTGAGTCAATATAAAACCACAGCCAGTTTTTCATTCCAGGAACATGTTTTTTTATGGCTTGTTATCCTTGTTTTCAGCTCTTATCTTTGCCAGAACAACATCTCATCTCTACATCACCCTTCAAGCCACACAGTGCCCATGATATCACTGCTAGGGTTTCTGAGTTCATTGTGTGCTGTCATTTGAAGGGTCAGGTAAATGATTTGATTTCAGGCTGTGCGTTTTTTTTTTTTTTTTTGCCCACAGGGGACAGCATGAATTTATTCAGCTGGGAGATGGGGTCTCGGTCCTCTCTGCAGAAGAAATACATTAATAAATAAAGAGATGTCTCCCCGCATAAGCACCCTCTCCCACTCTCTTACAGTATAATCTGACTCCAGGCTCCAGGATAATAAAGCCTGAATATACAGCTATGCTCCCATTTAAATACATTTCCCTGTATATGCTACGTATCTCTATTATATTCATACATGCTGGAATAAGGAGCAGAAGAAACAGTCCAGATAAATGTAACCCCTTCAATCACTTCTCTCCCACACACACAGCCCTGCATGCCCTGAGGGTTAAATCAGTCATCATACCTCGTCTCATCTGCACAGCTACCGTATTGTTATCACAGCTTCTACTGCAGCAACACAAACCCACAACATGACTGTGTGGAGGGCTAATTGCAATGTCACAATTGCACACAGACACACATGCACAAAACAGGTCTGACATCAGCACTAACACCAACTGAAAAGCACACATGCACAAGTGCATACAGCTCTCATGGGGAGGCTGTCAATCATCACTCAGAGCCTCCCAGGGATTTACAGAGGACAGCTTGAGGAGGGGGAGGAAGGAGCGCGCGCGCGCACACACACACACACACACACACACACACACACATGCATGCACACACATCACCCTGACACTCCTAGAATTAAATGTGTAGAAAGACACACAGCAGAAGCACACTAACTAAAAACCTTACACTATCACGACAAACATCCCCTCTATTATCGTTTATCATCATTTCACCATGTTCACACAGCAGCCATTTTCCTCTCATTCTCAGGGCTGGTGGCAAAAGTACTGTGATCGTGTTTACCTCCTGTTTCCCACGTATAAACACTGTAAACACTGGGCGGCTGAAAAACTCATTATTTCACTGTTTTCTATTAAACACCAACAACACAGTAGAGAATTTTCTATCTATAAAAACACATGCCACACCACATATTTAATAACCTACTGGCAACAGTTGGACAACAGCAGTGCTTTGTATTCAACCACTTCCAAACCCAGTAACTATTTATTGTGTTGTTTTGTTGGGCGTCGTGTAGGCTGTCTGTGACCATGTGTTCTGAACTGGGGGAAACATTCGGACTGAACTCTAATATGCTGTTTACTCTGAGAACAACTGGAGCCTATTAGCTCCCTCACAGCCACCTTTGTAGTAGCGATAAGTTAAAGCTCCAGTGAATAACTATGCCCAACAGAAACATGATTTATAACTTACAGCAAGACTGAGGTCCTTCAGAGTTTCACTTCACATGAACTCTGACTTTGTCGATCGGTCTGAAAAAGAGGAAATGATTGCTGTGTGATTGTAGTCTGTCGATGATGCTGCTTCAAGTATGTTGAGGGTTAATAGAAGTATTTTTATTTCAATGTTTCTGAGGTTTAAAATAAAATGCCGTCCATTCATAATAAAAAACTTTAGTTTTCCGGGACTCAGCCAACACATATGAGAAGCACCATAAAAAGTACACATAGAACAACCTATTTGACCCAAAAGTGCAGCACATTTGATCAAGATTAAGACCTGTAGTAACTAAAAACAGACAACATCTACTGAGTAAACGCAGACTGACAGTTACTGTAAAAAGCTGCAGTTTGGATTTCATTCCATTCAAACAAATCTATTTCTGTTTAACTGCGCTGAGCCAAGGACACACATGGCAGTCAAAGCAAAGTGATCCCCATCTGCCACTGCTGCAAACTAAGAGGGGGGCTGGGGGGAGGGGGGTATCAACCATGCATGCAGGGTGCTGGAGTGAGTCTGCAGAGCATGGGGGAGTGTATTTTTGGTGCCTGTTTCTGTGCGGTTAGGATCTCTGAGAAAAACAGCGTCACTACAAGCTCGAGGAAAGACTTAGGTAACTTCCTCTGCTGAGGAAAAGTACTGTAACTGACCACAGTGCAAGCAAAACTACCTTTACTCAAAACAGCTAATTTTTATAGAAATTCTCTTGCATATTTCTTCAAACAGCACCGCATTTGTATCACCTGACTATGTCCATTTTTGTACTTCTTTTGCGTTCTCATATCCTTCATACAGTTGTCCTTGATTCATTTGATTTCACTTCTGTGATGCAACATCTGTTGATAGATTTTATTAATGTTTAGGATAAGATAAGATTTTATTGATCCCTAGAGGGAAAATTCAGGCCACAGACACATTAATAAAGTATGCAGTATGACGTAATGGTAATAGAGTATGATATTAGTGTAATGGAGACTAACAGCACAGCAAAAAAGTAAAACTGCTCTCTAACAAAGTATATTAGCACTTATGTATGAAACCAGAGAATAACAACACTGTAGAAGAATACAGCACTGCTCTAGATCAGACAGAAGTCTATCTGCTTCAGTTTTGCAGTAAAGAGGAAACCACACCATCCAGTCTCAGACTGATTCCTCTGACCAATTCTTGCGCCTCTCTGTTAGAAATATTTCTACAGATCTGCTGTCCATCTATCAAACAGGAAAGTGTGCATGTGGACAGAACTGCGGCGGGGTTGCATCACCTCTGCTGAACATGTCAGTCTCAGGTTAATGCAAATCACCATGAGACAGGCACACACACTCAGGAGGAGCTGCTGCATTTGAATAGAATCAGTTATTCTCTGCTGGCCTCCTCCTGACAGCGCTGCTGGCCCTCTCTTTGCCTTTCACCCATTTTAGTGCCAAACCAGGCGGTATAGCACAACGGCGCCACCTGTTGGATGAAGAGGGCAGCTGCAGGCGTGGTGGAGCAGTGACTTGGCTGCTATTTAAGCTGCACAGCTGCTGCAAAGAGAAGAACACAGGAAGTCATATTTCCTGACAAATTGTTCTCTTCTGCCTGCTTCCTCCACTAACACCTGCAGTGTTCACACCTGTGCAGGAACGTGCTCACCAACAACCTCAGCAAGCTCTGACAAATAGCTGCACACAAACCACATACACACACACACACACACACACACACACACACACACACACACGCACACGCACATGCACACACAGGCATGTACAGTGTATGCCAGGCCTCCCTGCCAGCGAGTGTTTTGCTGGCGTGGCAATAAAAGATATAAGAGGGAAGCAGTCTCAGCAGAATCAGGGGGCGTGGAGGGGCTGCAGCAGGGTGATGGAATAAATTTCCAAACACACTTGATCTTAAATTTGTGTGAGTGCATGCAGCATGCCAGACTTAATGCATGCATATGTGTATTCACATCAGTGCAGATACACTTTCATATGCGTGCACAGGCTTGCATGCTCCTAAATCAGGCCTACAGTCTTGTCCTCATTCATCAACAGCTTCAGCCCAGCATGCTACAGAAAACTGGGACACTGTGATGAACGGACACAGCAGGACTCTGGCTGCAGCTGTATCAGCAGTGTTACCCACCGAAACAGGATATGATGCATAGAACATGAGGGTGTGGCAGCTCCATCCGCCATCTATCTCCTCTTCTTCTATCAGTGTGATATGCAAATGTCTGCGATCTGTTTTTAGACCAGGACAGGATGTGAAATGTGCTCGTATCAGCAAAGGATCACATTCGAGGAAGGCTCGGTCACATCCACCTTTGATACGCCGCTTTTTTACTGCTGTAATGGACACACACTATCATAGGTCTGTACACACCCTCTGCCTTTAAATAGATTCAATTTGAACTTCATCAACCTGAGATAGAAATCCCCTCACGCTTAGCAGAGAGGTGTTAAACACACTGCTCCACATTTCACTCTGTTAGAGTGAACTGTTTTTTTTATAGCATCAAAAAAAGCAGCTGTGGTACTTTTATTTTTAACATTCTGGTTTTCACATTTTAAGCAAATTTAGCTGAGGAAGCTAAATTTAATCTTGAAAACCCCCTCACGCACTTATGACTTCACTTGCAGACACTGACCTGACCTATATTTCACATCATATACAGGATTTATAACACAGAAATGTTGAGCCTCTGGAAAATTATCTTGACAATCATTTGGTTGGGGCTCCTTTTTTTGTGATTTACTTTTGATGGCTTTTTAATAGTAAAACACAAGGATCAACATAAATGAACGTAACAACATAACAGAAAAATAAATAATTAAAAAGTAATAATAATAATTACATATATCTACATATGCAGGGTTAACACCTCCAGCATCGTTCTTGACTTCCCCCATCCTCACAGTCACCACCCCACTATATATCAGACTTCTGTCCCAGACATGATACAGCTCCTGTCCACATAAGAACTCCACTGACCCTCCAATCATTCATCTCACACCAGTCTCATGAAGGGACTCCATAGTTTCATGGAAATCTCCTCCTTATTGTTCAGTCTAAAAATCAGTTGTTCGTAGCTGGCAATTTTATTCATTTCTTCCAACCATTCATTAAATTGTATAATATTTCTTGTTTTCCAGTGTCTTAGAGCGATCCTACACCCGTTGGTAAGGGTTTGTGGTAGTGACAGCTCTATCCCCTCTGTTATTATGCCCAAAATACACAGGGCAGGATAGTAGGTTTTGTGTATTTTCACTTTCATACATGTGTAAAAGTGTTCCCCTACTCGTCTCACACCTCCAGCAACAAGTCAGATTCACACAACTTTAACCTCGCCATTTTACAAGGCGTCCAATAAAGCCTGTGGATGATTTTATATGTAATCAGGCTGGTCTGTATTTCTCTAGATGCTCTATACCAGGATCTAGTTATTTCCTCCCATTTCTCCATAGTTATCTCGCCCTGTTGACCCTCTTCCCACACTCTCTTGAGACCATCAAGTTTGGGTGGCTGGGGCTCCTTTTGCATGAATTACTTCATCAATGTGATGTGTCATTGAAGCAGTCAGTCTGTGGCTCTGCTGGGGTGTTACTGAAGCCCAGGTTGTTTTGATAGCAGCTCGTTTGTATTGTTGGCTCTAGTGGCTCTCGTCTTTTTCTTGATGATGCCTCAGAGATCTTCTTCTACAGGGTTCAGGCTGGTTGGCTGACCAATCAAGCACAGTAATACAATGGTCAGCAATGGGGTTTTTGTAGTTCTGGCACGGTGGACAGGTGCAAGGTCGAGCTGGAAAAAAAAAATCTGTATCTCCATAAAGCTTCTGTGCCTCTCTGATCTTCCTCTGGACTCTGGGACTTTGATTCATAAATGAGATGCATAATTAACTGTAATCTAGAAACTTCACTTTGGAGGATTAAGGAATAGTCCAGTTCTTTTTCTTCTTGACTTCATGACTTTGACGCTTGTAGTCCATTTCCTGCACATGGCTGTGTGTGGTGACTCTTGATTTGACTCCAGCCCCAGTCCACTTCTTGTGAAACTCCTCTACATTCTTGAGTCTGCTTTGTTTGACAATCCTCTCAAGGCTGCACTCATCCCTGTTGCTTGGTCACCTTTGTAATTCTGTGAACAGCCAGTCTTTTCAGTAATGACCCTTTGTGGCTGACTTTCCCTGTGAAGGGGGTCAATGATGGTCTTCTGGAGAACTGTCCAATCAGCAGTCTTGCCTGTGATTGTAGTTGTGTGTGTACTGAACCAGAGTAAGAGAGTAAAGGCTCAGTAAACCTTTACAGTCGTTCAGAGTGAATCAGCTGATTAGAGCTCTTTTCAGGACTAAAATACATGACAATTTCTGGACTTTTTTACAATGTTCTAATGTTTTGAGATAGTAGGTTTTGATTTTCATGAATTTTAAGTCTTAATCATCCAGATTCAAACAAAAAGGTCTTAAAATTTGTCACTTTGAGTGCAATGATTGAAGGATATATGGAAGTTTTACTATTTGAATTAAAATAAATGAACTTTTTAGGACATTATAGTTTTTTGAGCTGCACCTGTGTATTTCTAAATATATACTACTGTGTATAGATAAAAAATAATTTCAGCTTTAATCTATCAATAACATGAAATACACAAAATCTCAGACAGATAATGTTAAAGTCATACAGTCCTTTCTTTCACCTGTATCTAACAAATCATTACCTCTAATATAAGCTTATTCAGTCTGTTAATTTGTATTAGATATGTTATGTTTGTGTGATGCATATGTTATTACCATTTTTGCTATATGTTTTCTTATAAAGAAATCAAATAACCAGTAAACTTTTCCGATTGTATGAAAATGGACCTCTACTGCCACCTCCTGTCCAAACTGTGTACCTGCTTTAAATTCACTATAAACTTGTGGTTTTGAATTTCAGCACAGATTTGGCATGTAAAGATTACAATTGAGAGAACTATTTGTTCATGGGTTCTGGTAGAAAGTGAAACCCTCTCTCTGTTTAAGTTTCTTTTCATTTAAGATGGAATAAATCTCCCCATCACTGTATTACAGGCTGATTCTCAGGACTGCTAAATGGATTCAGTGAACAAAATGGTCAGAGGCCTGAGCCTACTTAACTCAACACTCTTCAAATCTCATTCATTCTTTTTGCTTAACTCCTCCTCACACATTCTCACTCACTGAAACACATTATTCACTCTGATGCATAGAAATAACCACAGGTATCAGAGAGGAAACACAGTTACAGCACCAGGGTCACAGTTCACACATAAGGACTTAAAACCGAAAACACTTGTTGTTGCAGATGTGACAAAACTGATATGAGTGGAGGCAGATGGAGACAATCTGAGAGGCACAGGAGGAGGTGAGCGAGAGGTGGCAAATCATGCCAAGAAGACCGAGAAGAGAGTGAGACTGTGCATTTACGGTCTTTGTAGTGCACCTTGTGTATGCAATCTGATGCTAAATATATGCAGAGTCAACCTCAACTGCAATACTGATATTCTTAGACAAGCAGCTACTTCTGATGATGAATCAACCTGATGAAGGTCTTGCAAGTGCAGACAACAGTGTGCTCTGGTTTTTGTGAGTATTCGTATTGGATTGGAAAATGAACCTGATGTGTTTTTCTGTAGCGGTATCATGTACGGTGTTGAATTCTGCTTCCAAACCCTTTCTTGTCTCAGACATACTAAACTTTTTCTGAACTGATCCCAGGCTAATCAGAGGTATTGCAGGTTTTGTCTTTATGTTGAAGAGGACAGGGAGGAAGGTTTTCCAGAACTGTCTTAGCAGTTGTGAAAAACTGTTTTATCCTCTTCATCAGAGCATTTTTCCTTCGACCTGCAATCTCATGATCCCACAAAGACAGCATGATCCCTGAGGTGTCACGATGAGAACTAAAGAAGATTTTCAGCAGTTCATATCAGAAACTCAAACTTTGTTAAATTATTCAGAGCACATTTGTTGTGGTTTCCTGAAACCTGAACTCACAGTCACTTCATTCCTTTTCTAGTGTTAATCCAGCAGTCAGTCAATGCAAAGTTTAAAGGTCGTCATGTTTCAGATCATTCATACAAATGCAACAAATTGACATTATAAACATCAAATACACTGACTGCTCGTATGCAATATTCAACTGTCTGCTTTCCATTCAGTTTTAGATAGACTTCATCTTCATGATGTGGAAACCGAAAGCTGAAGTCAGACCCCCAGTGTGAACATCACTGGACTATCAGATGAGTCTCATCAGCTACAATAAGAATATATCTGTCAGAAAGTTTTTGTTTTGGTTGATTTGATGTAGGTAAGACAGAAAAAACAGGCATTATCCACTTTTTTTTTTCAACATGTCATTTACATTGTCTTGAATATTGCAGTTTATATTGTGTGGCTTGAAATAAAAAAGTGAAAAAGTTTATTATTTTCATAATTTTCTAAAAGGTTTCATATTTTCTACTTTCATTGCAAATTAAGTGACATTATTCAACTCTTTTGTATAGTTTTGATGTCCTTTAACTTGGAGGCAGACAAATCTTGCTGTTGGTGTTCTGCGTGATGTTAACATGACCTTGGTGGATTAGATTTGTAGATATGTTTTTTGTATATAGAAATTTGTTTAAGACTTTTACTCGTTTGTTCCAAAAATGCAACAAATCAGTTAAAGCAGCTGATGGAAAATACAGAGCCTTTTATTATGTTCTGGCTCTTTTTAATGTATCTGTAAGCTGTTCAGGTTAACGTTTCCTTCTTGTATTTCTATTCTAACATGTTTAGAACAGAAGTAAATGTATCTAGAAAGAGTGAAGAAGTTTTAACTTCAGATTTTAGGAGTTTAAAAGCTACAAGTGAAGACTGAAAATCTACTGGTGATCTGAAATAAGGTTTAGGTGTTTTACTTATGTCTCTTATTCAGTACTCTGCTCAAAAATTAACAGTGAAAGATATAAAGTAAAGCTGGAAAACCCTAGAACATTTTTCATGTAATCCCAGTCAATAAGAGTTATTTTTAAGGTTTTGAATTCATGGTATGATCACACATTCATATCATGTAGTACAAAAGGACAGAGTCAGCAGTCAGTTCGGAACACATGTGCACTTTATTGGGATTGTTTAGTCAGTGTACAGGTTGGCCCCACCGGTCTGGCACCCCATGTTACTCCATCACTTCGAGACCCCTTACCCCACCACCCGGGGATGAAACCTCCATCAGGGGGAAGAAGAGGTCACGATCGGGTTTGCATAACAAAAACAAAAAAATTAACAGGACCAAGATATTTTTAAGGCTGAAAGTACAAAAAACCCCAGACATAATTTACATACAAGCGATACTACAACCATGTTTAAGTATGCGCCAACCACTGGGCAGCCTTCACAGAGGCAAATACGTGTCTGAACAATGCAGTTAACATTTGGAATCATGTGTCTGAACAATGCAGTTAACAAACATTTGGAATGACTCAAAGAAAACAAAATGTACATTTTTTAAGTCCCCAGATGCAACTGCAGAACCCCGGGGTGCTTTTTCTTTTTTAAACCTAGCCAAAAACATTACCGTCTCCTTCATTGTTCCAGTTTTTTTAAATCCTGAGTCAAGCGCCAAAAATAACTGAAGCCATGCCAATGAGTTGGTCATCTAGGCTCTGCGCCTGAGTGTGTATGAGAAATGTGTGGTGTGTGGTTGTTTTGCACAGAGCTGAAGTTGTTGGGCGTTTGGTCGGGGAAGGGGAGAAGGAACAGTCTGTTTAGAAGCATTTGCGGTGGACGATGGAGGGGCCGGACTCATCGTACTCCTGCTTGCTGATCCACATCTGCTGGAAGGTGGAAAGAGAGGCCAGGATGGAGCCTCCGATCCAGACAGAGTATTTACGCTCTGGTGGGGCAATGATCTGCAGGGACACAGGAGGAGAGAAACTTGTCAGTACACTGAAGCTTTGTGACAATAAAAAGAATCACTTCAACACTGTGCTCAGTCTGCAGCAGCTCAGCTCACCTTGATCTTCATGGTGGATGGGGCCAGGGCTGTGATCTCCTTCTGCATGCGGTCAGCGATGCCGGGGTACATGGTGGTACCTCCTGACAGCACAGTGTTGGCGTACAGGTCCTTACGGATGTCGACATCACACTTCATGATGCTGTTGTAGGTGGTCTCGTGGATTCCACAGGACTCCATACCTGTGAGCAGAAACATGAAACTGGTCAGAACACTGGAGTCTGGAGTGTCCTTGAGAAGTTAAGTGCAGTTCAGTATGTGTAGTGTGTGCGCAGAGTTTAGCATACCGAGGAAGGAAGGCTGGAAGAGGGCCTCTGGGCAACGGAACCTCTCATTGCCAATGGTGATGACCTGTCCGTCGGGCAGCTCATAGCTCTTCTCCAGGGAGGAGGAGGAGGCAGCAGTGCCCATCTCCTGCTCGAAGTCCAGGGCAACATAGCACAGCTTCTCCTTGATGTCACGCACGATTTCCCTCTCAGCTGTGGTGGTGAAGGAGTAGCCACGCTCTGTCAGGATCTTCATGAGGTAGTCTGTGAGGTCGCGGCCGGCCAAGTCCAGACGCAGGATGGCGTGGGGCAGGGCGTAGCCCTCATAGATGGGCACTGTGTGGGTCACACCATCACCGGAGTCCATGACGATACCAGTGGTACGACCAGAGGCATACAGGGACAGCACGGCCTGGATGGCAACGTACATGGCGGGGGTGTTGAAGGTCTCGAACATGATCTGGAGAAAGAGGAGAGGAGAGAAGAGTTGAGCTTTTTCATCACTGCAGAGCATTTTCAGCATGTGTGCACACTGCACTCACTACATGCATCAGAGTGAGGCTAACGTTCAAGTTAGTAGAAAAAAAGTGCAGAAAGTCAACATCCTTTCACACCTGTGCATGTCAGGTAACTATTAGAAACTGATATAGTGACTCTGTTTAAACAGACACAAGTGCAGATAAGGCACACAGTCAGAGAGACCTGTTGATGATAGATCATCTGATAGGAGAGAGGTCCTGGGGGAGAGGGGGAGGAAGGAGCAGGTGAGAATGGAATGAGAGATGCTTAGGAGGAAATGAGGTACCTAGGGTTTGAACAGTAAATACTCAGATGTACTACAAGGCTGAGCTGGATTTAAAAAAACTCTACATGTGCTCAGTAAGGATGTATACCTGGGTCATCTTCTCCCTGTTGGCTTTGGGGTTGAGGGGAGCCTCTGTGAGCAGGACGGGGTGCTCCTCAGGGGCGACTCTCAACTCATTGTAGAAGGTGTGATGCCAGATCTTCTCCATGTCGTCCCAGTTGGTCACAATACCGTGCTCGATGGGGTACTTCAGGGTCAGGATACCTCTCTTACTCTGGGCTTCATCACCAACGTAGCTGTCCTTCTGGCCCATACCCACCATCACTCCCTGAAAAGGTAGATCACACAGTCTGTTAAGACACTGAACCTGTACTCACGGGTACCTATATATGAGCTGACACAATCTTATAAGAAAACCACTGCACATTTGTACCTTTGGGTAATTGTAATGCCAAATTACAAACACTGCCTTTGTGTGTGTTTTGCTTCCATTACTATTGCTGTGAAGAATATGGTGTAAACCTAGTCTGGCACCTACACCCTCACACTGGTTACAAGCATAATTGTAGTACAGATAAAGTCAATCTTGTTGCTGTTGGTCTTGATTGTTTTTGTGAGCTACAACAGAGGCACCACTACTATTTGCATGTTATATAACTAGCCCTAAACTACTACTAACTCAATATCAGAAGCCTTCTTGTAACTGACTGTTAGCTCTAAAGTTTGCTAAAATGCATGTCTTTCAATTTAATAATTTTATTTTGAAAGGCTTGTATAGGGAGCCAATATTAAAAACTAAAACAAAATAAATCCAGGTAACATCTTTTTTAAGGGCCTTTGAAAGTTTAACTTGACAGTCGCTAAAAGTGATAATTTTGTGATATTTTGTCTTTTTCAATAAGTCTATCTAATAAGCTTCTCTTGTTGGAGTCAGGTGTTTGGGGTCATTCACCCACCTGATGCCTGGGGCGACCGACGATGGAGGGGAAGACAGCACGTGGGGCGTCGTCTCCGGCGAATCCGGCTTTGCACATACCGGATCCGTTGTCAACAACCAGTGCGGCGATTTCATCTTCCATGGCTGAACTGTTGAAAAGGAGAAAAAAAGGAAAGTATGTTACACCCTCAAGTCTCCCACATCCGCATCCTCAAACACCGGCCGCCATGACACTTTGAGCTGCACTTCATTAGCTTTCACTTCACAAGAGCAGCCACTGGGTGGAGCTCGCGCCCCGCATTCCGACCAAACCAGACAAAAGGAAGTGGCGCTGCATTCTGTTATTACCATATAAGGACATGGTTCGGTTTTGAGCAGCTTTGAGACTACCGGCGCCATGGCGCGCGGCCAGAGCGACACAGCACATTAAGGAGAAGGAACATTCGACACTAACGGACACGGCGGCGCGCGAGCACTCCCTCTACCCCACTACAGTCGACTCAACCTGCTTCCTCTTTATTTCACTTTAACACAAATTTAAACCCAGCAAAGAGCGCTGCTTTAATACCACTGCGTCATTATCTGCCTTTAAAACGCCTCATTCAATGAACACAGCCCACCTACCACACCACTATTTCCATAAAGTTCAATATTTTTTTAAGAATTCTACGCTTTACCTCTAAAGATAAGTAAACTGCGTAAAAACAGATGCATAATGAATTATGTTGACTCATGAATGGGTCGCAAGTTCCTCACTGATGCTCCATTTCCTGAAGGCCACGCCTTTTCCAGCACAGGATGAACGGACACTCGCTATTTCCCCTTTCCCTCTTATGCAAAAATGGACAGACCGCATTAAAGCAGAACAGGTGTAAAAAATTAAACCGTTACTCCCTTCAACCTTTTCCTTAAAGTCGTGTATTCTTAGCGTTTTCTTACTCAGATACTTAACTATGAGATATTCAGTTTTTCTTTAAAGTTCTTTTCAAAAGTTGAATTGTCTAAATATGTTGGGGAGGAGAATGTTCTCGATTAAATCTGCAACTGTTGCAAGTCTCGATGGCAGAGTTAGCATGGTGTGGCTAGGCTAGTGTGTAAAAAGTAGGTCACACCCCGCCGCATCGGGCGCACAAAGAGAGCAGCCGGTATCCAGACGACCTCCACTCAAAGCTTCTTTCAACCTACACTGTTAGGAAGACCTGTAAGCCAACACATTACACCTTCACATTTAACGTTTCCAACAATGAAAAGCCAAGATTAAGCCAGTCTGCTGCTTCATGATATTCATCATAAATCGGATAACGATAAAGCAAAAAGCACCTGTCAGTCGGAAGTTACGCCGTCGCCAGACTATTTCCTGTACAGTCATACCTCACAAAAAAGAGACGCGGCTTTCTCAACTAGAATTTATGAAATAAATTAAACAATTTTAGCAAAAGCGTTGGTGTTTGACAGGACAAAGAACCTCGTGGTCACTGCCATGTCTCGCATTCAAAATGACACTTGACAAAAAAAACGTCCTCAAAAACACATCTACTCTTTGTTATATTGATGAACATTACATCAAAACTGGAAGTCTGCTTTAAATGTTTGGGTCTCTTACCTTTGGGTGGGGGGCTTTTCGCTTTAAGGGAACCGGTTTCAGGCAAATGATATCCCGCACAAGCTGCGTGTGACGGCGCTCAGAGTGAATCCGTTAGCTGTGGGCGCTTGTTTTTTATACAGCGTCAGTTGCCCGGCTCTAGCCATAAAAGGTAAACTTTCGGAATTGTGCGCTCTGATTGGTCCAGCGTCATGCACTGGGGCACGTCGCGTGCACACTGTGCTGCACTGGGCGCTCGCGATTTGAGGGAGAGAGAGAGAGGGAGGCGATAACAGCAAAAGACCGGAGAAATAAAGGGAAGGGGGTGATGTAGTGAGGCCTAATAATCCTAATCTGTTCATATTCTGTTTTAAACACAGCTTGAGTGATGGTTAAATCTACATACCTGTGAAAATGTCCCATCTGCACCTGCTAAAAGGCATGATAAACGAGAGCTGGGCACACAGGACTCCTCCCTGTGAGGACTGTATTCACAGTCTCACATTTTATCTCCTTTGCTCATTAACTAAAGGGTTATGGCTGCACATAGTTGATATTTCTGCTTCTGTGGACGTGATGCTGATGCTGAAACCATCTGTTATCCCAGTGAAGCCTACAGCAACCCCATCACTGGGTCAAACACATGACACACATAATACACAAACACACACAGACACATGGTGGTAGGGCTGCCCTGTCATAAGCTAGGGACTGACCGCTAATGTAGGCCATATCTTCCTCTTCTCTTTGCAACTGTATTCATTTATTGATGGAGTATCTTTGCTCTGTTGCTCCTAAATGTACTATCACACTCTCTGCATGGGATGCAGCAGTATGGAGGAGGTGTGTCAGTACAGAGGAGGATGAGATTTGTTAGCATAATCAGATTTCAATGCTACATGCACTGCAACAGCCCCACAATTTAATTTTCCAGAAACTCTGATAACATATTAGCCTAAATGTTTTCAATGAAATGTTTATCTTTTCATTTAGTCATTTAGACAAGTATTCAGGCTATTTCATGATTTTATGACAGAGAACAATTCAGACTCACTGACACCTAGCTTAAACCAACAATTACTATTCAAGTCACAGTTTTACCTGCTCTTATTCATCTGTATCAAACTAGATTGACTTTAATTTGCATTTTTGTGAGAATTAAATTCAGGTTTAGCCTCTAACATGTCCTTCATTCATAGTCAGGCTAGGAAGTCATATTTCAAACTATTATATACTTTGGATTTTAAGACTGCAAATAAGTCTTCACTTCTCTTGCTTCACCCCCACATTAGACATAGTTAATGTGGAAACAAGTTGTTTGTATCAAAAAGATTTGTAACATATGGTGCAGACTTTGACTCATTTTTAGCTGTTAGACCATTGAGGCTATGTCAGTAGAGAGCGGTTTAAAAGCCATTTAAAGCTTTAACTTTGGCCACAGACATGCAGAAACTTCATCTCTTCCTCCTTCACCACTTCCTCTTCCCTTCTCTAGCTAAGCTACACCTATTTCTTTTCTTCCTTGTCTTCATTCATGCAGTTCAGCTGGCTTTAAATGGACATATATGGTTTACCATGATGCTCATACAGCGAAGTGACGATGCAATGTGAAGAAGCGAGTATTCTATTGTGTGGAAAGATAACTATGTTGATGTGAGCTTCCAGTATCAGCAGATTTCAGCCTGTATGGAACGTTTTACTAACACAACAGGCGACAATAGTCCTTCATATATAGAAATGTCAATAAATATGAAAACTTATAGCTTGTAATCATTAATGGAGTCATAAATTCAACTCTGTGTGTGCTATTGGAGGGTTCAGTGATATAAGGAAGAGTTTTAGGTGATCAAAGGTCAGCCGGGCCTACTTACTGATTTACAGGCTTTGACTCTCATTGTAAAGCGTTGAATCTAAAACCTCACCTGACCTGTGTAAGACTCTAATTTGTCTGTCCAGGCTGCATTTTCCTGACTGGGGAATGAAAAGGTCCAGGTGACGGCTGTGAGCAGAGATTTGTACAGCTGAGAGGATTGTTTAAGCACAGTGACGCTGCGATGGTGTAAACAGGGATTGGCTGAGAAATATTTAATCCAGCCTGAAGGGAGTGCCTCGAAAGTCCACAGTGTGTGTATGTGTGTGTGTTTATGTATGTTTTTATGCATCATAAGTGAGTGAGTCATGGTGCCACCCCTTGAAGTTGTCATGTTAAAAAAATCTGAAGTCATGACATATTCTCTTGATTTAAATTAGCTGCTGTATAACCAACCAGTGAGCCTAAGTCAGCAGGCCTTTGGACATGAATCTATTTCCAAGTGTGTATGTGTGAAAGAGGTCTCTGGTCAAGTGGTTGTCAACACTCTTCAGCGGGAATAACTTGCCAAGTGCTTTGGATACCATCACAGGAAGTCTCTTCTCCTGTGTCATAACAGAGTGGATATAGAGTATACATGTGTGGCTGTTAAACCTGGACTTTGCTGCTGAGATACTCAGCCCCATAAAGCCACCTGAAGAGGTTTTTTAAACTCTGACACTGGTTTACACACAGCCTCTGGAGCGATGTGTATAATGAATATTACTGTGAGTGGTGGCTGTGTAAATAGAGCACTTTTTAAACTAAGTGACACTTTAATGAGAGCAACAAGTGTAAGCTCAGGGTTCAGACCTGTCATTTAAAGGCGGGGAGAGTTAGAGAGCTGCTGAAATGACTGTAATTTAGCCTCAGAGGTCCTGTGAGCACTGTAGTAAAAACACTGTGTCTGTATTTTTACAGCAGCCTGACAGTGGAAGCCAATGTGGGGCCGCAGCCAGCCGGTACAAAGGTTCTCAGTCAGGTGAATTGTTTAGCTGCTGTTGTTGTGTGGAGCCATTGGTCTGTTTTCTAAATGGCTGAGGGTTCAACCTGCTGTTTAATAAATTGTTTAATAGTTTGGAAACATCATTTCAAGGATGAGTCATGGAGAATACTTGAATTCACATCCCTTGTAGTATCGCATTGCATCTATCCTATTATATAGTATGGTATGGTATCATTATTGTATCACACTGTATTGTATCATATTCTGTCATATCATATTTAATCCCATGTATCACATTGTAATGTATTGGTACTGATCAGTACTTCTCATTTTGTTTGTAACATTTAATTTTTTCATGTCCCATCATATTATATCAATTCATTTGATTTAGTTTTACATGGGATATAATCTATTCTGATTAGGTGTTCAAATACTTGAGGTGCCAGTTGTAGCTTTGGTAACATGACATCCTAGCGGTGCAGTGACAAGCTCAATTTACTTTTTGCAAGTCAAAGTTGAGTCTTAAGTTTTTGGCCATGAGTCTAAGGCAGGTCACAGGTGTCTGAGAGCAGTGGAGAGTCTCAGTCAAGTCTTTCATGTTTTTAACACATAACAATTATAGTGAACCAACAAAATAAAGTGTCTGTCATAAAATGTATGGATACGTCTATTATAAATATAGTAACCCATTCATCTTGCATCATGTTGTATCAATATAAGATGGAAAAATTGTAATAAATATCAAGAATGTGAAAATATCAAAATCTCATGATATGATATTTGTCGTAATATTAAAAAAATGGATAAAATCAACATTCGTATAACGCCAATGTCCACCTCTTTATGGTGAGTGAGATTCTCTCTGTATGCTTGAGGCTCTGTGTAATTTCAGCCTTTGTCTTTTTGTCAGAAACTGATGAATACATGATCTGCATTAACAGCCATGTGAAAAGTGAATCAGTAACCAATGACCACTGCTGCACGTGTGTGTGTCAAAGGTTGAAGTGCTGTAAATGAAAACAGCAAACAAATCTGAATGCTATCTGTGATGGCCTTGCAGTGTTTATGAGTCACTCAATGTTGAGCTTAATATCAAGATATGATCTGAGTGAGTTCATGTATTTATCACTCTATCAAGAATACAGCTGGGCCTACAGGGCCTGTGTCCACTGACAGCAATTTCTGTGCTGGTAGAATCCTCACCCTTAATTCTAGAGCACATCTCATGGCATAAACTGTTTTGAGCAGGTGTGGACTGAATGGTGGCCTGAGGGTCTATTCAGCCTGCTGTGACCAGTCAGTTTGGAGAATGAAAGAGAAGACCTGTATCATATGCAAGTGCATCTCTTGGGGTTGGGTTATTGTGTTCGGCTAGTTGCCGGAATATGACATTGCTGAATCCCCCATGCTGCACAGGGTCTGTACCAGGGTGACACTACGTCCTCTTTTACCTGTTTCTGGGGGCTGTCTGGCCTGTCTGGGGGAGTTTATAAAATCCTTTAAATGATCAGGGTTTTGCATGAAAGTTTTGAGTTTGTGTAGCGTGGAGGAACTAAGTTAGAAGCGCGTAAAAAACACTTGACCCAACCTGAAAAACGCTCAAAATTTTGCACGCCACTTGGCAACTCCACCCCGTGTAGTAGTGTCCTCTTTTGGGGGATTCAGAATATGGTCACCCTAGTCTGTACAGAAAGGATAACCACAATCCAAGTCCAGGGAAAGATTTAATCCAGACACATTACTTCAGATTACTTTGACCCATCTTGCAACATTGGAGCAAGATTTTGATCCTTCTCTTTCATCATGAAAACAACTTCGGTGTTCCTAATATTGAGAAGTTAGACTCTTTATTGATACAGATTGTTTGACTCAGCAAGAACCATCCCTTTTAGCTCCCATACAGCTCTTCATTGTGTTGTTTACATACAACAGCTGGTGTTTAGAGCTGAGTCATCTTAGACCTACAGACCACTTGGCACCCCAGCACACCACAGGGATGCGTTCCTTAAGTGAAGTCAGGTAACATGATAGTGACTAAGTCAAAGAAAACTGACTTGAAAGGAAGCTAAAGTTTTTGCTTATTAGTTTTTTAATTAGCATACACGTTAATAGAGTGACAACAGTAATTAATAATTTATGGATTTGGGCCTAGCTCTGATGACAAGCTGCTAGCCACCATAAGCTAACAGCTAACATTATTCATTCACTATACATGCTCTATTTAAGGGACTGTGGAACAATGCTCTTTTGTAAAAGTTAAAGCTACTTCTGGTCGATTGTAAGTAACACAACTAAATAAAAACATATGAAAAACCACAGGAAAGTATATAGGGGAGAGTGGGGTAAGTTAAGCCAAAGGGTAAGTTGAGCCACCCCTTGTTAATTGAAAATGGTAAAAGAAAATGATTATGTGACTAAATATTTAGGAGATGGGCATAAATCCGTAGAGTTTGTGAAGGTTAGAAGCACACGGGTGAAGGGGTTAGACATTTATTTACAAAAAACACTTTTCACGCTTGAAAGTGAATTTAGTCTGTCATTAGTTTGATTAGAATTGTAGTATCTATTGTTCCTACCCCACTCCTATGGTCAACTTACCCCAATAGGAGACCATGTTTTTTTTGCATGCTATATTATCAAGACAGTTATGTTTACACTCTTCTGTTGGTTTGCAGGGATGCACAACATCTTGAAATATGTGCAGATACACTAGTTAGAGACAGAACTATGATTGCCTCGATGTAGAGATCCAAAATATGAAAAATGGCTCCACTCTTCCCTTTGTTTCCTGATTCATGTTTCTACATGTAGATGATTTATAGACTGATACATAAAAATGTTAGTAATTCAGCCTCTCACTCTGTCTGTGATGCCAAAGGAAAACAGCGGACTTGTAAAAACTGCCATATTTAGTAGTCTCAGGTGTGTCTGTGTCGCCTCAGCTTTTACCAGTGAACTGAGGCTCTTGTGACAGCTCAGTGTGACGTCATCAGCTGTGGGTTTTCTCCTCATATAAGGTAACCAGCCATCCAGCAGAACAAAAAGTCTGTTTAGCCACACCCTGCATCACTTTGAAACCATCCCACCATGGCTTCCTGTTCCTCTAATGAGCTGAGATGCTCAAAGTTTCTCTTTCTGACTTGTGACAGCGCTCACTTCTCTTCCTCCTCATCTGTCCTCTCTATACATCTTCCTCTTCCCCTTTAAGTTTCTTTCAACATTTGTGTTGAGTTTTATGATTTGTGTCCAGGCTAGCTGAGCTATGAACAGGGGCATTATGGGGTGTGTTTGTGGGGGAGGGGAGAGTAACCATGAAACCATGAAAGGCCCTTTGCTAATGGGTAAAGCTGGCCATAGGGGGTGGACATGACTACAATATCTATTATACACTCACTCACACACACTCAAACATCTGCCGTCTTGCATCTAACTGCTTGTGCTCTGCACTGCTGTAGCTCAATAGAAAACACATTAGCTGCAGTCAGTCTTGTCAGTCTTGAGTGAGATTGAAAGCTGAAGCATGAAAATGTGGATTTGAGAAGGATGATGGGAAATGATTTGAGAGAGATAAAACCATTAAGCTGAGTGTATGATGACTGAAAGAGGAAGATGATGGGAAATGTGTGACGTCATGTTGGAAGTACATTTTCTTTATCACACTGGAGTTTCATTCTTGCTTCACTGCATGGTTAAACATGTTTGTAATCGTATATGAAGGTGTTGGTCAAAACAGGTCAAGTTGAGTGCAGCAATCCAGGGATTTTCCCCTGAAACATTTTGATGTGTTGAAAGAAAATTAAAGCTCCTGTGAGGAACTTTAAGGTTGTGTTGATTCTGAACTCTTAGGACAAAGTGGAACTTCTTATCTTGACTGATTTTGTTCTGTTCTTGTGTATGTCATTTTGTTTTCCTAACCAAAAAGATCATCTACAACTGATAACACATCTTAGCGATGTAAATTATAAACAAAGGCTATTTACGGGGCATTTTACTAAGTGGCCATGTTGGTTTGGTAAATTTTGGTATGGTCTGGTGCTGTAAACCTCGCCTTATATAGCAAACAGTACCCTGGTGCTGAACACAGGAAGTGTCTTATCTTGATGTGATTTTCATCTGAACTCCCATGTTGACTAACCACACTGTTCAGATTGCTGACATTTCCAGCGGTTTCATCTCATAAACCAGAAATCTAGGGAGTAGAGGCTAGCCAGTGTCTTTTCAGCAGCATCTTTGCTAAAATACACAAAACTGATAAACCAAGGATTTTATTAGCTTGTACCAACCACAGAGATCTCCCTCTATCTGTTCCTCCATTTTTGTGTCTCTCTCACTTCTTAGCTGGTGGCTGTGTTAAGTACCTATGTTTGTAATGTTTAATATGCAACATTGTTTTTTATGTGACAAACTTATCACACCAGTTAATTCTCTGTTTAAAGAGTCTGTCAAGAGCCAGCATTAGCTTTGGGGTTTTAAAAAAATGACAACCAACATCAGATCCCTGGAGGCTGGAATTGAACTTTTTTTTTTTCAGTATTTTCCTTTTTTTGAATCATAATTTTTTCTATCCTATTGGCCTTTTTTTTCTTTCTTTCTTTCTTTCTTTCTTTCTTTCTTTCTTTCTTTCTTTCTCTCTTTCTTTCTTTGCTCTGTCCTTATTCATCCATTTTTCCTTATGTATTTCTTTTTTTTATCTCAATCTCTTTATATTTTCTCTCTCTTTTCGCATCTGTGACATTCATGTCTCTTTCTCTTACTTTTATTTTTTTAACTTAGTCTTCTTTTCTTCTTTTTTGTTGATTTTTCTTAACTTTTTTTCAATGATTTTCTTTCTCACTTTCTGTCTTTCTTTTTACCTCCTAATTCCTTTCTTTTTCTATCAATTGCACTTTTCATTTCTTTCTTTCTTTCTTTCTTCTATCTGACTAAACCCATCCTCTCTTTTCCTTTGTGTCTTTGCAGCCTGTTGAACACTTTTTGCCATCTGTGTCCACTCACAGTTTCAGAGAGGGAAGCCCTTTTCACCCACACTCCCTCACCCGTCCTGCCTCACCTCCTCCTCTTCCTCTCCTCCTGCGATACAGCCATCAGTCGTCTGCAGCGTCATTGATCCACAGGTCACCGTGGTGACGGTCTGACTTCGAGGCATGGGCCAGTTACCAGCTGTGTGTGTGTGTGTGTGTGTGTGTGTGTGTGTGTGTGTGTGTGTTGTGCATGCCAGCTGGCCTGTTCGTGCTCCAATTGGATTAGCTTCCCATTTAAGGCCCAAATGGATCCTTAACTCCAGCCCCCACTTCTTTAACACACACACACACACACACACACACACACACACACACACACACACACACACACACACACACACACACACACACACACATATACCATTTCATCCTAATCAGTCTGCAGAGCACCTTCGAACTAACCTCTTTACAAACTTATAGGAATTCTTTCACAGACACAATTTAATTCTTTCGTTTTTTTCAAAGGTACAGAAAGTATTTTAGACAAAAATCTAAAGTTCCAGACAATCTGCTGTCATTTCCTGTGTAAACCAGTCTGTGGTCTAAACCTCATAACCCATCAGTTTCCAAAGAAGTGCTACGAAAGCTCAGAGATGCAGAGATGGTAATCGCCATGTTGGAAATTCTGTTTCCAACTGACTTCCTGCTAATCCAGAAACATTCAGAAAGGTGGAGCTGAGGAATAAATCCTTACGGTGCCCAACTGTTGGTTGACTTAGCTACTTTCCTAACGATGTTTAAGTGTGTATAACATTTAGTAAATACTTCTACATCAAATCTTTAAGTAGCCCTGCCTCCACACAAACCATTGTTTGTCGCCTGATGCACGCCTCCTAAAAAATGTCACTTCATTCTTCCAAGAAGAAAGACAAGAAATTGAGCTGTAGTCCTAGCTTGTTTAGGTGATAGGAATGGACTGCTGTCCCAGTTTGAGAGCACCGGGCAAGAATCATATTATGGTAAAAGCATGTTGGCCTCTTCTACGATGGATGGGGACAGGCCTCCTGTCATCTCTGGTTGACCTGATACATCATGTTCCAAAACAACTGACAAACACATTAGCAAATAGCTAACGGGACATATGTCGATTAATAAAAACACATCACTTTTACAACTCTGTATCTTTTGTATGTATATCATTCAAAGAGACAAGTGATCCTAAATTCTTAAATTCAGATATGAACTATGAAAGGTTTAATTTAGTGTGATTTGCACTGTATTTTCAAAGTTTAGTTTCGGCTGGCCTGATGCAATAAATCAAGAAACTTAACAGAAGTTTCCTGGATGTCATGTAAGAATGTGACTGAAAGATGAACTTTAGCTATCTTTACTTCCTCTCTTATCACATGGGTATTGAAAAATTACTTATGATTGTATTTTTAGAATCAAATTTGTCAAAAACACGAACGCTGCACTGCAGGAAATTGAAAAAATGTCTTAGGTTAACAATGTGACGCCTTCACTTTGGATTTGATCTTAATCATGAACTTTCAACTCTTTTGATGACATTTCAGCTTCATTTTCTGAGTGCATAATAAGAACAGATCTTCCTCTTTTCCTCTCACCCCTGGCCCCAAAACTTTTCTATACTAATGCCATAACTCAGTTCTCACTTTATCTCTGTCAAAGGAAGGGAGCCTCACTACAGAGGCCCAGTTAGTGTGATAACCTCACGAGTGTTTCTCTGTTCCTCATGAACAGACCCCCTGTTCTTCTCCTCTTCCTCTTCCTGTGAACGCACCTCACTTCCTCTTGCTGTTCTTGCCTCTAATTGGTCCAAATCTGAGCATGAGGTGCCTTTTAAGGTTGTGAGGCTTTATTCTGGTTTACCTACAAACTCTAGAGTTTGATGACGGCGTCTTGTTGCCAAACCATGAAAGGAAAACCACCAGAGGTAGTCAGAGAGGAGAAAAATGGATGTGTTGACTTCTTACAGAGACATAAATGCATACACACTAAATGATCTAGCTTCTAAAAGATGGTGAACGCTAAATAAGGAACTGTGCACAACATGGGCGTGACATGTTGAATCAATCTTGATCTGTAAATTCAAACTGAGAGGAGTGAGTTTTCTGTCTCTGTAACTAATTCTGACACACACACACACACACACACACACACACACACACACACACACACACACACACACACACACACACACACACACACACACACACACACACACACACTCCTTATTCATCCCTGCATGTTTAACCCAGAGAGGCTTATCAATCCTCAGCCATCTGTCTCTGTCTGCTGGGAGAGCTCCTGCTTTCAGATTGGCTCCTTTCACACCCTTCCAGCCTCCTGATTGGCTCTTTTTGGTGAATTCTCCAGCCTGCTGACCGGCCCCAGCCCTACTTCTGCTTCCTGATCTTCCTTATTGCAGTGCAGCCCCCTCAGCTGCAGAGAGAGGTCAGCCACCTCCACACGCCCATGCACTTTGGTCTGCAGTCCTCTGGCAGTTATTCATCTCTGTTTGAATGTTCTTACATAACATTACAGCCTGTTGAGCCTCCCAGAACTTTTCTCTTATCATCATCTCTTCATATCTGAGATTTCTGTCATTCTCTTCATGTTTCTTTCTTTATTGGTTGCTAAAAAAGCATGGATCATCAGTTCAACAAAAGAGCTATTTTAGTTGTCAGTTAAGTCCAACCTCTATGCTTCATGCTTACTCCACAGAATTAAGGTTAGGGGTTAAACAATGTAATGCTGCACTATTTTCTGTTCTTACATTTTTTTTCCATTATTATGTAACAGACAAACTTCAACTATCTATCTATCTATCTATCTATCTATCTATCTATCTATCTATCTATCTATCTATCTATCTATCTATCTATCTATCTATCTATCTATCTATCTATCTTTTCATCCTTCAGTGGTGACTCCTTGGCCACTTCTCATAGGTGGCAAGCCATCAGGTGAGCCAACAAACTTGTAATTGACGCTCAGGAGATCTGTTATGTACAAAGTCGACACATAACCCTGTCTGCCTTTTTTTCCCCATCTGCAATCTAAAATACTTCCACACTGTGCTTCTCAGTTTATTTGGTGTTGTGTTTGTCCACTCAGTGCAGCTTTACATGACCATCTCCTCCATTTTTGTAGAATAACACTCCTAACCTGACACTTTTGCATAACATGTCCAGACTCCTCTCTATACTGCTTTATCATTCAAGCCATTGCAACAATATATATGCCTCTTATTTTATTTTTTACTAAATTTTTAATCTTATTCTATTGGGTTTAATTTTATTCTTATTGCGTTACTTTCTTGATAAGCATGTCTGTGTTGCTGCAACAACCTAATTTCTCCTCTCCTCTCCTCTGCATAGTAACTGAGCCCCCCTCTCCTCTTTATTTTTTGGCCAGACAAAAACAGCTTCGTTGTGTCGCTGCAGCATGATTTGCTGAGTAAAGTTTGCATTTGTTGCTTTGCTTTGTTGCATTGTAGCACATCGTTATTGTTTCAAGCCAGCAGGCAGGTCTCTGTGTGTGTGTATATGTGTGAGAGTGATTGTGTGAGCCATATTGTTTTGTATAAAAAGCGATGCCGTTCATTTCTGTTTGCAGTTCCCACCCTTCTCAGCTCCAACACTCGCCGTTTGAATGAGCTGCCTGCCGCCCTCTGATTGGCTGTCGGCGGCTGCCATATAAGGGCATAGGCCAGCAGCAGCGGCAGGAAGTGGGGTAAAGAGGAAGTGGAGAGCCGGCTTTCTGAGACCGGCAGCAGAATGTGCAACCTACGGAGAATTAATAAGAAAGTACCACACCTTCTTCTCCATCTTTCTCCATCTTTTCATCAATCTATATCAAGTCATTTGAACATTTTTATGACTTTATCACCCCTTGTTTCCTCTCCTTATTGTTTTAACACATTTCATTCATCCTTCCTCCTTATTTAGCATCCTCTCCTGATAACCACCCTCAGAAATTTGTGTTGAGCCAGTCACCTGTGTATATAGCTTCTGTACTGAGAAATGTGCTCAGACTGTGTGCCTGGAAGCCCGTTAATCACCTGTGGCAGCGATCTTTCAGCTTAGAGCAGCAGACTGGCCTTTCTTTACAGCCGAGGGTTGAGCAAAGTCCACCCTGAGCTCTGCAGCAGCAGCAGCGGCACATGGTGTTGTGCAGATTGTTTTAAGAGTTCAGTGTGATGTAATGTGTGAGTGTGAGGCACCGAGGCCTGAGACCTTCACAATGAACACGTGCTGGTAGTACTTAGAGCTGGCTCTGCTACTTCAGGATTATTATGTGTGAATTTGAAAACATCGAAGGGAAAATAAAATTTCAAGCTCTAAACCTGGTTATTTTTTACCCAGAAACAGCCCCACCTTCCCTTTCAAAGGAGACAGCTGAGCTGGTTCATGGACTTGTCCTAATCACTTGATAAGGACACCTCCTGGACACATCCAAGTGGACATGTTCCAGGCACACCCAGCTGTGAGCACACCCGGGCCGTCGTGACAAGATTACGTATCCCATTATCAGGGCCGGGATCCTTTAGTAAGAGCTGAAGGATGTGAATAAGGAAATGGAAGAGGCTCCTCCTGCAGGCGGCTCTTTCTGCTGTGTGATATAACAGAGAAACAAAATGGAAGCCGACAAAGATGTGTCAAATGTCATAGTACAAACTACATGTAAAGAGGGTTATTAATAGAGAAAGAACTAACACAAAACATTCACCATCAACACAAAGCAGCCATGTTCTCTGAGGTCATGCTAAAGGTGTAAAACCATTGTACTGATTTGATGAAATTTGGTTATGAATAATAGTTATCATTTAATCTACTCTTTTGATTTTTTCTTACTATGTAGACAGCAAAGTGTGTAAACCTGTATGGAAATTAGACCATATTGTTATTTGAAACGACATATTTGAACCATACACTGTATATACCATGGACAACTTGGTTCTGCCTTCCGCCAGTATACGGATTTGAAGTCGAAAAGCTCTCGGTATTTCCGGATTTATTCTCCACTTCCTGAAACCAATATTGCGCAGTGGCGTTGTACGCACTGCACCACTTGCGCAATAGTATTGTACGCATTCGGCAGTAGAGTCGCTGTGATGACTCTTGGCTCAAACGGCGTATCCCCCGGGTGAGCTACGCAATCTTCATACGCCCATAGGCTGTATCAAATATCAATCATAGAAAACTTGAACCCCCAATAACTTTTAAAAACAGAGATGTACAGAAAAAAGAGGCGGGATTTATGACCTATACTGCAGCCTGTCACCAGAGTGTGCTGTTCTCAGAGTGGCTTCACTCAGCGAGGAGGCAGACGGCGCCCATTCTATAGACAGTTTATGATTTGAACGCCCACAAGCAACAGCTTACATCAGCAACACACAGCATTCTCCGATGTTGAAATATGAGGTTAATACTGAAGTGCTAAAACTGCACTTCTTTGAGCACTTCTTCGAGTGTCCACAAGAGGCCGTCTCCAAAAATTGATCACACACCGTTAACAGCGATGTTAAGATACCAAATGTTACAGCAGAAATGCAGGTGTTAACAGCCTGGTTCAAAAAACTCATTTGATCCGAACAGCTAATGTTTCATACACACCATACAGGGGCGAGTGAGGTGTGAATTTTTTTGTGTAAGCATCAGGAGATGCTGGTGCTTGTTGAGACTGACAGGTGAGCAGGTTCAGGATGCACTTGAGCAGCTCAGAGGATGATGGAGCTTTTCTGCTTCTCCTCACCTCCTTGTCTCCTTTCTTCCTCTCCCTCTTTCGTTCTCTCCTCCTCACCCTTCCGTCTGAAGCTTTATTGGTGTTTCCCTGTCAGGACTTTGTGAGTTGTGCAGAGTTTAATGCATTCTCAGTGTGTGTGTGTTTGTTGACAAGAGTGTGTATCAGCCTGGCCACGCCCTCTTGTAAACGAGCTGACGTCCATAAAAGGAGATCTTTAAGTTTGTCACATGACAACAATCTGAGGAATGCAACAGTGGTCACATGGGACGGCGTCTTGAGGAAATCAGCTTCACCCCCTAAGGCCCAGAAGTGTGTGTGTGTGTGTGTGTGTGTGATTAAATGTGTGTCCCTCTTTGCAAGCATCTCTAGTACTCCTTTGTAAGTCTTCATATATCAGCAATAAAAAAGTGTGTTTTCTGTCATTATCATGTGCTTATTAATCAATGTGTGTGTGTGTGTGTGTGTGTGTGTGTGTGTGTGTGTGTGTGTGTGTGTGTGTGTGTGTTTGTGTGTCAGTTTGTGTGTGTGTGAGGGGAATTTGCAGCTCATGAGATTTCACTTCTCTCTGTTTCTGTTACTGGAAACTGCAGAGGAGGACGCTCCAGTTTCCTTTACAGACAGAAGAAGAACAAGTGTGTGTGTGTGTGTGTGTGTATTTGTGTGAGTGATTGTGTAGTTCATGTGTGGTCAGTGACTGTGAGTAAGTAAAATGAGACTGGTTTAGAGGAGTTAACTTGACAGAAAAGTATTTAAAAATGACAAAAACCTACAAAATAAAAGCCCTAACTTCTTGTTTTTTAAAGTATACCCAGTCTGTGGTTTTGTATAGCTCATGTAACATTGCTTGAATTTCACCCATATATGTTCACAAAGCAGCAGAAAAGAGAATCAGCACCAAAACCACTTCCTAAAACTGATGCCTCTGTGTGGGCTGCAGCTGGTGCCCTCTGCTGCCCCCTACAGTCCACCGCCAACTGGAACCACAGGCTGTCGCTTGTTTTATTTTCTACAGAGGGGACTTCCTCTTTATTGACTCTAGGCACCATATAAGGTGAACAATTGGCAGGTGTAGTTGCAGACATGCCCTGTGGACAGTGTTGGCACTGATGAAGCAAAGGAAGCAGTGTGTGTGTGCAGCCTGAGGGTGTGTTTGTGCGCGTGCAGCTTTAGGATGTGTGTGTGTGCCGTCCCTGCTCATATCTGCTGCTGCGTCTTTGAGCGTGTTAGTCATCATGAGACCACAGCGTTGTTGAGAAACAGCCTGGCAGCCTGTTTAGCTGCCATCAGCGTATTGTTTCTGGGTTTTTTCCAAACAAGGCGACAGCTCACAGTTCCTCTTTCAGGCTGTGTTTATCCTGCAGAGTGATGATGTTTCATGTCAGTGCTGCAGAAAAGTTGAACTCTACTCTCTGTCTTTAACCTCTTTTTGTCAGAGTAAACTGTTAAAACATGTTTCCTGTTGTCTCACCCCAGGAAGTTCACTCTTCATTTAAATGCATGGATATTTGATAAATTAAAAGTTCCTGTGAGCAAATCTTTCTATTTTTATTCATTTAACCTTTGTTTAATTTTGACCCATTGATGTCGAGATCTCTTTCACAAGGATGACTAAGCCAAGGGGTCAGCAGCACGGGTCTTAGTAAGTATTACATGATTAAGAGACAGAACACTGATCAATATGATAATCAAAACAGTTTAAATGTGCAAGCTAGCCAGCAAATAAAACCTATTTCCCGAGCTGAGATTTACTCCAAAGTCTGGGAGGAAATATGAAAACTACATCGATCCTATACATTCATACTATTATTATATTTTTCAGTCACTAAATAGTCAGCATCAACCCACAAAAGAATGTATTATGTCTGGTGGATTTCAAGTTTTGACAGTAGAATCCATTTCACACCTTTATCTACCATTTATCATCACAACTTCCTCTAATTTTTTGACTTGATACTCTTACTTTGAGTATTCCTAACATAAATTCCTCATTTTAATCATCTTTTTTTTTATTGTTTTAACATCACATGGGAGCAAGACAGAGCTGAGCCACTCAGCTGATGGTAAACCTTTCTCACTGCATCATCAACAGAATTTGCAGACGACTGGAAATGCCAGAAAAACCATGTCAGACTCCTCACCTCCCTGCAGGTTTATTTCTGTGTGTGACCTCCTACCCAGCAGCCACTGACTCATCCCACTGCCATCACCTCTCCTCCACCCTGAGGACTTTATTCTGGATTATAAAGAAGAAAGAGACATGAAGATACAGTTTGAAACCAGTGAAACTTTCCAAGAGGAAAACTGCCGGATAGGAGGGAACATCTTGTCAGAAGAAGAAGATGTATGTAGCTATTCAGTTTAAGAATTCACATCTGGCAGTGATCTCTGCTCCCTCTATACCTCCTCTCTCTCTGGATTATATCATCGACCACAAGATTCGAACAAAGCGGTGTCCTACTTCTTCTCACTATGAGCGCACATTCACATCCTGTCCAGGGAAAAAGTGGAAACTCTTAAAAAATATCTGAAACTATGAAACTCTGGAAGAGGATGGAAGATGTAGAAACTGTGTGTGAGTTAGTGTGTGTGTTTTAATGCTGTGGGATTCCCTGAGCAGTGGGATAGAGTCAAACCCCAAAATGTAGGTCAAGAGGCGCAGCCTTTTCCTCGTGCCATGTTTTTCTTGTACTGTTGCATAACCATGCACACGCTCACACACAGACACTAACAGGCACACTGGTGTGTAGCAGGATCCCGCATTGCCAAAATACACAATGAGAGTGTGCTGATGTGAAGGGCAGAGCTCCAGAGAAAGCAAATGTTACAGACCTACAGCTGCAGACACTGCATTTTGTTTCACTCGCTGATTTCAAGGTAGAAAGGTTACACAGAAATAAGTTTGTCCACACACCTACTTCAAAATGGACCAGGTGTTTTGAGAAGGATCTGCAAAAAGTCAACTACCACAAACAAACACATCTAAACTCCTGATTCTAAACTCCTGATTCTAAACATACTGAGCAGGGGTCTAAGTCTATAGCAATCAGCAGTCTAAGCCTATATAAATCTAAGATAATATCTGCCTAGGACTATGGCAGTCATGTCTATAGCAGAATAATCGAATTCTAGGTTCATCCAATGGTAGTTTTAAACTAAAGCAGAGGACTAGGACTATGAGAGTCATGTCTATAGTAGTCTGTGTCTAGATTAGTCTTAGTTTAAAGGAGTCTAAGACTTTGGCAGTATGGCAGTGATGTCTATAGCAGTCAAAGCCAAAGGCAGTTTAAGACTGTAGTCTTGAAATATAGAAGTCTTAGCCTATGATACTCACAATAAAATAGACCATGCTGTCATGTCTGAAACTGTCTTTGCCAATAGCAGTCTAAGCCTACCCCAGTTAAAGCTTTAAGTTGTCCAAACCTATGGTCAACAAGGTCTGAGTCTATAGCGATCTCAACCCTAAATCAGTCTTAGCCTAGAGCAGTCAAAGCCTATACATTGTTAGCCTATTGCAGTCTACGTGTAGTCCAGGACTATAGCAGTCTAAGCCCTTGGTAAGTTGACCCTGCAGTTATAAAAGTGCGTAGAAATCTAAGCTTATAGTAGCAGAAGTTCAAAAGTCTAAGACTAAAGCAGTCAAGGCATTTAGCAGTCTAACCCTGTGGTTAGGCCCCTAGGCAAAGTGGCCTTATAACTGACAGCTCTATCTCCCATACTACTTTTAGAGTTAGGTATCAATTAGTTTAAGAAAATTTGTATAGTAAAAGGCAAATTGGAGAAATATTCGCAGACATTCAAAAATAATTATAATCCTCAAGAATATCACAGCTCTGCCAACAGACTGCTGACATTACAACGGTTGGGGGTTGTGTATGTGTTTATGGCCTAAGTAGATATTTTGCAGCATAGTGATTGGCTGAGAGCACCAGGTTGTTATCACCTGGACTTGACTGCCTTTTAAAGCAGTTTGTCAGAGGATTAGGTTGATAGATGACCTCTTCATCAATTAGCACAGAAAAAATAGTTTAACCCAGGCTTTGAGAGCTGGCACAACAAACTTCAAATTCCCTGTTTAGTTTCTTAAAGGTACACGCACCTTTAAAGTTTGAAATGTTTATAGTTAACACATTTTAAGTCCAACATTTACCGGTCCTACTTTAGGAACATAAACACTGACCCCTTTGCACTCCATTTTTTTTTCTCCAAATTCAGCTTTTTCAAAAATCAAACAAATAAAAAAGTTCTTGTCTTTGTCACAGAAGTTTTACAGGACAAAAGAAAAAGAGGAGAAGTAAGAAAAAGAGGAGAACAGGGGTTTTTATCCACCTCTCTTGGCTCGCCCGATTGTAAACTGATATCCTTAGACGTACTCTCAAGCTGTTACATAAGGAACAACTTGAGTGTGTAGTGTGTATGTGAGTGTGTGTGTGACACAATAAGCAGCAGTCCAGTTTCTGTCTTGTTTTCCTCTCGTTTCTATGCAAACCAAGGAGAACTGGGTTAGTCACACTGTCTTATTTTATGTCAGAGGAATTTTCTTGTCTGTACTTCGTTTGTGTGTCTGTGCTGTTGTCTGTTGTCGAGGAGAAAATGGGACATCATGAGCGTGAATGTGTGTGTGGATCATGGCTGTAATGCTTTTTCCATGCACTGACCTAATTTCACAGTATGTATACAGTATATCCCTGTATAAAATCTCTTGAATTATTCGTGTAGGCTGACACACATTACATATTGCTGAATGACCCGCACAGTGAGAAGTAAAATAAAACTTGTTCAACAAGTTTCAGAGTTGAAGATGGAAAATGCGATTTTAAAACTGAAAGATAAGTTTAAGAGGGAGAAAGTTTGCATTCTCCTCTGGATTTAAATAACATCTTTGTGCGCACCTTTGGTCCGCCCTCATTGTGAAGCTCATTAAACAGAAAAGTGCAGTTTAGAAAATTTGTAACTTTAAATGCATTATGCAGAAGCATTATATTAAACATAGAAATGTTAATCTTTATGTTTGTGGTCTGTTGAAG